AGCTAGAAGAGGATGATATACCCCTACCTAAGACCTAACAGCGTGTCTTAGGAAGATCTCGAAAACGCCCACGGGTTTATAACGATCAGTTTATAGAGTATTAGTCTTTGATGAAATTGAAGCTATTCACACTTATTTTGCTATCTAGTATCTATAAACGTGACTACCTATAAGCAGAATATATATAAATACAGCCAAAAAAATACACAATTTGTGTATGTCACGAGATTCTCTATGTTTGCACTGTTTATTAACCCGTGGGTAACCCGTGGGTCGGGTCGGGTATGACTATCAAAACCCATACCCGACCTCGGGTATAGACTTTGGACCCAAAACCCGCCAAGAAATGGGTATGGGTCGGGTAAAACCCGCTTACCCACGGGTATGGGCGAGGCCTATTCTTAGTAAGGGATAAGAGTGTCTTAGAATAAGGCTCGATATATATCACGCTATTGCTTCGTCTAATTATCCGTTAAAAAAAATTGGAACCTATTATCTAGCGCTAGTATAGTACTAATCGCGTAAATATAACCACGATCATGATTAGTTTGCGAATAGTACTTATTAAGCTTCAATCGACTAGCCTTAAGAGAGGAAAGTATCTATTTTTTCTATAGTACACGCTTTCGTCGAAGCTAGTTAATAGACTTCTCTAGGTGCTCGAATAGTATATTGTAGATCTAGAATACGAGATATATAGTTATATCTCGAGTCTTTGAAAGCGTAAGTATATAATTATAGAATAGCTTTGTAAGATGAAGAAGGTAATCGATCTAGCGCTATTTATCGTTATCGAGTGCTATCTCCTCGCAGTTATAGTCCGTATAGAATGTACTAAGGAAATCACGAAGCCTTTTTGCCCGGCGAAGTATTAGAAATGTTAAGTTCCACCTAGTCTTTACATCCTAAAGTGGTATAAGTGCCTACTTAGAGGGTTAAAGACTAGTAAATACTTCGCGACGTTAGGGACTAGCCCGGATATAAACAGTCAGATACCGTACCTTGTTTAAAGTATAAGATATACCCCGGTTCTAACTTCGGGCATTTGCTTTAGCGAGGATTGATTAGCGATCAGACCATTTAGTCTTAGTAGTATTATTTAAAGGGACTGCTTTTAGGCGATCAAGAAGCTAGTTTAGACTTAACTGTATGACATATATAAGATAGGGGATTCGGATGATATAAATATCACTAGATAAGGCCTGCTGTAGCGAGTCAACAAGGGTCTTATTGTTCGATATATTATCCGTGGTTAATCTAAACATACGATCTTAAATCTTATGGTCGGTAAGAATCTCTAAGATAACACCACTTAGATTAGTACCGGTATAAGCCCCCTTAAGGGGTTTAAACCTAAGAAGCACCTCCCGGTAGGACTAGTCAATGTCAATAAAATAGCTAGTAATAGCTATAAATGCCTATCTAAATAGTGAAGTCTAGCAATCTAATGCAATTAAGATCTTTGTATTAACTAGAAGCAATTTAAGTGTAGATTGTTAGCGTTCTTTGATATAAGTGGATAGTCGACGTCGAATTATATCGGCAGAGGGTATTGATAGGAGGCTTAGGGCCGAGTGTGCTTGTGATATTATCCGGCGAAACGTTAGATGTTCGATAAGGTAAAAGGGAAGTCGATTGATAGTGATTATCCTCCTAAGCTGCCTAGGAGAATGTCTCTCGGATAGTGTTATCCTATTTTAATAAAGTTAGTAGTGTAAATAGTAATAAAGGATATCTATACTGTTAACTAAAGAAACTTATCTAGTCTCTCTCGTTACTAGCCTGTATTTGCAGCTAGACCTTGACATTTCCCATGGGACGCCTCCCATGGGACTGTCCATGGGAATTCCCGTGGGACTAATTTTGGTCCCATGGGAGTGGGTCCATGGGACTAAACATCTATGGGAAATTCCCATGGCGGGACTAGACCCCCGTGGGAACTCCCATGGGAGTTATGGGAATACCCATGGGACTGTAAACAATGCAAACATTAGCTATCTCGTGACTTGTATAAATAATGCATTTCTTGGCGGTTCCGAACGGTATTTTATTTACAATAGCTTTTTTCTAAATTAAAGATATACTAAATAATCACAAAACTATGGTCAAAATATATCAAAAGTAATAAATATTTGTTAGTCTCAATACTCGCTAAAACACCTTTAAATTACCGTATTTTATTATAATAACTCAGCAATTTATCCATTATTATTATGGAAATAATGTATAGATGGGAAATTTTGTTAGTCCCATGGGAGTCCCACGGGAATTCCCATGGCGGGACCAATTTTTTTTTTTACTCCCATGGGAGTGGGTCCACGGGACTAGACCTCTGTAGGAACTCCCATGGGACTAAGTCCCATGGACATGGGACTAGATTTTCGCTAGTCCCATGGGAAATGTCAAGGTCTATTTGCAGCCCTTTTATAGGCAGAAGTCCTAAGATACCTAGTTATAGTAGTTGTACTATAACGCGTATCCTTCCCGTTTATATCCCTTTTAGCTATATAAGGATACTTAAGAATCGTAGAGCAATACTTATATATAACCTTCGGGCTACTATCGCTACTATAAGCTACCTAGGCAAAGTAGTCCTAGACATTTAAAAGATAATTTGAGTCCTATACGACCTTGCCCTTTAATCTATAATTAGTTTGTAACCACTACTCTACCTACTCTTAGTGATTCATTCTATCATATAAAAAGTATGACCTTTTCCGATCGGGTCTAACGCGTTCAAATCGTTTAAGGTGAGGGAGTAGGGGAGGATTGTCTGGTCGGAGAAAAGCTGACATAGAGACATCAAAATCCTATTAGCTTATCGATAGGGTAGCTGGATAATTGGTTGTAAGGTATAATAAGTTTTCGTAGTCACCACTAAATTATGATGATGCAAACTTAGACTGCTGAATTTGGGACATTGTAGAGTTAATAAAACGTCTAACAGTAAGGGATTTCTAAATAGGATAAAAGAGGATCGATATATTATAAGAGGCCACACTACCTCGAAGTGTTATTTATTAGTTAAATCAATAATAAATATATCAAACGGAAGGTAGTAACAGGGGTAGATGATTAGTTAAATAATATATAATAAGTAGGTCGGGCTCGAAGAAAGCCTATAAAGCTCGAAGAAAGCCCATAAAGCTCGAAGAAAAGCCTATAAAGCTCGAAGAAAGCTCGCAAAAAAGCCCGAGTGCCCCACTTAAAGCCTATAAAAAGCCTATTCCTAGCTCGTTAGACTTTGATTTCCCTTAAAATAGTTTACCCGATCAGCTATAACATATTTTCAATCCTACGTAGCTCATCTAGAACTATTAGGACTAGGAATCTTAAAGAATACTAACAAAATTCAAGATATAGGCTTTCTTTTGATATATAATTCGAGCGGGTTAAACCACTTAAAGTCGATATTAAGCTTAGATTGACACTTAACTATGAAAATATACATAGTTCCTAGTGTAGAATATATATTTCGGCAGACATAACGCCTGATTAACTTATATATATAGAACATTTCTAACCACTTGATATTTATAGCCATAAAGCTTAGTTTTTATACTCAAATCTTAGAGATATACCTCAATTCACTAGAATTTCTAAATATTACCTATTCCTTATTACGATAATACAGTACAATTCTATGTACAAACCAGAACAAGGGTAAAATACAGTTATTTATTAAGATGATTCAGCCACTTTATGAACGCCAAGACCATGGTTTTATACAATTTCGAGCCCATGGGGGGGGCTCGTCGAGCCCTCCCCCAAGCGAGCCGGGGTCCGGGTCGAGCTCGAGTAGTTCGACCCCTAGCTCGTTGAGGGTCGGGTTTCGAGCCCAAGGGTTAGGCCCAAAGTTGGGCTTTGCGGAAGTCTAATGGTGGGTGGGTGGCAGAAATATGTCCGGCAGAAAATATGTTGGCCTGAATTCTCAGGCAGGGGGGTCGCATTACGCAAAGGGGGGGTCGCTATACCAATCCCCTATATATAATATCTATTATTATTAATAAGATTTATTAAATAAGTTAATAATTTAGGATCTAATAATACTTTACTATATATTATAGTTTAATATTAAATATAAGATAAATAAGGATTCTTAATCTAACTTAATCTTAAATTTAGATAAAATAACTAAAACTGATAAGATAAAATAATTAGATCTTTTTAAGTTTAATCTAAAGGAAATAAGTAATAATAAAGATAGCAAAGATAATTAAACACTAAATAAGATAGATAAGATTAATATAGATAGGAAGAATATTCTAAGAGAGTTAGATAATAATAATTCTTTGCTATACTTATTATCTATATCTAATACTATTAGCTAAGCTCATCTATAAAGAGAGCGAAAGTAGCGTTATAATAATAATAAATATAAGTATAGTAGATAGGTTAGACGTTAAGTTTAATCTATAAGCTAATCTTTAAAGTAAACGAAGAAATCTATTTTCTAACTAAATTAATATAATATAATATATCATCTGTTACGCCCAGGTACGAAGAGACAGACATCAACCAACGTAGTAGCATTTGACGAAGAAACTAAGCATGAGGAAGGAAAGAAGGAGAGAGTGCGAGAGATGATCTAAATACATGATGGATGCCTGCGGCAGCAGGCATCAACACAGGCATCAACCCATCACATCATCTATAAGAATGAATCCTTAGATAAGGATATAAACAAAATACAAAAAAATACAGGTTTCTACATAACTTATGCAGGTTACGTTTTTCGATATATTTGCACTGTTTACAGTCCTATAGGAGTCCTATCGTAGCGGACTGGTCCCTCTAGTCCCATCTCTTGGCATCCCATGGGACTTGTCAAGGTCTAAATACTCCGAACCTGATTTGCCTTCACCAACTGGCCAATACTTGTTTTCCTCGCCATCTGACTTAGTTTTCTCCCATTCTACACTATTTTCAAACGTGGACATTGGGAAAGCGTGATATTTAATATGAAAGTGCAGTTAAGAAGCTATTTACGTAAGATGTGTCTAGTTGTTTTCAGTTTCACAGCCGGTGACATAGTCAACCTTCATTTCGCAACCGTTATCAAAGACCATATGGCCACAAGCCTGATTGCAGTCATCGAAAATGTGATCGTAGGCACTGTAATTGTGAGATCAGTATTGTAAAGCATTACGGGGCATAATAGAAGACTTACGCTTGCATGGTAGTGCCCTTGACTTCGCAGCCGTCGCCCTTGATGAAGACTCCGCACCCACCCGAGGCGTGCTTGCCATCGGTATAGCATTCTCCGGTCTTTTTGCCGCTTGTGGTTCTATTAAAGAGAGGGTCAGATTCATGAAACATAACCTCAATAACCAACGAACTTACCCGTAGATATCATCGCCTCTGATATAACTCTTGGCCACGTCACAGAACCCATGTAGGTTGCTGACGAAAAGATGGCACATAGTCTGGCCGTGGCCACATGTACTTGCGGACTCGGATGGCTTGTATTTGTTGCTAGTGGTCGTTGTTGCCTCCTCTGTTGATGTGCTAGACGTGCTGGTGGTGGTGGGGGTGGTGGTATATAGCGAGGAGAAATCGTCGTCGATAATGCTAGCCTGACTCGTGATAGCAGCATCATCAATAGTCCGACTATAGAAGCGATACGCAGCCTTCACGGTACTATCGGAGGTGATTGTGGATGTTGTAGTAGTGGGTTTGGCATCACAGGCGGTGATGGTTTGACACATGGTGGATGTTTCCGTAGTGTAACTTGAGGAGACCATAGAAGAGGAAATGTACTCTGTGCAAGTATCTGCTTCCTTGGAGTCGCAGTCATCGTCTTCCGACTCACATCCATCGCCAGTGCATTTGCCCCCATCGCAGTTTGAACCCGAGCAGCTAACCTTGCTGCAATCAGACCCGGTACATTCTCCAGTCTGGGGATCGCAGTCGGCACCGATGCAGCCAAGAGATACACAGTCTGGGCCAGTGCACTGTCCAGATCCGTTACAGTCATCGCCTTCACATCCGGCAGTGTCACAGTCGTCGCCGTCACATTCTCCTGAATCGGTGCAATCAGTACCAATGCAGCTGGTGACATGGCAGTCTGATCCGAGACATGTATGAGTAGACTCATCGCAATCGGTACCGGTGCAGCCTCTCTTGACACAAAGAGGCCCAGTACATTTTCCGCCCTTGCAGTCTGGGCCGCTGCATCGGGAGTGTGATGGTGGGTCAGGGTCTTCGGGGTCCTTCCAGTTGTCGTTCGAGGCTGTATCATCGCAATCCGTCAAGCAAGGCGCATCACAGAAAGATTTACACTCGGTGCCACAGTTTGAAGTACAGGTAGGCGCTGGAGGTCCGCCCTGTGTCCATGTGATCACTGGCGTGGGAACATCGACAGGCAAAGAAGTTGTAGACCAGGGCCAAGGAGGAGGGAAGAAAGTGCGGTCCTCAGAGCCTGTAATGGTCACGTAACTGCCATTGATGCCACTCTGCGTCTGCGTCTGCTGGTAGCTCAGAGTGTTCCTGAATGTAAACGAATCCAGCGAGAAGCTAGGGAAGAGGGTCTTGGAACTTGAGGTGTCGTCAGTTCCGGTGATGTTCCAGTTCCACCACGGAATGCTGCTGGCAGTGATGGAAGGAATCGAGAATGTGGTTGATTGAATGGTGCGAGTGACGGTAGTTGTGACGGTTGGTTTATTCGAGACTGTCACCGTCTTGGTTGTCGTCCAGGCAACTTCGATGGGTGTCACTAAAGGTCCAACTGAAATAGTGGTTGGTGTAGACAATGAGGATGGAGCCACAATCAGATTGACTGGGGCGATAGCGGTTGCAGTATTTGAACCCTTTGGTTTGGCGACGTCCCCATCGACATAGAAGTTACCACTGCCTGAATCACTTCCATCTGTACTTGCACCAGTCATGGATGTATCTTTGGGGTCAAGGTCATTGGGGTTCGCCGTGGTGCCAGGTCCACCCTCTTCAATGGACCATGCGAAAAGGCCCCCGAGGCACTTCTCATTAGCAAAGTCGGCCTTTTGCTTCAATGTCTTCGCGTTGTCAAATGAGACCCTAGTACCATTAGCTTATAGAACCTCGACCTCTCTTAGCAAACATACCATTGATTTGAATCCCAAGTCATCCAGTTGACCGCAGCTTGTTCGTTATAAGTCACATCAGGATTATACTGCTTGATGACCCGCTCGATCTCGTAATCGGTCAAAATGCCAGTTGTGTTCGTGCATTTACCAGCTTTTCCACCACCTGCAGAGTCTTCGGTCTTGTCGAATGCACATCCTGGTGTATCACAGCTAGGATCCTTCAATGTGAACGAGCGCCCATAGTATCCAAGACCAAGCAGCACCTTGGAAGGATCGACATCATTGCGCCACAAGAGATCCAATCCATCCTTGATCTCTATATGATATGGTCAGTAAATTGGTTGATTAGAAAGGAATGTTTCTTACCAGTGAGGTTGGTATGGGGGTTGATATCTGACTCTGTCCACTTTGTCTTTCCATCCCAGGTGCCGTGGATATCGTATGCCATGAAGTTGAAGTAGTCGACATATTTTGACAGTCCCTTTACATCAAACCCTTTCAGATACCCTATCAGAGGAGTCAGCAATATGTTGCAAAATGTAAATATGCCATATACACTCACAGTAAGAAGTAGGCAAGGTTGCAGTGATGCTATAGGACCCGTCGCAAGCTTCCTTCAGCTCCTTCATAAATGTCACGAAATTTTTCGTGTCCTCATCACGACCACCTGCCGATTACCATGAAAATTAGCACGCTTTTCCATATACACGCCAATCAAGAAAAAAGGTAGTTGCTTACCTCGATCTGTGGCAGCCGGGTATTCCCAGTCAATATCAATTCCATCGAAGCCGCGGTCATCCATGAAAGATATAACGGAATCAATAAATGACTTGCGCAGCCCGGAAAAGCGAACCATGTCTGAGAATGGTTCGCCTCCAAGATCCCAGCCACCAACGGAAATGAACGTCTTCAAAGAAGGTTTCTTCTTTTTGAGGTCATTCATTTGTTCAATGTATATATCGTCCAAGTCGTATACGGTCTCGATGGTCGAGTCGCCCGTGTCAATACCAGCAAAGCTATAGAACATGTGTGTCCAGGGATTGACATTAATATCTGAGGGGGTCATTGTGTCGCACGCGCGCTCGTAATTCCACGCTTCGAAGTACCCTCCATAGACCTTAGAGCTAGAGGACCCCGAGCATGATGGCTGCTTCACATCATCACATCCACTCTGGCAACCTTTGCCACAGAAGTCTGAACTGGTACCGCAGAAGCCGAACTCCGAGCAACAAACATTCAAAGGGCACGTTTGATTGACCACCGGAGCATATTTTCCACACTCTGCCTGAGCGTCGCAATTCGAGATACAAACGCTATCACCGCAAAAGTTAGGCCCAAAGCCACAATAGCCTGCTTTGCTACAACATCCTGTGTCACACTTCTTGTCTTTGGAACAAGTGCCACTGGTGCCTTTAGCGCCCAGCACTAAATCGCAAAATAACGGTAACAAGGCCAAAGCCTTGACCGTAGAAAGGATATTCATCCTTATGCAAAACGAAACAAAAGAAGGAGCGTGAAAATGAACGTGGAATTGATTCAAAAGAATGTGAGGAGATTCATGCAGGACAGAGAAATGCCTGGCACGATCTATATAAGTTACTTCAAACCGAGTATGTAACGGACTCCATATCAATTCAACAAGATTTCGCCTGTAATTCAATTACGGTATCAGACTGGAAATCTCAATACCGGACCCTCAGCGGAATCTTTCTCGTTGCAGCCTCACGGCCCATGTCTGTGACGATCATAATGTGCTCTATGTACATTGGCCATGCCCCTGCATTAGCTTCGGTCAAGCTCTAGAAACCAGTCAGGCATGCGTGATAACGATCTTTGAAACAAAACGGTGGACCTCAGTGGACCAGGATCGGCATCAAAGTTTTGAAGTTGCGGATAGCCGAGTACATTTACGAACTCAAGTATTTACGCAGTCTACCTTCCAATCTTGCTGTGAGATGATTGATAGAAATTTTTGCAGATACTCCACTCATGTCAGGCACATTCTCGGTTTTCATCCCACTTCCACGGTTTAGCCTTTGGCCCCCGGGGCCAAGCATAGCCTAGTGTCTCCACATACTGTCTGTATCGTCTGTGCAGAAGCAGAGGCTGTTTGAAACTACTCAAATGAGTAAATTTCAATGTTGTTACATGCGCTAGTCTACGCGAGCCGTCTGTTCCAGGAATTTGTCACTGAGTTTGATATTTTTGTTGCATAAATGTCTCTTGGGGGCCACTACTCACCCCATTTTATCCACGCCAATCTTGAGTGCGCGGAATCGGAAAGCCATAGCCACCATGAAACCAGTTGCAGCATTGTTCGTCGTCTCACTTGCATCCGCAGCATATGGGTGGAAAGTCGGAGACAGTTCTACCGGTAGCACCGATCCCGATGTCACTACGAAGTGTACTCAGTGGGCGAATGATATTTCCTCCAAAGATAGCTGCAAGGCTCTGCAAAAGGAATTTGATATCGACTTCCAGCAACTCCACGAATGGGTGCGTATCTGTCTCTCTTCTGAAAATCTTTTTTTTTCCTCCAGCTAATGAGTCAAACCTGTAGAATCCCTCACTCTTGAAGGACCCATGCGTTCCCATCGAGGGATGGAGTTACTGTGTGGGTAGCTCGAGCAAATCAAATGATCAGGCCTCGGGGATGGGTACTGCGGCACCCTCACTCCATCTTTCTACTTCTACGGGGTCCACTGCGACTTCGACGGAGGCGACTTCTTTGCCGAGCCAGTCAACCGAGTCTGCTGGCACTGCCACTGGTAACAGTGCGACAGCATCGAGTGCCAGTAGTTCGCCCTCGGCCACAGGGACTAGCGATGGAACACGCCTAATGGCGATCGAGGGTACTGGAATTGTGATGGCAGGGTGTTCACTTTTTATTTCCTTGTTTCTGTAGTCTACTTTAGGCTGAGTTGGGAGACAATGTATCTAATTTACTTTCTGTTGATGTGATTCAGTTCTTGAGTCTATTAATCTTTAATATACACCATTGACATATGATATTATCCTAAAAACAGCGATACGTTCTTATGAGGAGAGCCATTTAGTTTGAATGGTTGGTCGTTTGTATACTTATGCAAAGCAAGAGACTTGTTTGAAGAACCCCAAGTGTCACTTATATATCGAGGGTCGGGTATACAAAGCTCTCGTGGCTACTTTGCTTATTACATGTCTCTATTTTGCTCGATGAAGATCAAATACACGCAGCAATCGTTGTTTGATATGAGATACAATAGACTAGTAGTAAATTCAATAAAAGAATCGAAATTGTCGTATTTAACATTGAAAATGAAGTATGACCTTCTCCTATTACTAGCAATGGGCCTTCAATCTAGATATAGGCCAATTCCTCAATAGCACATTTATTTAAAATCCGCAGAAGAATAGTCTTAGGAGGATGTCGTTCCTATAATCATATTAGAATGTAACAATGATCTCAAGGCTCAGGGTGACAGAAACTTACCAGGTGCGCCGACACAAACGTTAGTTTTACGCCACAGATTGGTGCAGTTGGATCCAGTAGCGGGATTCAATTTATAGAACTCCGCTGTGGTAAGATCGTACTGCTTCTCGATGGAAGCGCAGTCATCATCGCCAGACACGTAGTGCCATTTGTTGCCTATTTACCAAAGTGTTAGTCACCGACTTTAGAGAATGGGATCTTGATCTTGAAAACCTACAGTCCGAAGCTACTCCAGTCTGAGTTGGGAAAGCAGATGTCGAGCTGGATGAGCCAGTGGCGGTGATGGTAGCAGAGGGCGTGAGCCCTAATATTATGTTAGACAAGGTTATCATGAGAGCTTGGAGCAAGGAAAACATACCTGGCTCACCAACGCAAACATTAGTCTTACGCCAGAGGTTGTTGCACTTAGAACCGGTTGCAGGGTTCAAATGATAGAACTGTGCTGGCGTGAGATCATATTCCGCTTGAATTGAGTCACAGTCATCCTTTCCAGATACATAGTGCCACTTGTTGCCTGTATTTCCGCATGTGAGAATAGTATCATCGAGAGCATTACGAGAAAGAATAACTTACAATCGTGAACAACCCCAGTCTGAGTTGGGAAGGCAGAGGTTGAGCTGGCAGACGCAGACGCAGATGGAGATGACTTCGCAGCCACACAAACAAAGTCACCGTTAACCAGTCCCTTGCAGCCCTTGGAAATAGCGCTGCCCAAGTCAGAAAATCTTCAATCTCAGAGCCGCATGATCAACTTACGGATTCCAGCTGTAGAATTGACTCAGAGTGAAGTTCATATACATGTCTTGAATGCTGTTGCAAGAGTCCCCATTCTGCACCAGATGGTAATTGGTGCAAGACTTTGCGATTCCACTCTGGGTTGGCGCAGCAGTGCCAGCGAAGCTAAAGCTACTAGCTGAGGTCGCCCCAGTACTATTACCACCCATAGAAGCTGTTCCGGCCGGACCAGACACACAGTAACTCCATTTAGGTACCAGTACGCAGTAGTCATACTTCAGGGAGGGATTCTGGAGAAATGTCAGTCACGATCCCCCCCATTGAAAACTAGGACATGGTATAAGTAGGGACTTACCCAGGAAACGAATTGCTTTAGTGAGATTCCAAAGAAGTCCACTACTGCATCACAAGTGTCGCTGTATTGAACATCATTCACCCAATAATCACATCCCACAGCAGCATTGGGGTCTTTAGTTCCAGTAGCTGATGGCCCATTCGTCCACCCGCCTTGAGTGGCAGCAACAGCCGCACCCAGCAGCAATAAATGAATGAATAATTTTGGTACGAACATTCTGAACAGAGACCAGTTGGGAAAAGAAGAATTGTGTGATGTAAAAGAGCGACCTCCTGCTTTACTTAGGAAATTTAGAAGGGGATATCGAGGAAACGACTGTTCTGATTTTGATGGACATGGTACATCAGTCAGGTAACGTACGTTTTCCGAAAATTACGGTAATTACCGTTTCATGTTTCGCCCACTGCCATTGTCCGAAGTTGGAAATTGTCATTCCACGTCTTGCAAAAGGATGATCGTCAATGGGGCTAAAATATAGTGGGGCGCAGACAAGCATGTTGCAGTTGAAATCTTAGCTCAAACAATTATACTGGGCCCCATTTGGGGTCCAAAAGCCTGACGAATGAGAGATCCCAGTTGATATCTGTGCAAGGGGAGAAGCCCCAGTGTTGGGGCCATCCGGGTGAAGTGACCCTTTGCTGGAAATTTCAATTGGTTCCCTGATATTCTCCATTAATGCAACCATCTATACGTACTTTAGTGCAACATAGACAGAGGAAATTCGCGCAACAGCCTTTGAAACACGGACCCCGTTTCCTCTCTTTCCAGTCCCATTCTGGTAGCGCTATCTGGCCAATAATGCGACTTCATGAGCTCCGTGTCAGAGATTGCAAGATACTTGATTTCTATGGAGCATGAGGGATTTATTTGTAATACAGAGATTGCACATCAATGTCAATTCACAGTCTTTTACGCCGTAGGGAACCAAATACACGGGGCGGTATTGTTGGAAATGAACCTGGGCCTCGCGTAGGGGTCATTGAAGAGCCCATCACTTGAAGAAAAAGATCGAGGAGCTTTTTATTTAGAAATGGGGAGATACGCAATTTCTATTAGTGTCTTTCCAGCACATTTCCACTCTTTTTGAATACAATCTTTTGATCTACTTTGTTGGACTACACGCTCTTTTGATCATAACCATGATCTTTGGTCCCTTTGGCAAGGCCTGGCTTGCCATAGTCAGTCACCTTTTTTTCTTTGCAGATGTCTTGAGCGTAGTTCAAGGCTTCCCGGTTGAGTTCAATCATAGTGTTGCCTCGGTTGGTGTGGAAAAGCGCAATCCGACTGCGGCCACATGGACATCCGCTGGAAAGTTTACTGGAGTCCGGTTGCACAGCTCGTGTGCGGGAAAGGATAGCTTCTTTGAGGACGTATTGAATAATATGGTTACTGTTGTGAGTGCTTCGTGAGGCTGAACTATCGCTTCTATCGTTTTCTTGCCAAAATTGAGTTGCAGAGATTATTAACTAGTTGTGTGTGCCCAATGAATAGACTGGCAGTGCCAAAACATCAATTTCTACAATCGAAAAGGCAATGAGCAAAGATCGCAAGAAAATGCTTCCTACTGAAAAATCATACGTTGACCTTTATCAATCACTTTACGGAGAATTCAAGCCTACTGATAAAACCGCGGTCAAAAATGCTAAGACCAAGTTGAAGTCACTGTCAAGTATGTCTGATTGACACTAATCAAAGATATTTGGCCAAGAGCTAATCTGTGAGCACAGGTTTCGTGACCAAATACAATCAAGGCCTGTCCGGGAATGCGTTCAAGCTGGACGTGTATTGCGATCATACACAATGGGTGACTGATGGTACTAAGGATAAAGCAGGAGATTGTAAGATTCTTTGGACTGCCATTTTATCCTGCTTTGACTCGATGCTAATCTATTTCATCGGGTAACAACAGATTGGTTCAAATTGACTGGTGAACCACTGGCTATAATGACCGACAACAAGAACACGGATATTTGCAAAGAAGCCAACGGCGATGAGAATACCCTTGCTTTTATGACCACGAGTCGAGGTAACGTCAAAGACTTCATGACTGTGTGTCCCAGAGCCTGGAAGGCTTGGACAGGCAAAACTCTCATTTCGCAGAAACAGGAGACTGTGAAATCACTCCTAACCAAGTCCATTGACGATGTCTTGGACGCTACTCCCGAGAGTCTGTTTTTGCACGAACTAAGTCATACAGAATCATACTTTAGTGCCAAAGGTAGCCTTGGTAAGTGAATGCCTTCCTTGATGCTGCTGCTTTCTCATGGACATTTGCGCTGACTGTCAATTTGACGCAAAGACGACGAAGACTTGAACAATGGTGAATCTGCCTATGAATGGGTCGCAATCAACAAGCTTGCCAAGGAGGACAAATACGAGACAACCATATCGAAAATTCGTCCACTCAAGAACGCAGGTAAGCGTGTACCTATTGATTACAAGACTTTTTGTCAGAACTAACTAGGCTATTCAGACACTTTGATGTACATGGTTTCTGGTATGTACCACCGTTATGACAAGCAACTTCCTCGGTATTAATTTTGTCTATTACAGGTCTCTACCTTAGTGAAAAGGCAAACTGGGGAGACGGTACTTGCAGAGACCCCAAGAATGTGAACTAAAGCATGTCAACACAGAACTTGCACTCTGTCGATGAGAAATCCATATCATGGGATATAGTCGACACAGCTAGAATCATACTAGATCTTAGTTTGAGTTTTTATGAGACATGGGAAGAAGCAGGAAGAAGCAGAGCTTTGCGTGGTCTAACCTTCCTTTCTTCTAAATTCGCTACTCTACCTCGCTGGATGCTGGAAATAAATTTGCCTTTTCCTACAAACAACACGATGAATCTATTATTTACCTAACAAATCGGAATTTCACAAACTCTCGATGTAGAAAGACCATATCAGTCGATTCACGATCATTTGGTATCTCGAGAAACTCCATACTTCAAGCAAATATCAATAATAGGTTGACAGCCAGAACTCATTGCACTTTTAGCGACAGTTGTCCTGCGATATCCTGCATCTAGGCTGGCTCCGCGCTCCACTAAATATTCAAATTCGCGAGGCTTTTCTAGGTTGATTGCTATCAGCAAGGTCTGGCCGTGCCTTATTGCTATCGCCCCGTATTGAAAAAGGAGCTCAATCAGAGAATAGCTCTCGTCTCTCAATAGAGCGCAAAAGACTGTTGTAACCGACCGTTCCCTTCTTCCAGATGAGTAGGATTTCGATCGTGAAGCTTCTCCGTTTGGATCTGCTCCATGATCTAACAAAAGCTTGGCGGTACCGAATGGCCGTGGAGCATCCCGGAGTGCACCACATAGCGGTGGATGACTCTCTTCGGGTAGTTGGAAATTAACATCCGCTCCCCGGGACAAGAGGTATCGTATGCGGGCGTCATCGCCCTGTTCCGCGGCGTATTTCAACATCCAGTAGAGGTCCAGTGCGGGATCTGGTTTGCTATAAGTGTATTGGCGAAGCTGGTCGAAGAGATAGTCTTCGATCTCATGGTGACCCTTTGATGCTGCTTGTGAAAGCGGGTATCTTCCCTCGGTATCGTGTGATAGTTGCTTTGCGCCCAGAGAAATGAGTTTCTGAGTCAGAGTCAAGTGACCCTCGCGAGCTGCGAGGGCAAGGGGCGTTAACCCATCCCGGTCGCGATAATTAAGATCAGCTCCTAAATCGAGGAGATACTCCACGATTTTTATATGTCCCTGGGCTGCCGCGTATGATATTGGATGCTCTTTCATGTCCTCAATTTGAATCGGCCATCGGATGCGTGATCCCTCACTTTGTATGGAGCAGGCAAAATACTGAGATTCATATTGAACATTTGCTCCGGCCTCAATGAGATATTGCAGAGTCGATTCCGACCCCTTAGATGCTGCCCATAGCAGTGCCGAGGCATCGTGTTCCTGCACATTGCGTTGATAGAGGGGTTTGTTGAGGATCTTGAATAGATAGGAATGACATTCCAGAAGATGATTCAGATCGGAACATTCTAAATGTGTCCCGATTTGTATGAGAAGTTCGGGGGGTAATTTGAGCATCGACATGGTGAATGAATACAGAAGAAAGAGGAAACATCTCAGGGCTTGATCTATGCCGATGAGGTCAGCGGTCCACTTTTATAGTGTAACATACGGTACGCCGTATGTATGTATTTCGTGACAATACCCTATATTTGACTGCCATTACTTGGATCGCATTTCTCTTGATATCATTCAACTTGATGGTATTATTATTACAAGGGCACGTTCCAATATATCTGCCTTTTTGGGCTAGCTTTGCCTGCGTCTTCGCAGGGACATTTGAGTCAAAATGTAGTAATAACTACTGAAGTTGGATGTATTTTTTGTAAACCTGCGCTGATTAAGTACCGGCTAACGCGAGTCGTAGCCGAGTCAATCTGATCTCGGTCATCTTCGGTTCCGAAACACGGCTAGCGCCCTCAGCCAAGGTTGACAGGACTCTGGCGCAGCAATTCTGCCTCGCTGCACAGGGACGACTGTCCTGAAAGAGTAGGGAAAATGCGCCCGCATACGCAAAGGCCAACGATGGAACAGAGGGAAAGGCGTCATCTCGAGCGCAATGATCGGAGTTGAGGAGAAAACAGGGCCGGACGAGGGAGGGCGGCGCAGGTTGCCATTTCGGGATCGCAGGAGAGTCGACGAGTCACACGGGAAAGGGGTGGCGGAGCTCAGGAGCTCGGTGATCTGGATCAATAGCAAAAATGCCTCACCGGATCAACCTGATACGAACAGATGAGAGTAAGAAACGACGAACATAACAGGGGAACAAGGCGTGTTTATAGAACTACGCACGGGAACGCACAAGGACAAAGAGCGCTAAACCACAAAGGTCAAGATTAAACCTAAGAGCGTAATTCGTAGTAGCCGTCCGATATGGTGTAGTGGCTAACATCGTCGTCTCTCACACGACAGCCGGGGGTTCGATTCCCCCTATCGGAGTTTCTTTTTTGTTTCTAAAATTTTTAAATGGGCCCGCAACCGTGGGGATTCAACTTTATATAGGGTTTGCAGCCTTGGCAGTGTGGGGCTAACCTGCACTTCATCCAGATAGCGAGCAAAAGCAGATTCTGTATAGGCTGGGATTCCATTTTTATACTAGTACCATGTCTACGGTTATTATACTGGACATTGATAGTCAACAATGTATGCAAAATGGTTCGAAATCCTATTAGTGCAATATTGAAGAGGTGTCAGGGGCAGATATATACATGGGCGAGCAAGATCACATTCCAACCTCACATATATAAACCTGAATGTACAACGCAAGAGTAAATAAGGTTATTCTCCTGATCCGACCCGTCTATAAAAGCATTTCCTTACGGAGTACCCTAAGGGTGCTCTTAACACCTCGTACTCTTAACAAACTAAACAATTTTAACAAAAGACCCGAAAAATGGGGCTGTTCCTCATGGTATGATTCAAATATTAAAATCTATAGCTGTATTATCTATTGGTATTCATCTCGGAAGACCATAATCCTCTCAACATCTTTCTCAGAACCATCCTCCTCAACCCAAGCGCGCCACATTCCACCACAATTAAAGTCAAACACAACCTTGCCGCGGTGTAGCTTAACATATGAAGCCCCATTGACAGCAAGTGCCGCCTCAATGCCAATGATGCCACCCTCTCCCTCGCCAGTCTTGCGCCATCTCGAACCAGCTGAACGCTGTAGCTCACCGCCAGGCCCGGCGACAGCCGACACCGCATCAGCAAGTGTAGAGGGATAGTTTCCCGGCCCAGAAAACCGCATCATAGCAGCAGACGTACGTGCAGCCGCAACACGCAAGAAGGAATCCCCGTTGCCTGTCCCAGAGACAGCAATGGCACGCCGAGAATCACAAGACCGATGAGGATCAGCGAACGAAAGAGACGAGTAAGCTGGAGGATCCAATTCGTGCCCAAGCTGCGGCATACAATCGGCCATCCAGCCACGCACATCGTGCAACAAGCCCCGAACCGAAAAAGAAGCATCCGACCCCGAAACACCACCAAACCCACCACCATCGACCAGTTCATCCCAAGCCTCCGCCCAAAACCCAGCCCCAAGAGTCGGCGTATCCCCAATCCTCCCAGGCAACTTATTAGTCAACCCACCAGTACTAGTAGCAACAGCCAACCCACCAAACGAATCCAAACAAACACACCCAACAGTCCCCTGACTAAGGAACAGCGGTTCCTCCTCACCTCTCAGCCCACGCTCATGTTCATCCCATCTCTTCTGCGTGAAAAACCACTCATCAGGCATAAACTCCAGTCCCCAGTCTCGCGCAAGGGCCTCAACATACGGAGCCGCAAGCTGTGAATGCATGCTCCCCCCATCACTGGTCCCAGATCCATCTGCCGAGACACCCGTTCTGAGAAGTGATTCGCGCGCAAGTTGGATGGGATGACGGACGTTCCGGAGGCCCATTACACCTGCGCCGCGTTTAATCGCGCCTGGGTCGGTTTCATTGGGGGTTTGTACGGATGTTACCATTATTGAGGCTTCCATTTCGATTGTTCCGGCTGTGGTGAAGACACTGCCGCGGCCGCAGTTGAAGAGGGGATCGTCTTCTAGCAGGGAGACGGCGTGGACTGCTGCGTCTAGGGCAGTTGCACCATTTTTGAGGAGGGTGTGGGTTGAGCGAAGGTAGGATTGGAGGGAGGTGTGGTATTTGGCGTAGAGGTCTGGGGGAAGTTTGGAGCGTTGGATGTTGCCGGCACCGCCGTGGATTATTAAGGTGGGCTTGAATGTTGCTGGTGCTGTCATTGTGCCGTTGTAGGATTATGATGCAATGCTGTGAAATGGAGGTTTGCCGGTTGGTGCGGGGGAAAAGAGCGGAGATAACACCAGAAGTCAGCAATGCAGCCTCACACTTCGAACTCGATAAAGCCCGAACTCGCATCCTACTGAGGATTGATTAATAGTCTGAGAGGAGAAGAATCAATATTTGAGCATTTGAAAGTGAAGTTGCGTATTATGCCTGGTAGCTGTGCGTTAATGTACAAGAATCCGTCACCATCCCGACGCTTTTTGCAGGAGTAGAGGACTTTTAAAAGCCAAATGGCCCCGAGAAAAGACACACGGCAATGCTAGGAACTGGCCGTAGAACGAGCCCGCCATCCATAAAATACAGTTCCAAAGACATAGACAGTGGAAGGGTGGTATGAAGTGCAAGCTAAAGCAGAAACAGAAAAAGAAAAGAAGCCAAGAACCTCTATGCCATGTCGTTTAATGATGATGACCCAAACCAAACACCTGAGAAGAGAGACTCAACGTGAGATGTGTTATAAAGACAAGAGATCGGAGATCGAGAAAAGGAGGTGGATCGTAGTCCACCGAAGTGGTGAGTTGGATTGCGCGGGTGTAGCGGTCGGGGGTGGAGATAATTTAAGCAAGAGCCTTTTGCTCAGATGGGGGAGGAGGAGGAAGCTCGAGTTTTGTGTTATCGGCCATCATGCGCTGGAATCCGATACCGACACCTTCGATGACGGCCAGGAAGACGGCACACATAATGGCGGAGTTGCGGGCAGCCTTGACACCGCCACGGACAGCAAGGGAACCACCGGTGAAGAAACCGGCGATGATGGCGTTGTAAGGGTCTTCCTTCTTGCGGATGCCCTTGATGGCACAGTCGAAGGTTGAGAAGAGACCACCCCAGACACCGAAGTTACCACCGAGAACGGGGGCGCGTGCCTTGATGGCTGTGAGAGCACCTATCCGGCGCTCACCGTAGGGGCTGTTGCGGAAACCTTTCACACCGTGCCAGACAGCACCACCGATAGCCTGTACAGAAAGAGATGATTAGTTGGTCTGTCATGACGCGGATGATCGGAGAATTGATAATATGGTCAGACATACACCCATGCAGAATGCACCACCGAAGTCGCTCAGCGCGACCCATGGGCAGGGATCTCTCGAGTGATCCATTGTATAGAAGGGAGGATGATGATGGGATGGGGTCGGGTTGGGATGTTTGTTTGGTCGCGAGGTATCGACCAAAAGAGATCCAGCTGATCACTCAAAGTGTACAAGCTGTTCGAGAGTGGATCTGGAGGGTGGATATTGATGGCAAGGAGAAATGCCAGACGAAGGGGGCGTCACTTAATAAACGATAAGAAGTCGGGGAAGAGTTGAACTTTTCGTTCGGCGGAAACGTGACCCCAGGTCACGTGCGTCCCGTTCGCCACCGAATCTCTCGGGAGCTTCAGGAATTCTGGGATTTTGTTCCTTTGACAAGACTTCCGAGCCTATGATTTGAGGCTCGGGAAAGAAATGCCGCTACAGGGATAAGAAACTTTTCACTCTGCATTAGGTTATTTTTATCTTGCTCTCAGATTGCTCTTGGGGTATATTTCGTTGCGAGGACTAATTACAACAGCTAACATACAGATAAGCTTACGATGGCAGATTCCAGATAAAGTCCAACGCTCCACCTTCATACATTGGAAACTGTCCCCCATTGCTCATACCGAAAGGTGCCATGGAAGGATCAAATGGCAGCGACAGCCAATCATCGGCACCGACATCGTTCAACGACGGCATGAAGCCCAGATCGGACGTAAGGTCCTGCGATACAGGGGTATTCATAGTATTGGACCGATCGCCCGCCTCGGGCCAAGGAGGAGGGCCCATGGATGATCGTCGCGTGTTCCCTCGACTGTTCTTCCTCGCTTTCGACGACGCCAGCAGATTACGCCGTAACCGCGCGACGTGCATGTCCAGAAGGGTGGCATAACGAGTGCTTAAATGCACGTCATCTAATGCATTCGATTTGAGTGCTTTGATACTTTTCTCCAGGATCTGAAGTGATTCTTGGAGCTTTGCATGTCGAGTACCCAGACTGAGCGCTTTCATCAAGAAGATCGAGGCGCTGGTGATACGGAGGACAATGCGCACCGGCGAGAATCGCAGAGCACCTGCATCAGCTAGGTGGGTGACTTTCTGCAAGATTTGGCAACATCCGTCGATCACCTCTTGGATATATTCATAGTCGGTTGGGTCAATCGCCATAGGTCGCACTTCGTCGAAATTGTTGGGATCGTTTTCTGCCACAGCTCGCTCTACCACAGCTTGCATTCCAACAGAATGGGTATACACCCGGACAAAGTGGTATTCGATGAAGAGATCATTGTAGAATGCCTTGTCAAGGACTTCTACCTGCAGATACCTGTCTTTCCATTGGTTGAGGAGAGGTCGGAAATGCTCTAGCAAGCCGACATAGCGGCCGCTATGCAATTGCTGGCGTGCGAACGCTGCGGACGGGAAGAACATATCAGTGACAGACTTAGCTAGCTTGGTCAATTCAATCCATGAGTCCATAAATGTCAACCAAGTGCTTCCAGGCTGGCTTAGCCCCTGTGGTTTTCGCCCACCAAGGATAGCATGGTTCAATGACTGAGGGATTGGCGACATGCATCCAATCCGCCAGGCTAATTGATTGATGTAGACGTACAACAGACGCTGTACACGTTGCCAACGAAGCGTCATTTGATCTCGCCATTCTGGCTCTTCTGCTGGCGAGCTACTCTCCTCAGTCTCGAAGATGCCTAGTTCATGTGCAAGAGAAAGTGCAGAACCCAGTAACATCCAAGACATTTGATCAGATCGGCGTGCTGGTTCAATCATGTCTTCGAGCCAACGGTTGGCAGGCTGATCGTTTTGTTCATGGGTAACAGGAGCTGGTGGTATCAGATCATCGTCCCAGCCATCTGTGTCTGGTGGGAAATGGAGCGAGCGAGGATGCCATTCTGACATTAATAGTAAGGCCTCCACGGTACCAAGGCTTCGAATTTTGGACTTAGTGGCCTTCTCCTGTCCGAATATGAGCCTCATCGTCAACTGCTGGCAATGTAGCCAGAGTCTGTGGTGGATAAAGAAATTTCTTGATTCACCTCCGGCTCCAGGGAGAACATGGTAGCGAGAGGATATCATGAGAATAGTACAGCATAAGACAGGCTCTCGGGTGATCAGCCAGTAATGATATCGGTGGTTGGCATAGAAGTCCGTTAAGATTGGAGATAGGCATGACATGTTCTTGAAGAATCTGATAGCAGTCAGTCTCACAGAGCCATAGAGTATATAAGGCTGTGTTTGTTACGGGATACTCACAAATCAATGAATGTCACAGCTTCTCTGGCAGTAAACCAGCCCATCTTAACAAACCGACAAGCCTCCCAGACATTGAGAGTGTCTCGCGAGGCATCAGATAGCTGTACAGGGTAAATTACCCGAGTCACTAGATCAAACGCAGCATCATAATTCCTAGGCGTTCGGTCATGATTATTGGGACCTGCCGACGGAGGCCCAGCCAGTGATTCTGAACTTGTATCAGCAGGGTGCTCTTCTTGAGCAGTAGCCGCCTCGAACAAAATATTCAATGCATCATTCCCGCTCGCAACGACAGTCCGCATCATAGAGTTTGCCAGCGAGGAATTAGACCGGTGCTTGCTGTTTTCATATGTACTCGAGGGCGATTGATCAGTTTGATCAGGGCGTGGCCGTTCCATAGCCCCGCCATGGTCATACGAGCCATACTGAGACCGCGATTGACCACGATGAACAGACCACCCAGGTTGAAAGCCAGGCGACTGCTGAAAGTGATTCGTCTGCGGTTTCGCATCAGCCCTGTCGACAGTATGTGGATACTGGTCTGCTCGGCCATGAACAAGTGTAGCATCAGGCGAAGCCTCTGTGAAATGACCAACCTGCCGGGGCGAAACATCCGTCTCATAGTCCGCAGAAGATCGAGCTAGAACGTGTAATTGACCAGTCAGATATCGCCCAATTCACACAATGTCAGCATGAAAATCAGTCTAGCGCACCTCGTTTGCGGGACCTCTCCCACGCACGTTTCTCGGGAAAGACACACTCCCTCAGCTCCCTGCGGCATCGCACACATGGTGGGCCGATCGGGAATCCATCAGATCGGCCTTCGGTCCCTGATCCTAGATCGCATTTGGCCTTACGTTGCCGGCAAGGGATGCATGCCTTGTAGGTGCGCTGGTACGGCCGGCTCGACCGGGATGGCCTGATCCCATCCATCTTCAACCGTTTCTGAGCGGATGAAACAGTAATCTCTTCCGTAGTGGATGCTGTGGATATTTGGTGATGGATAATTGCAGGGTATGGAGGTTAGCTGTGAGCCCCGAAATAGCCGGCGATACCCGCCCGCTAACATATTGTTGTGTGGCAGGATCGGATCTTGAGCTAATAGGAATTTTGCAATTGAGATTATCTGAGTAATGATGTGTTTCAACATATAGCCTGAATAGACCACAGAGCACCAAGAAATTAGGGAAATATTCGATAGTTATCCGAAATTGGTGCCTGACTTATATGGCACATAATCCTAAGTTTGTCAGCTCCAAGACAAGCTATGCCATATATCTCCTACTAGCTCGGCAAGAATTTCTACTGGTAACCCCTTCCCTAAATTGCCATGCACATCACGAATTTACCCTACGGAAATTCAAAGAAACGAACAAAGCGGAAACGCACAGCGCTTTAACTCGGCAGTCAGATCACGGAACTGATTCCGCGACCCCGGACTATATACTCCAACCTCAAATGCAACGGGATACGAGGCCCGCGCATTCTATAACTTAATATAATAATGTAACACGAGTATTCTGCTTAAAGTTCTAAATCCACAAACTCATATTTGTCTATTCCTTACAACAGTACACCCGAGTCCAAACATCCATCAACATCAACCAATCCACTACCACAAATAAATAAACCCCACAAAATGCCAGACAAAGTCACTCTACACACCTACTTCCGCAGCTCCTGCTCCGCCCGCATCCGAATAGCCCTGCACCTAAAAGGAATCCCCTACGACGCAGTCTACGTGAACCTCCTGAAGAACGAACAATCAACGCCAGCCCACGTGGCAATCAACCCCTCCGGCACAGTCCCAGCCCTAGTAATCGAACAAGACACCAAGAAAACAACAACAATAACCCAATCCCTAGCTGCCCTGGAATACCTAGATGAGGCCTTCCCAGAAAAAGGACCCGCACTTCTCCCCTCAGACCCGGAAACCCGCGCTACAGTACGCACCTTGGCGAATATTATTGCGTGCGACGTTCAGCCTGTGACGAATTTGCGGATTCTTAAGCGCGTTGCACCGCTTGGGGCTGATCGTGCTGGGTGGTCGCGGGATTTGATTGTTGATGGGTTGAGGGCTTATGAGGCTGTTGTTGCGGGTTCGGCTGGGAGATTTAGTGTTGGGGATCAGATTACCATCGCTGATTTGTGTTTGATTCCTGCTGCTTGGGGAGCTGAAAGAGTTGGAGTTGACTTGGGGGAGTTCCCCGTTACGAGTCGCATTGTGGGGAATTTGGAGGAGGTTCAGGCTGTTAAACTGGGACATTGGAGGGCGCAGGAAGACACGCCTGAGGAGTTCCGAGTGAAGGAATAGACAGTTGGATTATGGGATTTATTTCACACTCAGTATTTATTTACTGACCTAAGGCAATGGCTTTGTTAATGTTCTATTTTGTTTCATTGATAGCAGATTGAGTGTTGTTATTGCAAGCTGTCTAGACTATGGAATGAGATCAAAGAAACATAACAAATTCATTTTGAGTTTCGTTCAGTTAATTCAGTGAGATAGCAGGCAGGATAGTGCCAACGCAGTCACCAAAGCCGACGTAGTTGCCTTCTGTACCGGCCATACCGCGCAGAGTAACAGTGTCTCCGTCCTCGAGGAACATACGTTCAGAGCCATCAGCCAGGACAATTGGCTTCTTGCCATTGGTCTGTTCCAAGAAACTGCCCTCAGTCTTCGACTCAGTACCAGAGATAGTACCGGATCCAAGCAAGTCACCAGTACGCAAATTGCAACCGGTGATAGTGTGGTGAGCAACCATCTGAGGGAAAGAGTAGAGCAGGTTGCGAGCATTGCTCTTGGAAATGATGGTGGGCTTGCCACCGGGGTTGGTGACCTCGACATCGAGAGGAATCTCGTAGGCATTCTCGGCGCGCTTCTCGCGCAGGTAGGGGAGGAGAGACTCGCGGTTGCCAGGCTCCAGACCGGCGGCACGGAAGGGCTCAAGAGCATCAATTAGGACAACCCAAGGGGTGATGGTTGTGCCGAAGTTCTTCGCGTTGAAAGGACCGAGGGGAATGTACTCCCAAGCCTGGATATCACGGGCGGACCAATCGTTCATGAGAACAACACCGAAGATGTGGTCCTCGGCCTCGTCAATGGGAACGGGCTTTCCGAGGTCATTGGGCTTGCTGATAAAGCAGGCAAGCTCGAGTTCAATATCGAGACGCTTGCAAGGAGAGAAAGTAGGCACCTTGGGGTCGGCGGTAGGGTTGGCCAGGATTTGACCCTGGGGACGGTGGAGAGGGGTGCCAGAGGCCACAACTGATGACGCACGGCCGTGATAGGCTACCGGCAGATGCTTATAGTTGGGCTGGAGGGCATTGTCTGGGCCACGGAAGAGGACTCCAATGTTGTAGGCGTGGTTCAGACCGGCGTAGAAATCGGTGTAGTCACCAATCTGCATGGGAACGTGGTTGGTGACCTCAGACAGAGGAAGAAGAGCTGACTTCTGGAGAGAAGCATTGTCCTTCAGGATCTGCGGGAATTGTGTGTCGGCACGGAAGACGTTCTGCAGGTACTCGCGGACCTGCTTGTGCACAGGGCGACCGAGAGCAGCGAAGTCGTTCAGTGTTGGCTGGTTGAAGACAGCCAAGTGTTGCTGAATTGCAGGAAGCTGAGAGAAACCTCCTGAAGAGGCGAATGTGCTCAAGTTCAGCGCATGGTCACCGATGGCAATTGCGGCTACTTTTGCAGCGGACTGTGCTGAGATGATGCCGAACGGAATGTTGGCCAGCGAAAAGGGAGAGTTCTTGGGAATTTGGAACCACGAAGCCATGATGAATATGTGAAAGGATTATTGAAGAAAGAGAAAAAAAGATCCAAGCTTCATCTTAACTATGCGGATGTTTGGCCCCTCGATGCGCCGTTCCGAGCATGCGGAATTCACCCGCACCCCCGCATCCAAGCGCGGAAGAGAAAGGATAATCGCGGCCGAAGATTCCCGCTCTGACGTTGAGCTCAACAGCTCCTCGGTTGTTATTTTATACAAAGATAGCTCTTTCAGCTTGCACATATTCGAAGTCAATCATCATGCCTGTCACTAACTTCGCCCACCCCGATCCATACAAGTACCAGACGGGCTTCGGCTCGTACCACGAGTACGTGCATACCCCACGTATAACAATGGCGCGAACTAATCCGAAGACGTAGATCTGAAGCCGTCGAGGGAGCTCTTCCAATCGGCCAAAACTCTCCACAAAAGGTTCCCCATGGTCTCTACGCAGAGAAGCTCTCAGGAACCGCATTCACCGCACCTCGTCATGAAAACAAGCAGACATGGGTGTATCGCATCCTGCCCGCAGCGGCACATGAGAACTTCTTCGCTGAAGATGCCGGCTCGTATCACACTCGGATGACCACCGAGACCCATAAGCTTCACCATATTCCTAACCAATTGCGGTGGAATCCCTTCGACCTCGATGAGAAAGTCGATTGGGTACATGGGTTGCACCTCGTCGCTGGGTCTGGCGACCCAACAATGAAGCAAGGACTGGGAATCCTGCTATACGCTGCTGGCAAAGACATGGGCAAGGAAGCTTTCTATTCCGCAGACGGAGACTTCTTGATCGTGCCCCAGCACGGAGTTCTGGATATCCAGACCGAGCTCGGCCGTATTATCCTCCGCCCGAATGAGATCTGTGTTATTCCCCGCGGTGTCAGATACCGCGTCACCCTCCCCGACGGCCCAGTCCGAGGCTACATCTGTGAATTGTATCAAGGCCACTACGAGCTTCCTGAGTTGGGCCCCATCGGCTCCAACTGCCTGGCCAATGCGCGTGATTTCCAAGCCCCTGTTGCCGACTTCGACGACGAGGAAGAAAGCGAGTACAAGCTCTACAGTAAATTTAACAACACTCTCTTCTCTGCGCGCCAGAATCACACCCCCTTCGATGTCGTAGCCTGGCATGGAAACTACTACCCCTACAAGTACGATCTGGGACGATTCAATACCATCGGTTCCATTTCATTCGACCATCCCGACCCATCTATTTTCACTGTCTTGACAGGTCCTTCGGACCATGTTGGTACAGCAGTTGCCGATTTTGTTATCTTCCCGCCTCGCTGGCTGGTCGCCGAGAATACTTTCCGTCCGCCATGGTACCACCGCAACACCATGTCAGAGTTCATGGGATTGATTGCTGGTAACTATGATGCGAAGGTTGGCGGTGGTTTCCAGCCTGCTGGTGCTAGTTTGCATAATGTTATGAGTGCACATGGTCCTGATTATGGTGCTTTCGAGGGTGCTAGTAATGCCGAGTTGAAGCCGCAGAAGGTTGGTGATGGAAGTATGGCTTTCATGTTTGAGAGGTGAGTTTAGAAACAAGTTATGTTATTTAGGGTCACTGACAATTATTTAGTTCTTTGATGGTTGGTGTCTCGGAATGGGGTCTAAAGACCTGCCAGAAGGTGCAGGAGGAGTACAATGAGCACAGCTGGAAGCCGTTGAAGCGACACTTTGTCAACCCTAACAAAAAGGCTTAGGCTAAACTTAAGCCACTGTCACGAGAAATATGTGAATACTTTGCAGATAGCTACATTATGGAAAGATACCTGAAATTAAAAACAAATTTCCAATATAACGTGCATTTTATGGTTTCATCTATTCAACGGTCGAATGATGCTTAAACTACTATTTCACAAATTTACCCTTCAATCTCTTTCCTCATCGCCTCTTTAACAATAGCCCCACACATCTTTGCGTACGGATTCGTCTGTACAGAAAGCTGTTGCGCCACCTTATTTCCATAGCGACCACCAAAGAAGAAATCCCGACTAGCCATTTCTTCGAGTTCATCAGCCCCAAGTCCCCTCAACCGCTCCGGACCGGGTAGATCTGACCCATGTTCATCAGACTGCACCTTCTTTCCCCGTGCAGCTTTGAGAAGTAAATAACCACGATGCGTATGTGCATCAGCCAAGAGACGTCCTTGGACAGAGGATACAGGATCAGCGGGCGAAGCAGGCGTAGCGAGGGTAATTGCTTGGCCTAGATCGGAGAAAATGCGAGATGATAATTCCGAAGTCTGAGGTGAAAAGAGGACTGCATCGTCTAGTTCAGAGATTGAGCCTTGGACATTATGGTTCTTGCTTTCGGGGGTATTTTGGATGATATCGATCAAAAGGCGAAATGTTTGTGCTCGATTTGTGTATGCGGAAGGATAAGTTGGGTACTGGCTGATAAGTGTGTCGAAATCATTTAGTGCGGACTTGACTGTTTCTTCGCTTGGTTGTTCAGCGGTTTGCAGCCTGCGGATGATTTCTGTTTCGCGCTGGCTAAGCAATGATAGATCTTCTTGCGAGATTCCCAAAGCGGTTGGCCATGAGGGAAGAGATGAATCGACTGTAATCCCTGATGATGGAGAAGATTCGGCATCGAAAAGTGCTTGGAGGACGGCCGAATCATTGGATGTTAATGATGGGCGGGCGGGTGCGATGCTCGTCATGTTGGACTTGATAGAATGAAGTCTCGGAATGCAGAGATAAAAGTAGGAAATTCTTCTCAGATAATTGAAAGAGAAAACAAGATCAGTTCCGGCAAGCTTTCGAGGTGAAGTGAAGCGCGGATATTGATGTCAGGCCCGGCTAATTCCGGCTACTTCAGGAACCTGCAATAACCGCCGCCCAAAGCCTACGCCATAGCTTCACGAAAGGGTTAGATATCCGAGCGTAACTTGCGGCTAATAGAGGTTGTCGAAATATGATTTAAAAGCAAGGGTGGCGTCGAATCATTCATATCATCTCAACCTCTACTTCAACTACTTACTTCTCTGCTTCCATCTTCACAAAGAACCATCCACACCTATCAAAGACCAAAATGGCACCATCAGCAATCTCAGACAGTCCTCCCCCTTCATCAAATGGCACATCCTCACTGGCAACCTACCGTGGCTACGACCATGTCCACTGGTACGTAGGAAACGCCAAGCAAGCAGCAACCTACTACATTACCCGAATGGGATTCAAGCGGATTGCCTACAAAGGCCTCGAAACCGGCAGTCGAACGGTCTGCTCGCACGTAGTCGGCAACGGCAACGTGACCTTCATCTTGACTTCGCCGCTCCGTTCCTTGGAGCAGGCAGACCGTTTCAATACCGAAGAACAGGCCGAGCTGCGGGAGATCCACAGTCACTTTGAGAAACACGGGGATGCAGTCAAGGACGTTGCTTTCGAAGTCGATGATGTTGATGCTGTTTTCAATGCTGCCGTGAAGAATGGCGCCAAAGTCGTTTCCAACCCGAAGGTTCTGGAGGATAAAAATGGCCATGTCAAGGTCGCTACTATCCAGACTTATGGACAGACTACGCATACGCTCATCGAGCGAAACCAATATCATGGGACCTTCTTGCCTGGATATCGTGATGACACTGCAGTCGTTGATCCCCTGGCTAAGTTTTTACCTGGTGTTCATCTCTCGAAGATTGACCACTGTGTTGGCAACCAGGATTGGGATGAGATGGATCAAATTTGCGAGTAGTAAGTTTTACACCACTATCTGATCCAACACCCACTAACCTTTCTTCTAGCTACGAAAAGGCTCTCGGCTTCCACCGTTTCTGGAGTGTGGACGATAGCCAAATCTGCACGTAAGTGCCTCCTCCCTATCAATCATCACCGACAAACCAAACTAACACTACCCGCACAGTGAATTCTCCGCATTGAAGTCCATCGTCATGGCCTCGCCCAACGAAATCGTAAAAATGCCCATCAACGAACCAGCAAAGGGCAAAAAACAATCTCAAATCGAAGAATACGTCGACTTCTACAACGGCGCTGGGGTGCAGCACATCGCACTCCAAACAGACGATATCATCCGTGATATTAAAAACCTCAAGGAACGCGGTGTTGAATTCATTAAAGTTCCTGAGACTTATTACACAGACATGCAAGCCCGTCTGAAGAAGTCTGGGTTGGTGCTGAAGGAGGATTTCGAGACGATCAAGAGTCTTGATATTTTAATTGATTTCGATGAGGGGGGTTATTTGCTTCAGCTTTTTACTAAGGTATGTTTATCGCACTGGTTCCTGAAATTTGGAGTTGGATTGGTTGCTGACTTGTCTTTTAGCACTTGATGGATCGCCCTACTGTCTTTATTGAGATTATTCAGAGACATAACTTTGAGGGCTTCGGTGCTGGAAACTTCAAGTCGCTGTTTGAGGCTATCGAGAGAGAGCAGGAGCTTCGCGGTAACCTCGTTTAAGGGCGGGGTGAAATGAGAAGAAAGGCAAAGAAAAGAAAAATTGCTGGCGATGGCTTGTTGGATACCTTTCTTGTTTTCTGAACGGGCTATTGCAGTTGAGCCACCTGCATTTGTACATTTAGCGATTCTTGTTCACAGATTATTTGACTTTATTGATACAACAGCTCATATGCTTTCCCAGCGTATAGTGGGAGGCACGTATCGAATGCTTGCTCACACCCCTTCTTGTGGGTCATCTGAGTCTATTCTCAATGTGGGAAGTTCTTTTGTAGACCTTTATATGAGTAAAATGGACCACATTTGCCCTGACTAATATTTACTCTACACTATGCCTTTACTATTTTTTTTCTCTTTATTTTCATTTGCAGAGTGATGCAATGCAAGACTCCTCTACTTCCTCTTCGACGCACTCGAAGTAGGAGCATTCCCACCCCGTCTTTTGAACTTCCTAGGATCTGCCACCAGTCATTAGCAACCAAGCTTCTCAGCGAGAAACAGGAAACATAAACATACCTTTTCGACTCATCAAAGCACGATTCCTCGTTCCCTTTCCACCCTCCCAGAATCCACTACCAGCCTTTCCAATGAGAATCGCTTTACAGATTCCACAATTTTCGGGTCTGTAAACTTGTTCGCGAGAACAGTAGCCGCAGATCATGCGGTTTGCATGTTCATTTGGATGGTCCGTTTCCGCATCGTGGCATCTGGTTTCATTGGTTTAGTATGTATGTTGTCGAGGACGGGTGAAGCAGTGGAGTAGAACGAACTTATCACATGGGAAAACCTTTGCACAGCAACTAAATCTGAACCAACGTTGACTTTTGGCATAGTGCTGGCAACGACCACGCCTGGGGAGTTCTTGGCCTGCGACGATACCGAGGACTTCCTTGGGCTGTTGATTTGGTTAGATGGACAATCGAGATAGAATAGGATGGGTTGACAAACCTTTCTTTTGAGGGGGAGACCACCGCGGGCCGAGACTAGATAAAATCGCAGTGAGTAAAGCAGGAATTGGCAAATTCGGTAGTTATAACTTACTGGCTGCGCTGCCTACAAGGAGGAACTTCACTTCGGGAATTTTGAAGACCATCTTGCGATGACATTCACGGCAACTAGCCATAGCACTTTCTCCGCGAACGGCGGATACACCAGGTGCTGGATGTGGGGTTGAGCATTCAGCACATGTTGGGATGAAGTTGCTGAACTGGATTAGTCACACGAATGATATTGGCAAGTTGCAACAAGAGAACATACCTCAGTAGCATGTCGCCAACGATGCATCCATCCATATCCAAATAACCAGCGCGGTTGGCATGAGTGTGCATCAGCTGTCTCCGGAATGCTGTATCAAAAGGGTTAACAAAAGCGCATAGAGAAACATTACCAAACGTACCAATGCTCATGTTATTAGCACACTTCTTGCAAGATTCCATTTTCGGCATGGCACCCTTCTCATCGCTAACTTGAGGCACGTTCTTGATATCAACGGAGGTCTTGCATCGATCACACTTGACAGTGATATTCAATGCAGTAAGCTCCAACAACTCGATACCATAAAGCTCCAAGAATGGGAATGAAAGTGCGACGCCTCGTCCAGGGGTGCCAGTGTCCACCGATGGGGGAACAGGCGCGCCTCCTTCCTCGCTTTCTTCTTCTTCCGAGTATTCATCTTCGTCGTAGCTGGATTCTTCTGTTGTTCCCTCAGCGCCACCATGGGGATCAGGAACCGACCACTCTGGTGGCCGAGGGATAACATGGAGATGGGGTCGATCTTCTGAGCCTTGAGTTAGAGGCTCGGTGGACTCTTCTACTTCGTCCTCTACTTCTTCTTCTTCTTCTTCTTCTTCTTCTTCAACTGTGGAAGACATTTCTTCACTAGGCTTTTCCTCTTCTGGCAGAGGCGTTTCAGCGAATTTATGCATGTTGCTTGCCAGGTAGTTGATCTGAGACACCAGATTCAGCTGCGAGGTCTGTTCAATCCACTGCGAGAATCCTGCCTCTGTGGCTTTCGCCTCTGGTCCATCAACTCCCTGCAGTTTAATCGAACTTTGATCGAGCGGGTAGAGGGTTGGAACAATCAGTCTCACAGTCTTGAGTGCCTGAAGTGCTCTAGGAAGGCGATCCTTCTTGGCTGGTTGGACTGGAATAATGAATGTTCTCCCATCTTGCATCTTTTGGAACATAGGAATTCTTCCAAGACGCGCCTCGAGTTGTTTTGTCTCGAGTGCGCGTCTCTTCTCAGCTGTAGCTTTCGCCTCGGCTGAGTGTTTGGGAGCTACACTTCGTGCTTGTGTTGCCACAGTTGGCTTTTTAGCACGAGGGTTTGGTGCTGTCGCATTGACATTAGAAGAGCTCTGACTCGGGGCTTTTTCTGGAGCCTTTGAGGGCTCCTTGGTAGCAGTGGAATCACCGACATTGGAGACGAATTTCAGTGTGGGCCCACGCTCCAAGGTAGTAAGTAGCTTCTCAAGCTGCTTGTCCAAGCTGTTCAGCCAGGTTAGCAGTGTTCCCCGATTATTGGTTCGGATTGTGAAATCGACAATATCGTCGAATCCCCTAGCAACATTGGCTTGATACGCAGCTTCCATTTCAGAATTGGTCACTGTAAGCGTAGGCCGCCCATTGGGGTATGATTCCGGTACACGAAGGACACATTGAAGTCTCTCCAGCTCAAATGGGAAGTCAGGATCAGAGGGAACCAATCCAAAGGTCAAGATAGAGCCTTGGTCGTCATTGATCTCCTGTGGGCGATAACGCCGCCTCAATTGGTTGATCTGGAATTCTCTGGGGTCTGATTGCTCTAGTTTAGAAACCGGTCTTTGGGGCTGGGCTGGCGGCGAACCGGCAGAGCTCTTCGACTGATTACCGCAGATGTCCAGCTTCTGGGCCTCGGCGACGATTTCCTGCACAGGAGTTTGGGTATCACCACGCAAAGGCTGAGTGGGTGTCTGCTGTTCCGACGGAGACCGATTAGACTCTAGAGCCAAGGCATCATGGAGGTATGGACATGATGATCCAAGCCGGCATCCTGGACACACGTTAGCATCTGACCTGACGACACACAGCTTCACGTCAGGATGACCAAAACACAAAACATGAACACAGGCACAAAGTAATAGGGCACAAGCAAGTCACGCAATACTAGCTATGGCCTCGGCATTCCCATTTGGGAGCATTGACAGATACTGTAAACAGGCGTTCGCAAAAGGCCTGTGTGCGGCACCCGAAATACCAAGCCCTATATTCTATGACGCGTCGAGTGTTGCAAAGACCAAACAGGGAAGCAGCCCAAAATCAAAACGCGGAATGTGTACATACCCTTTTTAGATTTGAAAAAACGACATTTAGCACGTTTCGACTGGCGAATACTCAATTCAGATGCAACGCCATGCGACCGGGCCGCTGACAACTCAGCAGTCGAAGACTTTGTATCTATTCAACAGATGGATATGAGCGTGTGATCAAAAAGGTTGCGGGTCGCCAGGTCCGATCCTCGGTATTGCATTGGCAAGAGACGCCCCACGGCCAAGTGCACTGCGAGATAGGCATGACAGGCCGTGTGGCGGATGCAACATGTGCATGGGCATGCAACAAGGGGGCTGGAAATACGAAAGAAAGGCTGTGTGGAGGGCCGAGACAACCGCCCAAGTAGATCTCATGGAATTGATTGGGATCAAGAGCCCCCGGGCTTCACAAAACCAATAATAGAAAACACTCACCTAGGACCTGGGGTGCTGGACCCTCGTCAAATGACACATTCTCCATAATGAGCCTCGTTGAGCTGTGAGATGATCCAGAAGGCGAGGTGACGTGCGTGCCAGCGCAGAGATCGGGTGACCTTGAAGAGATCGACAGGACCAGATCTGCACAGTAAGTAAGCCGAGATGTGCGACTTGAACGATGCTGGCACTAAGTAGGAATCAAGGAACGAAGGGAGTGAGGGCCACGTGATGACAAAGGAATATGGTGGAGCTATAGATGAAGTTATACTCAGATGTAGTGTTGACAGTTTTCATGCCAAGACATTTTGGCGGGGACAATGATCTCATTCGATGATTCGAGTTGACTCACCTTTCTACTACTCCCCAGAACTATTCACGTTGACACACCGTGAGTCACAGTGGCAAGATAGATTCAGATCTACAATGAACTACAGATCCTCTACATAATTGGTAATGGATGCAGGTAGAACCATCTAGCCAACATCTGCAAAGTGCAAACCTTGGAAAAGGTATCATGCTTAATTAAGATTTGTCCATGTCTGTTCCTCACCTTTAACGTCCCTACTTCCTACATTACTAGTCACATCAAAGTCCAAGTCCAAGGATCAAGCCAGTAGTCCGTATTCTGGAATCTCATCTGCCCCAACCCACAACAGGAAAGCAAATATACACACCCTCGCCCGAGTTCAGGGATTGATTGGCAATAACGACCCTGCACATCACCATTGTATGCAGAGAACCCAAGCAGGAGGAAACAGGATTCCGATCTAATGTATGGCAAGCAGCCCGTCTTTTTCCACGCCACCTCAGTCAAGGGGTAAAAAAAAAAGCCGGGGGATATCGACAGCACAGTAACTCGTACATAGTACGAATGAGAGACTCATATAAACATATCAACTTGAGTAATACGACCCGACGAAGTCACGGGAAGAGAAGAGGGGTTCGATTTCTAGAACTCCAGCTGGGGTACGCGTTTAGCCGGATGCAACATAGATCCACCAGGTACATGTACAGTATTCTGTCCAAGTTACTCTACATTGATCTGCTATAGTCAATTAGAATAACTAAATTAATATGAAGTCATATACAGAATCTTCACGAATGCATATACCGACACCTGGAGCCTCACTTATAGTTCCCGTAGTTTCTCCGTCTTTACCCCGACATCTGAGGGTGTAAAGTATAAGGCGATACGGAAAGGGCGGAAAGTGGTCCCCGTCGGAGTACGGCGTACTCTCTGTACACATGTACGGAGACATGTACGGAGTACACATAACCCAGCATGAAACGACTGACCACTCTATTCAACGCCCCAACTAGGCCCCGGGTCTGATTGCAGGAAATGTTCTCGCAAGGTCACTTGCTCCTGTGTTCCGTGCATTAAACCGCGCCTTTGGCTTCCGCTAGCTTGAATACCGGTCTCCCAACCCAGATTATCGGGCAAGGCTTATTGTCACAGGGTTATACATGCTCGAAGGTGATTTTAGAGTGTTTGAGGCTGTCGAGTTGTCCTACATCTTGTAAACAAACTAAATTGGCGTCCTGATATTAAACGATATTACAGTGTGCATACAATGTATACATGTATTCCGGTCTCCGCACTCGGAACATTTAAGCCTCGGCGGAGTTGCGTGTATTGGGGTAATGTACGGTATTAGTATTTGAGGATACACCGAAAGCGGAAAGGTGCGAATCGGGCCTTGAATTCGCCGTCCAACCGGATCGACCTTCCAGAAGCCTTCCAGAACTTGACCATGGGCTCGTAAACTTCGCTTGTTTTTTTCGGGAATATATCGGCAGTTCTATTTTGAAAATTTACTATTAGCATATTAATGCATGGATTTGCATGTCAAAACCGGTCCATTGACCGAATCGACCGAATTGTCGAAATTCTTGACATCTTGCGGGGTTTCGGAGTACTGAGCTCCCCGGAAGCTTTTCCACGTGATAATGTCCATCTCCACTGGAAGGCCTAGAATAAAGTCTAACCAATCACAAGCTCTGCAATGGCTATGATAATGTTGTTTTTACATTATCACCGCGCTTTCCCATTCGGGTCCTGGAAAACAGGTATACCGTGGATGACCGATCCCCCAACGCTTCGGGATTTCGCCGAGTATAAATATAAATTCTACAGTACTACGGTACTGTCGATGTCGGACATGCAGCCACATAGTGCGTGATAATGTGCAATCGTTCGAAAAAGACAAACATGAGCCAACTGCATATCTCTGGTCATGTGCAGTGTACATAGTAGATCCCCCTGAGTCGAAAAAAAATCCCACCAGTAAGGAAGGTGTGCCCAACCCTAAATTATGACTGTAGCAAGCATGAAAACGGGTCAGCTCTAGATCTGTAAAGGCCCAGGGCTAGTATGGGTCGTGGTTGGCCGATCCCTGGTGTAGTGGAGGGCGATCAAGGGTCAATCGACGAGGATTGTTGCGTGTCAAGCTTCGGAGTGGCCGTCTGAGTCGCCATCAGGTTGAGACATGTGGCCAGAGTGCACAGCATCCAATGTACATGCAGTGAGATCAAATCTCTCAACAAACTCAGTATCCCTTACCGTGCCCAGAAATGATAATCTCGCATGATTGACATGCAAGCTCAGCTGCATCGGCTTGCCGATACCTCTTGTCGGGCGCACATCACCAACCCGGGAACCTTGTTAGGCGTCAATGCTACAGCAAGAAGCGTATAGCGTCTCTAGCAGTCCCACGGCAATACATATGCCTCTAACCATGTTCAGTCGAAAGTGATCCGTGGGGGTTCCGATTTCATAACAGGCGTTCTGAATCAAATCCCAAAGAGGCAATGCGGAGCCTGAGCTGTCACTGTGATACAGTCCCAGTGAAAAACATTTCCGTACGGAGTACCGGTGAGATGAGACCACGGGACAAGAAACATGGGCGAATCAGAGGCGCTTATTGCTTGACCCACTGACTATATCCACTGTCCTTGAAAGCTGAGATCGAGAAGACTCTTCTGGCCGGTATGAAAGCCCTAAGCTAGGCTTCAAAGGTGGATTCTGGAGGTGGCTTGAATGCGCGCACAGTGTATCTATATTGAAGATTTCATGTACGACAAGAGGCTGTGTCTGCATGATGTGGCTTTCTTATCCCGCCCGGAGGGAAGGTTAAGCGAGACGAATTGAAGTATGGGCTGTAGGTTCCCGGACACATGAAATCATCTGGAGTTGCTGTGATCAGTCTGAAGTTGTCCCTTGTTCTCTAGCCACAGTCCACAGTGAAGGGTTTTCGTTGCCCCACGACTCGGGCATGGCCGGAGAGTCGACCAGTTTTCCTAGAATGGAGATGGTGTCGGGCGTTTTAGGAGGAAAAAATCCTCACCCCCACACCCGTTCGGTCGGCGGAGCGGACTACGTCATTGGCTGAAACACCGCGCCGGGGAGAAGATCCTTAAGATTTGGGGCGAATGTTGACCGGTAATATATTCAGTATTCTGAGGTTGTAAAAAAAGATCCATGGATCCAAGATTCGATGGAAGAGAGAATAATATGTAGAAGATGTCGGCAAGTAAGCGACTCCACCCCCGGAATCATGTGCGCTGGTCATGTGCGGGTAAGGTGCCACATGACTCTATACAAGCCCTATCGAGTAACTGTTGAGTTTCATAGTGGCACCCAGTACCTAGGGCAGTTTTCAATAATCTCCGAGCTCAAATACACTATTGTCTTTTACTAGACTTCCTACCGAGGCAAACCACGCCGTTGGTTATGACATCATATTGAAGACAATACAAGTTACCCGACTGATCCTAATCCTGATCCTGATCTACAGGGATGAACCAGAGATCCCAGCCCTAGGTACTTCCTTATTCTAATCCTCAAGCAGGTACCTAACCCCATGGCAACAACGCAGGCAAAGGCCGAATGATGAAATCACGCATCAACCCCGGCCAGAAGTAGACATGATGTAAACAACAACGCAGAATAGTGTCACCATGAGACGGGCAACAGGAACTGAATTCCTTCAATCTACCCTCCAACCAAAAAACCCAAAACCTTCTCCTAACGGTCAACCAAAAGTACAGCAAAGCCTAGAACCCAAATCTCTCCAAGCCAGCCACAAGGCACAAAGACAATCCCTCCCCCTCCTCTCTCACCCACACACATTGCCCCCAGATCCCAGATCGATGAGCTGGCCCTGCAAATCATGAAAAACAAATCAGCCACCACGGCCCATACGCAGGACTGAGCGCTTATCTTGTCGAGTCGAATCGAAGCCACCACCACCACTTCCGTTTCTCCGCGGGAGCTTCTACCTGCAGCTAATGGGGACCAGATGTCATGTTCAAGACATGTGGGAGCGATCAGTGCGAACAATTACCTACTGAAGTCCCGGTCTAGATCTCTGCCTTGCCGACCTTATAGTATTGCAGAACCGGGGGGGGAGGTGTGTGATTTATGCTTTATGACTGATAACCAAAACACCCGTATACATCGTACATGCGCACTTTATATTAACTGAGGTCGAATTGAGATGACTAGCGCTTTGACAATCCAGTAGATGCCTTCAGTTTATTATTAGTACTGTACAGTATTAGTCTTCCCGATCCAGGATACCGGTTTGTGTTTCTGGATCTGCGCGAACTATCTCGCCTCCCCCATTCCCCTCTCCCCGCGGGTGGTACTTTTGGCTTCTTTTTTTCAAGCTTGCAGGGATGGGGATCTCGGGCCTTTGGGGGTTCGTCCTTTTCTTGTATTGGCTGGGAGGTTTTTATTTTATTCTTGCATTTCATTTTTTTTTTTTTGGTAACCCCCCTTCCACATCCTTCCCCCTTCACCCCTGTATTCTTGATTGATGGTGTTTTTTTCTTTTTTTCTTTTTTTTTTCCCATGCACCTGACCAGCTTGATTTTTCAGGCTCTTATGGATCTGCAATTATTTTTTTCTGAAACGTTCGGTGCTTGAACTGGTGGCCTTGTTCGGGGTACATTGGACTTGTACTTGTACTTGGACATGTCTGCTGTGCTGTAGATAGCTGAGCTTGGAACTCTATACGTTTTTCGGTGCCCCATCTAAGCAGGTGGTACTACAACTCGATAGTTCATCTTCCTGATAAAGAACGAACGGACGAATGACTAGTTCGTTGTTTTTGTATACATCTACTACTACGTGCAATCGATCATTCTTCATAGTTTCTAGATAGCCCTACATTACAGCCCTGGAATAGATAGACACCAACACTACTAGTACTAATACCCAAACTAAGCAGCTTCATCACATACCTCCCTTGACAGTACGTCAAAACACATACCCCCTACAATTAAGCCATGAATATGCACAATGGCCTACGTATACCAAACAAACCATTCCAAAAGACCCGCATAATCGGCAGCAAGGTCTCAGCCATACTACTCCTCACACCCACCTCAACAGCATAGAAAGAAAGAAAGCTCCTACGTGTCAGCGCCACCAAATCAAGAAAAAACCAAGTCCAGAAACCCTGAGTTTCCACATGATAGCATGACAGGCGCCGTTATCGCAGGGATACCATACCAGGGCCATCCTCTTTACGAACCCTACACTGCAGTGCGCCTGTACATGTACCATGCACGTCCAATGTACAGTACAAGGACAATGCGGGATGGGAAGTACCGCCCCGTGATCTGGTATAGTCGGGACCTCCGACCCCCGAGCCCTGTGCTCTGCAGTGCATGCTCCTAATAGCTATAGCTACTGTATGCGTTATGCTATGGCTGCGAGGACGAGTCCAGACCGCCAATTCGGGTTATGCGTGGCGCCAAGCATCTTTCTTCTGCTGGTATGACCGAGTTACTTCTGCTCTTTTCTACGGAGTGCTGTTTACGTGGGAATACGATGTGCAAGGTGCATGTGAAATGAAGCTCGGGCGAGATGTTCTCTGAATATTCGTTCATTTGTTTTTTTGAGTTTTTGCTTTTGGCAGTCATCAGGTAGCGTACATGGGAGGAAGTGGCCGATCTGATCTGATCTCAATCACGAGTGGATGAGGATGAGAACCGGGGCCGGATGGATTGCAAGACGTAAAAACGTGTGGTATCAGGTATCAGGTATCGCAGAGAAAGTAGAACAAAACAAAGAAAGGGAAACGGGGAGGCTATCTCTGTGATGATAATCAAGAGTAGAAGACAAATGGTAGGCGTTTTCTGCTGCCGAAAAAGGCGGACACGCAGTCACGGCGCTGAGATAGATGATGAAAAAGACCTTTTTTTGGTGAACTTCCTGTTCATGAAATGAAAACGCATCCGGGATATCTTTTGGAAACAGATGATTTGTTTCAACCATTTGCGACCCGAAAAGAGGGATATGAGCTGTACATTGGTATTAAGTTCGTAAAGGAATTAGCCCTCGAGTGAGGTGTTCCATAAGCTCCATACAATGCTGAATGCCATGATAACACCCCAGATCCCCGAACCGTGAGATAGAAAGAAATAAAACAAATTCCGTGTGCGCCATAGATGCAATGCATGATCGTGATCGTACGTGTCAAGAAAAGAATGCTGTGCTGTGCAAAGCAAGTCTGGAAGAGTTTCGAAAGGCGCGTAGGCAAAGTGATCGCAGACGAGTCGACTACCATCCCTTCACGTGGTACTCCCAAGGACCGAAGTCGGTAGTGTAGTTGGTCCAGGAGCCATTCTTAGCAGGGTCGAAGTTGGCCGCATTGGGGTCGGCTTCCGCGCTGGATTGATTCGGACCGACACCCCTGTGAGGGCCATTGGGACCTGGGTATTCCTGAAGGTTCTTCATGTCATGGGCGGTGTGTCGGCGCTTCAAGAAGGCATTGGCGGTAGCGCTCTTCTGCTGGCGCTCCCAGAGAAGATGGCGGCGGAGGGACTCGGTCAATTCGGTTGCAAGCATGTTGCGGCGGGTAGTCCGAGGAGAGTGAGCCATGGACTGGCATCCACCCGGCTTCATGCCAATAGGCTTCGACCGGGGTACATCCGGGCCGCGCATAGTCAAGCTTTCCTCGTCTTTTGGAGGCGGAGACGTAGGAATCGATGGACCGTTGGGTGAGGTCAACCGGGATCGTTGGAGCGCGGGACTGGACCGGAACGCGTTCCCTTGCATCCGGGCCGGCTGGTGCATCATCATAGTGAGCATCGAGCGCCGCGACACAAGGTTGGGTCGGGAATCCACCCGTTGGAAAAGCTCGCCCCGGTCGTCGACGCTGGACTCGCCACCTTCGGTGACTGAATCCTCCCAATCCGAATCTTCATCATCCTCAATCGCGCTCTCTGAAACTTCGTCGTCGGTTTCAATGGCATCTTCGTCGGATCGACTGATGTCCTTGGGGTTGGGGATGATGTGGGAAACCTGGTTGCTGAAAGATGCCGTCTTTTTCGCAGAACTAGGGTTGCTGGTTTTCGGCTTTAATCCTCCGCCGGGCGCAGTTTCCTGAGCCACCTGGGGACCCATACGCTCCTCAAAGGAACTTTCGTCATCGTCTCCAGAAGATCCACCCAATGTAAACATGCCGCCCTTCTTCTTCAGTGGGGAAGACCTTAATTGAGTAGCGGAATGGGAGGGACTCGGGTCGATGGCCAGTCTCGGCTGCGATCGGAAGGAAGAGGAGATGTGTGAAGGGGAGAATCCGCGAACGATGCTAGGAGACTTGATCAATTCAGGTCGGCTGGGAAGAACACCCGATGATGAAACGCTAGTATCAGAGGCGTTAACCTGAGCAGTGTCGCTCTCGTTGCCTTCGGGGGCGGTAGTGGAGCAGGACTCCGTCGACTCGTGGGGATAGTGAATCGGGCGTGTGAAATGAGGAACCTGGCGAGCAGTAGAGACAGAGGGAGGGGTAGGAGTCGGAGTAGAAGGGCGAGGAGTGATATCGACGACGGGCGCAGCAGGCTCGACGGCAGGAGTAATCGGTTCCAAGCACTTCTTTTCCTTGATGTTGAGAACCATGCGTTCGAGATCCAGCGAGGTGATGTGCTTCTCCTTTCCACGGCCTAGGCTAGCCAGCGAGTCCTCGCGAACGACAGCAGGTCGGTAGTCGTTGAACTTGGGGCGCTTGATGTGAGCTTCGATCCGCTCGGCTTGGTCGGACGCGGCCGACTCGACACTGGCGGAGAGCTCCGGCAAATCACCCGCTTCGGAGCGAAGTAATGGTAAGGCGGAGGTACTGTTGTTGGACTTGGGCTCGACGCAGAAGGTCTCGCGGGTCCACAACCGCCAGCTGAGGTTTTCCAGTCGGCGGCCCTGATCCATGTAGTCGGCACATTTTGAGAATACTGTTCACAAGTCAGCATAACCAAATTTTCCCGATTCACATATTGTACGTACCCATCCACATTCCATGAAGACTTTGAGCATTGGCCGTATCCACCTTGTGGATGTTGTCGGCGTCCACCGTGAGGACGGGTGTCGTTAGAGGCATTGATGCGTCGCCACAACTACCGTTGCAATTGAGTTGGTCCGTGTTGATGCTGTTCCGGGGTCGCCGTCTCCCCCGAGAGTGGTCGTACGGCGCTTAAGAGTCGGTGGTGACGGTTAGAATCAACCGGGGGTATTGAGTACGGCTTGAAATTGGAGACTGGGCCCGGAGGAATGTAGAGTCAATCGGTTGTTGTCTGAGTTGCAATCAAGTACTGAGGCAAAACATCCAGCTGATAGCGAGGTAGAAGGTGAAAGAGTCGTAAATCCGAGGCAAGTGCAGAGTCAAATCCTAAATTTCCGTTCGAGCGCCACACAGTGCGGAGAAACTGGGGAGCGGACAGGCGGAGTGTAGATGGTGTGGGTATCTTGTAAGAACGAAAGCAAGACCAGATGTCGAAGATGAACAGTGAGGAGGAAGAGCAAGTGAAGAACGGAGAGAAGAGAGAAGAGAACGATAATAAGGACGGGGGCGGCAGTGGAGTGGAGAGGAGAGGGGGTAATAAATCAAAAAAGAAAAAAAAAAGAAAAAGGAAATGTAAATACGTGACAGTACAAGGGGGAAAAATCAAAAATAAAATAAAAAACCAAAACGGAATCAAAACCAAAAAACCAAAAAACGGTGAGGAAAATTCAATCGCATCACGGGGTTCATTACACGTGTTCTTATGTAATCACATTCATTCACCCGATTACTTACATTGGATATGGAATGTTCATTGGGATATAGGAACTACGGCGAAATATTCTTGTGACAATGAATGTGAATATTCTGAGAAATCTCTTATTGCCTGTGACCACAAACCATAGTTGTCACTGCGGAAGTTCAGACCCAAGGCTCACCACGCCACCTCATGTACAAGGTCGTTTGGTCTTGGTCGTTTGGACACTTGCCACTGGCAATTTACTTATCCTAGATCTAACCTACTGACAGATGAAGTGTCCAAGGGGCGATTGGTGGTCCCATTCAAGCCTTGCAAGACCGGCTGACTCGCCAAACTGATATGAGTCGCCTACTCCTTTCGTCACGGCCACTGAGGACTGGGATACACCGTATTCAAAGGGCTAGAAGGGATCGGTCTAAGACTTCAAGCCACGTTGTGCTCATCGAGCTCCATTGTTATCTACCGGAAGTCCTCCGTATTCCGTACTCCGTCTCGAGGACGGAGGCAAAACTCAACATAATTAATATCCCCCCCGGAGATTATAGATGATAGCGCCTCGTAATATCGGGCGGCTTGTTGGGGCATCTCATACCGGCTGAATCGCTTTCCCGGCACTCCCCCAGTCTCTCCAATCCCCAGTCCCCAGTTCTCCCCGCAAGCAGTTGGTATCCGGCAGAAAGGGATGATTCCAAGGATGCCTGCATACCGGGGAACTCTACTTCCTTAGATCGGGCTCTCAGGCGCATCGCTAAATAATTACTTTCGATCTATTCTAGACATCGGTGAGGTCTCATGTCGACCTTTGCGAATCAGCCTTACCGCCGTCTTTGTTTGTGTTTTCTTTTCTTATCTTCCGAAAGACCACACATCCTAGTTTCTTTTTTTTTTTTTCCATTTTCTATCTTTGACCCAGGACACGACAGCAGTGTCACAAACCGACATAGTCACGAGTTGCAGAAGTACCTAGGTGTCCTTTCTTGATTTCCCCAAGGGGATCCGTCATTATGAAACAACAGAGGCGACTTTGGCAGTCACGGGAGGACGTTTAGAGCAACTGTAGCCCGGACTGGCGGAAAGGAACTGTGTTTCTCTAATTCCAGCTACCCGGGGGCCTGGGATAGGATCGTCCACATCCCTGCCGGGGCACAAGTCACACAGGGCGCACGTTTCATCATGTGATGTTAACAGAAACTGATACTACCAGGATACCCGGATCTTGCATGTTAATATCCCAGCTCCTGTGGGGAAAGCTTTGGGGCTAGGAGTATCTGAGAGTTTAAAATAGGTAAAGTTGGACTGGCCTTTGTGAGGAGAAATAAGATTCTGCAAATCATTGCCGACTAATTCAACAGACTAACTTGTACAGTAGTTGCTCTATGTATTCTGTAGAGCGTCGTATCTCATTCCTTGTATACAATCCAATACAAAGACAACCAATCAAGCATGAGATATCTCCATCGATTCGTTTACAGCAGTTCGTTGGTAGTAGAGATATCCCTGCGGATGTATGACATGACTACACAATCATCTACTGGACGCGAAGCATTCTCTGACCGCTTGTGCAGCCTGACTCTTCAAAGCTGCTGACCCCATACTGGGTGCCTTACTGGGGGGGCCCTACTGGGAGAAGCTTGCACAAACAATCTCCCAGGCTCTGTGGAAGTCGTCTCGAAAGCTGGGAAGCCTCATCTCATCTTGACTCCCTCTATATTGCTGTCTCACTGGCTCTACCATTCGAGGGGGACACCAGTTGGCAATAGGAAACTGCGCATAAGATACCTCATTAACGCAGGCGTGCTGCAGAATGATCGACCTCGTCGAGGGTTCCAATAGTTAGTTCAGTCACGCCCCCATGCCCATTCTGGGGACGGGAAATTTGGGTACCGAGGTTGCCGGGAGAAGGGATTGGCGGGGTAGATCAGTCAGACGGGGGGGGATGGGGATGGGATATTGGCTAATGGCTGGATCTATGGTACAATACTCGCCACGAGATGACCACGGGCCAGGTGCTAGCAGATGACAGTAGACGCAGGTCATCGCGCTTCGAGCTTACTAAATGGATCAACGGGGTGTACAAAGATTGACAAATTGACAACTCATACTGTGGCGAGGTCACGCGGGTCACATGATGTGGGGATTTCCTCGGCTGACGGAGGCGACATTGGTTCATGTGATGAGGTGAACATGGATGTCGGTCCGATTTGGTCAATATCGAGACGCTGCTTCACGCCTCAGATTCTGGCATGGTCACTGTATGGAGTTGTGCATCATTAAAGGCGCCCAGCTTGCCAGTCCAACCCAATGAGATCATCAAGTTCAGGGGTAACCAGCCACTGTTCAAAGCGAACACCACTGTCATGCAGTGAAATCATCCTTTGTCCCAATGTATACTCATGCATGGGCGCACCATAAGCCGCGTCGATCAGTAAGACATGCTTTATCTATTCTAGGTAAATGGCTGATAGGTAAAAGTGAAATGGAATCTACCATTCGAGATCTATGATGCCTAGACTAAGCTTCAACTGACACTTGTCCCTGGAGGCGCCTCGGTGTCAACAAACCAACAGCCAGCATGCTCCTCCATTGTGACAGGGCGCGACGCCGGTGACTGCCCTCCATATTTGTGGCCAAACATGTAACAGATCACCATGTGCGAAAGTGATTTCATGACTCCCACACTCTCCTTAATTACAGTAACTCCGTAACAATCTTTGTTTCCCCTTGATCTAGATCGCAAATTTGCGATGATCTGTCTTTTTTTGGTGCGGGCAAATCACATTCCTTCAAATTCATCCCCGATTTGGATCCGCTTCCCCGGTCGTCTGTGCGTGTTTATGTATCCGACTTCAATATACACATGTAACTTATAGTAAGGAGAAAGTAGACAAAGGGGTACGTCACTTGAGCCTCGGTATCCAAGCCCTTCCTTAAATGTCCACGGGCTGATATGATTCGAGCAAGGGATATCGGGGAAGTCGAAGCCGGGCATAGTTTAGTTTCGATCGAAGGACTCCGGTCAGGTGGACAAGCGAACTCAATCTCAATTTGGATGCATTCATACCAATATCAAGAGGCAAGGCAAAATGAATGGAGTGCGTCATGACCGTTCTAACTTTCTGTCCTCTTTTATCTGCCATTTCCCGACTCCGCAAAGATCGACCCCAGCCCTTCACGCATGTGACCCGGAACAAGGGATATATCCTGGGAGTCCGGGGAATCTTCCAGATCGTAGGAAAGCTTGCTCTCTATTGGCAGTCTGTGGGCTCTGGGAACTTAGTACTGCGATGGGAGGGCTGTTTGGTTCCTAGCAATCCAGCCGGAAGGAAGACTCGCAGATCCGCGATGATCAGTTTCAAAATCGCCTTGGCCTTGGTTCTTTCTACTCCGTGATAGTCGTCTTCTAAACATTTAGTCTGGTTGTTCAAAACATCCCTACCCCAGGCAAAGACCGTTCTGGACTCTAGTCTTCTTTGTTTTCGCTAAATATGACATCCCTCGCTGAACAGCCTCATCCGAAACTTGGTAGTAGATAGTGAAACGTGTTCAGGTCACGCTGGCAATATTCGGTTGCTCCTTCAACCAGCTACTACGATAGCACACACCCATGCATGCCGTCGGAAAGGTCTAGCCCTTCAATATCGACGGTCCCTGTTCCCGGATCGCTCAAGACGCCCTTGTTTGGGATATGTTCAATCTATCCTCCCTGTGCTGCAGATCCCTTTCCCAGGTATTTGGTAGCCCTGGCATGTCTGCTCTCATTTTCCGACGTTGCGGACCCACTTCCCTAAGCTTTGTACTTTGTGCAAGGGTCTATACTCTACAGCACGAAGTATTCGGGCTTTAGGCTTCATCCGCCACCTTATCATTGTTATTGCTGGGGAAGCATACTGCGAGGGTAGAGTCTCGATATAGACAATTCAATGGAACGCTCGTCTCGTCTTGTAGTTTTGCTTGTTCTTACTGCGTGGTATTTTCGTTCAGCATTGGTGAATGACAACCCCCCTGTGATGCGCCGTCTCTAATTCCATTAGGAACAGCTTCCCCAGACCCCTGATTCAAGTGGTACCAGCTGATCTCAGCCCATTCCAAGCCCCGAATTATCACACCATGTCCAAAAAGAAAATTGAAACTCCCACCATACAGGTCCCAAAAGAAATCATAATTGCTTTTTGTCATTGGGTTGGGCCTCCCAAGTACACCGTACATATAGTAATTAAAGATACAGCGAATCCAGAAATAGACCTGACAAAATCACTTGACCAACAAGCCTTGATCTATCAACCTATGAGTGCAGTCAGACCCCATTTCTATTCTCGCTCTCTGCCGTCGCGCAAACCATCGAACAAGATACGTGCTGATCAGGGCCCAACGGGCCAATTACAACCCCAACCCGCAAGCTGACTGCATCGGGCCATGTGCAGCCCCCAGTGGATGTTTGGGGGCGGCTATCTCCTGACAGCTCTCTTTGCCTTGTTCCGCTGCCCATAACGGCTGTGGCGGCTGTGAACAAAAAGACCTGTCTAATCACCGTAGCTTCGGTGTCTCTCGCTGTGATTGTGGCTGAAGTCCGAGATCGCTGTCTTTGATCGCGTATCTGTGTGGGTGGTTGCATCACGTTGTATAGAGTCTGGGCCTTTGACCCGGTTAAATCGCTGGAGATATGTACGAAGCCTTTAGGCATTGTTGTCCGATCTACTATCGTATACTTCTTTTGTGGCGCGCCACGCGACGGCTTTGTGATCGACTGATCTCCTGCTTGGGCTGTTTGCCTTGACGCCTGGCAGCCATGGCTGGCTGCAGGCGCTGACCGGGTCATTCAATCTAGGCCTTTTCATTTTTGAGGTCTTACTGTTATATGTTTCAGTGGAGTAGGCTTTGAGTGTGGGGGTTCTTTGATGGAGCCTCCGGGCTTATTTATCCGGCTTTGAAGGGCGCTTCCCCGTCCACTGTGGCTGCTGTTGGTCGTGTATGATTTGAAAATGGACTGGGAATAATACAGTATGTTACATGCGTCAAATTAAAAATGATCTTGGCTTGCTGAGTTGTGGTGGTCGCAAGCCACTACGGCGGTAGAGAGGGGTGCAATATATATCACTGCCACAGTTATACCCACATCTCTAAAAGTTCTAGAAAGTAAAAGCCCTTTTCCATCTGTACCAAACACGAATGAGTTTCATCGCTCCATGCAAAATATGTACCCGCTGTGGAGATCGAAATCTGGGGAAGCAACATCGATGGCACACCCCGGATCTTGAGGTATGTACGGCCGCATCCGTCCAGGGTGCCCAACACTACCCCAGCCCGAGACTAGAAAAATGTCCATTTTCGATCTGACGCAAATAGAATACGAGAATTAAAACTGACAGACAGATCAGGGGATCCAGAGTATTGTCATTCCCGAAAGAATACCATACCAAGTTCCGATCTATACTGTAAGCCGGAAGCATCTATAGCGAGCGCGATCGATCAATATTCGGTGAGACTAAATAGCGCCCAAGGCAGCCAAACATTATGCGTATATCTAGCGCCGAGCGATCACTGGATTTGTGATGTGTCAATGGTTGACAGGTGCATATCAGTCGTGTGACTACCTAGGAAATCAACGATTCCCGAAGGAGGCCACAAAGAATGCAACATGACCCTCCACATATATCCAAGGTGACAAATTTTCATCAGGGAAGTTTCAAAACCGACGCCTAATCTACATGGAATTATTGTCACGAGCGAAGAAACAGAAGAGACGTGTTCTGGAGTCTTTGCTCCACTACGAACAGATCGAGGCCACGTCGATGAACGATGCCATGTGAACATCCTGGTGATTCACATTCTGGAACTGACGAGGCTGACTCGACTGTCCATTTACCTCACCTCCCTAAATTAGAACCGTCACTTCCTTCATCGATATCGATATCGCGACCTCGGCTTGTCCACTTCTCTCCCGCTCGCCCCGTTCCACATGGAGCCGAGCCGTCTTTTAGGTCATCTGGACAGTCGTGCTAACTTTATCGGCAGATGATGGTCCGAAGGCTAGCGCGCCTATGGAATACCACTAGAAGGAAGAATACACGATATTGATTTCTCCTTGTCGGACAGAATCATGGCAATTGTCGAAACCAGTCACACCGCTGTGTTCTCACAAATTCATTTTTGAAGTCGTCCTTTGTGATTGACCAATTCCACATGTGGCATTACTGACCAGAAGATGCTTGGAAATCTGCCTCAGTTTTACAAGCGAGAGTTACTTGTGTCTAAGAGATGCTGACTTTCGTTGCCCTCTATTAATATACCACACAGCTTACGACGAGCCTCGGCAAGATAGACTGGCAGCTATCACAACCCGAAGAACCATTCAATTGGCCATTACTCATGTTTTGATGAATGTGTTAACGTGCTGACGAAGAAAAAAAAATAAGGAATTGATTACTCCAGAGGTGTCATATCCGACAGCTTTCTTCCCATGAGCCAAATGTACCCGAGAAACTCTACATTTCTACCAGATCTATGCTCACTGTGAGTTTATCTGTGACAAGATAAATAACCGATTAGAGAAGAAGTACAGGTACTCACTGAGAGCTTTGCAAAACATTATGAAGTTTCAAGCCTACTCAAGACAAGTATAGCAGTCTCGGGTAAATAAAGAGAGCAAGGTCTCACCTACGTTATACAAAAAAAGCCCAGACCCATTGCAAATCAATAGCCCATCTCAACCATCGTATCCAAGCCTGGGCCTAACAACCCACATCCAAAACCCACCCAACAACCCCCCCACCAACGTCCCACGAAATTCCCAATAAGCCCCGAGAACGAAAATCAGCACGGAGATCGGAGCTTGTCCTCGTACCTGTCAGCGACGTCACACCGCAGCGATGGATTGGAATTCGGCCCGATGCGGGAGCTCGAACCAATTCATGTACCTATACCGGTCTCCTCCTCCCAACCTATCCGGCCCAGCCAGGTAAGGCAAGTCCATGTAGATGCAGATACAGGGTGTGGTACCTAATTATACCAGTCTCCATATACTGTGCTTGGCTCTGCGGTGTCGCTGTTGCTGACGTCCGACCCGTGGTGGCGGCCTGTCGTCTTTTCAATTTATGCCGCCTTCTTGACTTGGCCTACTGCGGGCCATGGGGGTGTTTAATTCATCTGCCGCGGGAGACGCAGGAGTGCTATACAGGGATTGTTGGATTATTGGATGGATGTATGTATGTGTGTGTGTGTGTGTGCATGTATATGCTATGCTACTGTATGCTGTAGAAATTGATGTAGTGGCATGTTCCCAATAAAGACCTTATGACCGAGTGACATCGTTTGTTCTTTTTTTTTTCTCTTCTTTTTTCTTTTTGGAAAGTGCCCTGGTTGCTGTCTCATATTTTTTTACAGCAGTTTTCTTTGTAGGAAGTAGGTCTAGGCTTTGTTTTGGTGAGTCCAGGCCGTTCTATGGGTTGATTAGATTGACACTGCGAGTAGGTAAGTCGAGTGTTATATTACATCCACCGATTTTGATTCTTTCACTGGTCATGAGCGACTCACGTGAAGGAAAAAGAAACACCAGACAAAACAAAACCCGAGCAAAAAGAACGAGCAAGCGGATCCAGGCCATGATCTCCAGCCAAGCCGCAATAAACCGAAGACTCCCAAAATGAGTCAGTTGCATACCGTGAAGGACCAGGGTTGTACTTCCATGCATTGTGCAACCAAGGCACCCAACCTGGAATCCCTGAACCAAAACTGTAAGCCTCGTCATACCGGGTCGAAAAACACACGAAAAGAGAAAGAGACAGAACAAGTATGACTCGGAGTTCATTTCAGCTAAACACTCTTCTGAAATAGGTATACACCACCCGCCGTAGTATTCCGATTCGGGCGCCCTGCGAGAGCCCAGCAAGCTCTGACAATTACGTGAACCCCGTACCATATCCAACTGTATGTAGTAATGACAATTCCTGCTCGCCCCATAGGCCCATGCCTCGTTGCTCGATGCAGTCCCCCGAATGGGCGATGATACAGCAGACCGCGAGACATAAAACAAGGATCTTGTCACCTCTCGACAATATCTACTCTTGTCGTGTAGCTTTTGGGAAGGCTAGACTTTGACTCTGGTATTCTGCATCACGTCAACCAGGAAGAAACGTAACTACAAAGCTGGAGATCGCGGATCGCTACCATTTTCTACATACTTGGCGTGCATGTCGGACTAATTACTTCATCAAAGACCGATCCTGCCTGCAACCATGATCGGATCGTCTCAGTTCGTATCCATGAAGAAAAAGCAGGTACCATGTGTATCCTCGCATGAAGAATCGTAGGCATGACCATGGAAGAATTAGGGAGGAAGGGAAAGGGACTGGCAGCGGACCGAGGTATAGGTATTGAACAACGCATCACTCATTTGATATACCATCATGATCCAAGAACCCGATGCACAATGCACGACTGCAGGATTCAACGATCGCCAGACACTCAGGAAAGAGCCGTATGTTCAGTTCCTCGTATCCGGGTAACATGGCAGTGTAGATCTCTCGATGGGGTCCGGTCACCAGTTAACCTTGCTTTGGTCTAGATGGGGTTCATGACGGTAACAACACACCGAGGTTGGAAGACTATCACCGAAAAACATATGAACAGAGGGAGTATGTCTGTTCTTTACTTTTTCTATTTTTCCCTCTCTTTGGGGCTGTACGGTGTTGTTCCTCGGCATATCGGGTGAACCCTCGTGAGCAATGGCGAACCCTGACGGTCCCGAAGAGAGGCACGGATCGCTGCGAAAACTGTATGAATGAATGTGATAGTATTTTGGTGCTGCATGCTGGTTTCAGTTACTGGTGTGTATTTTGCATGGCTTCCTTTTCGATGATAGTAGGAAGTTCATTTCGTTTTGCCCTAGCCAGCTGACATGACCGGGGTTGATATGTACGCAACTGGTACGGATGAACCTCGTTGTACTTGTATCTATAGACCCTTCGGATGCCTTGAACAAAGCACCATGAGTGGTGTCTCGTATTTGCCTACAGTGAATCTCGTAGATGGAGGAGTATAGTTCCAGCTGCTTGTCCACGGGAGCTCATGTCTAAAGTAGAGCAGGATATTGGCAAGGTGAGACATTATCAATCCTTTCGCTTTCATTGTAACCGAAAGGTTCTATGTATGGGTCCATGTTTTTACATAGGCAAACCAGAATCATCAATTTTTTTTCTTTACCATCGTCGATGAATACGGAATCGAGACATTTAGAACTCTGACTCGTCGTCACCGGAGATGATAACGTTGTTGATCTAATTGAAGGTTAGTTTAAGACAAATCAAGAAAGAAATGGAAGCCATACCTTAAGAACCATACGGCAAAGCTGGGTGGCAAGCAGAAGCTGCTGGCGCTTGCCGATCAGGGGGTCAATGGCGAAGTGCTCGCGCATGTCTGGGAAAAGGTTAGTACATGAATATCAATAAATACCCAAAACAGTTCAGCTTACCATTGGTACCGGTCTGCATGCAGTCAACACCGAGGCGGGTGTTCTTCTCCTTAACTTGACGAGACTTAATAGCAGCAAGGGTCTCAATAGGGCTGAGACCAGAGTTCTCGGCAAGGGCAAGAGGGATGGCATCAAGCGCATCAGCGAAGGCGCGCATGGCATATTGCTCAATGCCAGGGCTCTTGACAGCGGCATCCTCAACAGCGAGAGAGCAAGCAATCTCAGCAGCACCACCACCGTAGACAACACGGTTGTCACGGACTAGGTTGCGGACGACACACAGAGCATCGTGTAGTGACCGCTTGGCCTCATCAATGATCTAGTTGTTATTAGCGATTGATAGATCTCTTTCCTCATCGCAGGCCAACTTACCATCTTGTTACTTCCACGAATGAAAACGGTCACAGCACGGCTGTTGGCGCACTCCTCGATAACCAGCATCTTCTCTCTTGTGGTACCGAAGCTCATCTCACGGACCTTACCGGCGGAACCGAGCTTGTCGGCGGTCAAATCCTCGAAGCGGGGCACAATGCGGCCGTTTGTGGCAATGGCAATCAGCTCAATCTCAGGTCCACCGACCCAGCGGACGGCAGGAAGCTCGTTCTGGAGCAGAAGGTGGTTGGCCTCGTCATCGAAACCCCACTGACAGATAACAAGGTTGGCACCAGAGTCCTTCAGCTTCTGAATCATCTCTGTGAACTTCTCCTTCTCGTAATCCTGCAACTTCTTGAACTCCTCGACGGATGTGATGTCAAGTTTGTGTTTAGTCTTGGGCTTAGGGGGCTCGAAGGGACAGGTGAGGATAGCCAGCTTGGCATCCCGAACCTCATCGGGCATCTGGGGGTGAGAGAAGTCCTTGTCCACAATAACACCCTTGACAAGCAGAGAGTCCTCGAGAGCTCCACCGACCTTGCCGTCGACCTTGATCAACTCGAAGTCGACATCCTTGCGCTCAAGGTCGGCAACGGAAAGCACAGCATCAATGGCGATATTGGCGAATTGGTCGTGAGATTTAGAAACACTGCGAACCTTGTCAGCATCAAGCTTTTGTTCCCATATCCACGATTCCATACATCTTGCTACCGAGACTGGTCTTGGCCACTTGGAGGAGGTTGGAGGTATCGTCTTTGCTGAAAGGAATTTCGTCACTGATCTTGTCGAGTTCGGCAACAGCGATCTCGCAGGCCTGGTCGTATCCATCGGCAATACGGATGGGATGGATGCCCTTGTCAATGAGGTCGGAGGCTTGCTCTAGCATGGCTGCTGCGAGCACCACAACACCGGTTGTACCATCACCAATCTCCTCATCCTGGGACTTCGAAAGCTCAACTAGCAGCTTAGCAACGTTGTTTGTGATCTCCATCTATTGACATCTCACGCATTAGTTTCCTGAATTGAGAATTTGAACCTCGCGGAGGAAAAGGAGTTCGGAGTCGCACCTGGCCGAGAATGGTTGCGCCATCGTTGGTAACGGTGATATCGCCGTCGGCGGAGATCAGAATCTTGTCGAGACCACGGGGACCCTATCAATGAGAGTCAGAAGTCGTTCCGTCATCTGTTGTCGAGTGCCATACCAGAGAAGTCTTGACGATGCTGGCCACTGTCTTAGCGGCAACAATGTGTGACTTGACAGCCTCGGTGCCGTGCTGTCTCTTCTTCTTTCCCTGGCTGTTTTATCAGATCTCTGTCAGCCCTGGATATCCAAATGACCCTCATGGTATAATAAGCGGAAAAATCGGCGTAGCGGTGAACGTACTCCCGAACGACGATGAATGGCCGTCCCTGTTCGTCCTTCAAGACTTGGGCTACCCCTGAGTGTCAGCAACCGGATTTGAGTTATATCAGGCTGGTATTTCGGTAGATAGTCACCTTGAGACATATCAAGCTCTGTTTAAGACCAAAATGGAAATAGTTAGCCATAGCACATTTCAAGAATGAGGGGTATGGGGGTGTGCTTCTTACGCATTGCCATATTGACGGTGGGCTGCCACCTGGCAGGGTATAAAGATTTGAAAGAGAGAGAGCTCCGAAGAGAAAAAGGAATCAAGAGTGAGCGAGAAACACAAAACACAGCTTGAATGAAATCCGAGGGGTTGAAGCTTCCCGAAATGCACTTTCGACAAATGAAATTCTGACTACCCGAAGCGGACTAGCGTCTCTTGTCCGCCTTCACGCGTTCTGAACCCCATGCTTTTGCTATGCGACTATCTTTATACTGTCAGTTTTACTGCCACAATTGAGGCGTTGACCTCGCATCGCCAATCTGTTCTCACGACTTTCAAACCTCATCTCCCCATTCAGACCAATCATGCCTCGTAAGCGAGCCCATTGTTGATCTGTCGCACGCGCGCTAGAGCTTCGTTGTTGACTTTTGGATTGTCTAGCTCCCGTGGAGGATATGTCAGACGAGGAGTCTGGCGATATCCCTTTCAGGGATGCGCCTGAGGCTCCAGCAAATGACAACGCCGACGACGACCAAGCCGACGAGGACGAAGACGACGACGAAGAGGAGGAGGGAGTGTGAGTGGCGCATTCCTGCGCAATCTCGGAGGATTATAGCTGACAAGGAACAGGTACATCGTCGAGAATATCGTCGAGCACGACTGGCTGGATGATGTATGTCAACAACACAAGCTTCCTTTTCCGTCCGACAAGCTGACCCGCAATTCTTAGGGCACTCTCAAGCTTCTAGTCAAATGGAAGGGCTACGAAGACCCGTCAGATCGCACATGGGAGGAAGAAGAAGGCCTCCAGTATGTGTACAAGCAAATTGGGCTCTGAGGCCTGAAACCTGCTTTCGCGCTTTTACTGACAAACGATCTAGAGAGGGAGCGGGTGACATTCTTGCGGCCTACTACAAGAAGGTGGGTGGAAGGCCAGAATTACCAGCACCAAAGGCCAAGCCGGGCCGTAAACGTAAGTCCATGGCGGATTCCAAGAGCGCCACACCTACCGCAAGCTCCTCCGCAGCTGCCGAGCCCAAGCGACAGCGTCGCAAGTCACAGAAGGCCACCAAGGAAGTGGAGGCGGAGGCTGAGGAGAACGGTACCGACTGGGTGCCGAAGGGAAAGAGCTGGGACAAGGATGTCCAAGAAGTTGACACAATTGTTCGCGACCCCGACAGCAATGGCCTATACGCTTGGCTCGTCTTCACCAACGGACGCAAGTCGAGGGTGACCATTGAGGCTTGCTATGAGAAGTGTCCAATGAAGGTAAGCTAGCCTTGACTGCGCACCTCAAGAGATTTGACGATGCTAATTGCCAATCAGATGCTCAAATTTTATGAATCGCATCTGTGAGTCCAGCCCATCCCCACGAAATCCCTGACGCATGCTAACCTCCCTTGCAGTGTTTTCAAGGACGGTTAAAACTTTCTTTTCTATGAAATTTCGGGGAAAAGGTGAAATACCCGTGATCAATGCCCTCTACGGATTTAGCCAAAGCAACTTTGCATATGGCACAATACCCTCTTCGCATTCGTCCTTTTTGTTGACTTCAAGCCTTTTCTGTTTCTCTTCGTTCTCGGGTCTTCATAATTGGTGTAATCTGGTTCATTTCGTCTCCTAACAGCCGGCTATCTCATGTGCATTAAATTTGCAGTTCCTTCCAAGTTTCCTTTCCTTGTGATTCCCATTCATGCGCCTGATAAAAACAAAACCTCCCATGGATATCACTAAATGAGACCTGTCTCCCGCGCCATTCTGTAGTACTCCCACCGCTCCTTGACGAATTCAGCACCGTGCTTCATCAAGGCTCGTTCCACTTTCGCCCTTTCTTCGGCCTGTAGACATCGATCATCATCTGCTGTCCACACCCCAGGTACATTTTCAGGGATCCCGTTCCCAGCAGTGAGCTGGTGTAGAACTTTGTCGGCCATGTCGGGAACCATGCTTGTGCAGCGCAACGCGTCGAAAACGTGATTCTCATCAACGCCCCGACTGAGCCGTTCATCGATCCAGGTGTCCACGTCTGGTCCGTCACTTGCGTCGTCGTCTATAATTTCTGGGCTTGGGCTTGCTGGGAAGAATGGCAGCTCTAAGAACACGGCATCCACTGGGTCTCTGAAGGGATCTTCGACTGGAGGTCTGTTCTTGTTCAGCTGGTTCTTAAATCGACCTGACTGGGCAAAGGCATTGTCTCCTCTCGGACGGGAAATGGGGACTGGCCTCTCTTCTCTTAAATTGGAGACGGGGGTCAATTGTTCTTTTCTTGGCTGAGAAATGGAAGCTGGCTGTTGTAATGTATTGACCGGCTTTTGTATCGATGGCTGTGTTGTGTTGACTAGTTGTTGTGAGGTATTGAAGGGCGGTGGTGGGAATGCAAGATCCCCACGACGAGTTTCTGTGAAAGGACTTGGGACCTGGAATGGGGTGGGGTCTCCATAAATCCCGTGTGCCTTTGCTGTTGGAGATGGGGCGATAGGGTCTTTGGATAGGGGTTTAGACGCTGGGTTTGGTGCCATATTCGACAGTTTTGGCCGATTAGAGGATATCAAACGCGGTACGGGCTGAGCAGAGCTAGAAGCTGTATCAACTGCTCTCCTCTTTGAGGGTGAATCTCCGGACTGGGGATTCTCGACTGGGTTTAAGTTTGAATCTCGCTTTCGCTTTGAGCCAGATGGAGCATCTTTCATAAACTCCGGGCGTAGTTCAGGAACTCCACCTCCAGGACGGGGTTTGCCACGCAGCTGCTTCACGTATCGAGTACGCCACGATTGCCATGTATGATTAGGGTGCTGAGGCTCGAATATTAGCGTTTTTTGTCTTACTTTCTTGAAAGGAAAGTGAAGGGTCCACCATACAAGTTCTTCTAGTACCTGGTACAATTTATTACCCATAAGAGGAGATCCAGGTTCTTCTTTCTGAATGTGGGCAATCCAGTCAAACAGAATTTGGTCATCTTGCAAGGTGAAGGATTGCCTGGTTCCTTTGGTAGCAATGTGAGTTGCCCCAGTTGGACGAGGTCTGATTCCCACAGCTCGGTGGGTTTCAAGATCTTCAAGTTTGCCATTTTGAATGGACCGTTCAACATATCGATAGGAGTATCTACCATCTGTTAGTATGTTTTCCCATCCGAGTAAGGGCAGAAAAGCTCACGTATCAGTAGGGATGCCTTTCTTTGCATGATCAACCAGCTTCACGTCGGCATCCTTTTCCATCAGTACAACGGTGCCACCATGTTTCTACCCCAGTCAACTTCCCGATTTATCAAATAGGTGAAGTGCTAACAAACCGCTATCAATTCCTTGAACCTGAGCCTTTGGGGGACAGTCTGGGACAACCAAAACCGTGCCCCTTTAAACAGGCTGTCTTTTGTTCCATGATCACCAGGAGACGCCATATCTAGTGATTCTACCCCTGGAGGGATGTTGTCAGTGTCTTTGACCTCTGAACGCGATATCACGCGTCAACATGTCACAAGTATCATAATTCGCGTCCAAAAAGACTGCATAGGACGTCAGCCTTTCATAAACTCCGAAGAGAAGCCCAGAGCAAACCGGTAGATTCACTGAGATAGGTTGGCGTTGAAAGTTGAGTTTAAAATGGAAATGACGGTCACGTGGTGTACACACAACCGACTCGGCGCTTGACGGACCACGCATCAAGGGTATCCCAAAGGAGCATTGAGATTTTGCGAGACAATGTACGAGTGACCTGTAACCAAGAAAAATAAAATGGGTGCTCTCAGGACGGTCGGTCTGGTTATTTTGGGAATCTCAGCGCTCACTTTTATCGCTCTGTTTGGCAGGCTCCCGGCCTTCAGGTAAGGAATGTGCCAAAGAGTTCCCAACACGCGCTAATTAATTCAGAAAAACACCGGTCGCCTTTTTCCATCGGCTTCTGTGGGTGCATATTCCCAATGGAATCGCTGTTGTTGATGACCGCCGGTTCGGCGGACGGATAGTGCAGTGCTGGACTCGATCCGGCAGCTATGTATTGAAGGAGAATCATCCCTTGGTTTTGGTATGTCTCCAAACAGTGTGTATCGGCCTATACTGACCTACTACATAGATATTCTTTGTGGGACTACTTGTGATCGGCGAAGGGATATTCGTCCCAGCAGCATGGCCTCGACTGTCAAGCTCCCATAAACTTTGGGTCCCCGGTGCTGTCGTGTTGCCATATGTTCTACTCTACAAATGTGTAATGACGAAGTCTTTTATTACACCTGAAAATCATGAAAAAGAAATGAAACGGTACCCATACGACCGGGTCCTCTTCCATCCAGGACATCGCTGCACCACCTGTGACTTCCTCAAGCCAGCGCGCAGCAAGCACTGCAGTTTCTGCAATGCCTGTGTCTCAAGACACGATCACCACTGTGTATGGCTTATGAACTGCGTTGGAGCCGACAACTGCGTTTACTTCATCTCACTGCTGTTGTCACTCTCTGCCATGCTGGTCTACGGATCTTATCTTGGTTATTCCTTGCTCTCTGAGACTCTCGAAGAACTAGTCCCGCCAGATATGAAGGCCGCCATGTCAGGATGGTCGATGTACTTCAATATTTGGGGCATTGTGATTGCTACCGATCCCCGGATTGGGGCTGTTTTCCTCTTGATGCTCATGACTGCCCCGCTGGCGGCTGCTTTCCTGGCTTACCATGTATACTTGATCTGGGCTGGTACGACTACAAATGAGACATCCAAGTGGTCATACTGGAAGGATGATGTCGAGGATGGATTTGTCTTCAAGACAAAGCGAAGCTTGATCTTTGAGAACCCCCTTCCTTTGTCTCTCCATGACCAAGCCTGGCCTGTCCACACTGATCAGATTCTTGTCAATGACGATGATCCTCCAACGGAGGGATGCTTATTGGCATCTGACTCCAATCGCATCGTTCGTCGCCCTGGTCATGAGATGCCACCTGACCCACGATGGAAACGACTTGATAGTATGAGAGATCTTGACAATATCTATGACCTGGGCTTCTGGGATAATCTCCGCGATGTGATAGGTTTGTCTGTCCGACGACCGAAGAATGTGCATAGATAGGTGGTCGCTGGCTAGCTTGGATAGATGTGAATTCAAACTTGCTTGGCTTATTTGACTATAGTCCCCACACTCGCGGATTTTTACCCAAATTGTGCCATCCACCGCGTCTATATTTAGCCGTCGAAAGTTGACATCGAATGATGTCGTGAAATGAGTCATTTGAGGGCGAATCAATCCCCGCGCCCGTCGTCGCGCATACAATCGGCTTAAAATGGATACGAGAAATCACCAGCTTCCCGATATCGGGCTGATTGATTGACCCTTATAGTCTTGATGGAGACCCAGCCTATTGGGATTCATGAAGTCATTTTCCAGAATTGACAGCTTACAACCTTGAACTATTCACAATATGCTGCCGACACTCAGAATTGCCGATTTGAACGATGCCCCATCCCCCCAGCGAATCTTCATCGTTGGAGGAGGTATCGTTGGCGCAGCCCTCGCCTTCCATCTGTCGCAAAATAAAAAAGGGCATCAAATCGTTCTCATCGATAAATGCTTAGAAAAGCGTCTTGGATCTACGGGTCATGCCCCAGGCTTTGTTGGCCAGCTCAACGAATCGTCCGTTTTGACTCGACTTGCCAAAGATACCGTTTCAGAGTATCTCACTATCCCCGGTGGTTTCAACACCGTCGGCGGCTTGGAACTTTCATCAGCACCATCAGGCATGGAAACATTACACCGCCGTCTCGAGCTAGCACAAGCTGCTGGCCTACCCGCTGAGATCATCAACCCAGAAACGGCGGCGTCCCTTGCTCCGGACTTTATTGACGCCGAGACTGTGAAGCTTGGCTTGCATTTCTCTTCCGATGGAACGGCCAACGCGCAAGTCATTACCTCTTACTACTTTGATCAAGCGCGAAGCCGAGGTGTGGATTTTGTTGAGGCTTCTGTTACTGGTTTCTCCACCACAAATACCAGGGATGGAAACGTTGCACAGATAGCAGCTATCCACACCGCAGAAGGCGACATTGACTTGCAAGGCAGCACTGTCATTCTTGCCACTGGTATTTGGACTTCGTTATTGACAGGCACTGCCATTGGCGATAAAGCTTCCATCACAGAACTTCCGATTCCTATTGTTCCAGTCGCACATCCTTACACCTTTACTCTATCTCGACCTCACCGCACTGGAACACCATATCCATTCGTCCGCTGGCTCGATCATCATGTATATGCCAGAGACCACGGAGATCGCGACGGACTGGGCAGTTACGATCACGCTCCGCTGCAGTTGGATCCTGTCGATACGGCCATTGGAGCTTGGCCCTCCAGCTTCGACAAAGTTCTTTCTGAAGCAACTTCATACTTGAAAAACGGTGATCAATTCCAAGCTAAAGGATGCAATGCCGAGTCGGATGCCTGGGAAGCGAAAAGACCGTTCAATGGTATCTTCTCGGTGACTCCTGACAACCTCCCACTTGCGGGGCAGGTGACTGGTGTTACCAATTTGTGGATGGCTGCTGCCATCTGGGTTACTACTGCTGCTGGCACCGCGAAGCTTGTGTCACGGAAGATACTGGGTGAGGTTGAGAGCTCTGCTACCTCGGAAGATGAGCGGCTCCTGGAAGCATTGAGTCCTGCTCGTTTCCAAGGGGTTGGAGCGGATACTCTGGCTAGTCAGGCATTGGGGAAGTATAATGATATTTACAATAGAGACACTCAGGGTCATTAAAATGACTACTTTAAATCGGGTGGAAAGATGCTGCTACGGAGAGATGTACAGGAGGTGTCATACGTCCTTTCACTTTGGCACTCCTCCAGTTTAAATAACTACAACCTGAAATATTCAAACATTGAGCAGAAAAAGTGTCCAAAAACAGATGAAAAAGGAGATAAAACAGTACACTCGCTTCAAGGGTATGTAGATAACATCCAATTCTGCATAGCACTGTAAACAGTCTTGTGACCCCTCGTGTATGTATAGACCGAAAGGGCACCTTCAGTTACCGTCTCCAAATTTAAGGCCAATGTTCTTTTTGAATTGAATTCATGCTAAACTAGTAATGACTAAGTCTTTATTTTTCGGCTTGTTAAATAGTTCTGCTCATCAAGCCTTTGCTAGGCATCCAACATGCTTGGTGGATTTTTGCGCACAGATTGAGTTTGAAGTGCCTTGAAGCTGATCAAGATATACCTCAATAGTAACAGATATTTACAGCAAGCTATGTTATCTGTGCATATTTTGAGACAAGGTATATAAGCACCAGGTGATCCGGATATTGTAGCTCCTTGTCATGTCATGTCATTCAGGTCCACCCATCATATATAGCTCCAGCTCCACTTGGTCAACATCATGATCTTAAGCCTTTCAGCAACAAACTGGGAAGCTTCTCGGTTTTTCATTCTCACCTGCATATAACAGCCGGCTAATATTGATAATGCGGGGAGAGCTTACGTCATGAGTATATCCTTGTAAAGGGCCAAGTGGAGACAGAACTACAGTCATGATTGCATATGTTCAGGAGCAACACGTAACAAATCGGCCAACCTTAATGTAGATCAGGCCATCCCCGCGCGGAATGCTGGGGTAAACTTCGCTATAAATAACGCTCCTTTCAACTTGCCTCCTTCCCCTCTTTCCTCCTTCATCTCTCCATTCCAACCATGACACGAGGATTCGCAACCATTACCCCTCAGTGTGAGGAGGTCTTTGACCAGGTCAAAGAGACTGACACTCTTGACTGGGTCACCTACAAAGCTTCCGCCCACGACAAAAAGATCGACGTCGCCAACTCTGGCAAATCCAAGGACTACGCAGACTTCATCTCTAACTTCCCAGAGAACGAATGTCTCTACTCTGTCTATGACTTCCAGTACGACTCCCCAACTGGCGGAGAAAAGCGTCACAAACTGGTTTTCATCACCTGGTATGTTATCTCGTATGACTCTGACCCCGCCTGGGTTGGTCGCGTGATGTCGATGCAGCTTGCTAATTGCTCAATCTCTCACCCCAGGGTTCCTGAACAGGCGGGTATCCATGACAAGACCTATTACACAACAAACAAAGATCATCTTTACCGCGCGTTTGAGGGCATCAGTCTCCATGTGCAGGCACATACCCCGGCGGAATTAGCTCATGCTACCAGTATGTACCCATGTATCCGTAAAGGATTCTATTGCTTGCACCAGTACACCAGGCTTACTGTATTCTTTCTCTTTCTAGTCCTGAGCCAGTTCAAGGTTCTCTGAAAGGCTTCTGAACCTTTCATCGTTATCGCGAAGAGAGCGAATGATCTAGTTTGCAATGAGGGCAATTAGGTAGCATTATTCAAATCAAGTGTGCCGTTTGCCAGCCTTACACAGACGTTCTTTTTCTTCGCCAGTCCTCCCAATAACCCCAGTGCATCCTTCTACCTAGTACATCGATGCACTGCTGTCAGGTGGTTTGTATAGAAACAGGCACTAACCCAAAAGAGCTTACTGCATCTTGTGGGCCTTGCAGTATTGATCACCTCTAGCCAGAGCAACAGGGCAACAATGTGTCTGTCAAGACCGAAATTGACCTCTCGATATCTCTGCCATTGTCATTCTTTGATCTCTACACTGAAGGAAGGGGCTCGTTGAAATTAAACACCGCCTTTGATTCTGCCAGAGCGGCGAGAAGATAAACTATTCTGCCATCTCCAACCTTTTGTCGACCAAATGTCTAGATTGGATGGCAAAGTGATTGATTCATTCGAGCGTTGCTGGTGTTTGATGGACAGAAATCCTAAAACCTGCAATTGGGTGGCATGCTCATCTTGTATTAAATCGCTTTTGTTTTCAAGAGGCGTAAAAAACATTCAAACCGTTGAAGATAACTATGGTACGCTAGTCACATGGCCGATTAAATTTGGTAATCATAATCTCTTCTTGTATTTTCCCAAACCTCAAAGTGTATTGCTTGTTGACGGAGGGTCGGGCGGGCGTGTTCGTGCGGGCGGAAAATTTGTCTCCCCACACCTCCAAATCTTTGACCTCTCATCCCACCCCGCTTGGTATTTTGGCTACGCTCTGATCTTTCACTATGGCGGACCCGAAGCCATTGTGCACACCTGCCGAGCTGATGCTCAAGGTGATCCTCGCGGGGACCCTCAGCCACTATGAGACCAAGGGCATGATCGACGACAAACGCCTCGAGCACATGCTTGCCGCTGGAAAACAGATCCTCTACAAGACACATCAAGAGAGCGATGTTCGGTAAGTGATCTCTAGTCCCAGCCTGGTTACTCTGTATGCTAATGCTGGGCGATCACAGTCACAATCTCGGCATGTCGCCAGACATCTGGCAAGGCCTCACCAACGTTCTCACGAAAGCGATCCCAGTCCTCGAGTCCCAGTCTTTCGCATGGAAGAGTCCGGCAGCGAGCTACGAACATTCATCCTCCAACCTCATCGCATACAACTATCTCTCGCTAGTCAAGGACATCGAGCGCCTCAATGATCTCTGCACGATTGCCCGCAACCTTCTTGCCACAACAAAGAAAGCGCAGAATCTTGCCGCGGAAACTGGCTTCGATCAGAGAATTCTAGCGCTCATCGACACCTGCGTGCGCGTAACTGCCAGAGGCTTCGACGGCGAGACAAATGCGCGCAACGAGGAGCGATGGCAGAAAGTGGTCAACCTCTACAAGCGTCTATTGATTACATGCCTCCAGTACCTCCACAACTTCATCATGCATAACGAGCATCGCAAGATGGTTCTTTGGTTGGATCTCTTTGGATACCATTCGACTGCCGATACAAACATCATCAAGCCCAAGGAACCGCTGGACGATGCCAGTCCCAGAGAAGGAGTGGCGCCTATTGTGCAGGTTGGAGAGCGCGTTATCAACCCTCCTATCCGTGCGCTTTACGACCAGACCGCGGAAGACTTGCTGTTGGAGACCATTGCCAAGTTCCCCCGGGAGCCTGCTACCATCAAGGAAGAGGCCGCTATGTTGCTTCTCGCGAACATCAAGGATCACATGGAGAGAATCCTCGGACGGGATTTGAGCGCCATTCAAGAGATGGGCCGGGACCCAGATCAGGTCAAGGATATTCGGGCGGCTCTGACCGCGATACTTGGAGCGAAGGTGGATGGTTGGTCAGATCTTCAAGAGCGAGCTCGTGAGATTCCACCTGCGCTTCCCGAAGATGAGAATGAAGAACACGAAGAAGAAGAAGAAGAAGAAGTAGAGGAGGAACATGAAGAGCACGAGGATGATGAAGACGAGGAAGAGGAGGAGGATCACGACGTCACTAAGAAGAAGACCATTCTAACTATTGATCGCAGTCTAACGGCTGGTTTCCCTCGTCTTTGTTGGGCAGATCTCCCTGAAATCAACGATTTTGGGGCAGTGGATGCACCAGTGACTGACGAGGACACTAGCATGCCCCGGTCAGCTCAGTCTGCTGCCGAGACCCTTCAAGAGGCTAAAGATGAGCTCATGGCTCGTCTCCAGGAGCCATCACATATCGATGGCGACGAAGAGCACGAGTATGACCATGGGGATGCACACACAGTTGGCGACGATGACTCGCGCAGCCTGGAGGCCATGGCTGACGGTAGCGTTGATGGCGATGATGTGGATGACGTGGACGATGATGGCGCAGATGGGGATGGTGATGAGGAAGACGACGAAGATGATGAATACCGTGGCCGCCCTGGTGATCAACAACGTGGTCTTCTGACGGACATCCCTCTCGTCCTTGGACCCGCCGAGATCGAAGCCTTGCCCATGATCGTTCAGGCCGGCATCGTTGACAGCTTTGGACTCAAAGGTGGTGAACGCAATGGAACAAGAAATATGCAAGCCCTGAGATGCCACATTCTGCTCACCCAAGAGACTGGGCGCAATCTGCTCCGTGAACTTCTGATCTTCATCGCCGCTTGGGATCTTCCGGATGACGAGCTCTACTTTAAGATGATGGTCCAGATCATGGAAGCTGTGCTCAAGAACGGCCTCATGTCCCACGCCTACTCCGACTTTGGCCAGCCTAAGGATATTATTTCCCCGGCACAGGCTGTGGTGATCAAGATTCTCACCCACATCTTCCGTGCGAAGTATTCCCCTGCTTCTGTGACAGGATCAGCCCAACCCAACATTCCCCGCAACCCATCGTCGCTCAACCGAGTTGACATTCTGACCGTCCGATACATCTTTACCATCTTCCGTGGTAACATTATTCCCGAAACCTGCGCATTGATCTACCTTCAAGGCCAGATCCGCGCCGAGCGTGCTCTACCAGAGGACTTCCCGCTCAACCTGTGGGACATGGAGCGGGTGTACGAGGGTGTCTACCAGTTTTTAGAATTCTTTGCTGTCCTGACGGAGAACAACGACTGGAAGAACCTGCTCGTCAAATGGGAGATTGTCTACGACCTGGTGACCTTGATCAAGGAGTTGGAAGCCAGCATCCCCAAGGGCCAGTTAAGCCAGCTGTCCTTCGGTTCAGTTCCCCCACCCCCTCCACCCCGCAACGATCCTACAAGTGATGTCCTTCCTGCCCCTGTCGCAGTCGAGCGTCCTTACGACCCAAGCGACCCCGACCCCATTGACAACGGCTGTGGCAGCGTCGACTCCCGTCCCGAGTCTCCACCCATCACCGAAGACCCTTCTGAATTCGAGTGGCGCAATCTCAAGAAACTGGTCGTGCTGGTCCTTTCATCGCTTGTATGGAAGTGTCCCGAAGTCCAAGAACAAATTCGCCGCTATGGCGGTGTCGAGGCAATCCTCTGCTGCACAGCCTTTGACGCTCACAACCCCTATATCAAGGAACACGCCGTGATGTGCCTCAAGTTCTTGCTAGAAGGCAACCGTGAAAACCAGCGTCTTGTCGAGGAACTTGAGGCTCGTGAGGTCGTCAAGGATGACGGCGGTGTCCTCGAGAGAAGTGGATACGAGGCCATGATTAACCAAGCGGGCAAGTTGGCTATTCGTCAGAAGGATCGCGTCACCGAACTGTGATGATCATTCAATTATGTTTTGATGAAAGCACTGTATTGGATATCGTACTAGAGATGGCAGCTTCCCGGAAAAACTAGGCAGCTTTACTGAATGATTACATGAATTCTTAGCCGAGCAATTGACAAGGCTTGTTTACATTTCGCTTAATTATCGTCTACACTACTCTGAATACGAGGTGCTTGGTATTTGTACTTGTATTGCAATATGAGTCTGACTACCTACTTCCATTTGCTTGGGTTACAGGTTTTAGACCAGGTGGCCCTCATTTTGGGTTATGATCTGATGAATTACTTTGCTCGGCTAGAATCTATATCTCATCATCTATATTCCAAAGGAACGCGCTTGTTGCTAGATTAGTCTAGCAATGAAAGATCAAGTCGTGTTCAGAATACAGTTCCGCTCGGACATCCTTGCGATTGATAGTATTCCTGACAAATTTCACGTTCTTTATCCGCCAGCATGTCTGCAGATAGCTGCACTGAGCAACGGTCGTCCAGGGACTTGTCGCCGCATATCTTCCCATTTCCTCCTCCACCCACCCACACCATCCATCACACAGGTGGTCGGAGTACCTTCTGTCGTAGATATCTCACCAAGAAGACCAGCTATAACTGCTTGCTGCTTCGGATTGTGAGACGCAGCACAGGCAGCAATCAGGCAAGGCGTCACATAGCAGGCTCCTAGCGGCATATATCGATCTGGTATCTGGCTTACAGCAATGCTTTCCTCGACGAGCATGTCATTTTCAGAAAGCAAATTTGTGTCGAGCGAGGAGGACTCTTGAAGAACCGTATTAACCATCAATGCCAGCGTAAGCACAGTAGCAAGTCGCGTTTGGTTTCCGAGTTGAATCTGGGGAGAGGGTTGATCCGTAGACGGTTCGTTGTTGAAGAAGAGAGACTTTGGTAGGCGATTTAATTTCTCCAAGTCGCTTAGTAGTAAGTTGTAATTGAATTGGAGATCGGAGGAGCGGTGCGCCGGCTCGCGGATCATCTGTATGGTCTCAATTATGCGGCGCAGCTCTAGGCTCGGAAACCTGTCTGGGCTTTTTCTCATTGCTTCAGTATGCAAGTGGCGGTCTTCAGCGGATTTTGGAGCTTCGACTTTTTCGAGCACATTCCACACCCATGGCTCTAGATTTATTCGGGGATTGCCCAAGCTTTCCATGACCTGGGGCTAATTTAGCTGTGACCTCGCATAGTTAGTTCAGGGAGAGCTTCGTACCACGATGCCAGTGAGTGTCAGGAGAGTTTCCAGCTCAAACTTAGACTTCCAATTCCAGTGGGCCGTCATCTGCAATAAATGCAACAAAATCTCTATATGGGATACGCGCGGCCTATTCGTCCGGTTATTTATTAGATCCTGTAGCTAATATTAGTGGTCTGACATATACCCCTTGGCTAGAAATACCGTGTACATCATTGAGCATAGTGAAATATATGGCCGTTGCAATCTCAGCAACCTGTCCATCGAGAGGCATCTTCAAGCAGTCCCGCAGGGCTGTCAGCGCCTTCCCATGCTTGACAAGTGCCTGCACGGGATACTGGTCCAAGTGTAAATTTGAATAAACAGTAGCAAATGTATCTGCTGCTATGTCAAGGGCGTTGTTAGCCCCAATGCGCTTGGGGATAAGATGTAGAAAAGCGCCAAAGCAGTTCGTGTCGTAACGAATATCCCTGACTTCGAGCCTGGATATCAAGTGCCCAGTAATGAGCGTCGTCCGGTTGCTGGAGACTATGCGTAGGGGCTCTAATCCCGTGGCATTTCGGTTAATGAATTTGTATCGTTGTTGGCCAACGCCAAAGCACTTGATCTTGAGCTGTGCGCATCTAGCGCAGACAGGCATTGCCAGATTGCACTGGGTTGGGCCGTCAGCGGTGGCCTTGTGGGTTCACGTCAATGTTTGCTGACCTTCTTCTTTCGCTTGCGACATTCATCGCATGCTCGGCTTGACGGTACTCCTGGCATCGTGAAGGCGAGATGTGGAGGAAAGACTTGCACACCAGGTGTAGATCAGGTGATACAGTAATGCCTTTTGGCCCCCAGAGCCACTTACGTCTCCCCCGCACCCTACTTCCACCTACGTCTACAATTATCCACGATGCCATCAAAATGCACCGTGTCCTTGTGGAAACCCAAGGTATGTGAGAACAACGCCGAAAACGACATTCTGCCATGACTTCTAGCGACAAGCCCCCCTACAAAGCAGACAATACTTAGTTATGAAAGTTCAACTAAATCGCCGTTTATCCTACTTCGTCTATACTCCTTCGGGTCCCAAGTAGTCAGTAATGATACAGGTTGTGTGTAATAGGCAATTTTTGTGGAAGGAAGTAACGAGTCTATCTAGTGTTCGTCTTGCTGGTAAGCAGCCTTGCATTCGGCGTTTAACCGTACGAGATCACGGTAGAAACCCCTCGCCTCATCTCTCTCAGCCTGGGTCATTTCCCCTCCCTTGCTAGGTACGACGTCCACCTATGGGTGGCGAGGTGGTTGCGGAGCTGCTCTGCTACGGACAGGGGTTTCTGCATCGGGCCAGTAATCGATTTTTTGTCGGCAGCTACTGATGGAGCCCACCTACGGTCCGGTGGACGCATCGATCATCATCGGATCCCCGGTTAAGGTAGACGCGCTACACCTGGATATTCTGTACAAAGGTGGGACTATGCATTTTGGTGGAATGGTGGGAAGATTAAGATCAAGAAGACAAAGACTTTCATTTTATCTTATCAAACTGAGTGTATCCTAAAGCAGGTGCGAGCTCATATCATTGCTACTTCCTTGTATGAAAGTGAGTGAATCGGCACTTGGCGCTCTAGGAAGAAGAGTGAACGGGATGTCTCTCAATATATAAAATAGATAGATTCCCAGACGGAAAGTGATAGAAACGTTGACAAGGCGATTATTATCTATTTGAAGCAAGCAGTTGAGAGTATTGTTGGTCATAATAGGGAGAGATTCAACATGAAAACAGAACGTTGCGGAAGGGAGTATTCTTTTCATATGAGCATCTAGCAGATTAAATGGGAAAAAAAAGGATATTTTCGCAATATACCGCAGACCATTAGCTGTTTTCTACATACAAGGCGAAAGCTCCTTCAAAGTAAGCCTCTATAGATAGTCTATAATGTATCATTTACTATCTGTTGAAGGCTGGAATCTGGTAAAATTATATAATTGCTACCTTGAATGAGGGTATTGTTCTCACTCGACGTGATTATCTACTGTCTTTGTGTATGTATCCTTTGATCTTTTTTCAGTGATCTTTCGTGCAATGTATATTTTCTCTTTGTCTCCTTTCTTGTTCAACTGAAAGAACCTGCAGGTTCATTGTCCGAATCCATTCATTGAAGAGCGCTCAACTGTCCGGCCCAAGTATAAGTAGCGGCCCAAGTCGCTGTCCTCGATACACATATCAGCACACTTCGTGCTTCATCGTCTGATACAGCACAATTACCTACAGATACCTATACCTTGGGCATGATCCAATATTTCATTCGTTTCTTTGCATAGTATTGTGCTACCTACCTGTCAGTTTCTCTGTCCCTCCCCCACCTTTGCTAACCATGGCTTCATGTCTAGGAACATATCTGCTGAAGATCAGCACTCTAGTTTTGGGACTAGCAATCATGGTGATCATGATTCTTGTCAAGGAGTGGACCCAGTATCAAGCTGCGCAGTTCTGGCCGAAACTGCCAGTCACTGGCCCTCCAGACCTCGAATCCAGTTTCGCTTTTAGCGCGGAAGCCTGGCGGATGAGGGAGCTAGAGGCATCTTGGTCGCTTTATCCCTTACGCCTTACCCACCTTTCGCAACTACTGAATTTGATGGCCTCAAGCCACTAAGACCGGACGACTCGATGTCTACCTCGACTTACTATTTCCATAGTTAAGGAGGTAGCTTGGACGTTTGAGATCGTTTGGTTACGGTGGGCTAGCCCCAAAACCCTTATCCAATACTTCATCTTTCGAGGCGGCTCACCTTGATGGATTGGAGTGGGTAGGGCCGTCGGCTATGGACTTGCACTTCTTCGCAGTGCTGATGACTAGTAACCCTTTCGGGTGAAGCTAAGCCAAGTCCAAATGCCCTATGATAGGTATCGCCATTGAGATTATACTGATCATAGTTCATGAAAATTATTACTGTCATGATATACGATCTTTACTAACTTGTCATGATGGGCACTGCTAATTGAGAATACCTCTTATGGCTTTGTATTGTATTTTACGACGACACCATCAAAAAATTTGTATTCATTTGCAAAGTCTTTACAAAGAGCATTGTTACTCTTCAGTGCCTACCGAATTGCTACGAGTTACGAATATGACGATCACGACAAATATAATGTGCTAATCAACACTTGATACCTTACAACACTCAGACGCAAAATCAAAAATCAAAAAGCACTCATGCTCTATAATATATAATTCTCTATTCAAGGTTGTTCAATCAATCTCGGCTCTGTCGGCTTCCTTCACTTTTCTTTGTTGCCATTGCTTGCCAACGAACACAACGCTTTTGGTAAACCCCAACCTCATTTCTGGCAGCTATATGAAGTTCCGACCCCCACATATATTCTCAACATACCAGGCCTTCATACTTCCAGTTCACATCCCAGGATCCATTGCAACATCGCAACCATGGCCTTCCTAAATTCAGTCATCAACGAAAGGCAGAGAGATAAATCTATTGCTATTCCTAGTAAACACTCAAGTATTCAAGTGGTGTAAATGAATACCCCAGTATAGCCTAAATCACGTGTTTCAATCGAGTCATCGCCGCCATCTTCTTAGGTCTCACTCATGAAACGTTGATTTGAACATTATCACACTAAATCTGTCATTCGTACATCCATAAAACCCTTTTTGCCATGGAATCTGAACCGCCCTCAGCAATGTGTTCCCTTGAACCTATTGATCTACAGAACGAGGACCAATTCAACGAGATGAGAAGGCAGCGCCTCATTTGTGGATGGGATTCAAACCTACAAACTTTACAAAGTTGGAAAGAAAAAGACAAGATAAAAAGACTATTCTGGATCACGATTCCTCACCCCAGTATTGGAAGCAACACTATCCGCACTGGTCACATCTCACTCGACGCATCATCTGGACTACTTGAACCCGACATCGCACCCGAAAACAGAACGGAACTTTCCATCAGCTCTTTCTTTATTCTACCAGAGTACCGCTCATTAGGGCTTGGGAAGAGAGCAGTGAACTTAGTTGAACAGATGGCTACTACTGAGCGGTTCGGAAACCCAAATTGCCGATTTATTACACTGACAGCGTTGAGTAAACGTTATATCTACAATAAGGCGCCAGAATGGCAAGGTGTCTGGGCGAGACTTGGTCTTTCTCCACCTTCGTTCAGCATCCAAGAGTGGTATGAAAGTCTTGGGTATGTTGCCTGGAAGGAGGAGCCTATTACCGAAGAAAAAGGGATAGATGGGCAGATTATCTTGCTGTGGGAAGCATTCATGAAGAAGGATCTACAATCAAATATTGATATTGTGGTTTGCTGAGTCTTTGTTGCGCTATATGACTATCTTTTTTCCATTGAGTTGTTCGGTCTTCAATGTGTCGAGATCAACATCTTTCAACGTCCGTCCCTAATTTTCCGTAAGCGAAGCAACCACAAGAACTCCGAAAAGTATAGGGCTTACATTGACAGCCACAATATCTTTGTATTCACCCTCCTCTGAGTAAATGTAGACACTAGTTCCGCAGTTACGACAGAATGTATGGTGAAACATCATGGTTCCGAAGAGATACTCCTATTCCTAGCTGTTAGTTATGAGAAGTATTTGATTATGACAAATAGTAAAGCAGAGAGATATGGAGCATGATACGAGCCTTGGCAGCGTCTGCACTATGATGAAAGGTAATGTTGGTCTTTTGAACATAGACCATGATATAACCGTTGATACTGCAGATAGAGCCTGTATCAACTCCAGTATATTAGCATTTGCTCATTGCCTTCCGCAACTCAAAGGCGAGACCTGTACAATTGCAAGTATTGACAACCTGCTCTTCTACAGGAGAAGGGAGCTTTGCCGTGTAGCTGACTTGTCCACAGTGACAGCTGCCCTCGTATGAAATCAAGCTAGCTTGGGCTTCCGACATTATGAAATTGAATAGAACTGCGTTCAAATGATTGAGATGGGTCGACACAAGAGGGGCTATCCGGAGCAATTTGAGGTGCAGCGCGGTTTATATTGCCATGCATATTCCCCTCAATGGACTGCGCCTTTGCGCCGAGATCTTCAAGTCCAAAGCTCTTTCAAATAGGTTGCAGTAATCTTGGTGGCAGTGACTCCACGCTAAAGTGTAACTGTAAATACGAGCTACGGGCTGATGTGGTATACCCAATCACTGTGAAAGCGTCGGAATACCTCGTACATAGATCAGGTGGATGACGCAATGCAACTAGGTCAGGTAGCAGTGCTTCAATTGTCAGCTGATATGCCTTTTTATGTGAATGCATTCGAAATGTACACAAAGTATGGAAATTTTTGGGAATAGTAATTCACTCCATGCTAAGGTAAAATAACCAGGTATGCATCGTCATCTTCATCTCCGCTTCGTTACAAAAGACAAGGACTGGTCCTTGTGTATGCAATTTCGACTTCGCTATCTGTTCAACCGTACATACCATCCCACTCCTCCTCTTCATCTTCTTCAACAAGCTTCTTACGCGCCTCAACCTTCTCCCTCTGCTGCTTCGCGAAATCCACTCGGTCAAGTGGACACGTTCCGCGCAAACGTAACCAAGGCCGCACACATTCCATGTCAAAGCGGTGTGTAGGGTGACAGGGCAGCTGGACGACGAGCGGGTAAGGATCTTCAACGAAGGGGTTATTGCAGATGGGGCAGATATCGGAATCGTTGAGTTTGGCTTTGGGGACACGTTCGAGCACTGTAGAAATTGAACGCGGTTAGCAATGCTGAGATGGACGGGCGGAGGGGACTAGGGAAGCATCTTACTATCGCAGAATTCCTCACTAACGCCCTCAACTTCACGCGGGGGTGTATCAGCCTGCGAAAGAAGCGACTGGATCATAGTGGTCAACAGGTCGTCGCGGTGCTCTGTGATGGTGTTATCGGTGCCTGCTTGCGCCTGGGGGTTCGGCTCGGTGTCTGCATCGCGGCGCATCATCTCAAGCGCTTCGGCAAGAGAGTAGAACGCTGCGCTGATATCTCCTGGTACTGGGACGGCATGGGGTCTGTGGTCTGGGGCGGGTGTGATCTCGGAGAGAGCAGAGAAGAAGGTGGAAAGGTCGGGGCGACGGCGGCGTGGCTGTTGGGCCGTTGAGGGGTCGCTTGTGTTATGTTCAACTGGAATAGAGTCAGCATCGTGGCTTTCGCCTTGCGATGATTAAGAGCTTGTACTTTCGTAGGTCGACATGGTGGGCTGCGGGGGAATCTCAAGCTTTCGGAGCTTGTGTAATGGGAAAGAAGGCGGGGAGAACCCGTCTGTGACAACTGTGAAACTTCCCTGGTTTTCACTTGAGGTTGGGAGATGCAATGAGGGAAGAGGAATTGTAAATTACAGTATTGGGGGAATTGAAGGAATTGGGATGTTCAGGTCCCGAAGGCAGCAGATCGATAACGCGGCCGCCCGCCTGTGATTGGCTCTTCAATGTATAACTTCAACCTTTTTATTAAACAGTTCTCAACCATTTTGACCGTTGTCACTCTTCAATTTATTGCTAGATAACTCCCTCTCGCTCAGCCATTCAATTTAGAACGGCTCCTCTTCAATTCCACTCTGCACTCTATTAGAAGCATGGGGTTGACTTCATAAGTTTGTACCTACCGAGAAGGATAGGTACGATGACATTCGATGTGATGCAATCTTCCTAACCCCAGGCAGATGTTGATGCTGTCAACTAGTAAAAGCATTTTTAGTTTGTACTACCTCCAATGCATCCAGTTTAGTATGACTGAAGTAGCTCAGAAGATGAATCATTTTGCCATAAAAAATAGTCCTACAAATCTAAGTCATTTCTGTGCAAAGTGATAAAAAAAACGACGGGTTATCCACAGCATTCTAACCCTATTTGCGTATTATAACTAGCCCGTAACCAAGCGAAATCGCTAGCAGGTCTTGAGTTGTTCATTCCTCCCACGTGACAGCTCCTACCTGGGGTACTCTCGGAAGGGACTGACGGACCATATCCCATTGTAATCTGCAATGTCCTGTACACAAGGGGGATTATGAGGAGAGCTTTTCGATACCCTCCCAGGTGCATAGAATTTTCTCGAGAATCGAATCTCATGCTCAGTGGCATCATTGGAAGGTTAGGTCCATCAAGTCTGGCGGGAGGCGAAAGATCGATGGCGCTGGCTGCCTCTTATAGAAAATGTATCTCCATCCTATGTCCGCAGCCAACAGAGAGCCGGCTAGCAGAGTTGTTATCAGTGGCATATCAGGATGATCTAGACTGAGGGTTAGAAGAGACAAGAGTAGAGACTGGAGAAGAACAGGATATGTTTCTCTCAAGCGTCATGCCGATTAGTTTCAATCAATCCCTTCTAAAGTTCTTTGCCAATTGAAATTGCGAATGTGTATATATTTCTATACCTAGGTAGACTCCCAACTCTACGGTCTCAGGGGCCTAAACTATAAGACTAAAACTGTATCTGATAGGGGATTTTGATTGAGCAAGTATCTTGCCAGCTAATAATTAGGACAATGTCTTGATACGTTCAGGTGGCGACAGTTGCCCCGGTCAACGATGTGTATACCCGTGTGGAGCAAGATCGGCAGGACGGGAGTCGGTCTGGGGCAACGGAGCTAAACGCGTTAGTGTGATGTTTGATGTTTACTCTATGGCCTGAAGGAAATTGGTGTTAGCTTGAGGGAGCAGTGTACAAAGGGTTGTATGAAACTGGAGGTTTGGGTTATTAATGTGAAACATTCGATCTACGGTAAAACAGGTAAAACAGATTTGCATGCTTCCAGTATCCTATAGACGGAGTAGTTGTAGCTACAATATTCTGATATTTGGGTCTTAATTCGACTGCAATTGTACTTATTCGAATCATTTCCTCTATATCTATTGTTTCCGTAGCTATAATAGCAGTAATGTACAGCCAAGTGTCCAAGACCCTACGCAATGCACAGCCCAGATCGTTTATTAATAGCCGTGACGCACGCCCGTGTGGAGCGCCGATCATATTTACCTTGGCTTATGTAGGGGTTCTCTGCCACTTCCACCTTTCATCCTTGCATCTATCCAACATGCGATCGAAACCCTCAGTCAAGCCCTCGGCTTACCCGCCACTGCCATTCCACGCGATTCGCTTCTTCAGCTTCCTGTCCGCCATCGTGGTCGGCGCAATCCTAGCCCTGTTTATCTACCACCTCCATGCCGATGGCTACAAATTACCATATTCATTCCTGGTGGTACGCAGCTCCCCAAGATCAACAAAGCAAATCAACACAAATGACTGACACTCTAATAGCTCCTCATCGCAGCAGCCCTCTCCCTCCTAAACATTCTCCTAACAACCTTGATCCACTGCAGCTGTGGCCTTTCCCCAAAACTCTCAATAACAGCAAACGCAATCCTCCTCATCCTCTGGGCCATCTCCCTAGGCCTAATCTGCTGGTCGCTCTCCAGCACAATAACAGCATCCTGCACAACAACATACTGGGGCAACTCAACCGGCATCTCAGTCTGCCGCAGCTACAAAGCCCTCTTCACATTCACGATCATCGGCCTGGTTTCACACATCGCCGCGCTATGGCTGGATATTATTGTCCGGCGCCGCCAGAATCGCTTTGGCACATACGGCGCTATGGGGTCGCAGCCTGGTCTGGATGATTCTGGTGCCTTTGATGTTAAGATGGATGATCATTATGCTCACAATCTTGGCACTGGGTACCGGAATGAGCATTTGAGGGGTGGAAGTGAAGCTACGCCTGCCCTGCAGGATTTTGACAATTTGCCACCGACCAATCCCAATTCTAGTGCTACTATGCATGGTGCCGGGCCGTATGGGTATGAGCATGAGGCTCATGGGGAGGTGGCGCATGCTGGTGATGCACAGGACTATTATGGGTACGATTCTGGCGGCATGAGCCACCGTGGGAGACAGGGGTATCGGGATCCGTATCAGAGGGAGCACACAGGTTATGATCCTGCGGCGTATCGCTGAGTGGTGGTCGGTGATGGAATGATGGGTTTTCTTTTCTTCATGACAGCAAGCGGTTACTTTACGATATATCTTTTGAGGAATTGGCGAAGGCGCTTTCAAAGGATTCAATTCATTATTGGCATGTGTGATATCTGGAACAAAAGCATCGAGACAAGACGGAAAGCAATGCGAGAAATCAAATCTAACGACCCTTCATTTTGGTTCCAGATAGACTAAAATCTTGTAGATCGTTACGCTCACGAAACAAATATCCATCCGAACAGTAGACAGATTGAGGTATTTTAAAGACCGAAACATTGCACGTTTACATAATGACCTCGTTGGCGACATCCTGTAAACAGTGTTAGTGACTGGGACAAACGACTCAAACGATTCAAACGGGGATGGGGAGTACTGACCCGCTTGAGTTCCTTGTAAGGCAAGCACACGCAGTTCTGAACGCGGACCTCGTCGCCGACACCACACTCCTTACCCAGAATGGTAATGCTCTGCACCTTGATGCCGTGCTTCACAATGCTGGTCGAGTGACTTCCAATGGGAATGGGTGTTCCCTCGACGCGAGCCCAGGCACCGACGCGGCTGCTCCAACCGATGATGGAGTGCATGACACAAGCGTCGTGACGGATCTCAGCGTCCTCGAGCACAACCGAATCCTTGATACGAGCACCGGCGCCGACAACGACACGAGGGCCAATCGAGACATTCGGTCCAAGCTTGGCGGTGGGGTCGACAGTAGCGGTGGGGTGAATGTACACAGGGGGCACGATGGTGGCAGAGGGGGCAGTCAACTCAGGAGACTCGGCCTGGAATGCCTTCTGAAGGTACAGGGCATTGGCGGGAACGGCAGAACCAGCGGTTTTGATCTGGCGCCAGAAGTCCTTGGTCTCATGGACGAAGAAGCGGTTGCTATCAGCCAAATCGGATAGAATGTCCTGCTCCAGACGAAGAACCTCGTTCTTCTCGGCATCCTCATCATCTCCCATGGCGACGAAGGAAGACTCCAGGTTATCGGAGGAGGGGTACGACAGCAGGCGGGGCCGGGTGGTGCGACGCTTGATGGCACTGCGAATGGCGGGGAAGATACACTCGGTGGCGAAGAGGTAAACACCGCAGTTGATCAGGTTGGAGATGTGCGACTCGGGCTTCTCGACATAGTGGAGGACACGCTTGGTGTGGGAGTCGGAGACGATGCATCCGAAGTTGGTTGCGGCATCGTTGGACACGCGTGTACCCAGGATCACAGCCTCGGCATCCTTCTCATCGAACAGGCGCATCATCTCGCCCAGAGGGAACGAACAGCAGACATCGGCGTTCAACACAAGCAGGCGCTCGGGCTTGCCCTTGAGGATGGCATCACGGAAGTGGTACAGGCCACCTGCGGTGCCCAATGCGGTGTACTCGCGGAGATACGAGATGCGGAACTGGGGGAATTCCTTCGACGCATCCTTGATGAAGTCGCGGAACACGGTCTCGTCATAATATCCAACCAGAAGAACCTCGCGCACATCGGGGACCTTGGCCACCGCCTTCAGGCAGTGGTGAATGATGGGGTGGCCGGCGACTTCGAAAAGGGGCTATGAGGAACGGGGGTCAGCTCCTTGCTTGGTGCACGTGAAGACGTGATCATGTAGCAGAAATGCACGTACCTTGGGCACATCAAGCGACAATGGGCGGAATCGAGTACCTCTCGAGGGACCTCCGACCTGTGGACAAGCTGTCAGCTATGGGACGGCGGCGATCATTCCGTTACTCACCAAGATCACGGCCTTGGTGGAGGCCTGGCTAGAATGCTCCCGCACAGGAACTTGAAGCATTGCGACAAAAGGGTATGAGTTATGGAGGAAGTTCAGGCACTCCAAAACAAAGTCAAGGAGGAAGATGCCAAGACGACGCTTTCGGTGGGGGACTCACCTGACATCAACGTTTTACTCCATTGGGTTTCTACACACTCTACAATACGGCCTACAACACGCTCCTAAATACGCTCTGCAACACGCTTTACAATACTCTCTACTCTATGCGGAGTTTTGCTTCGTGAATCCTCCGTACTCTTGTTATAGAGCTTCACACCTTCGTTGAACTCCATCACTTCTCGCTGTTCATCCTCCGACAGGCGGAACCAGTCTTAGTACTATTGACGGGCAGGCCGTTGTCACGCATGTGGCAGCGCAGGTTTGAGACTGTGGTGAAGCCATCCTGCAATCCATTAGCAGGAGCCTCCAAACATCACTACAATGCTCGTAGTTCGAACGTATGGGTAGGTTGTACTCACTCTAGGAAGATTCCTCGCTTTGCTCCTGAAATTACATCATGGCAGGGGCTGCAACGGCAGCCGTGGGTACGGAAATAGAAGACGGAGAGATTCAAAAGTGGAAAGTTGGTATTTATATCAGTATTATGTTGAGAAATGAGTATTCCACATATTCCAATAGTTGTTTCAATCAGTATTTCAGCTTCTGCAGTGTAGATCGGACTCTTAGCTCCGAATGCTGTTTACATACCCTTCCTCTGAAAGGGTAAGCCTAATAGAACACTTCATCTATTTATCCGTCATTGGACTAAAGACAAGGAGAGGCATCTTCAGGTCCACGAAGCTCCCTCTTTACGTTACAGCGCATATCACATCTACACTAGAAGGAGTTCATGAGTGTTTGACCGGAAGATTCTGATTCATGTGTGGTTCAAGGTACAACTGTTTTAGCCATTCCCTGGATCCTGGTGAATGATTATCCCCGTGTTAATTGGGTCGAAAAAATAGCAGCAAATGGAGGTATTGGGCGTATATCCAGTTTGCCATTGGCAATAAAGGGCGTTTCAGTGTCAAGATCTCCTTGCTGGAACTTGTGATAACTCTTGGATTATATATTCCCCTCTCACTAAAATACCGGTTTATGTACAACATTTTCAATTATTCTATCCTCATCCTCTTCTATATTCCCAACAATGGGGGACTCGACTAGTATTGCACCTCTTGTCAGAGACAATTCCGTGAGTAAAACTAGCTGCCATGTAAACTGTGAACCTTGAACAGGACAATAATAACGTCTATAAATACTTCAATACAATCATCAAAAGTGATCACCGACGACACGCTTGACACGGAAATGATGCATCACTAGGGTTGGTACACTCACGGAGCTATCCCTGACCAGTCGAGTCCACGATTGCTGGGAATATAGAAGATGAGACCAGAAAGACCGAAGGAGTTGGTATTCGTATCAGTACCGTGGTGAGAAGTTTATAGCTTAAGAGGTACTGCAAGACATGTCTCAAAACGTATCCCAATGCGATGCGTATTTCAACCAGACTTTCAACCGAATTTATATAGCTCTCAGTCTTCGACTATGGTATGATCACCCCATCTACTGCCATTAAAGCAGGTACACTTATGATAAGAAGAATCTGTTTTGGAAACATACTCATAACACAATATTGGGTATTTCATTCTTGAATAACATTCACCAGTTGTATGCCACTTATCAACTAGATCTTTAGAGTCCGTGAATAAGCAACGACGAACAAATCCTAAATGGACAGACGCGTAAAAATCACAGTTCCCATATCCTGCAATAGGAAACGACTCGTCATTGATTAAAATTCATTATCCAGCTTTGAGCCCACCATTTCAATACCCCCATTTCTGAGGCTTGAGATCCATTTTTGCGCTTTGGCAAATTTCTCTCGCTCTTTGTACAGAAAAGCACGACGATTCTGGCGCTCTGCGTCTTCAGCCATCAGTTCAAGACAACGTTCGCGTCCTAAATGAATGATTAGCGAGATCTCAACTTCCAGTTCTGGATGTAACTCTTACCGTTGTCCCCAAAGATCTGGAGCTCGTCCCGAATGCTGTTGACTAGGTCTCCACGACACTTTCTTATCAACTTGGTATGAGCAGACTGACACAACACATCCAGAAAACGAGAACGAGCGATCTCATAATAAGCAAGTGAGCTCTGCATGAAATAATTAGCCAACGGTCAGAAACAAGTGTCCGAAGAACTGCCAAGACAAGGGCCTGGGTGATGTTGTAACGTACGGCCATCATCTCGATTTCCTGACCATATTGATCCACACCTAGATCCTCCTGAGTAATCTTCTTCTTCCTGTCGGCAATCAGTTTCTCATCCGTCATATCGTAGCCTCGGACTTTCAACCAGGCGTTTGAACGGGCGTTGAAACGTCGTGCCTTGAGTGTCTCGAACGCTTGCTTCATGAGCACTTGGTGCTGCGTCTGGGCCATTGTAAATGGCTGTCCATGCTCGCTGCGCCAATAGTCCTGGACATATTTGAGGTGCTGGTCTCGAAGATTAAACAAATAACTCTCTAAGATTCTATTCAACTCCTTGTACAACCCGGTTTGGTGGTATTCTGTGAATTCCTCCTGTAGAGCGGTAAGAAGGGTCTCCTGCACCAGACTGTGCAAGGCATTGATAAAAGTGTCGGTCAATTGTCCCCAGTGCTCAATGCTCTTCTTGTTGAGGTTGTCAATTGCCCGGGGGTCAAGCTGGTTCGGGACTCCCACAGTATTTGACCGGATCTTGATCTCTGATAGCGCCTCCAATGTGAAACGATGAGTAGCTCCTTCACGGTCATCGAAGAGCTTGGTGTTGAATGTGGCCTTTTTGGCAGAGGCTGAGACCGACTTGGACTGAGGTTTATCTTCCACCTTCACGTCCACAGACAGCTTGCGTTTCTTTGACGAAAATCTGACCATCTGGATCTCGCAGTCTGAATCTTCCGCAAGGTCCTCGTTATCTGTTGATGCATTCATGTCAAGAACGGGACGCGTTCTCAACAAGGCCAACTGAAAGTCCATGACAACACGATTCCAATCCTCTTGCAAAGGCTTTTTGGTTGTTGGGCTCACGCTGGAGTTGCCATCAAATACCCCCTGAACTATGTGCTCGAAGTCGGATGTTTTGCCCCACAGGATTCTCTGGACATCTTCGGTTGGGGGGTTTGGTAGGCTGCTCAGTTCCGTGTTGATAGCATCAACCTTTTCGTCAATCTGAACAATGATCGAGGGCAAACATCCGAGAATTTGTTTTCGAAGCAGATCAGACAGTGAGCTCTGAAGCTTTGCAGTGCCGAATAAGCTTGCATACGCTGCCAGCTCTGCATTCCAAGGTGGTTCTGCGAAAAACATCTCTTCCTCCATTCTTGCCTGGACGTGGCTGACGAACGGATCGGGGTTGTTTTTTATGACAAAGTATCCATGCCCCAACGTAAACTTCTTCCGGTCTAGAATCTCAATCCACTGATCAAACGACTCGGCATTGGACATGCGGTCCGGCTTGGTCAAAACTCCCAGGGTTCTCTCCTTGGCGCCTTGGATGTCGCGGATAATACGGGCAGTACTGGAGTTTGTTGCATCATCCGTCATGGGCATCGTGAGAATCACAATGCAATTCTTTTGCGACACGTAGTTTTTGACCAGATTCTCGACGAGCCGAACAAGGTACTTCTCGCCGTCATGCTCCGTTTGGCTGATGACACCGGGGAGATCATAGAATGAAAGATTAGGCAATCCAGGACCGGAAATATCCAGGCGCACCGCGTTTGGTGAGAATTTGACTAGAGCTGTCTTCTGTGTAGCTGTGGCCCGGTTGTTGCCCGGGACAAGCTCCTGGGAGTTCATCTGTGGGTTCAGCACAGCAAGCTGTGCTAACCAGATCGCTTCTCTAACCTCGCTCTTGTTGACTAGCGTCTTGAAGTGCTCGTCTTCGTTGCTCCCCGATTCAATCCAAGGTCCCAGTGGCTTTGCTTTGGTGGGAAGCTGTGTACCCCGGCCGCAGTTGTCTGGCAGATACGTGTATCTGCGTGCGATGTGGATCACGCATTGCCAAGGGTGATCACTGTCAGAGAGGTTTATCTCCATGGGGCAACGAGTACAAGTTCCCGTGTCCCGAGGAACTTTTATTTCAGAAATTCCCTCGATGAGGGAGCTCTTTCCCGTGCTTTGATCTCCGACCACACAAATCTTGGGGAGAACAATTCTGCTGTCCTCGATCCCTAGATGACGGAGATCCTGGATCTTCTGTACCAGGCTTTTCATCTCCATAGCGTAGTAATGAAAAGGGCCTTTCTCGGCGGATTGGCTCGATTGAGTGGGAGCATTGGCGCGGAGTGACATATTGGCTAGGAAGAGAAAGTAAATTAGTAAAGGATATCTGCATTATTTGCGGAGACCAGGCTCACAAAAGAAGGGGTCCATCTCGTCTTTCGGGACTGGGGGTTGCTTGGTTGAAGCCATAAGAAGATCGTGAACCTGAGCAGAGAGAGGTTGTAAGTAAAAAGAACAGACTCCAAGAGACCAGACAGAGGGGCCCCAAGAGCTTAGCGGGGCATTTGACGAAGCTGAAAGACGTACCGAGATTTTATTGAGAGAGAAAGGAGGTTGTGCAGCTCACAGACTCGACTGAGCAAGACCTGAGTGAGGCTCAACGAATGAGGAGGATGGGGATGAGGAATGAAGCTGGAGAGAGAAGAAAGAGTAAAGAGGAGGAATGAGGATGGAGGATGAGAAAAGAAAGCTGATGGGTAGTTGCGAAAGGGAGAGAAACAAAACAGGAGAGCCAGAGTGATTTCTCAAATAAGAGCAGTTGGAGTTCAGTTGGAAAGGGGAAGATGGTAAACAGCACAACCTCTAGTGTGACATATCCAGCTCTGATCAATTTCCTACTCTACGCATGTGACAAGGTTTTGGCAACCTCAGTTGCACATCGAAAGTCTTTGCGATTCTTGGGCATACGATGTAGATATCAAATCGAAGGCCTGGCCATGGCATGAGGATGGGTCATGTGAGACCGGTAGTGAAAGATTAATGCATCAGTATAGCAGGTGTCAGATATACAGGTGTATATGGGTTTATGAGTACTGGATCCTTTTTCGAAACGAGTGTATTTTCTTCTATATTGATTTGGTCCTGCTTTGGCGACTCTTTTTCACCTCTTCTTCAACACCTCTTTGCCTATTCTAGAGTACCTGAGGCTAGTCATCTAGATCATACAAACATGAGGAGTGTGAAAGGATCTTTGTCCGTTTAATTAAGAGGCTCATCAACATAATATGTTTGGCCTGGGTCGTCGCTCAGTATTTCGAGACATGTTCACAATATGAATTGGGGATTCACTTCTAAAAATTTCTCGACTTGTCTGTGGACGACTGTTAAAACTGACTACTATACTTTCTATAATTTTGCAGTCATATAATGTAAAACGTAGTGGACAAAAATGGAGTTATGTCTAGACATGAGGTTGTATAGATCGAAAGTAGCCGAAAATGGCATGGCGGGGTAAAACCCCACTGACGTGCCCTAAACCCTAACTTCCCAATTGAGTTCCTATGAATTGATGAATAGGGAAGAAAAGGAGCATGATTAAGAATAATAAGGGGCAACCAATTGACATGGATTCCTACAGGATTAAAGCATTAATGCAGTGAGTCAATGTAGATGAGTCAAGAAAGATTTACTACTTAGGCCCAATCAGGCGGCATGCCGATCCCGCCCAAAAATTCAAGTGTCCCTCCTTCATCCCACCATCCACTTTTGTTTCCTCAACACAGACATTATGGCGGACTCCAACCCTGTTAAGGAGGCTGAGGCCTCCATGGCCAACCTTCTCCTCGACGAAGTCACCGGCGAGAAGGTCTCCAAGACCGAATTGAAGAGACGCCAGAAGAAGCGCGACAATGACGCCAAGAAGAAGGAGAAGGAGGCCGCCGCTCCTCCCAAGGCTAAGGCCGAGAAGAAGACCTCCGCTGAGGATGAGGAGGCCAACCTGACTCCTAATGTGAGTGACTCTGGTACTATGCGCGCATGGCGGGGTGATTGGAGCTAATCGATATGTCATTTGTAGCAATACTTCGAGATTCGGAGCAAGAAGATCAACAAGCTGCGCGAGACCAAGCAGCCCGATCCCTACCCTCACAAGTTCCAGGTCGACACCGACCTCCGCCAGTTCCTCAAGGATTATGAGGGTCTCCAGAAGGGCGAGCAGAAGACCGATGTTTCCGTTCGCATCGCCGGCCGTATCTTCACCAAGCGTACCTCCGGTAACAAGCTGAACTTCTACGATATCCGCGCCGAGGGTGTCAAGGTCCAGGTCATGTGCCAGGCCCAGAATGCCACTGGCAAGCCGTTCGAGGAGCAGCACGAGCTCCTCCGCCGTGGTGATATCGTCGGTATTGTCGGTTTCCCCGGTCGCACTTCTCCTAAGAACCGTGACGATGGTGAGCTTTCCATCTTCGCTACTGAGGTCATCCTTCTGGCTCCTTGCCTGCACGCCATTCCCTCCGAGCACTACGGATTCCAGGATAAGGAACAGCGTTTCCGCCAGCGCTACCTTGATTTGATCATGAACGACCGCTCCCGTGACATCTTCCGCACTCGCGCCAAGATTGTCAGCTACGTTCGCCAATACTTCGATAGCCGTGACTTCACCGAGGTGGAGACTCCTATGATGAACGCGATTGCCGGTGGTGCCACCGCCAAGCCCTTCATCACTCACCACAACGACCTTGACATGAACTTGTTCATGCGTGTCGCTCCTGAGCTCTACCTCAAGATGCTGATTGTCGGTGGTCTCGAACGTGTCTACGAGCTCGGCCGTCAATTCCGTAACGAGGGTATCGATCTCACTCACAACCCCGAATTCACCACCTGTGAATTCTACTGGGCTTACGCCGATGTCTACGACGTTATGAACCTGACTGAGGACCTGATTTCCGGTCTGGTCAAGAAGATTACTGGTGGATACGAAACCACCTTCCACACCCAGTCTGGCGAGACCTACAACGTTAACTGGAAGGCACCCTGGAGGCGAGTGGAGATGATCCCTGCCCTCGAGGAGGCCTGTGGAGAGAAGTTCCCTCCCGGTGACCAGCTCCACACCCAGGAGACCAACGAGTTCCTTAAGCGCATGCTGAAGAAGATGAAGGTCGACTGCTCTCCTCCTCAGACTAACGCCCGTATGCTCGACAAGCTGGTCGGCGAGTTCATTGAGGAGACTTGTGTCAACCCCACTTTCATCACCGGTCACCCTCAGATGATGTCCCCTCTTGCCAAGTACCACCGCCAGAACGTCGGTCTTTGCGAACGTTTCGAGGCCTTCGTCTGTAAGAAGGAGATTGTCAACGCCTACACCGAGTTGAACGATCCCTTCGACCAGCGCATGCGTTTCGAGGAGCAGGCCAACCAGAAGGACCAGGGTGACGACGAGGCCCAGATGATCGACGAGACCTTCTGCCAGTCTCTTGAGTACGGTCTTCCTCCTACCGGTGGTTGGGGTATGGGTATTGACCGTCTGGTCATGTTCCTTACCGACAACTACAGTATCAAGGAGGTCCTTGCCTTCCCCATGATGAAGGATGACAAGTCCGCTGCCACTGAAAAGACTGCCGCCGAGGTTGCCGGCATTGAGCCCATGCCCGAGGAAGGGATTCGTATGTTGTTAATATCCTGTAACTTCCATGAGCCCGTATCACTAACGATGAATCTACAGCCCACAAATGAATAAAATGATGTCTCCGAGAATTGGATGTTGACATTTTGAATGCGTGATGGGTCTAGGGTTTTGCATGCAGCAGCTGTTATATGAGAAATGCCTGAGATAAAATAGTCAAAAATATCCAAGCCATGTTCAACTTTTTCAAAACTGCCTTTTTGTAGATTGAAGTAATGAGAAAAGCAGCTCGATTTCCTGAGCCTCATGAAAACATAACTTCATGGCACTCTGCTGAACATCAACTGTTGCTATCGTTCACACAAAGTGCCTATCATGGTTTGCAGTATCTCTCTCGCTATTCCTATTTTTCTTTCTTTTCCACGAATAAGCATTCTTCGGTCATTAAACATATTTCCTCAATTACTCTTGTACGCTTGATCGAGGTACATGTATTCCAAAAGCACAGACCATCCATCACTTGGCCCGCAGTTAGCCCTAACTGAAATTGTACTAACCCCCAGGTATCTATTTCCTTGATGCCATCCTGCAGTTTTCCAAATTCATAACATGTTGAAAGCTTCATGTCAATAGGTTCGAGAATAGCAAGTGACTGATGACATATATGATCTACCTTGCTCGCCGGCGAAGTAATCTCACTTCATCCTGACAGCGAATTTTCATTATTGGTGCTTGAAAGAACCGACGCCTCAGATGAATGTATTGAAATGTCGCTCACATATGTGAGAGACTGAGTCATGATAGGAATATCAACAATGATTGACATGTATTCATTGCAAACGGTACAATCGATATCGAGTACCATTTGTTTGCCTTTGGTAAAAAGGAAATCCCCGTTCGAATACAATATACCATCCCAAACTCTGATTGTTTGACCTTGAGACTGTGTATAAATAAAGCCTTCTCAGTTGGAATCTTCTTTCCATCCTCCATCCTCCCCCCCTCCTCCTTCTTCTCTCCTCCTCTTCTCTCTGCACCTCCTTCACTCATCTTCGAAGACAAGAATCTCTCAGACTCTTTTTTTTTCTCTTCTCATCGTAAGGGGCAAAGGATAAACTACCTTGAATGCTCTTTCTTGTCTCGAGAAAAGCCAAGGGACGTGACTTCATTCTTTGTTTATGTGGAATCTTCGGCCGCAGTTTCTGAAAATATCTCATCATCTGGCAGCTGATATCTCGGTATTTCTACGCTGCCACAACATACAGCTCACCCTTACAATCAACTGACACTGACCATTGAAGTGACTCAAAATGTCAGGGGAGCAAGACCTGACACATCGAGTGCCTGGCTTCGAAGAACTTGACGTATCGTTACATCGTCACTGGGCAGAACATAGACGTCACTTCGTGACGGATGAAGATGCCTCAGAGCACGCGAATGGTATTCAGAATCTGCGCTTCTCCTACAATAGCGCGCTTGATAATCTTCCACCTGCGAATCGCTATCCCATTTACCCGGTTCGAGGTCATGACACCTCTGATCCAAGCCTCAATGTTAGTGCACTTTCTTCATTTCATCTGGATAATATGCTGACTCTGACTAGATCTTCCATGGACAGGGATTTACTTCACAAGGCGTGCGTACAAAGCAACCATCACATCAGAACATTATATTGACTATCGATACAATAGGTCTTTGCTGAACATGATGTTATTCCTCTGGCTGGTTGTCAACTCCCCAACCGACTAGAAAATGGTCATGCAAACGATGGTATGCATACACCAAAAGAAACAATAACCCACCCAAAAAAAACAACTTACTAACATGGCTGACTTGTAGTATCACCGTCTGCGATTAGCATTCACCCGCCTCCAGACACAGCTCCTGTTCAAGAGACAGCTCAGCGACAAAGTGCTACACCACCGACCGGTCAACATCACCGCACAATCACAAGGAAGATCATAGTCAGCTTCTCTGATGTTGCCGCCCACACAGCCAAATGTGATGATGGGAATGAAAGGAACAGGGATGGTATGTCTCGTTGTAACCTGTGCGGCTGGCAGATATGCCGCGCCTGCATCAACCAGCGCGCTGGCGACAGGAGCCACTCCTCATTCGGGAGTGAACATATCGAGGAGGACTCTCGAAGGCGGCAGGCAAGCTCCGTTACCCGCCAAGGAACCTTGGGAACTGGAAGTAGACCTGAAGGCCAAAGAAGTGTTGGCGCTCGCGCTGCCGAAAGGTGTCCATCTGCACGCGGAGCCGGATCTGGCGGTCATACAAGTGCTGAAGATCGTGCCGCTGGGGCTCTGGTGAGGCTTGGATCCGGCCATTCTGCTGGTCCGATTCCCTCGCCTCCCGATGGAGAACGAGCTGAAGTATGTCCTGGGAATATCGAGTCGACTAGTGAGACAAGGAATCTACCATTGCGTGGACGCAGACGCACATGCAATGAGACGGAATGGAGCGATTCAGAGATCACATTGTCATCGGCCACTAACAGAAATTCGGGTTCGGATTCGGCTGTAGGCACTTCTGATGAGCCAGAAGTGCCTATCGGGGACAATGGACTACCTGTGGACTATCGTATTGCTCGGAGGAACCCGACGCGTCGTGCCCGTCCTGCCACGCGAATGGCGGAGTGAGACTGTTGTGAGGCAACTAAGGCTTGAAATGGGCCTCATTGCAGATAGACCCTGACAGAGGACGTGAAACTTGGCAATTAGTGATCATCACAGTTGACCAGGACTTGGGTTTATGTTTCCGATATGAAGGAATTGATATCATGTTCAATAGATGTTTTTACAATAAAGAAACAGTGGTGCTAGTTATACAAAAGACTCGTGTGATGTTGCGAGTCAGCAGATGAATGGAGATTGTAAGTGTCTCCAAGAAGGGTAACTTCAATGTACCCAGTCTTGGTCACCATATTCATACAGTTGAGCGAGTCAGGTATTTAAACCTTTCTCGCAGTGAAAGAAGGAGCATTGGTTGTCTTCTTCTTGGCCATCTCGGCTGCCATCTTCACCAACTTGGCGGTGCGAGACGGGTGCCAGACACGGCTACCCAGCACAATAACCCAGGTGAGGAGGAACAAACTGCCAGCCTGGTGGGCGGACGCAAGAGGAGTGGGGACGAGGTAGAGGAGAGTGGAGATACCAAGGCCAACCTGGCAACAGGCAAAGGCGAACACACCGTGGACACCCTTTCTGGCGGCAGCAGGCAGGTGACGCTTCATGGAGGGAGCGATACGGGTGTAAGCCAACAAGGCCACAATGGAGGTAAAGGTGGTCATGGCGAGCATGCGGTGGTCAAGCTGAACAAGAGAGGGGTTCTCAAGCATGTTGCGCCACCAGAGATCGGAGCGGTCCTCGTGCCGGGAGTAGCGAGCGTCGAACAGCTCCTCCTTTGGCGGAGCAAATCCATTGCCCATATATGGGAACTCGTTGTAGATAAGCCCGGCATCCAGGCCAGCGACGAGACCACCAGAGATAACAGTAGTGAAGACCAAGAGAGCAATACCGGCAACGGAGCGGCGGAAAAAGGCCAGTTTCCCAGAACGCAGAGCAGCCAGCTCGTCAATACCAGCGGTGGCATCAGCCATCAAGCGGTGAGAGCGCAGGATAGCAAGACCGTTCCACAGCATAGCAACGTAGCAAGTGAAAGCAGCGCCCAAGTGAGCAGTCAGACGGTACTGACTCACTCGGGGGTGACTGCCCGGAGCAAATAGATCATCCTTCAAACCAGACTTGACCATCCACCAACCCAAGAAGCCCTGGAAGCCAATGAGACCAGCAATACCAAACAGACGCCACGCCATGGGCGTGGAGACCTTCTTGCGTGCGACGAAGTATACAGCCGGGATGACAAAGGACATTCCAACGAATCGTCCCCAGAGTCGGTGAATCCATTCCATATAGTAGATCGATTTGAATTCGGAGAGGGTCATGTTCGGGTTCAACAGTTGGAATTCAGGGGATGCACGGTATTTTGCGAACTCAGATTCCCAATGTTCCGCGTTCATAGGAGGGAGGGAGCCGGTCACAGGTCGCCATTCGGTGATACTCAATCTATACCAAAAGTTGTCCGTCAGCATCGGAAGCTCACATCACATCCCATAACATGTATACGCACCCTGATTCGGTTAACCGTGTCAACCCACCGAAAACCACGATTCCGAAAACACTGGCCGCGCTGCCGAGAAGCCAGTAGGCGACGGCCTTATCGCTGATCTTGGGGAAGCTGCGTTTGGCGCCTTCGGCTCCCCCTTGGATAACCTGTGCTGCGGCCTGCGCCGCGGCAGATCTCTGAATGCTAGAGGTGAAGAATTGGCGGTTCTTGTTGTTCAACAGGGTTGATTGGGTCTTGGTGGGCTGGCGAGAAGGCATGGCGCCGAAACGACGGATCGACTTGGCCGCAACACCCTGGTTGCGGAGGCATTGTCGACAGGTAAACACATCTTTCGCCAGATGTGGGGCAAGTCTCCGCCATAGCGGCAGAGTAGTCCCTAGAGAAGCCATGGCTGTTGAAAGAGAGAGGAGTGGAAGAAGAAAGTTGTCGCGGTCTCGAAAATCATATGATATCGCGGAATGCGCATCGGCCAATCAGCGACAAAGCATTTGTCTCAACAACCTTGATGTAGTCTGCAGCTCAATTGACCATTGAGCCCTGGCGGATAAGTGATCAGACGATTCTCAGTTTTCCGGTCCCTAATTGAGCGTGATATCGCCCATTAGGCCCAGAGGCAATGTTGGTGCCTGAGGCGACGATCTCCGGGGCTTTTGTGATCGCCGCTCCAACTCTCAGCGCCTTGATTGCTTCACACGCGCCAACATGTCTTATGAGCTGGAATCAAAGAAGCGCAAGTTCCATCGGATCTTGGACTCAATATCCAAACCTCAGCAACCCGAGCCTACCCCAACACCACCTCCTGCACAGCCCATGACAGCTCGAGAGCGTGTCGCAGCGAACCTATCGATCAAGAAAGTCCGCCTGAGCAGCGGCGATCGCTCCGAGCTCGCATCAGTGCGCAGTTCGACCCAGAGAATTTCCAGACCCTCGAACCGAGCGTCATCCGCGTCCTTAGATACAACTGCCTCCTCGAATAAGCGCCCAACCTTTGTTCCCTGGGATCGCGAACGGTTCTTGGAGCGGTTAGAGACATTCCGCCGTGTGGATAGATGGACTTCAAAACCAGCCCCGATCAACGAGGTACAATGGGCGAAACATGGCTGGATATGCGCCGATTCAAAGCGCGTCACTTGCGTCTCTGAATGCGGTGGTGCGGTCATCATCAAACTTCCTGATGAGATCGACGAACTCGATGGATTTGACAGCGAGAAGGTGCAAGAGCGAAACGAAGTTCGTGAGTATTCCACACAGTTTCGTGGGGTGAATGACGTTGGACTCAGCGCTAACTGTCATTCTTACAGGTGCGACGCTCGTGGACCAATACGCAAAGATGCTAGTTGAAAGCCATGGCGAAAGTTGCCCATGGCGGCAAAAGAGCTGCGATGGTAAGTCTACCTATTTATGAGGCAAGCATTTCCTCAATGGACTAACATTGCGCCAGCTACTATTCAGCATCTTCCGTTGACCAATACCGACGCTGCCTTGTCAGGGCTACATGACCGCTACATGAACATCTTGAAGATGGGAGATAAACTACCAGCTGATGATGTCATTCACGCTCTTGAGGAGCCCAATCTTGATGCTATTGCAAAATTACTGCCCGATGAATGGTTCAAAGATGCAGCACAGCCGGCTGAGCCTGTATCTACCCCCACGACTGAGAGTCAGACGCCAAGCAGTGGAAACCAAGAATCCTCGGCGATTAAAACAGCCGCCGATACACCTCGTTCAGTCAATCGAGCAGCATTGGCACTGGCATTATTTGGGTGGGATATAGCCTCCGATGGAGCTGCTGGCCTAGTCGGCTGCGGTGCATGCTTTCGTCGGCTGGGACTCTGGATGTACAAACCAAAAGACAACGGAGAAGTCACAGTCTATACGTCCCTGGATGTGGCCAGCGAACACATGGATTACTGCCCATGGATCAACAAGGTTGCCCAAAGTGGTACTGGTCGACCCAACGAGAAAGTGGAGAGACTGCGCGCCGGCTGGGAGTTCGTGGCAGAAGCCGTCAAGGTGAAGAACCGACGACGCATGCGCTTCGCGAAATCTTCAGAGAGTCTCCGGCCTGCCACTCCTGCCGAGGACTATCCTCTTGAAGACGAGGATCCAGAAGCTAAAAAAAAGGCAGATAGTGAGTGGTGGACGAAGATACAACGAGTGAGGCAGATCTTGAAAAGCAGGACTCCAAAGCCCAAACCCGCTGCATCTTGATAACATTTGCCAGGGTGCAGTTTGTCATGATCCGGCGCTTAACATGCATATATCATACCTGTTTTTCATATCAAATTCTTCTAATGCGTGATATGAAACTTTGCCATATTTATTTAGCCTTTACTACCCTTATTTGTTCGCATGAGTCAAGCTAATATAAATTCTCGACCTGTCTTGGGCTTTGCTGGCAGAAACGTGTTATTGACTAAGACATGGCAGCAAGTGCCTTGAAGTATACAAGGTGTTTCAACCTGAGTCTAGCCATGTTATTAGGAGATTTCCCTTTCGAATATCTCAAACCCTCCTCGAGCTCTTCTGGAGAGTGCAAGAAGAAATCTCCTCTCCCAATGAGTAGGCAGTGTTAGCTCGAGGGCCAGAGTAAAATGCACTTGTATCTCCTCTTCCGCCATGTCATGGCCCTATAAAGAAAAGGTTAGAACTTATAGTCGAATTCGGAAACAAGCTCTCCTGGAACACACGTGCTGTATCTCTGGCCTCTACCCAGCTCTTGATTTGCCGCCCCGCATTTCTCATGTTTGAGATTTCAACATTCAGTAATCATTGCAGAATACTATCGAATGCTCGAAGGGGAGGAGTTCCTTCTTAGGAAGTAGAATTGTGGATATATGACCTTTGCGAGAGATAATATCTCATATGATAGTGATGAACTTTCTGTTTTGAACCAAGCCAGGGAAAACAACAGGTCTGCAGAATTCTCTCGTGTGTATTCTACACATTTCTCTGAGGAATGACAAAAGCTGAAATTGAATCACGGGTAATGATTGGCCGTGCTGAATTTCAATTCGCTCTTAAGTCATTGTAATGCTATATTTCCATCCAGCCTTCGTGTTTATGGGCCCACTATACTCCTTACCATCAACCAGGAAGTTCCTATCATCCTCCACCTTCACCGAAAGTGAGCCTTCAAGCGTGGAAAGTATGTTTGCGCTCGTAATTTTGTGTTCCTTCCAGCTCATGTCGACGACAAAGCCCCCTCGTGCTCTCAGGCCAGCGACACTGCCGTTCGGGATCAGGCTCTTTGGCAAGGAAGGACCGATATGAACAAACCCGGCGTGGCTCTGAAGTAGCAACTCCGCGATGGCTCCGGGGAACCCTAAATTCGCGTCTATCTGGAATATGGAGGTCTGTCCAAAGAGATTATCAAACACCGAATTCTCTAGAAGTTTTCCTGCTCGGTATAACGCATTATCCCCATCGAACAGTCTCGCATAGAGTGCAATAACCCAGGCTGCAGACCATCCCGTTTGGCCGCTTCCGTTATCCATGCGACGCTTGAGAGATACAGCGGCGGCGTTGAAAATGGTCTCGTTGATCCCTGGGTGAATTTGACCTCCAGGGAAGAGCCCTACCAGGTGTGAGAGATGTCGATGGCCAAGCTCTGTCTCATCGAATTCTTCCGACCATTCCAGAATTTGACCAAGAGACCCAATGACGGGGCCTTCGATCTTGGATAAGTATGTTTCAGCTTTGGCAACTCCATTGGTTTCCTTTCTTGCGCTCTTGAGCTCAAGATATCCCGTGAAAAGCTCATGAAGAAGCTGACGGTCCATTGCCGGTGCGACATCAAGGCCAGATTGCCCGTTTGCAATGGCTTTCCCCGATGGAATATAGTACTGGTTTTCAGGCGACATACCATAGGGTGTAACGTAGTAACCGGACCTCTCTTGTAAAAAGTCATAGTAGAACTCAATCGCAGCTTCCACTATTGGGAGCACTTTTTCAGCAAATGCCGTGCTCCTGCCAAATCTATAATGCTCAAACAGATGAAGCGACAGCCAGGCTGGACTCATTGGCCATGCAGCATAGTACGTTTGCTGATCCAAGGGGGCGCAATCACCCCAGATATCGGTGTTGTGATGGCAGACCCAACCAGACATATTGTACATCTGTCTGGCCACTTCTTCTCCTCTGTTTTGCATACGTGAAATGTGGTCGAAGAGAGGTAAGGCGGTTTCTGGCAAATTTGTGGTCTCTGAGGCCCAGTAGTTCATCTCCAAGTTAATATCAAGAGTAAATTTCGAGTCCCATTCTGGCGCAAAGTCTTCATTCCAAATCCCTTGGAGATTGGCGGGAAGTGATCCGTCCCGAGATGAGCTGATCAACATATAACGGCCATAGTTGAACATCAGGGTGATGAGCTCCGGGTCAGTGGTGAAATCTGAACCGGCTCTCCAACTCTCCAGTCGTTGGTCCGTTGCAAGGGCTCCAGCTGCACCGGAGTCTCCAAGATCAAGGGATGTTCTGTGGGCTAGGCTTTGGTAATCTTGGATTGCCTTTCTGGAGATTTCATTCCATCCGAGAGAGACAGCACTGTCAAGCTTTTTCTGCAGCGCGGCCGTGCGTGTATCGTCGGAAGTGTATCGCCAGCTGCTCTCGCCGTCCACATATATATAGGCCACATCGGCATCTTTGACTATCAGACTATCTTCGCCGTTTGCGGTCACAGTTCCTAGGAGAGATTATTAGTAACCCATAAGTGGCAAGGATTTGGGAATGGCGTACCTCCTTCTGTCACCACTCTGGCCTCCGAGATGAAACTGATAGTATCATCTACGGATCCAGTTCCCCTCAGAATCACCGACTCATTCGATTTCACAGATATGGAAGTGACGTTTTGTGTTCGTGTCAAAGACAAGTTGAAGTTGATAGAACCAGAAGTTGAAGCCGAAAATCGAAAGGCCAAGATGTCGTCAGGGAAAGAGGCGATAGCTTCGCGAGTATATTTCGTGTTACCAAACATGTAGCTGACAGCTGCAACTCCAGTCTGAAGATCAAGGCTTCTGTTGTAGGACGTAGCCCCATCATGACCAAAATCGAGAGCCAACGAGCACATGGGCTGATAAACGCTCTCCCTCAGCGGTGTTGACATGCCAGAAACCCAAGCACTATTTGCTTGGGTAATGTTACCATCAAGCATATAATCGTTGACCACTGGAGCGGTTGCTACAGCATTCGCGTTGATTCGGCTAGTAAAGCCTCCGCTCCAGATTGAGTCTTCGTTCAAGCTGATGGTCTCGGTGCCAATTTTCCCATAAATCATTGCCCCCAGGCGGCCATTACCTATGGGCAAGGCAGTGGTAAAGTCGACCGCGGAGGAAGAGTACCATAAGGTTCCTGAGGCGCCAGAAATGGCTGCGACTCCTTTGAGGAAACAGGTAAATGAAACAACCCAGAGATCCACTTTCATAGTTGGAAAAATGCGCAGTAATAATGATATATTTGGGCTTTTACTCATTCTACCTTACACCATAGTGCATTTATAGATACTGAGATGCGGAATCCGGAGAAATGTGTCAATCTACTTCGGCAGGAGTTTGAGTGCTCCCGATTCGTGCCATTGAAGTCTCCGGTCTATGGCTCGGTAGGTTGCAAGACCATTATGGCCAAGCAAGTTGCCACGGTTGCTACTCCGCAGTCTTCACCCCATAATCTCACACGGCCCAAATGGGCGAATGCAGGGAGCCAATGATACTGGATGATTTCAAGATCCTGTGAAAGCCTAATTAATAACCTTAAGCAGTCTCGGAGATGGCGCGGGGGGTGTTTTCCCCTTTGCGACATGCGGGGGATTAAAGAATTACCCTATTTGCTGAAAAGTCCCGCTGAGGTACCTTCCTAACCATTATTACCCGGAATTCTCCCCTGGTGTTCTTTCCAACAGACTAATGATGCAGTCCTACAGCCAATGGGGTAAATGATCCGGGTATATCCATTGCTCTACATCTTGGAGTAAGTGGGACGAAGGGTATAGTCATCATTATCGTGCTTCATAAGTGATACTATCTCCTATTGCTGCACTTTATATTGATCCATTTCTTGAGGCAAAGAAGGCCAGAACACGAGCACGGTACTATTCCACAACAATCAACCTAGGCGAACATGGATTCGGTACTTGAGACTCATGCTCTGAGATTGCCTTCGCTCATTTTGGGAGGCGCTGGATTCAGCTATCAATTGCATCCAGATCCAAAAAGTATCCCAGTCTCCAAAATCATTCGTCGGGCTTTTGATGCTGGTATGACGGCCATAGACACATCGCCGTACTATGAGCCATCCGAGAAACTTCTGGGTTCTGCACTTGCGAGCGTCGACGTAACCAGCAAATACTCGCGAAGTGACTACATTCTGATGACCAAAGTGGGCAGAGTGTCCGCGAATGAATTCAACTATTCACCGGAATGGATCCGAGCGTCGGTTTCAAGGTCCCTAGATCGACTGGGTACAGCATATCTAGACGTGGTGTTTTGTCATGATGTGGAATTCGTTTCGCCGGAGGACGCCATCGAAGCGGTTGGGACTTTGTTTGAATTATCCGACCGAGGCATTATCAAACATGTTGGAATATCAGGCTACTGCATCGATCGTCTCATTCACGTTGCGAAGGGGGTATTGGAAAAATACCAACGACCTTTAGACATCGTGCAGAATTGGAGCCAGTTGAATCTTCTAAATAGCCGTTTGGAAAAATACGGCATTCCGGAGCTACGCAAGGCCGGTGTGTCCGTTATTTGCAGTTCTAGTCCTCTAGCCTCGGGGCTCTTGCGGTCCGGCAATGTGCCTTGTGGAAAGCTGGGCGACTGGCATCCGGCGCCTGATGGTCTGCGCAAGGCCGTGCGACAAGTTTCGACCTGGGTGGAGGCCCAAGGATCAACACTAGCAGCTCTGGCGCTGCGGTTTTCCTTGAGCAAGGCAGCGCGAGCATCTCAAGACGGAATCTCTGTTCACACCATCATCGGAATATGTTCTATTCGTGATGTTGAAGAGAACTTGCTAGTGATAGAGGGCATGATGCAACCGAGCGACATAAAGCATCACTCGATTGCTGGTGTGCTGGACGCAGACTCTTTCAGTCGTGAGAGAGAAAATGTCGATCTTGAACTCTACCAAAAGATTCAAGAGACTTTAGGAGAGTGGGCAGAGTATGATTTTCAAACAGGAAAGAGAGTATCGCGCATCTAGTGGCTTTGTCTCATCGATAGATTCATTTGTTTCCCTGGCGCCTTCACAATAGATGAATACTACGATAAATAGCGCATACTTCCAACAACCTACCAGTACCAGGGGAAGTATGTAACTTAATCTCAAACCATGTGGTATTTCCCCGCATTAACTCAATGCCAAGTCCAACGCTAACAACTCGGCCATTAAGGGGGGAGGCATCCTTTTCACCAGTCACTGCATCTCTCAAATACAGTGTACCCCCCCCCCAGGGTTCCTTTCGCTTTGTTTGTTGTGTGTTCAAAGGCGTGTAGGTATTAAAATGGACCGTCACAGGAAGATGTAGTTTTCTTTCTGTCACGGACTCACCAGCTGAAATACATAGCCTACGATGCATCTCGGAGCCTCCAGCGGAGAAAATGGCTTAGCACGCACAAGGATCTCGCGCGCTTGCGATAACTGTAGCAACCTGCATATTCGATGCAATGGCCATTTGACATGGTATGTTTCCTTGGTCTCTTTTATACTTATTCTCCAAGGGCGAAACAGTAAGATTGACGGGATTTGCAGTGATCGTTGTTTTAGTGAGTAGTGATTTGCACTTTGCTTTTATCTCATTTTGATAAAGATACATGGCTTACCCCTTTACGTCTTCTAGTGTCTGGGCTGGTGTGTAAATACAGCCGGCAAATCAAAAAGCGTGGCCGCAGGAGCAATACATCCAAGCCAAGGCAATCCCAGGTTTCTCTTGTGGTCGCTTCTCCTCTGCCATCATCCCAAAGTGAATCAGCACCTGGGGAGCCCATTTCATATCGGGAGCATGGGGTCAGTACGCGGTCAATCTCGCCCTCAGCCTTGCAGCCAGATCTCGTCAGTGCATCTAGTCAATCTAGCTTTGATCGACCTGAGACCCAGCCTGTAGGGCTAGAGTCGGTCATTAATGGTGAGCCAAATGCTTCCTTTGCCGCTGGTCTCCATAATTCTATTCATTCGACGCATCACTTGCCTCAGCTGGGGTTATACTCCCTCTCACCTAACGTTTCGACGCGGTCGGACCAGCCAACAAACCCACCTTTATGTCGCTATCCATGTCTTGAACCCCTTCTTCCATCTTTAAATGGATTCATGTCCGCGGAGGATGCCTGCCAGCTACTAGATATATTCTTCGCTGATCATCGCAACTCCGTCTCAAACATAACTTGCCCCTACATTCTCACTACTGTCTTACGAAAGAAATCCGTCTTGCATCCAAATCATCCCCGGAAAACATCGCTTGCCTTGCTCACAACTATCCTCTGGACCGTGGCACAAACAGCAGAGAGTGGTATCTACTATTTGCCGGGTTCACGGAAACGCATTGTTGACCATCTTTACTCCCTTACTCTGACGCATTTCCATCTAAGAGATATCGACAACTGGCATCGAGTACCTGGTATGTGCTTTTACACTATATTTACTTGATTAAAATATACTCATGCTATCTGACTAGGCGGATGGCAGCTAGACGAGGATGATATGTTCAACGTTGACCAGCAGCAATGCAACAAAGCCAGGACCACATACTCAAAGGGTCCTAATCCAACAGTGGATGATGTACTCACTCTCACTCTACGAACTCTGGTGATATCAGGTGGTGAATTCAAAGCTGATTGTATCAAATGGTGGAACAAAACCGTTTCGCTCGTAAGGCTTCTCGGTTATAACACCGAGGCGGGACTAAATACAACGCATGATCCATCTGCCGACACATTCGAAACACAGGAAGAACGCCGTAGGGCGTTCTGGCTGGTCTACATCTTAGATCGGCATCTGGCTTTGTCATATAATCGGCCGCTTTGCATTCTTGATGCCGAATGTCGCGTCTTGACTCCTCTCCCCGAAGAGCTATGGCAAAGCCTGGATACAACCAGCATTCCCCACCGCAGCTTTGGGCCTCCAACAACTATTTCAGGCTCCGGGATCTTCGAGTACTTCCTTCCCCTTACGGCATTGCTTGGCGACATCATCGAGCTTCGATTAATACACCATCACCCTCGTCTCACCATGTGCAGCGAGTTGGCGACTTTTGAAGTCAAACATTCACTTGAAGAATGTGAAGAAAGTCTCAAAAGCTTCGCGGATAGTCAAGTGTCCACAGTTCATACTTTCCAGGCAACTACATCGCAAGTACGAGCGAGTCTAGTGGTTGCCTACTCCTCTTATATCCTCAAAGTGCTTTATGTTCTTCTTTATGGAAAGTGGGATGCTGTGACTATGCTGGAAGACACAGGCGAATGGATTAGCACAAATAACTTCTCTGAATGTGCTTCGAACTCCATTGCCGCCTCGCAATCGCTAACAGAAATTTTAAGGGTTGATCCAGAACTATCCTTCATGCCCTACCTCTTCGGCATATACTTGTTCCATGGCAGTTTCATATTGCTACTATTTGCTGAACGAATGCCTCAGATTGGGCCGAATGAATCCGTGGAGCAGGCTTGTGAAGTGATTATCCGAGCCCATGAGGTCTCCATAGTCACGTTGAGCACTGAATTTCAGGTTAGAAGCGAACAAAGGTGGCAATGCCCTGTGTGCTGGCAAGTAATTTTAACATCTTCTTAGAAAACGTTTCGTAAAGCCTTCCGATCGGTTTTATACGGTGTTCGAAACTTTGAAGTAACTGAGCCGGACTTTCCGGTGATCAGAAAGGAGGTGTTGGCAATGTATCGGTGGACTATGGGACACAAGGGTCTTTGCCTTTAATTACTCTTGACTCCGCATATTATCAATCGAACATTAAGTTACAGCTATAGTTCTGGTACCCAAGGTTCATAATTTCCCACCAATCGGAAGTTTACCCTAGCTCTTTTATCCATTAGTTGATAGCGCGCGACCAATGGGGTAATTTATCACATTGTCGCTTCCTTTTGCTTAGCGGGATCTAATTCTCGAGTCTTGGCCGACTGATGCTGTCACATTGGCTTGCTTCGCCTCGTAGCTCAAAGCATAAAATTTACTTTGTGTGAAAGCGTTCGTTCTGTTCCGGGGATTGTCTTTCAATTTGCATCTAATAATCTGGGGAAGTGAATACGGATTATCATTGGTCCTCATGCAGGCTGCGGACATATGTATATATAGTCTTTGTTGCCTCACTCAGTGCCCATGTTTCCCACTTTCATGGATTTTGATTTTCCTCTACTGGTGAACATATACTGACTGTCATCCTTTCAATTGTTTATTGCCATTGCTCTCTTTGCTCAGCATGGACTTTCGAAAATTCTTCAAGAACCGCTCCGGGCTTCGAGTGGACAACAGAGCAAGAACGTCCGCATCCAAGCTAAGCCTCCGAGAAAGTTTATGGCCCTTGATGTTGGTGACAATCTTGTTTTTCCTATGGGTAAGTACACACTATCCGAGAATTTATTCGAAGTATCGCTCGTATCTCACGCCCAATTCTCAGGGTTTTGCTTACGGATTGCTTGATACCCTCAACAAGCACTTCCAGACTACACTCGGGATTACTCGCACCAGATCAGCTGGGCTTCAAGCTGCTTATTTTGGGTTTGTTCCCAAAATTTCTTAGATAATAAACAGAACAATTCTGATATGTCCCAGGGCGTATCCATTAGCATCATTAGGTTACGCAAACTGGATGCTACGCCATTATGGATACAAGGCCGTCTTTATCTTTGGCCTGGTACTATATGGTATCGGTGCGTTTTGTATGTGGCCAGCTGGCTTGAACCAATCTTTTGGGGGTTTCTGCGGAGCGACCTTCGTCATTGGCAGCGGATTGGGGAGCTTGGAGAGTGCGGCAAACCCATATCTTACTGGTAAGTTGGCATTATCTGGCAATGTTTTGATCAACCTTCTCATGCCTACTCTAGTTTGTGGTCCTCCCAAGCACGCTGAAATGCGCATCAATATAGCGCAGGCCTTCAACGCCATTGGAACAGTCGTCGGTCCTGTCTTGGGCTCATATGTATTTTTTGTTTCGACTTCAGATAACGTCCAAGCGCTCCAGCGCGTTCAGTGGGTCTATCTTGCTATTGGGATCTTCGTCATGTGTCTTGCTGTTGTCTTTTTTTTCTCCAATATCCCGGAGATCACAGACGAAGACATGGAGTTTCAAGTTTCCCAGACGCACGATGAAGATGAGGTGGTACCATTTTGGAAAAATTTCAATCTTTTCCATGCAGCTTTCTCCCAATTCTGTTATTGTGGCGCGCAAGGTATGGCTCCCCATGACCCAGTGATATAATTCAGCTACTTGGTCGCTTCGGGAAGCTGTTAAATCTGCTAGGTGCTAATGCTTTCTGCATAGTCGCTATCGCCGGATACTTTATCAACTATGTCACAGAAACATGGCCAGGTAAATCAAGTGCCACAGCTGCGAAGCTACTTTCCGGTGCGCAAGGCACATTCGCCGTGGGGAGATTTACCGGGGCTATCTTGATGAGCTTTGTGAGGCCCCGTTGGGTCTTCTTGGCGTATCTTAGTGGTGCATTTGCATTCGTGGCAGCTTCTATTACCCAGGTGGGAGAGGCTGGGGTGGGTATGTATAGTCGTGTTTCTTCCATTGCTTGAGCTACATTTCTCGTGCTAACAAGGAATTAGCAATGCTCTTCATGACTCTTTTCTTTGAGTCTGTATGCTTTCCTACGATTGTTGCTCTGGGAATCAAGAACCTTGGTAAAAGCTACAAGCGAGGATCTGGATTTATTGTTGCGGGAGTTGCTGGAGGTGCTGTCGTTCCTCCTATCCTTGGGCATGTCGCCGATTTGCGGAATAACACCGGCTTTGCTTTCATCGTCCCAGCAATGGTAAGTTCTCGCAAAGTTCCTGCCTTCCAATCACATTCGGAATAGGCCTTATGCTAACCAATTGTTTTTTTCTCTCATTTTAGTTCATGCTTTTGTCTTGGACCTATGCCGTGGCTGTGAACACAGTACCTTTTTATCGACGTATTGTCGACCGGGTTCTGACCGAACAGGATTTTCGCAGGAGCTCAGAGGATATAATTGAGAAAGATGATATTCAACTCAAGAATGAGGTGAAACATTTGGATCACGTGTAAGGGGGTTCTGTGGATTCAAACAGTCTCGTTTTTGCTGGATGCAGCGACAAATCTGATATTATAGGCCGCTACTGTTCGCTATCCATTCATCTCAACTAAGTTTTTATACCACAAAAAGAAGAATAAGATAAACCTAGTGTGAAGTCGGAAAAACGGTTGATAAATAATCCATTAGACCATAGTTATAGCAAGACCGTCAACTGACGCCGCAGCGTGTATAGCGTATACCCGACTCAGCTTGCACCGCAGAGTAGCTGGGGTGATCTGAGCTACTAGTTGATCTCCCTGAGACGGTCTGCGCTCGACTCTTTAAACTTCGGGTTCGAGGAGGGTGTTCTCAATGTTGATTATTTATCTTGTATTTGCTTCCTATTTCCTTCCAATGGCCAATATTTATTAATCGGGGGTGCTCAAATGCAACCTGAAAAGAGACCAAAAGAAAAACGCTAAGCTGCGATCTTCCTCGGCGATTTTTGGGAGCCTCCATACAATTGTTCCACACATATCGTGGGAGATATGTTGCAATGAGAAGAAGCTGATGTTTGTAATTGCCAATAAGTGACTGACATGTCAAATAATATCACATGCAAAGTAGTTATACTGATATAACAACATGCAATATAAATGAGTTAGCAGTTATCTGAAGCACTTGGAAGTTAGGGCTGCTGTGCTCACTGTGATTGGCTGAGACGCGGAGGTTAAATCGACGGATCTCGAGTGCCGTTGCTTTCATTTCACTCACTTCTCTAGCTCATCATGTCCCTGGCAATCTGAACAGAGAATACTTATTTTCTGGTTTTCTTTTTCCTCTCTCATTCTGAAATCCTATTACTTCCCGAAAACCGCCGACCTTCGTTCTCCCAACCCTTTCTCCGAACAGTTCAGACCCTTACTCAAATCCCGCGACAACGCCCTCACACAGCCACTATGGATAACCGCACTGACGAGGGACATCGTCCTCAATACCCCGACTCCCGCTCTCCCCGTCAAACCACAGACTCCTACCGTCCGGGCGACCAGCAAAAACAAAGAAGCATGGACGGAGATGCAGGATCAGACAGACCATCCGCGCCAGTATCCAAGCGCGAGAGAATGCAGGAGCGACACCAGCGCCGCAAGCGCGGCCGCACACCTCCATCCGTATTCTCACGCCGGAACCGCTCCCGCAGTCCGGATGGCTCAACACCACGCGATGACAGAGAGAGACGACGCTCCCGATCCCCTCTAGCGCCCCGTTCTCCTTCACCCGAGGCGCCTCGCCAGCGCAAGCGACCAGGTGGTGGTGCGCGCCAGGGTCTTGCAGACCGTGAAACACTCCGGCGGAGACAGGAGGAGCGCGAGCGCGCAGAGCAGGACGATGCCTTGCGCAACTCCCGTGATCGCGGCGTGACAGATGTCGTTCGGCAACATTACAATGCGGTCCCTGAGCGTGGTCGTGAATGGCGGAAAACTGAGAGTAAGATCAAGGGACTCCGGAGCTTCAACAATTGGGTGAAGAGTACTCTGATTCAGAAGTTCTCGCCTGATGAGGAGTTCGCCGCGAGGTTTAATGATACCAAGGACTGGGCAGATGACAGTATGGGTCCCCCGCCTATTGATGACAAGCGGCTGCTGGTGTTGGATCTGGGTTGTGGCAAGGGTGGCGATCTGGGCAAGTGGCAGCTGGCGCCGCAGACGGTTGATCTCTATGTTGGTCTGGACCCTGCCAATATCTCCATTGAGCAGGCGCAGGGCCGGTATGACCAGATGCGCTCCGGTCGTGGTCAGCGAGGCCGCCGTCCTCCCCAGCCGATCTTCCATGCTGAGTTCTACCCCAAGGATTGCTTTGGAGAGTGGCTGGGTGATATCAACATCATTCAGCAGGTTGGTATTGATGCGAATGCCGGACCGGGGGGTCGATCATGGCTTCGCGCTACGGTGGTGGTGGCTTCGACGTTGTCACATCCATGTTCGCCATTCACTACGCCTTTGAAAGTGAGGAGAAGACCCGCCAGATGCTCAGCAATGTTGCAGGTTGCTTGAAGAAGGGCGGTCGCTTCATTGGCGTTTGTCCAAACTCAGATGTCATTGCCGGCCAGGTTTCCAACTTCCACAAGAAGCGCAAGGAGCGCGAGGCTGCCAAGCCTGCTGAGCCCGAGGGTCCTGAGGATGGCGAGGTTGAGGAGGATGAGCGGGCCTCTTGGGGCAATGATATTTACCGGGTTCAGTTCCCTGGTGCCACACCAGAGGATGGAGTCTTCCGTCCTCCTTTTGGTTGGAAGTACAGCTATTTCATGCGCGAAGCTGTTGAGGAGGTGCCTGAATACGTTGTCCCATGGGAGGCTTTCCGAGCGTGAGTATTCATCTTCAATGTGAAATGTACATCACTGACTTTTTTTAGTTTGACCGAGGACTACAACCTTGAGCTACAATACCGCAAGCCCTTCTTAGATATTTGGGAAGATGAGAAGAATGACCGTGACCTTGGACCTTTGAGTGAGCGCATGGGTGTCCGGGACCGCGCCACTGGTGCCCTGGCCATGACGGAGGAGGAGAAGGAGGCAGTCAGTGAGTCTTCCTCTGATATTGTATCCTTTCATTCGCTAACAAGAAACTAGGCTTCTACCATGCCTTCTGTTTCTACAAGGTCTAGGAACATCGCAAACTCCGTGGGACATGCTGAAATATCTAGCTGTCCCAGTCCAAATTCGTATATTAACAAAGCTCCGCCACCAGCTTTCAACCCTATGTATGACTAAAACGAAAAGAAAGATAGAAAAATTCATTCAATCCATCCCCCCAAGTCCCAATTACCAGCCCTTATCTAAACATCCTGTTGCTGAATCTCCACCAAATTTCCATCAGGATCCCTAACCAACAAAAAATTCTCCCACCCAATCAACCCCTGAGCCTCAACAAGCCTCCTCTTGGCCTCAAGATGCACACCCGCAAACCCACCAACCCCAAGCGCATTAGGAACAGCCCCCTCAAACGCCTCAATAGGCACGCCCACCCTCTTCAGAACGTCAACTCCCCTTCCCTCAAGATACGTCTGCGCCTGAACAACATCAGGAACAACAAGCCCAACATGACTGAACGTATTCGTCCGCTGCGTCGAAGACACCAGAGTATCATCGGAAACACTAAACTCCACAATCTCAAGTAATCCGTACATATTATTCTTGCCCATGGTCATTTCGGTGCCAGTTTGGAATCCTGTTCCGTTTCGGCCGCCTTGCGCGTAGCCCATGTATGTTACTGTGTATTCTGGTGTTAGAGCTGCGTCGAAGAGTAGGCGCATTCCTAGGATGGAGCCGTAGAAGTTCTTCATTGCTGTTAGGTTGTTGGTTATTAGGCCGATGTGGTTCAAGGCGTAGCCTAGGGTTTCGGGCGGGGCGGGCCCATCTGTACCCAGGGTGAAGGGGTTTGTTGTTGTGTTGTCGTTTGTTGAGCGGCGGGTTGGGTTGCAGGCGTTTGTTTGGAGGGAGAGGAGGGAGAGGAGGAATGGGAGGAGGGTTGATATATGCATTTTGGTGGGTTGACTTGGACTTGGACTTGGAATTGATATGTGTCTATAGCCTGGTTGAGATCCTCATCTCGACAGGAATTGGGGCTATATTTATATGTTTCCCTAGTCTTTAATACCCTGCTTCATTGCGCCTTGAGCATTGGTATCATGCAGCCAGCGGAGCATCTACACTATACTCAGGGTCAATCCCCTCGTATACATCACAAATCAAACAATGACCCGTCAAGCTTAGTGGGGGCCATTCGGGGATCTAACTCTATCAGGTGTGACCTGGCGACACCCAAGTCTGGAGCAAGAATCAAAGCCTAGCTACTTCCCCCTCTAAGACCCCAAGGCATCCAAGCTTCTGCATGATAGACTTGGACATGCACAAACCATGGGCTGTGGGTGAGCAGCCACAATCTTGGCGACGACAACTACATAGCTGCAAGGTCTAGCGGTATAGATTAACATCGTTCGTATAGCGCAGATCAGAACTCAATTAAGCTATGTGCATGGCTGGCCACCGTCTGCGCCTCTGAGATGTTAGCCCGGCAGAACGAATATAACTGCCGACTACCAGGATCGTCGGAGTAATATCATTCTGTGAGATTTCGGCGAGGTCAGAAGTAATAATTACTCCGTTGATGGATGAAACATGCGGTGCCAAGGGATAAGGCGTCCCAGTTGGGGTGGAATTTCTATTTCTGGGTCATGGGGGGACTGGATGTCTTGTAATAAGTGATATGTTCTATTTGTGAGGCTTTTGTTGGTTCGAACATGCAAATTGTACAGAAGTTTGTGATGGGTTCGGTGTTCAGTTATAAGACTACGGACTGGGAACTGGGAGCTGGGAGCGTGGGGGTTCTGTTGCGCGATTATCTGATGGTTGAAACGTCTGTCCTAAAATGCTTGCAATGAGTGTAAGTTATACTTGGATTTGACAGGTCGAACCCTGACGCCGAAGAAACTTTTAGAAATGCTTTGTGAAGGTTATAGATCCTTGGCTTTTTAAGGAATACGGGTTTGAGATCTCGCTTTAAAATATATTTCGGTCAAATATGAGATATGAGGCTCTGTTATATGAGTCTAGTGAGGATTGGGTACCATACATATTCAATTTTATAGTCTAAAAACAAAGTAAATCTCATCACTTCAACAAAGAAATGTATAGACCCCGATAAGGATTATCGGCCCAAAACGGCTAGCGTCATCGCGTCTCGCGTCAGGATTTCGCGATACGCATTCACCATCCAACATTCGAGTAAGACCCAACTCACCTCCAACCACTCCACGCCAAAATGAGCGCAACACCAGACAGGCGCTCAATGCTCTCCCAATCCCACCCCCTCTCAGCCCAACCCCGACGAAGCCAAACCCGCCCCACCGAAGTCCCATCCTTACCAGATTACGTCGCGCCAGAAGCACCCCTCACAGCCGAAGCCCAACGGCACCTCGAAGCCTTAATCTCAAACCACCACCACCGGAACCTAATAACACATCTCAAACACGCCGCCGAAAAACTCACACACTCAGGCGGTGAAGTGAATGAGCGCTTAGCCGATGCGCGCGGCCGCTTTGAGAAGAATAAATACCAGCGCCGACAACGCAAGGGACTTGAAGAGGGAGATGACGATGAAGATGAAGATGAGGAGGAGTACCAGCGGCTTGCTGAGGAGGAGACTAGAGTCAATGCCATTACAGCGCGGATGGAGGAAAAGGCACGGCTGATAGTTGATGCTGAGGTGAAGCTGCAGGGGCTGACGGATGCTGTTGCGCAACTCGAGAGGCAGGAGGGTGAGGCTGTTGCTGCTTCTTTGGGGTCGAGGCGGACGCGCTCTGGGAGGAATAGGCGGAGGGGAAATGATGATGATGAAGATGGGGATGGGGAGGGTGAGGATGATGCTGATTATGAAGATGCGCAAGAGCGGGAGACGCAGGAGAGAAATGCGCGAAACCCTCCTAGTCGGAGATTGGAAGATAAGATTGCTGAGGGTTCTGAGAAGTGGAATGAGATGTCTTTGACGGAGAGGTAGGCTGTTTCGTTTCTGTTTCTGTTCGAGATGTGGAGGCTTACAATTACGGTCTAGATATGCCGGCCACAACCACTACATCGGGTTCTATCGCATGGTGCACGACTCCAAATTCCCCGGCGACGACGTGCCTCCGCTCCCCCACTCATCTACATGGTTCCAACATATGGAGGATACCGGTGCTCGCTCTGGTGGAGCACGCACCCGCAACCAACGGCGTCACTCCCCTGCTGACGATGACGATATCGCCATTGAGCGCGAGCGTATCTCTCTCAAATGCCCCTTGACCCTGTTACCATTCCAAGATCCGGTGACCAGCACCAAGTGTCCCCACAGCTTCGAGCGCGAACCGATCTTTGATATGATCCACCGCAGCCCAACTACCATTCCACCTCCAGCGGCTCGCCGGGGCCAGCGCCGTATCCACGTGATTAAATGCCCTGTCTGTTCTACTCCGTTGACTGCAGACGATCTGAACCCAGACCCTGTTCTGCTGAGACGAGTGCGTCGTGCACAGGAACTTGAAGAGCAGGAGGAAGACGAGGATCATCTTGGCAATGGACGGGTCAACAAGCGTCGCAATAGTGAAATCAGTGTGGCCAGTGATGATAGCAACGATGTTATGGATGTGGATGCGCCTGAACCATCTCAGCGTATCAAGGCCGAACGGCTCAGTCAACCGGCTCCCATGCCAGTTGACTCGGAGAGCGGAGAAGAAGAGCAATCCGGGGAAACAAGCGAAGACTCGGGCTGATATGTTAACGTTTCAATGAAAGCCAAGAATCAAGTGTCACATCGTATTGAGACACGGCACAAACATGACAAACTCATTTAAGCTAGGCCCAGAACGTTGAAACACCTGATAACACTAAGCCAAATTAGGAATCCCCGCAGTCGACCCAGTAAAAAGCGGTGGGTAATTGTGGGTCCCGAGCCAATCACATGGCAGCTTGCCACGAGGAAAAGAAGTAGAAGTCGCCCCTTATCGCTTATTATAGCCTCCGCCTCGGAATACCATAATTCGCTTGAGGGTTACTCTTAATCTAGTGTCAGTTAGACATCGAAACTAACTCCAGCCACATCTTCTAGGAGTAACCCTGCCGAGACGATACCACCGTATCTAAACCCCGGCTTAATCTCACGCGACAAGTCAACAAGCTTACACAAAGAGACTGTACCATCCGTAGGGTGTAACCATGCTATCAAAGCGTCCAGCCCAATCAGCTATAGACCCCGCAAACTAAAGCCAATTGCTGTTAGGCCTGCCAGTTCTGCTAGGCTAAGGCCAGCCACCCAGAAATCAGTCGTCTGTTCCAATCCAAGCCGATGCTACCCTGCAGCTCAGTATCGCTCTATCTTAGCGCTTAAAATTATAGCTTCCCTTTTTAAGCATCCTCTCCCCATCTTCCAACCTCGCCTCTTCCCACCACAGTCTCTAATCAACATCTTTCCTGCGGTCCAATCCCGCTATCCATAATGGAGAAGTCTCCCGAACACTCCACCGCCGAGCCCATCGACGTTCCCCGTCCCACAGGATGGATGTACAAATCGCACGCCATCGGCAAGTGGTCAACCAGCTGGTATGCCTCGCCTCGCATCCAGCTGGGCATGGTCGCCTTCGTCTGCTTCCTCTGCCCAGGCATGTTTAATGCCTTGAGTGGCTTGGGTGGTGGTGGAAAAGCCGACCACACTCTCGCCGATCAAATGGTAAATCTCCGCCCCCACAGTGATAAGCGTGGATTCGAACGCTGACTGGTCAGAACATCGCCCTCTACTCGACCTTTGCTGTTGTCGGTTTCTTCGCTGGTACTATTGTCAACCGTCTTGGAATCAGACTGTCGCTTTCTTTCGGTGGTATTGGTTACTGCTTGTACTCAATCAGTCTGATCGTCTCCGAGCACAAGTATGTCCCTGGCTTCAACATCTTCGCCGGTGCCTTCCTCGGTGTCTGCGCTGGTCTGCTCTGGGCCGCGCAGGGAACAATCATGATGTCCTACCCAGCTGAGCACCAGAAAGGTCGCTACTTTGCCTGGTTCTGGGGTATTTTCAACGTCGGTGCTTGCATCGGTAGCTTGGTAAGTGGAGCGATGAGACAGATCCACCCACATCAACATCTCTGCCAGAAACAATATCGAAAAGGATACATACTGACCAGGATAGATCCCCCTCGGCCAAAACATCCACGTCAAGACCAACTCCAACGTCACCGATGGCACCTACATCGCCTTCATCGTGCTGATGTTTGCAGGCGCCTGTCTAGCCCTGTTCCTCTGTGACGCAAACAAGATTGTCCGCCCAGACGGCTCCCGCGTCATCCTCATGAAGCAACCCTCCTGGAAAACAGAGTTCATCGGCCTCTGGGATACAATCCGCTCCGAGCCATGGATCGTCCTCCTCTTCCCCATGTTCTGGTCTTCCAACTGGTTCTACACATACCAGCAGAACGCCATCAACGGCTCGTACTTCAACACCCGCACCAAGGCGCTGAACGGCTTCCTCTACTGGTTCGCGCAGATCGTCGCCGCTGTCATTATCGGTCCCCTGCTTGATGTCGAGCGTGTGCGTCGCTCTGTTCGGGCTAAGATTGCGCTTACCACGCTTTTCCTGTTGACTGTTATTATCTGGGGTGGTGGCTATGCTTGGCAGAAGAAGTATACCCGTGCCGACGTCGATCCTAAGATTCATCCTGAGTTCAAGGGCTGGGATTGGTCTACTGATGGTTATGTTGGTCCTATGTTCTTGTACTTCTTCTACGGAATGTACGATGCTATCTGGCAGGGTGTTGTTTACTGGTGAGTTCCTCCCCTCTTCCTTCTTCATCATCATCATCATCTTCTTCTTCTTCTTCTTCTTCTTCCTTCCCCCTTCCCACTGAGATGGTTTATACTGACTTTATCAGGATTATGGGTGCCCTCGGCAACTCAGGCCGCAAGCTCGCCAACCTGGCTGGTTTCTACAAGGGTCTCCAATCAGCCGGTGCAGCCGTCATGTGGAGTCTGGATAACAACAAGCTCCCCTTCATGAACGAATACGCCTCCAACTTCGGTCTGCTGTGCGGCTCGATCCTCGTCGCCGTCCCGGTCGTCTTCTTCAAGATCAAGGACTCCGTCCCGGTCGAGGAGGATCTTGCCGGAACAGACGAGACCCTCGACGATGTTCTTCCCCCCGGCGCTGTCGAGTCGAAGCATGTTGGCGATGAGAAGATCTGAAGCTGAGCTTCGTCTTCCGCTTCTCCTCGAGTCCGCTGATATTGATAGGTGGTGGTCTGGTACATTAATGCGCTTTGATCGTTACGAATTTGCTTTCTTTTCCTTCTGATTCTCCCTCTGCTTCTGCTCTTGGATATTGATGCTCATGTTCATACGATATCCCGCCAGCGTGTATGCCTTTCTTTGTTTTTTATTCTTATTTTTTTATTACTCCTGTTCCTAGCTACCTGCCTATCCAGCTGTGCGCAGGTGATGACATGACTTGACTCGGGGATTATGTATTTACCAAGTGCCCATTCCGTTATCCATGGATTTGGGTCTAATTATTTAATCCTCTATCACGATGACATGTCTTCCTATACTGGAACAACCTAATTTCTGTAATTGTTTTTTTTTATCATGGCGGTGTTTTGAAGAGTGGTATTGTGCTTTTGTAGTTGGTTGCATTGCGATTATTGGGTTGCGGCCCAGGTCCAAGCTGGGCAGGGGATTCATCCGTTGGTTCTTCAAATTCGGTGGGTGTCGTCATTTTGGTGTTCTGATAAAGCTATAGAGATATGGGAGATTAAAAGGATTGGGGGTTTGAAGTTGTTTCAGGGAATTGTGTTGGGCTTGGATATATCCAATCACAATCCTGGTCTGGGGTGGTTACATTTCATGCATGGTTACTACGTGCGTGGGGGTCATTGGGCGTTGGACTTTTGTTATCAACACCCTTGGTGAGACATTGACGGTAGAAGTACCAGTAAAAGTCTCGACTAGAGAGTTTGTCTACTGAGCTTAGTAGACTGGAGGAAGTAGAGTATTCCGTAACATCATTCATTACTCCTATTAAGGAAAAGACAACAGTGTCAATCATGAGCAAATGGCAGAAAAACATCGCGACCGAAGCAAATACTGATAAAACAATAGAGCCAGACAAGGGGTATTCGCTTGTCGAAGAACGTAACAGATAAGTCAACACAGAAGGAATAAGTAAGAGCATGTGGTCGTCCGATACCTCTCCACGGAGAAGACCGGCCATGGATCCGACATATTTTCGTGGTTTTTTTCTTCCCCGTGATTGAATGTGTCGGACCGGGGATTCGTTTCCCGGTCAAGAATTGAATTAGGGGTCGCTTCTCAGTGAATGACGAGGAGTGCGATAAGCGGCGGAGCTGTAGCAGCGGTATGAATTAAGTTGAACTTGGTCTCCGCCGGACGCTGCATTTAGAATTGTGTGCTGAACTGTGAAGTTGAACTTCGGGTATCAATTCCGTCAAAGCAATCACTTGGTGATGATGTTCAGATAATCGGCGACGATGAGAGTCACCATCCTATCAAAAGTCAGTGGAGAACAAGTAAGAAAGTGGGGGCGACTAACGCATGAGGAGCGATCCGAACGTAGTAAGTCCCGAAGCCCCGGTAGAAGCGCAACCATCCCTCCTCGGCGACAACCTTGCGCGCACAATCCAGTAACCCTTTGTAGGGAACCTTCCCAGTTTGCGGATCCTTCTGCTGCTTCTGCAAACGAGTCTTGATGAAATCAAAAGGCAACGACAAGAAACTAGCAAAGAACCCCGCAATGGCCGAAGCAGCGAACGTCTGATTCTGCGCCGACAACGCGGTATGCTGCTTGAGCTGCTGCTTGGCCTCGGAGAAGAAAGTCAACTGTCCCATGTTAAGTGCCATGGCCCGCACAACCGTCGGGAACGCACCAGCCCACAGGGCACCGATTCCCTCGCCGCGGGTGATCCGGAACAAAGCGTCGAAAACGGAGCGGTAGTTTGCCCGCGCCTCGGGGGCTTTGAGGCCGTCCGACTGCATGCGTACGAGGGCCAAGTCGGCTGGGTTTCCTATCATGGCCGCGATACCACCGGCGCTTAGTCCTGCCGCGGCGCGCTCTGCGAAGGTCACTTTGCGGTTTGCTGCTGAGGCGCGGGCGTTGAGGCGCGTGATGAATGTGTCGAAGAAGCCTAGGCGGGCCGTTGTGTATACTGCTTGGCGGAGGATACCGGCTGAGAGGCCGGTGTACAGATCCAGGACTTTGCCGGATGCGATGATATCGCGCGTTATTCCCAGGGCTGAGGGCTTGGGTCCGGTGCGGGCGCCTTCGCCAGCGAGTTGCAAGCGCACCTTGACCATGTCCACGGGCTGAATCACGGCCGTGGCTGTCATACCGGCCAGACCGCCGTTGATGAAGGGCAGGGCGGCGCGAGTATATGGGTGGTGCAGGAAATCGGATGGGGCTTCAATGGCCGAGGCGGCAGCTGTTGCGGTAGCAGCAGCATCGCTGGCAGTTTCTTTAATGGTGCTTGATGCCATGATGAGCGGTGGCTTGATCTGGATGCGCGGTGTTAATGCAATGTACTGAGAAAGAACTGGACAGATTGAACCGAATGACTGACGTGTAATACGAGCTGTCTAGGCCTCGGTCAGTCTGTTCGTACAGTCTACCGAAAGGACGACCTGGACCATGGAACTTACCGATGACGTATCACAATGTTACTCGCAACAATATGGAAGTACAGTTGAGAAGGAGTGATGGGGAAGAAAGGAGTAGTGAAATGTCACCGACAACGAAGTATGGGAGTCACAGGACAAAACGTCAGGTGCGGGGGGGACTGTTCTACTGGACCAACCCGGAAGGGGTCTGAGCCTATATACTTGTTGATAGTCTGTCTACTAGAAGTACAGTTATCCTATAGACCGAGATCTCTTTCCGACTCGGCTATGCCACCCCTTCACCCGGCAGCTGCTATAGGCCATGGCCATGGCTCTGGAAAAGTCGATCGGGGGCCGCGATGATTTCCCGATAGTTTGTGATACTCCACTGGCTATACAGCCTATGACAGGGATCTAAGGCAGGCGATTCTAAGCGGATTATCAATGCGCCAACGTGGACTCGCCTGCAGACGGAGCTTGAAATGCGGGGATAGCTTGATCCCGGAAGATATTCGTGATTCCGGATATCCGGACTACATGGGGGGAGCAAGCTGAGGGATATCCAGGGACTGAATGCGACACTTGATGTATTTTATTAATATCCAGTTAGCTGTGTAGTATCTGTGTATCTGTTTGTGTTTCCTCTAAGAATACAAGTTAGTGCAACTCCACTCTAAACTTGGAATCCCCACTCCCCACTTACAGCTATTCGGACTCCCCAACTGCCCAACTGACGGAACGGCTCAGAAATACTCATAACCCTCCATACTGACATCCGAGGGAAAAGGAACTTCTTCCCGATGACCTCACCTCCCTGCATGAGCCCGCCTCAACAAAGCCCACCACTCCCAACGTCCCTCACCGATGAGCTCTCCGCCACAGTACACTACCACCTACCTACTAGCTCTCAATACACCAATAACCATCCACAGTCCCACCCACCTCGGAAATGACATCGGCGGGACGGAGTCGGCTGTTCCTCAATAATATTCTTCCGCGCCCTCGGCCTACCCGAGGGTATCAGCCCGGCAGTCCAATCGGGCCAACCCAATTACTCGGACGCTACGAGTTATTGTCAAAGTGGGTGCACGCTGCCAACTTGCTAGTCTGTGGGGTGGTTCCGATGTTCATTTTGGCCAATCTTGACGCCCACATACCCCCGTTTCCCGGATGTGAATGGCGGCTCCCGCTACTTCTGTTGAGACGTCAGTGCTAACTTTACATGGAGCTGCGCGCTTGGAATCCTCCGTTTTGGGGACCTTCGCCGATGACCGGCGGTTTGGGGGTTTGGTTTGTTTTTCCGGGGTTTCCTACTCCGTGGCTGGTGCGAGCGCTGACGGTTTAGATTGGTTGATTGTGACGATGGTTGTCTGTGTTGTCAACGGTCGGTAGGTCCTTGCGGAGGACTGTTCTCCGGGGAAATCGTTATTGGGGTTACGACCCCCTGGTGGTTGGGTTGAGCTGGGTAGGTGTTGCGATGGCTATGTATGGGACGGGCGGAGTGCCTCTGGTTTGTCGTTCCCATCATGAGGTGCCAGGGGGTGTTCAAGGTACCTGAGATTTCACTACATATGGTGCAGTAGAAACAGGTTATACTATCCTTGATTTACTCGTTCTTGGTGAGTATACAGCTTATCGATCTTGTCTCTCATCGTCGCACTCCCAATCGCCAAGGCATCTGCACGCCAACAGGGCTAGAATGTCAGGTACACAGTAGACAGTATACTTACTCCAACATCTATATCGCTCTAGCGATTGCTCCCTTGCGACCTATTACTACTATACTCAAACTGCCGTTATACCCTTGAATCCACGTATGAACATAGACTATCAATCACGACCCAACATTAAACCTAAGATCAAGAGACCAACCAATCGAAAACTACATTCCCCTGCCAATCTCCCAATGTCCATCGCGGAATCCACTCCGTGTCCACCCCCTGAAGAAGGCCAACCTGTCAGATCGTCTCCACTCCCCTCCGCGGAAAGGGTTCGCGGCATGTCGGGCTCCACGGGCCTAATGTCGAGATCTGGACCCACCGGCTTTCCGACCGGGAGCTCGGGAATAGAAAGGCGGTTTTTATCATGCTATTCCGAGGGTAAGTTTGTAGGGGCGGCATTCGCGGCGGGAGTTGTTAGTTAGGGATAGGATAGATAGGAATGGCGGTGGTTGGTCAAAATTCACCATGGTTTTTTGAGTGAACGGCGGAAACTCAATAATAGAACAATTATGCATTATTATCGATCTGAGTAAAAAACGAGCACAAATGTTATTATTGGGGAGTTAAAGAGTCAACAAAAATTGAAATGAAAAAATATGTGCACTGACGGGGAGTCGAACCCCGCGCTAGAGCTGACAACTATCAGATGATAGTGGCAGTGGAAGGCTCCAATGTTACCGATACACCACCAGTGCTGTTCGTGGTATAACCTTTCTTCTTTCTAATAATAATCCGCAATTTTTGTTTTTCACACTGTTCTTCATTATCCTAATATCCAAGGTTTTCTACACCAATGGTCCTTTTTCTAATATCTTAAATTGATTATTTACCCATATCGAATACTTACCTAGGGTTTAAATTGTGTTTTAGTAAGAATACGAGACAATAATTTCAAGGACAGTTGTGATATATATCTGGCACAAGCCCATGCTGTACAGGCTTAGAGGTGCATCATCCCCAACACATACGTATCAGATCGGTTCAGTCCTATCCAACAACCCCACCAAGATGAACGTCGCTTTTGTTAAGCTCTACACCATTAGGCTAAGTGAGACAGGTATGTTAAGATACACCGTAAGGTGACACTAGGAAGCAGAAGAAGACACATGATATTCCGAAGTCTTCCCCGGACCTTGGATACTTTAGAAAAGCAGAACTAGATTCATCAAAGAGTGCGAGGGCCATTCGTAATCGGCGATAAAATCATAAACAAACGGTGGAAGTAGTCGCGGATGGCGTGGGGTTGAACCCGCCACCGAACTTGATGGCCTAACCACAGATGCGCATAGACCATATAGACACGTTGAAAGGGGCTTAGCCTCCATGGCTCATCATCAGCCTTGGGGAACCGAGATTGACACGGAAGTGGAGGTACGAGAAAAGTAGTCGCTGATCCTCAACCAATGCTCCTTCCACCACAAGGAGTAGTATATCTACTCGCAGATCCCATCATCCCCGTCATAAGTGGTACAAGTGCCATCACAGCATCCGATATTTGGGCCACATTCCCCTCCTTTCACTACAAAATGCAATAGAAGTTAGAGAAACCCATGGTTCAAGACTGGATCGAAACTCACGCTGACACTCATCTCGAGCCCAAGCCGATGCGCTCAGAGCGAAGAGACAGAAAACAACAACAAGAAGCTTCATATTCAAGGATAAATAAGCTAGGTAGTTTGTATAAGATGGTATGGAAACTCAGATTTTGTGTAGAATTGCGAAAGGGGAGAATATAGATGAAAGTCGACTGGATGAAGCGATTCTTAAATACATTGGGGTTTCGGTCATCCATTATCAATGAGCCCAGCATGTACCGAGAGCTTCGAGTGATTTACTATTCCACCATCACCGTGCTGGACTAACCCTTGCCGCTTGCAGCGGCATACGAAAGGATGACCACACCTCCAAGACTCTGCTGTGCATAATGTCTGATCGGAGAGACTGATTCCTACAACCAAGACCCCGCTTCATCACCATGTGCTGCCTAGCAGACCCTCATCCCAAGTGATGGACTCGATTCACTGCAGAAACTATCACTGATCAGCTGTAACCTGCATGCGTGAAGCCCAAATCTAGAATGAACACAGAGTACGGCCTTGACATGATGGAACAAGGCTTGCGTCATAAAAACCAAAATATGAGAGTGATTGGGTCTTCAATGTAGGTTACGGCGCACGTATAGCGAAACCGACGGGGCTATTGAATCTGCAATGCACTTCCCCTAGCCTGAGCTATCGTGCATCTGGTACCCCACAGTCAAGCTATGCAGACTGTATCAGGAACTTGGTAGGCAAGACCAAATAATGGACCACAGGTTTTACAGCAAATTAATTCAGAGCGGAAGAGTCGCTGTGACGTTCACATAAATGATCACCTGAAGTTTTGTTATTCAATCAAGTTTATAGAGATATGAGCCCGAGGAATACAAAAAAAAAAAAGATTTTAGCCCTAATATACTTATCCCCAAGGTATTCATATGGACCAAATAAAAAGAAACGCAGACTACAAGGTAAGATTGTCTCAAACCAGCCAAATTTGGACACAAGACAAATCCGATTTCCTTACTGATCAGTCGTATCTCCCCGCATGCATGGGCGATCAATCTGTTTAGAGATGTATCATTGCAGATGAATTGATGTCAAAACTATTTACAAAGAAAAGGACAAGTTAGTTTCAATCTGATGACGTGGCCTTCGATATAAGGTGTCGCTGCTTGGCTCCGGAGATCGAGGATAAAGCCGCGTCGGCAGTCTATGGCCACGCCACACAACATTCCAGCACAGCAACATGCACCAGATGCACCAATTCACTCAGGCATTATCCTCGGGTTTGCATGAGAGCCTAGGATATATTTAAGTCATACTTTTGGATACGTTTTCCAATACTGATTTCTGAGTATGTGCGCTGCTCGACAGACATGACCTTCTCTTCAAGCTCAGACGCTGGCAGACAGTCTCAGTGTCACTGAACCATGCATACACATCAAACTGCATAAAAAGACCATTATCTTTTCAGTGCATACAGAGCAACAGGACGAGTTCGACAGCTTTCGGCCTGGAGTTACGTTACGCCTTACCAGCCGTAGGAGTGAGGCTGAATGTCCTTTACACCGGTCGCAAATCGGTGAGGTCGGAGTTCTCGGACTTTGCGGTCAGATATACCAATAGAAGAATAGTCCTTGAATCAAAGGATCAAATATATGAAAAAGAGCCTTACGCCGGTTGACCGGGGTAAACATGACGGACATCGCACGTAAATCCGCCGCGCCCAAAGTAAAATCTCAGCCCCGTGCTTTCGATTTGTATAAAGAGAACCGAATTGAGGAGTGAATAGGAATTCAAATAACTACATCCCACAGCAACCTAAGAATACCCAGTCAACAATGTCTCTCGTCGGAAAAGTCGCTCTCGTCACCGGTGCTTCCAAAGGAATCGGCCGAGCCACAGCCCTACGCCTCGCCAAGGACGGCGCCAATGTGGTAGTGGGATATAACTCGAACCCCGAAGCAGCCCAAGAGGTTGTGAATGAGATTGGAACTGATAAAGCGATCGCAATTCAAGCCAATGTAGGCGATGTGGCCGAAATAACATCCCTCGTCGATCAAAGCATCCAGCGCTTCGGCAAGATTGATCTGCTGGTCCCCTGCGCTGGTATCATGACCCTCACTACACTTGAAGACACGACGGAGGAGGTCTACGATAAGATGTTTACCTTGAATGTTAAAGGACCCTATTTTCTATGCCAAGTAAGTCGAACTCCTGGAGAACTTATCCTCGGAACAAAGCTAACCAGCAATAGAAAGCCGTTCCACATATGGGCCCTGGGTCACATATTGTCCTCTTATCTACAACACTATGTGCTGCCTCCACTGTCATGCCTACCTACTTGCCCTATGTTACAACCAAGGGCGCAGTCGAGCAGATGACTAGGGTTATGTCGAAGGATGTCGCCCGCAAAGGAATTAGTGTCAACTGTGTGGCCCCCGGGCCTACTGCCACCGATCTGTTCATGCGGAATCAGTCCGAGCAGACGCTGAAATTTTTGAAGGGTCTCAATCCCAATGGGAGGATTGGAGATACCGAGGACATCGCTGATAGTATTGCATTCTTATGTAGTAGTGATAGTCGCTGGGTGACTGGGCAGACACTTCGTGTGAATGGGGGAATGGCATGAGAATACAGGGGAAAAAATAAGCAAAATTTTCAAGCGAATTGATATTATCGTTTCATTTCAATGATTCACATCCATGGGTCTAGGTAGTACTAGTCGTCACTTACGGCGAAGGTGAAGCAAGTCTCTTGGTTTCACTACCATATGTAGGGGTAAGTTCGTAGTAGATACTCCGAGGCAGTGGAGATCGGGTTGGACATGATCATGTCCTACTTGCATATATGGCTATCTAAGACTACGTGAGATAATCTTTTGGCAATTGGTTCTGTAATGGCTACTCGATGATGTAGTGTCGTGAGATTCCAGCCATACTGACACGTCACGGTCGGGTATACTTGATGTACGACGTGAATCTTGATGTATTTAGAGATCTTGATATCCAACTTAATCTCATCTCTTTTCACACTTCAACATAAAACATTTGGTTCCCAAACACGAACAGACATACTCAATATGAAGTTTTTTACCCAAGCCATTTGCTGTGTCCTTGCGTTGAGTGCGTCCGCTTTGGCTTGTAAGGGTGAGTTCATGCACCCCGTTTCATTGTGAGACTTTGAAACTTACCATGCATTCTATAGAGAGAGGCAAAAGTTGCACCAAAAACCATGAGTGCTGTGGAGGAATTTGCGAGACTAGATGGGGATTCTGTTGGTTATAATAGTTCCACGTCTCGGTATCGGAGTGCTTTATCAAAAATTGGTGTTATGGACTCTGTATATTGAGAAACCATGTCCTAAGTCTACCTGAATTTATCCTTTTACTGGAATTTCAATATTCGAACTGTATGAGAATACCAGTGGGATCAAATTGTGAGCGAGAGGAATACTGCCGGTTCTACATCAGTAATAGGCATGACGATGCTGCCGAGCAGGGGGACGTTCTATTTTCAGCTCGCCGTCGTGCTTATGGAGGCACTCAGCTTCACAATCACATCGCTTATTCACTTGCGGGTCGGCGTAACTGAAACACCAATCCAACTAGGCTCACAGCAAAAACCTGAAGTCGATGCGAGTTGCCAATGAGAACGGTTGAATCAAATAGCTACTAATGACGAACAAACTTTTAGATAACATTTGTGCACCAGGAGAGCATTCAATACTTCTGTCGGGGATGACCTGAATCATCTGATTCAAGTACCGCAAAGCAGTTCCTCTGCACTATACCTCTCGTTTTTGGTGACACATACCCAGGGATAATCGTGTTTGTCGGTAATGAGTCCAGCTCCCACGAAATCTCTGTCACATGGATTCTTTTGTTTGTTGACATAGGTCGTTGTAATCCCTGCAACGTCCATATTGGAAGCACCCTTTTTCTGGGATGCCTGACAACGTATAGTATTCAATGGAAAGTGTGAATTAGTCCAAGTAATACGCTTCAGGGTCGAATAGTCTGTTCTCTGAACCTTTGTTGACAGATAGTCGCGAAGTTTGCTGTTTTGATTGTCGCACACATGGATGTGAATCTGATCCTGATCCCTCACTGTGACTGAATTGACCGACAGAGCGCCCGTATCCCTCCCAACAACCTTTCCATTCTGAGAGACGCCTTGCGCCAGCAAGGACTGTCCAAATGCCCAGCCACCATTGTCAGAGCCCAATTCCAAGATTCCTGTTACCTGATCTTGGGTGGTGATGATGTAATGGGAGTTTTCCAACCACCATCTGCCGCTGTTTTGACAGTTATGGGCAGTCTTTTTGAGGCAATGGCATAATTGGGAAAAGTAGAGCTCGCAGGCTTGACCGCAGTTTATGTCTGCATTCGTGCAACCTTTGCAAGAGTGCAGAGGAGCTTTGTGATTGGAGTTTGGACATGTCGGATCGATACAATGCTTGCAGCCAACTTCCGTGAAAGTTTGAGCACAGTCACAATTTGCCACTTGGTTATTTACGATATTGCTTGTATGACAGATTTTCTGTCCAATCGTATTGGACGGAAGAATCAACATGAGAGCCATGATCGTGGATACGAAGCCCATAGCTTCTTTGAAGTTGATCTTCATGATGATAGTTTGTGTATGGTGTTACTTCAGTGAAAGTCATACAATTGACAGAAAATATCAGAAAGACAATTCTGGCCTGAGCTTCTACGTCACTTCGAAGCATTTATGCGATTTTAATCAAAGCGCAATAGAGATCTCATGACTATGCTCGTATTTTGTTGGTGGCGTCTCTTACGTCTTGCATTATATCTAATACGAGAAAATCAGTTGTTAGACATGGAAGAGACATAGGACAGATATCTAGTAAGTGACTTTAATCCACCAAATCAATTTTCCGGCAAGTTAGACAATTTACGTGGGAAGATGACATGTCTCCGCGTCAAGTAGGAATGACCATGACGAAATGTAGCTTCTACATAACAAAAACTGAAAATATCAAAATATTGGACAATCATGATTATCAAAGAGTAGGGATGAGTTCTCAGGTGCTCTACAAAAATGGAAGATTAAAAGATACAAAAGCAATTGCGTCGACCTCGGCTAACCACGACCGACCTCAACCTCATCTGTAGAGACTCAAAACACGAGCAATCCACTTGACAGGCACAACCATGGTAGTGAACATTGAATTTCTCCGCAAGCAGCAGCAGTTTCCCATTTCCGGCGAGCAGTTGAACTTTATTGAATTCATCCAATTGGGCCTAGATATAGTCTTGAGATAGTATAAAAGCCTTGGTGTGTCATTGAAATTGCTGTTTAGGCCGTTTACTGATATGCTGTAGAATAATCAGTGAGCAAGACCCAGAGCTTTCTCATAAGGAGGCACCAATCGGGCAACTCGTGTGCAAGAGTCCGGTACAAAATATCATGATGAGCATGTGAATATGCTGTACTTCAGTGATGTATACAAGCGAAACCGATGTTCTTTGACAGATAGATTGTGTTAATCAAGGGGACTGGCAGAGGAACACTCTGGCGTCCAAGATAGCCTTTTTTTGGCAGCTGATTTACCCTCAATGGTGCCGTAGTCTAATACCCATTCTTTGAACATAAAAACCCTCATATTTGCAAAGACCCTTCTGAATACCTATTATTAAGAGACTTCTCAGTATTGTTATCAAGAGAATAAGCTCCTGCTTTTCGGTCAGACAGTTTGCTAAACATGTAGTAAGCAAGATAGATACTAGCTTCTAGTGAGAACTTATGTATACGATACTACAAGGAAGAGTATTTTTTAGAAAGAATGATATCATTGACTATCATGAAGGAAATTCATAAACATCACAAACTCCATCTAGCCAAGGGAGATCGATGGCCTAGATTCAAAAACAAAGCCCAGTTCGGGGGGAAATCAAACATATCCAACGCTCGTCCCGATACAAGCGGCAGACGTGAGAGGTGATCCAAGAAAGTGATCACCAGGAAAAAGTAGCACGCCATGCAAATGACTTATTCATCCCATCGGAGGAACAAGGACCAAAGGAGAAAAAGAAATTTTGAAACCGCTCAAGTCCTTTAAACCTGGGGCGCGGCAGCGAGGACGTCAGGGGTAGCCTCATCGGAGTACTTCTTGAAGTTCTCGTTGAAGAGACCGGCAAGCTTGGTAACCTCCTCCTTGAACGAGGTGGAGGCGGTCCAGCTCTTCTCGGGGTTGAGGAGCTCGCTGGGGACACCGGGGCAAGACGTGGGGACGGGCAGGTTGAAGGTGTCGTAGATCTCGTAGTCGGCCTTGGCGAGCTCGCCGCTGTGGATGGAGTCCAGGATGGCACGGGTGTACTTGAGAGGGCAACGCTTGCCGCCGGTGGTGGCGCCAGCGCCAACCCAGCCGGTGTTGAGGAGCCAGGCGTTGACCTTGTGCTCCTTGATCTTCTCGGCGAGCATGCTGGCGTAGCGCATGGGGTGGAGAGCCAGGAAGGGCTGAGCGAAGCAAGAAGAGAAGGTAGCCTGGGGCTCGGTGACACCGTCCTCAGTACCGGCCATCTTGGAGGTGTAACCGGAGATGAAGTGGAACATGGTCTGCTCGGGGGTGAGCTTGGAGATAGGGGGCAAGACACCGCGGGCATCACAGGTGAGCAGGATGATGTTGGAGGGGTGGTTGTCACTCTTGCAGGGGATCTTGGCGTTCTCGATGTACTCAATGGGGTAGGCGCAACGGGTGTTCTCAGTGAGAGTGACATCGTCGTAGTTGACAACACGGGAGATGGGGTCGAAGACGGTGTTCTCAAGGACGGATCCGAAACGGATGGCGTTGAAAATATCGGGCTCCTTCTCGGCGGAGAGACCAATGCACTTGGCGTAGCAACCACCCTCAATGTTGAAGACGCCGGTGTCGGTCCAGCAGTGCTCGTCGTCACCAATGAGCTTACGGTTAGGGTCGGCAGACAGGGTGGTCTTGCCGGTACCGGACAGACCGAAGAAGACAGTGACGTCGCCGTTCTGTCCCTCGTTGGCAGAGGAGTGGAGGGTCAGGACGTTGTGCTTGACAGGCATCTCATAGAAGAGGACAGTGAAGACACCCTTCTTCATCTCACCAGCGTACTCGGTACCGAGGATGACCATCTCCTTGTCGGCGAAATTGATGGCAACAGAGGTGGCAGAGGTCATACCCTCAGTGAAGCGGTTGGCAGGGAAAGAGCCAGCGTTGTAGATGACATAGTCGGGGTGGAAGCGGTCGAGCTCCTCACGGCTGGGGCGGATCAGCATGTTGCGCATGAAAAGAGCATGGTAGGCGCGAGCGCAGACAACGCGAACGCTGATGCGGTAGCGCTCATCCCAACCGGCGTAACCATCGATGACATAAATGCGGTTACGGGTGTTGAGGTAGTCGACAGCACGCTCACGGTTGATACGCCAGACCTGAAGAAGTGATTAGTAATGATTCAATGACGTCATACACGTGCTAGCCTCGGTCCAAAGGGAGCCGCAAGTGAGAGCCGAGAGGCAAATTGGGCAAAAGGAAAGTCCAGTGATACAAGTTCAAGTGACATAGGAATGTATCGGAAAGGACAGCTTCCTAATGTTACGCGAAAGGCTGCCAGAAAAGCTTGGTCTCCCGATGCATATGCAAGGGATCCCTGTGGAGCTGATCGGTCTCATATGCAAGGGCTGGAGTATGCAAAAAAAAATCGCGCAAAAGTCACTCACATCCAGAGTCATGGGCTTGTTGACGGGTCCCCACCAGATGTCCTTCTCTGAGGAAGCCTCCTGGACAACACGCTTGTCGGAGGGGGAACGACCAGTCTTAGCACCAGAGTAGGCGCTCAGAGCACCGCTGGAGGTGACGGCGGTACCAGTCTCATAGACGAGAGCATCTTCGTAAAGAGCAGGGACGGAGGGGTTGGCAATCTATTGAGGTATTAGTTGGGTCCAGTGTATAGACCGCGGGGTATGCTCACAATGGCGACACGGTCATAGTCAATGTGGGCGGTCTCGTGGAGTTCCTCCTCGAGCTCGGTGTGGCCCTTGCCAGGCCTAGAGATGGTCAGCGAGGTCAACGACAGTCAGATCGAGGCAACATACTGGACACCACCAGGGTGCAGCGCAGTGCGATTCACAGATGTAGCAACCATGTTTCTGAGTGAAGTGGAGTGATAGTTATTGTTGCGTTGTTTCGCGATTTGCTGTTGAGAGAAATCAGAAGCCAGAGGTCCAGGAGACTCGGGGCGATTGGGACTAATATAGTCCTTTCCGGCAGGCATCATGAGTATGAAGGGTAATGTTTCTCCACAGTTTCACGGAAGATGTCGGGGCTGAGCGCCGAGCTGAAGCGTCCACGCGGTTGGTGATGGATGAAGTGCCGTGGGTAGCAAATTCCTAGTATGTCCGACTTGACCCGAAAGGTTTTAGTGGACACGAGGTGTACTCGGAACGTTCTCGATCGGAAGGAGGCTAGACTGGGGTCCTAGAAAGACTAGGGAAACTAGGGGTTATCAAAAATAACTCGTTTTGAAGGTGGTTACAAAGTGAAGTTCTTTGAGCGTCTCAGGGTCTTTTATGTTGACGGTTGCGGCAAACATAACGTTGTTTTACAAATTGTACCTAGGTTAACTTTCCAACTATCGTCAATGACTACCAATGTATGAACATGAAAAGAGTCTAATTCCACTTGTATTCAGTTAGATGACGCGCAATGACTTCACTTATAGTTCATACAGGTCTCTATACTCCGTGTTCCCGGCTGAAATCGCGGGGGGCTGACATAATCGTCGATCAACCGAAACTGATTTCCGGCCTCATTCTACTCTTTCTCTTTTATCTCGGCTTAAATGAACCCGACCGGAATGCTTCGTGTCTGAAAATTGCTCAAAGCCGGATGACGACAGGGTCGGCTGAAAAGTCGGAAGCATCTGGGTTCAAGATTTCAGCAGCAAATAACGGCGTTTAACCTGCCGAGGATGATGCATCCGCATCCATCGATCGCGGCGGTCTCAGCCAATCAGCGCATTCACATTTCCACCTCCAAGGATGGTCGGGTGGGCAGAAGATATTGCCGCTGGGTCCTGGTGCGTATTATCGCTAGTTAACTGGAATTCCAGTGAGAGACACCTTCCGACTGGTACCTGACCTCCGAACATGACTCCAAGCTCCAACGCGAGCCTCCGGAAACCATGCATATTACGTGTAGTCCTTGATGGCCTCGACCACACACGGCCAAATGGACAAATGGACAAATGGATAAATGGACCATTCGAACACAAATGAGCGGTCAGTCATAGTCAGCCTTGACTCTGCTTTTCGTATCGCATCGCCACTCGGCATACCCTACCTGTGGCTTGTCTGCAACCCCAGATCCTTCTCCCCGTGGTTTAGCGGCGGATCCCGACCCGACTGCGGCCTCGGGAACGCGACCTTTGTTCGAATTCCAGTCGGAGACTATGAAACAATTACCCATTTGCGCCATTTTTGACTCAAGTTTACGTAGTGATTTCTATTTCAAGTACCCTGCTGATCAACTCATTCTTTATTGCATCCTTGCGCGTGACACGGTTGCCGGGCGGCGTGAACTATGTAGAGTTGAGGCTTTTTTTCTTGCACTCCCTGAAGCAGTAAGGGCTGGTGGAGCTTCCCCTGTCCTCTCCGCAAAAAAGGGATATGAATAGACAAAGTATACCCCGTGATCCTAGACTGTCTACACAATGAATCTATTCCGGGATCTTCGCTTTGCCCCTTCTCGTGCATCCGTATTGTTTTCTTTAATGTTATTTTGTGCGCCTTATCTTACCCGGATCAACATTCACCAACATGGAATTCTCGGTCCCTGATTGTAATCAGAGCCAATCACTAGCACTTAGCTTCCTAATTTACCCGTTGTGATATGACTGTGCTCGTTCATTCGAGTCTCTACCTATCATCAGTGTATCTGCCCAACTAGTTTCGAAACGGCCTGGGCCGGTGCGTTTAAAGGGGGCACAGAGATCGTCTCGCCTCCTATTTCTCCCGATCCAGCGCCGCACGTCATTGTTGATACCTCCAACGGCTATGAACGGAGTCCGGATCCCATGACTTTCAGGCATTGGATGAATTCTTCCGGCCCGTGTTCCTTTTTGTGCACGACCACTGCTTGGCGTCTTGGCCTTTTTCTGGGGAAATTGTCGCGTGGCCTTGCCTTGGCCCCTAGCTTATATGCGGGGTATAAAGTGGCGTGAACTGTTGCTCGCTACTGGGCTGAGGAATTTTGTAGCAGAAAATGCCGCGTTTTGGATAACCTCGTGTCAAGGCAGGCATGCATTTCATTAAGGCTGTCATGTAAAGCGCTACAAAGAGAAAGAGTAATCTCGATTCTCATGTGAGGTATCGCCGGGAACAAACCCGTACATGCAGTAGATAATGCATCTGATGTGTTGGTACCATAGTATCGTGAGAAGTATATGCTATCTGCGTCCGAGAGGTGTGATGCACCACCATCACGATAATTTTTGGCTGTACGCCGAATGTTCAAGGTTGCTTCATTCTGTTTTACTATCCTGATAGTTCTTTCCGATCGCTTTTGTCCTCATCATCTGTGTTTGCGGAGCCCCAGTGCCTCCTAAAATATATCTCCAACTTCCAAGTAGAATCTCCAGGAACCTAGACATGGAAAAAACGAGAAACTCGTCTGAATTCCCATACTATCAACACCGAGAACGCATTGCAGCTTAGTATAAAAGAACCTCATCCTGATCAGCCCCAGCCTCAACCCACCCACCAAGCAATTTCCTAGCAACACCAGCTACAAGCTGAGGATAATTAGGCGGCGGCACAGCACCAGGAGGTAAGCTCCGACTAGGATCCCCAGCAATCCAAACAGCAGGTTCCAATGAAATACCGGCAACCTTCTCGCGAAGTGCCTCAACATCCTTCAGATCAAATCCACGACCGAAGATGATCGCTCGAGCCGGTCTACTGTAATCATTTGTGCCGACCTTGTTGACCTGTGGGGACTGTGGGTCCTGGCCGGCGAGGAGGTGTGGGATTTCGGATTGGGCGGCTGTAAGGCTCTGGATAAAGTGGATTACTGGTAGGTATTAGTTATTGAAGACAATCTTCTGGTTAAAATGGGATGAGGTCGATATAGGATGGGTATAGTAGGTACTGGACATGGGAGAGGTAATTGTATATCGGACTAACCTTCAAACTCGGGAAGAAGGAGCTCGGAGACCGGCTTGCCGATTTCGGCATCCAGGGCGCAGACCACAATTGGGAGAGAGGAGGACATTGCGATAAATTCTTATTGAAGGTACTGGAGAGCTTGATTCGATCGATTTGTCTTTAATCATAACGAACCACCAAAAATTTATCTGTTTATATCTTGATGCTCGGAGTCCGACATTCTCAATGCGGTTAGACTGGTGGGTGCCTATTCAGTAAAACGGATCACTACACAACTCTGTAAACGAATTGAAGAGCGAATACATGCGGTTGATCATATCCATCTTCTCTTTATGACTTCAACCGAAACCAGGTGATATGAGAGAATAATGCCTACAATATCAACAAAACATACACCCTAATGCTGAAGAGATACTTTTTTAATATTTTAAGAAAAATATCCCTTGGATGTAACTTGGAGTAGAGCATTCAGCCCTACCAGATATGGCACACTAATTTGATCATAACAAATTCAAAGGAAATCGCTACCTTCTATCACTGACATGTGTAATACAGGTTGTGATCAGAACTCCGCGAGTCGGATATGTAGTACTCCAACACCGAGAACTAGTTCTGCTTGACCCAGCAGGAGCTTGAAAACCGAGTATCCGGTGAAATTTCGCATGTTCGCATGGAAAATCCATTTTGAGGTGGGGTGTGGGGAATAGGGGTCAATCATTGAATCCAACATGCTCTATCCACGTTATTTATTCTCAAGACCACATGGACGTCATTGAAGACATGTACCAAATTATAAAGTTCTAGATGCATACTTCTTGGGGAGAATCCTACATGATTCTGTTGTCACCATTGAAGTATGAAGCGAACGTTGGGTACTGTCCTATTCCTTCGGATGAGATCATCAGGGGAAAGGACCGCCCACCATGGTAGTTAAGACCCACAGTTTGACAAGGGAATCAAGTTCTTAGGGCCTTCCAGTTGAATCCATAGTTTAACTATGTAGACAAAATGGTCATTTAGCTCCTGAACTATCCCCACAATGATCTAATACCAAGACCAAAATTTGTATCAGGGACTACATCCGTTAATCCGAAGTGAGTATAGTCGGCGACTAGGTCACCAAGGTGCATTTACCTATACTCGAAAAATCGAATCTATAGTTGTCTATGGGTAGGAAATCATATTTCTATTTCTAATCAACATATGTCTTGTAGTTGAAAAAACCAGGAGCTTTCCCTGCTATTCCTGCTATGCTGTGGCCACTCCCCTTTCTGAATTATTAGCGTCAAGCCCAGGAAAAAGAGTTTTATATCTAAGTAGGTTGCTTATCCACGGTCTTGTACCTGTTTCTCCTGAATGATGTATAGTAGTGTGCTGTCAACCCACAATGAAGAGATCCAGGGTGCTGTTCTCATCACATGTACTACCATTAGACCACCAAGGAACCATTTCTACTTGAATGAGGATGTAATGTGCATGCTTGATATTGAATGTGCGGTTCTCTGTGCCAGCGGTTTAACATAAAGGAAAGTGGACCGCGTAGTTCCTGTCGATTGCGAATAGATTTCCTGGATCCGCCATGAAACTATCAGCTCTGATCTAAATTAGTGCTGCTGATCATTTGCACTTTCCGGTGGCAGCGCTGGCCTCCTTCTACGTGACATCATTAGTTCTTGAAATTCTCGGACATCGGTAAGGTCACTTACCACACACAAACCCGAGGCACAGATACCCATGCTTCCATCAGGCTTGCACGTTCCTCCGGCAGGAATCTGTAATACTGTTAAATCATGCCATAGCAGCGAGGAAGGTTCTAATTACAGTAGCGAGGCCAAGACTGGCAAAGGCAAAGACAGTGAAGAGAGTAAAACGCATGGTAATGGGTATTCGAGGATAGATGGGTTGTAGATGTTTCAGAGGAGTTCTTGGGTAATTGTGATTCTACACGAGTGATCAGGGCATTCTTATACTTCGGATTCGGCTATATAATCATGCGTTACGCCCAAGCGATCTGTATCATCATTACTTGATTTAGTATGCAACTACCCACCTTCCCCACCCGCTATAAATAGTCGGATGGTAGCGGTAGATCTTAACTAGAATGATCACACCAGTGCACATGTATGGATATAACAAAAGTCAATGGCACTTAGTTCAGGGGAATTTGACACGTCAGCCATGTTACAACGGAGTATAACGTCCCTAAAAAGAGGTCGTGCTTTGGTCCACAGACCTCGCGAATTCCTGAGATATCTTCCTGGCGGCAATAAATTTTTGAGCTACAAGCTCATTGGAACGCTGGTTGCAATTTTGAGATCTAGATCATTCCTTTACTTCCAACCTTTTCTGCTTGTCGGTTGATCAAATCAAGTCATGCAAATGAATCTGCCACCGGCGATAAATGTTCACTACCAATCAATTTGGATGTTTTTAATGACATCTCACCGCATGTTTGTGAAATAATGCAAGTTTGAGACGGGATTTTTCTTTCAGCAACTAAAATTTGAATATGTTGTCTGGAACACTAGGCATGCAATCCAGTGGTGCCTAGTGGGCCCATTTGACCTTTCTTGTTCGGGGAATCCCACTTGACTACGATGAAAGTCGCAAGAGTCTTTATCCTGGCAGTTACATGTGTCACTCTTGATTCAGCTACCCTCCTAAGGCATCATTTCGTGGAGAAATCTCCCTACATTAGGTCAAAATGTATCTCAGGAGCGCATAGTTGGAGTCATCTACTTTCATTCTTATATTGGCAATCAAAAACACTCAACCCTGCCGACACAGGCGTCAATCGATCGATCCACATGCTAAAGGATGGTTAGCTTTTTTTGGCATTGAAAACAGCAGTATCAATTATTCCAGGAAGTTCTTCTTCCTTAATGGAAATCTGGTTCAAGTCGCAAGCAATACAAGTCACGTAAAATCTTTGAAGCGGTCAAGCGTCCGGAAGGAACAGCCAAAACTAAACCCAAAGAAGGGAATACAGCTTGGTGAGGGGAATGAAGGAATTTTCCAGTACGTAGATGAGTTATGTATTTATCCGCCTCAAACATCTCACCAATGAGGAATGCCACCTGGGCCAGCGTCAAAATCTTTATGGAAGATATGTACGTTTGACACAAAGGTGGCGAAGATGAAGTTCTCTAGCCTGAGCGAGCTCAATTTTCCGAGAAATTGCTCCAAGGCACTCCGGCCTCCGGTCATAAGCGTTGCATGGAACTTGGACACTGTGAGAGAGCGAGAACTTTCAGATGGAGAGCGACTTCAATAATCAGATCGGACCAAGTATGAGGTTTAAAGTGTCACTTGGAGCCCCAATGCAGATTTGAAGGTCCTCGAGATTATCAAGAGCAAAAATAAATGAGTCGTACTGCGCTCGTTCTAAAAACAATCCATGGATTATATAACCACGATAACTAGGTCCAAAAGTATGCAACATTGATTTTTTGGTTGGACCCGAGTGCTTGGATTAGACTTGTTAAGGCCAAAGAGCGTTTGTCTTCCATTCGAAGGTAATAGAGAATCCTAAAGTCTGTAAATTTGAACGGGTGTCAATGCGATCTACTAGTTGGGTGGCTCCAATCTAGGAGCCGGACTCTCTGCTGCCGTGGATTGAGCAGGAACAACGTTGGATAATGTGCCAGCTCAACTTTGTCAAGCCTGTTGAAGTGTTGTATGCATTTGCGAAGTCTAGCAGCAAATGATTCGGCATCGGACTCTAGGAGACGAGAGTTGTCTGCAAGTATGTTTTGATATACAGCATGACGAGCCACTAGTTCCTCCCCTTCTAACGACAGGCAGCTTTTAGAAGACACAACACATTGGAATATAGAGTCTTGTTCCAATCGAAACATTCAAACATAGTTGGTATCATCCATAGCTCTTGAACTCGCCCCCATATATCAGATTCAGCGAGAGCTTCTAATTCGTGAAGGCTGCCGCTAGCCATAATGAAGCGAATACTTTTGAGATACCGATTGCAGAGCTCTTCAAAGATGGTTTGTATAGTACATGACATGTGAGTCTAAGCGCTTGCCATTCCGAAATTGAAGATGGCTGCAGATCACACATATCAATTCGACTGGAAGGAATGTGATTGACAATAATCCTAAGAGACTCCAGCGAAGACTCATCATGAGCATATCTGACGACTTGGGAGATATTTTACATGGCATATTCCTTGATCCTTGGCAATGGAATGGTGAGGTTGTTTACGGCTGTAGCGATATTTGCAGCTCTGACAATCAAATATCATCTTTTGAGAAGTTGACTGGACGCAACTCCCGCTACCAACCACTTGACTCTTCCATGTTTCCATGAAGTCCCAAAGCTGATATTCACTGCATGTATTCTGTTTCCCACATGAAACCATGGACTCCAATACTAGAATCAATAAAGCGCACATAATTCAACTTGGAATACATTGCATGAACATAAATGGCGCCTCTCTGATCAGCCCTACTACCATTGATTTCTGAAACACTCATCTGCACTCCGATATCACAGTATCACGCGCCAACGGTTTTGATCTGCGCTATACTGGAATCCTTGCATGTGCAGCAAGGTATCATGCAGGATGTCGCTAGTTTGAATGGTGGCTTGCTACCGCTAGCCCCCAAATGTCCAGATGGACCATAATCTTCAGCATTTTAGAATCTCACCCTGTTCTATAGGTTGCTTTTGGTGGTTATGCAAGATCCCGGGCGATCCATGTGAAGTCTAGATTTCAATTTCGCGATGTTGAAGTCAAAAATATGTTCCAACTAACTACTTAGTTCATTTGAACATTGAGAGCCAACAAACGCATTGACCGTGGCAAACTTCTCGATTTGAGTGAGCTATCTCGGGTGGCGTTGCAATTATTGATCTGAGCTGTGTTTAGTACTTTTGCTATCTTTGAGCAGAAAGGACGGGTGGCTCAGATTCGCTTTATAACTTACCTTGGAAGATGCGAAAAGGAGAAAAAGAGTCCTCACATCCATCTTTCTTATTCCTGACCAAACTCTATCTTACATTGGACGTTTGGAGCAACGCGCTACAATGATTGAAAGCCTCGTTATGTCTCCGGCTTCCTATACTGCAACTCCGGTTTCTTCCCTGGTTACTCCTTCACATCCAACTCCCCACAAAGATGAGACTCTGAAATCGTGGGCTAAGATCGGGTCTTTGGTTCATAGAGGCGTGGTCAATGTTGACGGAGAAACTTTGGATATTGCCAGTGTGGTTGCTGTTGCTCGGTTGTACCCCTATTTACTTTGCTTTGCTACACAACACATGTTGCAATATCATGACTAACAACGTATTTTAGTGAGGGATGCGGCGCAAAAGTATCCAAAGATACCAAGGTTACTGAGAGAGTTGAAGCGGGAATCGAGACATTCAACGACTACCTTTACAAAGGGTATTGCATATATGGTACGAGCCCCTGTCTAAATAGAAATCAATTCCAAAGAAGAGCAAAACGGTTAATCCTTCTTGTTAGGAGTCAACACTGGCTTTGGAGGCAGCGCCGATACCCGTACATCAGATGTCATCCGACTACAGCAATCGCTCCTCCAACTGACCCAGTCAGGGATACTCTCAGGAAGCGACTTTTCTCCGCGCATGGGCGACTACAACCTATCTTCACACGCCATGCCAGTGACATGGGTTCGAGCGACCATGCTTGTACGCTGCAACCATCTACTGCGCGGCCACTCTGGCGTCCGGCTGGAGATCATCGATACGGTGTTGAGATTGCTTCGGGCAGGTCTCACTCCGATTATCCCATTGCGCGGGTCGATTTCTGCGTCGGGCGATCTCATGCCCCTCTCGTATCTCGTTGGCATTTTGGAAGGAAACCCTGATATCAAGGTTTACTGGGATCGCAAACCAGAGGCTGCGATTGTGTCTGCGACAAAGGCGCTGGAGATTATTGGAATCCCGCCTTTCATTTTGAAACCGAAGGAAGGTCTTAGTTTGATCAATGGCTCGGCTGCTTCTGCTGCTGTTGCATCTTTGGCGGCGCATGAAGCCAGTCAGCTGGTCTTACTCGCTCAAGGTCTTACGGCGCTAACGTGTGAGGCTATGATGGGTAATGCGGAGAATTATCATGAATTCCCTGCGAAGATTAGGCCGCATCCTGGCCAAATCGAAGTCGCAGCCAATATCCGCAAGGGAATCATCAACTCCAAGTTGATAGAAACCTCGGGAACGAAAGATCGTCTGCGTCAGGGACTAATCCAAGACCGATATGCCCTCCGTGGTGCATCGCAGTGGCTTGGACCGGTAGTCGAAGACCTAAGACTAGCCATCCAGCAACTCACCACAGAACTCAACTCCACACAAGACAACCCCGTCATAGACTCTGAGTCAGGAGAAGTATACTTCTGCTCCAACTTCCAAGCAGCGTCCGTCTCGATGGCCATGGAAAAGACACGCGGAGGCCTCCAGATGATCGGCAAACTGCTATTCAGCTACTCGTCCGAGCTCATCAACCCAGACATGAACAAAGGTCTCCCAGCAAATCTCGCAGCCGATGATCCTAGCTTGTCATTCACGATGAAGGGCGTCGACATCAACATGGCCGCGTACATGTCTGAGCTTGGCTTCCTGGCCAACTCGGTGACTTCGCATGTACAGTCGGCCGAGATGAACAACCAGCCTATCAATTCTCTTGCGCTGATCTCAGCACGGTATACGCTGCAGGCTGTCGAGCTGGTCTCCATGATGAGTGCGGCTCTTTTGTATGTGACATGCCAAGCGGTGGATCTGCGCATTCTTCACGAGACTTTCCTGGAGAATCTATACAGTGTGCTGTATTTGGCATTTGACTCTGTACAAATGAGGCAGGATAAGAGTTCCGCAATCCGAACTGAGCTCCTCCAAGCTCTCCGCAACTCGTGGGGACATTCTGCGCGTGACGATCTCTCTGTTAGGATCCAGGCACTGTCCACAGCCATGGCGCCGGTCCTGCTAGCAAATGCCAAGGAGCTCAGCACAGAAGATCCATTTGCGGTAATTGAGCATCTGCAAAAGGAGATCCGTCAAGAAGCAAAGACGTTATTTCTGGGCTTGCGAGTGAAGTCATTTTGTGGCGACCTAAACGCGGAGTCATCTCTTGGACCTGCTGCTAAAGCCCTCTACCGCTTTGTCCGACGGGAGCTGGATGTTCCATTCCACTGCGGCATTGGAGAACATCCTACGGGTGATACGGAGGCTGCGGCGGACATTCCTCCTCGTCCGCGGAAAACTGTCGGGTCGTGGATTTCGATTATTTACGATGCTATCAGGGATGGGAGGATTCGGCAGCCTTTGGGGGATGATTGGAGATGTTGCAATGGCTTCTAGACCAAGACAGAAGAAGACATGATTGGGGATAGTGTGCTATTAGATCATGCCACAATGGCACAATGGAATTGATGTTCACTCATTCATTCTGTTTCTGCTCAATCCAGTTATGAAGTACAAGACAGCGAGAAAGGTTTAGTCAAATAACAAATTTGCAATTCGACTCTAGGAAGAAATTAATCTAGCCCTCCCCTGGAGGAACTATAATTATACAAAACCGAATTAGCCAAAGGGCAAACAAAAGCCCACCAGAAACAATCAGAGTACGAAAAGGCATTCCAACTCGAATTTGAAAGCAGCAGCGTTCCACATTTAGCAAGAAGCACCGCTGGGGAGACCCTTGCACTTACTGCTCTTCTTACCACCGGAGACGCTGACACCGCTCCAAGACCAGTTGGAGCAAGCACCGGAGGCACACAGGATGTAGACATCAGTAGCGCTGCTGGATACGGAACCCTTGACGTTGCTCATGGTCAGACCGGTGATGGGGACGCCGCTGGTGGGGATTCCGGTAGGGCTGCCGTTCTTATAGTCCTGCTCGATGACGACTCCGTACTTGGTGATTCCGGAGAGGGTGATGTCCTTGTAAGTAACGCCCTTGACGGAGCCGGTGGCACCATAGACGGTCTTGATGCGGACACCTGTGATTTGCGTTAGAGAATCTTGTTGTTATAGGCATTGGGAATGGATTGTGTACCGTTCTGGGAGTTGCTGATGTTGCAGTTCTCGATGGTCACACCGTTGACGGCATTATCGGAGCGGCCGCCGACAGAACCGATGGAGATACCGTGGCCACCAGTGCACTTGGCGCCGGTGAAGTGGACGTTCTAGATGGTATTAGCTAATGTTTCACCAGGATTGCATGTAGAATATACATACGGTGCCGGAGTTGACAGCCAAGCAGTCGTCCTGATTGTGGACGGTAGGGTTGGTGATGTAGACACCGTTGCTGGAACCAACGTCGAAAGCGTCGGTGTTGTGGCCACCCTTGCTGTCGCCATCGGTGTTGTCGACAGTGACTCCGGTGAGGGTGAGCTCCTTGGCGCCGTTGATGCTGAAGACCTGCACGGGTGAGTTCTTGATGTAGATGTTCTCAATGGTGGAGCTGGTCAGGCTGTGAGCGTAGAAGAACTTGGGCTTGGTCTTGCCGCCGTTGGTTCCCTTTCCGTCCCACCAGCGAGCACCATCACCGTTGAGAACTGCGCCGGAAGCACCCTTGACGGTGATGGAGGTTCCGGAAACGGAGACGAGGGGACCTTCCCACTCCTTGTATCCGAAAGTGGTGCTTCCTTCGAAGACGACCTATACAACTGTCAGTAATGGACCTTGAGCTTGGAGGTGGATGATCTTACAGTGGTGCCTTTGTTAAGTCCTGTCAGGTCCAGAGTGGTTCCGGCTGGGACAGCGACGTTGTTGAGAGTGATGGTCGAGCAAGACTTCTTGTTCTTGATGGCATTGGCAGCACCACTGGAGCCGGAGAAGGTACAAGAAGCACGGGGAAGGAGAGCATTTCCAAGAACATCAGCCTCCGGGGCGATGACAGGAGCAGCATTCACGGCAGCAGCGCCAAGCAGGCCAACAAGGGCAAGTTTGAGGGACGCCATGATAAAGAAAATGAAAAAGAATGTAATGTTTTGGTTAGATTTTCAAGCAAAGAGCAGAGGGCGGCTATATTATATACTCCTACAGCTCTAAAATGAACTGAATCGGAGCTAGAACAGAACCTCAACAGGGACGGCCCAATATTTTCCGGGAGATTGGCTGACCCCATCTGGACAGGCAGCCGTTATTTCCTCCAATGTGATGCTCGGCTTTGGCGGCAATCAATGCTTCAGGATCTTGTTTCAGTTTTAAACCGGGCGTGGAACCCAGAAGGGAAGGGTGGCAAGCCTCAAGCATATCGAAACAGCGGGGTGGTCGAATAGGCCAAGCTCATTTGTCATTCTAGACGGCTGTTTCGAAGAAAGACATTTAGGGCTTTGAGTGGAGATCCACTATGCAACGGGGTCGTGTGAGCCGACGGCTCATTTAGGTATGGTCTGATGCCTGAAGCTCAACACCGGTGAATCTTCGGATGAACCGGGATCGAAGTAGCAACAAATTCATACTTATTGAGCAACTTGGCGATATTGACTTTGTATGGCTCGGAAGTGGCGGTCTACCTTGACGGCAAACCTTGAAATCCACAGAAGTAGGCGGGCATATAGCCCCTTGAAAAAGCTCGGCGAAAACAATCAAGCAATATACCAAGTTTGTAGTTCACGCTCAGGCTATTCTTCAAAGGGCACCAAGTCTCCACCATTCTGGCCTTTGCTCTATGGTAGCCCTCGGCATACCCCTTTCTTTTGAGACCTTTGAGGCAATATATACTACAATTTGCTCTCAATATAGATAATTACAGTCTAGAACAAGACAGCGCCATGATCAGTGCTTATTGGGCTATTTTGGTCATCACCATTCTTCACTTTTCATGAATGTAACCATATGCAGGGCGCATGCATCCAAGGATAAGAGCTTTCTTCTATGGGTCACTGCTGTCACTGCTGCCATGACAATCCGGAACAGCCGGCTCTGCGCCATCAACTCCCTCAAGTTCGCGCAAAGAGGTGCTTTTGTCTGAACTTATATCTTTTGCCTAGACTACGTCTTCCACGTGGTAGATCGTCCCGCAAAATACCTACAAGCCTGACGTGACCACCAAGTTACATCATCCCCCATACAAAACATACAAAACCCCGAATAAGACAAAATATAACATACGCTCCCCATCAAAACCAAATCCCTCATCAATAAGCGTCAACCATGCCATCAACCAAACCACCCTCCCAATCCAAATCAACCCTCACAAAAAGAGCAAAACGCTACCGCCTCCTCTCAACCCTCCTGTCCCTTCTAGACAGATCCATCTCAACGCCCCTCCCGATAAAGCCAACTTCAAAGATAACAATCCCAACAACAATAAGCAAAAAGCCCGGCACAATAGACCTATACATCTACACCACCCCCCAAGTCCACTCACCAAAACCAATCCCCAACCCCAACCACAGCCCTCAAATCAACCCAAACCCCCAAGACCAGTCCTCCTAACCTTCCACGGTGGCGGGTTCACAATCGGCCATGCAAAAGATGACGCGCGCTGGTGCAGTACAATCCTAAAAGCAATCCCGGAAGCAATATCAATAAGCATCAACTACCGCCTCGCACCGGAACATCCTTTCCCGACAGCGCTGGATGATAGCGTTGATGCTATACTCTGGCTGTGGAAACATGCCGAGGAATATAATCTCGATCAGTCGCGTTTCGTGCTTAGTGGTGCTAGTGCGGGTGGGAATCTTGTTTTGGGGGTTCCGTTTCGGTTGGGGGATGAACTGCGGAAAAGGAAGGGGCGGGAGGGTGACGAGGATGGGGATGGTGGTGAGGGTACAGATGGCCAGGGTGGCATTAGATTTGCTGGGATAGTGGCATTCTACCCACCTGTTGCTTGGACGAAGAGTAGAGAGGAGCGTGATTCCAGCAATCCCATTGCACGGAAGAAATCTATGATTTCGCCGGGTGTTTTTAGGTTGTTTGATGAGTCTTATTTGGGGTGTGGGGATTTGCCTAGGAAGCCTGTTTCTACTATTTCTCCTTCTGCTGTCGGTGTGGAGATGAGTGTTGGTGAGGTGGATATGGCACATCCATATTTATCCCCTGGTCTTGCACCGGATCAGTTGATACAGACTGTTTATCCTCCAAAGGTGGCTATCTATACTTGTGGCTGGGATCCGTTGCTTGTTGAAGGGGAGACATTCCGGGAGAGACTGCTTGGGTTTGTGAGAGATGGTTTCATGGAGAGCGTAGGTGGGTTTATGGTTGAGGGTGTTGTTCATGGGTTTGATAAGAGGCCTTCGTTTTGGAGGAGGGATGAGGTGAGGGTGAAGATGTATGGGGATGCGGTCAGGGAGGTGAAGGGCATGTGGGATATTTAGTGCTATGTATTCCCAGTGATAAATAGTCTGTGTTGTCCATCATGTCAAGTGTCTCAACGGAGGATATAGAGTCTTTACAGTGAAGCTATATCTTGGCGCAAAGAGAGCGGGGCACCAGTCAGGCGGGGTACAAAAGTCAGCAATTTTCACTTTGTTGATTTCTTTCTCATCACCTCGACTAGTTCATACAGATCAAAGGTATGTTATAGGCTCGGCTGCTCCACATTTGAGTACCTCGGTGGTTAACTCACGCCAGATCCGATCTATTTCTTCACCCACATCTACAAATCTACATCTACATCATGGGTCACGCTTCCTGCCCCAAGTGCGGTGCCGCCACTGACGGCGCTGGCAAGAGCTGCGGCTCTTGCGGTGCTGTAAGTACTTGTGTTTCTGTTCCAAGGCTGTGGTGTGGCCATACTGACTATCTCAGACCTGCCCCGTTTAAGCCGTCCATGTGACGCGACCTAGGAGCCGGTGAAGTTGAGCGGGAGTTTGGACCGGAGGGTAGATTTGCTAGGGAGTTCGGGACATAGCCACGATGCGACGAGAATGATATCCGATCTATTCAAGATCCAAGAAAGCCAAGTAAAGTTATATACGAGAACATAAGAACTGCATGTAGACATATACTAGAAACAGGAAGGTACAAGTCTGTTCATAGACAAGAAACGCATTCAGGATATAGGTGGAGTGCGCAATAATAATACCTCGACCAACTCTCGTCTCACGACCAACATGCACTGTTAGGTAAGGTAGTGTCGAGACACCGGACCAACATGTCCCCCCTCACCAACAAGACGCCATTTATGCGGTCTTGCGCCACTGGGACCAGACACCAATCAAACTGCTGATGGTACCGGTGATACCGACGATGCCATCGTCAAGAGCAACCCAGCCAACAGCAGAAGCAGGAGCAGCCAAGTCGCACAGATCGGAGATGAGCTGTATCCGAGCAGCGGAGCGCTCCCTGATCAAAATTATTAGCATCCAAACCAGAAGATCCACAGTCCCGGCATAAGGTGACGGGTGACGGGGAACGGGGAAACTCACTTCTCAATCTTCTTAGCCTCAACAACTCCCTCACCCTCCTTCCGATCAACAGTCTTCTCCTTCTGCTGCAGACCGTACAGGGTATAAATACCGGCAACGGCACTGCAAAGCAAACCAGCCGCCCACGCCTTATAAGCGGACTCCTGCAGCCGCTTCGCGGAAGCCAGCTTCCGAACGCCGATCACGTCAATGACGGTGACCGTGTCGAGGGTCAGGTAGCCGGCATAGCCGAGCTGGCGGCCGATGGCCAGGTAACGCAGGATGGGGTCGACGGGGCTCTTGTTGTCTAAGGCGATGGAGGCGGCCTTGAGGTGTTCGATAAACTTGCCGATTCGGAGGATCTTGCGCGTTGTGCCGAACTGTTTCTTGATCGCGTTGAAGGGCTCGATGGCGCTTTGGGGCTTGTTTGTGCGGTATAGGTACCAGGCGTAGAAGCGGGAGAAGTATTGGATTGTTCGGAGGAGTTTGTCGCGGCCGACTGTGTGGTTTGGTTAGCGGATTCAGGATCGCGTCTTCAGTGTGGGTGGGGAAGGGGTGGAATTGTTGGGAGTGGGAGTTGGGATTGGACTGGATGTGTAGGATGAGGTGGTTGCGGTGGGATCAGGGGGTAGTTGGCTCTGCTGCTGCAAAGCTGGTGTGCACATGTCGTGTGCAGGCTCGAGGTGTACAGGCGTGGGATCGGGGTTCACGTACCTGTGGTTGCGACGAAGCGCAGGTAGTGCGCCAGCGCAGGGTGGTAGACAAGAGCATCGGCGACCATGATGACTGTTGAGTGTGTATGTCAAGAAGTGGTGAGAGGTGAGAAGTGATAAATGAAGATGGTCGGTAATTGAACGGCGAATGGAGCCGGAAAAGCAACCTCGGCTGGAGAGATCTCGGGAGCCAAGGTATCTTTACGTCTGAAGTCCACTTCCCCGTGTTTTACTCGTGCTTCACGTGAAGGCCCGAGTATATACGTCAATGACTAATACTTATTTTGTGGAATGTTACGATTAAAGGTCAATTTATACTCGAATAGAGTACACCTTATTCTGCAGTATTGTCGCTCTAGATTTTCTTCGCTTTCTTTATCTCTTTTGGATCTATCTTTCCAGTGCGGAATAGCTGTAATCTGAGCTGTCTAGTCTCTTCTATAGATGATACGTATCGGCCGGTAAATTACCACTCTGTTATCTTCAATGCATAGTTACTGTATTGCGGCCTAACTATCAAGTCACAACTTATACCGCAGAGTCCTGTTCTGCTGATCGGTCAAGTAGGAGAAAGCATTGACAAGATCTTTTCCTTCCACCCCAGCGAGATCAACATCCCTAACCTTGTTCTCCCGAGCATACAACACATACAATAACCCAAAGACAGTAGCCATATTGGCCGCAAAAGCAGCCATACACACCGTGATCCCAGTATGATAATAAGGCGCCTCACGCGTCAAGAAAACCTGCGGTGAATCAATATTCGAAACACAAGTCGACGAGACTAATAGCACGCCCGCAAGTACCTTGTTCGAGTATCCAGCCACATTAGTTGCCAGAAGCGAGTACATAATACCAGCAAAAGAAGCCACAATCGGAACATTAAAGATGACACCAAGGTGCGCAGTCTTCGTACCAGCATTGAAAGGCAAAGCGAAAAGCATCGCAGTCGAAACAAGACCAGGAATATAACAAAGAATAATGAAGAAAATGCGCTTCCCTTCTCCCCACCTCGTCGACAGCGTAATACTAATAGCAACCATGGTAACAGCCATATAATCGAAGGCAGAATATGAAGCAAAACAGCCTGATAAGTCGAATACCCGTAGCCCTTAATAATAATTCCCATAAACATTGTCTGCAGCTGTCTGCAGCGAATTCGTCAAGTTATGCGCGAAAACCGCAAAAACCAATAACCAAATTCGGCCATTAAGCAACGTCTTCGCAATCTGATCTTCGTTCATGTGCGTATTCTTCGCACCGGTCTTGTTACTGCTCAAGCGGTGGACAACAATCGCTCCCGCTCTGTCAGAAAGCTCGCTGTCAATGGTGAATCGGAGAGCAGCCATCACAGACTGATTCCGAAGGGAATAGTGAGCCCACCGAAGATTATGAATTGGTAGGAGAACACCCCGTTCACATTTATGTGGACGATTGCTCAGAATATGACACCTGATGGTGCGCCGATCATGCCGTTCGCGCTATACCGGAGGCCTACGCGGGCGGGTTGTTCTTCGTGTTTCCACCAGGAGGAGGTTACTAGCACAAAGCCTGGGTTTAGGCATGATTCGAAGACACCGAGGAAGAAGCGGCTGCGGCTAGTTTGTGTAAGTTCTTTGCTTAGCCCGTTGCTGCTAGGGTTGCTCCTGCTTTGAATTAGGTTGTGTGGGAATATCTGTTGCGGCGGTGCTTCTTACTCCCGAGAACGAAGTTGATTGTGAGGGATTTGCCAACAGGCTAGCGTTGTATGAGGAGGTTGATGCCTGCATTGGAGAGTGTCTGAATGGCGAGCATCTGTGTAGGGATATACTCAAGAGCGAACAACCACTCTTATCAACGAATTGAATGCCATTGAATCAGAATGAGTATAAACAACTTATACACACGAACCAAGATCTCCAGAACTTGGTCTTTGAAATGGGCCTCTTGCAATCGTTTACCCCAGAGTCACGCACTGACCTCACTGGCAGGGGTAAAAGATCTAGCTTCATAGCTTGGGATAAACGACAGAGGGTCATATCCCAGGTGCATCCGACGAAACAGCCGATGTAAAGCCAATGAATAGCTTTAAGGGGCGTACTTAAGCGAGCTGCGTAAGCTGAGATCGGGTGGAGGCTGGGGACGGTGGAGAAGGAAATCTGGGGAGAAGAAGGGATTAACAGTCGACTAGTAAGGTATGGCTGAACCCTGCAAAACACGGCACTCATCCGAGATCTGCTCGGCAGTCTTTGATGTACCGTGGTGATGAGCTTTCAAATCTGGATACCTTGGCGAAGGCTTATGTGGACTCGCTCATACTTCATGCTTTTGTCCAGCATATCTTTCTGCCAGCATATAGCTGGAAACAAGCACCCACCACGCCCCCTTTCTAAACGCCTCCCTAATTGGCGAGTTAGATGACAATCTCGCCCTCTTCTGTAGAATCTCATTTGCAGCTGTCAAAGAAAGATGGACGCACAGCGAAGTAACCAATACCCTCGACTCACCCTTCAACGCAACCAACTTCGGCCCCCGGTCTCCCCAGGGTGAAGGCATGGTCCTAGTCACCGGAGGCGTGACCGATCTAGCCCCAGGCGACGATGAATTTGAATGCGTGAACCTGAACATTTGCGTCCCGGAAATGTATTGATTAGATCAAAAGTTAAATAGTTTGCTACCCCGGGATTTCTAATTAGGCGGGCGTGGCAATTTGGTGATGTTTTTCCAATTATTGGGAGGGAGAAAACTAAGAAGCTAACATAAAGAGGCGTCTGTCGGTTGAAAGACGTGTCAAGACTAGATTGAGATGGATGGACTAGATTTCTTGAGGTGTTGAGTTCTTTTGTTACCCCGGATTGCCTATTTGGGCGGACGTGGCAATTTGGTGATGTTTTCCAGTTAATGGGAGGGAGAAATCTTAGTTGCGGACATGAAAACGCGTTTTTTGGTCTCAAGACGCGTCTTGGAGATTGATAAGGATTTAAGCTATTTGCCTTGTTTTTTCTTTGTTCCTGCCCTGGGACCGTGCCTTGTGTCTCAGGCTTGATGTGATCTCTGGCCTGCCCTCCACTTAATGATTATCCAGTTATACTCACGACTTTCTGCTAAGCTGCTCTGGTTGCTCTCATGCCTGGTTTCTTCCTCTCGTATGTTACTTGTGGATCAATGGCTTCCCATGATGAGAATATAATTCTTCTCTGTCGCACTCAGGCATATCGGTGGTTGTCTTGTATTCCTCGAAGCTTTACACTCGATATCATGCAGACGCTGGTTCTTGCTCCGAATTATCACTACAGATGTAGCTGAAATCCATGAAGGTCAAAAAAGGTCTCCCTGAAAAGGAATTTTCAAAGCCAGACAAGAAATAAATGATGCAATAGGCTTTCCATATTTCTCAACTAAGAGATCCGTTTCGACCACATGCATGTATCAACCGAGTTACCTATCCCGCGAAATCGCACCACCAAGCTAGATCATCAGCAGATCCGCTCCGTCAATGCCCACGCTAGGTACATGAATATCGCGTCTCATGAAATTATCAACCATGTCGCAGGGGCAGGGGAAACAAGTCGCAAGGGCCAGTATTGTCGCTGTCTCATCAATCGTGTCATGGCGTTTCAAGATTACTGATCATATTGGCGCGTGGGGTATTATGTTTTTGAGAACGGGTGATAGGGCTGCAGGCTGTAGAGCAAGAGCTCAAATGGGTGAGCAATGTGTGGTGTGGTGCGATGGGGCTGATCTGAGTAAAGCGATTACTCCTGTTCCGTGTTGGCGCTCTCGCGGTTATGGTTACCCATGGTGGTGGTGTCGTAGCCGTTTGCCTCGAGGTAGTCGCGGAATTGGGAATCTTCGTAAGTGATCGTGTCCTAGGTAATGTTCAGCATTTAGGGTGAGACGGGCTTTTGTGTTACATCATACCTGGTTAATTTGCGGGACCATGAAAATGGCCAGGAAAGCGGCCAGCAGGCACAGTGAACTGGAGACAAAGAAGGGATCCTGGCCAGAGCGGACTTTGTTGGGGGCATTCTTCTGGACGATTGGGATCACGTAGGTTCCCACGAATGCTCCGATCTTGCCGATAGCAGCTGCATATGAGTAGTATTGGCCACGGATGGCAGTTGCACTCGTCTTGGCTGCGATCAGACCGATGTTATCGCCGGGTCCCATTTCACCGAGGGCAGAGAAGATTCTGTAGTCAATCATTTAGCATAGGTGGTGGTTATTTCAGGTGTTCCCTCATATGTCTTGAGTCACTCACCCGAATACAACAACAAAAGCGGCAACGTTCTCCTTGGTTGCAAGCCACTTGTAGCATCCGGCCATGATAAATCCGACAATTCCTTGGAGACCAACGCCAAGAGCGAGGGTATAGCGAGGACCAATCCAGTCACTCATGAAGGCACCAAGAGCGGAGCCGGGAATGTAGAAGCAGTTGACCACGGTGGCCCAGCCAAAGCTCTTCCACAGTGCGGTGTCGTCGCCGAGAATGATAGAGACCCACTCAGAAGAGTAGATCGAGAAACTATAGGATGAAAAGTCATAGAGGAACCAGATCAGAGAGACGACGGTCTGTTGAATTAGGTTAGTGGCTATCATTTTGAAAATTCGACAAGAGTCCACATACCAGGCGCTTCCAGTAGAACCTAGAAAGAGGTTAGCCAAAGCCCGTTCATATCCAATAACCAAACTTACTTGATGATCAACCAGATAGGGAAGTTGTGCATGCGCTCCCGGTTGAACTCCTCCGGTTCATCCATCTTCAGTCGAAGATACATGAGACTCAAAGGTGGAATGACACCCAGTCCCAAAGCGACACGCCAGCAAGCACGCAGGTGGTCCTCGGTAAAGATCAGAACCAGGATCATAGAAACCAAAGAAGCAATCACGAAACCAGCATCGATTTGGAAGTTGGTAAACATGATAAACCAACGGTTGCGATGACCATGCTTCAACTCTCCAGTATTCTCAGCAGCTCCCACCGATCCAGCAGGATACTCGCCTCCAATACCCACACCAAGGAAGAAACGATAAGCAGTCAGGGCAGCGAACATTCCTCCGATGCTGCCACCAGCACCGTAAGATCCTGCTCCGAGAGCAGCAAAGATGAACAGGATAATAGTGGAAATCATTAGGGACCACTTGCGCGACCAGTGATCACTGGTGTAACCGAAACCCAGCATGCCGACCACGGTGCCGGCGAAAACAATCGAAGAGACGTTCTGCGCCGCAGTGGAGTCGGTATAGGCCTTTCCGTAGATCTTGCCCAGCATGGTGCCGACTGGACCGATGATCTAGATTGGAGCGTGTCAGTACTGGAGCATCCCATGTATGTCGGACAGCATTGTTGTGGTACAACACGGAGAAATACTCACCTGATTCAGGTACCCATCGGAGAAAAGACCAGCACCACAAGCAATGGTTGGCCAACTGCGCTCCCAGCGACTTTTTGCGACATCCTCGAGGGGTGGCAGGTCTCCACGCTCCTCCTTGAGAGGATCGGGTCCCTTCTCGGTCATCTGTTTGGAGTCGGATGCGCTCATATCTGCGGGTGAAACTCAGGCAGGTGGATTTGCGCTTCACGATTGGACCTCTGCAGGATTGCGGAGGTGAAAAGTCGAGGGGAAGCTGCAGTGAGCACGGGACCGTTTGCGGTATATCACCTGGTTACGATGACGGGAGTCTGGCGTGAGGAAGAAGTTGTGAAGAGAAAAAGGGTTTTCTTTTCTCTAAACTAGAGCAATTAAAGAGATATGGAAAAATTAGGCAAAAGCAAAAAGCCTGCTAGGAACATCCTAGATGGGATTAGCATCAAGGTACCCGGTACCTATCACAGAGTGCGGAGGCCCGCGTCTAACCAAGTATCGGACGGTAGTGGCACCCGGCCCCCGAGCTTTATCACCCTAAGCTTTAGCCCCCAAACCGCCGGTTTCCGCCATGTGCCAATAGCGCTCGCGTGTTTATTTGATAAGAGTTACTTTCCTGCAGGGCTGACCAATGGGACTCATTGTTGCATCGGTCACTCCGAGAGAAATATGTGCTATCGGGATATAATATAAAATACAAAGAGTACACGCAAGTCACCTCTATTGATTACGGCTTGCCGTTAAGTTGAAGGGAGAACCTCGGAGGAAATAAACATCTGTTTCCCGCACGTGCGCGCCCGAAGTGGGCTCACTTTGAAGTGGATTCTCTCAGCCTTTTTTCCTGTTACATTTTAGTTTCAATTTCCAAGACTTTCTAGCATGGCTATTTACATCAGCGCTCTAATAGCCCTACATCATTGTGAGGTTCATTGATTTTCCTGGCTGGCCACGTTCAAGACCATTGCTAAACCTATATTCTCTCTTCTGCTTCATAGGAGATCCATGCGCAAGTTAGGATTTAAATCCAAGAAATATGATATACATGTTGTTTAGAGGGAGCCTAATTCAATAGTCAAATATACGTACTTGCTGAATTTCGTTTGAGAGGCCTATTAAATAAAGTGCAGAGCAGTCAAGGAACCCTCAAAAGTCAAGTTAATTGATGCCCTCTTGAAAGTCAACTTAAAGTGTGCATCTTCCCTTAGAAAGAGTTAGCAGAGCTTGCACCCTTAGCGACACCAAGTGAAATCTCAAATTGAAGACGCCACTGCTCAGCAAGCTCACGGTTCTCCATGAAAGTAGCAAATTCAGTTAGAGATGAACCTTATACTCCTTCCAATCTCTCCCAGTCTGACCCTCCAAATCCTTCCGAAAGACGTAGCTACCTTTATCAAGGGACCATTGCTGATATTCATCGCTAAGCAGCTAACTCAAAAACGACTTAGAGCTCTCCGGTCGAAGGGTGGTAACAAAGATGGCAGCAGTCTGAGGCCATAAGATGCGAGTTCGGCTTTCCGGGTGGTTAGCGATGTTGTCCGCCTTGATCAAGTCGTGGTGAAGGACAGAACGCACGAGGTGTTCTTCTCTGCCACATAGTTCGCTGGCTCGCCTGTTCCACGAACTCACTTCACGTTTTGTTTCTGAAGACCCTCAAACCATTCCCGGTCATATTTTCCGATAATCACTGAGTATAGGTAGGTGATCGCAGCACCGTCGTTGGGTTGGGTGAGAACGAGCTTGTTCTTCCTAGAGGGGTCAAGCAATTCGCCGTACGCCGAAGGGTTGTTGGAAGCCTTCGGTGATTGGTTGTTGTAGGCGAAGCTGCGGAATTGGTCTGTTTTCTGCCATGGCTTGTTAGTAGTTTGTTAAATAACCGTTGGAGGTGATGCTGCATACAGATGAAAGTTTCGAACGTGCCTTCGGGATATTTGATGGAGGAGTAAACATCTTCCCACTTGAGAGGCTTATATGGAAGAAGCTTCCCTCGCGCTTCCAATGACCATAGACCTGTAGGGCTTGCAAAGCAGCAATATCAGCACCATCGGTATCGTCACGCTGGAATTGGCGTTCGAAGAATCCACAGTCAAGTTGGTCTCTATATCCGGGAATCAGGTTTTCCAGGCAACAATAGTCCGGTCTCCTTGGCTAATAAGTGGAAACTGGGAATCTTTTTAGTACATATTATAGGGATCGGGGATCAAATTGAATGAAGCAAGCAGTGAATGTACCATCTCCACCCCAGAGAACTATCAAGCAAGGTGGGTCCAACGGTATCTGAGGTACTCTAACTTTCTTCAGAAACAATATATCGAGATTTCACTCTGGCATGTCTTGGAAGACTATGTTAGGGATTTATCGAGCTTACGATGTCTTGGTTTACTCCCTGGCAGCCGCTGTTGGGAGACTTTCCATCTCCTGCTTCCGAAATCGTGCTTTCGAAATCGGGACATTGATACGTCTAGGAATGCCCCGGAAAGTAGGCCAAGACCCTTGACATCCGTGCTCTATTCTAGTTTATTATTGTCTTAGTTGGAACCTAATGGAACTAATTACATACTATTGCCATTTGCAGGCTTTTCGCGCCGTCTAACCCCGAAGTTCCGCCAAGTACTAACCATGCTCTTTTGGTCAGAGACAGCTCCAGGGGATGTGGAAATCCATTATCACATCTATATGAGAAGCCTTGATAATATTGCTGTTCAATTGTCTCAAAAACATATCTCAGTGCTTCGCTTCAAGGGATCAATGCAAACACTGAAGTCTGCGTGATGGAGTGTTGACTGTGTGTATGTATATATATATATATATTTTTGTACAGGACTACGGTTAGGTTTGAGAACATATCACTGGCTGTTATGGAGTGGCTTGTATCTCCAAATTCCACCAAAAAAAGCAGCGTATTGAGGACTGAGAGCTCTTTGTAGAAGGTGTCCCCGATGTGAATCATAAACATTGGGGCGTGGCTTAGGATGTGATACCGAGACGGCGTTATGATTATCTATCATTTGGCACATTCAAATACGCTCGAGCCACACCTAAGAGAGAATTATCTTCTCGGGTATCGAAAGGATTGTGAATCAGATAAAGTAGAGGGGGCACAAGCCGATGAGGACGTCATTTGATCTGCAATCGATCTCAATTCTGCTAGAAAATGAAAGGACGCGACCAATAGGCCTGACAACAAATTAGCATAATCAAAATCATATCTGCTAGGAGAAGAAATAAAAAGGAATCATGTTCCAAGCTGTATGAAGTTGGTTGATATGAAGAACCGCAGAGAAGGCCCGGGGCGGAACAATATTTCGCCAGCTGAGCTCGGGCTACGGTGATGCACCTGGCTTGACCATCAACATCACCTCCATCCTCCCTCTATCCTTTCGAATCTCTTTATTGCTTGTGATATTTCCCCTAGTATCTCCAGTCCCCGTCGTCACCATGGGGTCTGATCCGCAATACATCAAATTTCCCAACCTCTCCCTCGCCCAAGATGTCTTCAACCTCTCCAACCCGGCTTGCACGCCAGCTGTCCAGCAAACATCATTGAAGAAGCTTCAAGATGTCATCACTGAGCACAAGATGGCACCGCTTTATCGGCACCTAGCTCATCCCACCGAGGGCATCCTGAACAACTCCGGCGAAGGCGTAACACAGCACCCGCAAAATGCAGGTACCTCAACGAAGCCGCTCCTCACCTCCAACCTGCTTGCCTCTCGCAAAACACCCCAGAAGTTTGATTTCCCTTGGGATGAGAAGCTTTACCAGTCTTTATTGGAGGATAACAAGAAAGAATTGGAGAGTTTCCAGAAGGAGGAAGATGACGCAGAGGAAGCTGCTGGCGAGACTGAAGTACAAGCCGCGCGCGGCAAGCGAGCTGAGTTCTGGGCTCGCGTGGGAGATAAGGTGAGATCGTTGGGTATTGTTTGCTCGTATTGACGTTTACTGACGCTGGTTTCCAATAGGACAAAGCTATTGAATCGCACGAGGCCCTCCTCGAAAAGACCGGTTTCCTTGGTACCAAGATCGACTTAGTGCTTGCTATGCTCCGTATCGGACTTTTCTTTGGCGACCTCCTGTTTGTGAACAAGACGATCGAACGGGCAGAGACCCTGGTCGAGAGCGGTGGAGACTGGGACCGCAGAAACCGTCTCAAGGCATACAAGGGACTGCACCTGCTTACGATCCGCTCTTACGCCCTTGCCGCACCTCTCCTCCTTGACAGTCTGTCTACCTTCACAAGCTACGAACTGTGCAGCTACTCTTCGTTGGTGATCTACTCAGTGCTTGCGGGATCTTTGTCCCTCAAGCGGGTGGACTTCAAGGCGAAGGTGGTGGACGCACCCGAGATCAAGGCTATTCTTGGTTCTGGAGAAGACCAGCTGGCTGCACTGAGTGGAGAGATTTCCTCTGGCCCTGGTGCTCGGGAAGAGGAGATGAAGGATGCTTCCGTGTCGCGATCTACACCCGCTGGTGCCACTACCGCCGTTAACTTGACCTCATTTGCAACTGGATCTAGTGCCCCAGTAGACACTGAGGTTCCCGTCGATTTCTCCCCACTGGCAAACCTGGTGAACAGCCTTTACAATGGCAACTACCGCTCGTTCTTCGTGGCACTGGCAGGCGTTGAGGACCAATTCTTGACCCAAGACCGGTACTTGCACGAGCACCGGGCCTGGTTCGTTCGTGAGATGCGTCTGCGCGCCTACCAGCAACTCCTGCAGAGCTACCGGGTGGTGGGGCTGAGCGGCATGGCCAACGACTTTGGTGTGACAGTAGACTACCTGGACCGGTATGTATTTCTCCTCTCGCGCCATGATATCTGCTGACAATATTCCAGGGACCTTGCCCGATTCATTTCCAACAACCGCATTGCCTGCACCATCGACCGTGTCAACGGAATCATTGAGACGAATCGACCCGATGACAAGAACAAGCAGTATGCTGATGTGGTGAAGCACGGTGACTCTTTGATCACCAAGATTCAGAAGTACGGCCAATCCGTGCGTCTGCGCGGAAGTGAGCGAAGCTGAATTGATATACCGGAGGCATGAGCCAAGACAACCAATTATGTACCTGAATGGAGAATATGCGTCTAGAATCAAACCATTCCCATGATATCACTTGACTAAAAGTAGATCGGTCCCCGCATCGGGCGGCGCCGGAGAACCGGGGGCATTTAGTCAGACTTTCCGAGGGAAAATGATCGTCGGAGGCTGATCCGAGGCGCTATCGAGTTACCATTATACATCTTAGGTCATATCATTCACCGGGTTTCCATGTTGAGCTCTGTAGAAACGCTGTAACCGCTGTAAAACCAGTAGAGACTCGGTGAAGCCTCGATATCCCTTATCGTCAGGACTGTGGGGAAAAACGCTGAGTCAACCCATTCACCGCCCAATGGCCGGGGCCCTGGATTTTTTCCTTCTTCCCGTCAACACAAGGGTTGTCAGAATATCGTGTAATTGATTACTTTGAACATGTCCTGGTCAATTAAGCTCGCATCCTGTGCGCGGGCAGCTCCGCTGCGGGCGCTGACCCGGCCGAATGGCCTCCTATATCGCCCGGTCCATGCGGGGTGCCTCTCCGCTTCAGGTACGTATGATCTCGGCTTTATATAGTGGGATCTCCGCAATATGGCTCTCACGTCACGGTTTACGGTTGCCTGATTGCCTTGTTTACACATCTCATTGTGGTTTATACTGCTTGCCTCACCAGCCCAACATCGGGAACAACAATCGCCCTATTTTGAACTTCACTAACAGCCTCGGGTCAACTCAGAGCCCACCATGACTCAGACTACCGTCTCCTATACCGCTAAGCGTACCCTGTCGGCCTTCCAGACCTCCAAGTGTCTGAACGTCGACAATATCAACCCCGCCGTCCGGGAAGCCAAGTATGCGGTGCGTGGTGAACTCGCCGTCAAGGCCGAGGACTACCGCCAGCGCCTGACCGACGGCGACAAGTCGCTGCCTTTCGAGAGTGTGATTTTCGCCAATATCGGCAACCCCCAGCAGCTCGACCAGAAGCCCATTACCTTCTTCCGCCAGGTCCTGAGTCTGGTCGAGAACCCATTGTTGTTGGAGAACCCCGAGGTCCTCAAGTCCTCATTCGGATACAAGCAGGATGTTATTGAGCGTGCTCAGACCCTGCTCGCCAATGTGCAGAGCGTCGGTGCCTACAGTCACAGCCAGGGTGCTCCTGGTATCCGGAACAGCGTCGCCAAGTTCATCGAGAAGCGTGACGGCTTCCCCGCCGACCCCCTGGACCTGTTCCTGACTGCCGGTGCCTCTTCCGGTGTCAGCACTCTCCTCAGCGTCATTTGCAACGACGAGAGCGCTGGTGTTTTGGTCCCTATCCCTCAGTACCCTCTCTATACTGCGACCCTCTCCCTGCTGAACGCTCGGTGTGTGCCTTATCTCCTCGAGGAGGACAAGGCCTGGGGAACTGATGTCACCGCGATCCTCAAGTCTATCGAGGAGGCCAAGGCTGCCGCAATTGACGTGCGCGCCGTTGTAGTCATCAACCCCGGCAACCCAACCGGAGCCTCCCTGAGCGCCGACGACATCAAGAAGGTCCTTGATGTCGCCGCCGAGGAGAGCCTGGTTGTGATTGCGGACGAGGTCTACCAGACCAACGTCTTCAAGGGCGAGTTCGTCTCCTTCAAGAAGCGCCTGCGCCAGCTGCAGAAGGAGACTCCCGGCAAGTACGATGACGTCGAGCTGGTCTCGCTGCACAGTATCTCCAAGGGTATGGTCGGCGAGTGTGGCCACCGCGGTGGTTATTTCGAGCTCGTCGGCTTCGACCCTCTGGTCCAGGAGCAGATCTACAAGCTCGTCAGTATTGGTCTGTGCCCGCCGGTCGTCGCACAGTGCCTACTCGAGTGCATGGTCAACCCTCCCGTCCAGGGCGAGCCCAGCTACGAGCTCTACCAGAAGGAATACACTGGTATCTCGGAAGGTCTGCACAAGCGTGCTCTCTCCTTGTACAATGCCTTCCAGCGCATGGAGGGCGTTGAGGTCCAGGAGCCCCAGGTACGTTTATCCCACTCTATCTCCAGATTTCCAATTCACTAACTTACCCTAGGGTGCCATGTACCTCTTCCCCAAAATCAACCTCCCAGCCAAGGCCATCGAAGCCGCCGAGGCCGAGAACCGCGCCGCAGACGAATTCTACTGTCTGGCCCTCCTCGACGCCACAGGTGTCTGTGTCGTCCCCGGCTCTGGCTTCGGTCAGAAGGAGAACACCCTCCACTTCCGCACTACTTTCCTCGCCCCCGGCACTGACTGGGTCGAGCGTATTGTTCAGTTCCACTCCGAGTTCATGAACAAGTACCGCTAAACGCACTTGTACAAGTATAAAAAAATAACATATGCATGGGTCGTGATCTGGCCCGCTTCTATTTAGGCGATTAGAGTCTGCTGTTTGGGACTCTGTGATGCTATGTTTTGGATCTGGATCTGGGTTTGGTTCGTTCGGGATACCTCATAGACTACTTACTCTATTGGACTCGCCATTTTCTTATCAAAATGTTTCTTTTCGTGCCATTTGGGGCTCATGGTTTCCGGGTTATACATATCTGCCGCGAGGCTTACCTGCATGGTTTTTTTGTGGGATTGCATATTGATTGACTTAATATAATCCATCCCCTATATCAAGCTCAGATACTTATCGTGCTTGGGTGGTATTGGTTTGGCATCTGACTCCAGTATGGATGCTATATACAAGTCTGCCTACAAATACTAGGAAAACATGCATATCTTCCCAAACCTTGCACACCTACTGCACTCCGTTTTGAAACCCAGACTCAATCCCAACCTCCCATCACATACTCATAATATAATCTCAAATCCCAGAAAGCGAACCACATCACGCGACAAACCGACCAAGTTTGAAAACTGTATGCATCCAGGAACAGGGCAGCAACCTGAACCCCAGTCCGCATGGAGACTACATAAACTCCTACCCAGTAAAACTCAAGATCCCAGTATACAATGACAAGCATGATACCATCTACACCCATCGAATAAATTAACGTAACACAACGTAGATATAAAAAGAAGCGGTGAGCCCCAGAACCAGATTCCCAAAGCAGAATCAAGACTCGAAATACAAAACCACACACACCAGCACGTAATCACCGAGAAACATCCCTATCCAACCCCTTTTACAGTAGGCACGGGATACAGTGTACAGTGTGCAGTGCATGCAAGGACTGGCCAAGCTCATCTCAACTCAGCTCAGCCCAGTCCTCCCTACAACACATGACCACTATAAGCTCGCCACCGCTAGATCGTAGATATACCTCGAATAAGACCCCTGCACAACCCAATCGTACAGCATACATGTAGATGTACATATACACACCAGAATAGCCCAGTCACACCGACTAACCACAAACCCACACACACCGTCTCAGATACAAGCCTCGACTTGCATTCTTGGCTAATGCTTAGCTATTTCGTGTGGGTTTGTGCAGGGGTCTCCCTTGTTGGATATACTTTTGTGCTGTACGTACCTGTACAGTACATGTGTATGTGCGTGGGTGGATATGAGATGGACTTTGCATTGCATTGTATGTATGGTTTTGGTACGGGATTTACTTATACACGGTTCATACCATAGTATCAGTTATAGGTCGGAATTATATTCTTCTATTGTAGGCCTTGTTTTTTGGTGAGTGGTGATTGGATTGGGGATACCTGATATTTTAGAGTACTTTCTCGTATTGATTATTGGCGGGAGTGGGTATGGAGTATAGGTAAGCTAAGTGCTAATCCATCCTGAATGAAAGATCGACAACTCCACGTAAGGAAACAGATCAAGCCGGTCAGCCGGTGAAGCCGGGATGACAAGATTCAAAATGCAAAAGCCAAATGTAAATTCAACCAACCGCGCGTGAGTCGGTCTGCCGAGCTGAGCTGAATGTCGCATGGGTGCGAGATGCGAGATGTACCAGGCACCCGGTCTCACCGCCAGGTTGGAAGCCACATTTAGAAAGGGATACTCGATCGATATTGGGTACTTGATTTGATTGGTGGATGTGTAGAAAGAGGAGAGTAGTGTATAGTTTATTTGGGAAGTGGTGTAATCATTATGGTATTTTCATTTTCATCTATGGTCATTTGCTGATATATCGGGGTTTGAGGGCAGGGGGTTTCGGAGAGTTACATCCCCTACACGATATGCTCATGTACAGTAAGCCACGAATCCGAAACTGACACTGAAGTGTCTATGCACTGCATGCATCTGGGTATCATTGCCCGGAGGCGACTGTATTGAAAGTACCGAGTCATTGTACACGAGTAAAACAAACTGGAAGGTCTATACAACAGTAAAACACACCACAGGCATGCACAGTAGGAAAAGATCAAGCAAAAGAATGTACAGGCACACTGGCACACAAGGCACAGGCACACAATGGACCAAATCGCAAACCCCTCTAGATTGAATGGCTATCAAGGAAGGAATCTAGACTGGCTAATGGAACAAGACAAAAGGCATTTATCATCATCTCTCATCAGGGTCATGAAGACGGTGTGGAGGTGGTGGTGAGTGCGACTAGCAAGCCCCAGGACAGAGGAAGAGAAGTAGAAGAAGAAAGCAAGGTAAGGTAAGAAGAGGGAGTTTGGACCACCCTTGATCTTTTTTTTACTGCGCCCAGGACTGCTGGAAGAAGTTGTCGTCCATGGGCGGGGTGGAGTCGGCGTCGAAGAGACCGGTCGGCCAGATAGGGACGGAGTCTGGCGGCGAGGGCATCGTCATCGGGGCCGTGGTCATGGGCTTGTATCCCGGGGCCTGCGACATGGCGTAGAGGTCCTGCGAGGGAACCGGTTTGGGGTCCATGTTGGCTTGCAGCTGGTGCTCGAGCGCGGCCGTGGACTCATTGGCCGACTTGAGGAAGTCGTCGATGTTGATCGAGTCCAGGTCATTGGATGAGAGGAGACGCGTCTGGGGCAGACCGACCAATGAGGAGGCAGAGCTGAGGCGCATATGGTCCATGTCCGACGCTTCGCTGACGCTGTGCAGATCATGCATATCATTCCCGGCATGACCTAATCCTGGCAGCGGTCCAAACTCGTCGGCCTCGGAGATCTCCCCTGATGATGACGGTGGTGGGAGACCGGATGGGTATGTGTAATCGAAGCTGGCGTATGACGGGGCTTGTGTGCTAGTGGAGGCAGGGACATCGGAGTACAGGGGGAAGCTCGACCAGTCGACAGAGGGAGCACCAATACCGGCAGAGCCTAGAGGCATATCGGAATCCGGAGAGGTGAAGTAACATTCTCGGTACGGTTCTTGGAAGGCCATGCATGTGGCCGGAGAATTGGTGCTGGTAGTCGGGAAGGAAGAAAAGGTGGAGACGTCGAGGGGTGGGACATTGGTGACAATATGCTCCAGGGGATATTTATCCATCGCAGAAGGAGCAGAAGTCGGATTCGATACCGCATCATTGGGTCGATCTAATGGCGGGAGAGCAGGGGTGGCAAACTTGTCGAATAACTGGTCGAGAGGAACGGGGTTCACGTCGTCATCGCCCGAGGCTGGCGCACTATTCGGAGAGCCCTTTTGCGATGTTTGTTGCGATTGCGGGTGTTCAGACAGGGCCAGAGGATCCTTTATAAAGGCCGACTGGCCCAACGGCAAATGATCCACGGACCGACGGGGTAGATCGGACGGGTGATGGATAGTATGTGATCGTGGAATCGTATAAGGCAATCCACATTTGTGGGCCATGTCATTATGTTTATGGGCGGGTTTATGGTGGCCGTCGCGGAATATCGTCAGAGTCGACTCGGACTTGGTCGAGGTCAGAGGCGGTTTCCGCGCCGTTTCAACTGGAAGCGGTGGAGAGAAAGGGAGACCGGTCTCAGGCACAGTGTCTAGATGTTCCTTTTTAAGTGCACAGGTGCATCGCTGGCCATGGCAACAGCCACAACGGCCATGGGTATCGTGAGAGTCGGAATCGCTCTTCTTCTTCTTGTCGCCGCATTCACATTTGATGTGAGTTGTCCGAGACTTGCGTAGGCCGCGACAGTGAGTACATTGAGAGACTGGGCGGCCTTTTTTATTGATGTGGGTCAAAGGGCGGTCTAATAGAGGTTAGAAGAGACCAAATTGAGAGATTGTGAGATTGCGAATCGCATGATTCAACGTACCACTATGGTGACAGCTGCTGACGCGGTGACCCCGGACGCAAGCTTCACAAGCCCACTTCTCACCTTCGATGAGCATCGCTGCGGGTGTTACTGTGAAGTACACATGCGATGACCGAGAGAAATTGGGTATCAAGAAAACAAGCCGGTCGGAGTAGACCGGGGGGAAATCAAGCCGTCAAGGCGATGGCTACTGGAGCCGAACAGAAAGGGTATATAGAAAGGTCCCAATGCGAGGTTCACAGAACGCCAACAAACAGCGAACTGCCAGAAAAAGAAGCGGAAATCCAAAGGGTATCAGGCGAGATTGGAGGAGGGGGGGGGGGGGGGGGATAAAGTCGGAGAGTAAAGAGTAGAGAGGGGGACCAAGCCTACGCACCGTTTGGCGCCGGCCTAAAGACAGGACACCAAGTACCGGTAGTGGCGGCCAAAGTAGAAAGCGTTCGATATAAGGAGTCGTTGAACACCCTATGGAAGAGGGAAAGGGAAGGAAAGGGAAGGGGCCGTTAATAACGGGCGAGGATTTTCGTTGCGGCTGAGGTGGCTGTGGATGGCCGTAGTGGTACCTTGTACTGTAATTTAAGTTACTCCAGATTTACCCACATTGTCTAAGTTATAGCGTTGGGTTGGTTAGGGTACTCTGTAATTAGGGTAAGGGTTATGGAGTAATGGCCATTTTTCTTTTATAAAACTTTCGACTCTTTATGCCCAAACCGGCAGCCCTACCCCAACGATATGCAGCTATATTACAGTACATTCGACTTTCTACATTCTGCATTCTACATTCTGCATTCTACGGAGTGCATTCTACACTCTACGTGTACTTTACCATAGTCCAGGTCAAGTCCCTCTAATTGTTGAGTACGAACTCAACCCCACCGATCTCGCTAGCAAAATCTGGGGCCGCACATCCCGACCTTGACACCTAAATTGTACGTAAGACATCTGTACACTTTAACTTTTTCGTTTAACCCTGTTTAGTGTTGAATTCAGGAGCCCAAAGATCGTTCCATAATCCCTGTACAGATACATGACATACGATGAAGTAACCAAGTGCTTCGGGCCATATACCTATCCGGTGTATCTTAAAAAGAGGAATGTTCGTACGCCGTACAATGCAAGTCATCGATGGCGTCAGTGTTCCTGCTTCGGGCGGCCTGCAGAGCCTTTTGGGGCCGGCGGGCCCTGATCTGCACCCCAAATCCCGCCAATCACACAAAGGGCCCGGTTCGTCTATTGTTACGCTACATTACTATACATGTATTGCCTTGTACTGCAGTATAAAGAGATTTCATTCCCTAAGAGTACTCCAAGTAATCCTTGCTTTTGATCATCTATATTTATCTTTAGGGTCAGAGGATCCAACCAACCGTGCAATTTTACGGTATGATGTAAAGTTTTGCGCGCGTAGAGCGGAGAAATATCGAATGCCTAGCGCTAACTCGACTGAACCTACATGAAATCAGGGTTCCTTAGTGGCTACTTGAACGCCGAGTCTCTGGAGTGTCCTGTTTGGTAGTCAAACAACTGGACCCAGTTGGCCAAGTTGACCAACTTCGCTGGCATCCTCGACCCCACAGATGATAAGATCAAATCAGAGGATAACATATCCGGAACTGCGATTGAATCATTCGGAAATCACCCGAGACTTCTCGGGAAGAATGCTTATCTTCCGGTTGTCTTTCCGAGTACAATCGCTGTGTGTCAGTGTCTTGATATAAGACTTTCGACAAGAATTCGTGGACAAAGTCTACATGTAACATGGAGCCGCAGACGGTTGCCCCGTAGTAACCTTGGAACACCTGAAACGCCTTATGCATGGGAGAACCAAGAACCACGATACATACTTAGTTAAGTGTTCCAAATATGTTCAAGCCCAGTCTATTTGGCAGGTGTAATAGTAAGTAACTTATTTGGAGTGTCTTGGTAACATCTGAGACAATGAATAACAAGAACAAGTCCCTGTCCAATGGTCAGACTCCAACTCACCCCGTGACATTTATGCCTGAGAAATACGGCGCCAAGGAAAAGGTGTTAATCCGCTCCAACACGCAGAAACGAAAGGCCGTCCTCCGTGCGATCCCAAAAAGTAAAGGCAAGATCTATATAGCTTCAAAATGATATATCAATATGAATTCTACGTCCAAATGTTGTTGCTTAATGCGGCGCCCTCGGCGCTAGCCCCCTTGGAAATTCCCCCGCGAACTTTTAGCCTGTAAAACTTCACTTCTGGCATTTTGCGTCCTACACTTTCTTCCCCCATCTCCCGGAAGCCCGCTTCGCCCACAACCCATCATAATATCTGGATTTTCCAGTCATTTATCGCGTGATGAACTCTCGCGAGCAATCTGATATGCCTCCGGCGCCCTCCTACCCATCGCCCAATGGTGCGCAGATGGCCCAGGGCGCCATGCCGTATTATGGTAATCGCCAACTGACCGCCGACGAATTGCTATCCGCCGAACTGTCCCGCGAAACCTCCGGTCCTGGCCTTGGTGAGTCCGGCAGTGGTGTCCACCATGGCCAATCCATGGTCTTGGGTTCCTCCAATGCTGGTGACATGGGCCGTACCTCGTCGGAGGATCAACACCAGCACCAACACATGCTCCAATTCCCTCCGAGTCAGCAGGTCGGCGTGGACCCGAACCACGACTTGAGCTATGGCGAGCAAAGTGCGCGGAAGCGATCCAAGATCTCTCGAGCGTGTGACGAGTGTCGGCGCAAAAAGGTACCGCGATTTTTTTTCTCCCCAACGCGACTTTGAGCCAGAAGCTAAGACGCGTTTTCTTTCCAGGTTCGATGCGATGCGAGTTCAGAAACTGGTCTCGAAACATGCTCCAACTGTCGGCGTCTAGGCGTTGTGTGTCAGTTCAGTCGCGTCCCAATGAAGCGCGGTCCGAGTAAAGGGTAGGAAACAACAAGTGTGTCAAAACAAGAACTGTCCATACTGACAGGGACACAGATATATCAAAGAACTTGCCGAGCGCCTCCATACTCTGGAGAACCAGATGCAACCCGGAATTGTCCAGCCCGATGTGCCGTACCAGTCCATGAACGAAGTATCGCTACCAAGAGGATACCAAGATTTCGCATCCCCCGTGGAATCGAATTCGGGCAATCGCAAGAGAACATACTCTGTGTTCGAGGGTCTTCCCAGTTCCTCGTTCGCGCAGCCGTCTTTCAATGCCCGTGTCTCGCAAAATGCCTTCGATACGTCCGACACATCGGCAGACCCATACAATCCAACTGTTGCCGGTGGCAGCGCACCAAAACCCGGCAATCTGTTCTGGAACCCGACTGGCCATGAGAATGATCTCCCAAGCGGGCTTGAAATAACCGACTTGCCTAAACATGAAGGCGATGATGACATGAGCCCGGTGACTCTCGATGAAGGTGCCCTCGATGCGTACTACCAAAAGATCCATACTCTCCTGCCAATCCTTCCTCACACCAAAGACCGGACTTTGGAGCTTCTGCACCAATGTAACCGCGAAGCGCAGGAAATCTTCTGCTATGCCCTGTACAGCGCAACCCGCATCGACTTGACTCGTGTTGCTGGTAATTTTGAGAAAATCAACGGCTTCGACAATGCCCAGGATCTCCTTCTCTTCCACACCCGCCAGCCATTGATGGTCCAGTCGACTGCTGTCAACCTTGTTTGGCTCCAGTCCCTGCTGCTAATGATCATTGACTGTGACACTCGTGGACCGGACAACTTTGTCTTGAAAGATGGTGTGCCTAAAGGTAGTCTTGTCCAGGCCGCTAACAAGCTTGGATACGACCTAGCGAAGAACCAGGGTCAGCTGAAGAACAAGCGTTCTTCGGATCCTGATGTTGACTCGGATGCCAACCTCACCAGACGTAACTGGGTTTCCCTGGTTATTCTGGCACGCTGGTACGCTATCAGTGTTGCGGACGCTACTGTTTTGGGTGGCCACGAGATTGGTGGCCGCGAAGATGAGAGAGTAGTCGGTCAAATCGCAACTGGAATCGCCTGTACGTACCTCTCCCTCCCAATCTGTCAGCATGATACTAACAGCACCAGCCTACTCGACCTTCCTTTCAGAAATGGTAACCCTGGCCAACGTTGACCACAACGTCTGCCAAACAAATACAGGCCTAGGCCGCATAGTCGGCGCAAACCTAGTCTCCTCCCTAGAACGCCTAGCCGAAATGGAAGACGTATTCCAAGTGCACGAACTCCCCGAACACGCAACAACGCGCCCCCTCTACGAAAGCCTCCAAACCCAACTCTACTGGACAGTCCGCCTCTTAATCAAACGCCACGTCTATGTCTACAGCCCCTACGAAATAATCTTCTGCGCCCAGGAAGTCATCACCGAAATGCACAAGGCAACTATGCAAAACAGACTCCCTTCCCCCTTCGACCTGCACAGTCTAGCCCTAGCCTCAATGACCCTTCTCGAAGCAACCGTCCTCCCAGAACACGCCCCAGAATGCTGGGCCTCCCTAGACAAACTGGAAGAAATTCTCGAACGCCGCGCTAAGCGCAACGCCGATCCCTCTGAGTTTGCCAACATCTTCGCGACACCAGAGTGGGATTCTAAGATCCGCATTTTCCTCGAGTGGCGCCGGATCAAGTCCCAGGAAAGTCAGCTCCAGGAAGCGGATCTGAGCCTCGGCGCTGGTGCAGGTAATAAGGGCGGCCAGCCGCCTATGGGTCCGAATGAGCAGCGCTCATTGCAGCATCTTGCTGATCTCGCTGTTGGGGCTGAGGGCTCTGTTGGTCAGAATGGGCCTTCGACGCCTCCGCCTGGTCTTCATGATCAGGGTGAGACTTCGCCTAATCTTAACCCGCAGCTTGCACAGTCGCAGGCTGGGTCTGGGCGCGTTGTTGTTGATTTCACAATGTTGACTAAGGAGGGATATCTTAATGTCTTCTCTGGTTTGATTTATCGTCGCACTCGTTAAGTTGACATGTCTGTGCTGAGTGTGCTCGAAACTATCCCCTGTCCTGTGCTGTGTGGTTTTAATTGTGATATCTCTTTCCCTTTTTCTTTCTTTGCTGCTTTGTCCTCCCTGGGCGGGTCATGATTTGAGTGCTACGGGTCTTTCCTTTCATGATGTATTCTATCTAGGATCCTATGCCCCTCCTGGGCTATTCAGGGACGAACAGGGAGTCGGATTATATTAGCTTTAGTGAAATACTATTTTACCAATGTCAGTCATCTATCAATACTTCTCAACATCATCATTCCATCCCATCTCAATGAAATCCGTAGTGTTGACCAGATATACCGTGCGCTAGCTCGAATATACCATGTTAGATATAACAAATCCTTAAAAAAAGAGCTCCACCCTTGATCGTTGATATGGCATAGTAAACTCTCAAACCCGGATCATAGCACCCTCATGGCTTCTTCCCAAACGCAAACCGCCTCCACGTCCCCTCCACATCCTGACAAAGAGTCATGAACCTGTCGTCTTCGATCAGTCCACACATCCAGTTTTCGAGAAAGGCAACGCGCTCTGGTGTGGGCGCAGCTAGGTATTGTGCCAGATGGTCTTCTGTCATCACGGGGACTGTGTGCGCCGGTGCTGATACATGTGGGCTTGGATGTGGAAGTATAGGAAAGGGCTGGTCCTGCGTACCATCAGTGTCGTTGACTACGTTGTTTGTATCTGCCTGTGATGCAATCTGGATACTGCGTTTCTGAGCCGAGTGTTTGATTGCCCTGGTGCTAGGAATATCTTGGGATACGAAATCCTCATCGGCGAGTGATGTCTGGCTCGCTTCTGAGTATGGGGCTTGCTGGGAGGGAGGTTGAATCTGGGATTCTGGCAAGCCGGTATCTAGAGCTGATGGCTCAGATTGCATAACTGCATGGAGTGAATGGCGAAATTGCTCTTGTGACTTGGCTAAGTCTGCAGGCTGAGGTTTGTTCTCTGTGGCTCGAGTCACGCTGGCAGAGCGTGGTTTCTTTGTCGGTGGCTTTTGGAATGGTAGATCTCGCTTTGGAGGCAGCATCTGGTTTAGCTGGTCCAGGTTGTGAATTGCTGAGACTATAGACAACTGAGAGCTGGATGGTTCCGGTTCTTGGTATTGTGCATGGGGAATATGAGTAGATTGGAAGGGAGCCATGACTGGTGGTTCAATGTTCTGAGTTGGACGATTGAACGTGGGTTGACGAGGACCGAATCTACAGGGAGCGTAGGACACCGTGCTCGCAGGGGATGATGCCCGGAGAGGTGCTGCAATAGCCAAACTGTTAGATCAATGCCTCTTGGACTAGGAAAGTTGGTGCTTACTGGTTCTTTCAGATCCATATGTACCGATATGATGAAAAGGTGCACCAATGCTGCGAATTGAAGTTGATGGGTTCATGATAGTTGGTGCATGTGAAAGGTGACCAGATGTCCACGATGATACCGAGGGGGTTGGTCGCGGAACAGGTGTATTGCCTTCGGTCAGTAAGCATCCGATTTCGCCCAAGATGGCTAGAGCTGTGTTGTAGTCGCCTTCCGTCGTGAACTTGATCTGGAACCGACGAATCTGAAGATTGTAGCAGAATGACCATTAAAGCATACCCCCAAGAGATGATCACTCAAAGAGTATACGCACATGGTTTCCGCCGTCAGGATACTTGATCGCAAGACAAGGTAGCTTGACAACAGCGGCAAAAGGAAACTTGGGCAATGAGCCATTCATGTCTGATTTAGCTCTCAATGCAGCCATTTGAACAAGATTCGTGAGATTGACTTCCTCCTAGTAGAGGAAACAACCGGCGTCAGCATTTGATAGTCAATGTGCACGTGTGATGGAAAGATACCAGAATGACATTGCCTCGAATCACTCGCTGGATTAATCTTATCGGCACAGAATCACCATTGTGGATCTTCTCAAAGATGCAAACTAGGTCCTCATTGCCACTGACATGATTCCATGTAAGGGGTCCAATGTGGTCAATGGCGGTGGTGGTATGGGAGAACTTGGCAATCGCTAGGCGAAGGACCTGGGAGATGTGTGACTGCGGTGGCCACAAGTTCTGCATGATGGGACACAAAAGATAAGATTCAATTTACTATGAGCTTAGGGGGCAATGGGTAGCCCATGAACGACTGTCGGGTGAGTTGAATGTGGAGGGTACGGCAGCATGGTTGAGAGGCAGGTCACCTCAGCAGAACCAATCTGAGAAAGTATCCCATGATTGGAATTTTACACATTGTTGCAATTTTGGATATGATCTCTTTTATTCCAATCTAATGTTTCTGATGCCAATCTATCTGCGGTAGATATCTCTTCTTTTGCTGTAGTTGTGCATCATAACAAGCTGTGGAGTCCTGGGAGCCCCAAGTATCATATATGTAAGCTATAGGTTTAGAGTCAGTTTACATGGTCAGAAGCAAAAAACAACAATTCAGTCTGTGTGGAAAACAGAGAGTTATAAATATACATGCTCAACATCAAGGGCCTGATCTCTGCGAAATGTCAAACGGCCGCACATGATTAGCCATGAGGAGGTAAATAAACCGAGATAGGGCAGCCCATTCTAACTCGAGGAAAGCCCCCGAAAACAATCTTCAACACGATCTCATGAATGAGGACCACCATGAACTATTCCATACAGCACTGCGCTAAACCTGATAGGGAAGAATGTTGGAGCCCGAAACATCAGGCATAAAAGATGGAACAACTGATAATCCGGCAACGCGCTGAGAGCGCGGACTTTTGGCTGATCAATGCCGTTGATCGCAAGCCCAGCTACAGCCCTCCAGGGCCGCAAGGCATTGATTATTATTTCACGTTGTACTCCTGTCACTGACACCTGTCATATCTGCGCAACCTCACTTTACGTTCAGATCCGCCATTGCAGCTGAGCCGTTCGCTATTTTCACTGTCGCATCCTCGATCGTCTTGACACTCGAACGCGCGCGAGAACCCTGCGCCCCAACTCTAGTCACCATTCTTGATATCCCACTCATCCACCAAAGATTTTGCTGGGCCATAGACGTTGTGCGAGCCTGCAAACACGAAACTCTATCACGAATTTGACAACCTTGCAATTACAGCGAACTCGCCTTCCTCGTTTGCTGCCAGACGCATCAAGGGCAGGACACCTCCAGGCGTGACAGTCGGAATCGCTAGTTGAGCAATCACAGAGCTGTATTTTTGGTTGATCTCGGCCTTGCAAAGTGACACCAGTCGTCTCATTTGCCCCGGATTCATTGAACCAACTGGGCTGGAATTGCGAACGTCGCAAAACTATCGCGTGCCTCATCCTCCACCATGTCTACCCCTCGCACCTCTTTACGACGTAAGAAAACTTGCCACTTGGGAGAATTGAAGCGACTATACTGACTCAGCTCACAGAGGGGCTGCGCCAGGCCCCGAAGGTCAACCAACCTTTCATCCCTGACACCACCCCAGCTCGTCGGTCACATATCCAACATGACTTCACCTCACCCCAACCATCAACGAGTCCCCACCCCGTGACCTTCAACCCTGCCGCAAACCCGCAGAACTCGCAATTTGCAGTCGACAGTTGGGAAGGAAAAGACCACAGACAGCTTCCTATGTCCACACGAGAAGTTCCAACCCCAGGAAATCGACCTGTTTTGTTCGCCAACCTCCGTGACCCAGCGAAGGCGCCCCGACAACTGGATTATTATGACCCCTACTTTCCCCTGAAGTTTTTGGAGGTCCCACGAAGTCTGTCTACCCCTTCATCCCGTGGAATATCCCAATGGACTAACGCCCTCTCAGCCGACCATATTTACAAGCGCGCTCACTATGGCCTACAGTCAGGTATTCCAGACGAAGTTGACTTCGCATTATATCATCTCGTACAAATCTCAAATCAGCGATGGGACAAGTTCAAGTTTGAAGGTTTCCCGCTACTTGCTGAGACACTCATGCAAAAAGCCCTGGACATCACACACCTCTGTACAGGAGTAAAATGGGAATTCCAGTACGATCCTCTTCAGCCGATTGACCGTGTCAATGTTCTTAACTCGCTACACGGCACACGGGACCTCCTCGATAAGATCAAAAAGATCCCAGTCAACCTTCCCATTGACAGCCTCGAGACTGACGAGTTCAATCATCAACTCCGAAACATCAAAGAGGCAACCTTGGTGCTGAGGAACATGGTTCTACTGAAGGAGAATGCATTCTATGTTTCACGCTACGCGAAGGGTCTATTGCGAGACTTCTTGGTCATTTTGATCAATGCACCCAGCCAGCCCCGACTCAACGAAATCAAGAACGACGCTCTCGACATCGCCGAAGAAGTCACAAAGTTCTTGCGCACCGACCCAAAAGACCCCCTCTGGATCTCTCTTGTGAATTGCATCGACTCCCCAGACCGCGCGCATGTCGTACGAGCTCTCTGGGCTCTGACCCATTTCGGTACCGAGTTGGATGATGCGGATGCCAATCGGTCCATGGAAAGTTTGGCAAAACCAACTCTCCAACAATTATACTACCACACTCTTCTTGACCTCGACAAGGATATCCTGAGCGGTGCGCTGGACCTATGGTATCAATATACTCTCAGCCCTGATAACATCGAGACATTGATGGATGTTGTCAACTTCCCAATTGTATTCGTCCCACGCATGGTCGCGCTATTAACTTACGAGGCACGACCAACTAGGAAGGAGACTGTCCTCCAAGAAGAAAAAGTTGCACCACCCCCAACTGACATTCCTCGCGTACCTCCTGAACTCTTAGAGAAGCTGATGGAGTTGTCGGAACCAGAGCGCAGCTCACAGTGGCTGCGTTGCTGCTTCATTGAAGATGCAGAGTGCGAGATCACACAGATTGCTCTATGGCAAGCATACCAGAGCCGATTTGCAGACCCTCGCGTTGCTGGCGGTGGTGTCCTACCTGCCGCTGAGTTCATCAAGAATGTTAGTAACACCTTTACGAATGCACAGGCACAGGTCATCAACGGCCCGGGCACTGCCACCAAGTTCATTATCAAGGGCATCCGACCTTTGGAGATCGCCCATACTTTCGAGGCATTCCCCTATGTCTACTGTCGATGGGCCGATAACTCCAAGCCATCCAAGATGTGTCAACGCGCATTCACATCCCCGACAGACCTACGGAACCACGTCTTTGGTGACCACATGAGCCTCGAACCAGCAGAAACTGAAGGCCAATACAAGCTGGATCCCGCAGAGACAGCCATCCACACCTGTCAATGGGACCACTGCGCACGATTCCGAGCATCTGGCCCCAGCACCAATACATCCATGGTTGCGGGGCACGTTTCCTCGCATTTGCCGGAGGACCGTCCCGCAGATGCCCAACCCCCAAGTTCCAAGCGCGCAATTCTGCAGGAGCGCATCGTACGCAAGTGGTTCTACATGGACACACCAATCAACGAGAAGGGCGAACCCTTCGGCGTAGCCTACAAGGCCGCATTGGTCCTGCGCAACATCGCCCGCGGGCTCCCCAACCGCACCACATCCAGATACGGCGGCCTACCCTGGAAGAAGGCCTGCTTCACCAGCCAACGACCGAAGATCGTCGAAGTCTGGGACCGAAACCGCGCCCTGCGCAAGGAATTGACTGAACTCATTATGGTGATTGAAAAAGAGGTCGACTACTGAGCTTTTCTCCTAAAAAAAATCTTTTACCAACGTCACATCTTCTCTTTCCTCCATTTGTCATGAAATCAACTTCCTTATCTGTACGACTAATACCCTGATTACTCGTGTTCTCACCGTTCCTCTCTGGTTCTCTCGCTCCTGTATCTTGTCTCAATGTACAACATTAAAGGGCAACAACTAGGCTGGCTGTGTTTTCTCGTTTCCATTTTGATTTTCCACGGCTGGTCATTATTTTTCGACTTATGCTAATACATGTACCTGCGCGCAAAAATGCACCCTAAGAGCGGAGTTTCCAAGGGGTGTGGGGTGGGTGGATGATGTTTTTGGCTTAACTCTTCTTATCTTTTATTTTTCGGCGTCTCTGGAAGTCAAAGATAAAAATTCGAGTCTTACATTTAGTTCGCTGACGCTTGGGTTTTTCCTTCTCGGTTTTCGTCTTGTGGTTTTGCTTGCTGTTTTTTTTTTTTTTTTTTTCATTCCGTGTATGGTGTACCATATATCTGGGGTAGATAGTCCTAGAGGGCTTGCAATTGATTCATTATCACTCATTTTCGTGCTGGATAGAACCGGACCTCGTCTTTCGAACTTGCGAGTAAATACATCCACTTTCAATTGCTGCCCTCACCAGCAAACTCCCCCAAAACCCGCATCGCATCCTCAGCTCTAGTGCCAGGTACATAAATGTGATCATGGAAATACCCACTCACAACATTGGCACTGATCCCATGGTCCTTTAGTCGATTGCTTATAGCAGCGATGAGTCCGACCGCTTCCAGGCTGGAGTGAATGGTAAGAGTGATCTTCTTGCAGGGGAAGGTAGATTCAGTGAAGCCATGAGAGTTGGCTAGAGACTTTGTTGTCACGATTGTTGTGCCTTCGTCTTCTTTGACGAGGAGTTGGGGTTCGAGGGTTGATAGGGGGAGTGTGTGGAGGGGTTGATTGGTTGTTAGGAAGACGTAGGTTGTTGGGTCTAGGCTTGGCTGCATTGTTGCTAGGAGGGTTTGGAGGTTGTTTTCACCTGACATTCTGGTATTGGGATTTTGTTTAATTATTGGGGGTACTGATTTGGGGGAGTGAGGTGTTTTGTATGGAAGAGTGGAGTTGTAGTCTACAGGGCGTGGTTAGCGGAGCAAAGTTTGGTCAACATCGAGGAATGGGTATGGCCTTAGGGACTATACAAATGTGAGAGCCCAGTAGATTTTTTTCAATTAGTAGATATTCAGTACTAAAATTTAGAGATTCATGGCAAGTTATCAAGATGGTCAGCCCTTGGCTAGTTTCATGTTTATCGAGGCAGACGATACATAAAGTCGACGAGATATTAGGACATGAGTTTCAATGGCCTTCAGGAAGGCATGACTCTCCTATGGTTTCTTTGCTCAATTCTACGCGGTAATCGAAAAATGCTTCAATATCATTCGGTGATAGATGCTTGACGTCATATGGCAGACCTGTCAAAATGAGGACGCAGGATTCCTCATCTTTATGATATCATCAATGGATATTTAGCCTAGGAGTTCCTTGCCATAAATATTTCGAAAATCAGAAGATTCTTAAGAAACACAACCAAGCCACAACCAAACCATAACCTTCAAAGACATAAACATGGCTCGCATCTTCATCACGGGCTCAAGCGACGGAATCGGCCAAGTAGCCGGCAAAATCCTCGCAGATCAAGGCCACTCAGTTGTGCTACACGCACGCAATGCAGATCGCGCAGCACACACGAAAAAGGCCGTTCCAAACGCCGAAGCAGTGCTAGTAGGCGACCTCCGCTCAATCAGCGAAACAAAGAACCTAGCCAAAGAAGCCAATAACCTAGGCAAAGGCCCCTTCGACACAATCATCCACAACGCAGGCATAGGTTTCGGCGCAACATCCAGCCGAGAAATAACCGCTGACAAGATCTCGGCTGTTTTCTCTGTCAACACGCTCGCGCCATACATCCTTACCTGTCTTATGGACAGGCCGACATCGCGGCTGCTGTTTATGAGCTCTGATAGTCATTACGGGGGTGATAACTCCATGCGTAATATTACGCAGTCGCATTCGTATGGTGATAGCAAGATGCATGATATGATGCTTGCTAATGCGTTTGCGAGACGGTGGGGTGAGGACATTCAGGTTGTTAGTATGGATCCCGGTTGGGTGAGGACTAAGATGGGTGGTTCGATGGCTCCGGGAAGTATTGATAAGCCAACGAAGGCTTTGGCTGAATGGGCTTCTGGAAAGGGGCATTTGGCCAGCTTGAAGAGTGGCACTTTCTTTAACCCTCGGGGCGCGGACTCGCCTGACCCTGCTGCTGGGGTTGTGGCTAAACAGGAGGAGCTGCTGAAGATTTGTAAGGAGGTGTCTGGGGTTGGAGTACCAGGTGAATAAGGGTGATGGAATGTACATTAACAGAAAATTATGGGACTATTGTGACTCTAAATATCATGTCGCGCGTATTTGCTCGCCATCCGAATTCTTCGTCCTCGGTAGATGAGAATGAATGGGAAAGGCACAAATAGGAGAGTCAAGCAGCCAAGCAGAGTGCAAGCCCATCCAACACCCAGGTTATGGAACATGGCTGTTGCGAAAAGTGGGAATCCAGCACCAAATGATGAGCGCATGAAATCATTGCCTGCAAGGACGGAAGCAGCATACTTAGGATAAGCGTGGGCCTGATAACAAAAGATGCAGTTGAAAATCAAACATCCACCAACGGCGAAAAGCATAGATGCGATGATAGGGACGATCCAGTGGATACTAGCAAAGTTGCCTGTCCAGCCAAACCAAAAGAGAGAGATAGGGAGGGCGAGGGCGCCCACGATGGCCGGAGGCATTTGCATCTCTGGTGCGATGTTGCCATCTGCATCAAAGTACTTGGACTGCCAGCGGTATTTCCAGTAGAAATAGGCTGGGATGACAATACAGCAGGTTGATACGAGGATTCCAAGGAACGCCATACCACCTTCACCTGGATTGAAGCCGCGGAGCTCCTGGAAGACGATCGGGAAAGCCTCAAACCAAGTGTATAGGATTCCATAAATGAGAGAAATGTACAGATTAGTGATAAAGACAATTGGTTCGAGGAAGCATAGTTGAAACGGCCGGATGAGAGCTTCGAAGAGGACATCCTGAAGTGAAGGAATTTTCAATTAGAAATTGTGCATGGTGTTTGAGAAGATATTAGTTCACTTACCCTGGGCTTGACTTCACTAATCTCAATCTCTGACTCGGACATATATTGAGAATTGCCCGTAATACGACGAACCCGACGAGCTCGGCGAGCAAGGATGTTTGGCGCAAAGGTCTCCGGCAGACAAAAGAATAACAGGACCAAAGCGAATGCCGACACCCAGACTAGCTGCCAGATAGTCCACGTCCATCCCTCCGCAGAAGCGGCGAATCCACCCAGCATAGGACCCAGGACTGGCGCGGAGATGGCAAACATTCCCCAGATACCAATCATGTAATCTCGACTTCTGGGGCTCCACATATCCCCCATAGATGCAGCCCCCGTTGCTAGAACAGGTGATCCAAGGAATCCAGTAAGGAAGCGGAAAGCCAATAGCATGCCGAAGTTGTGGGCATATATCACGCCGAAGTTGAAAAACACGAAGAAGAGCAGTGTCAGTACGTAGGTTGGGCTTCGGCCAATCATAGGAATTTCCGAAAGTGGTGCCCAGACCATCGGTCCTATAGATAAAGAGGTCAGTACTTTGTTGCGGATTTGTATACGGTTGATACGAACCTAGACCGTAGCCAAAGACAAAAAGGGTCAGACCTAGCGTCGCTGCTACACTGCTCACTCCGAACTGCTCCGAGACGCCCGGTATACCGGGGGTATAGATAGCAGAGCCAATATAGACAGCAAAAGTAAGAAGCCAAATTTGACAGCTAACAAAGAACTTCTTTCCCGTGCTCCAATTTTGAGGGTCCTGCATAGGAAAGTTAGCGTGTTGTTACGCTAGCCTAGCATCATACTGGTGAGGGCTCACCTCAGGGTCATCGGCTCCCCTCCAACTGATTACAAGCGGCCTACCACTCTCCCTTAGTGTAGAAACACCTGACATCCGCCTGGAAGCCTGTGACATAACAGTATAGAGACCAAAGGTCTCGAGATCCTCGGGTTTTTCATCGTTGACAACTGGAGTGGAAAGCTCCTCTTCTCTCGGCAAGTAATCAGTCTTGAGGCACTCAGGCCATATTGCTGAATCGCGCTCTTCAGGATATTGCAGGCATCGGAAATGTGAGAAGAGGCGCACCAGCTTTCCGAACGCGGTGTCTCGAATGATCTCCATGGAGATGGGTATGTCTCCCGGGCTTTGGCCAATTGAGAAATTGAGCTCTGGTATAGCTGCAAGCGGGACAGATAGAAATTCAACGAGCTTGAGGTTATTTCTGGTAACGTCGCATTCGTATCTATAGGCTGTCAATGAGATTTTCCCATGGTCGAAGTACTTCGTATAGAACTATATCTCGACGCCGTAAATCCGTATGTCCGGACGGGGCTGTATCATCTTTGATCCTAGGCCTATGAGCTCGTCCTATTTTCGGTTAAGATGACGAAGGGTAATATGATGAGGTTCTCTGGTTTGTGATCTCATATCTGCGGCACTTATAAATATATTTAGTGGGGTTGTTTGCAATCACAACAGACTTGGTGTTCTGTGTGGTTGATGTCACCGGACGATCTAGGCCCCGAATTTACAACAGAGTAATTCCCTAGAAACAACAAAGTTTTACACCCAAGAGAAACTTCAATAGTGACGTTCAAGAATTATTTCAAAATCTGCACGTCGGATGGCATTCTGAATTAAAAAAAAGTACATGGATTCCTCCAAGGTTCGACAAATCCCTACCCAAAAAATCGTATGAATAACATATAAGAATAAATCATCCAAATTCCCGGCTCCTAGTAGTCACCAGTCGGCATACCACCCAAGGTCGGAACATGCTGGCCATGAAAACCAAATCCAACAGCCCCATCGACGTTCGCACGACCAATTTCAGTCAAATCCTTCGCATCAAGACAAAGTAGATAGCTCTTACTCTTGGTACCATCAAGAACAACACTGAGAAGTACACCATCATCCTCGCTCGTCCCCTCAGGATTGGCAACAAAGATAGGCTCACCAGGAGACTGGCCATGGCAAGCCCAGAGTCGAACCTGCTGAGTGTCACAATCAAGCTTCATGATTCCATCCGTCAAAGTAGACTCTCCACGGAAGGTGACAGCGTAAACATATCGGTGCTTCTGTGTGACTCGCTTAGGATCCATTGTCGGCAGCTCGGGTGACAAGGATTTGCACACCGACCACTCAATCGATGCGTTCTTGATATCAGACTCTGGGCCAGATGGAATCCTGGGCAATCTGAATCGAGTAATCGAAGCACGGAAGGAATCATTCCTGTTCTTCTGGAAATCCTTGGCTGTATCTCGTGAAGAGATCAGGTTATCGTATAGGAGGGTTTGCAGGATGTTAGAGCTGTCGGTCTTGACAAGGTCTGCGATCATGTCTATCTTGGTTGGATCTTCCTTGGACGGTTCGAGCCAGGCATTGATAGTGTGAAAACAGAAGAAGGCTGGGCTTTCGTATGTTGCGATCAGACCGTTGCCATGCTTGCGGTCAATCACGTACCATACTGCGGGCTGGCTGGGATCTGTTGGTAAAATGGCAGACATAAAAGACTCTTCAATTGCCAGTGGGTTCACATGCGCATTCCAAATACACAGGATAACGTGGTCTTCGGTAATGAGGAGAGAGTGCAGATAGGCTGGGATGGCGTCAAAAGTTGCCAGGATTGTTGTTTCTCCCGTGGACGCTGATACCCCGAACACGCGATATGTGCAGGTCTGTCCAAGAGTGAGGTTGAAGTTGAACATGTCTCCAGTGACGGGATCGGATCGAGCATGCGACGCAGACAGTTGCCCCGAGAGCTCGGGATCCAGATCTTTCTGCGAGGCCAGACCTATTGGCTCCAGGGTTTCCGGGTCAAGCTTCTTCAAAGCATTGTAGTCGGTCTTTGCATAGAGAGTTCGAATTCCCTCAGAGTTGGTCCAGCGTGAGGTCGAATCATCGCCTGGTGGCGTATCAAGGCCCGGGAAATTGATCGAAAGAGTAACGCCGATGTTGACACTCGCTGGACCGGGGTGGGGTTGAGGTTCAGGTTCGAATTCACTTTGGACTTTTCCTAAGACACTCTTGCACGGATCGCGCTTCTGCCCGAAGCTGATTTTGTCCAGATTTCCTGCCTTTCTGGATTGTTCAATCAGGTCATCGGTCGAAAACCGGGAGTTGTAGAATATCCGAGTTGATGGATTAGATTCATCCGGGGCTCTGATCTGGAAACGATGTGTTTGACTGAATCCATCGAACCAGTGAGTTAGTCGCAGGATTTCTCCGTTGTCAGCTTGAATCTGGCTCTTTCCTGGCCCAGTGCGGTATAAGACTCCCGCGGCGTAGGCAGGGAACTGGCCGGTGACTGGGATTTCAACTGGTTCGCGTTGTTCGTATTCGGGATCGTACTAGAGTGCAGGGATTAGTATGTATACTTCGCGGGCCACCACGCATCACTTACGCCTTTGTCAGTAGGCCAGTTGTTATAGTGGTCGCTGGTTTTCTGGGACCAGTCCATTTCTGGTGTTGACTCGAGAAGAGCAGGCATGGTTTGAAGTAATTGTGAATTGTGAATTGTGATCGATCTGATTTGTTATGTTTTGTGGTTAATGTCTGTCTGGGAACAGGCATCTTGAAGAGAGCGCTTTCTTTATATATTGAACTAACTACTCTAGCCCGACAGACTGAGCCCCTGATCTCATACAAGATAATTCGGCGCAATGTTGAAGTGGGGGAATCGCGACGGCTGCACCGGCCCCGTTTGCACGTCCAATCGCCACCCCCGAATTACCGAGTTCCAGCCCATCGTCACTCCAAACTTCGCCAAGTCCGCCAACTAACTTCAGCAAGCGAGAGATCTCGGCAAGAGTCCTCGATTCACGCCGATCTTCCGTGTTCTTTTTCAGGTCCTAAATTAACGCAGCTTACCACAACATCCGAGGTCCCCTTGGCAGATCGGCTTCTTATCGAACCGACGCCAAACCTCCATGGAGCGACGGCGACAAAATACCACCCGTCCAAGAGCCAAGAGCTGGAAATGTGACAAATGCCAGTCAACCTTTCGACGGATGGATCATATGAAGCGCCATGCGCTGACTCGTACGTTGTATGCTAACATGACATGGTTGCAAAGTAATGATTTGTATCAGATCACACGGCCGAGAAGCATGTCTGTTCTTTCTGCGGCTCTGATTTCAGCCGAGGGTGTGTATATGCTTCCGAAGCAACATACATGCATCGTGGCTCACTAAAATGCCTTTCCAGGGATGTACTACGCAGACATTGGAAGTCTTGCAAGGATCGCGTAGGGAGTGGTCAGGCTATTCCAAAGCCTGATCGTGGTGGGAAACACAAGCGGGCTTGTGATAGTTGTGCACGTCTTAGGAAAGCTTGCACTGGCGAGCTTCCTTGTTCGGAGTGTATTCATCGCGGCAGGGGATGCACCTATCAGCGGCTCCATGAGGAAGAGACTACTTTACCTTCTATATCTCAGGTCCTTTTGGAAAATCCAGATACCGAGGGCCTAGCATTGGAGACGAATACCTTCAAAGCCCCTGGCTCCTGGAATCTTGGCCCTGCTACCCTTTATCCTTCGTCTGCAGAGGCTTTTCGACGCAAGACTGCACTGACTCAATAGACACCGAAAAACCAAACAGTGATCATGAACACAGTTGCATTGTAAGTCACATTTTGTGTCGCTATTTGCGCTTTACTGATCTAAATCATAGGCTCACGGGTTACAAAACAGCTCCAGCCAAGACCAGCTACCCATCCAAGTTCTTCAAGTACCGATAAATCTCAACAAAAGCGATGAGCCATATTTTCTCCATATTAGGATGGGGATCCAAAAAAAGAGATTTTGGCCGCCAGAAGCTTTTATGGTCACCGTATTTGAGCGTTGTGAAATGGGGTCCCTTGAAAGAAACCGCTCCATTTCCAGGAAACTGTTCGGACCACGGCGTATTCACTGTGCGAAGAAGTTCGCCATCTACCAGTGCTGCATTCTTGTGCCTAGGAATTGATCGTAAATCTGGCCAGCCTGCGGGCAACAGATAAAACTTCGGCATTCCATCGATGACAGTTCGAACTGAATCCATGATGGAAGATGGGTGCGAAGCAGTACCAGCTGAATTCATGGTCTCGCTCGCCACGCCACCATCGGCTTCCATCAAACCATGCTTCTGCATCATATCCAACAGTTGGCTTAAGGCCGAGTCGAATGGAATGACCCCCAGGAAATCATATCGGAAATGTTCGCCAGCGAAAAACCTGCGGGCCGAGCCTCGCATGATCCCATCAGCGCTACGCCGCATTCTCGACAAGATGTGTGTGGTGTTTGGCCGATGTGCTTGTTCCGGGTCCAGAGTGCGTTTTAGAATATCCGGATTTGCCTCCAACATATCGGCAATCCAGTAAAGCTCCTCAGCTCTCAGATGGTATGAATTGGCTTTTGCTTTCTGGATGTCCTCCCAGCAATCTCTGAGCTCTTCAAAAGTCTCGTGAATCTTGAGAGTCCAAGGTCGATGCGCATGTTCGTTGGTATGACTTTCAGCGCCAAGCCGGGTTAGATCTGCTTTGCGCCAATGAAGAGCGATCTCATCATGAATGCGATGACGCAGATAATCCCAGATATCTGGATAGTCTGCAGGATCTATGCAGTGGATATTTGTGCCCAGAGGATTTCTTCTAATACTGGATGGTGCTACCATTGGTTTTTTCACTGCTGTGAATATCTCTCTGTAGACTGTAACAGCGAATTGCCACTTGGAAAGAGCTTCTTTGTCGGCACCGAACATGTTGCGGCAGATTGGATGCAACATGATGCGCTTGTCGAGCAGAAAGTCCCTGAGCAATATCAGCCTGAGGACGTCCCAGACTCGCAGATCATCGATGATCTGGTTTGCGATCTCGGTCGGAAGACGCGTGATCTCGACCTTTAAACCACTGATTCCCAATTTCCCATCACTCATTTTGCCCAAAATGCCAAAGAATAGGAGATGACCAGAATGAGAACAGAGAAGAGCGTGGAGCCTCGCGGAATAAAGCCATGTTGTGCCTCAAATGACTCAGTGGGGGCCCAAACACGGGCCAAAGTACACGTTGATTTTTCCTGCCTCTCATAGCTTTTTATCTATGCTCTTCTATCTTATTCCGTCGCTCTTTCTGTTAAAATCAACATCAAAAATCATGACAGACATTGAGGAATTGCATCTGCCAGATGCGGAGACAATCGCACAGCGCCTGCGACAGGATCAACAAGCTTGTCGAGACAGAAAAGTGCCCAGCAACCTGGCAATCCAATTATCATCTGCTTCAGATGATTTAATTGACAAAATAGCCTGGCATATCACGCCGCACAGCAAAGTTTCAAAAGCATTGCGGTCGTTTAGATGCAAGAGCATTGTGGAAGGCATCAAGACCTACCTAGGCCAGTTGGAATTTATGACCAAATCTGAGACCGAGAAACATACTTCCATGGATAGTATGCATGTACCAACATCAGATGAGTTTGAAACAACTTTCAAAGTGCTAGACTATCTTCAAAAACACAAAGTGGTTGCTCCAACAGCGCCTCTATCTGAGGTTCTTGTTGCCTTGCAAGGCCAACTCTCAATGGATAACAATACTCGATACAGACAACATGAACGATTCGAGAGATACGATGCGCCAAAAGGCTCGGATATGAAGAAAAGATGCTACATATGTCGATACCGTTTCACGCCCACCGATTCTCACGAACTATACCCCTCACTATGTCGTCAATGCGGCATGTTCAATGTCGGCTGCTCAAATCTCTCGCTACCGGATAAGCTCAATCTCAATGGAAAAATCGCTCTCGTTACCGGCGGAAGAATAAACTTGGGTTACTCCACTGCATTGAGACTCCTCCGCTGCGGAGCCAAAGTTATCGTCTCATCTCGGTATCCAGCCGATGCAGCAACCCGCTATTCCACAGAGCCAGATTTTGCTGAATGGGAGAAAAGACTGAAAGTGGTCGGTGCAGACTTCAGAACTGCATATGATGCTTTTCGACTGGTGCATATTGTCAAACAATTACTCTTTGCTTGGGACGACGAGAGTCCATCTGATACTCCACGATCCCTTGATATCCTGATCAACAACGCGGCACAAACCCTCACAGATTCAATCAAAGCAGAAGTGAGAGCCATCTCTAGAGAAGACAATCTCAAAGACGATCAACAGGCCCAAGCCTTACTCGTGGAATCCGAGAATGGCAAATATACACCCCGAGTGAGAGGAGGACAGCAAGCAACCTGGATCCCACGCATCACAAGTAACAACCCACAGCATCAAATTGAAGATGCCATCGACACCCCACCTACAAACCGAGTAGCCACAAAGGGCCTCCGAACAACAAATGATGAAGATGAGGAGCCCTCAAGATCATCCTGGGTACAGTTCCTCAACCAAATTCCCTACGCGGATCTGATCAGCGCCCACTCTGTCAACGCATTCGTGCCTCTAATCCTCTGTCGTGAACTCCTCCCAGTGATGGGAATTCTACCCCCCAAAACGTCAAGCTGCTCCAGGCCCATACCAGCGGGATATATAATAAACGTCTCTTCCCGCGAAGGGATACTAGAAGATACAACCATATCACAAAGCAAAGCCGGACACCACGTTCACACAAACATGTCCAAAGCTGCGATCAACATGATCACAGAGACAGAAGCACAGGCTGCATGGAAGGAACGGCGTGTTGCTATGAATTCTGTCGATCCGGGTTACATGAGTGCTGCACCAGAGTGTGTGCCTGCCGATGGATGTCCGATTGGGTTTGAGGATGGTGCTGGGCGGGTTTTGTGGCCTGTTGCTGCTGGTGAGATTGAAGGGGAGGTTGCTTGGGGACGGTTTTTGAAACATTTTCGGGTTGGGGCTGCTATTACTCGGAGGGGATAGATTTAATGCATGGGCTGAGCTCTGTTGTTTATATGTTGCTTTCAATGTTTGAGTTCAGATAGGTCTTCCTTTACATAATCTTTCAATGATAGGAAGATCGGAGTACAAGCAATTGATACAAAGTAGCACATGATTAATCCCATATAATTTGTGTGTGTTGCAAGAATCGTCTTCACTTTCTCCAATGATCCGTAACGATTCTCACCTTGACAGGAGACTTAAACACCGCAACGCCGTGATCGGACCAAGCCAAACCTTCGTCCTTGCTAGGGGATAACAATTCCATATCGAATCGACTGAAAAAGATGGCAAGCACTGTATAGATCTCAAGATAGGAGAGACTGCATGTTATCAGAAATCAATTATGAACTCCCAATAAACAAGGATTACTCACTGAATTCCCGGGCAAGATCGGCTGCCTTTGCTAAAAGCCACAAGGTATTTCTCAAGCCCAATGCTATCCTGTTCAAGCCACCGCTCAGGCTGGAATTTCTCAGGCTCGGGAAACAAGTTGGGATTTTGATGGATGTGGTAAATACAGCTGGATAGGACGGTCTGTGTATGAATTCATTAGTATAATGTCTCATCGATTCCACGAAGTCCCAGAAAGAGTAATCTACTTACTCCTCCTGGTATAAAGCTAGTTTTGTGATGTAACCCAGCGGGTGGAACAATACGCGGAAACCTGCCTGGAGCCGGGGAGCTGATGCGCAAGGTCTCTTTGATAATCGCACTCTGTCATACTGTAAGTCCGTGTGCTATTTTCTTCAAGTATTCACAGAATTAAAAAGATCCACTTACCAAATAAGGAAGTTGGCGGACTTTGTTCCAATCATACGTCTCTTCAATATTCGGGGTGTTCCCGCGGAGCTCGTCCTGTAGCCGCAGCAGGACATCTGGAGAAGAGAGAATATAATAAAAAGCAGAAGTCATTGTAATAGAAGACGTGTCTATCCCGGCGAATACCAACGAGAAAATCTGATCAGTCAGAAACTCTTCGTCGGGCGATTCCCAGGTGCCAGCCTGAGACGCATCGAGCATGGTATCGATGATGCCTGTTCTTCGAGAGTCTTTCGGCGCGTTCAGCGTGGTTTGTACCAGCGCGACACATTGCTTTATTCTTGGTCAGCAAAAGAAATATCAACATGCCGGTAATGTTCTATCCTACCTCTCGGAAATTGTGATACCCTGCGAAGAGTGACCGTTTCATCCAGTTGGGGGCATTTGTTAGGTGGCTTGCAAGAAAGGGAAGGTAGTGTACTTTTTCAATGTGAGTATTAGTTTGGCCAATCCAGTAATACAAACTGAGACTTACCTTTCCAGAGGTGGTGAGAGACTAAATCGGTTGTTTGAGAGATACCTGCTGGATCGTCCTCGTCGGTGATGATATTGAATTCACGCCCGAAACAGCACACACAGATAATACCGGCCTAGATGATTGGGAACCGTCAGATTGAACCATGATTCAGAACGAAACGAGCGATTTGTTTTATACAGAGTGTACTTACAGACAGCGACTGAAAACCGGGTCGTATATTGATACTTCCTTTCTTCTCCAATGTTATCTCGGAGAATTGCCGAACTTTCTGGTAAACCATCTCAGCCATTCTATCGACACTAGGCTTTGCTAGTGTAGGATTAAGAAGCTTGCGCAAAGCTTGAGCTTTGTCATTGTCGAGTTCCATGGGCAGTGATCCGCGCATCCCAAAGGCATGATAAAAGCCAGGGTCTTTCAGGAAGTCTGAGTTGACTTTATAAATTCTAAGGAGTGCTTAGCGTTGTCTAAATGGCCGAGATTGGTTTTATTTGACAAACCTGTGGTAAAAGTCTGGATCATTAATGTGGACATGGTTCGGGGATATCCGAATTATATCCGATTCTAGCAGAGTAAGCTCGTTGGAACGACGCCTATTTGGGAGAACAGAGAGATCCCCTACCATATTCTTGATGTAACTTCATAAGAAGTTGAGTCGCGGCCCCATTGCAGAAGGCATCCTGCCACATGAGCCATAGCCGAGAGACAGCAGCGAGTCGCGGACCAGGAATATCAGATAAGGGACTGAACCATGCCTGTTGGATCGCTGTAAGAACTATCCAAGCAAGCAGGCTTGCTCCGGTTAGGTAGAATAAGTCTACAGGCGATGAAAGCAACGAGGTAAGCAACGACTGCACAGGGGACTGCGCCATATTGTATTGCTTGGATGAAAACAAAAAGCTCAAAGATAAAGGGAGTATGAAGGGGATATGCGGGGTAATAAGAGACATATCAAATTGTACCTTTTCTGCCTGACATAGAATCATATGCCTGAGCCACTGGATCATTTGATACATCCCATTTGTCAGATAAGATCTTCGATGCATGTCTTGATTCGCTCCATACTCACCAATACGAACTACCCCGTCGATTTTTGTATGTAAACCTATACGCAAATCAGAGCCCGATCAAATATGCGCAAGGTGGAAAGTTTGAATCTATATCCTGGTTGACTTAGGATCACCACTACTATTGCACTAGGTTCACACGAGATCGATGACAAAAGTACTGCAGTACATGAGGTACTTGTGTCCTCCCTGCAATTTTTTTTTCCGTGTCACTTGTTGTGCATGTTATCTACAGTACTGTATGATGTTATGCACAAATGTCCACATAATCAAATTATCTTCTCCCAGCAGCGTTCTTGTGCATTCGTACTAGGCAAGTACTGATACTCATCACATGACCTTCTTATAAGCTGCGACTAAGAGTGGATTCCGCTCGCTATTAAGATCTGAAGGTCTCGAAGAACACAACGCTTCTTGAGTGACCCAATATACTTCTGGCATACTTCATTGAAAGGTTATGCTGGCTAGGTACTTGGATACCCCGGGCCATGTTCAGCTCTAATTGGCGACCCCAAAGCGGGAAGGGTGAGCACTAAAACGTAACAGGAAAGATGACTTATGTCACATGGTGTAAACACCGGTGTGTGTATATATTGCATGTGCTATGGTTGTATAGACAAGTCCACCACTCCATATATCCAAGGTTCATAGAAAGTAAAACGCATCACATCACATCACTCATCGCGGTAAAAATATAGAATCAGCGCTTTCGTAAACATTCTCAATGAAATTCTCATAACTCAGCCAAGCATTGTCATTCGGTGGGACGAAGGTTGTATCATTGAAATCCATCGCTTCCCAGACATTCGCCCAGGGCATATTCTCAAACGTGATCGGAGGCGCAGCCATGTGCATTCCCGTCTGTGGATTAATAGCTGCGTCCATACCGAGCATATTCGGTGGCGGTACAGACTGGGGTATTGCTTGTGGTTGTTGGGGCATGTATCCGGTAGCGAGTTCATTGAATGAGAAGCGAGACATTGCTTGGCTGGCCGACTCTTGTTCTTGGAGTTCTTTCCGTCGTGTTTGGGCTTGTGTCATGAGTCGCTCCATTGGTTTCCAGAGCATGCCTTGTTGTGAATCGGCGATGACATATCGGGATCGTTGGTAGACTTCGTTGACGACAGACCAGTATTGGGACATTATTGATGGGTCTTTGCAGACGCATAGCTCGGCGATTGCTACTGCTAATGCGTGCCATGGGACCCACATTGAGCCAAACCAGCGCCATCGCGCGGCGCCTGGGTAGCTGTATGCTTCTTGGGATGTTTGGAGGTTTTCGGCTGCTAGCTTGAGGAGGGCGTCGCCGTGGATCTTGGGTGGTGTGAAGGTTTTGCTTTTGTAGAGGGGTCGTAGGCAGGCTAGTTGCAGCCAGCTGCTCATCACGCCGGCTAATTTCTGTGCGTACCATTGGAAGTCGGATTGCTCGGGTCTGCAACCGCTGAGGAGGGTTGCGACTGTTTGTTGGTAGTTATGGACTGCTTGTTGGCGTTGGCCCATTAGTTCCACGGCCTTTGGTTCAATGAAGTCTGCGAATGCGAGTGATCTGGTGACTGATGAGGATGAGGCTATCACTAGGGAGTGGGTCATGTCTGTGAATGTGCCCGGTGGATGCTGTGGAACTGGTCCTGGCATGCCGAACCAGATGTCTTCGTCGTTGATGTTTGAGGGTGGGTGAGAGTCGATCCACATTGCTTGCATCATTGGCTCAGATGCTCGGTCTAGAGAGGCGGCTATGTCAAGGATGCCGATTCCTAGCCAGACACGGTTGCGCATTTCTTGTTCAAAGGGTGTAACGTAGAATGGTGGCTCGACAAGATGAAGTGATAGTGCTTGCGCCACTCTGAGTGCCATACTTAGCATCGTCCAAACTCTTCGGCTTTGATCCTGAGATCGTGCGGCGAGCTAACTAGAGGTTAGATACGGATCTCATGTTGCACAGCGGGTATGATACTTACTAGTGAGATGACGTATGCTTGCAAAACAGCGAGATCATTCGTGGTGACAAAATCTGCCTTTGCCAAAGCTCCTTCAGTTTCTTTCTGAAACTCTGCAATCACGGTTCGTTTGTCAGCATTGAACAACGACTGACATTCCGCATCGTCAATGGTACACACGGCGGCAAGATACACCGCTGATGCAAGAGTCGCCGGCGCCTGATGATCTGGCTCATAATCCAGGTATGGCTTGTCGTCCTTTAAAAAGTCTCGTAGGGTTGGTCTATGTATTACTTTGAACACAGGATCCACATTTGCTAGATAGATCTCGCACAACCTTTGCCGGATGTGAGGTTGTAGAGAGACTCCTCGGTTAGCATGAGGCGAGTTTGATGAGCCCTCTGGACTCTCCGAGCTCACAAGAGACAATCCAAAACCCGTGGAGTCCTTGATATCGCTATTATCATGTTCTAGTCGGTCGTCCAAAACTGTGCGCAATTCTTGTGTCTGGCCATCAAGTTAGTCTTTTCCTTTGACTAAAAATGCAACAAGTCTGTCTGATAGACGAACCTGTTGTATAATATCCTCCCAAAAAGAGATTCCCATATAAGTAGTCGACGGACGAGGTCGATGTGGGATATTCGGACTGGGAATTTCACTGTGATCGGCCCCATCGGGATCAACCGTCCTGACCTCAGCCGAAGCATGTGAAGCCTCAGTAGCCGTAGGATTCGCGCTCCCATCACGCTCAGTCGCAACCTTTCTCAAGAGGGCCTCAAGTTTCGCGACCCGCTCAGACAATTCCTTGTCCGAGCCCCCGACCCGCTCAGCGGGTTTTCGCGTCCGCCCCCTTGGAAGCCGTGCACGCTCAACGGGAACGCAGACAAGACCGAGACGCTGGCAGCTTGTACAGGGGCTCAGCTTGTCACATCGCACCTTGCGCTGACGACAGGCCTCGCAGGTGAGTCGCACCCGCGGGGCGGAGGAGCGCGAAGCTTTCTCGATGCTCACCTGGCCTACGGTGTAGCTCATACTGAAGCTGAAAAAGTGTCGTGTTCCACTGTGACGGTGGATTTCTCGCAGATCGAGTGGACATCGAGCAGGACTGTGCGAGGAGCAGTTGAGTGAGGTTCTGGCCCCAAGCTATCGGGATCTCCACTAGGATGACCAATCATCGACCAGTCAGCAATTTATGGCTCGTCGGATGATCTTCAAGGCTGAGAGTATAGCATCTTTAATTTATATTCTCTGCATAGTGCAATACCCCTGCAGACGCCCCGTGCTTCGAGTTATGCACATCCTCAAACTCAACTTAGTATAAAGCGACGAATACTTAGTCCCCAGGCAAACCCCCCTAAAGCAAAGCAAAGAAACCCCCCAAACATATCTATATGCATACAAAGCGATCAATCTGATAATTGAGCGCATTTGGAATCATCACAAAATTGGAAGAATTATCATGCATCTAAGCGGGTCAATACATCCCTATCTCTCCGTAATCGCACCCTATATAGCTTGTATTTGCGAATGGGAGACTGTTCCACGCTTGCCATTGCTTTTGGGAAATACGGTCAAACTGGAGGATCGTTAGAGCCTATTCGTCCAGAGTGGGAAGGAAGATCAAATGATCGATATAGTTTTGGCGTGTAGAGATAGTGCGATAGGGGTCGGATGCGATCGGGAACTATAAAAAATCATTGAATCGTGATTTCACAGGCCATTATTTGGCCACCATTTTGGCGTCTTTTTACTTCAATAGAAGCATAGATCAAGTGTTGGCTCATGAGAGCCACATTTGTCATGAATGAGCCGTGCTACTCCCGGCGCAGGCCTCTATGATGCAATCTGCATAAGCTGAAATGGCTGGACATATCCGCAGAGTATAAAAGGTTGACTAAGTGAGGCAGAATATGATAATGAAAGCAAAAATATATCTCTCTCTATGAGAACAAGAAAGCAACAAATAATCTCATGCTTTGCAACATACTGGCAGATAGAGCTTCCCGACTCTAGAGGCAACAGCAAGGCGATACGAAGACCAGGCATACTGAAACAATAACGAAGATCATTGTTGTTAAGAGGCAAACCATAATGAATGCTCAGATCAAGACAAATGAAAGAAGAGCAGACAAGATCATCCGTGACGGAAATGAAGCGGTTGACTTGTCCGCGAAGGGGATCGTCGTTCTCGCCTCCATTGGGGTAGTTCCCCCGAGCCAAGCCAAGAATTGCACAATCGAAAGACCCATCCTGCGAAGATCTTCATTATGATTGTGAAGGACAAGGAATTGTGCAAGGTGGGCAAACTGTGGACACATTACACTATTCTGCTCTAGAGAATTAGAGGGTTTCAATCTTTCACGCCTCAGTTCTATAGTCCACGATTGAATGGCGAAATTATTGACGGGCCGTGCGCGGAGTTATTTCGGGCTGCCTCGGTGAATTGTATTTCGATCAGCAGTTGCTTCACTTTTCTGTGCGAAATACCGGGGTTGTTTCTTTAAAGGGCGAGTCGCAATTCCGAGTTTTCAGGCCGCATGGTTGATGTTGATAGCTAAATACTTCAATTTAGGGCTCGGTTTGGCACGAGTGTGTACATATGAATGTACAGTACAGACCACCCAACGCAATGGGATTATATTTCCTTCCGCGTATCATTGGAAGTGAAATCCACCCTAGAAATCAGAGTTATTAGGTTATTAGACACTATTGGCATTGACAGCCCGGAACCATGGAAGGGAAACAATTGACAAGCGAGCGAAAAGTGGAGTTGTCTTAGTGGGAGGCGTTCATGCATGTACTGCTGATCTTTGTTATTGATCCTGCTCCGAATGTTCCTCCACAATGCATTTGCCATTGCCATACAAGTTCACTACTGTAAAGGTTAAAAATATGGACTACCTCGTATAGGGGAACAACTTCCCTCTGGAGATTAACCACACTTTGGTTCCATGGATCATTCTTATACAAGCGAACTACACTTCTTGCGAGGCCCAAGCGCTTAGTCCAACAGGCATATCCCGTGTGGACCTCAGCTGTACTCTCTCGTGGCCAAATACTCCGAGCTCCACAGGTACCCTGACACTCCTGAGAAAGCCCATCTGATAGGTTTAGAACACAATTTGGCCACTGATCGTCAGCCGCCGTCGTCTCTGTAACATCCGCGTCTAATCCGCCCTGACTATCAAACTCTATTACAGGATTACAGGCGCATTCAAGAACCTACAAAGCAACGCATCAGTAGTGCTCGTAAAATGGGACCCGCTAACGTTTGGTGGCGTCTGGCACCCACGTTACTGGGACGAATATCGCCCTTTTCAGCCTAATAGTTAGCTACCCCATCAATAACTTGATCTTAGCCCCTCGGTGGCTGGATGAAGATCTTTAGATCGGGACTGTGCAAAGCATTTAAGTTATTGTGCGGCTTTTTTTCTTTCCGTGTTCCCCTCTATTGCGTTGCCTTGTCTTTTGTCACGTCTGTATTAAACTATAGGCCACGCCCACGATCCTCGTGTCGTCCGGGTCGTTCTTTGCATGGACCGTCGAAGTGGTCCTGCCCCAACATTCGTTTACCAACGCTCAAACTTCCTCTCGTTTAAATTCCGCTGGCACAAGAGATTATTCCTTGCCATCTTCAACACTCTTTTCTACTTTGAACACGCCTTGATGACACTATGACTACCTTGTCGACCCCCCGAGGCCATGGCGCCCTCGCTGCGAGCACCGTGTTCACGGTCCTGGCAACGCTCATCACGGCCATCCGCATGTTCACTCGTGCATTCCTCGTCAAGAAGATGGGATCCGATGATTATGTGATCCTTGTCTCTCTGGCATTCTCCTGGGCTTTCTTCGGATTGCTGGTTGGTGAAGTCTACCACGGCATGGGCGAGCATTACGCCAAAATCCCCCCAGCGATCTATAAGACACAAATGATCGTAAGTCACTACAACGCCCCCAGTCAGCCTGAAGCACAATGGAAACAAAAGCAAAATGAAATAACATGAAACAGTGCTTCTGGGCCTCTGTTCCAGTCTACCAAACAAGCCTCATCAGCACCAAGATGTCCATCCTTCTCCAATACAAACGAGTCTTCTCCACCCCCCGCATGCGTCTTGCTTGCTGGATTCTAATCGGATTCCTGGGTGTCTATGGAACCTGGACAATCGTTTCTGCTTGGGCGAATTGTGTTCCCCTCGCTAAGTTCTGGGACTCCTCTGTCCCAGGCTTCTGCTTCGACAAGAAAGCCCTCTGGTTCTCGAACTCGGCTATCCACATCGTCACCGACATCCTCATCCTTATCTATCCCATGCCTGTGCTGAAGTCACTTCAATTGCCGAAGAAGCAAAAACTTGCTGTTATGGGCATTTTCGCGCTGGGTGGATTGTAAGTTTTGATCCCATCCCCAATCCGATCCATCCAATCTGTGGGGAGTATATAATAACAAGCATCCCTATCCAGCGTCCTGATCACCAGTCTCCTCCGTCTCAAATCCCTCGTCGTAATCTCCAATTCCTCCGACCCAACCTGTAAGTTCATTCCTGGCGTTACGGCGACGTCCCCGCGTCTTCCCACGTCTCCACGCTGCACCCCAAACCCTAACTAATCCTCAATAGTTGACAACACCGGCGCCGCTGCCTGGTCCGCAGTAGAATGCAACGTAGCAATAATCTGCGCCAGCCTCCCCGGAACGCGCGCCTTCCTCACCCGCCTTCTCCCCCACATCTTCTCAACCGGGAGCAACGGCTACCGAAGCCGGACGACGCGCCCCTCGCGCATCGGCCGCAGCGCCCTCGTCGGAACTGGCAACGGCACAGGCAACGGCACGGTGCATGGGAACACCGTGCTGGCCTCTGTCGTCGGCGGTCGGGATGACCCCGACTATGACATGGAGGACCTGCCTTCGTCGTCCGGGTCGTATGCAACATTCAAGGGGGGTGAGGGCGGCGCTGCCGCGAAGGAGGCCTTCGCTGGCATTACAGTTACGACCCGGGTCCAGCAGAGTGAGGATAAAGTTGTGGCGCGTGCTGATGCTGATGATGCCAGCACTAAGGAGCTGATCTGAAGAGATTGTCATGACTCTCTTCTTAATTTTGCTTCTTTTTATTTGTTGTTTGCCTGGGAATGGGAGGATTATCTGCTTTTTTGTAATGGGTGTTTTTAAGGCGTATTATACCCTATCAATTGCAGAGTACGGTGTACTCTTATTTTATCATCACGTTCTTCTTATTTAATGGGGAAAGGGTACCTGGGTTGAGCTGTTGAAGTGAGTACAATGGTACATCTGTGAAGCCTTAGGAGTACTACGGTATTATGACTCAATTGTAAGTAGAAGCATAAGTATACATGCCAAAGCGAGAAAAGCTACCTAGTCTTGAAGCATGCATGAGACCCACTCTGTACATCCGTAACAGTCCACAATCAATGAGAGTCGAGGTCTCGTAACGAAAAAGGAAAATGCTGAAGAATAACATAGACAAAGATTTGATTCTAGGCAAGTGGGAAAATGGAAACTGGTACGGGCTATTGCGCAGTATCCAATGCGTGAATGCCCCCAGTTATGCAATCCTGAAACTCATGTCGCCTGCAAATAACCACCGATTACAAATTATAAAACGCTCTACTCCCAAACATTAGAGAAGAGGTCGTCTGATCCTCCGAACCCTCCGGCGGGCTTGGAAGTGTTGGTGCTTGATGGGGTAGGGTTGGAGACTGGAGCAGCGCTGGCCCAGCCGCCGAAGTCTTCGTCAGCTGCGACAGTGGGCGCGGGCTTTGCCGCAGGGGTTGGTGCGCCCCATCCATTTCCAAGGTCGTTGGGAGTCAGGGTGTCAGGAACCTTCATCGTGGAAGCAATGGATGGAGCAGCAGCTGCGGGAGATGGGGCACGGTCAGGTGTGCTCCATGCATTACCACCCCAGGGATCAAGGCTGCCCGACATCATGTTGGCAGCGGCAGCGTTGGCGGCAGTAGTGGCTGGCGCCTTGGGAGGCGCAGGGGGCTGCAGCGGGGGACTGGAGATATTAAATGCAGATTTCATTTCCTGCTGGGGAGAGGTTGCAGTGGGCTTCGGAGGCGACATCGTAGAGGCAGAGACGGGAGGAGGCGAAGAAAGACCGAACAAGTCATTTGAGAGAGATGACGATGGAGGGTTTGGCTTAGCGGTTGGAGGGGGAGAAGCAAATCCACCAAATCCCCAGTCCTGGCCGTTCGAGGAAACCGAGGTCGTGCGGGATTGGGGCTTCGGGGCAGACATTGTTGGAGAGGTGAGGCTATCGAAGAGGTCGCCGCTGGCGGACCCGGAAGGAGATGTGACCTTCGGGGCAGCGGGGGTGGACTTGGCGAAAGATGTAAGGTTGGCGAATGGCGAGGGCTTCTCGGCGGACCTAGGAGGCGGAGGAGAAGTAGTAGTCGGGAAGCTCAGCCCACTGAAGGCATCGGTCAAGCCACCCATGTTGGAGTGACCGGATGGCGCCGGGGGAGAGGCCATGTCACCAAATGAGTTCGTTCGCTCATGCTGCACGGGTGCAGGTTGTGGCTTCGCGTACAAAGATAGAATTGATTGTTTGAGATCGGGACGAGACATTCCGCTGGGAGCGGCCGGTGTGGATGCCGTGCTAGTTGGGCGACTGCCGGCAGACGGCTGGGTGCTGCCGAAGAAGTCCAGGCCCAGTAGTGAATCATTAGGCTTGTGTGTCTTGACCGGCGCAGGCTGTACCTGTCTCGGGGGCGCACGCGGAGTAGGATCGGTCGTGCTTGGCCGGGTAGGAGGAGAGATATCATCGCCGAACAAGTCAATTGAGGCTTGTTGACGGTGTACCGGAGGCTGGCTAGGAGCGGCGACTCGTTGCGAAGCGGAACGTTCAATCTTGGCTTTCTCTTGTACCACGGCGAGAGGCTGATAAGGTTAGCGGCCATTTTCGCTCCCGATTCATCACGCGATCACTCACCACATCGTCGTCGCCATCATCCAGGGTGGAGGGATCTGGTAAACCGCCGTCCATCACCCATCGCTTGCTCTCGTACTTTGTCCGAATGAAGTTCTCAATTTTCCTATTCGCGCAATTCGTCAGGACAATGCGACCCAAGAAGTCCGAGGGGGATGGACTTACGATTCCGAGGGAGCGTGGCCCGGTGCCAACTTGGCTTCCCAGTACCTGTGACATATTAGCCAGTGTCGGACAAAACCAATTGGTCGCGACATACTTGTTCGCCCTCGAGTTTCCCCATTTGATCACACTCTGAAGCTGCTCATCGGTCCAGGCATCGAGATCCACGGACTTGACTCGACTGATATGCGTTCCCATACCCCTGTGGATTCCGGAGCACCGAATGCAAACAAACACACCCAAGTTCCAGGAAGCCCATCGCGGATCTAAACAAAAGACAATTCAGTATGTGACCGCCAAGAAATGAAACTAGAGATGAAGCCAATGTGGGCGCAACTCCACGGAGGGGATCGGAGACTGACGCTTGTTCCGTTTACAGTCGGCACAGATCTTGTTGTGTTCCAGTTTCAGCAAACCCTTGATGGTCTGCGAGTTTTGGGCGGCTTGGCCCGGAGTAGGGCGTCGAGACATGATCTTAACGACGCGAATAGATGATGGTGAAAGAGAAGGGAAACAATGAGGCCTAATAATCTTAGGTGGCGGTCGGCACGGTTGCGGCCTAAGGCTGCAGTGAATATACGGACGGGGAAAAATGCCAGTCACGCAGTTTGATGTAGAGTGAGGTGAGGTGGAGATAAGATTTGAGACATGTGTACTGATATTTTCTACGAAATGAATGATGTTATACTTCAGTTTACGACACCTGGTTGGTCCACTCCAAATGACACCTCTCTTATGCACGTCCTGCAGCCTTACTCCCCGCAACACCTGAAAACACATAAATAACACTAAGCCTTGGCCTTGGGAGCTGCGTCCTCAGAGAAGCGCAGACTAACACTGTTGACACAGTGGCGCTCATCAGTAGGAGTTTTATAGCCCTCACCCTCGAAGACATGGCCAAGGTGGCCACCGCAATTGGTGCAGACAATCTCCGTCCTCTTCATACCGAAGGTGTTGTCCACGTGTCTGGTCACAGCCCCAGGAATGGAGTCAAAGTATGCAGGCCATCCACAGCCAGACTTGAACTTGTGATCAGCGGTGTAGAGTGGCGCATCGCAACCGGCGCAATTGTAGACGCCCTTGGTTGGGTAGTGGGTATCATATTCGCCTGTGCCGGCACGCTCGGTGCCCTTTTCGCGGAGGATGCGGAATTGCTCTAGAGTAGTCATAGTCAGTCAAAGTATTGCTCGGGGAGGTTTGTCTCGCTGTGTCGTGTGGTACAAACCTGGGTTCAGGACGGCCCTCCACTGGTCCTCGCTTCTCTGGTCAGGGTATGACATGACTGTGGTCTTTTCCTCGGTGTTGCGATTCGAACTGAAAAAGGCACCAAAGAATGGAATAGTCGGTGCAGCTTTGAGTGCTTTGCTTGATTTCGAGGTAGGTGACTTGCGCGTGGAACTGGACAGAAGCCGGGATGCGCTAGGTGAAGCCGGGACGCGGATGGATCGGTATCCGAGGGGAGAGATGGTGTTGCGTAGTAATCGATATCGCATGGAGATGATTTGATGAGTTAAGCCAGCAAGATAGAAAAGAGAGGCAGAAATAAGCAGAGAGTCGAGAAACCAGAGTGGGGAAGCTAAACCCGCCTCGGCCATTACGTCATCATGCGGGGAGATCGCATATAGAGGGCCTTCTATACTTCAATATTGTATGTTTCTGGACTACTACTACAAAGAAAATTAGAGAAAGCCTTTAAAATTTGAGCGACAAAATTGCCTTGATTATCTGGTTGTCTTCTCAACAGAGTCTGTCTATTCTAAAATCGCCTTCGCTCCGGTCTAAAGAACTCCGTGAAGTGCAGGGGTATCATCAACAGCAAATCCAACAGCAAATATGACAGGAAATATGTCACATATCCAACCCCGGGCTAGCCAAAAGCATGAAATAAATCAACATGGCTCTCACATGAGTCTGAGAGAACTCCCAGAGAATCCATGCAGGGTATATGTAAGAAATAAAAGATCATTCAGCGACGGTGACCGGTCACCAGCAGCACGCCACGATCACACTCAACCTTCCAACCCTCACTCTCCAACATTCTGTACACGGCAGGGCCAATACGTGCGGCACCATCGCGACTATGGTTTCCAACACCGACAACGATCTTGAACCCACCGTGTACATGCTTGCCACCACCTCTGATGTGCTTCAGTTCGCCCAGGGAGTGCCACCAGGCATTGACACGCTCCCGAGAGATTCTAATCGCATTAGGGACAGTCACACCGTGCAGGTCCAAATCATACTGGGAGGATTGTCGGTCCACCAGTCTGTCCGAGGCGGTAGCCAGGTGACGCATCGCCAGCTGCCGCTGCTCGTTGCCGATTTCGCGGTAGTAAGCAGAGGCCCCATTATATAGGGGGTTTGATCGGGCACGGCGCGCGGCCTGGGATGCCTGCGCAAAGGCGTTTGACCGCAACGCGAAGTGAGCGTTTGCAGCAGCAGCAGCCTGACCATAATCCATATCAGATGAAGTCTCAACGAAATTTTCGGCCGAGGCCGCTACAGTGGTTTCCTCCGGGTCAAGAACTAGTGGTGCCGAAGTGAAGGTGATGATATCTGACAGTGAGTTGAGAACAGGCCCCTGAGCTAAGGCCTCCGCCAGCTCATCTGCGGCGATGATTTCATTATTGGAAATGCGAAGGAGGCCAGCGATCGTCGTCTCAGGGATGGCGGCATATTTGTGCGAGAGTTCCGCCACCTGGGGGATGATAGCATCATCATCGTCGAGTTCCCCAATGTCCCTGGGCGCGTAAGCGATTGCCAATGCTCTGATGGTTGCACAGAGCGACATCGAATTTTCGTGATAGGTGGACGCGACGTTCTCTCGCAGAAGAACAGAGGCCCGGATCGAGATGAAATCGATGTCTTTCTTGCCCATCTCCCATTTGTTGACAGAGGGGGTGTTGAGAGCTTGGGATGACGTTGCGTCGCGGCGCAGTTGCTGGTTTCTCTTCTTGTTTTTCTTGCGCGATTTCTTGGTCTGACTCTCGTCTGCTTGGAAGCCATCGATTGACCTGGGTGCCAAAGCTTGACTCATGGCAGCAGCTTCTGCAGGGGTCTCTTGCGCGGAGCCACGGGCAATCTGGGTCTCGTCGATGAAGGCAAGGTTCAGGAGAACTTCCATTGCGCGACTGAGACTACCATGGCATTCTTCTAGAATGCGCTCGGCCTGGTGACGAGGAACACTTGGGAACATACTTATCAAGTTATAGACTTTGTCGTCCGATGTCATGCCCAGGAATGTGTATCTAAGGCGTGCATCGTGTCCGCCATTCTGGTTGTTGTCGTTCTCGTCACAGTCATTCACGTCAATATTGTCAAGCGGTGACCAGCTTAAACTTTCAGGAAGATTCGCGTCTTGGAGGTTGCGGGTGTTGGTCGTGCCGGTGGGGTCGAAGGGGAGGTTTTCTTGATCCAGAGCAGATGTCTTCAGCTCGTTCAAGGTATCGCGAAGTGCTCCAACCTCAGCAGGCATCGAGAGATCATAGTCCATGAGGATTGCCATGAACAGAGCTGGGTCAATTGGTGGGCAGTACAGGCCTTGAAGCTCCTATCGATACCAAACAGGATTGGGTCAGACCGTAATGCGACAGAGCGCGTGGTTTTTTTGGATGCGAGGCATACCTGGGATAACTCATCGGGTTCCAACATGTTGAGAGCCAGATTCCGCAAAGGGGACTGCACCAAACAGGCAGGAGAACGGATTTGTGGGAAAGAAGAAATGGCTTGGAGATGGAAACCCCGCGATAAAGGCGATAAGATACGGATAGCCATAGATTATCACGTGTAGCTCATCACGTGAGATAACGGAAGATGTAGTCACGTGGACGGGCATTTAGGCTTTCATGCTTAAAAACGCCACATTCCCCTATTTTTACCATGTGCTGACCCCCCATTGACTGCGAACTCAAGCAAAAGGTGAAGCCTAGCTCCCAAAATATGATGTACAGCATCTATATCATCATTTCAGGGTACAATAGCTCTAGGAATCCCGTACATACAAGGAAATACATGGATAATGGACGGATTCCATGAAAACGCATGAATGGACCAACTTATCTGTTGTTGGACTTACTACCATATAACATCATTGTCTCAAATCCAATGGATGAATTTTAGTGCTATTTGAGAGCCTTGCAATTAATCTGGCTCCTCGCAATGCATTTATAGTGCAACTAAATTACTGGTGGTTGCCAGAACTGTACATCCCATGAGGCTGGCCTCAATTGTCTTTTTCTGCTTGCGTGTATTATCCTTTCTCCCTCTTCTATGTGATCGCTTGCGAGTTTTTCGCGCCAATTACCTCCTTCAATCTGCCCAGGGGAAGTTTGCCTCTCTGTCTATTGACAGTTGTCACATTTCCCTTCTTTCTAACCCCAACTTTCAAGTTCCCGCGAGACAACATGTCATCTTCGAAGAGGCATCGCCACATCCGTGGAAAATTTTGCCATTGTCAGTCGCAGCCCTATGAACCTGGCCCGCGTCATACATTACTTGAAGAGGAACTCATCGCTGCTCCGCTGTTTTCACTCCCCGACTGTCAAACTGGCAACGAATGAGGCGTTGATATTCTGCCCAACCGCTTCATTGGAAACTGAAAGCGTAATCCGCCAAAACGATTCTTCTAGCAGCTTTGCTCTCCTTGAAGTGAATACGTTATTCGTCACCTCTGAAAGGTGACTTTTCTTGGCTTGGCCAAAGACAAATAAACTCATCGACATTTTTATAGTCCGGTAGTTTTAGATATGCAACTGTTTGATCAGCTCAAATTGGGGCCTTGAAGAGCAGCCATCTCAGGTATGCAAATCAATGTGTATCTTTCGATGGAAGATTGGTGGTAAGAAGGTTGTGAAGAGAGTAGGAAAGATATGTTGTTATATAGCGGAGGCTTGGCCTGAAGTACGAAACGCAGTATGCGAAAAAAAAATTGGAAGGGGAATGGTGAATACAATGTTGATGTCATTGAATAAAATAGTAAGGATTGATTATATTGTTTCGAAGAATAGCCTCTCATCTACTGTTTTCTATGAACTCAAATGACTTTTTCAAATATGCCAATGAGGCCTCTCGATTGCAAGTAAATTCAAGAGCGGCTTTTAATATATATGTGTTGTACAGAATGAAACAGAAAGCAAAGAGCAGCTGTGTCTGACGATAGTGGAAGTGTCGGAGGACACAAACACAAGCTCCAGGCCAAACGGGGACCTTATGTTATGGCAATCAAGAAAAGGATGTGGCCCGGAAGACAGCCTAGACACTATCTGGATTACTCTAATCTCATCCAATGAATGACTTCCCGAAATTGGGCTCTCACCATGTGCAACTCTACAGGTATATCTCTACACCGTTCTAGGTAACTATTTCGCAACCTCAGAACCTCCTGCGATAAAGCTTTCTGTATGAAGTGGGTCATTTATCTAATAGTTTAGAGTATCTATGTGATAGTGCCATTCTCATGTTGCAATGTCTCATGAGGTCGGGTACAGAATGGGACCTTTTTCTTGGCGTTGTCCTACCCAAGGCCATACCTAGGCAATCCAATGTTTTTGGTGTGCTTGAACCTTTCGGACAATACTGTCTGTCACACTGCCACCAGTTTCGGCAAAAATAGAAAATATATATCGCAGTGATGATAGCTTGCTTAGGCTGACCTTTAGAGTGTGGGCGCCGCGATAGATTCTCATAACTGCGCTTAATATATCTACAAACACTAATGCAAATGTAAAATCTAGGGTCTTCTGTCACGATACTATCGTCCAATATATCAGCAGCTGCCCAGGCGGATCAACAATCCTGGCCTTTTGATAGATCCCTGGCAATCAGCAATGCTAAATGGACTGCAGTGAGCCTAGGTGCCCCGTGCCCTAGCCAATGATCACTAATCTGTCGAGCAGGAGAACTTTTCATGCGTGATTGTATCTTTCATTCCAATACAGACAGAAACTATGACGCGCGGCCGGTTGATATCAAAGATGCTGTACATCATGAAATCGCCGACAACAAAATCAAGCCCAGTCCAAAATAGAACTTTCAAACTACCGCATTGACAGTTATCTCTTTGGATTTGTTTTGCCTCAGAATAGCAAATAAAAACCAGAGGATCTCAAAGATGCGGTCCTCGCCTGGTCATCTTGTACCCCCAGAGCTCGGGAGCACGAGGCACACTGTATTAAGGCACCACCAAAATCAGCCCAAAAATAAAGATTCGTAATTTAGATGAGGGAGGCCCTGTGAGGTGAGGATTGCACCTTATGGCCGCCGGCATACATGCTATTAAATACTATGATTCCGTCTATGATCTACCCCCGACTTCTACTTCCCTTTAATCTCGCGGTAGTATATCATAAGCCGACCCTGCAGATTTGAATTTCACTCCCTTGTTCTTCTCCCGTTTGTACTTGTTACCAGTCAAGTCAATCGCTATGCGTGTTAACATTGTGTCTTTGGTGGCTTTTGCTACTGCGGCAGCAGGTATGGTCTTGTCCTCTTTGGCTATCGATGACGCTAATAACACTTCACAGGTCTTGTCGTGACCTCGCCACGAATTGGCGAGAAGATTGACCCCGATCGCCCACTTACTATCAAATGGCAATCCGTCCAGTAAGATACGCTTCTTATGGCTATGAGCTGAACTTTTAAAAGAGCCGCCACTAATCGAGAATAAAATGTGATCAGGACCGATCCTGATACTTTCACCATCGAGCTGGTCAATCAAAATGTGTATCCCCCGACAACAGAGGTCGTGGCCCAAGATGTCGACTCATCAAAGGGCTCGTACATGGTGAAAGCGAAGTCCTTCACTGACGTGGACGTTGGGTAAGTCAACTAAGTAGATTGCTTCAAACCGATCACTGAATGTGCAATAGAAAGGGATACCAGATCAACTTCCTTTCTGATAGCAACGGAATTCTGGCTCAGTCCCAGCAATTCGGAGTGACTGTACCAGGTGCTCTCTCTAGCTCTAGCTCTGGTAAGGAAACTAGCACTGTGCTTGAAACTTCGTCTGGGTCAGCCTCCATGCTTTCTTCCACAGCGTCGACAAGAGAGATGACCTCTTTGACTTCTGCTTCCTCGGCTGCTTCTTCTATTTCTTCGACGACTTACTCTCCCACCAGTGTGTCTACCCCTACCTCGTCCCATATATCTTCTACTTCTGTCTCTACCCCTACAACATATTCTTCTATAATGAGCTCTACTCCAAGTGGGTTGACCTCTTCCTTATCTTTTGCTTCATTCCCTTCTACCTCTTCTGATGCATGCACCACATCTGCCCTTGTTCCTTCGATTTCACTTTCTACGCCATCCTCCTCCGCTCTTACAGAATCCTCGTCCTCCGTTTATACCAAATGACCATGTTCTGTTTCCTCTTCAGCACATACTTCCCAACCTCTTTCAAGCTCATTTCTACCACACTCTACGACACCGTCTTCGATCAAAACGCTTACCACTTCTTCGTCGCCAGCCTCTTTTTCAAAATCTACACCTACAACTTCTACCAGTCCATCCATACCCACATCTACACCTAGACCATCATCTCTCTTGACAACAACCTCTTCTGCTATCAATCATTCTTCCTCGACTTCCATTTCGAGCACAGGCTCTTCTACTTCATCTCATTCCACCCCATCCTCCACATCCCATGCCCGCTCAAGCACTACCCGTGGTTAGTAATGCAGGCAGCTTTAGCTGTCAAAACCATACATCACCCGCACCGATACATTGATGGCCAAAGACTAACTATTTCTATAGAGTCGAGCTCAACCATGACTTCGAATACTATGTCTAAGACCCATACCTCCACACCGACTACCACCCACCACACAACCTCGACCAAGACTTCGACTGCGACTGAATCGGCTACTACTACTTCAAATGCCGCTGCAATCCTTATGCCTCCTGCCCAGGCTGGCGGTCTCCTTCTTGGTCTGTTTGCTCTGGCGTTCTAGATTTCCACATCGGTCACTCATTATGCCGAGGAGCGTTACTAGGTCATGTCTTGTGAAATGAAATATATGGATCAAAGACCGTTCAGATATCTATGCGATGTTTGAGAGAAATATGGAAGGATGATTTGGTTTATGCTTTCTTGAACGATTTGGCCTATGGGCCTACGACACCCTATGTTAATGAGAAACACAATTAATTTCCTGCTTTGGAGTGTTTACAAACTTGTATAGATGTGCCGAGTAGTTGGCGTAAGGTTGGACCTCGGCTAATAGCTTTCTCCGCATGAACTCATCCTATAAAACTCCCCACCCCAACACAACTCAACTCCACCAACTACCAACTACTATTATCAATTCCAATTTACAAATCCAAGAACACATCAACACAATCCACAATGCCAGCCCTCACGCTCCACCTCCTAACTCTAACCCCACCAACAACACCAGAATCCTTCATCGCACAACTATCCAAACTACCAGAAACAAAGATTGTTGTCGCATCCCGTCCCCGCCAAACAGTAATCCACCCAAACATCCTGGACGCAAACCCCCTAGCAAGCACAAACTGGGACCTCCTCCTCCTACTCCAGCCAACAAATCCTGCAAGCACAAGCACAAACCCAATCCCACCACCCCTCCAAAGCCTCATCAAATCCGAATACAAAATAACGGCCGGGATCCCCTCAAAACTCCTCGCAGCCTACCCAACCAAAGACAAAATCCTCAAAGCAAAGCCCCAGCCAGCCCTCACAGGCTCCCTTTCCAAAGCCCTATCAAAAGAATCAAAATCCACATCCCAGAACCTGGAATTGTCACCCCAGCTTATAGCATTCATGGATGAACTGTGCAAAACGCACAATGGTCCCGTGACGATGTTGAATCTTCTTCATTTTAACCATCCAAATGGTAAGAAGAGTTACTTCAATTATGGGCAGGCGTTCATCCCTGTTGCTGGCAAGAGAGGTGGCGATGCAAAGATTGTTGGGAATGTGGTTCGGCCTGCTGATGGTGCGGGAGATTCGAGAGGTGAGAATGGGAGGCCGAGCGAGGAGTGGTGGAATGAGATTTCTATTGTTCATTATCCTTCTATTCGCCATTTCTGTGATATGCTTGCTGGGGAGGATTATCAGGGGATTAATGAGGAGCATCGGTTGTCGGTGAGTTTTCCACGTTTCTTTGCTAGTTTAGTTTGGTGCTGATTGTATAGGCACTCCGGGATACATTCTTACTTTGTACGACTGAGTTCGATCTTGAGGGTGTTGCAAGCTCAAAGCTGTGATCTGCCTACCACTAGCTACGTGTGGATATATCGGTGTCAATTCTGAGGTACATGATGGGCCTTGGAGGGCTGGTGGTTTGATTGGTCGTTTGTACGGGGAGACTGTGATTTGTACATAGACAAACGAATTAAGTCCAAAGTCATTGACAATGGAGCAACTGGGTATCTGACGACTAAACGCTTGAAATCCGGAGGACGACATCATGATTTGACGACGCTGTCGCTTGGTCGGTGCCAGGTGCGGATGTGGCCTGAAATGGTTGTTAGCAAATCTGGAGGTGATCGGAGCTGTTAATATAATGGATAATACCTTCAAGAGAGGATGTCATGATACAATCTTTTTGGAAGCCGAGCCAACAGATAGGGTCTTCGCCAACGATTTTCGACTATATGTTCGTCAATATTTTATCATAGAAGTTTGTTTACCGCCACTGACCATGATCGGAGGCAGGAGAGCTGTTCGTGACCGTGGTTCAACAGGATGGCTAGCCGTCTGGTCGATCTCTCCATTGAGATGTTCAGTTCCATTAGAGTCGGAGCGCATACGATTACCAGCGCTGTCCGCGCGGTGTCTGTTAGAAGTCTGTGAGCCGGGCGCAACAATGCTGGTGCGCTTTCGAGTCGAGGCTTGGTGGTGCTATTTTATATGTTAGAAAGGTGCAGCTAGTGTGTACCGGCTAAGATTCAACTCACAGCTCTGGGACGATGCAGCATGCCAACGCTGAAGTCCCACAGAAGCAGACGACAGTCATCTCCGACACTGCCGATTCGGTATGTCTTCTGGTCGCAGCGCCATGGGTCGAATGCTACCGACGAAACCCATGAGTTGTGACCTTGGCATCTTGCGACAATCTTGCGTTCGGGGAAAGACCAGATCGTCAACAGGTCATCTTGACCGCCGGTAACGATGTATTTGCCATCGGGTGACCAGCAGACACAGATCAGGCCGCCATAGTAGCTGCGGAAGATATCCAGCACCCTGTAACGTCAGTCGGGACTTCAATTTCGCTGGATCAACATTCGACTTACTCTTCCTTCAAGTAATCCATAAGACGGAGAGACCCATCCTCAAGAACCACGGCCAAATGCCTCTGGCCAGGCGAGAACGAAAAGCTCGAGATCTTCTGGTTTGCCAACTTCCAGTATGACAGCGGATTCGTCTTCTGATTCTTGGAATTGACAGACTTCAGAATTTCCAACGGCAACCTTCCGTTTTCCTTATCAGAAGGGTTGCTCGGCTCAGGGGTGAACAAAGCATCTTCCTTCTCCTTATCGTAAACGACCAACACACCATTGGCGTGAGATGCGATGAACAAATTCTCGGATCCGGGAAGCCATTTGATATGAGTGACGGGAGAATTGTTGATCACACCATTCTTATTAATTCTGGCGTACTTTTGTGACATGGGCTCATACCAGATGATGTCACCGGCTGAAGATCCCATCACAATATCCAAGTGGGACGATGTCTTGGTCAATTCGTTGATATCGTGGCAGAGCATATGGGCTTTGGTGAAAAGGACCTTTGTGAGATGCTCCTCCTTTGTGGGCGAGCTGAGGTCCAGCCATTGGAATGCTCGATTGATATTCGCAAAGGCAAAAACACCATTCGGGTCACGGTCACTCAATCGCTTGGCTGAGGTCTCATGGGTAATAACTCGCGAGACGAAAGACGAGCTGCTCTTGATAATATTGTTCTTGGGCTTTCTCCTCTTGAGTGCGTCCTTTGCCGGTACGGGTGGTGCTGCAAGTGCCGAGTTCCCGTCACCGAACTGAGGGGCCGTGATGGCCGAATTCAAAAAGGTCGGGGGCTTCTTCCGAGGGTCTAGGCTGACTAGAGACAGCTTCACGCCGCATGTAGGCGGCAGAGGCACTGTCGCGAGAGGATTGGGGTTCACAATCGGGGCTTCGGAGGGGTGCGGAGGCGGGGTCGCGAGGAGGAGATCATCTTGAAGGGTGTACGTTCCTAATACGATATCACTAGTAAGCCAACTCTGCGCGCCCAGAAGAACCGCTATATCCGCGGGGGGTATATGCGACCAGTGTCTGGCCATAGGTACGTACCCTCACCAACTTGTAATGGACAACCCTTTTCCGGGTGGGTGATAGTGTTGTTCGTTTCAACCACAGGGACTGCCATACCGTTCGCCGCCCCCGCCGCATAAGCGACAGGGATGGTATAGCGAGGAGGAGGGGGTGGAAGGACACTGGTGGTGTCAGCAAGAGAAGCGATATGGAAGCGTCGTGCGAGCCTCTCAGGTCACGCAAGTATGTGCCAATGCTGCGACTTGCCGATTTCCCGATGGTGCGAGTAGCGCTAGAGAAATAAACACAGAAGTAAGAGAAAGAGTCGAACTTACAACATAGTCGTCACAAGCTTTCAATGTCGACCGAGATCTGTGTGACCAAACACCTGGACCTTGGATCCGATAACGTATACTGTAAACCCTCGCCAAGCTGTCAACACTGCAGCTATTGGATTATATCTTGCTAGCACCTTATCAATGGTACTTTGCTGCGCTCGTGTCGTGAATGACTGGCTGTGAGGCTCCAGATAAAGGCACGGACGACCGTCAGCCAGTAGCACAGAATCACAAGTATATATAGGTTATATGCAAGGGCGCAGGTATATCAACAAGTCGAGTAATCAGGAGTTCGGGGATTCGAGGATTCGAGAAAGAGATGGAGAGGGGGTGCAGGGATCAGCGAGGAGGTGATGTCCGGGGTAGCGGAGAAGAAACCGCGTGCCTGGGGCCCGGCTTAACTCCGGAGCCGCCTTGCCTAACTACGTTGGGAATCCCGGTCAATTAGGGCTCTACAATATAAACATAGGTGGATGGTATTAAACAGGAGCTATAATTTTGATGTTGCTAATTACTACCACTGACACGTCGCCAAATCATTACCGCTGCAGCGCCTGCGCAAACCACTGCTCCAAGGGCAATACCCCATGACATCCATTTGCCCTCGACATCCTCTTCGCTGCGGGGAAATGCGGTGCTAGGCTCCATCGCTGCCTCGGCAATGTGGACAAATACCTCCTGAATTGAACTCCAAGTCACGCTCACATGGAGAGGCGGACTAGGCATGTTCAACATGGCTGTGTACTCATGGGGTTGATGCTCAGCCCGCTGGGTGGTCCGATCCAAGTCGGCCTTAAGAGCGATAAACACACTGGGCAACTCCTCCAAATGAGGGTACTTCGCCCACAAAGCTGGAATATATGCAAAGGAGTCCGGGTCCGAGGAATCATAAGTGTAGGCGATGACATCACACTGATCCAGCAGTTTGGACTGGTTTTCCAAGAGAGCAGGCTCCAACTCGCCTAACTCGTCCAAGATCAAATAACATTGTTTCCCACCAGGTAGCTCGACTGTGTTGACGGCGGTTCGTGGTTGGATTGTTGGGTGGTAGGTCGTGCTAAACCCGCGAGAGAGGAGGGCATCAAGTAGAGCTGACTTTCCGGACCCAGGCGCTCCCAAAACATGACATTGCACCACATTTCGACCAACACGGCCTGGGCGTCTACGCCTCTTGCGTGGTTTTGTTACTTTCAGAGCTGCTGTGGTAGATGGACTGCTTCGGTCGGAGGGCTCAAAGCCGAGGTAGGCCAAGTACTCAAGGGTCGTTTTGGGAGACATGAAAGTCGTCATGCTCCATTGGGCCAGCCAGCCTTGAAGTGTTACATGCCCTGCCTCATTGCGAACCGTGGAAGAGGGGAATGAGCCGTCGGCCCAAGATGCGGGCAGACCGGGGGTGGGTGCAAACAATGATGCAAGCTCAGCATCGTTTAAGCCTCCGTCATTGTCCTTATCGGATAGGAGGAAAAGGTTGACGAAAAATCGATATCCTTCGGGGGACAGTTCTGCGGAGGCAAACGGAGGGACTTCAAATCGAGGATGTAAGAAGCTCTCCTGAAGGGAGAGGTTGTCCGTGTATTGGAACGCTCGCAGAATTATCCAAACAGTTTCGTGTCGACCTTTCTCCGCGTAAAGTTTGTTCAAGTGGATAAAACCCTGACAATCAATTCCAGACTCAGTGACCGATTCTGTGTAGCTTTTCTGGATGGTATCCTTGATGTGAATGAGATCCTCCTCGCTCAGAGGTTTCCCAAAACACCTGGTCTGAAAGTCCTTGATCTCTTTGTCCGACAGATACCCATCACGATCCTTGTCGCATAGATAGAAGATCCGTTGTAGAGCCGCAACAGCTGCAGGCTTCAAGGCGGCCTCCTTGGAATCAAACAGCGGCGCGATTGGGTGTGTCACAGCCTTTTGGCAGACGAAGAAAGCCTCATTCACATTGTGATGCTCCCGAGCACTGGTGCGAATACACGAATCGATCTCTTTGAACTCTGCCATCAACGGTAGCATCTCTTCCTCAACCACCTGCGCCTCGCTGTGACTCGCCGCAAGATCGGACTTGTTGGCACACAACACAACCGGGACATTGACGCCCAACGAACGGAAGTATGGTAACCAGAACAATGCAACGCGCTCGTAGCTGTAGTGGTCCGAATACACCAGCAGAATCACGTTGGACTTCCGGATCTCGCGCGCAAGGTTGTTCCGTTCTTGGGGAACAGCCGAGGTATCGACGACAGTCGTTGTGGTGACATTTTCGGGTGTTCCGATGGTGGGAGGGATCGTTATCTGAGGGAGGACGGGTTGGATTTTATTTGTGACGAATACACCTTTGACGAGCGAGGTTATGAGACTGGACTTGCCAGTTCCCTCGTCGCCGCAGACGCAGATCCGAACTGGATACGCGGTCAGTCGCGTTTTGGAAATTTAATGGGATAGCAGACCTACCTGTTGCCATTTTCGCAGCTAAGCGATTGAAAGTATTATACTCCACACATGGCCTCTATATGAGCGCTGGACGTGACGTTAGGGAGTTACGATAACACGGGAACGGGGAAGGTCTTGGCGGCCTGGGGCAGCAATGCACGTGCATAAATATATAGATCGGAATATTTACAAGTTCATACATGACTTAGGGACTATTATGCACTTTCAGTCGTATTCTCTTAGGTATTCTGGTAGGTTCTCGGCACTACAGACTGAAATTGCCAAGCTAAGCACTTTTGCTCCGCCTCATTCAAGCGGGGGGAACAAACCCAACCCTCCAGATCCAGAAGATTGCCCATTAACTGGTCCAAAGTCTCTCAATTAATTGCTTCATACTAGGTAGCCGTTAAATTGACCATTCATTGATCGAGGCGGAGTCCTGCGAGGTACAGAATCTCTTGAGCCTCCGACGAACTACCGTCCCGCGTCACCCGTCATAAGGCCCACACTGACTAACGGGAACCCGATCAACACTTGCTCTCCTCATTCCTCAACCTCACTCCTCTTACAGTCGAGTTGACTCTTTTTCCTCGACATATACCGCCCAATATGCCTCTCGGGATCAACAATCCGTTGCCCTCTTCTATGAGCAGTAAGTGTCGATCCCTTAACCCACTTCCCCGCAGTCGTGTGTGGCATATCCGGCTGACAATGACTCTTACTTGAACAGGCGAGTGCAAGAAGGCCGCAAAGATCTTAACCTCCTTCGTCGATCCCAAGCAAGCCTTTGGTCCTGACAAAGTCATTCCTCCAGAGATTCTGGCCGGTGCAAAGGTAAGAACCTCACAATCCAATCGTCGGTGGAGTGGGCTGACGTCCTTTTTGCTAGGGTCTTGCCGTCCTCACAGTTTTGAAAGCCGGATTCCTAGGCTCCGGTCGATTTGGATCCGGTATTGTCGTCGCTCGTCTTGGTGATGGTTCTTGGTCGGCCCCATCGGCTATCGCGACTGCAGGCGCCGGAATTGGAGGTCAGATTGGGTTCGAATTGACCGACTTCGTGTTCATTCTCAACGATGCCGCTGCCGTGCGCACATTCTCACAGGTCGGTACGCTAACATTGGGTGGTAACGTTTCCCTCGCCGCAGGACCGGTCGGCCGAAATGCCGAGGCTGCTGGAGCTGCCAGCACAAAGGGTGTCGCGGCTGTGTTCTCTTACTCAAAAACCAAGGGCCTGTTCGCCGGTGTCAGTCTGGAGGGTAGTATGCTAGTGGAGCGCAAGGATGCCAACGAGAAGCTGTATCGCAGTCGCGTGTCTGCTAACCAGCTTCTCACTGGAAGCGTTCGCCCACCGCCGGCCGCCGATGCCCTCATGCGCGTTCTGGCCTCTCGTGCATTCCAAGGGAACTCAAGAGCGTATGGCGATTCCATGTACAATGACATGCCCGTATATGACGAGAGCCACGACGATGTTGTCTGGGAGGGACGAAGGGGCGAGGCATATGGCCAGGGTAGCCGACGGGGTCGATCCAACACCAATGGCGACGACTACGACTACCGTGATCAGCCGCGCCGTGCGAACACCTGGGCAGATGATGTTTACGACCAGCCTGCCGGGGGTCTTGGCCGTTCCGCGACAGGCCGGGAACCTCCCAGCGACTCATACGACGGCTACGGGCGCAGCCGGAGCAACACCGCGCCATTTGAGGAGGACTATGTTTATTCAGATCGCCGACCTACACGCCCTACTGCTCCCAAGCCGGTCTTCGGGCAAAAGACAGGTGCGGCTCAGTTGCGGCAGGACCAGGCTATTGCTCTCTTTACATTCGATGCGGATCAGGAGGGCGACCTTGGATTCAAGAAGGGCGAGATCATCACGATTTTGAAGCGGACGGAGAAGGCGGAAGACTGGTGGACTGGTCGCATTGGTAATCGCGTGGGCATCTTCCCCAGGTAAGCACTCCTTGCATTTCTGAGCTTTATGCTTGGCATTTTCTAATATGAACTGCAGCAACTATGTTGATGCCTCGTAAGTTTGTGACTATTATATGCTGGTCCATGCAGCACAAACTATGAAACCTCGATGCACATTCAGTTGAAGCTCATGGACATAGATGCCTCAATGCCCTCAATATATCCAGGCGGAAATGGATCCGCCAACTTCTTTTACACGTCAAATCGTTGCCTGTTACATCCTTCAGCGCGGAGTTATCGTTCTCATTTTTAGTTCCTCGGGGACTTGGAGGTTTTTGCCATCTGTTGGGGTCTTTTAGGTTTATGCAGAATATTGTCCTTTCTGATTGCAATCTACTCCTAGAGTTCGCTTCGTGCTTTTCCTCTCAGGTTTTAGATTGAATGCACTGTTCAGCTTTCTCAGGTGACCTACCTGACAATTTGAGTTCGATTGTACAGTCCCAGCACGGAACTCAGCTATATCCCTGTACCTCACAGCTCGTCTAGGTCATCTAGGCTCTGGCCTGTGCGTACTCGGGTCACATCGTGTGCCAATACTTGCACAGCTGGTGCAGACCAGCCACTGTCTTCCTTGGGCAGAAGAGGTGGAGTAACACGGGTTTCATGTTCAAGACACGGACGGGATCGTAGAGGAAGAACTTGCATAGTACAAATAGTTTGGTTTGCCAGAGGGTAATTTTCTAAGCAGTGTTTGGTTATGGCAGGTTTGCCTCCTTTTTGTAGTATTTTGGGAGTATATACATATCGTGTCAATAAGGAGTTCGGGCCTCAACGAACGCGTATGTACCTTGGTACGAGGCCTCAACCTCGAGCTACATGGATGCAGTGCTACCAAAGAAGCATATGAAAGAAAATCCTTTTTCTCCTTCAAGTACGAGCTCGAATCCGAACTGAATGTACTACTGAGGCCAAGGACCAGAACGTGTAGATCGGACTGATCGTCCATGGACCATTTCCCGTTTAAGTGGAGACAAGTACATGTAAGAAAGCCAATTTATGAACAGCTGAACCGTAACTAATTTACAGTAAACTGAACAGAAACTGTTCTCAAAGAAATATAGTAGATGTCAGGTGCTGCGCCCGCAAGTCAGCAACTCTTCTCCGCCCGCAACCCCATAACCCTCATTCTTCTCTTTCCTTTCTCTCCTCCACACAAATGACTCGGACTCGACATCCGAATGTCTGATCTCGCGATTCTTCTCTCTTTCCCCGCTTCGATGCCCATTCGTTCCCCCCTTCATTGACTTCCTCACCCTTTGGACTTCAGGGTCTTTCGGGTTGTCTTCGGTCCCTGTACAACTGGTTCCCATGCAGGTGCGTTGTCTTCTTTCCTTCGTCCTCCCGTTTATTCGTGTGCCTGGGTTGTGTGTGGTCTCGGGGGTCCCGTCAACCTTTTGGGCCACTCAAGCAACACTTGCTTGGGGCGTGGAGATGCACCCCGATTGAACAAGACCACTGTTGGCAAATAGCGCGTCACAAATTCTGATACTCTTTGTCTTCTATTTAGGCCACCACGAGTGCCCATGAGGCTGGCGGAGGACACGCGACGCGGCGAGGTCATGCCCCCCATCTTTCGATTAGCGACCCGAGTCACCATGTGACAGAAGCGATCGGGCATATGTATGATGATGACTACGACCCCAACGATCCAAGACGCCTCAGCTATATATCCTCCCCGCTGGGCGAGGCAATAACAACTATCCCGCGGGCCGCCGCAGGATCCGAGTCCAACCCCTCCCCATCCTCCCCCCTGCATAATTCTTTCTCGGAAGGGCAAAAGAAACCGCCAAATGGACATACACGGCCGCCTCTTGTTTCAAGTCGAGCTTATGACCGGGAGACAGACTCCGCAGTCCCTGAGGGGACTCGGTCTCCCTCAGAAACCGCTACCTCTTCTTTTCCTCTGAACGACATCGACTATGAGTCCGACCCCGCTGCCGTTGCCCAAGAGCTGAACAACCTCGCTGCTATTCGGCGCATGTCCATGGATGTGGCGGCCACTGGTGACCCTGACCTCCCGGGCTTTTCACTGCCTCCGTCCCCCTCGGCCGACGAAGATGACGCCTCGAGATTATTTTGGGTACCCGCGCGACTACACCCCGAACTTGCGCCGAAGGAATTCAAGTCTTTTCTGGATAGCAAGGCTGATCATATTAAGCGTAGGTCTGGGGATCACTCTGGTCGTGGCACCGAGCGTCAAGGGTCGGGGGCTGGACTTCAACGCAAGCGTTCTATGCTATCAAGACAAATCGACAATTCTTCGGGCTACACGGATGGCGCAGATCGACTGGAGCGTCAGCGCTCCCAATCGAATAGAAGAGATGGCATGTTGAGTCCGAACTTGCAACAGCTTGAAACCATGGTGGACGATTCGAAACCGACGGACAAAGAATCGACAGCCATGCGTGGTATGCAAGATTTAAGCATTGAGGATAGGCCAATCCTACCCCCAGCACCTCTAGGCAACAGTTTGCGTCGGTCGACCAGGACTCAGTATAAAAAAGCGGGGAGTGTTAAAAAGGGCGAGAAGTTACCATATTCTAAACGAGTCGGGCGGGGGGCTTCCGAGTCTGCAGGGAGTGATGCAGATATACCCCCGGTCCCCAGCAAGTCTCGGATGTCACCTGATCCTGTGCCCAACACGAACCGCACAGCTCGTTCCCAGTCTGCTTCATCCCATGGCACAGCATACACGTCAGGCGCAAGTGCTGGTTCAACATTCGACCCGATTGTCGATCACCCTGAAGCCGAGCGAGATGACCCCTATGCAGGCGATCAATCGGATGCTATCTCAGACCGACATGACGAATCACGGCAATGGCATTCTCGTATCAGCTCGAATGGACGATCTACTTTGGTAACACCTCCAGGTGATCAACAAATTCCTGCTATTGTTGAAACACCGCCTGCCCCAGAGACCAATCGAATTCCTAGTCCTCCTTCACAGCGTCCAGCGGAGCGAACTGCAGCAACACCACCACCACCACCGAAAGCATCTTTGCATGACCCAGCACCAAGCAAACGCCCCAAGAACTCTCGCCAATCCCCTGAAAGCACCTCTTCACTTAATGATTTCGCCAATAACCCTCAGATGATACCCGGCAACAGTACTCGCACTGATAGTCTTTCATTCATCCCCACAATACCAGAAGAACGCAAACATGACGAACGCAAATCGGAAGGAAAGAAATCAAAAGACAAGAAAGATTCCGATGGGAGTCGCAAGTCAAGTTGGCATTGGCTACTCGGCAGTGAAGAGAAGGATAAAGAGAAGAAGAAGCACAAGGATAGCGATTCGAAAACCACTAAATCAAAGGCCGACAAGTCCCATGACAACACTCGACTGGATGTACTCCAATCATCCATCGACAGCACTCCGCGTGCCCGTGAAAGTCTTGTATTGGACCGCCTTGATCCTAAGCTAGAAGAAGAACGGCGCAAGGACGGCGTCAGAAGAGCATCGGGAGACTCCAAGAAAGAAAAAGATGGCATTTTCTCCTCCATCTTTGGTGGCGTACGAAAGAAGCATGGTGGAGAAGGCCACCATCGCAAACATTCATCTCGAAATCTGTCCCCTGATCCTCCAATGCGGGTTATGCGTCCTGATATGGACTACCCTTGGACTCGCTTCTCTATCCTGGAAGAGCGGGCAATCTACCGCATGGCACATATCAAACTTGCAAACCCCCGGCGAGCACTTTACTCCCAAGTATTGCTGAGCAACTTTATGTACTCATACCTGGCCAAGGTGCAACAGATGCACCCACAAATGGGCCATTCTTCATCGGGATCCCAGAGGTCATCAAAATCTAGGGACCAGCCAGATGAGTACACGCAATATCAGCGATACCAAGAGGTGAGTCCCTGAATCCTCCTACTCACGATCATCTGACTAACACCTCTCCCAGTCCCAGGAGCAGCAACACTACTCAGAAAGTGCCTACGACGATTCTTCCATGTACGACTATGACGACGATCCGCATGATCGCTACGGCGCTCAGTCGAGAGGCAGCAAGCAAGGCTACGAAAATGGTAGCGCTTACGGCCCAGGGTACCAGTACGGACACTCGTCCTTTGGCGACGACGTCCAACTCGATGACGACGATGACGATGACATGTGGTGAAAAATCCGGCCAGGGCGTCTTCACTCGTTTCTTTTTTTGATATTCGTTTTCACACGCACTTCCACTCGCACTTCCGTTTCAAGTCTTTAGCAGCGCACGGAAATACCCATGCTTTTTGTCGGTTCGGTCTATTCCTAGAACTTGTACACTCTTGCCGGTTTCTTTTCCCCCGTCTCTTTCATACATTACCCTTTATGCTTTTCGGTCGTGGCTCCTTCACTCTTGTGTACCTCTGCCAGCCATCTCGGTGGTTTTCGTATTTTTATGCTCACTTTTGCGTATCATAGCAAAGGGAAAGACAGGACAGGGTCAGATGAGGTAGGGGCAGGATCAGAGGATCTCGCATTCTGCTGCCCTCATCCCTGGTCAGTCCTTTGTTTCGCCATATACATTTGAGCTCATGGTCTCATTTTCTCTCTTCGCATAGCGTCTGGGGTTCTCTTCCTGTTTTCGGTTTGGTGCCATGGTGCCACCTGGTCCATTTGGTTTGAAGCCCCTCTGTATCTCTTTTCTATTTCTCATTTAGCGATTTCACATTCTCATGCGAATGAATCACGGATTTGTTGAGCTGTATTCTTTTCTCTAGGGGCTTTAGTTTCCACTATTGTACATTTAGGTATCGGAGGCTGTTCTTTTGAACTTTGATATGTTCCCAACAAATTCTTTTAGCTTGACTAGCATATGCCACTAAGCGAACCTTAATATCGTTGAAATTCACCGCAGGATCGTTCTATTTTTGGCAAATTTATTCTCCTATTCAAGAGGAGTACACAGTAACAATGGCAAGAATATATCCAAGTCGTATAATACAACCCCTAAACAAGAAATGCGTATATATCCAGCTTGTATCTCAATAACCACAAAGCATTGCAATCATTTATCCCGTAAACACATTATATCAACGGTCAATTCAAATCAATTCAAAACAAGAGCCTTCCGTACAGGCGGAACCCCAAGCCAAATATGCTCAGAAACCCAATCCAAATCACGAGGCAAATCAGTAACACGATTATTCTTGAAATCCCCATGGTAATCAAGCAAAGCCAACTCAACACTCAACCGCAACTGCGGATCAGTCGTCGCAGCCCAAGCAGCATACAAACACAAAATAACATACCCCGCCCCAACAGGTCTATAAACATGCGACTCCTCGGCATGTACAAGCGTCTCTTCAACCAGCGACGTCGATTCGATCGCGAACGTGGGATCGTCCAGGTTCAATGATTGCACCATACAATTAAAAAAAGCCGATATCGTTAGTCCTAGCCCGTATGTGCGTAGATAATGCGCTTTCAGCATTTTGGCCATGGTTGTCGGGGAGGATGTCACGGGGTAGGAGGCTTCAAATTCGGTTTTTCGCGTTTTGAGTTCCGAGAGAATTTCTTTGCATTGTGAGTATAGGGGTTCGATTTCGCTTTTTATTTGGGTCAGATCTTGGCCGGTTCGTAGTGCGATTTTGCCGCGCTTAATTAGCGTTGGTGCTTTTGTTAAGCAGAGCATCATTCGTCCTTCGGGGAGGTTTGCGTCGTAGTCGCTTTGGACTAGGGATTCCCATTCTAATGGGGACAGGTCTATTTTTTCGTTGTATAGGCCTTCGAAGAGCTTGATGATATTATGCGTAATTAGTATTGTTTAGTGAGAAGATGTGGGGAATGGTTACTTACCACGCTGCCTCGTAGAGAGAGGAATAGTTTGCGCTCAAATTCGTCGCGAGGTCCGAAATTTTTTCTTGCGCGTAGGATGTTGGCTGCGCCTCCTGCGTGTCCTGATAATAATTGTCCTTGGTTTCCAATGAATGCTTGGCAGACTAAAAGGATCATCACGGCGCAGAGGGTATTTGATGCACTTGCTTGGATAGGGTCGTTTAAGTAGACACTCAAGGTTTTCAGTGCGTGGGAGTACTTTGATAAAGCATTGACTGAGACGAATTGGTGAGTGCAGAAATCTCCATGGACTGTGGTCACGGCATCGACTGCGCGGTCGAGTGCTTCATTATTGCCGAGTCGTCGGGGAACTTCTTCTAGGAATAGACCGAATGACCACCAGAGGTTGTATCGGAGGTCTGTTGACCGTTTGATGGCGCCGACGAATGAATTTGTTAATGATGTAAGATGGTGATTGGGGAATGTAGGAGGAATTTCCAACGGAGGCGTTTCTTTTTTGTTCAATCTTGACTTGTTATCGAGTATGATCATAATTTGTTGTCCATTGCTGTTTTGTGCTGGAGGCGAAAAGCGATGCTCTTGCTTGAATTTATATCTTTGCTGGCCAGACCCAATGCAGGGTACCTTCAGACGCACACATCTTCCACAGGCAGGTTGCTTTTCATCGCACTTATCATACAATTAGCAAATATATTAACTTCCACGTGTCTGTTGCGCGCACCTTTTTCTTCTGCTTGCGGCATGCATCACAGGCCCTGCCTGTCGGTACGCCTGGCATGGTGGGGCACTGGAGAAAGGAGCGGAGGGTAGATCTCGAAACGGAAAGCCTATAGAACGGGCCTGAATGCTAAAATCCCCGAACAGTCTAATCTTCCAGATCTTGACTGGGCTAAGGCTGCCAGCGAAGTTGAGTTGGGCTGACCATGCCATCATCGGCCTAACTGCTTTGGGTCGAATGTGCCGCTGAGAGGCTTAGTCTGGCGATGCTGATTGGTTGGGGGCCAACTATGCACATCTCTCCTCTTCGGAAGTCTTGGCGTGCCTGGACCTGTCGAGTTATCAAGCGATTTTGAGGCATTGGGGCTCATCAAACTCAATATAACCTACCGTTCTACGCCACACACCTCAGATTGCATCTAGCCCGATCGGGACGCATGTGCCGCTTCGTTGTTTGTGTAGATCGGCAGGGCTGAGGGTATGTCAGATTGATGGATTGAACATTTAAAGGCGTCAATTCCCACTGAATTTTCACCTACTCATTCATCAAATTATTAAATACTTCATCATGGTCGTCAGCACAGATCCAAAGGCTGAGAGCCTCTACTTATACACCCCCAGCCACATCTTGCCCGCTATATTTGCAGCCTTAGTCGGCCTGTCTTTCTTACTACATGCTTATCAGAACTAGTGGGTTGCAGAAAAAGTTAAGCTTGAATAGCCAATATCTAACATCTTCAGCCGCTACCGATTCTGGCGTGTCACATTCTTCCTCTGCTGGGGTGGTGCGGTCTTCACAGCTGGCTGGGTCATGCGCTGCATATCCAGTTACCACCCCGACAACCTAAACCTCTACATAGCATCAAGCATCTTTATCTATGCCGGCCCACCAATTTACTCAGCAGCCGCATACAACATCGTGGGCCGACTAATGAACTACCTCCCAATGCACGCCCTCCTAAACCCAAACCGAGTCTTGATCTTCTTCGTCTACCTAGGAGCAGCCGTGGAAGCAATGACAGCCGCAGGCGCGGCCAAAAACTTAACAGCAAAAGGCGATAAAGAAGAATTCAAGACTGGCGGCGCACTCATCGCCGCCGGTCTAGTTCTCCAAGCTGCAGTCGAATGTTGCGTCATTGGAGTCGTGGCAACAGTCCACGCCCGCTGCTCGAAGACCCGTATGCTCTCACCTAACGTCCGCATTCTCTGCATAACACTCTACGGCACTTCAACTCTCGTTCTGCTGCGGTGTATCTTCCGCGCAGTCGAAGCCTTCGAGATGTTCGATAAGATCGGTTGCAGAGAGAACTGCGGTCCAATCCTCAGCCATGAGTGGTATCTCTATGCCTTTGAGTTGGGACCCATGCTTGTCTTTACTTGGTGGATGAATGCGCTTCATCCTGGTCGCAACTTGCCTCGTCAGAAGACCCGTTACCTCAGTCCTGATGGTCGTACTGAGCGAGTCGGACCCGGTTGGATTGATCGGAGGTCTACTTGGGAGACCTTTGCTGACCCGCTTGACCTTGGTGGTATGATCAAGGGTACACCTTCTCATGAAGAGTATTGGTTGAGGGAGGAGCAGTGGCCCGTTTGTAAGGATGGGAGCTTTGCTGCTGGGACTGCCACTAATAAGAGGGCTGTGGTGGGGGACGAAAAGGAGCTTGCTCCTCTCAGTCCTAATGTTTAAATGGTTTCTTTTGGATGTTTCGTTTTTGGGTCTGGACTTCTTGTCATAATTGCACTTTGATTTGTTTTTATATTGGTGTTCATGTCTTCTTACTTGAGCGATATTTTGCATTGCATTCCTTTCCTATTGCCAAAATAGACTTCTTTCGTCTCCTATACCAATCAATTCTCATACAATAATTGCCTATAACTTAGTACTTAGTGCGCCAGTTCGGTTGAATTATCTTGAGCAATTAACTTATTGTAGTGCGCCTGAGGCATTATCAGAAAACATACTATTATTGCAAGCAGACTTGACATTTGTTCATGGTAGAATATATAAATCATAATAAATTTTTCATACCTCACAGTAGCGGTATGGCGAATAGAACTAACATTGACCAAGATGTCGCTAAATTCCCCCGTAGCAGGCGTCCGGCATCAGACGGCCCACACCCGCCCGGTCCGATTCCCGCCTCGAACTAACCTACCTCTCACTTGAACATGGCATATTAACGAAAAAAATGGCCCCGGCAGAAGATGAACGGCCATCAAAAAGGGCCAGACAGGCCTGCGGACCTTGCCGGTAAGTTTGACTATGCACTCTTCGTCAACTACGCTGACACAGCACCAGCCGGAAAAAGTCGCGCTGTCCCGGAGAAAAGCCCGTCTGCTCGTATTGTGAGAGGCTGGGTCAAAGATGCACATACTCCGGTGATGAAGCTCGGAGTGAAGAGCCTGAGAATTTTAAGAAAATGGTAAGTTTCTAAAGATTGTCACCGGATCCTAGATTAAATGGGTTGTAATGCAGGACGAGCGCATCTCTGGGATTGAAAGTACATTGGACAGATTAATGGACTACATTACGTGAGTTTAAATGAGAATGGATCGACCGAATGTACTAAATGAATATGCAGGCGGCCTCCTCAAGACCTGACTTCGTCGGTACCTGCGAGCCACCATGAACCGGAGTTACCGCCCCAAGACAGTCCTTCCGTGTTAGTCGATCCTATGCCTCCGATAAGCCCGATGAAATTGATTTGCTTATATACATTAAAGAACCCGCTCATCAGAGTTATCGGCAGCAGATTTATATCTGACATACTGCAATTCTCAGCCCCTGCTGCTGTTTCCTTATCGATCTTCTGTTGCCTCGCTTGGACCAAGAGATCCCGAACTTATTTGTGCCATTGAAGCTCTTGGGACTCGCTTCTATGATGGCGCAGTCAATAATCCCCAAACTCAGTCTGAAATAAAAAGGTTGATAGGTAGGGCTTCCCAGATGGTCATGATGAGAGTGGTATCTGGTAGTGTGGAACTATCAACTCTTCAGACTATGTGTCTTCTGAGTATGCTTGAATTTACCGGTATGTGAATCTCATGGTGCCATGTACTTGGATTCTAACATCGGATCTTGCACCTCAGCTGGCCATATTATTCGGGCAAGATTCTATACGAAAATGGCCTCATACTTTATGCAAAACCTCAAAGTTAACGGCCTGGATTCACTGAGCAACTTGGAAACCGAACGCGATGAGCGTAAACTGTGCTTCATCGGTCTGAATGTACTCCGGAATTTGCAGGGATCTTTCCAGCCTCTTCATCCCAGAGAGAGTCCAGACCCATTGGGTGAGAATGGTGAACCATCTTCGCTATTGGGGTCCATGATATCCAATGTGGACAATGCACGACGCACCAGCAGCTCTAAACCAGATATAGGAATTGTCGGCACAAACATCTACACAAGCGAGCTGTGGGCATTGGCTTGCAACTACGCAGCTAGTCCCGTTGGAATTCATGCCCACCCACCGTGGTCACCACACTCCGACTACGCTATGATTCATTTCCAGCATTGCGAGCACGAGAGTCTCATGCCACTCAGATTCAGACTCCATGCAAGCCCCTTCCAAGACCACCCATCAGCCGAGCTTCAGGCTCATCGTGATTACTGGGGTCCGTGGCTGTTCTTCCAGATGGTTTGGCATGCAGTTCCTTGCCTCATAAATCACCCTTTCCTTCTTTCTATGCGCCTTCGGAATTTCCGCAGGACAATGCCCCAGTCGTTTCTTCGCAACTCTTTCGAGCAGTTGACGTTTCATTCTGGCTGGGTTCTGCATTTCGTTGAACTTATCGATGCAAAAGGATTTGAGGTTTCCGATCCAACGATAGGTCATTGTGTAGCTATTGTTGCTACGATATATCTTCAGCATAGCTTTGTAGAGGATCAAACTTTTAACAGAAAAGCGCAGACAGGTTTCGAGAAATGTCTCAGATTCCTACGACATATGGGTGGTCGCTGGCCACATATTGATAGACAGGTGAGTTTTCTTCATACCTTTTAGCCCGCCTATCCTAATATCTTTCAGGCTCAACAACTACAACAGCTTAGGGACAGTGTTTCTCCTGGGGGACTCATGACTGCCAGTGGTACATTAGGGGGATCAAACCAGCGCCAGATGTGGTCCGTCAACCTGCAGCTACTATGGAAAATCTTGGTATATGCCCATGCGAGCAAATCCCCAGACTCCGGCAACGACATCTTTGGTCCTGAGCTTGCCAAGGACAGCGTTGGAAGTTCAGGCGATCATTCTGTCGGTGATATCACGGAGCGTGACTTCACCCTGATTGGATCAGCGGGAATCTCAGGGCACAAGACAGTAGCAGCTGAATGTGTAACTTATCCGCCCGAGCAGACTGAGGATCCAGTGCAATTACCGAGTCAGATCGCACCTACGATGGACCTGTCAGGGCTTCCCGATGATCCAAATGTAGAGGTCACAACCGGGGACGGACTCTATCTTCAGCTACAGGATTATGGCAGAGCATTTGAAGATTGGCTAAGTGTCAATCCAATATGAAAGTGCGATGGGATCTATAAAGCACGGCGAACACGGCCCGGACCCGCCATTCCCGGACGCCAAGACCCGGCATCGAGCCGGGGGTGACTCTATATTGCCTCATTTTATAACCACCGGAGTCCCCGGTCCAAGTTGCACGAATTCAACGACAACTGCTCAGTAGACCAAATTGTCACCCACAATGTCCATCGCTAAGAATGACTCAATCGTGATCGTGGGCGCCGGCGTCTTCGGTCTCTCAACCGCCCTAGAACTGAATAAGCGCGGATACACCGATATCACCGTGATCGACCGATTTGTTCCACCCTCAGCAGATGGAAGCAGTGTTGACATCTCGCGCATCATTCGTGCCGACTATGCCGACCCAATCTACTACAAAATGGCTCGTGAGGCGTACAAGGGCTGGACGACCGAGTACAAAGATCAATACTTCGAGTCTGGATTCGCTCTGTTCTCCGAAACGCCTAAGAACAAGTATATGGAGGGTTCAAAGTCCGTTATCCGGGCTGCGGGTGGGCACTTGGACGAACTCACCGATGCGTCCGATATTCGCAAGCTTTACCCCAGTGTCCAGGCCAATGTCGCTGGCATGAGCGGTTATCACAACCCCAAAGGTGGATGGGCCAATGCCGCAGGTGCCATTCAAAAACTCGCATCTAAGTGTACAGTCGCCGGTATTTCTATCATCGCTGGTCCCAGGGGTACAGTCACCTCTTTGCGCAAGGCCGGCTCGCGCGTTGTCGGTGTCAACCTTGTCGGCGGACAAGTTTTGCTTGCTTCCCAGGTGATCCTGAGTACCGGTGCCTGGACGAACCGTTTGCTGAACATCGGGCATGCCGCGTCTTCTTCTGGTCAACCTGTTGGATTTATCCAGTTGACCGAGGAGGAGGCTCTCGAGTACAAGAAAATCCCGGTCATGATCAACATGAGCTCGGGCGTTTTCTCATTCCCGCCTACACCGGATACTAATGTTCTCAAGCTTGCGCGTCACGGGTATGGATATGCTACTGAGATGAATGTTGATGTCGATGGTGAGAAGAAATCGCTTTCCTCGCCTAAGTTTGAGAGCAGCAATGCTGCCACTGGATATCTGCCTGATGACGCCGATGAGTCCCTACGCCAGGGTCTGCGTCAGTTCTTCCCCAAGCTGGGTGATCGTCCTTGGATGAACCGTCGGTTGTGCTGGTATACCGATACTCCTAAGGGTGACTTTATTATCGATCACCATCCTACCGTGCAGGGTCTGTTCTTAGCTACTGGTGGTGCCGGACAGTAAGTTCTCCATGGTCTCCACATTGTGTTTCTTTTATTTGTACTAACTTGTGCGCAGTGGATTCAAGTTCCTCCCTATCTTGGGTCAATATATCGCCGACTGCTTCGAAGGCAAGGCCCCTCAGAACTTGCGTGAGAAGTGGCGACTGAACCTACCCAAGGGTAACGTTAAGGGTCCTATGGCGGGTGATGGGAGTCGAGGAGGTCCTCCTTTGAGAAGGCTGAGCCCGTTGGAACAGGCCAAGCTTTGAATTACCTACAACGTAATGCTATACTATGATGAATCATTGCACATACATTACTTTGAACGGAAATCCCATTTTACTCAAATTTTCAACTTTTTGAGCGATATGTAGCATCATTGTATTCACCAACTATCCAAATACGTATTCCTTTGATTGTTCTTCGTACCTCGACTAAGGCGTAACGCAACTGAAAGGGCGTCTAACACTGCCTTCGTGATATTCTTTGCGCTGTAGATTTCCGTCAGCGAGTCCCCTTTTGAATAAAAGAGAAGATGGGAAGGGGTACTCACAATATCTTCGATTGTAGAATATAGCCCACAGACCAACACCGCCACACCAAAAATGAACACAAAGGCATTGATAGCAGCTAGAAGTATATTCTCCTTGGAATACCACTTCCCCTTGCGAATGAGTACGAACCACATGATGGGTGGGATATAAAAAGAGAACCCAGAAGTGAACAAAGCAGACGTATTTCCAATCAAATCATTAAAGAACGGGATAGCCTCAGCAAGAACCCATGCAACAATGGTAACGCATGATATAAGCATAAGCCACACAGCCCATCCTTTGGCTGTATTGACATATCGAACCACACTGTTCTTAAACGCGCGGCTGAGTATCAAGCGTCCAGCCACGATTGTGTTGATAGAGCCTGATATGAAGATGACAGGAAGAGCGATACCAAAGGCGACTCTGCTAACTGTGTTGTCAGCTGAGAGCAATGCTGGAGACTGGACATCTAAGCCGACAAAGGCATAGATAGTTGCGCCGGTGATGGTATATATGGCAATTTCGAGTATTCCCAGAGACAAAATAGACTTTGTAAATTCCCGGGGGGTATGCATTTCGTCCATGAAAGAAAACTGACATGTAGCAAATGAATAGGCAAAAACAATATTTCCGATGGCAACATACGTTTCCGAGAATGTCAAATTCTCTTTCGGCAGAGCGGACCAGCTCACGGCTGCTAAGCCACCGGGTGCATTTGTTGCTTGAGTCCCAGTCGAAATGATTGCGATTTCAATCGCAATAATGACAGAGGCGAAGTCAATATAGCCGAGGGTTGCTGCATCGGCAAAGGAGGAGGGAACCGCCAAAAGAAACAGAATAACCGCGGACACGATACCAAACACAAGCGAGCAAATACCACTGGTGGTGATATGTACAAGCGCTATAGACCCTGTGAGGCAATGCGAGCCTATCACAAAGATAAGCTGGAGCAGGAACATGATCGTGAAAAGCTCGTAGCCGAATCGGCCCATCATCAATGTGCCAGCATCACCATAGTGATGTACGGACGGGTTGGCCAGCTTGACTTGACCGATCATGTATGATGTGTAAATTGCGATCAAGCCAACACCGACGCAGCATATGACCCCGGCAATCATACCCAGTGTTGCAAATGCTGAAGGGATTGACAAGGATCCTAAGGCAATTGCTTCCACTATCAACATAAGTGTGAGCTGGTGCCATGGAAGACGGTTGTATTTGGCTTCCCCTGCAATTAAAGTCTCAGTTAAAGCATTTTCATCCTTAGTATCAGAGGTGGATATAGTAGCTGAAGATAAATCTGGTCCAGGGGCTTTGATCTTGTTTGGTTCGATTGCTTCAACATCATGGCTCGAGGAGGGGTCTGGCATCTCTCTGTTACTGTGTATGGCTTCGTAGACAAATTAGAGATATGAATGGCATCAAACTTAGGAAATGAAAATACTGAACCACGAAATATTTTTCTTTCGTCTCGCGCGAACTTGGCGAAAAGAGACGGGTTCGATTTGTATTGTTCGCTTTCGGAACTGTTCTTTTATACACCCAGGCTTCCCCACGAGATGTATGCCAAGGTGCACTTAGTGAATTGTTTTCAAAGGGCTTGTCAAACTGGTTATGCAATTGAAATCACTCATAGCCCAAACTTTACCAATTGCCAGGATCTGTGGGGTGAAATCAAGAAGGTCAAGGCTCAGATCAGGAAATTGCACGATGCTGTCAACCCTGGCGAAAATTTGGCTACTCAGCCTCACATGTATAGACTTCGAAGCAAGGAGCAGATGCAAATGGCTTTGAAGTTTACTTGGGATACTTGGAATAAGACCTTTGGCGCCATTGATCTCATCAGGAGTGCACTCTAGGGCAAGATCGAGGCATGCTAGTTCATTTCAAAGACTTCAAGCTAGCTGTGTAGGTGTAAATGGGCGATTGGAGTGGCTCTTAAGTTTGTGTTGGTTGTCAGGTCTTGATGGGCAGAAATCTTGACTAAAGGGAGTACTGTGGAAGAGCACAAATGGGCAATAATATGGCTTTTCAGAACTGCCATACATGATAAGCTTTTTCTATGTCAAATGTCAAAGGAACCACTTGCGTAACCTTCGAGCTACAAAACGAATCAATAACATACAGGTAGCAGGGTGAACATCGAAGCGATAGGTAATTCGAGTTCCTGGACCCACAAGTAAGCCTTAAGAAACACCTGGTTCTAAGTCAGAACCATTTGATTCTCCATCAAAGCCAGACAATACATTGAAACTAAAATGACCCCAAAGAGTGTATTATGTACTTCAAGTGAAGGATGATTAAAGTTAAGGCCGGCAGTCACGTGTCGGGATTGACGTCGGCTCCGAAACCCCAGGCCTTGGCCACCTCTCCAACGTCTGCTTATTGCCTAAGGCTTTGTGATTTTCGCATTCATTTTACCACCTTCGAAAACACTACTGAATCCTTCAGAATGAGTGACGCTTACGAACGCGAGCAGTACGTCCCTTCCTTCGCCTTGCCCCATCGAACCTTCCCCTGTGGCTGGACATTTAGAGGTCTAACCAAGTCGTTCGAATTCGTAACTGACTATCTAATCAGGCAGAACAATGCGCTCCTTAACTCTCTCTCCTCGAAAGTCTCAGCGCTCCGTGACGTGACGATCAACATCCATGACAATGCGCGGGATCAGGATACACTCGACCATACGGTATGTCTCAATGCCTTGTGTACACTGTGCAGTCCCAAAAGATGCTCGTTGGGAATTTGGGAACTGTAGTTGCAATGGCCTCGGCAGGCAATCTGGATGTGTAACTAACAAATCCGCCTCCCTTTAGAGCGATGTATTCTCCTCCTTCTCGACGAACTTGAAAGGTAGTGCAACCCGTCTTACCCGCATGGCGAAGCAAGGCGACACTGTTGCTGTACTGAAGATCGCCGGAATGTGCATCGCGGCCGGAGTCGTTCTCTATATTATCCTCGGATGGATATTTTAAGGAAATCCTTGATGTTCATCCAATACGCCTCGAAACCTCGCCCTGAAACTGATCGGTCCTCGATGCTCTTGCTGGAACAAGAGCCGGCCCATTATTTTAATATGCTGTGATACACTTCAAATTCCGGTACTTTAGCAAGTGGTGTGCATATCTTGTTTCGTCCAGTCCTCATTCGACGTGACATACTGGGCGTTGGGCGTCTCTGTTTCTCGAATCCTTTTCGCCCACATGTTTTGCTCTACGCTTGAGCATCAGCTCATGTGGGGCTTGTCGAAACCGCAACCTAGAATCTTCAACGATGCGACTACTACATCCCGTCCTCCGTCCTCGACCACCCCTCGAATTTTTAGATTCACGTTTTTATGACTTCGCGAATCAACCCAAGCGGGCTTTGATATTTTGCTTCCAGCATATGGCTCTTGCATTGCGATTTGAAATATCGTTGCTTCCTCCATTTTGTGTCATTAATACTGTGATTACTACCGAACATAATACTTGGCCCGACGCCCCTCTACTCTTTGACCCTGGTTATTCAGATAATGTAATTTCAGAGCAAAGATCGCTCGTTCTGCAGTGTTCAAGGTCACAGCGTGATGGCGCTACCTGGTTATCTAATACTTAGCCGACACCACCAATGAATGCTCATATTCCATAACATTTTACTTCAACAACCCTGAAGACCAAACAAATGAGAATTGTGGGTTTGGGCGTATACTTCGAGTCAATAATTCCAACCTGTAGCGGGAGCGAAGTCTCCAAGCTTTCTATGCCCACGCCTTGCTCTATATGCGTTTGACTTATCCCGGTTAACACTATGGTGTTATGATATTTATTCATTTTTGGTAATAGTATTACACTCCAGATGTGTCTCCTGTCCCGTAATCCCCGCCTGCCCTTGAACCCCACTGTTTTCGGCTCAAAATGTTCAGGAATGTGAGCCCGACCTCGACCAAACCGATCTCGTCAAAACACACCATACATTCTGTTTCCCGGATGCAGAAACCACAATTGACAAGAATGATAGACAAATATCCAAAATGAATCACTTACAAACTACCATCTCTCACTTGCCACTTCCATTCATCCCATCTCAACAACAGGTGAACAAAAATAACACCCACCCCTTCCTTATACCAACGCCAACACCACCACAAACATCACCCAAACCAACAAACAATGTACCACACACGATTCACCCGCTGCCCAGACCCGCACTGCAAGAAATACCCAACAATAGCCAAGCCAAGAATCTACCAAACCCTAATCGCAGGCATGGCTCTAGCACTAGGGATATGGTTCCTATTCATCGAGCTGTACGAAAATGAACAGCGCTGGCGCAAGAATGCAGGTGTGGCTATCTTTCACGGAGATCTACCTCCCGCACCGCACTATTTGCCTGGAAGGGTTCCGTCGCTTGCGAATGAGCGGGTTGAAAAGTCTACGCCTGTCGACGTTGATATGGCTATGCCGGCGCGTCAGGTTGGGGTTGTTGAACATCGATTTATGGCTTGAAGAACTGGATAGATGATGATAGAGACTCCTTTTCTCTTTATTATATTGATGATTCATCGTGGTACACCTACGCCCTGTTCTGGTGGATAGAACCAAAACTTGGGACTCAGATCCATTTTTGTTGGCATGATCAGTATAGCTACCTATGCCGCAGTCTGGGGCTCTGGGTTTGTTATTGGAGATCTCAATGGACAGCTCTGAGATGAGCTTTTTTGGAGGGTGAAGTCCTATGCCTTCCTGCATCTTAAGTTGTCCAGGGACGCTGTGATAGTTGGGGGGGGGGGGCTCGATATCTCAGCATCTCATGCGGGATACATACGATCAGTCAGGCTCTATCATTCAACAAAGGACTGATTGATTGTGGGTATGCTATCCTGGCTGGTCGGCTGCTAATTTAGCATGCTTTGAAGAAACTATGGATTTCATGCGAATTAAGCAAATGGTGCTCACATTCAGGCTTTGGGGGCATGAAGACATTGGCAGGGTGTATGGGAGCAACTCCTTGGCAGGTCACAAGGCGTTCTCTTGGCGGGTTGCCGTTCAGTGGGATAAAGCCGCCTCTTGGGCTTTGGGAATTTCAGGCGTTCACATTTGACAAGAACTGTAAAATAATGGTGAAAGTCTGATTTCATCGGAGATGGCATCGACAAATGTAAATAAGGAACATTAAACACAAGAATTGAAGATTGCCACTGTTCACCACACTCTATACAAAGCAAAACATCGGAATCTCCGAGCAATCAAACCACCCAGCCTTCCCATAAAATCATCCGAAAAACACCTCAGCGCGAAAATTCTTTTCCATTCTTGGCGTCGATCGATTCTCTTAGCTCCCGTGGCATTGCAACCTCGCCCCTGGCGATCACCGGAAGAAAAGCAGGACTCCTATGTTCGGCACGAGAACTACCGGGCGGCAAAAAGAAAAATCAAGCGCTTTGACACGGGACTTTCCACGAATCCAGTCTTTGTTTCAGAGGCAGCCCGTGCTGCATCTTGGACTGACAATTGGCGAGATCGGTCTGATATCGGAGAATTTTTTAAAAATTAAAGGAAACGATAAGAAGGTCCACTGTTGAAAGAGATACTGTACTTTGTATACAGAGTGAAGAGTATGTGATGACTGGTACGTCACTTTCTGTATCTGTATCACATTATGCATGTGTGCTTTGCATGTGTTTCATGCTACTGTACTGTGTATGTACATGCAATCAAACAGAATTAAGGTGATCATGATAGCTGTTCTCCAATGAAGCTCAAATTTGGATAGTCGTCATCTGGACCACTTTGAAGTCAATGTCTATTTTAGACATACTCTGTGCCCATATGGTCCCTTTCCACATCACTGAGGCAGATGATGCAATGCCTGACAAAACCACACCGGCGCCTGGATAGAGCTGCAATGATGGTCACAGTGGAGTCTATCTCTGCAAAAACTCACCGTCGATCCGGAGTGGGTCAGCCCGAGAAAATAAGGACCTTGAAAATCATGTCGAGGGCTGTGATGGGATGGTGGGTTCAAATTCACTGTGCAAGTTCTGGACTTTCAGGGTTCTTTAACAACAGCCTAGATATGCCGCACCAGACTGAAGATGTAGATCTACACAAAGCCTAGACCGTCAGCACCTTGTCGAAGCATAAGCAATCATTTGAGGCATAGAAAGATAAAACATTCCAATCTCTGCAGTCTAGAACCCGATCCAAACCAATAGGAGACCAATCCCAAACAAGTTGCGCGTCCAAAACCAAAAACCAGTTCTAGGCTAAATCCATCCAAAATATCACACCGGCGCAGCACAGACACTCGGGAGACATTCGGGCAGCCGGTCGGGATTCCGATCGGGCGCGGAAATACCCGAGCCTGAGGGATCCCGAATAGGCCCGTAATGGACAGTCAGTTCAACCGAAGGGTTTAGATTGCAGTAGCGAGAGCGTTAGTAGAAGCGTTAGTGGAAAAAAACGAGCATGGGTTGAAGCACGGGAATGGACATCAAAATCGAATCGTGCATCCAGACCTCTGCATCAGCCTATAAGCGGTCTATCGTGAAACATGTTCGCAGATGGGAAGCGCCACATCAGGTCGACCCGTAAGTGGTCCCGAGACAGCTTATCTGTTGTGATTCATTATGGAAATTCACCATTGACAGGTGGAACCTGGCCCGCTCTAACCGCATCTACTAGAGTCGGTTAGATCACGGATATTTCCGATGCAATTTTACCGCGCAGGGATCATAGTGTGCAGTAGATACGGCACAGTAGCATGTCAGTACCTGTAGATGGATCTGTTGAGCAGCCTGTTTTTCCAGGGATTTCCAGGCACTGTCTGCAGAGATCATCGTTTCTGTAGTGCGGTCAGTGCAGTGACAGTGTCCGAGTCCCAATCTTAGGGCAAGCGGTATAGGCTAACTGGACAAGCCCGAAACGCCTTCTGACTGTAGTGGCGCCATGGGAATTGAACCCTATAAGTGTGCATCTGACTGTCTTGGCTCAGGTGTACAATGTATGTATCAGACGGATAATCACAGGGCAATGTATACGTGTGTTGTGCATGATCGTCAAAGGGATCATCCCGAGGTATGGCGTGATGGGTAAACGAAGGCCCCGGAGGCAATAGTAGAGTGTGGCACAATAGAATATGGACTGATGAGTACAGTAGGGCTGCACATCTAAGTAAATAATAGCCCTAAACCTATACTTCGTTGCCTCCAGGGTTGCGTATTGATAGCGCTGACTGAAGCCTCAACCTACGTCTCGTCTTGTCGCGTTGTATTGTCGTATCTGTGGTTTCTCTTAAATTATCTCTTTGTCCCATCTCACTTCTGATCTCATCTTCACTCTCACATCGCTTCTCTACACTGCAGCTTAGTCAACCGTTGCCACTGCAAAAGTCGCCGGAAACGGCACCTCCAGGTGGGACCCGTTAGTCGGACCGGATTTGCGAATCTGGCTATGGTCCGGAAGATCAACGATAGCGAAAATTCGGAAACTTCTGTGTCATACCTCTACTTCTCCTCTATCTTCACTCTCTTTTCATAAACCACTGTGATCTGCCGTTTGCTGCGGCACATCTCAAAATGGCTCTCAGCTTCTTTAGCAGTGGTGGAAGCGCCAGCAGCGCTAAGTATTTCGACATTAGGTGAGTGGGGACTCTGTGTGTTGCGCATGAACGGGCTGACTGGTTGCAGATTGAACGAGGATTATATCGTGTTCCGTGGTGGTGAACATGAAGCCGCCAGCGCCCATCTCCGGGGAACTCTGATTCTGTGCCTGTCGGAGCCCCTCACGATCAAGCATCTGCGACTGGAGTTGACGGGCATGTCGCGAGTTTGGTATGTGCTGCAGGTCTGATCTTGGCAGAGTCATCGCTAACCCCTCCGCAGCTGGCACCTGCCGTCCACCTCCACCGCCGGAGGCCGCAAGTCGTGGCGCGAACGTGTATTCTACGATAAGACTTGGAGATTCCGTGACCCCGGCAAGAGCAAGACTGAGGTTTTGCCTGCGGGCAACTATGAGTACCCATTTGATGTGGTGCTTGAGGGGTCGATGCCGGAGAGTGTGGAAGGTCTCTCGGAGACCTGGGTGATGTACCGCTTCAAGGCAGAGATTGGCCGCAAGTATGCCAAAGATATTGTGTGCCGGAAACCACTTCGCATCATTCGAACGCTTGATCCCAGCGCTCTGGAGTTGTCGCATGCAATGGTACGTGGGGCTTTTCCCCTGCGGTGATGATTTTTACTGACACCCCGCAGTCTGTGGACAACATCTGGCCGAATAAGATCGAATACTCCATCAGCACTCCGACAAAGGCCATTGTCTTCGGAACCTCCATTCACGTCGACTTCAAACTGATTCCGCTCCTCAAGGGCCTGCGCATCGGCCAAATTACGTCACAGTTGATCGAAAGCCACGACCTCACCCTCAACCCCGAAGACCCCGATTCCGTGCGCAACACATACAAGATCACTCGGACGATCTTGACCGATGAGCATGAGTTGGACGAGGACAATATCGAGATCATCGACGAGGCCGCCGAGGGATACCAGTGCACACGTGTGCTGGACATGCCACAGACCTTGACCCGTTGCCTGCAGGACACCGACACCAAGGGTATCAAGGTTCGCCACAAGTTGAAGTTCCGCATTCAGTTGCACAACCCAGATGGGCATATCAGTGAAGTGAGTAGCGATGAATCCGACCGCGGTGATCAGGCTAACATTCCATGCAGTTGCGGGCTACACTTCCAGTCTCGATCTTCATTTCACCCCACATCGCCATCGATGAGAACAATAACCTCGTAGGGCAGACCCCTCAATCCACTCGCATTGCCGTGGACGACTTTGCGCACCAGGCACCTCCTCTTTATGGCGAGCACACCTTCGATCAGCTGTACAGCGAACTCGATCCCAACGGTTACCGCACCCCCGGCCCTGGTAGTGGCCCCGGTACTCCAGGCGGTCCTCTCAGTCGTAACATGTCTGCTGAGAACCTTGCCTCGATGAATGCTCTGACCAACACTGATATCTCGGCCTCGGCGCTGCACCACCGCCTGACAAACCTAAACGCAAGCCCGTTCCACAGCCGCACGCCAGCTGAGACCCCGCATGAGGCTCAGTCTCCTACAGAGTACACCATCCACCGTCAACTGGGCGTTCCCAACGACTACTTTGGGCCCTCTTCCGGCTCCAACTCACACAGCCATGGCAGCCCCGAGCTGTCTCGCCGGCCCTCCGACGAAGTGGAGCCCGACACTCTCCCCTCGGGCATGGCCACTCCCTTCCACCCCCAGTACGCCGAGGTGGAAACCCTCAGCCGGGTTCCCAGTTACTCAACTGCAGTCCGTTGCACAGTGCGCCCGCGTGACTCCGGTCTTCCGGATTACAACGCTGTGGTAGCCAGCAGCCTGCCTACACTCTCCGTCCCCCAGTCTCCCCAGCAGGCACACATCCGCAGTGGCCGTGCAAGCGGGGTGACGACTCCTTTAGAGGTGCAGAACCGCCCCGGATATTTCAACTCTCACGGCACCAATGCTGATGATGAGGATCGCAGACTTAGACTCGTTCAGGCTCGCGCCAGAGCATGATTTGCGGCCCTGATGATTTCCCAGGCCATCCATGATCTCTCCCTTTCCTCCGACAAAAGTTCCCTCTCTGGCCCGGTGCTGGACACGGCCGACCCTTTCTCCTCCCTCCTTCTTTTTTTCTCTCCTCCCGATTGATCATGGACTGGTCTGGCATGACCCCTAGCCTTCGATAAAACCTGGGACCCAGCATTTCTCTTTCGGCGTTCCTTCTCTTCTCTTCTGGCGTTTGGTCATAGACAGGGTTCTTTAGATGTTTGCTTCCACGAATCGGACTACCAGCACGACTTACGCATGTACTTAATTTTTGTCAGATTATGTCTCTACCCAATGACATCATGTCCCGATCAGGTAATCAGCTGTTGATCCTAACGTGTTTCCCTACCGAGCGGGCCACCACTACCGAGTGGGCCACCTAACGTAAATCGCGTCAATTAATTAGACCTCTCTTCTTTAACCACCCACTATGCCACCAATTCGTACTCAATCCTCTCAAAAACGTACGGAGCAAGAGGGTAGGATCTTATTAGCTATCCAAGCTATTAAGAAGCAAGAAATCCTATCAATTCGTGATGCAGCGCGTCAGTTTAACGTACCCCGTACAACACTACAGCGACGCGTTACCGGCCTTCCCTTTCGCGCTGAGACTCGCGCAAATTCACATAAATTGACGGAAATTGAAGAGGAATCGCTTCAAAAATGGATTCTTTCTATGGATTCTCGCGGAGCAGCCCCTCGGCCTTCTACTATACGAGAAATGGCAGATTTACTACTCGCCGCGCGTGGATCTACCCCCCCCTCCTTCGGTCGGCCAAAATTGGGTTACAAAATTCGTTAAAAGGCATCCTCTTCTTTCCTCCCGATTCTCGAGACGCTACGATTATCAGCGAGCTAAATGCGAAGACCCAAAGCTGATTTCCGAATGGTTTTCTCTCGTTCAAAAGACGATCCTTTTATACGGTATCGATCCCGACGATATCTATAACTTTGACGAGACTGGTTTTGCAATAGGCTTAATTGCGACCGCCAAGGTTATCACGAGAAAGGAATTCTACGGTCGGAGATCGCTTTTACAACCCGGAAATCGCGCGTGGGTGACTACAATCGAGTGTATAAACGCGTCGGGGTGGGCGCTTCCTCCGTGCGTGATCTTTAAAGGCAAAGTCTTTATCGAATCTTGGTTCGACGGCCTTCCGAAAGATTGGAGACTTGAGGTTAGCTCTAACGGGTGGACGTCCGATCAAATTGGACTTCGATGGCTTAAAAAGCTCTTTATTCCGTCTACTTCTTCGCGTACGAAGGGGAAGTATAGACTTTTGATCCTCGACGGCCACGGAAGTCATTTAACCGCGGAGTTCGATCAAGTTTGCGAAAAAAATAATATTATCGCAATTTGTATGCCTCCGCACTCGTCTCACCTTTTACAGCCTCTCGATATTGGCTGTTTTGCGGGGTTAAAACGCGAGTACGGTCGGCTAATCGAATCGAAAATGCGGCTTAATATCAATCACGTCGATAAATTAGAATTCCTCGACGCCTACCCGTCTGCGCGAATTAAGACTTTTGAATCGGATACTATAAAGAATAGCTTCGCCGCCGCTGGTCTAGTGCCTTATAACCCTGATCGAGTGCTTTCGAAGCTTGATATCTACCTCCGTACGCCGACACCCCCCTCGAGCCGGGGTAGTGAGTGGGAGCCGAAAACGCCTTCAAATTACGTCCAATTACAAAAGCAAGCTTCTTCAATTAAAGCATTGCTAAAACAGCGCTCAAAAAGCCCACCGAGCCCGCTAAATTCCGCGATTAATCAGGTTTTAAAAGCCTGCGAAATCACTATGCAATCGGCTGCCTTGCTCGAGAAAGAAGTAAGCGATTTACGCGCTGAAAACGAGAAGAAGAAGCGAAAAAAGACTCGTTCTACAAGGCAAATACCCTCCGGAGAAGGCCTCTCAGTTTTAGAGGCCTCTACTCTAATAGCGCAGTCAGAGCAAGCAGTTTTAGCACCGTTACCCCGCGAGGCAGAGCTAGCTCCGACACCTTCTCAGCCACGTACGAGAGCCTTACCGAAGTGTAGCGTTTGTGGAACCCAGGGTCATCGATCGAATGTATGTCCTAATAATAATTGTCTTTAGTTTATTGAATTTAATGACGTTTTGGTTGAGATAATTGTATTTAAAATGAATAGACCGGTGTAGGTGGCCCACTCGGTAGTGGTGGCCCGCTCGGTAGGGAAACACGTTAACTTAAATCCTAATATCCTTATGTAAGCCGATCTCGAGTCCGAAATCGGGTTGACGGGTGCTTCCGGTCTCAATGGCATTGTTTCGCTTGCGGAGATGCTACATTGGCACATGGCCCTAGATTGTGTGGATGGGTAGTATGGGTTGGGTAGATGAGCTTGGTTGGGTTAGAGTTGATATGTACAATAGTTACCACATCCCTGGGATTATAGAGCCAGATACGAAATCCGATCCATTCCTCTAGTATGGGCCATGGGTCTATGACGCCTCACACATCACCGATCTCCGATCTAGAAATTTGGAAAGCCACACACACTCTGTCAAGTTTGCAGGGTTGCAGTGGCTCAACGAGGGGCAGGTGACCTCATTGGCGTTGGGGCCATTTAAGAACTTGCATCATCCCACTTTGCACTTCGACATTGTTGGCACATTCTTGGACAGAGACAGAGTCAGTGTACACTGATCAGTGCACTTGTACAGTGAATTGTGTGTCTCCATTTATGGATCCCCTGCTCACAGCTAACTCCCAGCTAGTCCACTAGCGCTGCTTCCGGCCTTGGTCTTCCACTTTAGTTATTTCCGCCACACCTATTTCCATTTCCCCCTCCAACCCCGGTTTTGGGATAAGATAGCGACCTTACTTGGTTGAGAGTTCGACACCGACCGAGTCTAATCTTCTTTATTCCGTTACTCCATTCGATACTCGATCTGCTGCCATGTCTACCCCGGCGAGCCCCGCAGATGTTAAGCTGCCACAGCGGTCTGGCACTGTGAGCAGCGGCTTCACTCGGCGTACTTCGATGAGTGATGATGAGGCTATTCCCGATACTGATAGCAGTGAGGTTTGTTCTATCGTCTTATTGCATTGGAGTGCCGGGGACTGACTGATGTAGACTACCACTCTCCTGCTTGAGCGTCTCCGCGCTTGGAAGCACATGTGCGGATATCTCGAGGATTATTTCGCTGTCACGGCCAAGATCCAGAAGTCTCAGTCTAAGGATTATGAGAAGATCTTGAAGGTAAGTGCTTCGGCAATGGGTTAACACGACGGGAACTGACAGACATTGGCAATAGACCGTCAACGAACCCCTCAAGGAAGGCCACCACTTCAGCTCCAGCGCTGGCGGTGTGACAGGTCTGTTTGAGAACATCCGCAACAACACCCAGGGCATGGTGAACATGTACCTGGACGGCGAAAACAATCTCAAGAAAGGCGTCCTCCCCGCTCTCGAGCGTCTCCACAAAGAGATCAAGAACAAGTCCAAGGAGCTCAGCTCCGGCGCCTCAAAAGGCGCCAAGGCAGTCGAGAAAGCCCGCGGCCTAACCCAGAAGCACATCGAGCTCCTAGGCCAGAACTCGGCCTCATTCGACTCCGCAGCCTCGCATAAGATCGAGCACCAGCACGACCCCTACCTCCTCAAACGCGGCATCAACCACCGCCTCAACAACCAGGTCAACGAGGAAAACAACCACCGCCAGGACATCCTCGCCGTGCAAAACTCCTTCCAACAATTCGAAGCCCACGTCCTCCAGACCGTCCAAGGAACCATGGAACAATTCCACCAACACATGGGCGGCCAGCTCGAACGCCAGCGCGCAATGTACGCCGACATCCTCGGCACAGCTCAGCGCATCCCCCCAGACTACGAATGGATCAACTTCTGCGTGCGCAACGACGCAACCCTAGTCAACCCAGACTCCCCACCGCGCTCCTTCTCAAGCATCACCTTCCCAAACATGGACCACCGCGCCACTCAGCCTCTCATCGAGGGTTCGCTTGAGCGCCGCTCCCGCGCCATGATCAAGGGCTACAGCACAGGCTACTATGTCGTCACTCCAGCACGCTACCTGCACGAGTTCAAAGACAACGACGACTTCCGCCGCGACCCATCTCCAGAACTCTCCCTCTACCTGCCAGACTGCATCGTCGGCGCAATCGACGGTGTCAAGTTCAACGTCAAGGGTAAGGATGTCTCCTCGGGCAAGATCGGGAACGCCTTCCACACAAACACCGAACTCAGCTTCAAGGCTCATACCCCCAACGACGCCGAGCAGTGGTGGTCCATCATCAAGGACGCAACCCGCGGCCCAGCCGCCGCCGCTCCGGCCGCCGCTGCTGCTACCGCTACCTCGCCCACAGCCACTTCCCCAGCCGCAGGTGGCCCGGTTAGTCCCGCGCGCAGCGTCTCAGACCAGAACCAGCAGCCACCCATTTATGCCGAGAACGAGAAGCAGGTCGAAGGACAGACTTCCGGCGTGGCGTCGACTTCGCCTACGGCTACTTCCCCTGCTGCGGCTTCTCCTGTTGAGGCTAGGGACAAGGCTCCTACCCCTGGTATCAGTCGTACTGCTAGTACTGCTAGCCACTTCCACGGTTCGCCGGGTGGTTCGGCTGTGCAGGAGAAGGCTGAGAAGTCGTAAGCCTAAAACCTCCCATTACCATTTCCCGTTACCGTTACTGCTTGCAATGCATGTTTCTCTAGCTCGGGATTCTGTGCTTGGATAGCTTTTTTTTTTTTTTTGTGGTTTGTTGGACTACAGTGTTCATACATACTCATATTGCGCTTGCATTTCTTTTTCTATCTTGAGGTCTCAAATTGGAGATATGAGATTGTGCGTTGTGTGTACAGCGTTACGGGATTGATTGTGAGTTCCTGGTATACCTCACTTAATGAATTTTCTTTTCTTGCTTCTGTACTTGAGGGATATGATAGATTTAGATTGATGGATATCGGATAGACTGCTATACCGTGGATGGCCACTGGGGGGTGTTCGGACTATGTATAGGTGTTTCGATGAATGAGATACCTGCTAGAGGTTACGATACAGAACAACCTCCGAACTTTTGACTCAATATCAGGCACGACACACAGAAACATGCAAAGAACAGTCAGATTCGAAAAGATATGCAACGAAACTAGAACGCTAACCGATCAACATCATCCAGATCAACTATCATACCCAAAGAACAGAACAAACACACCAATCCACCCAAAAGACAACTCATAAATCCTCAGCTGATATCACCCACGCAGAAAGAGCAAAGAAGATAATCTCAGAAATCCTCAGGACTCTCCAAAGCATCCAACTTCTGCCCAAGGAACCTCGCCAACGCAGCACACTTCGACTCAAGCGCCAACAAGACAGCCGGTGAAGCCGATAAATTCAAACTAGACAACCGCTCCAGGTCAACACTACGATCAATCTCATACTGATCTAGATGGCGATTCTGCGCTGGCGTGGGGGTGTTCAAAGTCGGTGCTTGTGCCGTCGGAGTCCGCTGACCATCCTGCGATCCATCCGGTGAAGTCATCCCATTCCCAATGGGCTGATCGGGCTGTGGGCCATTTTTAGCGTCATTCGTGTTGGCTGGTGCTGGAGCTTGTGACTCGGAATCCGAGCCAGATTTGGATGGGCCTACGGCGGCGATGAGGACTTTGTCGGCGATGCGCGTTACCACCGCTACTGAGTCGTCTAGTTCGAAGACGATTGAGCCTACGTCGCCTAGGGACATTGACTTTGCTGTTACGTAGGAGGATGGGTGGCTTGCTGGGTTCACGCCTGTTAGGTTGCCTGTTGAGGCTGTTTTCGCGTAGCATGTGTAGGCCGCGCCGTAGGTTGCGCTTAGGTTTCGGAGTTGTCGGGAGCTTAGGGTTGAGCCGTGGGCGAAGACTGCGCCGTTTGTTGCGAAGACGCTGGGGGTTGTTAGTGAGGTTTTTGGTTCTTGGGTTTGGGGTTGGGGTTTGGTGAGGGGTGGGGGTCGTACACGATTGTTGTTATCTCTGGTGGTGAGAGGTTGTCTTCTAGGAGGTCGCTTAATGCCTCTGAGTCGATCATCTTGATATCTGGGAGTCCGGGAATCATGGCGTCGGTGTCGGTGTCGGTGTCGGTGTCGATGTCGGTGGTGTCAGGGTTCGTGGCTTGATCTGCCGGTCTGTATTCCTCCACCTGGATGTCGCGTGTCTCCTCCACTGAAATATAATGCACTTCAACCCAGTCTTTAGGTGGTGTGTACGAACAGTCTTCCGGGAAAAAGAAGCAGTTATCGCTGTAGTCTTCGTCGTCGTGGTCGTACTCGATCGGCTGGTCGGAATAATCTAATAGATTCTGCGCGCACTGCGACTCGTATCGGGCCCAATATGGGAGGAACGGCGGCTCGAAGGGGTCTTTCGCGGCTAGAGTCGAGCAATCGGATATCGAGAAGTAGTCTGCGACTGGAGGAGGTTCGCATTCAGCCATCTTCACACCCATGGATATTGACTACGCGAAGAGAAATCGCGACGTGCTGGTGTTTAATGTTCTTTCAAACACAGTGTATTCAATCCGGAAGCAACAGGATAGAAGGGAATGTTCTCATAGCGGGCACTGGGAGGAGGGGGAGCATGAAGGTCGGAACCGTTGGCTCAATAAAGTCTCTGGTCCGGATGGAAAGTCACGATAATTGAAATCGCGTCCGGTGGCGCAGAGGCCAGAGGCCAGGAAGACGGTGCTTTATGGGCGTAGGACCGGGCGTCATGCGATGTGGTAGCCTGGAGGCTCCGCAGTCGCGGAACGTGTAGGTGGACTGACATTTGATTGGGAGGTAGAGAGGGGGATGGATTCTTCTGAGGGCTAAGCGCGGCAGTATAAGAAAGTGGAAAAAGAAAAGAGGTCAAGGGCCTGGCAAAGAATGCGACACGAAGTCGGAGAGGCCAATCGCGTTCAGGGGATCAACCGGGAGCGGGGGGAGGCTGTGGGGAGCATGCAAGATGAAGCGAGAAATCATTCGACGAACCTTGAGAGAATTGGAGCCTGAATGGAGACTGGTGAGAGAGGTGTGAAGATGAAGATGAAGATGAAGATGACGGTAGAAGACGATCTGCGGAGTCGGGCCGCTAGAGGTGACGTTCAGCCGGGAACTGTCAGGTATCTATACTTGAGCTTCGAGCAATAATGCGAGAACACACAAACCTTCTTGCTCTCGGATATCATGTGATTAAGTATTCTATCACATCTGTGAATTCGATTTTAGTATTATTTTTGTAGACATATAACTACCCAATGATCAACCCATGTCTCCCTTTTCCAGGAGTCAGTCGATAATTCCATTCAACTCCTTTGAATTCCTCCCTCTCACTAATATTGACAGGAGTCTGACCTATAGGAGGACTCAACGATGCAGCAACCGCATTGACATTGATCGGCGGTTCAACCCACTCCCCTCCAACAGGACAAATGTCAAACTGAAGAATCAACATAGTCATCAAAGCGATAATTTCCCCAGTTGCAAAATGCCGACCAGCACAGATATGAGGAGATGCACCAAAAGACATGAAGCCCGAAGCCTTGGTCCTCCGATCTTCTGGGTCGATAAATCTCTGAGGGTCAAATGATTCCGCATCATTTCCCCATGCAGATTCACTGCGATTGATCACTGCAGAGGGCATAAGGAGGATTGAGCCCGCTTTGACAAGACACGATTCGCCTAACATGGTATCTTCAAACATCACACGCAGCTGGGCTGAGTTGGAGCGAAGGCGAAGTGTTTCCTGCAGACACGCAAGTAGCAAGGGGCACTTCTCCTGCACGGCGGCTAAATCAACTGTGTGGAGTCCCTCCGCATTGACAGACATGGCGTGCTGGCGAATCTCGTCCCGGGCTTGTTTGAGTAGCTCCGGGCGTGAGAACAGGTCGAAGATTGCCCAATAGCTGCTTGGGACTGTGTTGGAGAGGATTCCAAGACCCATCACTGCTTCCAGTCGAGCTATATCTTCTAGTCTTGCTCCGCCATCCAGCTGTGTTTTCCAGCGTGTGTATGCAAGCTGTGACGAATTGAGATGTCCGTCGGCTTCGTAGTACTCCAGGAACGCATGTGACAGATATTCGCGACCTTTCCATGCCTTTCGTGCTATCAACCACGGCGCGAAATCCATCATGAGATAGCTTAGGTTGTTTTCAATTTCCCTGTACGATTGATCAGTTCCGGCAGCACACGATATCATTTGAAATGGGTTGGGCATTTACCAATAAGAATCACGCACTTTTCGCTGTTTATATGGATTAAGGGGTCCATAGATAGCATCAGTGCTGGCAATTGTCATTGCAAGGGTACACCATTGATAGATATCAATTGTGCCACGATGGGTCCTCAGCTCCTGGACACTCTTTTGCACACACTCCATCATCTTAGTGTTCATCTCGTCTAGTCCCTGTCCCAGTAAGGTAGGACGCATGGTGGTAACAGTGTGATGTCCAAGTCCCTGGCCCTGAGATTCCTTCCCACGGAGAAGTTCAAGGCCAGGGCCTGTGATGCCCCCGGCACACTCTGATGTGCGGGTCAATAGGGGCTCCAAGGACATAGAACGGTGATTGCGTCTCACAGCTGAGACTAGCTCTGGAGATTTGATGACATACACCTTGTTGAAGAGCATGTCCAGGCTGAAGGCTGGCAAGGGGATCTTGGCACTAGGTTTATCAGTCCAGTGTATAAAATCTATGGTGATTCCTGACATTACCTCTGCGAAGCAAAGTATTCAAGTCCATAGTAGATGAAAGCGGCCAGATGGCCGATTACAGGGATTGAACTAGAAATCAGGGGTGGCTCGAGAGGCTGATGTTTGTTTTTCCGGTTGACCAACACATATCCCAGCAAGAGGGCGACGCCTACTGAAATTATTAGAGTGACATCCAGCATCTTGTCAAACAACGGAGTGAGACATGCTGACAATCTGCCATATTTTGCCCGGTCAATCCAGATCCAACGGGGCGGTAAAGACTAACTAGATCTGTGGGCGGTGACTGCCACTATAGAGCAAGGCTATGAACCCAAGAAACGCCAATTGGCTGACTGCCGATACTCCCCGGCATACCATGAGCCTCAAAGATAATATATATAGTAACATAAGATGACTGTAATTACTACATATCTACATAGACACCTGGGCAGACTAAGTACCCCGTAAAAGCTTCAAAAGACCCGTAAAATGAAGAGTGAATGGAAGTGAAGATATAGCGTCATATGCCCCACACTCCCCTCACGGCTGACAAAAGCTCTTCCCCTCCAGCTTGACGTTGTCAATGTTTTCACGACTGTCTTCCAGGGTCCTCAAACCAAGTATGTACATTTGAATCCAAACTGGCCAATCACTAACAAGTCTACAGACGTGCGATCATTAGCAACTATGGCTACCAATACCTCCACCTATAAGCTTAACCGTTCGTCCAACACCAGTTTGCACAAGCTTCCCACCTAACACAATAGATGTATAGACACGATGATGCGGGTCAAGGACCCGCAGCGATCAGTGGAGTTCTACAAGTTCCTCGGCCTGAGCCTAGTGAACAAGATCGACATGCCGGAATGGAAGTTCTGCAACTACTTCCTGGCTTACAACGGCCCGGCCTCCCTCCAGGGTGACCGCCACTGGACCGACCGCAACGCCGTTCTGGAGCTCACTCACAACTACGGCACCGAGAACGATCCTAACTATAGCGTTGTGAACGGTAACACAGAGCCGCATCGCGGCTTCGGCCACATCGCCATCTCGGTCGACAACATTGAAGCTGCTTGCAAGCGTATCGAGGATGCCGGATATCCGTTCCAGAAGAAGTTGACCGAGGGTCGAATGCGCCACATTGCTTTTGCCAAGGATCCCGATGGATACTGGGTTGAGATTATCCGTCGCGCCGACGAGGATATTGGTACCACCACCAACCCCGACAGCTACCGTTTGAACCACACCATGCTGCGTGTCAAGGATGCCGAGGCTAGTGTCAAGTTCTACCAGGAGTCCATGGGTATGACCCTCGTGCGCACCATTGAGAACCCGGAGAACAAGTTCAACTTGTACTTCCTGGGATACCCCGCCTCCAACCCAGAGATCAAGGAGGGTACCAAGAACGGAGTTGCGGAATGGGAAGGTCTGCTTGAATTGACTTGGAACTACGGTACTGAGAAGCAGGAGGGTCCTGTCTACCACAACGGCAACACGGAGCCCCAGGGTTTCGGTCATATCTGTAAGTGACACACGCACCACACGTCTGGCTGTTTGCTAACCCCGCTCAGGTATCTCGGTGGATGACCTCCAGGCTGCGTGTGACCGGTTCGAGACGCTCAACGTCAACTTTAAGAAGCGCCTGACGGACGGACGGATGCATAACATTGCATTTGTCTTGGATCCGGATGGATATTGGATTGAGGTTGTGCAGAATGAGAAGATCAAGCGCACCTCCAACTGGTAGATAGACAGTACCAATGCAAGGACATACAGCATACAACGATTGTAACAAGTCCTCTGACACCCCTAACTTCACATGATCTAGTTGATGGACCCAAAGCAGTCGGAGATGGGCAAAAAAGAGATGAAAGAAGTGAAGCCAATGCTGGACTCAAACAATGCCTCAAATACTACACTAACTTATAAGACTTCGTGTAGACCTTGTCTAATACTTAACCTGCTGTACACTATAAAGAAACTCGGTCACTTGACCTGCTTATCCCCCACCATTTCACTGGTCGCCGCTGTGGACCCTCCCCGCCTCAAGTTCTCTGGGGGTTTCAGGGTTTCAGTTCTCATCTCAGTTCTCACTTCACGATGTCCCTCAACTATGAATTAACCTAATCTATGCTCTCTACTTCCATGGAAGTCGTCGCGACCTAGTCTTCCGGACCGCCACCGCCACCTCCGCATCTTACCCCAACATCCAACATCACGAAATAATGTCGCCAGACCCAGAAAAAACAAAAAAGGCACCGCGCAAGCATGTCACGACAGCATGCGTACCATGCCGAGAGAGCAAAATTAGGGTATGAGCCCGCGCAAAACAAACGCCCATGCGGGGAATAAAATCTAACGAGCCCATTGCGACCAGTGCGACGGAGCAACTCCGCATTGCCAAAATTGCCAGCGCAAAGGAAAAGAATGCAAATACCAACATGGAGACGATAAGCGCAAGTGAGTTTGCACCTTAATCGCTCTTCGTAGTTCCTCCTAGAGGCACTTTGGCAAATGCGATAATTTTAAATGTCAGGGCGGCTAATCGCTATTCCAGGGTATCCTTGCGAGCTGCGACGGAGTTGTTCTCTGCTCGGATTGATCAGCTTTGTCACTTTATTCAGGATCAGGGGTTAGTGCCCCCGCCTATGAAACCAGATGATGAGGCCGGTATGAATAGGGTGCTGGATACCCTTCAGATTCCGCGTGGGTTTCCTCAGACGTCGGGGGCTGCCGTTCCTGTTCTCCAGAAAACGCCGCCTGCTGAGACAAAGGCTCCTGTAGTCGCCGGTCAATCTCCTTCTCAGAGTCCGGCCGCTGCTAGTCCCGGCGTTCCAAACCAGACGACAGAACTGCTTGCTCCAGGTGTATCGTCAGCGCAGGATACGTCTTCTAGTGGACAGTTCCCTTCGCCTGAGGGCTGGAACCCCTTTGGAATGGTGCGCGGTGCCTCCGACAATCAGAACTTCGTTCATTGGGGGTTTACATTGCCAACGGCGGAGAGCCTGGACAACATCTATGCCAATCTAAATGCAGGCTCCGGTGGTCCTGGTGTCCATGTACCCGGAATGCCTATCAACAACGGACTCAGTCCAGATAGTCTACAGCTGGGAATAGACATGGTCCCGCAAGCTAATACTCAACTGGGCCAGTTACCACCCGATGCGGAGCATGATTCGGACAGCGGAGAAGAAGACGAGGCAGAGAACGACGTCATCGAGCAATTATCCCATCGTATCGGAACTCTGAAGATTGCCGGAGATGGTCACCTCCGATTCTACGGTGCAACTTCTAATCTTAACCTGGTGGATGTGTCTGCGACTCAGCAGCGCCAGCGACCAGATGCGCGTACTGTCCGTCATGATGGTCAGGATATTTTGAATCATCTTAGGGTTGGACAGCCTGTTGACCAGGCTCTTGAGGATCATCTTGTGGAGCTTTACTTCACCTGGCAGAACCCTAGCACCTATGTTGTTGATAAAGAGATGTTTATGACTGCACGATCTAAATGGCGAAATGAGTTTGATGATACTCCTTTTTACTCGGAGGTTTTGACTAATGCGATGTGAGTTTGCCTCGGTTTGATATTGGGGACATTATTGACTGTTTACAGGTGTGCAATTGGGAGTGCTTTCGAAGCACGGTACCACCCCACTTTCATCACGTTCCCCAAATCTTTGTCTGAGTTCTTTGCAGACCGAGCTAAGGCTCTGCTGGAAATTGAGCTTGATTCTCCTTGTGTCGCGACTGTCCAGGCTTTGGTTATCATGAGCTGTCACGAGGGAGCTTCGAACCGTGATGCGCGCGGTTGGCTGTATAGCGGTAAGTACTTTCTTTCGAAGAAAAATGGGGGCAGTAATACTCATCAACTCATAGGAATGTCAATGCGTCTCGCTTTCGACCTTGGTCTCCATTTGGATATGTCAGCATACGTCAGTAGGGGCGATATCACTCAAGCCGAGGCTGATGTACGCCGTGCGGCCTTCTGGGGAAGCTATGTTGCTGACCAGTAAGTATTTCACCTATCTCCTTGGGGAAAATATCCTAAAGACAGTAGTTTCTGGGGCTTTTACTTGGGACGCCCATTCCGCATGAACGCTGGCGACATCAGTGTGCCGAAACCTGCTTCTTCTCTCGGGCCAGAAAAGGAAGATACATGGCATCCATACGGGCACCAAGCTGCACAAGGAATGCTTCAAAATGGGATAAAGAATCCTACGGAATTGATTTGCAGGCAGTTTGTTGTGTTGTGGGAGATGATTTCTCCAGTTGGTCATATCTTGTACGGGCTTCTTCCTTTTTGTCGAAGAACCCGCTAACGCAAATCTAGGTATGGATGTTCTGATATCTCTCGGCATGACTTGCAAAGATTATGCTACCAAGTAACCGAAGATCTGTTCGCTTGGAAAGAGAATCTACCATCCAGTCTAGAGATTGACCTGGACGATGATATCTCACCCAAACTACCTCATCTAATGATGCTTCAGTATGTTCAAATGCTAAAACAAGCGGGTACATACTGATAAATTACCAGCATGCAGTACCACCAAATCATCATCTTCTTCCACCGGCCCTGGCTCTCTAAGAGCTATATCCAACCCCAAGCTCCGCGACAAGGCCCAGGCTACCACCACGCACGCCGGATGTGCGTTGAATCTGCCACAGCCGTCGCACGCCTCCTCCACCTCTACGAAAAGCACTACACCTTCCGCCGCATGAACAACCAAGTCGTAGCGATAATCTTCAGCGCAGCCCTAATGCTCCTCTTCGTAACAGTCTCCAGTTCGCCCATGAGCCCCGGCAAGTCCGGCAACAGCCCAACTTACCCCCGCAGCGCCGAGATGGTTGCCTATCTCAACCTCTGCTTCCGCGCTCTCGATGAGCTAGGCCAATCCTTCGAAAATGCCAAGCGAACGCGCGACTACCTTGTTACTCTTCAACGTCGTTGGCAAGCACACATGCGTCGCTCAGGTTCAGCCACGAAGCGCCAGATCAGCAGTGCGAATCTGCAATCAATGTCTTTACACCCTCCAACTAAACAATATGGTCGCGCTGCCAATACCCAGGGGGTAGAATCACGCAAGAAATCTCGTTTGTCTGTTTCTGAGCCTCAACCTCATATGCAATCGGCCTCGGCTATGCCACCTAGTCACCAACATCATCTCCCTCAACAATCTTTTCCGCATCAACAACAACCCTATCAAACGCCCTTCTCCACCTCTCAGCTCGGTGACCTAGACTGGATCCGAGACTCTGACTTACGCCTTCTATCCGAAACGCATGGCGCGAATGGAAATACCCATGCGCCTCCTAATGGCATGGCTCACATGTCTTCGCGGCCGTTCCCTGATGATCCTAATATGCTGGCTGATCTTGGGGATATTGATGGGTGGTGGCAGCCGCAAAATGATACACCCGGTATGGGAGGACCGTCTTTATAATTGATTGAATTGGTGTCGGTGTTTTAGATAGAAAAGAATAGATTGGGGGTTGGCGTATGGGAATTCGTTGAACTGTTGTTTTACAAGTTGATATATTTTGGTCTCCAATGAATCGGACAAGATATAATCTCACAATTGGACTATAGTTCTTCATTGGTAGCCCACAGCCAGAATGACTGAACATACTATTCTACATTTTCCATTAAAAACTAATCAACCTCATCCATAGTCCCGTCAAACACATCCCTAAACCACTCCCCAACCTCCCGCGACTGATCAACCCCACTCAAAGCCCGAGACAAAACAACCCTCCGCTCCCCAAACCCCTTCTCCCTGCCCCAAAAACAAGCCCTCCGCATAACAGAAACCATCTCTTCAGCCTGCCTAGCACGAACCGTATTCCCAAAACTTCCCTCCTTCCCCTTCCCACCACGTCGAACTACTGAACTCTCCGACACACCCTCAGACACACCACCCTCGCCTCCAAAATCCACTCCCTCCCCAGTAAAAACCCTAACAAAAGGCAGAGTAACCTCCAACCTCCCAATCCCGTCATGGGGCCCAGACCACCTCTTCCCCTCAACCCCATAATCAAGCCCATAAGGCGGCCACCGCGAAAGAGCCTTCCGTCGCCGCGTAACCGTCCCAACCAAATCATTAACCTCATCCCCATCCCCATCAGGATAAACGTCCCGATCCCAAAGTGACCCCTCGGCAGCATCATATGCCTCAGCAGCTGTCATAGTCCGCGTATTCTGCAGCACGGGGACCGGATACTCCGGTCCGGTCAGATACCGCGGGAATGTACGTGGTACGTCGCGGCCTGCGGAGCGGAGGAAGAGGATTGGTGAGGCGAAGGAGTCGAAGGCTTTTTCTGGGGTTGTAAAGAATTTCGAGCGGGCTTCGAGGAGGGGGACGAGATCTGTAGGTGCGGTTTTCTTTCTGGAGTGTCGTTTTGGTTTTTGGGATACTAGTTTACCGTTGCTTCCTGGGTCCAGGTCTGTGTCTGTGTTGGTGTTTTCTGTTGTGCAGTATTCGTCCAGACTTGGCCAGTCGCAGATTGGGTTTGTTGCTGCTACTGCGTTAATTGATTGGGCTTCTGTTAAGGATAACATTAGGGCTAGGGATCCGCCGATGTGCGTGCCGCATATTCCTAATTTTGAGGGGTTCAGGTTGGTTTTGATCCAGTCGAAGCCGGTTAGGGTGTCATGCACTGGAGTTGGGTATTTGTATGTTTCTGGTTGGGGGCTTGTTGGGCCCAGGGCTTGGTCTGGGCTTTCATTTTGCCCTTGTGGACTTCGAGTTGATGAATCAAGAGACTTCTGCTGCTTTGCTGCTCCGAGGCGGTATTTGACTGTTACTACCACCGCTGATGCGGTGCTTGCAAGCACATGCTGTGGTGAGGGTGCATGACTTGGGGCTTGGATGTCCCTGTTTTTCAAATGATCAACATCGGATGCTGAGCTTTCATCTATTTGAAGCGCTTCCATATGGTCATCATGAAATAAAGGCCCTGGCGGAAGATAGAGGATCACATTTGGACATCCTGCTGATGCCTCATTAAAGCATAATGTGTTTGGTCGCGTAATTCTATAAACAAGGTTAGCATTGATCACTATATTTGGTCATACGCGGAGATTTCATACTTCAAATCAATTGATCCATTGTTTCCGATGGGAAGCGAGACTGTCTCCTCGATGCAATTTGATAGCACCGTGGAATACCGCGCGCTTCGGAAACAAGCGATGGAAACGCGACCAGCTCTTCTTGTACGTAGGAAGACGGTGGATCCACGTGACGAATAGAGTATGGCTCGCATATTATCATTGGAACTTGTAGTTGGCGATTTCGTGAGCTCTGGATGAGGTATGGCGGAGAGTTCGCTCTGAATGTTGACTTTGGGCGATCGTCGCCTGAGGAGTCAGGCCTCAACTCTTTTTTTCCCGGAGGTTCGAATGTTTGAGTGTCACTCATGATGAAGTCTCTGGATTTTCTCTGACGAGAAGGGCCGACTTGAAGTTGGTTATAGAAATATTCAAAATGGAATTCAAGGTTCATGTTTCGAGGTATAGCCATAAACACTCTATCATCTGAAGCCTGAATGCTTGGATGTAAAACTCAGGCCATCGGTACTTCAGAACCACAAACCTTCAAATTTTGATCCCATGAGCAGGATACTGTATTTGATCATCAGAGAACACGAAAAGATATCGTTAGAGTAGAGAGGCCCTGTCCTCGGTACTGTTTAATTCCGCTGGGTGTTCGCTCGTGCACCATAGGACTGTTAGATTGGCGTTGTCGCCCGCGGGTTCTGGCGTCATGTGAGAGTCATACTTGACGGTCGCGAGGCTTGGATCATTGTGGCCCGTTACGACGCGCCGAGGGTTTGGGAGGGGGGTTGGTTCAGTCATCGTTGTAGGTTATGAGTGGGAGTTTATCAATGAATGTTGAGACTATGTTGGAGAGGGGTATCTGATATCATCAATTGAAGTTTATACGTGGCAGTGTTGGATATCTTGAGACGGCATCGGAAATTTGGGGATTTGAAGTGCTATAAATGCTCGGATGTAGACGGATTTTGATGCGAGCCTTGCTTGTGGACAGTAAGCAAAGTGGATGATCGACTTGGACATGTCAGTATTGATATATAGTATTATTCTACACTAGAGCATTGGGATCGAAATTGGGAACTGTGAAGTATACGGAGTATAAAGGTTGGATGAAACCCTGATATTTGATCTGATACTACGAAAATTAGGAAAACCCGGTGGAAGTTGTCGATTTACCTTTTTGCTCTCGTTGCTACCAAAGCCCCATTCTAGATAGACTGTAGTCACATATCATATCAAAGCAAGAACTGATATATCAAAGAATGAAACCACAGCTCGAAATGCTCTACAATCTATTTCCGAGGCCAACAAACACATCAAAAGGGAAGCTGACTACTCCAAGAATCCTTCCAAGAATAGGAATCCCTCTGAAGAGTAGTTGCCGATACAGCAGGATCATCCCGGTCCAAAGGAGCCTCAGTATCATCCTCAGGAACTGGATGCATAACCTGCAAACTGAGCATGGGATCCATAGAGTAAACACGCAGACCAACAACACAAACAGCATTCCACGGGTCAACAGCAGGTTCATCCTGGCCCATCATAGGTGGGTGGCACTTTGCATCGCCCTCTTCTGCAGGTACATCGAGATCGCTATCGAATTCGAACCCTTCCAGCAGCTCCAGATCACTGGGATCGAGCATATCTGCCGAAACGCGACTATCCAGACTTGGACGTGGCGATTCGGTTCTCCTCATGCCATTCCTGCCGGCATGTCTCTCGTGCAGGCCTTTGCTGCCGTTCACATGGATTGTTGGCACGGAGCCGTTCGTATATGGGACGCGTCGGTCGCTGCTATCACTTGCGACACTTGCGATATCGGTAGGAGATTGATTCACAAGACCATCGGCGAGGATCTGCGTTGGGGTTGGGCTGCGCTCGGGGCTGCGGTCAAACGAGCTGCCGTTGGGAGTGCGAGTGGCACGCATGGCAGCTATGCTCTCTTGACGATCGTGTCGAGCAGCCATTTTCTGATTGCGGATCCAGTTCTTTTGCATCTTTTTCTTGATTTCTTCGTGTAGCTTCTTGGTCTTAGCTATGTTGAATTGTTCTTGATCGCGCTTTTCTTGTTCTGTTTGGCCGATCAGTCCCTTGGCGTGGGCGAGATCGTATGAAAGGCCCACTTGGACGAGCTTTTCACGTCTGGTTGAGGCGACGCGGCGGACTATTTCTTCTGTTGGCTCATCATCGTGTCGGAATGCTGTTAGTTTCATCAGGACGTGATAGCGGCCTGGGTCGAGGCTGATTTCGGCGTTGACGGAGCGGCCCATGAAATGGCTGCTGTGGCTGCGCACCAGGTAGTCCTCTTCGTCTTCCTTTTGCAGGCGGAACTTGAGCACGAAGCTGTATTCGCCAGCCAGACCCTTGAAGTAACGCGTATCCAACTAGGATTGTTAGCAAACAAAATATTGCCACCATCTGACGGGAAACACACTTGTGAGAGGACAATAACAACGGGACCACTCTTGGTTACGTCCATCATAAACTTGGTACTGTGATAATCCGCAGACCAGGGTACATTCAATGTTGTCCATTGCTGTGTGATAATCCACTCAGGTCCAAAAAGACGAGTCCGGTCAAAGTGCTGGTACTTCTTGAGGAGATCCCGGTAAGAGATCCAAAAAAACTGCTCTGTGTCAGTGTATAGAATGAAAAAGGAGACATGGCAACACTGACACCGTCATTTCCAAACTTGTGCCCAAGACGCTCCATCCACTCAGGTGTCCATTCCTTGGATCCATCACCCCAAGCACCATGCCATTCCTTGCGGCCCCAGGGGTTCCTAGCCGGCGTGAGTTTTTCTCTTGGTGTTCATTATCAATTGACATACCTGAGTCTAAGCAGCCGATGCCCATCAATCTCCCGAGCTTCCATGATAGAATAAGAGTGATTCTCCGAAATGCCCTTGCGATCCCTGGGAGGACCGCGATACTTAGGGTCCAACCAGTTGGAGAACATACCAGTTCCACAACCAAAGAGGAACTCATCGTTAACCTTCATCAGCTCCTCGGTCCAGAAGCGGTCCTTGTTGAGGATGTTACTGGACAAAACCTCGGATGTAACGCCTCCAGTAAGATCTTCGATGGCTTCACCAACAAAGCCACCCTCGATCGCAGAATAATCACCATGAGCTTTAGCAAAAGCCTTTTCAAGAAGTGGCAACCAAGTCTCGTTTTCATCCACGCACTGCGCAAAGTACAGAGCCCGCGAGCCAGTCTGCCAGACTCGTCGGTACTCCTCTTCGGTATCGACGCGGTTAATGTCATCCCAGATGGGTCGTTCATCCACGGACTCATCGTAGTCTGCAGCACGCAGATATAGCTTGTCATCCACGATGCACTGCTGCCACTCGCCATCTAGTTATCATGTTAGCATAACCAACAACTGCAGAGTTGAATCGATGCGCCCTACCTCGGTAGAAAACAAACCCATAAATACCAACAATCTCATTGCGAGCAACACAAATCTTCTCGATAAGCTCCTCCTTGTTACCCATAGTACAAAGAGCAGCCATCAGCCAACAATCGCCATCACATCCCTGACGAACATCCGAAGCAGTAGGCCCATTCACATAGAACTGGGGCTTCTCAAAGATTTCCTACACCAAAGATCAGCATCCAAGTCCCAGAAACCAAGAAAATCAAACTTACAGTAACCCTCTTCACACCCCGAGGCCTCATCTCCTCATTAGGCTTATCCAACCCATCAAGATAATGCCTCCGCCCAGACTTCAAGTCAAGCTCAATATCAAAATGCGGATCCGTATACTTCTGGTTAACCCGCTCGCATTCTTTGACAATCCGATCAACGGATTTCAAGCACTCCCGCCGAGCCTGCTCGTATGATTTGACAGCTTCATGGCCTTTAATAGGCCCGCTGGGAACACGCTTTGCGCGCGTTCGTGCGTACGGGTTGTCGGGGAGGACTGTGTATACTTTCCCCGGGTGTTTTGTGTTGAATTGTTCCCAGAATTGTTTTACGGATTCTTGGGGTGGTTGGTAGCGTGCGCGTGGAGGTGGACGGCTGTTTGAGCGCGATGATGCTGGGGGTGGAGGGGCGCCGTAGCCCATTTGGATTATTTCGTCGTCAAATTCCATTTTATCAGTGAAATAGTAGTATTTGGAGGTTGGATGCTATGTTTTTCGGTTTGGATAATTGGGATCTCGAGGTCTTTTGGCGAGCCCCGTCCCTTCTGTTCTTGACCCTAGGAAGCACGACGGTAGATATGACCTGGGCAGTTATTCCTTATATTGCCGTAGTCGCAGTCGCAGTCACTTTGAAGATCAGAGGTGCTGAAAATAGAAAGAGAGGTCAAGGGCATGTTGCTCTTAATAGCACAAGAATGTCCCCCTCCTGCACGGCCACCCCGAGCCGCCATGGGCTCAGCTGTGAATCTCACATGGTGATTCGCTGGCTTGGACCTCCATAGACATTGGGGGCGTTCATAAGGCTGCAGGTGCGTCTGATAAGCGAATGAGTCTGACGGAAGCATTTCTGGCCCCCAACTCTGCTTCAGCTCGGCTCCTCATCCCCATAGGACCATAAGCACTGTCTCTGCAGCTAAAAGGGTCGTTTCATGATTCCAGATGCTTATTGGACGCTAGAGTGAATAGTCAGGTCCCGGTGCAACTGAGTTACCAAGTTATCTGTCGCATTCCAAGATTCTGCGGGGCGCAGCGCTGACACGAGGCCGCACTCTTGGGCCCTTGCATCGATATTACGGGAAAAGAGGCTGAAAGACTCAGAGGCTGATATTCAGATGATACCGTCACATCGGTTTAATAATCCAGAGCCTGCTTACAGGGCGAGAAGGGGTATGTACGCCTGTATTCACTAAAGCACTTTCGTAACATCCAGTAAGCCCGCCCTCCATGTCACTCCCCATTGAACGCCGTACATGAAAGAAATTAACCCCGGGGGTCCTGTCATTACACAGAAGACGGGTGATTGTGGTCATACTAGTGGAAACCGTTGGACTGGCCACGGCCGGAATAGTATGAGCTGCCGTTACGGAAGTATGGGTGCTGGCAGGCCTGCTTAGCGGAGAGTCGGTGAGCCGGGTCGAATTCAAGCAGGGACTCTAGAAGCTGACAGCCAGCTTCCTCCAGTCCAGGTACGATCTCGACATCGGGGCGCTTCCACTTGGGGAAAGTGGCTTTGTAATCGGGGAACGAAGTGACGCCGGGCCAGATATCTTCACCGGGGGTACCGAGGATACTATGCTTCTTAGTATTGCAACCGGGCCGATTTGATATTCACTTACCGGAAAATCTTGAAAATTTCATCAATTTCGGAGTCACCGGGGAAGAGAGGCTTGCGAGTGCACATCTCCGCAAAAATAGCACCCACAGACCACATGTCAACACCGGTAGAGTATTGGCGTCCACCGAGCAGAATCTCGGGGGCACGGTACCACAATGTGACAACCTAAAGCATAGATTAGCAATAGAAAGTGAAAAATGCCAAAGATATCCTTACCTCGTGGGTATAAGTGCGGAGAGGAACACCGAATGCTCGTGCCAGACCGAAATCGGCCAGCTTGAGGTTACCCTCACGGTCAATCAACAAGTTCTGGGGCTTCAGGTCACGGTGAAGAATGCGATGGCTGTGACAATAACGAATACCCTCAACGAGCTGGGCCATGAACTTCTTGACTATTGCCTCACCCAGACCAAGGCTGGTGCCGGGCTTGAATCCGTCCGGCAAGGGCTTGCCGCGGCCACCGTCGCTGACAGGAAGAGCCTCCATGTATTTCTTAAGATCGAGATCCAGGAACTCGAAGACGAGGTAAAGCTTGTGGCCGTCGGCGTGGACAATGTTGAACAACTGGACAATGTTGGGGTCCTGCATTTCCTTCAGGAGCGAAATTTCGCGAATGGCGGTACTGGGCACACCCTCATCTTCGGCTTCAAGACGAATCTTCTTCAGAGCAACGATACGGTTGGGGTGGTTCAATTCACGGGCCTTGTAGACGACACCGTAGGTTCCTGCCGAGATCAACGCGTAAGTTGGGTTGTGGGTGGCACTAGCCGTGTTCAGAGTATGTACCTTCACCAATCTTCTCAATCTTCTGATAGTTATCCATGCTGGCCGTCATTCGATCCTTATCTGCTGCCAAGGAGCTTAGAGAATTTCTTAAAGAGGGTTGAAATGAAAAGTGGTGCGGATTGGAGAGAAGTTGCCAGGGAGAATTTGTGGAAGCAAGGAGGAGCTGAGGCTTGCCACTACTCACTCTGTGGATCTTTTGTAGGAGCTCGGGTACCGCAAGCTCCAGATTCCCTCAGGAAATCAGCAAATATGAATGTTGTGAAGAGATTGACGAAACTCTTGTATGGTGGGGAGAGAAAGACAAACAAACAACCCCCGCGCCTGCTAGGCGGTGAGCGCGTACCTTGACTCGCCCTTCCCTCCACGGTTAACTTTACATCCCGATTATGGCTCAAATCAAGGGCCTGAGTGCTCAGGATCTTCCTCCTGGGCCCATTAGGGACTGCTACAACAAATACTCTGCCATTGATAAGGTGGACAACGATCTCGGCGTTATCGATCTACAGCAGCTTGACCCCGACCAATTGCCACGCGGAGTGATAATCGCGCAGCACCTATCCAGCCAAGAACTACGATTGGCCTTTGATGATTTCATTCAGGGATGCCATGCACTGGCGGAAGAGGATGCTCCCATGACGGAGAACATCCCAGTCTACAGCCATAATTCGATCTCCGGTTAGCATTGAATTGCCTCACGTCACTAACTCCCATAGGAACAGGAGCAAGAACTATGCCTGACCTCTTCCCAGGTCTACTGATGATCCCTGCTCTATTTCCAACCACGGTCCAGGCTGAACTTCTTTCCCGCATGTTCCATCGAGACTTGTCCAGTCCCGAGTATCAGACCAACATACATCTTCACTACGATGTGACCTACCCCGAAAATGAAGAAACCCATGCTCCCAAGTCGTTCTTTGGAGATGACTCCACTCGTATATTTGAATCGAAGGACCCTCAGCTGCACGAGCCACTGGATGTCCAGAGCTTCTTGGAGAAGAGACTACGGTGGATTGCCCTTGGAATACAACACGAGGGGACCGCCAATATGGTCTCCGGGGAGATTCCGTCGATTCCAGGGGATATAGCGAAACTAATGAGCGCAATCTTCCCGGATAGATCAGCCCACGCAGCCATCGTGGATATCCATTCGACCAGAGATACCCAACCCATCCACCTCCACCGAGATGTGGGCAAGGACAGCGATACAGGACTGATGAGTGTGAGCTTTGGCTGCGATGGGCTGTTCCTGGTCAGTCATGATGATGGGAATGGCTGCGAGGTACTTCGGCTTCGATCGGGAGACACGGTGTACATGAATGGTGTGTCGCGCTTCGCCTGGCATGGAGTACCGAAGATCCTGCCTTCGAGCTGCCCTGCATGGCTGGCCAACTGGCCGTCGCTTGGAGAGAATTTCCCGGGAATGCCCCCGGGTCCTTATCAAATGTGGGAAGGCTGGATGTCCAGCAAGCGGATCACCCTAAATGTTCAGCAGAGGCCAACTTCCCATATTCCCAAGGACAGTGCAAAGAATGTCTAAGCTGGGGCATGCAGATCTGTTCACACAATATCCAGATGGACCCTTGCTATGCCATACATTATCTATGAAGTTAACCGAACGGAGTCATCCGCTTTCCAGCTCGGGTACCTGTCGGGGGAACGGCACGTTCGGAGCCCCCCTGCTTCAAATCTTGGAGACAACTCCTGTCAAGCACCTAGACGAATCATTTAGACCAGATAGAGTAAAACAAATGCATGAATCCCCAATTCGCCCGAAGTAGAGTGATAAGCCAACGTCTCCAACTGACTCCAATAGCCCCGCACAGATAAGCCAACCCCCCATATATAAACTGTTGTTTGCACATACATACCCCGAACATCATCTATCATCTACAGCTTCAACATCCTGCCCGCAATGACAGAACCAGCGTGGCGAACTCGAGGCGAGGCCAAACGGCAGTCCATTCTCAATGCAATCCCTGAGAAATGGCGACTGCAGGACCCAGTCCCTCCAGCTACCGAGCTCCGTGATGTCACAGGTTATATTCGGCAATACCTGACAGGCCGTGAGATCGAGATTACAGAGAAAGACGCAGTTGACATTGCAGCCCAAACCACCACGGGAAATTGGACCGCTGTCGAAGTCACAGAAGCCTTCTGCCACCGAGCTGCCCTTGCTCACCAGCTCGTACGTTCCGCCAAATCCGACCTCTTTGCACATGGAACCTCAACAACATCATGAAGCTAACTCCGTCAATCAAATAGGTAAGCTGCCTCCACGAAATTCTCTTTGAAGCAGCCATCGAAGAAGCAAAAGCCCAAGACGCCTACTTTACAGAACACAAAGCACCCAAAGGCCCCCTGCACGGCCTCCCAATCAGTCTAAAAGATCAATTCCACATCAAAGGCGTGGAAACAACAATGGGCTACGTGGGCTGGATAAACACCTTCGAAGGCCTCTCCAACGATCCCCGCCGCTGCACAGAAGAAAGCGAACTCGTCCGCGAACTCCGCAACCTGGGCGCAATCCTCTACTGCAAGACCAGCGTGCCAGCTACCCTCATGTGCGGCGAAACCGTCAACAATATCATTGGCTATACCTGGAATCCCAAGAACAGGCTTCTTTCTTCTGGTGGTAGTTCTGGTGGTGAAGGGGCGCTTATTGCGTTGCGTGGTTCACCTGCTGGTTTTGGGACTGATATTGGGGGTAGTGTGCGTATTCCTGCTGGGTTTAATGGGCTTTATGGGTTGCGTCCTTCTTCTGGGAGGATTCCGTATCAAGGTGCCGCGAATTCGATGGATGGGCAGGGGACTATTCTTTCTGTTATCGGGCCGTTGGCTACCACTGCGAGGTCGCTGACTATGCTTGTTAAGGCTGTTCTTTCGCAGAGTCCTTGGTTGCATGATCCGCTTGCGTTGGAGGTGCCGTGGCGTGATGATGTTGTTCTGCTGACCAAGTCTTTGATTGATCAGTCTGCTGCTGGGGGTGGTTCATCGCTTGCTTTTGGTGTTATGAAGTGGGATGGTGTTGGTCCTGTTCATCCGCCTATTGCGCGTGGTATTGAGATTGTGGTGAAGACTTTGCAGAGGCTTGGTCATAGTGTTGTTGAGTGGAAGCCTCCTTCTCATGCTACTGCTATGGAGCTGTGTGTACGTATCTCAATCTCTACCTTCGTTTTATGTATGGGCTGATTGCTAACTCGTAGCAGGGCAAAACATTCGATATGGACGGCGGTACAGACTTCAGACACCATTTCAGTCTTTCCGGCGAAGAGCAAGCTCCGCAGGTTATTGTTGCCAAAGATGGCAAGGTGATGAATGTTTCCGAGCTTGCTGCTCACAACATTTCCAAGCGCGTCTATCAGAAACAGTACATGGACTACTGGAACAGCACAGCTGAGCTCACAGGCACAGGCCGCCCTGTGGATGGAGTTTTCTGTCCACTGGCACCACATGCGGCCGTTATTCCGACTCAATACGAGCATGTTGGATATACTGGCTTCGTGAATGTGCTGGACTATACTAGTCTGGCGATTCCGGTTACCTTTGCTGATAAGACGATTGACGTGCGTCCAGCTGATGGCTCCGCGGATGAGTCAGGTTATATCAAGTGGGACTGTGAGTTGTCTCTTTATGCTGCTGGATGACTTCTTGCTAATTGTTGTCTAGATGATGCCGAGACCTATGATGGGGCTCCAGTCGGAGTGCAGTTTGTTGGCAGAAGATTGCAGGAGGAGAAGATGCTGACTTTGGCTGAGTATCTGGGTGAGGAGATTGCTCGAGAGGCGAAATGAAATGTCTGGAATAGCATCGCTGCAATAGGACCGAATATCAAATTACTAGCGCATCAATAACTCCATTTGACAAAATATGCGTGAGTTACCCAATTCTCGTATTTCTGTAAGTACTTTACACTGGGAATCATAAGAATAGCGCCGACGATAGGGAAAGCCAGCTGCCTAAGAAAATACATCCAACCGAGACACATTACTAAATATTCTTTCCGAGCCTTATATATAAACAAGATATCAAGAGTGCACTCAGCTCATAGATGTAGGAGGCCTTTGTCCCGATGGCGCAGCAATATTGGAAAGATGAGGTGTGGAAGGTCCCCAGGGTTTACCGATTGCAGATCCCGGCGCAGGAGAAGGGCCAGGTTCGATCGACGACCCCGGTGGGCCTTCCGAGCCGTTCATAAGTCGCGGGCGTTTGGCCTGTGGCAGCCCGCTGGGTGGGCTACGAGGATCTGCATAAGAGTGCGGGGAAGCATAGTTGGTGGACGAGGCAGGTGTAGAAGCAGCGCCAACGTCTGGGCTCATAGCGGCAGCGGATTGCAAGGGACGCAAGCGGTTTGGGTGAGAGGATGTATCCTCACCATGGCGCGGTGGGCGAAAGTCGGGACTTTGCCCAGGCTGTGGCTGGCCTTGGTCTGCGTCCATCAGCGGGCTGGGGTTACCATGGCCAACGCCGATCCGGCCCATGCCTTTATCGTGCATGACGACGCGTTTCCATTTTGCGAGTACGCTGTCATAGTCCCATCTTGTCGAGTCCGCACTGATTTGGCTGTCTTGGGAATCTAGTTCCCGCGCTACTTCCCGTGGCAGGGGAAGTGTGTCTGGAGGGAATAGCGCGAACTCCCGAGGCCACTGGCATGATCCAAGGCGCTCGACTTGCGCACGAAGCTGATTTGCTTCCTGTTGTACGCGGGCAAGTTGGTCATCCCCAAATTTCCGCTTTTCTGCCTCCCGGGCGAATGCGCGCATGATTTCGAGCTGCCACGTATCGCGACGGGTCTCGTAGGTAAGGGAGTTCCAATGGTTGAAGGCTAAATCCAAGTGTCGGAGGCTCATCTCCTCGTGCTGCTGCGCGTTGCGGTATATCATGCTCTGATCCGTCCCGCTATGGCGGTGTTTCGCTTGAGAGTCCGCGGAGATTTGTTCGGTCTGCCATTGTGCAACCTTGGAACGGAGCGCCTGGCGCACAATATCGCGGTGCTCGGCACCGGGAGCCTGAAGTGGGAATGAGCCCGAGGATGAAAATGGTTGCGGCGCAAACAAGCTTGGTGGGGGAGTGAGTAACTGCAGGCATAGGGAGGGGAAGGTTTGAGCTTGAATCTCGAAATCGAACGGTGACAGGCGAGGCCGTGTACGAGAGCTAATTTTCTGTCAGCTAAGATTTGGATTTGGATTCAAAATGAGATGTCTCAACGTACGTCGCAGCTTTGATATTATCGAGAACTTCGCGCAGCGCCAGCTCTAGCGCTCGCATTGTATCTGGTTTGCTGGAACCAGCGCCTCTGCTCGCGTAGTCTGGCAGCTGTAACGACCCAGCACCAGATTGCGACGGCGCAATTCGAGGCCCATCTGGCATGCGACTGGGGTTGGGAATATCATTGATCACCCCAGTTGCATGCCAGGTGGGTGTGTTAAACATCATGCGCACCGGAGCATCCCGCGACTTCGACCCCGTGTCGGCTGGTGCGTATGAGTCCGACGGGGTCTTTTTCTGGCCTCTTTCGGGGCTAGTCTCGTGCTTCCCTGAAGATGTACGGGCCTGGCGACGTGTGATACCACTGCGGATTCGGCGGATCTCTTCAACATCGTGGATACCATCGGGTTTCTTCTTGAAGAGGAATTGGTCGAGGTGTCGACCTAGGGACGAGGAAGTGAAGGATTGTTGGCAGTACTGGCATTTGCGGTCTTTGGAAGCGAGATTCGCTTTCGAGTTCGACGGGTCGTCGCCGGCAGTCGAGCCTTCTGGGGTGTCCCTGGAGGCTTCTTCCTTCATGGTCGCGGATGTGCACGCGGAAGAGGCGGCGGGGGCAGGAGGGAAATGAAACGCGATCGAGATAGTTGTTGAGCTTTCCAAGCTACTCAGTCATGGCATAGAATCCCAAAGGCTGATGTCTAATGCTGAGGCTTGTATTGGAGAATCGCAGAGGTGGAAGATTCCGAAGGGAGTGCCAAGCTTTCGGGCGCGAAGCTCGCGCGAGTGGGAGTTTGGGGGCCGCATGGAGATTTATCTACTTTGCTCTTGTGTGAAACATTTTCGATGCTACCTATGCAGGTACTCAGGTATCGGGTAGTCATCGCAATGTAACTGATCATCTGCCCCGCCAATAGATAGCAGCTGCATGAATGTCACTGCATGACCTATAGCGTGGAGCAACAGATACCTATGAGAGTTCATCCTTTCGGAGAGAAAGAAGAGTATTTATGTGATTGTATAAGAAATTATATCGTCCGAAGTTGGAGAAAATATCCCATCACTCAATAATCTAGCATCAATTCGCGATTACCCAAGTTTATATACATGAACCACCCTCACACCCTCAAGAACTGTTTACTTTACTCTTTCTCGTCTTGCGCTCACTGAGCCATCGCTTCAGGTTCCGAACTCCATGCAAATACAGCCAGGAGAAAGCAAAGACCACGGCGAAATCGAAGATGATATACCCCCAAAATATACCCTAGAGACTGTTAGCCTCTAAACCCATGAGGTACAGAGATAGAACTTACATAGGCCCTCCATTTGTGGGAGTAGAATATGTTGAGACTTTTCGCCTAGAGAATATAGCCCCCGATTAGCTATGTTCGCAATCAAAAGCAGAGGATTAAGGGGCTAACTCACAAACTGATCTCCAATCGAATACTGACAAAACGAGCACATTCCATTCCCGGCATCTCGTACGGATCCACCAGCCTGCTGAGCATACGGCCCGGCATACTCCGCGCAGGTCTGACCAGGTGGAGGACTGAACTGGGCTTCTTCGCGCGGAACACAGCGAACGGGGATATTATGCGTAATGACACCGACGAACCCTTCAAGTAGATAGTGGAACGGCGTGAGCCAGTACATCCAAGATTGCCAAAAGTGTGGCAGGGCCGCATATGGAACGACAACACCACAGAAGGCGGCAATGAATGTGAAGAAACACGGTACAAGCAAACTTGCAAAGAGCTCATTTGGTGCAAATGCGGCGATGAATTGCCCAAATCCGACGTAATATAGTTCAAATAGCATGAGGAGCATCCAAACATAGCCCGAACTGAATGAATCGCGCGGGAACCAGGTGCCCCAGTACCTATGACATCCATGTGAGATTTATATTCAGGCGGTGGGATTCGAGAACCTACCAGCAGTTGAAATAAATCGATCCGGCTACGATGGAATATGGTAACTCTGGGAGGATTGTGCTTGTCACAAAGGCGGCCCATGAGTAGATCTTCGAGTTGGATTCGCGAGATTCGTATAGGCCCCGGAAATGTAGGAATCGAGGTTGGAGTTGCTGGATTAACGGGGGAGAAATGGTCAAGGTCATGAAGACAGAAAAGAGCCTCGACTGCATGTCGATGTAACTATTTCCCAGGTGCCAGAATGTGAAAGTATTGAAGAGACCTGTGAAGATGTGGAGCATGAATTTGCCCTGGTAAAAACATGTTAGGTTAAGCTTGATCTTTCAATGTTCAGATACTCACAAGAATATAGTCTGGAATCCTCCAATATGCCACAAAGGCGCGTTTTGTGACTGCCAATATTTGAACGTGTAGAGGCATTGCAAACTCGCGGTCATCTTTGGTTGTATCATCGCTCTGGGCATCCCGTCGAGAAGAAATGGTTTCCTCGATATCCTCAGAAAGCTGCTTGGATTCTGATGAATTGGCCCATACTTCACCCCAATCCTGGCCCTTGTAATCTGGGTTTCCAGCTCCAATAACTTCCAGCATGTACTATTAAATAGTCAGTATAAGCAGCATACTTGGCTTTGCTATACGTACCTCTGCAGGATTTGCGTGCGGCGAACACTTCTTGCCACCATTTCGTTCAAAATACTCAATGAGCATCTTGGAATCGTTTCCAAGTGGCCCATTATAGACCACACTTCCACCGCTCTTCAGCAATAGAAGCTCGTCAAACTGCTCAAATAAAACAGCAGAAGGTTGATGAATCGTACAGAGGACAGCCTGGCCAGCATCTGCTAGTCTCCGAAGGAATCGTACAATGTTGAACGCAGCAAGTGAATCGAGACCAGAGGTTGGCTCATCCAAAAACAGGAGCAGCTCAGGCTTACTTGCCAGCTCCACTGCGATAGTCAGACGTTTTCGTTGTTCCTGGTTGAGACCCGAGCCCGCAGATCCCACAGTTGCGCCTGCAATAGGTCGCATTTCCAAAAGGTCGATCACTTTCTCGCAATATTCGTATTTCTCTTGCAATGGAACTTCCTTCGGTTGGCGTAAAAGGGCAGAAAATCGGAGAGACTCCCGTACAGTGGCTGTGGGCTCGTGTATATCCATTTGCTCCGCAAAACCAGTTGCTCTTTGGAAGCTTTTGGGAAGAGGTCTGAAAATGTTAGTGAGACATTGAGTACTAATACTGGTAGAACATGAAATACTCACTTTCCATCAACCAAGAAATTGCCGGTGACCACGCCGAAATTGATTCGCTGAGCTAGGGCATTAAGCAGCGTTGTCTTTCTGATCAGATATTAGTAAAGAATGCAGCTTGATTTAATGGTTGTCTTACCCAGCACCAGATGCACCCATCAGTGCAGTAAGCCGGCCTGGCTTGACATAGCCCTGCACATCTTTCAACAGCTGTCTCTCGCCACCTTTGTAGGGAATGGTGTAATTGACATTCTGCCAAGTGAAGATGGACGTGTTCTTGGAAATCCCCTGGACCTTTTGCCCGGCATCTTTGAATTCATCGCCATTCATGTCGGAAGTGCTATCATTCTTCTCAGTTGACTCCTCATCGGCTGGCGGACCGGAATCCTCGATGGCGTCTTGAACTGTCTTGGGTGCCTCGCCCCGTTTGAACACCGTGACTGAGCTTCCACCTTTGTTTGGTCTTTGCAACTCCATTCCTAACATTGTTAAGCAGATGAACAAAATCAACCACCCAATGATGATACCAAGGTTCCGCCAGAGATGAGCTCTGCTATAGGTGTATGCCGTTTCAATATACCTGGATCCATCGACAATTAAAGAGTTTGGGCTACTGCCTTGGATTGCACAGCTCTGGTGAGATGGTGATGTACCTGGTCCGTCGGGGACAATATATGGCGGTTCACACTTGATCTTGAGACCGTAGAATTCATTTGCCATCAAAGCTTCGAATGCATACTGGACGGGGTTGATCCAAATGAGCCATTTTAGCCAAGGGTGCATTTTCCATGGAGGAATCAAATAGCCTTGAGCACTTGCGTTAATTAATGCCAACTTTTCTATAGTAGGGAATGAAAATTACCTGTGTAGACAACTAGCGCTTGGATAGCAACACCAGTAAGACGCGTTGCTTTGATTTTGTCAGTGCCTTCTTTCTATAGATGGTGTTTTATCACTTACCAACGTCCAATGAGGCACACAGAGCTCCTAGGGCACGGAAGAAGGAGTACATAGTCATGGTCAACATAAAAATGAAAAGTAAATTGATAAAGAACTGCGACGCTGTGCGCGCAAGGTTTGCCATGCTAAGGAACATGTTAGCTTTGTCAAATTCAAGATTCTGAGGCAACGTACAAATATACAACCACGTCGAATAGCACGACTTGGATGAGAACCAGAGGCACATCAACCACAACTTGAGCGAGCGCATATGCTGCTGGGCGGTAAAAGGAGCTAGCATGGCGTCAGCATTTCATCTAAAAGTTTCCGTTTAAATCACTGACAAGCTTTTATGTTTCATCAAAATGGGCCGACTCTCAAATGCCGCCGTCAGCTCTGCCATAGCGAGCAATGCATTGAACAACAAGATGAAGAACATGACTCCACCTCTCGTGAAAACGCCAGCACTTCAAGCAGTTAGTAAGTGAATAGTATAGAGCCTTCCATTCAACACACCTTGTGTCAGGCAAGTTATAAAACAGACTCCCAACAATGAGAGCTTGGAATGTAATCACACTCCACTTGCCAATAAGCGATTGCCTGTCACCAAACATCACCAGGAATTGACGGTGTGTAAGAATCCACACCTGCTTGTGAAACGGAACCGTGTAATTCTTCTGCTTCATGTTCTTTCTTGCCGCTTCTCGCTCATGTTCCTCGCTCTTGATCTCCTCCTCGAACTTTTTAATATCTGCAAGCGTGCCTTTGAATGTATCACTTTGACGATATGCCGCTTGAAATTGGTCAGCTGTGCGAGGAATTCGGTCTTCCCAGCCAGGCTTTACGCGTCTTGCATGAGGGTCGCTGACAGACGTCAAGAAGTCGGGTGTTGTCCAACGCGGAGGGCATTCGAAGCCCAGTCTTTCAAAATAGACTTTGGCGTCATGACTAGGACCAAAGAAGGCGCACTTTCCATCCTCAATCAGAATCACCTTGTCAAAAAGATTGAATAGGTTTTCTGAGGCCTGGTAAAGAGCTACTACGGTAGAGACGTGAGCGGTGTTTGTCAAGCTTCGGAGACTCTGGACATATTCCAAGGCTGTACTGGCATCCAAGCCTTTTGTTGAGTTATCCCAACACTGGGTGCTAGCCTTTGTGACCATAGCCTCTGCAATTGAGGTTCTTTTCTTTTCGCCTCCAGAGACTCCACGAATTAGCTCGTTACCAACTTTTGTCCCTAGGGCATGTTCAATCCAGAACAACTTGGCAATCGCCGTAAGGAATGTCTGCTGATAGTCTTTGCGGCTCTCTCCTGGGATACGCGAGGCCTTTTCCGGAGTACGAGTCTTTAATGCAAAAAGCAGAGTATCTCGCACCGACAGAGTTGCATAGTGGAGATCATCCTCGGGGTTGTACAAAACTGGACTTCTGGGTGAGCGCTGCTCCACAGTTTCATAAGAAGAAACACACCTTCAGACCGATAGTGCTTTGCCATCTTTTCGGACTCAGTTCCTCCATATCGCACATCACCTTCAATACTTTCGTATCCAGCTCTTTGGTTGCCAAGCACTTTCAAAAACGTGGAACAACCCGACCCAGGACGACCCAGGACAAGTAGCATCTCTCCAGGGCGTACACAACCCTTGTTTCGGGTCAGCGAAAGTTCCATTCCTGAATCATGAAGATAGTACTCACGCTAAAATCGTCCAAGATTGTTCTAATAGATGGCTTTCCAGTCCCAGTACCCTTTCTCCCACGAGTCAATAGTCGTTTGATGAGCCGGGGTAACCCTAGGAAGATATCTCCGTTGGTAGGCTGGAGCGCAGCACCAAGACCGACACCCTTGACTGTAAGATTCCTCCATACAACTCCAACATGTCGTGTTTTCTCTTCTTCAGAGTTTTCTTTCCGTTCCTGGCCGAACATCCGTGATATCAATCTTTCGATCTGTGCCCATTCCTCCCCTTTTGTTTCGTGTCCGGAGGCATAACTGCGCCGACGACTGATTGTGTTTGCGAGACTCTCATCGTTCAGCCGTGTTCCTGAGGAATTGGATTCGGGTTCTGGGCTAGTAGTGCGGACAGGTTCGAAGTTTTTGGTTATATCTGATCTAACTGACGAGGCGGAACTTGTGGAAGACCCGGGATGATTAGTGGTGGGCTTAGGGTATGAGGCTGATGTTGGCTCGTCCGCTGCCGAGTGCCCCTTTTCCATATTTGCTGTTGAATTCTCTGGTTTGACAATATACAAAGTTGTTTGCTCTCGGTTCAAGTATGTCGGTAGTCAAAGTGATACAACGGGGATACTAGGCGACCCCTCTGTAATTTAGTTGTATAGTGACAGATACACTCATTATTGTCACAGGTAATGGGAAAGGAAAACATATCGGGGGTGTCGATATTACGTCAAAGTCTCCTACAACCTGGAAGCAACCTTGGAAGGAGTCGGTGTCGGAGGCTCAACTCGCCGAGTATGCGACGCATCGAGACAATCCAGTTCCAGGAGCCAATCATTACGAATCATCTGACTATATCTGCATGATTCAAACACCGATAAGTCCGATCATATTGTGGTGTTGGGATCGGGTGGCCATGTGAGGTTTGGATTCTCGGTAGGTTTGTACTCCGATCGTGAGGTCATCGATCGTACATGTTTGGCCTGGGATCTAGACCTTGACTTTCTTGTTTTGATGTCGCATTTTCCTTTGCATATGAGATTATTATCTACAAAATTGGGGCATAGAGATCGCCCTGGCTGTAGTATGTCGCATTAATGATCTCCTGTGAAGGCAATGACGTCTAATATGTTTGGGCAGCTGGCACGACGGAAAACCTTCATATCTTGATTATAAATACAGGTACTGTAATCAAAAGGCAATGAAAGATAGGGAAATGGAAAGCGGAAAAAATGTATAAAACGATACAACGCAAGGGGTACTGACGAGCATAGAATTTACCTCCACTTTGTAATAGCTCCTCCATTTAACAAAAAGGAATTTAACAAAAAGGAGGAATTATACAATCTTATATGAATGATCGATCAAAACTAAGTTGTTATCAAGAGCAAAACAATCAATCGAGCAACCTGCAAAACAACCTCAAGCGCTGTCAGTATTACCTAGTGAGCCGTAGCTATATCCACGGGGGTTGTTCCCGATGGTATCACTAACTGCTGTCATGGCATAAGAAGGAATTGGTTTGCCATACGATGGGGACAATGCTACCTACGTAACAGGAAAGTAGCTCGATCGCATCCAGGTAATTTCACTATCATTGTCTCGTCATCATAGCAGGAGCGCTTTACAAGCGCCGATAACCTTGCAGCTAGAGCTGGTAAATACAACAGTCTTGGACAAAACTAAAATGTTTATAAACAATGTATGGCAATTTATACTCAAGATACATATTCAGGGGCAATGTGGCGAACGTTGTGAAGGACTTATTCGGTTCATGCCTCCATATTGTGTCTAGTATGGCCCGGAAAACGCGGCAGATCGAGGCATCGGGGAGGCATTCCTTTCTCAAGGTTAAAGCTCGACGGCATAATTACCACATACCCTAAGTCTCCGTAAGTCTAGTGGTATCTCTACCTAATAAATCTGGCAATTCCCATCAGAGAACAAGATTATGTCCACCATTCGACTAAGTGATTCTTAGTTGACTATTCCCGAGGAGCATTATCCCAATGAAGTCCCATCGAGCTCACAAATTCCTGCGGAAGGTTTTGGGATTTTTCAATTTGTCTCCTTCCAAGAAACGGGCATCCAGATCACGCCGCAAGTAAGCAACCCTCTCCCTCTACTTGTGAATAATAACGAACAACTGATACAGTGCCAAACTGTGGTGTGTTGCAACCACCGCCGCCCCTTTCTACAGCGTCGCAGCTGCACAAGACGTTGATAGAGTCAGAAAAGAAGGCCAAGGCAATGACATTGCCCAGTACAGCCTCGGCACGACTCTTGAAAGGCCGATCTCAAGCCGCGAACAGCTCGAGTCGCGCATCGTGAAGCTCTGGAAAAAGGTCTGGCTGGGTTTGTATCAAATCAATGACAACAAGGAAAGATACCACATTGAGCGCATCGAGGCCCTTTACTTGGGAGCCGGAATGATCCGTACATACCGCGTAGGCGAAATGCGCGTCCTGCGGCGTCGATTCATGCGAGTTGAGACCAACAACGGTATCGCCGCCATGAAACTGTTCCCTGTCCTTTCTTTTCCAACCCTCCTAGCTATGGTGCACATTCTGGAAGCCTACGAAAGTGAGATTCCGAACTTGGAGTTACTTTATTCTATTTTGCGGAATGGCCAGCTTGGCCTGTACGAGACTGAGGATGCTCAGGACCGCGCTACGGTTGTGCAGTCGGATTATGACGCGATTGCGAAGCCCATGGAGAAGAGAATTCATCAGTATGATATTCGCATGGATGTGCTGAACATGGAAATTTGCGATGAAGCGATGGGTTTCCCTGGCCACCTGAAGGGACAGCATGTCTACATGAAAGTGTTCCCGAACTGATGGTGATGATTATTTGGGCTACAAAATATCTCATTAGAGGGCCTCTATCATTCCAATTTTCTTAATAAGTGGCCTCTTTAGCTCAGTGGTAGAGCGCCGTACTCGTAATACGGAGGTCATCGGATCAATCCCGATAGGAGGCACTTATTTTTTTTGATCTTTTACTGTCATTGCTTAGTCAGCAATTTTGATTCGGCGACAGAGCCCATAGAAATATAATACTAGCAGCTATATATTAGCCAATAAAATATAATACAAACAGTGCAAATATTCTAATTGTGAGCGACCCACTTCCCAACTGACCAGGTGAGCTGCATTCTGCCCATAGATCTATGTGATAGCCAGATTGAAACTAATTTTGCTTCGTCACTAGCCTCATAGGATACTCCGTTTTCCTAACCAAAACCAGTATTAGACGATGAGAAATGTACGATACGAAATTCTCTGACTCATCAGATAAATATATAATGTAACAGGTTCGCTTTAAATCTCCTTTGCTTTGTACTCACGATAAGCTTTGAATTCCAAGCCTTGAGGTGATAATTGATTCTTAGCACATCGATGTCAGTAGATTGAATTTGTTCTATTTTCCTATCATATCTATAGCATGCTCAAAGCCAAGAAGTAAACGACGGATCGACCGCTTCAAACATGCGCATAACCGCTCTTGTAACTACCGGATATCCCATGATAACATCATGCAGCCCAGTCTTCAATATTTCTTCTCGAATAACACCGTTATCAGTCTTCCATTCCATGATAGACCCAGCTGCCCCAAGGTCTGTTTTGGAGTCCAGCTTCTTCTGTTCAAGGTCATCATAACTGATCCCTGCAGGCGTCGACGCATTGACTGCATGCCAAAAAAGCAATTCGGAGTGATGCCATGGAATGTCATAGTCATCCTCTGCATGAATTATCGTCAGGCGATAATCCTCTCCACTTTGCTCATTCGCGCGAATGTATTGCGCAATCGAGTCTTTGCTTGACCACTTGTCGCGAATGAATCTTTGAAGATATTTAAAAACTAGTGAAAACCTCGCAGGAGGTGATATGATCGGAATGGTGCCCGCCACACGGTAAGTTGAGACTCATGTCGCGACGTCAACGAACGGCGCAGTGAGAATGGTTCCTGCGAAGACCACAGGCGGGTCTTGTATTGCGAGGTGTTTGGATACAGCAATGCTCACAGCTGTACCCATAGATTGTGCGAAGATGAGAATCGGCGAGGGAGGGATTCCAGCAATATTCGTTGCCCAGTCGATTGCGGAAAGGGCATCAATGATGAGTCCTGTTTCTGAGGGCGAACCAGTGCTTTTGCCAAAGCCGCGATAGTCAAATGTCAAAACATGTATTTTATTGGGATTGCCGGCAGATAATGCGTGGTAATTAGGGACTCTGTAGCCCGAGGCGACAGTTCCTCCAGCTCCATGCATGTGGATAATCAATCGAACTTCGGGATCGTTCCGCAGTAGCTGGAATCCGAGTCGAGACTTAACATCAGAGACAAATTCCACAGGTTCCTCGAGAAGCGAAATTTCATTCTTGCGATATAATTCTGCTGGAAGGATATGCCAAGCGTATAGTCGCTCACCGTCCGTAGTCTTGATTGGAAAGGGGATGACTTGATTTCTCAGAAAACCAAAAGCCTCTGAGACATTGAGGTCCTTGAGCCACGCCATCTGAATTGCATGGAGGTATACGACATGTGATTGGAAGGTCGATGTCATGAGTAGCCCGAGTAGGATCGCATACAAGCCGACGAAAATTGCTACTGGTATTGACACATATGTCACACCAGAAGCGGCGATATCTCTCGCCTTCATCTTGAGGCGAGAAAGCCTGAATACAGGAGGTCAAAAAGATCGTTCACAGATGTGGGGTTCAAGCCATCATCCACAGGAACATGATTTGTCGCGATTTGATAAGATATATGAAGCGAATCAGTCTTGAAATAGGAAATAGGATGCCTTGGATAAGAAGTGTGATGATATTAGAAACAGCTACATGACTTAGCCCGGGCATTCGGCGCTTGCTGAAACGTGTACCGGACCGTCCCATGTGTGCGGAATGGGTATGCCCGTGCTTCGGCCCGCCGCCTGGTGGGTTGTTGTTCAGTACTGTTAGCTAGGTAGAGATTTCGATTTTGAATTTCCTGGGCTGATGAAGAGGCAAATAACACTGGCCGCAAGTCATAGGGAAGACACAGCAAAGCTTGTGATTGTTGGTGGGGGAGGAATTGTGTTTAAGATAATCATATCAATGAAGTTAGTGCGAGACATATCATCCCTGCACGGATCATTCTCAATAAAAACCCCGGGTTTGTCCTGTCACTTTGCGTCACCTGAATCTGAATGCTGCGACAATACTCCAATCAGTATCACACGGAGAAGTTGGGCTGAAGCTCATACTAGACTCGAGTTTGGAAGCTTACCGGCCCCGCTTTCGGACCGGCCCCACCGAAGTCAGGTGACATGTCAATATATAAACAAAGACGTGCCCACATGTTTCGACTCCACTTGTAGGGCCTCCCACAATGTCACTGCAAACCCTCCCGGTTGAAATTGCTTTCATCTGATAGGCAGTAATTTACTCTGGAAACAAGAGGCATGCTGTCTACTAGTCTCTAAGTGGTGGTGCACTCTTGCAGAGTCTATTCTACTCGAAGACTTGGTTCTCAATACAAACCACCTTATACATCTCCCCATGCAGACTTCTGCTAAGCTCAAAGTATTTGTGCAGCAGCTCACAGTCGATATGAAGGATATCCTAAACTAGCACGACCCTAAACATAAACAGTTGACTGAATGCGTCGATCGATTGCTGCCTCATTGTTCCAGACTGATAGGTCTCAATTTGCACGCACAGAACGATTTCAACCCCGAAGAACCGTTGGCACCTCCTTGAAGCTACCTCGAAACGTGGTCACCGTCGCCTACAAAGCTGCTAGAAATGTTTCAATGTTCCAAGATCCGCGAGCTCGTTATTGACACCTGTGGCTCTAACATCAAGGGCGGAGTGCATATCTGTCCACAACTGGCGCTTCATATTTCTTCTTACGCTCTATTTGCTTGAGGATGGGTAGGATTCGTTCTCAGGTACTTGGCTTCAAGCACGACTCCAAGATTGAGATCATTATCATCAGCCTGAGTCTTCTGGAGCCCAATCACTTTAGTGCAGGCTTTATTCGTTATTGCACAGAGTCGAAATCAGTGCACTGGTTGTATGAAGACATGATTACCGCTGCCACAAAGGTCGCAATAAGCCACCCTTGCATAAAAATGCTGAGGATTACTAGCTCATGAACACCCTTATTTAGAGATGTTATCTACGGATTGCATCAATGGGACTGGGGTGATTATGGGCAACCCAAGTCAGACGATGGAGAAATATCCGACCAAAAAATGTTTTCTCCTGATATCAAGGATAATGAGACATTAATCTGAACTATTGCCTCACATAAGAGTTGCAGTCGTGCTCACCAATCGACCAGGCAGTACCTGGCTCCTTTGGCGTTTCAATTCCACAAAATAATTTGGAACACAGAAGTCTATACGGACTCTTCTGCCTCTGACCTTAATAATCTGGGATCGCCGTCATTGGATAAAGATGTCAAAATGGAAATAACATGATGGTTGATTCTGATATCATAATTCTTAATAATAACTTGGCTATTACAGTGCTAAAGCAATTCGGGCTTCCTAGCCCATGTCAAAAACGTCCCACACGCCAAGCAAAACCAGACAGCTTTATGAAGACAGCCTTTTCACAAAGTCCTGAGCCTTTGCAGTAGGTAAAATATCTAGTTCTGCCAGACGATATTGCTTTGCAGTGAGATGATAAAGCATATATCCTGACATAATTGATTCTAGGCTGATAGAGAGCCTAGAATGAGACATTCCTATCTCACGCAGATGGCGAATTGCATCAACAGGATCATCAAAAAGCGTTTGCAGAAATTGAATCGACTAATTAGTAAATGCCCAGTCTAAGTACCAAAGACAAATCAAAATTGAACACGCCTCTACTGATGTCTCTGCCAACGAAAACCATGCAGGGCGCCTAAACAAGACGCAAAAGCAAAAAAAATTGATTTTGAGCTGACGCGGAAAGTTTTACTAATTCTGTGCGGTTCTTTTGGCGTAGTTTACACTTGGCAGAAGATAATCTGAAGCTTTACGCCTTCATCCATCCATCCTCATTCTGGTCTGGGAAGCTCTCGCGGTATGGATATTTCTCAATCCATTCCTCGGCACCAAGGACTGTTGCGTGTTTCTCATAGAATTCGCTGAGCACATCGTTGAGCTCTGTAAAGTATAAGTAAATCGTGAAATTCATCTAGAGGCATACTGATGTCACTCACTTTCAACTGCAATAGGTTCTGAAGGTTGCAGGGAGAACCGCGAGATGCCCTCTCTCCATAGCACCAGTGCGGCGGGAATGGGAGTACCTAAACAGATGAGCGTTTGTCCCATTTCCACTTGGGCCTGAATGCAACCATACCTCGCTCGATAGAGATGACGGAAGGATCTAAAACACACTTTCCGTCGTTGACATCCTCCTGGTACCGTTCGAGATCAAACCTGAGCATTTGCTGCATCAAGCGAGAATTGGGCATAAAAATCGGCCCGTTGGAGTCTTGTGATGGAATCAGTACACTGTGTCATTTCAAAATACCGAACACAATAAATGGGAAGAAGTTGACTCACAGGGGCTGGATTTGGAGATGCTCGCGTGAACCAATCCATCTTCGGATACTTTGATGCCATCCTTTCTGTAGCGGGTCTCGTCCTGTGTCGAGTCATACATTGTCGCATTCCGCTCTAGCTGGAATCGATACATTGTGGCTGGGAAAGAAGTATGTGTAGAAAGTAGGGAGAACTTTCGGACATTTCCGGGGTTGAACCGGGTGGCCTTCATCCAGTGGTTGGCGAGCATGATGATAGTGTGTATCAAGCCTATTCCAGGGGGAAAGTCACCGGAAGCTTGGTATTCAACGAATACCAAAGATGATTTAAGACGATGGAACGGGGATTCAGAATCTCGCACGCAATTTTCGGAAGAGCTGGCAATTTAGAAGTATAGAGATAAAGGCTCGCGCAGGGGAACAAGTGACGTCCGAGGCTGAACTGCCTAGGCGGTCAGCCGGCTGTGGAGCCGGGCCCGGTGTGTCTATTTGAACTTCCCATCTCAGTCCCAACAACAGCTAACCGTATATGAACTTCTAATTTACAGGCAATGCCCGTATTAGCAGGAAGCGAGCCTGTTCAAACACTGCTAATGGTATGGATTTGATGTATGACATCCTCCTTCTATTGATTCCGATTGCAATAACTGCATTCTCACTACTCCGTAATGAACGACTCTTTGTATTTTGATATACCTTTTATGGTCGCCGATGTCTTCTTGAATGGAATACCATATTTTTCGATATTCACTGAGAACGCCAAGATCTTTCTCGTCAAATCTACTCCTTCCATCCTTGCTGATTCCCTGCTTCACTACTGGCAAAAATTAAATCATTTTAAATGCAAACCATGCAAACATGTCTGTTGGCTTGTCTTTGTCAGACCTCCTTTGTCTGGGGAGTCCATGCAGACGCTTTTCTCTAAATTATTCAATAAAATATCCTTTCCACTAACTTCTTCTGAGCTCATAATTAACCATACAACTGCAGAACTTACTTGGTAGTACCCTCAGAAAGAACCATCGCTGAACAATGTCAAGCCAGAGAGGAGTTGCTAGAAAGAGTCCAACGATCACCCATATGATAATAGAAAAATCCAAAGACTTGATGTATAGGGATCGAGCAGGAAATTACTGACACTGGGCAAATTGAGAGATATTACAAGAGAGATTCTGAGACTTTTCATTCTCTCTTTTCCTCTAAATCACCAACATTTACTTCAACTAATTTTGCAAGGATTGCCGGAAGATATTCTTTCTTACTCCATTGGTTCGGGTCAGATGATTTGACCGGCAGGATCATATACCAATACATTACATTTGAAGTGCCTTCTATCAATTCATCTGCACAGATTAGTGGGGATTCCTCGGTGTATACATAGGTGGCAAAGCATCTACTCATATACACTTCTTCTTCTGTGGTAAGAGGCATTGTCCCACAGAAAATTTATTTATTGATATGGGTATTCTTCGTCAGTCATGAGTTTTTGGTTCAGTAATCGACAATCCGAGTGCGTATATGTTCCACCAAGTCAGCGGGCAACTCTTCCGGCTTCACCAGGCCCAGTTGCAGTAGATCAGACCAAAAGAACATGGCTCTGTCTTGGGCATAGGCCAAGTAATCAAAACCCTCTTCTTCTTCGGCATCAGATTCCACCGGGGGTGTCACGGGCGCTTGTGAGCTGGCAAGACCTTCTGCATCATCGGAAACGCCAGCCATCTTGGCGATTCCTTCTTTCATACCTGGTATTTTGGCTTGGACGATACCCCATGTCGCCCAATTTACTGAGCTGATTACACGCCAAAGACGTGTTTGTTTCATCAAGTCGCGTACTCCCTTTTCTAACTCTTGCTCGATAGATTGGGCTTGGTGCCAGCTGGGCTCTGTGGGATTTTCGTCCAGATCTAGTGGGGTGATAGCCGGGGCATTGCGACCAGAAATGACTGGCGACATGTGTCCAGCAGCAACACTCGCGGGACGATGTGTCAAGTAATTTGAGATGAAGCGATATTGCTCTTCTGGAGTTGGGTAGGCGCGGTTATTGCAGGCCCATGAGCGCTCTTCATCGTGGTAGTTGTAACACCATTCGGTCTAAACTGGTCAGAAATGATGCATCAGAGGCCAGCATTGCTTCAGACTTACAAAGTGATTGGCGAACTCATACCCGCGGGTGTTTGCCGACGCATACTCGAAATCGATGACAACAAGCTGCTTATGCTCATTCGCGGGGAGGAGCAGCGGCGATTCCGTAGCCGGTTGCATTCGGAGTAGATTACCATATTGAGTCTATACAGGTCAGCACCAAGAAAGTTCAAAGGCACGTGAAAACATACATCGTTGTGGGCGAATACGAGTTGCCGCTTGATCTCTTCCATTCCACCACAGGTGGCGACAAGCCAAGTCCTATATTGGTCCACGGCCTTGCGGAACATCGACCACGGCACGCCGAAAACAAACCCGCGCCGCCGCCATGATTCAGTCGCCGCCTTAGCCTTATTTTCCGGTGATTGCACCTCTTTGTCCAACCACGACGTCAACTTCTCACAGTGATCGACCCATTTTTCGTAATCCTGGAAGACTCTCGGTCCACCTTCTCGCTCCTCCTTAAGAAGGTCTATGCCATCATGAAGCTCACGCATTCGTTTCGCAATATGCTTAGCAGTCTCTGGAATCCGTAGATCCTTCGCTGTCAACGTGCGAGCCTCTAAAAATTGCTCGAATCGACCATTTTTGAATGTTCCGAGTACGCGGGGGCCAATGTTCTTTCGACCAAGGCGGCGCAATATCTGCAGTTCCTTCTCACGGTCAATCAAGTGCTCAGCCTGAGGACCGTAAATCCGAAGCAGAAGTTTTCTATAGTATCATTAGTCGTGATAAAATAGAACAGATCCCCATAATATACTGACGGTGGAGGCTTCCTGGGAACCAAGGAGTTGGAGTCACTCTTCGGGGGAGGAAGGTTCTTAGGCGGCTGAACCACATACACCGCGTTAGTTAACGCACCACTGAGTCGCACGACCTCGATGTCATTTGCTTTTGCCGTTGGCACTTTGCGCCAGCCTCTGAGTTGCAAAGTATGCGCAAGTCGCAGGATCTCTGCCCTAAATATCTGCCAAGCTTCCCGATCCTTGGAGCGCTTTGAAGATGTGCTGATGTCAACAATATCGTCATCTGCGGCGACACTTGAGTTGTAGGCCAGGGTCTTGGAGTTATCAAGGACAGCCTCTACTCCGGGAACAGGAGCATCAAAATCAGCGTAGTCTGAGTCCGAAGCAGAGCCCCGGCGAAGTCCTTTGGGTCGGCGCCGAGATGCCCGACTCACAGACTGGAGTGCATCCAACGAATCTAGACCGCGCGAGCGCGAGTACTGCACAAGGATCTCTTCCAACTTCTCCAGGGGCAAGACAGACCCAGAACAACTTCGAGGTTCCTCCGACGCTCGGGGAGCACTGGTAGAGCCATCCCTCTGTTTCGAGGTGGCTTCAGCCTGTTTGGCTTTGTGAACAGTTTGCCGAGACTTCTCATTTTGCAGCCATTCAGATACTTGGTGAAATAATTTTAACTGGAGATCTTCTTCAGGTTTTGTAGGCCAATCATTATCTTCCAATGTCAGAGTACCTAACTTGGCGCTTGCCTGGCTGCTTATCGTGGAAGGCATGTGAGTAGGCTGGACTGCAGGGCGGGCAGTGGCTTTAGGCACAGGCGCGCGATACTGCTTTAGAGACGATGTGTCGGGTGGAGAGGCAGGTGTGGTTCCACCTGCATGCAAGGACTTGCGTGAAGGAATGTTCAAGCCGGTTCCCGAAATAGGGGGCGAGTCTACTGGCAATCGGTAAGTCTAGGTCTGAAGAAACGTCAAGACGTGGGGTGCCGCAATCCCATCAACGTCTAGAAAAGAATGAAAATAAAGGCGGGGGTGGTGTTGTCAAAGCAGTGTTAGGGCAATATGAGGAGAGAAAGCTTACCTGCTACTTCGGGGTCATAGCCACCATTCTTGTCGGAGGACATGGGGTCTGAGCGCCACGAATGAGTGAGGTGGCGTTTGGAAACAGGGGGGTGTCGATGACGGTGAACGACACGGCCAAGGATGTCTGAAATGTATACAAGAGTTGAGTCCCCAACAATTACGCGGTGGGGTCGGATTTGCATGTGATAGAGCGACTTGCTGCCTCAGGCAGAATACATGGCAGACAATCATGTGACTCCAAACCCTGCACGTGATCCTTGACACACATCCTCAATTTCTGATCTCACTCTGTCAACTGTTCAACATGAGCCCACTACATATCTAAGAACGCTGCGTTCGTTCAGTGGTCGCACAATCTGAATTGGCAATGATAATGTTGTCAAATCGGGCTTCATTGCCCCGAAAACGCTGCCTATTATTGCAAACAACACCATGATCCCCGTGCCTAAATTTCACGCTATCCGCTGGGAAGATGACCAAGTTATCGCCATAGTGATGGACTATATGCCTGGCAAACGCCTAGACGAAGCGTGGGAGACTCTAGACATTGACCAGAAGCTCGACCAACTCCATTGCTATATTAACCAACTTCCCGATTTATGGGGGAATGTATCGGGGCCGTTAATTGCGGCAAAGCTATCATTGGACGGATTGCTTCCATTGAGGGTGATCCGTTCGATTCCAAAGAAAAGCTCAACCACTTCATCGTTAGGGATCTCATCACATTAGTACCAGACTTACTACAGCATTATGCTAAATCTGCGCTTATGAATGATCATGAAATTGTTTTCACTGATTCTGACTTGGCCCAGCGAAATACTTTTGTCGAAAGGAGTAAAATCACCGCTATCTTGGATTGGGAATATGCTGGCTGATTTCCTGGACACTGGCAATGTATACAGGCGTTTCGGTATGCAACGCCAATGCCTGACCGGAATAGCTGGCCCGCATTCTGCCGCCCCGATATGAAAGAGAATTCATTGGACTGCCCCTCCTAAACCACCTCTTGAGTCACTAGCTGACTCAAAGTTATGACCCCAAATCGTTTTTCAGGCAGTACTTCCTCCACTCATAGTTATTTATCCTGTCACCAGCCACGAGACGGGCCGTCGGTTCCCGCACCTGGCATCCTTGAACCTCATAAAATACGCACCTTATTCCGTTACCCTTCCTGCTGAGCACGGTTGGGAAGGGGAAAAAAGATCTAATCTAGATTATAAGTATTCCCAGACAATGATGGCCTCAAGACTCGCGAGAACGAAGTAGAAGGCCATGGATATTCTCTGGGCGGCGCAAATAGGAGACCACAAAAGTCGAAGATGGAGCCTCTCTTCATTTGAATTTTTGTTCACAAAGCTATAACGATCGATCACAGACGGAAATAAAAAATTATATTCAAAATAATTCAAAGAATAGACAAAGCAGCATAGATTCAGAATTCATAATGTCGGAAATCAATCAAGCCGTTGCTCCATGTTTCTTGAGTAACGCCACTGCTTCCTCCTGCTCCTCAGCTTCTGCTGCCGCAAGGGCAGTGCGATGGTCCCCATTTTCAAGTTGCATATTCACATCAGCACCCGCTTTTAGCAAAAGTTCCAATATCTCAACCCTCCCACGAGCTGCAGCAGTAGCCAGAGCACTGCCGTACTCGACACGCTTCCATCGCTGGTTAACATCTGCCCCAGCAGCGATGAGAGCCTCAACAATGTTGGAATCGGAAAGAGAGCTGGACATGGCTGCTGCAAGAGCACAATCGTAGTTTCCATTCTCAAAAGTGGCATTGACATCTGCACCTGCCTCAATCAAAGCCTTGACAGTTTCAATGTTGGTATTGTTTGTAGCGGCAGCCACTAGAGCACTGCCGTACTCCCCGTTCTGTGGCGATGCATTCACGTCCGCGTTTGAAGCAATTAGGAGCTCGACTGCCTCCGCATTTTCAGCCTTCGCCGCTGCTATGAGAGCATAACCAAATTCCCCATGCGGAAGCGCCAAGTTGACATCAGCCCCCTTTTCGATCAGGTACTTGACTGTGTTCAGGTTGGCACCTTGCCAGTATCCAACGGCTGCTGCAAGAGGACTCCCATAATTGCCACTTTCGGATAGCAAGTTCACGTTTGCTCCTGCGTCCACCAGTGTCATGATAACTTCAAGGTTGCTTTCCTGGGCTGATGACCTCTCGAGGGCACTTCCATAATCTCCTGAGATTTGCAAGTTTACATCAACACCATTCTGGATCGCAAATTTCATTCCATCAAAGAAGCCACTCTTGATTGAGTGTTCGAAGTCTTTTGAAACGTCCACCTCTGCGCCTGCTTCGACGAGGTATCTGACAACCTTCATATCTCTGCTAAATAGTGCTAGCGTAACAGGATTGCCATCAGCATCGCCTTTGTTGAGATTCGCGCCGACTTCGACAAGATATTTGACCATATCAAGCATGCTCCCATCATCACTCTTTTTGTTTCCGTATGCTGCTGCTCCAAGAGGTGTACCAGAGCCAGAGAGATCTGTAGGGTTCACCTCGGCTCCAGCCTCTACCAACAATTTGACAAGTTCAAGATTTCGGTCATCGGCTGCGGCACGTTCGAGAATTGTGGCAAAGCTCGAATCCACCATTCGCAGCTTTACATCAGGTTCTGCTTTCTGAAGGAGATATTTAGCACATTTGGTGTTGCCAAATCGGATTGCAACAGCAAGAGGATTTCCGGAGTGCTCTGGCACGTTCACGTTGGCTCCAGCGCTGACAATGAACTCAAGAAAATCCAGGTTTCCTGATTTGGCCGCCAAGGCAACTGGAGTGATCAACACGATTGTCTCTTCATCTTCATCTTCATCTTCCTCTTCCGGAGTGTGTGCTTGGTTCACATCCGCGTGTGCCTCTTGGACTAGGTATTTGGCGGTCTGAAGGTATCCGGCAACTAGCGCTGCAATCAGGGCGCTTTGGTAGCTACCATTCGCTACTGCCATATTCACATTGGCGCCTGCTTCGACTAGACACTTGACAGTCTCAGTGTGTCCCCGGTGGGCGGCGGCAACAAGAGCACTGCCATAAGTCCGACCCTCAACTTGCAAGTTGACATCTGCACCCCGATCAATCAGAGTCTTGCAGATGGGTGTGCAGCCTGCCCGTGCAGCGAGGGTGAGGAGATTGTGGCCTCTTTCGTTGGCATCACAGACATCTAACTCTGCATCCTGCCACCACTCTGCCAGAAGGGCATTGAATGAGAAGTGACACATCGCAAAAGTGGATTTGTCTGCCGGGCCGATCTCACTTTCGAACTCGCCGTATTCCGGATGCTGTGCTTGGTTGAAGTCACATATATCTTGGCACTCTTCGTCGTAGCCAGCTGCCACAAGGTAGAAATTGAGATCCGTTGCGTAATCGCTCATAATCGTGATCCTTTCTAATTCGTCTCGAATGATTTCATACCATTTTTGAAACTGTTTGCTGCTGGTTTCGGGAGATCCGAGGAATTTCTTCAGAAGGGACGACAGGGGAGAATCTTCGTCATCCTGGGCTGCTTGAATATGCTTCGTCCAGTGATGTCTCATATATATATGGAATGGGTGCATGAGATGGAAGATCTCAGTTGGCTTTGACTCCCAGTCTTCCAAATCGAGATTAACGTCATCGTCCTTGTCATACTTGGTTATAAACCACGTCAAGCAGGCGCTGGCAGCGTGAAAGTTCACCAGTGGAAGTGTCCATTGCATCTTGCTCTCGAGGTATTCGCGTACTGACAAGTGGGCGAATCGCCACACTTTCAGCTGGGAATCGATGGTGAGGAGGTTATTACAGAGTGACAGCAAACCTTGCTCGTCGATTTCGTCGGCAAGCGCGGGTTCCTCTCCATTCGTGTTCACACGAACAGCAGAAATGATTTGAGATGTGGCCAATGGGTGCTCTGCAGCCATCACCCACATCATGGCACGAGTTGTGAGCAATTTGTCAGGCTCCTCCAATTCTTCCACTTGACTCCATGCCTCATCATATGCCTTCTGGAGATCTTCAGGCAGATTTTCAAGCCTTTGCCAGACACTGGATTCGGTCTTGCACTTTTGAATTTGATGGGTCTGCAAAGCCGCCCACTGGAACATTCCCTGACAGCGTTCGAGCAAAACCTCGGTGATTTTAGATTTCAACCGTCCAAAGAAGGGAGCTTTCTTGGCTAGCTTGCCCATCTCTGCTGAAAGATATTTTTCGATGTCATCCTTGTTTTCACTTGCATTGATACCGATGTTGGGTGTGTTTCCCAGTTGGTTTTCAATATCAGGGTCGGGCCGGCTGGAAATAAAGATCTTGACAGGTCTACTGTTAGACTCGGACACGAAAGAGTTCAAAGCATCAATCAACACATCGCGAGAATCAGGATCACATTCATCCATGGCATCAATCACAATAGTGGTCTGTTCGTAAATGTCCAACGAGCTCCGGATCTGCTCCTTGCAAATTTCAAGACTGAAGGTTGTGCCTTCTTGGCGACACTTCGAATAGAGTTCACGAAGCTTGGTTTGTGTAGCTTCGGGGTTCTTCGCCGTTGTCGAGAGCTGACGAACGATGCTCTGAAGAATGGACAGTGGCTGCGAGCGTCTCGTTTCGTTCTTGTCACAATAAAAGAAGGCAAATCCCACGTCCTTGGGGTCATCATTGATCTTGTCCTGGATTTTGTCGACGACAGCAGATGTGAGGAAAGTCTTTCCAGTACCCGGGGAGCCCTGGAGCCAGAAGATAGAGGATTCGTTCTGTTCCCACTTGCTGAAATCCTCGTGCTGCAGCAACCATCCACCGGTACTAGGTGTCCTCTTTTCTTTAACGTTGTTGTGGTTCTTTCCAAATGGAATTGGTGAAATCCATTCTAACATCTTAATACGTTCTCCTTCATCCACAGTCTGGAGGAGATGCTGAATCCCTTCGTCCATACGTTTCATGGGGGCATTCAAGGCATCTAGCATTCCAATCATGCTATCATCTGCATTTGCACTGCGTCTGACTTCACAGGCCGACACATCGCGCAAAAGATCATCTTCTTGCTCGCTGATAGCTGAAAGGCCACCAGAGACCTTACCGGGGTTGACAAGTGCTTGAAGGGTGCGCATGGCGGTGTTTCTAGAAAACAAGCTACCCGAGTCGGCAAGCAGATCCAGTGATGTGGTATAGATTGTGGTCAATGCACCCTGGAGGTTCTTGGAAAGATTGTCCGTGGGCGCGGCAGCAGTGTTCTTGAGATACACGGATTCATAGACTTGGCCTCGACTAATCACGCGAACGATCTTTTCAGTGGTCGCAAGCAACGCGGCCATTTGCTCACCTTCGATCACAGGGATCTAAACTCAGGGGTCAGTGCAAGGTCTCATCAACCAGTGTGGAAAATTTACCTGCATAGCAGATTTAATAACAGCCCAAGGAATAGCAGCTTGGGGTGGAGCAAACAGTACGGCAATGTCGCCGGCCTTCTCGAGCCAATCGACAATCTTGTTCGTATAGTTCCTCAAGACAATCTCTTCATCGCCAACCTTCACCTTCCAAAACTTCTTCTCACACTCTTCCTGTCTCTTGTTTACAACACCCACGAGATCATCGATGCTGGATTCAACTGAAACAGACTGGGCGGTTTCTTGGTTGAAACCCATCCTCTTCAATATATCCTGCTTTGATTCGGGCAAAGACTTCAGGGCTTCCACCCACAAATCTTTAGGAGTATCTGGCTGCTTGGCTGATGGTGTTTCTTCGGCCGGTGCATCGGCGGAAGACTGGGCGGGCGGTGCATCCGCCGCGGGCTTGGGGGCAGCCGGCTGAAAGGGCGCTGTGGATGCGGATGGAGTTTTCTCATTCCTTCCCTGCGCTGGCTGAGCTGGCTTGTTTCCGATCTACAATACCCCACAATGTCAGCATTCTTGAACAAGGAGCTTCTGCGGTGTCTGTCCTGGGGCTTTATCTCCCTAGACGCTGAGTTTTATTGTAGTCACTTACCACCTTCTCACTCTTCTTGTGTCTGCGAAGATGAAGCTTGTTCTTGATTCGGTCAAACATCTTGAGAGCTGTCAAATTAATGTCACAGTGCAAGACAGTATTGTGCTATGGGCTCAAATTGGTCAATACTGCCTACTGTGGGTAGGCTGGATTACCAAACTATGCACTAAGAAAACAAAGTCAAAGGAAACCAAAATGGAGGAATAAGTCGCACACAGTGACAGGTAACAGATGAACGGGAGAAATCGCAGAAGCAAGAAGAGGGACCCTTCAGCTCCGCAACCCTCACGGCGAGCTGATCGCATACTTTGGGAAATGATATACATAGACTCCATGCAGGGCCCACGTAACCCCTCAGCCGTTCATCGCCAACGTGAACCCGCCAGCACGGTTCAAGCTTCCGGAAAAAAAGAGCTGTAACGAGAAATTTCTATACATGTCATAGTGCTAGTGCAAATTGACAAGATGGTGTCTACTGTAGGGGACCACATCAGTCAGCCACAATGCAATTGTGCAGGTTGTGCAGATTAGTGCGTCATGACCACGCGCTAATTGTATCCCAGATTGATACCAGTACACCGATCTCATGTTCGTGTGTTCGTGTAGTCCAATTATATTTGCCTGTTTTCTCGACCCGATACGTTATGTGGGGGGACAAAACATCGTGGGCACTAAATATGCAGGATGATGTTAGTGTTTGACAGCCCCAACCACTGGACTAGGCTCGGGTCCGTGACAGATCGCTTGTTCAACAGATCCACCGCTGCCCCCACTCGATCATCTGTATTGGCGCACACCCTCTCCCATCAGAGGTTTACATACTGTATTCACGAAGTAACAATATATCAATATATGGTCTAAATGTTGTGCCACAGAGTTTTTGTCTTAACGGTCCATCTTTCCAAGATACGAAGCTAACTGAGACTTTTTCCTTGTCCGGAGTCACTATATATAGAGCCACTTTAGGCACGAATCGTGGCGACAGGCTTGCTACCACGCCGGCGCCTAGTCGATCACTTAACTGTGTTGAGATTCATGGCACATCCAGGCTAGATACCTGACGCACCGGACATGAATGTAGTGATCAGCATTAGACCTACCAAGTAGAGTATAGATCAGGAGAAGAGCTCTCATATATATAGGGTCTTTCACTCATTGAGAGAAGGACTAGGCTTAAACAACCTCGTCGGCCTTGACATAAATGCTTCCCAATTCAGTAGTCATCCAATTTCAACAAACTGTACATTCCGTACTGTCCAGTAGTGAGGTGGCTAGAGCTCAACCGCGCGACGATTTATGGAATCTACGACTACTCTGTCCCCCCTTTTTTGCTTTTTCCTACCCTTCAGTCATCGCACAAGGAAACGACTTTCAAGGAAATTGAAGAAAAACGATACTCGTCTGACTGCCACCTCGGTGGCATAAATCCGAGCCGCTCGTTAAATCATCGCCTGCAGTAGTATCGCCTCCCTCGATATCAGTCAAGCATCTTGGTGAAGAGACTGAGTCGTCAGCCTCATCACCAACCTCATTGCCTCCGACCAAAGATGCTGATCCATGGTCCCAAGCTTATGAGTGTTTCGGGAGACAAATCACGATCAACAACTGATAGTAGAATACGGACGACGCCTATGGCGCCTGACTACTTCGGATGTTGGCAGCCCTATCGCTACCAACCAACCCCTACTACCAATCCCTCCAATCAGGAATCCGCCATTGTTATGATAGAGAAGCTGGTAAAACACTGAGAGAAATATCCTGGCCTTGATGCAAAATTGAGACTCCAGGTTGAGAAATGGATGAAGTTTTTGATTTGGACCGAGCCAGTTATTAAGAATGCTGTGAGCACCCAGCCATATGCAGCACTGTCAGTTTTTGGCGGTTTACTGGTTATACCGCTCCTTGAAGCTGCCCTTCCGCAAAATAACAACATACCCAGTGGTTTAAACACATCATTGGAGATAATCAAATGTACTGGAAGATCTGCGAGACAACCTATCTTCAAACCGAGCATCGACTTGAGTAGCTTGGTTTACGATCTACATTTGGCGTCTCTAGAGGTTAGAAGCAATGGGAGTCCCACGGAAACACACATGCGCGCAAATTAAGCGGCATTTCCCGGCTACAGCCGGGTATTTCAATATTGTCCGGCACCTCATAAGGTTTAGATGGAATCCCGACGCCAAGCGCAGGAGTATAAAGCGGAATGTTTTTTCCATCTCGAAAGACTGAATTCATGAACTCAAATCCAGCTATCAATTTGACACATTGGTTGGTCATCATGAAATCAATCTCGGAATTACCAAATGTGCATGCGAATTCCATGTTCTCTACACTCCCGGAAACACCACTCGATGAACCTTTTTCCGTAAATGGTGCATACAAGCAGGACTGTGATCCAAAGAAGGTCAATTTGGGAATCGGAGTATACCGAACTTCAGATGGATCTCCATGGCCGCTGCGAGTGGTCGAGGAAGCAGAAAGGAAGATATACGAAACAAATGACGTGAACAGACACGAATATACCGCCATTTCAGGCGATCCAGGGTTTCTCAGTCTCGCCGCAGACCTTGTATTTGGATTTGGTGAAGAAAAGGGTGTCCCAACTTCAGTGACCGAATTGGAGCGACGGCGAGTCGTCTCGATCCAAACGGTTTCAGGGACCGGGGCGAACAGACTCGGCGCCGAGCTACTGGCTCGGAACGTGCGACCAGGGTGTGTCTGGATCCCAGATCCAACCTGGGCGAACCATTACACCATCTGGGACTTAGCAGGTGTGCCGAAGAAAAGATATCCGTACTACGATGCCACTCGCAAAACGTTCGATTTCGACGGAACATTCCGCACATTATCGACATCCACCAATAAGAACGACGTCGTGATCCTTCATGCCTGCGCGCACAACCCAACTGGTGCTGATCCAACTAAAGAACAATGGAAGATCTTAGCCCAACTGTGCGAAGAAAAAGGCATTATTCCCTTCTTTGACCTCGCCTACCAAGGATTCGCATCTGGTGATGCGAAGAAAGACGCCTGGGCCATTCGACACTTTTTTCACAACGTCCACCAGGTCGAGTTCTGTGTGGCACAATCGTTTTCGAAGAACTTTGGACTTTACGGCCAGCGAGTAGGCTCTTTGCATATGGTACTGAGTTCCACCGCCACCCGTGATGTTCCGGAGAAGGTACTCGCGAATCTATGCCATCTCGTCCGTGGGGAGTATTCCATGGCCCCAAGAGGTGGAGCAGAGATAGTCAAAACCGTGCTCGGCAACGAGGATCTGCGAGAAAAGTGGCTAGAAGATCTTACAACAATGAGCGAGAGGATTCAAAACATGAGACATGCCCTTTTCAATGAGCTGATCAGATTGGGCACACCGGGTGATTGGACCCATGTTACAAACCAGGTATGTTACTGATATCGAGGATTCTATTCAGTACTTTGCGACTAATGTATTTAGATTGGCATGTTTACATATGTCGGCCTGACAGAAAGCCAAGTCCATGCCATTACAGAAAGACATCACGTTTACATGCTCAAGTCTGGCAGAATCTCGATTTCTGGAAGTAAGTCTCCACAACGCTCTATCCCTGATGATTTACTAATGGAAATATCCAGTGAACGAAAACAATGTTCAATATGTTGCGATGGCCATTGATGATGTTATTCGCACAGTGGAGTGAAACGCCGGCTGCGATACCCGCTGCGAACCGGCATTGGGCGCAATAATTTTAACGTAGGAGATAGGCATATAGAGAATAACGGGAAAGAAAAATATATAGACGTAAGCTAAGATTTATACCGTTGACTGCTTTGTAGCAAAGTTGAAATCTCCAATGACCCTGTCTTCAAAACTGTGATGTTTTTATATCACACTCAGTGACTGGTAAGAAGATATCTTACCACAAGGAAATATGTCTATTATCTGCGATAGGGCTTTCCTTGGATACCATCAGTTACTGTAATTGTGTCTAGGCCATTACGCTCGAGGAAGTCATAAGACTTTATTAACGGTAAAAAAGTATCACGGTGACTGTGATTTGTGCCCACTACCATATCGCCACTTCAATGACCAGGCAAGATGAAATCACTTCCAATCAAATGGGGTAGAGGACTTGTCTTGTTGGTACTATCTCACGTATCTATTTCACTAATGTTGATCACAATGGATATTTCGTACATTGACTATAGTCCTCATGTGCAGCCAATAATGGAAATAGAAAGGTCGCGAAGTCGCCGCAGCTGCGCAAATCCTGTTTTTCATCTTCCTGATGGAGGCTCATATCTGGGTACTTGTGGGAGCTTGCATATCTCCTTTTTGCAAGGGATCAGCGTAAATCACAACATGCATCCATCCTACTGTACCAATACTGCAGCAAGCATAACAAGGCTCCCGAATCCATCCATTCCAGAGCACCACTCCTCCCAGCTCGCACTCGTTCGCAACGGACTCGTGGAGGTAATGGCAGTATGGACGAATACCTCGTCCTTGCAAGCGTTTCCTAGTCTAATGAGACCCCCGTTTCTCGCCAGGCCAAAATCAACTCCTGCCGTAGGATCTTTCTTGCTCTCTGAATTCCAAGTTCGCTCATCACTCGCCTCCCAGAGATCTTTCTTGGCCGGGAGTGGTGCCAATACCAGATCTGAGGGTAGATTACACAATTTTGCAGGATCAAAATAAACCAGCATGTTGACAACTCGATAGATGACCGCTATTCTTCGTCTTGATTCCTCATAGACCCAGTCCTTCCAGTTCCGTTCGAGAGTATAATCGCTTGCGGTATCTTTTTTAATAAGTAGCTTGGCTATGACCTGTTATACTGTCATTAGAAATCTAGGGTCATATGAGAGCCAAAACAAATTAACGCCAGACTTACTGTGACTGTTGCGAGCAAGAATGAATCGAAGTCATTGTGCTCTGTCTCGCCTTCATCCAATCTGAATAGGACGTAAATAGACACAGATTGCATAGCGGCAAGCAATCCCCAGCTTGATAATTTCCAGGCCTGAAAGCAAAGAGCCCTTAGCTATCATCTCCGACCTCCCTTGATTCATGGCAGACTTGACTTACCTCGCTGCATAGCCGCTCACATTCCATCCGCACATTCTTCCAAAACAGCTTGCGGCTTCCTCTGGAACCGCTACTGATCATATGCACCAGGGTGATGCAGTTGTCTAGTGTCTCCATTTCTAATGTCGTTGATGTCAGACTCGGATGGATGAATGGTGGCAGGGTGTCATGGCGCAGCATTGTCCGGAGATAGGACTTCAGTGTATGTCGGATTAGCGAGGTCGTTCTTTGTTGATCAGGTCGAGCTTCTGGTCGCTGGTTGAGAAATCTAGGGTTTGATGTTGGTTGTGGGGGTATAGACCAATTCAGGGAGCTCATCTGGCCGATTATGGACGCATGATCAGCAAATAGCGGCCAGTTCGGTGATGCTTCGCGAACACTTTTGTTTATTTCGGGGGTCAAAAGTTCGCTGAAGTCAATACTGGGGATATCCCAATTGATAAATTTTTCATCGTGGTCTGCAACGTGGATTTCTGATGTGACAAATGCACTTTCGCCGCATGTAACATCATCAATTGTTACCGGATGATCCTGAGAGCTCGAGGGAGTTAGTACTAATGCATTTGGCATATCGATCTGTTCGGCTGACGCATCAGGGCGACATCGGGTGCTTTTTCTTGCAGACTTGGCTGGCTTTGTGATGTAGTGACATTCAATACCCTTGGCTTTGCACCTCGAGCATCCAGGCTTCATTCTATCGCAGCCTATCTTCCGTCTGGCACATGAAATACATGATTGGGATTTCGGAGCGTTACCGACTCGTTGAGATCGACAATAGTATCCATGCCTCTTCAATGTGGACTCTAGAGCGCCACGTTAGTAAGAACCCGGCATGGTGAAGGTACTATGTGGAAGTTCGAGTCACCCTTATCGAATAGTTTGTTACATTCTCCACATCGCAGAACCGCTTGCAGTGTTCTCTCGGACATCTCAAAATAGAGCTATTGAGTAACGTTGTAGCGCAAAGTTGAGACGTAGAGGCAAGTCGTCACGGTCGTTCGTTGCGGTCGTTACGGCTGGCCGAGCTCAACCGGCATTTGTCAGCTCGGGGCTGGACAATTTGTAAACGCCGAGCAAGGAATGCCACTCTACCTTCATTTTTTTTCCGGAGAGTTTTTCGACTTAACCTAGTCTAGGGCAGACTATATTCTGCAAGAACCTACGGGATGTTTCAATCATGATGATCACACCTCCGCTTCAAATTGTAGAACTCCGTCCCCGAGTGTCAGTCGGTGGTAGAGCGATTTTTACTTAAATATGGCCGTCTTTCCCTCGACAAGACGATTTCAATCCGAAGATTAATTCATTGGCTCTTGGAGAATTACCTACTATCTTACCTTGCATTCACTATGGCGCCGCCTTTTCCATCCCCAACTGCAACATGGCATACGGAGGGCTACCCAGCCATCTCTCCCAACCGTGCTGAGCTTTCTGCCAAGGGTAAAGCAGTGATAGTGACTGGAGGCGGTAGTGGAATCGGTGCAGAGACAGCCATGTCTTTCGCAGTTGCGGGTGCTTCTCGAATCGCCCTTCTTGGCCGCCGGGAGGAGCCCCTTCTTGTGACCAAAGCATCCATCGAAGAGAAGTTCGCCAATATCGAGGTATTCGTGGCGTCTACCGATGTCACCAACAAGGAACAAGTTGATCAAGCCTTCGCAAGCTTTGCTGGATCCGCAGAAATCGATATTTTGGTGAGTGGTGCGGCCATGATTGGCCCCCAGGAACCTGTCCGGGATGTGGATGGTGAGAGGTTCCTGCACGCTATTGATCAGAATCTGCGAGGATCTTTGTTCGTCTCGCAGGCCTTTCTTCGTTATGCATCTAAACATGCGGTCGTTATAGACATCAATTCATCTGCTGCCCATGTGAACTTCGGTGCTGGCTTTGCCGCATACAACGTCGCCAAGTTGGCGGTATTCCGACTTTGGGACTCTGTGGCTGCTGGAAACCCAGATCTTAGTATATTCCATATCCAGCCAGGTATTGTGGACACAGACATGAACAAGGAAGCGGGAGGTGTCAAAGCCATTGGTATCGAAGATCATGGTAAGTTTGATGACGATCAATGGACCGTCCACAGACTAACGTTGGCTTAGTTTCTCTCCCTGCAAACTTTAGTGTTTGGCTGGCAAGCCCCGAGGCTCAATTCTTGAAGGGCAAGTACTTGTGGGCAAACTGGGATATTGATGAGTTGAAGGTCAAGGCGAAGGAGATCGAAGGCAGTGGTTTCCTTAACATCGGGCTTGGTGGGTGGCCGTTCCAAAACGCTGACTGGAGTGCCACTTGGAAGAGTTGATCTATAAAAGCCGGGTCTTAGTTTGAGTAAAGTTTAGATGACCATTTAGAACGCATGAATGAATGCATGTGAGGCAGATGCAAATTGATTTTAGATCAAAACTACTAGCCTTTATCAAATTCCTTATTCAAGATAACGCAAAGGTTTCTTTTAGACCCGTACCGTATTACTCTTTCTATGCCTTACCTACCTCACTCGCAGGGGGGCCTGAGACCGATCTTGATTGGTCGAAGCGGTGTCGTCCTATTGGGTAGCCTGTGAGATATGCTCAAGGAGCAAACTAAGAGACACCCTGGGTGAGAGGCGTGGTGAATCTCAAGAGTCCAGAAGCCTCAATTACTAGGGGAAAAACCGGCAGTGGCTTATACAAGTAGGCCTGTCGAAGCAACTTTACGTCTCTTGGCCACGACCGCTACCACCGTGGCGTGCCGAGTCTTTCACGGATATTGAGATCTGGTCAGACCGAGAGACAGCAAGAGAATGAGCGGACTTGGTGCGATCCAAATCCGCCATAGGGAGCTAGCTCATTCTGATATTATGTTTTAACACATAAACTGAAAAGCGAGGACTGACGGAGTCTACCTAGACCAATATTGCATGAGAAATGTACGGTGAAGAGTATTGTAGTAACGCATAGATGTATATATCCACAGAAGCTGACCGCTGAAAAAGGATTCTGTCAAATCACGTAACGTGAGTATGTGGCCCCCACGCAAGGCGTTCGCGCATGTGGCTGTGCAAACTCGCAAATTCTTCCAGATGACTTGTCTCTCCCTAGGCCAGCCTGCTACTCATCACCAACCGAGTCTACAAATCAATTGCAGTATCCTTTGATATGTTATCGAGCCAACGGAAGCATAAAAGACACAGGGGGGAGTCCGGCTATATCGGGTCCGAGTCGTCAAGAAAAGTTCCGCGGTTAACAGATACAGTCGAACCGAGCCATTCAGATTCAGATTTGTCTGAATTGATACGACCGCTAGCAAGGCAGTCCGAAAACTCGCATATAACCATTGACCTGGAGAAAATTGATAGCAAAACCCAAGCCCAGCAGTCTAAAATCGTTGCCGAGTTCACAGACCTCTCGCTGGATGATCTAATGGAATTCGACCCGATCAATGTGGATTTTGAACAGGATGATTCCATTCGCATACCTACGGAACAGTCTCTCGATTCTAGCTCAAGAGGCCAGAAAGCGATATCTCTCTCTGGTAGCCTTGACTCGACTCCGTATGATGTTTGTTTCGGCATGGTCAATGTCCCCAAGTCCGCTTTTGTTCAAGAATTTGCTAATTTAAATAGCTTGTTATGGATATATCTGCCTCCATGCTGCCAAATCTTGCCGGAGATTCCATCCCCGTCAACGCAAGAATACATGGAGATTTGCTGAAGTTCCATCACCCTAAATTTGACGAGTATGTCGGTTTGCTTCAGTCACGAACGCTGACCCGACTTGCCGAAACCTTTAGGGTATCTTTTTTCCCATTGCTTCAAACACCCGGAGAAAATGTCAAGTCCCCAAAACGTGGCGTTAGGAAGGTCGGAATGCATATTGTTATCTACGGATTACGAACGGATTTCGACGCAGTAGGCTCTTCACTTTCAGATGACGGCCTGTATCTTCAACACCCATCGCAATTTGATGACTCTGTTCCTTACAGAAATCCTCACTTCCTGCTACCTCCTGGATTTGAGATGCCCAATCACAAATCGACAAATATTGAGACTTGTCCAAATCTCGCGGATACAGATGATAATTGTGGCGATTATTTGGATCGGAAAAAGATGCATGCGGTACTTCAAACGTTTGAATGTGCTAGTGGGCCAGCCACGTATACCAAGTTTGGACCGAGTTTGCGTTTGAAAACACAACTTCAAGAGTGCGTAAATTTTAATTTGAGAATACTTCTAGCTAACCTCCCTTCAGACATCAAATGAAGGCGCTGTCAATGCTGATCGAAAAGGAGCTGGGATCAGTTGACCAGTTGAGTTTTCCGTCTCTCTGGGATGTTCTCGAAGATTCAGAAGGCAACAGAAGGTAATGACCGGAGAATTTGCAATGAATGGGATCAACTTATTATGTATACAGGTATCGACATACAATCACTGGCATTACAAAGTCGACTCCGCCGCCACCTCTCTCTGGCGGGATACTGGCTGATGTAAGCTCATTCATTGCATGCATTGTGAATATCTCATTCTAATAGTAGGCAGGAAATGGGTCTTGGAAAAACACTGAGCCTACTGGCTCATATTGCGTGGCATCTCGATTCTATTGAACAACAGAACGCGACTGCTCGTGCGACCCTTGTCGTCACAACCTTATCTAGTAAATAACACTGTTCTGTTCGGGAAATTCGATTGACTGATAATCAAAAGCAATTCCTAGTTGGCAGCAGCAAATTGAACGGTGATTCTTTATATTCATAGCATGGGGATTCGATTTGACGTTTACAATAGACACTTTCACCCTGGGCAGCTCGGAAGCATTATTTTTCATGGCCCCGATCGACGAAAGCTATCTTCAGATGTTTTCACCAAGGATGTCGTTATTACAACTTATGAGACTCTGAAGTCTGAGTGGTGCAATAATCGGGTAAACAGTCATCTTTTTTCCGAGACCCAGAGATGGAGCCGTGTTGTCCTTGACGAAGGTTGGTAGTTCTTCTTTCCCCCACTCTTTATAGAAATTTATGAAGCTCTAAGGGTTTCTGACTTAATCGACCATAGCCCATCATATTCGAAATCGCTCTTCGAAAACATTTGAAGCGGTCTGCGGAGTCCGCGCTAATTATCGATGGTGTCTCACTGGGACCCCGATCCATAACCGATTGGATGACTATGGAGCATTATTGTCATTTATCAGGGTGGATCCATTTACTGGATCGTCTGGAAAAACCGTATTTTCCCATTGGGTAAGCTCCTCTGTCTGGACCGAAACTAACAACACCGAGCGCCTTGACCGGTTAAAAAAGCTTGTTGCTGCAACTTGCCTACGCAGAACAAAACAAAATGTGAGAAATCAGCTATCGCTTCCCCGTCGCACCGATAAGGAGCATCTGGTGGAACTGCATAGCTCGGAGCGCCTACTGTATGATTTCTTCAAAACTCGAGCATCTTCAATAGTTGCGAGAAGTACCGTGCATCACGCTGCTCTCGAAAGGAGAGGATGGGGTAATATTCTGACTATAATAAACTCCTTGAGATTGATATGCAACCACGGCGAAGAACTCCTATCTTCATCTTCATTGGAATTATGGAAACGCCGAGATACTTTCACCGATGATCTCAATTGGCATGAGAATACCTCACAACTGAGCACCGGAGCTTCACGCAGTCATGACCCACATGATTTGCCGCTACCCGTCACAAATTCCGGACAAGTTTCTAGCAAATGTTGCGCACCGTCTTCGAAAGTGAAAGCGCTAATCAATAATCTTCGAGCTGAACAAAATGAACTCACTCCCAATGATTCCGAGACACCGATCAAAAGGTAAGCGTCGCATAGACAGAATCATTCTATCAAACTAAAGCATTGTATTCGATAGTGTGATATTCAGCTATTGGACAAGCATGTTAGACCTCATCGCAGTTGCCTTGCGGGAGAATGGCTTCGAGTTCGAGCGAATAGATGGACAAACACCGCTTGAAAGAAGGCTTCTGGCACTCAAAACGCTGCATGATGACCCAAAATGCACCGTGATGCTTGCAAGCATTGGAAGCATTGCCGAAGGGTACGTCAAAAGCCATGAATGTGACTACGTCAACATACTTATTGTCTATTCTAAAATAGGGTTGATCTTACGGCAGCTAGCCGTGTACATATCATTGAGCCTCAATGGAATCCAATGGTTGAAGCACAGGCCCTCGACCGTGTGCATCGCATGGGACAAACTCGAGATGTGGTGACAACTCGCTACATCGTCAAAGATTCTATTGAAACAGTGAGCTAGCAGATATTCTTTGGCTCGCCAGAGCTTTTATAATCTCTTGATGCTTCTTACTAAGCTATTCATCAAAACCAGTATGTCCAGGATATTCAGCAGGCCAAATTAAAGTTGGCACTGGAACCCTTTGGAAAAGTTTCAGCACAAACGATCGCAAAGGAAAACCGGTTACAGGTACGGAGGCTTGGTTCATTTTCCTGTCATTTTTACTGATATATAGTACAGAATCTACAAAAAGCCTTGGTTTAGCGGCAGGCCGATGCATTGGTTGACTTAGGAACATTCTTGTCAAATCTGTCTAAATTTCAGATATACTTTTCTGTTTGATGCTTTCAAATCGCTGCTCTTGAGCCCATTCCACCAATTTCTCCCATGGCATGCCCAGCCATTTTTCAATCTTTTGTGTTCCTCTTTCCATATCGATTGTTCGTCTTGGCCTGTCATTTCTATCATCTGATCGTTTCGCTCGAGCGTGGGACCAAATAGTCCTAGCATCGGCGTTTGGATCTGCGCCCCAAAGAAGAAGTAATCTCATCATCTCCGCTGCTTCTCTCGTCATCTTTCTTGAGGCAAGATGTAACGGCGTTTTCTTTGTAGATTCCTTTCCATTCCACGCATCGGGTCTGAAATCCACTTCTGCTCCACGTTCAAGGAGAACCTTGGCCAGCACAACTGAGCACGTTGTTGTAGCTATTAACCTCAATGCAAGGCTTAGTTGGAGCTTCGTCAGGTCCCCACAACGAATGCGTTCTTCCCAGAAACCCGCCAGTCGTTCCTGTTTGATAGGATCTGTTATGGACCGGATGAAATCCTGCGTCATTATGATAAGTTCTGGATAACCTTGACCGGTGAACATGGCATGCGAGACATAATTTTTCCACAAGTCAAAAATTTCTTGGGAATCCGAATTTGCTCCTTTCGAAAAGAAGCATCCACTCAGATGACTCGTCATAGGTTCTCCAAATTGATCCATGCAGGTGTTAGCGAATTTGTGGCTGAGCCACTCGAAGACCTCCACATTCTCGCCCAAAAGAGATTGAAAGGCCATGGAAGCAAGGATACTGTTCCGTGGATTTTCCCTATCACAAGCATCTTTATCACAGGCCATATATATAGCTTGTACCATTGGCAATGGTCCATAGTAGGCAGCTTGATCAAGAAGAGTACGCTGACTGAGGAGACCTAAGGAGTGGAAACGCCCAATCAACGCTTGCACCTCGGCAGTCAGCCCGAGGGTGATGAGATCCGATAGTAGCGGCACAAGTTCATTCCGGTCTGGATTTGGAAGAAACTGAATGGCCCTTGGCTGAGTGTCACGGTGGCACTTCTCCGTATGCGTGTCTAATTGTCCCCGGGAGGTAAACCCGAGGGTATAAAATTCGCAGGCGGGGTGTGAGCACTTGTATGATCGATCATGATTTTCACAGTGTATTTCACGCGAGGCAAGTTTCTCGAACGCAATTCGTTGGGGCTGGCATATGGCGAAATGACATCTGAAGAGACGTTTACCGTAATATTGTTGCAATTTGGCACAAGCGCAATTGGCCAAATGATTCGGAGTCTTACAGAGAAGAGCTTCGAATTTTCCATGTATTTGAATTGAAATTTCTGACAATGTGGATGGGTCATTGTTTTTCCACTTATCATCTAGATCTAGGCTTGCGGATTAGCACAAGGATTCTGTATTCATGGTTTCCCTTTTACAAGAAAGGTTTCAAGTACTATGGGTCGTTACCTTCGTTCAATTTCCATTTCCCAACATCGAGTCGACGCAGTGCAAGGGCGTTATGTAAAAATCGATGCTCTTCCGGTAATCTTTCTTTGAAAACTTCAAACTCATCAGCCTCTAAAAGACTGTACACCGCAGCTCCTTTATGAGCAATTTGTGCTCGATCAAAACTTAAATTCTCTCGATATTGATAGAACAGAGAAAGGTCTTGAATCAGAGAGGTGGGTAGAGGTTGGTTGTGTATAAGCGTTGAGCATCTTTGGAGGATGTGCAGAAGTTGACTGGCTGCGAACCAACATAAGCGATACGCACCAGACAAAATATGCTCTTTTATACGACTAGATCCAGTCTCAGAGTCAAAAATATCAAAGATGTCAAGACAAAGGTATCTCAAACATGTTCTGGCCATGTCAATATTTGCCTCCAATATGCGCACAAATCTTTGTGATTGTGAAGAAAACAAGTATCTGTTTCCATTAGCCTATATCAATAGATAAAAAAACAATCAGCCATGCTTACTCTTGCACAGTGAAATGCACGAAGTGGACATAGTCTCCCGATACTTCCACAACGGGACCGCAGAGCTGAACTATATTGAGGGACGCTGTATTTCGTGGCAGCTGTATTTCGGCCTCAGGCGCCAAATCTAGGGCAAACGCAAGTTCTTGTATCAGAATTGGAATCGGGGAGCACCCTATCCAACCAAGTGCTCGTCGAGACATCTCTCTTTTTGCGGGTTGTAGTTCATGGAGTCGTTGAAGAATACGAGCATAGCTTGGGAAAAATGACTTAGCACACTGTAAGACGAGATAGTACCGAAGAGCAATTTTCTTACGCATCTTGTAGAGTCTCCGGTAAAGCTCTTAACTCATTTTGGATTGCTTCGGGATTGTGGCACATTTGAACGTTGTCCATAACAACTTTCGCGTAGAGGAACATTCCTATATGATCGAGAATCAATAGCTGAAAAAGCACTGTTTGGTTTCGGTATACCTTTAGCCTTGGCTGCCAGCAGAGAAAGGAGATTCATAATTCCCGAGCGAGCCTCTTCATCGAAATCTGATTCACTCAACCATTTTTCACTTGTAATTGAGACAAATGATTGAATACATCCGCCATTCTGGTCGTCCACGCGGACTGCCTTATGAACAGTCTTGCTCATGATCCTAGAGATGTCATCCTCCATTCTGCTGCTGATGAGGGTTTTTGTTTCATTCGCATCCCGCGATATGGATAAGATTTCACGAAGAGTTGGGGCTCGTTCGCCTTCAGTGAGCTCATCTAACCCGTCTATGATAATATGAGCTGACCCTACGCAGTTCAAGAGGGTGCATAGCGTTTCTCGAGCAAATTTGGTGTTGCTCTTTAGGCTCCGCTGGCTTGACCGATAAATGTCGAAAAGTTTGATTCTCATATCCGCTCTCAGTGCTTCGTCAGAACCCTCAGCGCCAATAACCAGTTGAAAGATCAGAGAATGAATAATCGAGATTGCGGAAACATCTCCTTGCTTATAACTCAGAAAGGCGAATAAAACAGCAGTTCGCGAAGTTTTGGCCATTTCCACAATCATGGAACTCAGGTATGATTTTCCTATGGGCAGTATTTCTGCGTCAGTATTTTCATTCGAGTGATACAAATTCCCTGACCTGACATACCTGCCCCTGGTATTCCTTGTAACCAGATAAGTCTATTTTTTGTATCATTTGGATCAAGCCATTTGCTTATAGCTTTGTCTCTTTGAATCCAACGTCCTGTTCTTTCGCACATGTTCCTCTGGAACCGATCCAGTTCGTCATCGTACAATCTCGGGGAAATAAAGGTCTCAAGTTCGTTGTAATTTTGCCGTGCCTGGAACTCAAAGGTTGCTGCCCAGCGGTCGAAGTCGATAAGTCTAGCCTGATGAGCTTCACTTATATGTGTAAGATTTACTTCATCCCGTAGGAGAAAGCTATGGCGCTCTATATTGCTAACCACGACGTCAATCTTGCTTCTGTGCTTTGGCCAGACAGATTCGAAAACAAGTTTCCAATCTATACATTTTAGTTCTCCTCTTTAATTGTCAGTTCATGGAGGTGTCTTACGTTTTACGCTGAGAAAGTTCAAGGCGATACCAAAAAAATCTAAGATATCTTTGTAGAATAATATCAGCGCATCTTTGACCCGATCCCTCGCCTGGAAAAGCGTTGTGAATTCCTCGAACAAAGGCAGCCGGTCTCCGATGATGGCCATGGTATCGACAATAGCGTCAAAGGACTGGATTGTGGCATTCGCCATCTGAAGTAAGAGTTTTATCGGTCCCCATATCAAAGCTAAAACATCTGGCTTAACTGACACAAATACTTCAATCACTTCAGAAAGTTGGCGAAGTCTTTCCAGAAAATTGTTTATTTTCCGCAGGCACCGCATTCCAGTTGTATTGCTCTGTTGAGCCTGGAATTGCATAACGAATTCGTGGATTTCTTGTATTGAAGTGACGTTCGAAACACGGTCAAACAGCGAACAGTCTTTTTGCGATGCAAGGAATTCTCTCTTCGCAGTCATGAAGGCATTGAGAAGGTGGGAATTGGAAGTAGCCATGGTGAGATATGCTGAAGTAAAAGGGACCCAGGCCAGTATTTATTACTTGTGACTCTCCTGATTTATCTCGGCTATAGCGCCGAGGGGGTGGCTTAGTTGTGTGGCGATTTGGAATTGGGATCCGATTGCAGGGCTGAACGAGGGTGCACCCTTACATGTCAGTCACTAATCTCTAGTGCTATTTTAGTGGTGATGATATTGATAATACACTTACTGGAAGAATATTCGGTCCGCTTAGGAAGTTAGGGGGGGGAGAGGAGGTCCTTCTAGCAAAATGGGGTGTCCTTTTAGCAATTTGCAACTTATGTTTTTGTTTATCAAAATTTTGCCTTAGCTGGAGTCCCGCTATAGTCGATCTCGCTCCACACACCAGTCCCGAAGCCGGCTTACTTGTTATTGATCGCATACGCGATGCAACCTGCTTACACAGTTAAGAGTCCTTGCATTCTCATAAGAATGCGCATACCAAGACCTGAGCTCTATAACGAATAAACTTGGTTTTATGATGTTTCTAGTTGTGGCTATGTGCAGATGCCAAGACGTGAAGTGTTTCAGGTGGATAATCCACCCACTTTCTATTGTTGTTCTGCGGATGGGGTCGGGTCGGGTTCGGGTTCCAGTTCAACGGGACCCAGAAAAAGTTCAACGGGACCCAGGATTGGATCAGTGGTTGCACGACTTGCGTGAGTGTCACCCTAATTCTCACCCTATCTATAGCGCACTCACCCTTCTCACCCCCCGTCGCGCGACTCTCACCACTAGGGAATCCTTACTGTTGTATGTTTTTATTTTTACTTTTTTTTATTTTTTCTGTGATTTGTCTTGTCGGTTGATTTGGTGAATTCTGATGTGATTGGTATTTATCTATCACCGAGGTTTTATCTTCAATCTTAGGCAGTTAGAGAGGAAGAACCAGAATTGTGAGGAGAGAGAGGGTCTAGATATTATAGGATAGAGCCTATCAACGAGGTAAGATCAAAGATATTTTAGAACAAGTGGTGTTAGAGTTTGTACAGGGAATATTTCTTAGGATATTTCCAGGTTCATCAAGAATGACTTGTTTAACATGACTAAGAGAGGGGGTGAAGTGACGCTGACCACTCGTTAGGGATACACTAGTAAGAAGCGATGGGTAGTTCATGGTACTTTATTCATGCGTTGATACATACACCATGACAAGCCCAAAAGACTTAACACAGAAGCTCGATGATTCGGTTCAATAGCAAAATTGCCTCACCTGCGAGGCGTAGGAAAGGAGGGCGAAGAAGAAATTGGGGGCTGTTGGGTGGGAAGGGGAGGCAGGGGTCTATATACAACCACGCACGGGCACGCATAGCAACCGGTGCCGCTAGCTTATAATTACATAAGTTGCTTCAGTTGCTATCCAAGATCCGATATGGGAGGCCAACTGTCAGGCAGACAGTTGGAGACGCGTCAGCTGACAGTTGGAAGGTCATGTGACCCACTAGCGTGTTTTGAACTGTCAGCTCTGTGATTAGTAATCGATTATGATTGGCTACTAAAGTGGGTCCATATCTTGGCATTACACGGCCATTACAATCTTTCCCTTTTCATCCACCCCATCTCCACTGAGGTTCCCGACCGCCTTCACTGGATCAATTTTTCTTCGATTTCATCAAATTTCCATCATATTTTCATCGATTCTTAATAGCTGAGCATTATGGCAAGCGTTAAGAAGGAGTTTTTCGACCGTTACGTTGCGCGTGCCATGGCTGGCGACCCCCCCCTGCCTCCCTACGAGACCGTGAGTCGGTTCTATCGCATGAATAATGCATTATTATACCATGGCTAATACATTACAGGATGACAATGGCCATATTGTCATGCATATTGGCGAGGTCTTCTGCCGCGTCCCCGACTGCTCCTCCCAAACAGTGAGTGATGAAGGCATCAGCTATTGAAAAAGTATTAATAATGCATTACAGAAGCAGTTCTCCCACACTGGCAACCTGCGTGTCCACATAAAGGCCCATAAAGACCTCACCCTCCCCGGCCGCGCCAAAGGTGCCCCTAGTGTCGAGGACAAAAATGCCTCGATCGCGTGGTATAAATCGCTCTTTGCCCCTCCGAAGAAGATGGCCGTGCCTTTTACGAAGGCTGGCAATGTGAGTTAATATGATGACAATACATTCTCCGGACATTATTAATGCATTATCCCAGATCGGTATCAAAGAGATCAAGGATTTTCTTCGGACCAAGCATGTGACCCAGTTCCCTTGCGAGTCCTGCGAGCAAGCTAATGCTAGTGAGTTCGACCTATACTCTTATTAATACTTTACTAATGCATTAAAACAGAATGCTGTGCCACCCCTTTCGTCTGCGAGTACCTTGACCGCTACTACGACGTTGAAGACTCTTTCGACCGCCCGGAGTAAAACTACTACTACCGCTTTCTGATATGACTATTATGTTTTGACGATAGATACGGGTGCTTTTTCTTTGAATTCGTGGAGTTTTGATATCCGAGTTACTAGCTGAACTCAATAGCTAATACATACTCTTACTATTATTAATATACTATAAGAATCTTTACTAGGACAAAAGGTGCATAAGCGGACTATTAATAATATATTAACTCGGAAAATATAAGAAGGGCAATACCTCGCAGTAATAAAATAAATGCTAGTGGTATTGGTAGTGGTCTAACTATACATAATATAGCTAATATAAATTATATATCATATATGTTAGCCACACCAATATATAAAATGTAAGATTAATGTATAGGTAAGAGATATATATATATAAAGATATAACTAGTATTTCAATTTAGTTTTTCTAGTTCTAACTCTCTCTTCCTATTTGCAAGACGCTTTTCTAGCACTCTTGCCCTTATATCCTCCGCCTCTTCTTCCTTTTGAAGGTCTTCGATTCCCGATATATCCGGCCGGGTCGTTTCGCTACCGCAGATTAATAATGCATTATTAAGTATATATAGTCCCGCGTACTTACTCTTGCTTTTTTCGTGATACTTTTAGCCTTTTTACTAGACGAGTTTGAACTGGAACTCCTGTCGTAGAAAAGGACATAGATATCGAGTTTTCGGAGGGCGCTTTGTTTGGATCGTGAAATTCCTCCTGTTGGCGGTCGGCACCTAGTAATGATATATTAGATATATATTTAAAATAGTTTAGACGCTTACATCTCGCCATATGACTATACATAGCCTCACTAGTCGTGTTCGCACGGTAGTGTGGCCGTAAGCGCTTCTTTTCAAAGGACTGAAACTCTTCCATATCCTTTCGATCAACTGCTCTTCCACTAAGAATATATTAGCTATATATTAAGAATGTATTAGACAACACACTTATCAATCGCTTGTATAAGCGTAAGCTGACGGCCCCGATTGTTGACCTTAAAGTGGCTCTGTTCAACTGCGTTCGTATTATGCCGAGTCTGATCAAAGACTAGCCATGGGACCTTAGTACTACCCCGATGAAGGCCTGATGCAATATTGTCTCTCATTTTGTGCTTCGCCCACTCTTGAATCTTGACGGAAGGTTCTGACTCTGAGTAAGGTATTAATAATGCTATATTAATAGCTAGAAGCGACATACCAATAATTATACGAAGCGCTACCTGGTAGTCCTCTTTCGTTGGCGTATCGAGTATAGACATCATCCTTTCTTTCGCTCCATGGCGATATTTCACCCCACGTAGACACTCTCTAATTCCTCGTTTGAAGTGTATCTGGCAGAAGATAACTAGAGACATAGCTAGTTCCTCCTTTGGGATATTAAGATCGGAGATTGAATCGAGATAACGTGCGAGACCTATAATGCATTAATGATATATCTACAATAGCTGAAGTTATTACTTACCATTCCACTGTCCTAAGTCCATATCCATCACAACAGCCTGGATCCCAGACCCATGAATTGGGAAGAAGCGTAAGGGCCGACCAGTATAACGCTGTGTAGAGGCTGATACCCTACTAAATATCAACGCATAAGCCTCTTCATCTGATTTGCCTGAGGTAAAAACGCGAGCAAGAGTAATGACTATAACCAAACATTAAGAATATATTAATAATAGCTGGGCTCTCTCACTTACTTCGATTTTGCTTTTCCACAAATTTAGCGAAGACAACCTCTTGGGTCTTAGAATCCTTAACCCTCTTATAGGACATATCGACCTCAAAACTCTCGGAACGTTGCATGATCTCGGCTTGCTCTCTAGTCTGACAGATGATAAGGGTATCGGTAATCTCAACAATGTATTCCTAATAATATATTAGTTATGTATTCATAATATACCGGGCTCTGTTTACCCTGATGTTGCCCTGGTTTATTTGCCATTGAAAAAGAAGCCCATTTTTTCCTTGACCCTGTGGGTAGGCTAGGAGACGCTCCTTCTGAATAATAGCAGCAATCCGGCCCATATTTCCTAGACTTCCATGAATTTCGTTAAGAGAGAGCGCATTAAACTGCGCACAAAACGCCTTAAGCTCAGGTGACATAAGAAAAGCAACTTGATAGATATTAGCAGAGATAATATATTAAGAAGGTATTAAAAATAGCCGTACCCGGAGTGAGGTTCCTAATTTCCATACTCCTAATAACCTTGATCAGATCTAGGAGAATTGCCTGTGGAGGCTTTGCTGGAGGTGGAGGAGGATGCGAATGGATACCTATCGATAAAAAGGCGTAGAAAGGGGTTGTTGTGAGGTTGACTGGCACTAGCCAATGGTATTGTACCTTGCATCCTATGATTTGAAGCTTCCCGCGCCCTTGAAGATGGTTTGTGACTTTAAAGTATTAGCAATAATACATTAGGAATAGGCTGATAATGTATTATTCCTTACGGCAGAATTGTGCGCGGCCTTTATTAGCCTCAATATTGCCGCAAAACTCATGCTCAATAGAGGCGATATCACGAAATAGCCATTCGAGTAATACCATGTCGAATCTATGGTTATCGATGACTTTTTGTGTAAAATGAGTATGGAGTGCGTCCCCTGTATTCACGCATCTAATATAGGCAGCGAGAACTCCGGAAGGTTCCTAAAACAATACATTAATAAAACTTAGATAATACATAAGCCATAGTGCCTTACTTACCAAGTAACTCCCCCATTCTAGCGTTGGTTTACATGTATCCTTCCAGGACACGCCGCATGACCTCCGATCCCGAAAAAGCTTGACTGCTATAAGGTATTTCCTTACTCCACGATTAATAATTGCTTAATAAGGTATTATAGCCACTTACATATATGTCCTTCGCTTCACTTGCTCTGTTTCAGCTAAAGGAATACCCTCTCGAATAGCTTCAATTTCATCCCACTGCGTCTTTGATATAGACGTATGCTTCATATCTTTAAGCGCCGGATCGGCGTATTGACAGAGCTTCACTCCAGTGCAATAAGCAGAGGTATGTAGTAGTGGTACACTACCAAAGATAGTCTCACTATTCATAGGCCGTTCTCGATAATTCAGCCGCATCGCATATTGAACCTGAAATATATTAATAAATCATTATTAATAGCGTGCCTTGTTCACTTACGCTTGAGATCGCGTTAGCAACCGCACTCTGCTCTTGACCCGGAACTGCGACTATGTAGGTAAAGCCATCAGGATCTGATATAGGATACTCTGGTAAAGCTATTGTATATCGAATAAACCGAGTTCGTAGCGGGTGGCATTTTGTATGGGTCAAGTTCAGTAGGAAATTTCCGTCGTTTTCCTTATACATTGTTAATGCATTAACAAGGTGTAATCTTATACGAAACTTACTTGTTCTTCATCAGATATCACGATCTGATCTCGAATAATGCTTTCCTCAGCCATGGTAGAGAAATATTCTAATACAAAAGTAATATATTAAAATGGACTGGTTTAAATATTGCCACTTTTTTGTGGGCCACTAGCGTAAAATACGACAAATTCTAGCGAGTATCAGTCTGTAAAGGTTTATTACAGTCACGTGGTGCCAAGAAATCCAACTGTCAGGTGACGCGTCTCCAACTGTCGGGGTGAACTACATCCTGCCGATATGGTGTAAGTCGAGGTGACGATGGAAAGGCCACGATTCTGCGTGCTTATATCAAACAAAGTCGTCGTGTTTCCATATAGCCATGCAGGTGCGTTATTTTTACATTAATAAGCAAGCCTTAATCGCCTATCTCCAAAACATATACTAAATGGGAAAAATTACAATTTGATATCTTAAACGGTAGTCTATATGGGACGTTTACGTGTTGATTTACAACTTGGTAACCATTCGGATAACCGCGGTCTGCTGATGCATTCAACACAAATCGACCAAGGCATCGAGTGATCTAGAGCGATCTTTCCCGTAAAGCTAAAGCTTCGCCTTGGGCGTAATGAGTCTACTGACGTCATTCACCAGAACATCTGGACTTGCGATTGTCACTCTCGGGATTACGAGAAGGCGAGAGTGCGCGATAGTACAAGAGGACTTCGCCAGGTGTTGAATTTCATGAGGGTTTTCCCCATCTTGACCACCGATTTTCCTGATCATCAATACCAATATTCATTTCTTCATTCTGGTCATCCAAAACATAATATGCCGATCATGGCCACTGTAGCACTGACTACTGCAGAAAGGTCATCCGAGCGAATGGACATTCATCACTCGGATGCTTGGCAGGATGGAGATACTACGCCATCACCCGATAGCCGCGACGAAAAGCAGTTTTTCCAAGATGGGTTGAACACTGGCGCTCGTATTCGAGGTAAATGATCTTCCGACGATATTCACTTAATATTGCCTCATGTGTATCATGTTTTGTCATAGGTGACGGCCGGGTAGACATTCATATCAATCAGGACAAACCGCACCTCGCAAGGCTATTGAACCCGATCCAACGCCCGGATATACGTTCTGACCGAGAGACCGAACGAACCTCCAGCACAAAAAGGCCCTGCTTGGAAAATGTGAATTTTCCACTGCGCTTAAACCTTGTCATTCAAGTGATTGGTTCTCGAGGCGACATACAACCATTTGTTGCACTGGGACGAGAATTGAAAGTACACGGTCACCGAGTCAGATTGGCCACACATTTAGCTTTTCGGCAATTCGTTCTCGATAGCGATCTAGAGTTTTTCAATATAGGAGGAGATCCTGAAGAGTTGATGGCTTATATGGTCAAAAATCCGGGCCTTTTACCGGGATTGAAGGCAATACGCACTGGAGACATCCAGAGGCGTCGGCGTGAGATGAAAGAAATATTCAATGGATGCTGGAGATCTTGCTTTGAAAAGGGTGACGGAACTTACCTTCACCAGATTAACGAAGACCCGTGGAGTAAGACCTTGGATTATCGAAAACGGCCCTTTGTCGCGGATGCTATCATAGCAAACCCTCCTAGCCTTGCCCATATTCATTGCGCGCAACGATTGGGCATTCCTCTCCATATTATATTCACGTAAGTTGACCGTCTTACAGACTAATTTCTAATCACATTTCCCATAAAGAACACCTAATCATGAATAACAGGATGCCCTGGTCACCAACCCAGTCTTTTCCCCACCCCTTAGCAAATGTTCACCGTCGCAACTGCAAGCCGACGATTGCAAATCTCGTGTCCTATAATGTTGTCGATATGATGGTATGGGAAGGCTTAGGAGATATTCTAAACACGTTGCGTAAGAATACCTTGGCACTCCAACCGCTGGATACAATGACCGCCCCAAGTATACTACACCGGCTACATGTGCCACATACGTATCTATGGTTAGGATTATATTTCTGGTAGGTAAATCTTTTCTAACATTTGATACAGGTCTCCTTCATTATTACCTAAGCCTCCCGACTGGGCTGATAACATTGATGTATGCGGCTTTGGCTTCCTTCTATCGGAGACGAGCTACACACCACCAACGGAATTAGCTGCGTTTCTCAGTGCGGGAAAAAAACCAATATATATCGGTTTTGGCTCGATTGTTGTCGATAATCCTGTCAAACTGACGAAGATAATATTTCAAGCAGTTCAGAAAACTGGACAGCGAGCCCTTGTTTCAAAAGGCTGGGGAAACCTGGGAGTAGACGAAGTGCCGGACAATATTCTTATGATTGGAAACTGTCCTCACGATTGGCTGTTTCGGCAGGTTTCATGTGTGATACACCATGGTGGTGCGGGCACCACAGCAGCAGGCCTTGCGCTAGGTCTGCCAACGATCATTATCCCTTTTTTCGGAGACCAGCAGTTTTGGGGCAATATCGTTGCGCGGGCCGGAGCTGGGCCAGAGCCAATACCCCACAAAAGTTTGAACGTGCAGAATCTCTCAGACGCAATTTTGAAGGCGCTAGAGGTAACTACTCTGGACAGGGCACAGACGATCGCAAGGAAAATGCAGGAGGAGTCTGGCGTGCGCCATGGGGTGAATAGTTTTTATCGAAATCTTGACCCCGAGTCATCCAGATGCGCTATAGTCCCGAATCTGCCGGCGGCTTGGCATTTCAAGCATACTAAAATCAACTTGAGTGCTTTTGCAGCAATGGTTCTAGTGAAATCAGGGAAACTCAGTCCACATATGCTGGTCCTGTAAGTTTTCTCAGACAAAAGTCACCAGATATATGAGAGTTTATTGCTGATTCGCCTCCAGTCATCGTCCGATGGAATATGATACATTAATGGACCCTCCCGACCCGCTTACTGCTAGTGCTCAGGTGCTCTTTGGGGTTATAATGAGTTTCATTACTGGGCTTGTAGATACGCCAGGAGAGATTTACCGCGGTCTTTCTTCTGCTGCTCGCGGAATACGCCAACCCCATGAACATTTTGATCGCCACTCAGCATGTCGGGCAGCACTTTCTTCGCCGGGTCACTCCTCCCCAGAGAATAGCCTTGAGAGCGATGAATCACCTATTCAAAATGCGGTGGGCCAAATGCTGACTGAGAATAATGAACAGGGAGATAGGGAAATCCGGGAAGAGAATAGTACACAAGAAGATACTACCGATGAGGAGAATGATGACCAAGTCAACGAACTCGATCGAATCCGGAGCACAGAGCGCAAAAGGAATCTCCAGCTCGAAAAAGCCAAAACAATGAGCAGCTCGATGACGCCCTCAAAACCACCTAAATTCACGATTTTACACGAAACTGCATTGCACGGAGGTCAAATGTCGAAGAAAATATTGAAGATAATCATCTGGTTACCAACCGATGTGTCACTGGGTATGGCTAGAGGTTTCCACAATGCACCAAAACTGTATAGCGACCCGACGGTAAACGACATCCCCCAAGTGGTCAGTCTTCGAACTGGGTTCAGAGCGGCAGGAAAGGTAGTAACGGCCAATCAGCGCCAGTTTAGGACAGATATTCTAACATCTACGCAGGAGCTCAAAGACGGATTTTACTTCGGTATCACGGGCCTAATAACACACCCGCGTTATGGCCTCAAGCATGAAGGTGCTAAGGGGCTCTTCAAGGGGATCGGGAAAGCAATGGGTGGTGTGTTTCTCAAGCCGACAGCAGGTACGTGGAAAATGCAGGCAATGTGATGTGAGCTTATTGTTTGAAAGCTAATATTCATCAGGGCTATGGGGCCTGGCAGGGTATCCCTTGAGCGGGATAACCAGAGAGATCAACGATTCACTGGGCAAGCATCAAAAATGTATGATTGTTATGGGTCGCATTTCGCAGGGAGTCGAAGAGATGCGAGAGTCCTCGGCCCAGGAAAGGGAAGAGGTAGCTAGGGCTTGGATGACGATTGAACACGACTTGGAAAAGTCAAATAAAAGACACAACTATTCGCATGGTTTGGGGTCCGCCCATGCTGTGGTTATATGAGTTCCAGGCGGTTTGAAAAGGTCTTGTGGACTTAACCAGAAGGGGTCAACCACAGTTTGGCGTAGCATCGATTTAGGAAATTATAGTGTTTTCAACTAGCTATCTAGACATTTCGGTGTTGATTTCTCCTGTTTAGATTTAAAATGACACCCACCATGCTGTTGAAGCACTTCCCAATGGTGGTGTATCCGAGAACGAGGGAAATAATGTACATTCTGTCGCCACTCTCTCTGCTGGATGTCAAATGCTGGAGCTTGGAAATGTTATAATTATTGAAATGGGGATGGCACGATGGCAGTCTGACATAGCAGACGGGCCGATACTAATGAAGAGATCACACTACCACTCCCATGGCCTGAAGGCGTAGATAGCGGTTCCTGAAGGTGTAAGTTGTACTGAGCCTGATGCTATATCATGAATCAAGAAGTTTGGTGAGTAACCGTAGTCATATTCTGCGTCTTCGAACATGCTCTGATCTCTCTGTAGGAGAAGACTGCATGTCTCCTGAGGCATTTATGATGCCTCAGGCCATTAATATGCTACTGTCACGGGATTCACCACTACATTATGTAGTATACTACTATTATTGGGATGTATGCCCAGGTTGAATTCGGGTCTGAATGTGTATGACATGTTTTCTTGTTCCGCGCGATATGTAAGACCGTCTCCTTAAGTGTGAGCCACACGGTCGTGGTATGTGCTCCCATTGATAGATTGATGGATGGATGGCACCTAAGAGGAGAAGAGACCGAAGGGTAAATACCGAAGGTCATTGAATCCCTGCTATTAGTAAAGGCAGATAGAAAGGCCAATGAGGAATTGACTGGAAGCACATTGCTTCAGCAGACCGCTTTGGATCGCCTTCAAATAGCTTTTGAAGCTCACTGCAAGTTTGAAATATAAGCCGCTCCAAACCCAGAGTGAGGACCATGTATATCTGGCATGGGATTAATGTAAGTTGGAAGAGACTTCCACCGAGTTCATTTAATTTACTGCCAGTAACCCATAGTACTTTTTCAATTTCGATGCGCAAATTGATTGGCAGAGATCCCTGTTCGTGGGATCCAGATCGCGTACGACTAGAGCTGCAAGCGCCATCGACCGCAGTCGCCGAGGGGCGGTATTCAGACCTCCCCCGAAAAGAACCCCGCAGCCCCTTTTCCCAAGTTTTTGGTAAATTACACTCAGGCTCTGACTCATTAACTCGCCATACGATTTGAATATGGATTCTCGCCATTCAGATCTCGTGCTCGATGCCCAGATTCAAGTTGAATTCAGCGCCGATCTCACGCATCGATTCACAATTCAGTCCAAGTTCTCGTCCGGACGGCACTTCAGACGCAGACAGCGAAAAGACACATGGCAGGTGGAAAAGCTCCTTGGGAGTGGATCGTCTGGCACGGTTTCTCTGCACAAATGCTTGACGAGCGAGGGCCAAGCGGAACTACAGGCCGTGAGAATGATCAATAAAGCACTTCTTTCTAAGGGCATCGACTATTATAAAGAGTTGGAAGCTATTGCGAAATTCTCTCAGAAAAAGGTAGGAGCTGGATCTTTTTATTGGATATTACTGCAGTACTAAACTACAACATTTCCTAGTACGACGGGTCGTTTGTCAAATTCCTTGGGTGGTATGAGAGCAATGACTTTGTTTTCATCGTTATGGAGTATATGAAACATGGAGACCTAGATTCGCATCTTAAAAAACCATTGCCCGAAAATGAAGCTCGTGAAATCACTTTGCAGCTAGCAGAAGGCCTCGAATTTCTTCACGATAATAGGGTCGCTCATCGAAACCTCAAACCTGCGGTATGAATTCTGCGGGATATTCAAAGAGTTTAGCTAACATGGTTAGAATATCTTCGTCTTTCGCAAAAGTCCCGATTGGTGGGTCAAACTCGGCGATTTTGGATTCAGCAAATGCGTCAATGAGAATGAAGGCCTTCAAACATGGGTTGGAACTCCTCTGTTCATCGCACCAGAAATGCAGATGCTTTATCCACCTGGGAAAAATGGCCACAGCGACATGTCTCATTATACAGAGAAAGTCGACATATGGGCGCTGGGTGTTACGACGTATTACATGGTTTTCCACGACTATCCATTCACCCCTAGAAAACGAGTTCATCTGTCACAATATGTTCACGGCGCGGCTCTTCCGCTTCCAAAAGGTTCATTATCGCCGGTCAGCCAGGAGTGTTATAACTTTATCAAGGCCACAATAGAACCGGACGCTACGAAACGACTATCGGCAAAAGCGGCCACGGAGGACGAGTGGCTTAAGGGACTTTATGTCCCAGTAGCTGGATTAAAACGCTTGGGTTTGTCTGAGACCAACTTGACAAATGTTGCTTCACGGAAAGAAGTTCAAACGGCACCAAAATCATTCCATGCTACACCAGAACAAACCATCAAAATCTTCCAGGCCAGCAGTGAATCCAATCCTAAGGAATCTGTACCAGATAATGCAGCGTCACACGTTTACGAAGCTCTCATCGCGACTGATACTTCTGCAGAACATGCAGATACATCAAATAACGAGCAATCTCAAGTTGGATATCCAAACATCGCCCGGCCAAAACATGGGCGCTCAAAATTTGCCAAAGATTTACGGCTAGGCAGGCTAGGTATACTTCAAGATTATCATACGAGGGGTGTCCAACTGTTCCGCCAGAACAAGCACGCGGAGGCTGAGATTCTGCTCCGAAAAGCGGCAATGAAACGCAATCAGGAACTTGGATTGGCGAATCATGACACTCGTAACTCATTTCATTGTCTTGGAGTTTTATACTACCATATGTCCACCTATCGAGTAGCCAGATGGCTATTTCAGCAGGTACTAGAAGTTCAGAAGAAAAAATTTGGACTGGTCCATCCATGCACGCTTAAGACAGAATATTGGATTGGCCTGACGATGCTGCGAGACGGAATGAACAGGGAAGGAAGGCTTACCGTGAAGAGAGTAGCAAACATTCAGAAACGTGTCCTTGGACCGAATCACCCAGACACTCTTCTTTCACTTTCTGAACTTGATCTGAGACAGCCTCCTGAATTTTTGGGACCCTCGAAAACAGATTCATTGCCGCAGATGTCTCTAAGCGCACGGTCATCAGAGATGGATCTAATCACAAAGTCTATGCGGAAGTATATCCAGGATCTCAAAGCAGAACTCTGGCCAGAACATCACAACACTGATTCCAAACAATGCAATCGCAGGATAACTGTGAGATTACCACCAACCGCTTCGCAACCTATCGCGAAGCCCCAGTCAGAGGAGTCACTTTCTTCCAAAATCAAGACCCATTATCGCACAATGGCTGAACTGGGCCAATGGCTCCATGGAAAGGGATATTACAAGGCTGCCCAAAATAGCCTGGAGATGGCCGTGAGTGGGTTAAATCAATGTCTTGGACCAACACATGCCGAGTTCCTGGACGCGCTTTACTGGCTTGGCTTGAACCAATTTGAGTTGGGCCAATATGAAAACGCAGAGAATATATTCAGAGAGGTATCAGTTGGTCGGGACACGAGCGTTGGCTGGAAAAGCAGGCGTATATTTTATTTTGACTTTGCCCTTGCTCTAGGACGAGCACTAGCAAAGCAAGGAAAGTATGCAATGGCCGAGTCCATGTTTCGTCTCAATAAACAAGATACTATATTCCTCTTCGAGCTTGGACTCGTCTTATGCAAGCAGGGGAAATCTGTCGAGGCGGACACATGTCTTTCGCAAGCATTTCGTCAACAAAGAACATACAGCTTTTCAATGACTGATTATTGGATTCAGCGGGTTCGTCATGATTGGAGCACCTACGAACTGCCTTGGACCTGCTGCCTGAGACTACCAGGGCAAAAGTCAATGCTAATGAAGATGAACAAGCACTCAGACGTGTGGCCAAGAAGTTTTTGAGAAAAATCACGAAAATGCGATATTATTCTTTAGTTTAAGCGTCGAAATTGATCCAGGCACGTCTGAGATGACTAGTCAGAAGGAGGTTAGGGGTCGGGAATTGACCAATGACTGTTGCTTTGTATTCTTGTTCTGCCTGCCTTTTTCAATGATAGTTTACTATGATGTCCCACATGTCTCTCTTTCTCTTAGCTTCTTAACTTTGCGACGAATAAGTACGAGCCCGTCCGTTGCGATTGTGAAGATCCCCATTATCATTCCCTTTTGATCACTCTAAGGTCAAGTTTTTGTTCCTGATAAAGATGCATAATATATAGAGGGGATTGATACCGACACCATCCTTTGGATACTCACATCACCCCCTGCCTGAGGTTCCAGGTACCTACTCACCGCTTTCTTCACCGCTTTATTACTCGAACTTTTATTATTGCCACGATTTCCCTGCATGTATTATCATCACTGTAGGTACCTCCAATTACTATGTAAATCTCTAGTAAAATTAAGTCATTCTTATTCTACCCTAGTACCTATTAAGAAATTCAAAATAATTGTTGTTTACACTTTCAAACCTCCCATTTTATTCACCCATTTCACTGCCTTTTTACAATGGTTTTCTGTCAGTGCTGCATTCATGAATACGGATTGAGAACCGGAATTATAGTAACTCCGAATGAGCGGATTACTAAGGATGAGCATAGCATAACGTATTTCACAACCGAGTGGATCACCCAACCGAGTGGATCAGCAATACCTATCTATTCATTTTAAATGCATTTTTCTTAACCACAACGCCATTAAATTCAATAAACTAAAAACGAGTTTTATTAGGACATGTAGTTAATTTATGACCCTTAATTCCACATACACTGCACGTCGGTAGTGCTCTCTTACGTGGCTGTAAAGCTACCGGAGCCGGTCCTGCCTCACGGGGTATCGGCTCTTTAATTGCTGGTTCTTCTACCTGAATAAGCTCGAGAGCCTCTAAAACTGATAGGCCTTCCTCTCGAGCTATCTGCCTTGTAGACCGAGCTTTTTTACGCTTCTTCTTCTCGTTTTTAGCGCGTAAATCGCTTACTTCTTTCTCGAGAAGAGCGGCCGATTGCATCGTGATTTGATAGGCTTTTAAAACGTGATTGATTGCGGAATTAAGCGGGCTCGGTGGGCTTTTTGAGCGCTGTTTTAGTAAAGCTTTAATTGAGGAAGCTTGCTTCTGTAATTGGACGTAGTTCGACGGCGTTTTTGGCGACCACTCACTCCCCTAGCTCGAAGGGGGGTTGGCGTACGGAGGCGAATATCGAGCTTCGAAAGCACTCGTTCGGGCCTATAAGGCACTAACCCGGCGGCGGCGAAGCTATTCTTAATAGTTTCCGAATTAAATGCCTCGATTCGGGCGGACGGGTAGGCTTCGAGGAAGTCTAGCTTATCAATATAGTTGATTCTAACCCGTATTTTTGACTCGATTAGCCGACCGTACGAGCGCTTTAACACCGCAAAATAGCCGATATCGAGAGGCTATAAAAGGTGAGACGAATGCGGAGGTATACAAATTGCGATAATATCGTTTTTTTCGCAAATTTCGTCAAATTTCGGAGTTAAATAACTCCCGTAGCCGTCGAGTATTAAAAGTCTATACTTCCCTTTCGTACGCGAAGAAGTAGACGGAATAAAGAGCTTTTCGAGCCATCGAAGTCCAATTTTATCGGAAGTCTATCCGTTCGAACTAACCTCGAGGCGCCAATCACTCGGAAGGCTATCGAACCAAGATTCGATAAAGACTTTGCCTTTAAAAATCACGCACGGAGGAAGCGCCCACCCCGACGCGTTTATACACTCAATTGTAGTCACCTACGCGCGGTTTCCGGGCTGTAAAAGCGTTCGCCGACCGTAGAATTCACGTTTCGTAATAACCTTCGCGGTCGCGATTAAGCCTATTGCAAAACCAGTCTCGTCAAAGTTGTAGATATCGTCGGGATCGATCCCGTACGTTAGAATCGTTTTTTGAACGATTGAAAACCATTTAGAAATGATTTTAGGGTCTTCATATTTAGCGCGCGCGTAATTATAGCCTTTTGAGAATCGGGAGGAAAGGATTGGATGCCTTTTTACGAAGTTTGTAACCCAATTATTACCGACCGAAGGAGGGGGGTTAGATCCACGCGCCGCGAGTAGTAAATCCGCTATTTCTCGTATAGTAGAAGGCCGAGGGGCTGCTCCGCGAGAGTCTATTGAGAGAATCCATTTTTGAAGAGATTCTTCTTCAATATCTGTCAATTTTTGGCAATTTGCGCGAGTTTCGGAGCGATTTGTGAGGCCGTTAAGGCGGTTCCGTAAAGAAGAGAATGGTACGTCAAAACGACGCGCTGCTTCGCGTATAGAGGTGATTTCTTGCTTCTGAATAGCCTAAATAGCTAATAAGATCCTACCCTCTTGCCCTGTACGATTTTGAGAGCTTTGAGAGCGAATTGGTGGCATGGTGGGTGGTTAAAGAAGAGAGGTCTAATTAATTGACGCGTTTTTGCGTCACTGATCCACTCGGTTGGGTGATCCACTCGGTTGTGAAATACGTTAAATAGCAAGAAATAGCAAGTAATAAATGACAGAGATTTCAATGCCCTCATTGGCTGAGCAAGTTACGGAAGACAGCAAGTTCCGACATTATGTTGGTACCTGAGGCACGAGTTGGTGCCTCGGGAATCGTGGCAGTATAGTACTGCTCACCGCCCGGAAGCTGGGCCAGCCTGTATTTAGTTCATCCCCGCTGACCCTGGGAAGGGTCAGCGTTCAGTCTCTCCTACAATAGAACCATATTGTACCACACGTCAGCTGAGGCTTCTACTTCGCTTACCAAACCAAACCAGAGACTCTGCGTGGTCTCACAATATGGCTCCTAGAAGCGGTGTATGTGCTCCCAGGAAATGCGTCAAATCCCCCAGGAACTAAAGAGCTCCCAGGGCCAGAATTTGCGCTCTCAATTGTGCTAGAGTCATATCTAGGAACGAGACTGATTCCCTGAAGGTTGAGATGGAGAGTCCTACAAGCTAAATCCGATTTTCTGTACGAATACTGGATTCCGTAGATATTTACTCAGAAAAGGTCGTTGATAATTAAGTATCTTTTGCATCGAGCCACTCAGAGATAAGAGTTATGGTGAGAGTAATGCTCCTAGATCGGCCTAGACCGACGGGCTAGTCATCAAGAGATGAACAAACTTGGATAGCCAACATTGTAACAAAAATTCAAGCCTTCTATGACACCTCCCCTCCCGTATCCTTCGAAGAACCACCATGGAATCTACTATTGCCTTTCATTCCAAATGATCTGTGTCTTATCCTTTGACACAATCCTAGACCGCTACTTTATCCGTCGCCGGCTTAGCGTGCGTACTCTGCAAGTAGCCGTATAATGCACGAACAACAAAACGTGCGAGAGATATAATATCTACTAGAGATCCAAACGCGGCCTAGCCGACGGCTCTATAATATATGATCTTGTAGTATGGAAATCGATCCTCACTATTGAAAAACTCTAAGGATATTCGAAAGCCGTGGACGTGGCTGGCAATACATAGTAACCGCGGTCTTCGATCATGATACAAATGCGGTCAAGGCGTATTGCGCTGCGACACTTCTTGGATAAGATCAATGAGGTGGAATCTGATAAGTGCCCCCTGTGGAGAAGGCTCTCAGACTCCGAGGCATACCTTGCTTCAATGTGAGACGTCCGATCAGCATCAAGCCATTTTTCCCATTATGAAGAGGTCAAACTACTAGATCGTTGTTCCTTGATTACTGCTTGGGGTCAAAGAACAGTTTCGTTACTTTTCCCAGACCACTAGGCTTTCAGAGCCAAGGATTGCAGGTCGGCCTACTGGTCCCATGGTGTTACCAATAGCTGGCAGGCTAACAGTTGAGATGTAATGAATCGCCTGGAGACCAGTTCATCTAGAGCTCCAATATTTGCAGTCCGAGGATAACTTATCAAGCATTCACATGCCCGTCCTCCACAAAGATCTTCGGCTTCGGATAGTCTGGCTTTTGGATTGCAATGACCGTTCCCTTCCCCCGGATTGCTGGGTTGCCCGGTACTTCGTAGGAAATATTCTTGGTTCTAATCAACCTACAAAGCCCGCAAATTTAACCTCTCCATATATACCTCCACTCTCTCAACCTCCAGTTTTTATACAGCGAGATTTGGTCCCGTATACCGGAGCCCCGCTTTATCCTCAATTAGATGATTGTCGTTATTTAGTGGCTAGTTAGGCAGAACCGAAAGTCCTTATACTGTTTTACAATGATAAGTCTAGGAGTAGATGCCAGTCGTGCGTAAACCCATTGGTCTGTTCGTAAACCCCGTGCTCGTTATCTTGGACATGGTGTAGCTAGTTGCCGACTTTTGTGTGGCATTTAGAACATTTGTAGAGCTGGTTCGAACCGAGTTGGTGGTTTCACTTCTCGGGTCTTTGCTCCAGGGCTTCGGCTAAAGCTGGTGGCTCGTAGTTCTTGACATGGGGGTTGTATTTATTTGACGTTGACCTTGATTGGTGTCTTGTTGTCGCTGGGCAGAGCCTGGGTGACACTGGCAAGGTGAGTAGCTTTTAAAAGACCCGAAGACGCCGTCAAGGATGGGGATTTTGGGTGGTCATTCCGGAGTCTTTTCAGCTATCTTTTATCATATCTTTATTTGCCATATCTTTGATACTCACTTCTTCCTGAGCCGCGCTCTAGCGCGGCGCCCAGGCTACTAGCTCATTCAACCCAAACGCGATTGAAGAAACTGTTTAATAGTGCTAGGTATACCAAATCCTGTTTCTAGCACGGGTAGATCTAGCACGGGTAGATATCAATTTATGTCTGCGATCCCCGGATACCGGACATAATACGCCTGCCAGTCATCAATCTCAGTCATCTTGTGGAATCCCGGAAGCTGCACAATACGCCAACGTATGTTCATCCAGCCCACGTCATCCTCAGTACACCCTTCAAGGGGCCCGAACTCCTCAGGCTCTGATATATCCTCGTCCTCAGAGTCCTCTTCAGGCACATCTGTCCATTTCCATTCAGCATTAACCATGCGGACATGCCCTAATTCATATTCTTCGAACCCTCCCAAGGGGGTGTTTAGAACGGACTCCATAGCCTCCTGGTCCACGGTGATGAAGAAGCGGTATCGGCCGCTCGTTGGAGTGTAGTCTTCGCTCACGCCCTGTTCCTCTTTCAATGCAGTCTTCTTCCACTGATGGAAGTGCTCGCGTAGGGTGGCAACCGTGGCACCCTCAAAGGAAGGGTCTTCCAAGACCGTTGGGGCGAATGTGTCGAGGAGAGCAAGGCCACTGTATTCCTCGAGGTCTTCTGAGACGGCGCCGACCATGCGAGCCATGAAGGTCTCCCAGTCAGAGTCATTGTGTTACGTGCAACGAAAGATCACGAAGCCCCAGGTTGTGAATCCATCCTCCTTGAGAAGTTCCTCGACCAGATCAGCCTCATTCATAAAGGAATACATTGTGGGATCGCGCTTTGAGCGAGAGGCCATTGTGGTGGATGTTGAGAGAGTCCTGATTGTGTTGAAATGTGATGTAGATAAGGACTTTGCGAGATGTGAGGGATGTTCGAAGGGAAAGCGAAAGAAGGTCGGGCGGGTAACGCTTGGGCGGGCGAATTGGCTGTAGATCGGTAGATGGCGTGTAGTTTGAAGTATCCTCCTAGTAGTCATGAGTGCGAAGGCAGGCCTTGGTTCTGTTGAGATGAGGATAAGTAGGGGAAAGAGGTGGGGGCTAGGGGGTATGGTCCAGGGGCAAGCAGGATCTCTCAAGTTTGCAGAGATTTAAAGTGGAGATGCGAGTATTCCCTCAAACGCTTTAAATTGCTCAAATCTCGGGTTCCCAGGATGATGAAACAGTACGCCTGTCTGGGCTAGGGGAGAAGTGATCGGAGCCTCGGAGGGAGGGCCCGGGAAGAGATTCGCGGGTCCGTGTTATCGGGCGGCTCGGAATAAGTTCGATACGCGCGCTACGGTCATAAATCAAGAGCAACTTCTTCTATCGTGGATACTCTGATCATTTAGTCGCAATCTTACCCACAAGATTGGGCAGTTGCACCTTGGCATGATGTCTTATCGACTTACACCACACTAACTTCACACATACGCATCTATGAAGAAACCCCCACACACACCGAGTACCCGACTCCTAGATACTCACAGTCCGATCCAATCGCAGGATTCCACTTGTATAGTTCAGCAAAAGTAATACCATACGCGGTCTCGATCTTGGCGCACGAATCGTTCGACACCACCGTGTAATACTGGTTGCAGTTCGACGCGATTCCCGTCTGAGTAGGTGCACTTGCTGTTGCGCTGGTCGTTGATGCCGGTCCCTTGACACAGTATGCTTCTCCTAGCCACAAATTGGTACAAGTAGAGCCAACACTGGGGTTCCACTGATAGAATTGAGCAAGGGTGATGCTGAACTTGGTCTCGACTGTGGCACAGTCGTCGCCCTTTGTAGTGGTGTAGAACTTCTCGCATCCCGACACAGTGTCGGTTGGAGTGGGCCCCATGGAGGAGGAGGAGGTGGTGGTGGTGGGGGTTTGGGTGGCAGTTCCACTGGCTGTAGTCGTTGCAGCTGTAGACCCGACACCAATACAGATGGCGCGGTCATCCGTGGCATTTAGGTTGGCATAGAGCGCAGTGTCACAGTCTCCTTCCAGCCAGCTGTTCCAGGACACAAGGTCGTCCATGGTCAAGCTGTAATCGTAAATGATGTCGTCGCAGGTGTATACTAGCATTTGATTAGTATTAGCTCGATTGGGGAGGGCCAAATCATACCGTCAGAGTAAGACAGGTCGACGGAGGTGAAGCAATTGCAGTTGGATGCCGTTCCAGCCTCCGTAGCATTCATGGGAAGGCAGAGCCCACTATCAGTATCCTCCGTTGCTACATCTGCGTCAGCCTAATCTATTTGTTGGAGCCAGCGGTACTTACAGGCAGTGCTGTTTTCATACCGCAGGATGCAGTAGCTGTTTTCCATGTTGAGCTCACAGGTGCTTGCGTTGTTCACAAGACTTGGATTCCAAGTGACCATTTGTTTCATTGTAATGCCCCAAAATGTCGCCATCGCCACACACTCAGAAGTATAGTTGGAAGGATTTTCGTAGTCATAGCAGTCTGGGATAGTGCCCGAAGCGGTGGGAAGGAGCGCCGCTCCCGTATACACATAGCCAGGATCGCTTGTGGCCGTAGGAATGTCAGTATTCACGTTGGTGAAGTTGACGGGCGTGACGGTGATGGGCAATACTCCAGTCACCGTGTAGTTTGCGTAGCTGGTGATTGAACCAACCGCCTTGACACAGTATGCCTCGTCAAGCAGGAGGTTTGTGCAGTTTGCGTCGATTTCTGGGTTCAGGAAGTAGAAGTCGGTAAGGGAGATAGAATGGGCGAGAGAGACCTTGGCACATTCATCGCCTTTTTGAACCTAGTACAAATGAGCAAAGACCCAACTTGGATGGAAGGATCACTCACCGTATACCACTGGCTGCAGTTGCGGTTGCTATTGTCCATAGCATTTGTTGGGACCGCTGCAAGGCCAGTGGCTACTCCAGTTGCGGTTGCGCTTGAGTCGGATCCACCAGCAGTGTGATTCAAGTAGCCACTCGGGGGACTGTAAAGGTCAATATTCCGGACTTTCAAATTGAGATTGAAGCGAAATCTACTCACCTCACACACACCTCATATCCAATGAAGAAAATCGCATTCAGACAGAGGGAATTGATATTGGGGTTCCAGGAGAAGAACTGCGGAAGAGTCACATTCGCGAGACCGCCGACGACACTATCGCAAGTGTCATCAGCCTGCCAGGTGTGTGTGGTGCACTGCGAGGGGACACAGAGTGTCTGGTTGACTTTCGCGGCAAAGTTTTGACAGTAGAGATCCAAGTCGTTGGCTTGCAGTAGGTAGTATGTAGAGACCCCCAGCGACTTTGCCACGGAGTTACAGTCGTCTGTTTCCTTCACCTGATAATAGTTTTCACAGCTGGTTGTTGGCGTGCTGGTTGCAGGCGAGCTGGTTGCAGTCGCAGTTGCATTAAGCGCGTACGCAGTTGGGGAAGTGACTGAGTAACCCGTGGCGCTGCAGCTCGACGTCAAAGAAGTGAAGCTGTCCGCCACGCCCTCATCATACCCCAAGGGGCTGTTTAATTGAGTCTCTAATGTCCCCAGCCAACAATCCGAGCAAGAACCATTGACTGGCCAAGACCCGTTGGACCAGGAGAGCAATTGCGGGTCACAGTAACTCCCGGACCTAATGATGGTCAGAATCGATAATCATTGGCAGAATCACCACTCACTCATCTTTCCGACAAGACATGTCATAGGTCAACATGTACTTGTCAGCGATAAATGTAGCTGGATAAGCTACATTCTCAACGACGATCACATCGGTGGTCTCTGAGCAGGCTGCCTTGATGGTTGCTCTGGCACTTTTCAAAGAACTATAGCAGGTGTCGACGCAAAGTTCATCGACTTGATCATCATCCAGAAGAGAGTTGCTGTTTAAATCAGCTTTGAGCCCGCAATTCATGAATCAGACCTACTCTGGGGACACAACGGGCAGAAATGCCGGACAGGACACATTAGTCGACAAGGCTTCTTTGCAATCATCGGTGAGACCAGGATAGTTTGTGAATCCTCGAATGCCAGCAGGCTGCTGGGCAAGGGCCGTGGAAATTAGTAGAGCCCACGGGGCAGTCCACATCCCACGCATCTTTGAGCAATGTAGTAATCACCACTCAAGATGATGAATTGGTGAGACTGCAACCACTAGATAGCCAGGTATACAAGTATTCCAGAGCTCAATTCACAAGGAAGAGAGAAGAAAAGTGGAAAAATGATGTTGGGACTTCGCTGAGTAGTTCCATATGCAGAGCAATTTTATCACTCTGCATCTAGCCAAAATATATGGCTCGTTCAGCACTGGCCCTCAAGGGTACAATCATTTCCACATCCACTTCAGCCCGAGGAAACAGACAGCGCCTATAATCCTGTAAACATTGCAATCCTTGACACGGGCGTCCGTGATAATTTTGGCGGGTTGGTCAAATGTTTCAAGGACTTTGTGTACCCAAACAACTCCAAGTATCAAGACAATACGGGTCACGGAACAAATGCTGTGCGCCTGGTCACAAAGGTATATGACAAGGCCCAGGTATACGTGGGTAGGGTGTTCGACGGTCCACAAGCAACACACGAAACACCTGCTCTGATGGCGGAGGCGATACGCCACGCAGTGAATACGTGGAAGGCCAAAATCATCATCATGTCATCGGGATTTCATTCGGAACATGATGAATTGGAGCAAGTTGTCGAGGAAGCTCGTTATGCTCGTACTCTTATCTTTGCCGCGGCTTCAAACCACGGCAACATTGAGCGCATTGCTTTTCCTGCTCGTCTCTATGTTGATCTGAAGCTATTTTGCATGTTTTCTACCAGTCCGAACGTCCGAGCCCATCCCGAGTTCAATCCAACGGTAAATCCAAGAGCAACTCATAATTTTGCTATTCTTGGAGAGGAAATCCAACTCCCCCCGAACATGGAGCAAAGGTTGTCAGGCACTTCGTTTGCAACAATGATTGGGGGTGCGCTTGCTGCCCGCATACTGGACTTCTCACGACAGAAAGACATCCGTGAGAGGATTCGGAAAATTGATAGGCTCCAGGAAGTTGGGGGTATGTCAGCGATATTTGATAAAATGGTCAATAACGCTTTTGACAATAATTATCACTGTATGGCGCCATGGAAAATACTTGAGTGTGAAGTCGGAGATCAGGATCCGGCCACTCGGAGGGGTAAAGAACGTGAATATGTGTGCGAGACAATATCCAGAGCCTTAGCGGGGAGGTTCACCGAATGAAGATATCATGCTTAGGCTCTCTATAAAATCATTACTCAAAGGATAACGCAGAGAAATACAATGTTTAGACTGGGGCCCGTACCTATAAAACCATTTGCACTAACCAGGGCCCTATCAGGCCGCATATCTTACTTATTCAAACCTAGGTCCCATCATATATAACAACTTTCCCAGTCACACAGATCACCTAGTGGCTACGTGTAGATGCCAGCAGAATAGGTGTTTCAGGATTTTTGGCCCCCATTAGCTTTAAATGTCGCGATCTCTAAAAGGTGTTTAACGCGAGGTTTAGGCACTAAAAATGCTATGTATTTTCTTTCGGTGCCAATACTAGCACATACGACCATAGTGTGTGGAAAACAGGGCTTCCCGTGACTTAATAGCCATCCTATTCTTTATAGAATTTTCGATATAAAGAATTATTTAATAGCACAGTCTGTACGAGACAGACTCGGCCTTTATAGTTCCATTTGCACTAATATTAGAAGCGCTGCTAAGACTCTATAGGCGTTCTATTTTAAGACACCACGGCTTATTATTTCTTCTCGATGTACCCGCTAATGTTTACCCACTAACTCCTAAATGGGTATGGTGCCGATGCTGTGGAAATACCACGATTTTCGATTTAGGACCACACTAAATCGCAGCAATTCCATCGTCACCTCTGTTTACACCATACACAACCTGTCCGTTTACGGCTTATCATTCGCTGACAGCTCAGCAGAGAAACTGGAATCACTCCGCGACCGACGCGCCCAGCCAGCGGCGGCGGCGACTAATACACCTAAGCGGGCTCCTTCGTCCAAGACTCAACCCCAGACGGCAAAACAGGATCACATTCGAACGAGGCCTGTCTGCCAATCTCCACGTGTCTGCCAATCTCCATATCCAATGTACAGAGCAGGGGGATACCGCACGAATGATTAGTCTGGTCATCCACACGATCCAATATTCGTACCAGAGGAATGCTGCTATTCCTGGAGAACTGCATGTCTGCGCATCGTCGACTCCCAATGTCATCACCACTTGGTTGATTGAGCTCTGCTCGCCAGTCGTCCCATGGCCCGAGACAAAAGACGGAACACGCAAGACTAGACTAGCAAGGAGGCACACGCCCCCTCCATCTCCAGTCTGCATGACCTGTTGCTTATCCTTCTATCTCTTCCTCTATGCCAATGGTCGTGAAGCCAACGAGGATTTCGGTCACAAGGCGCCTTGATAATACGAGTCGGGACGGCATAGATCTCTAGAATCGACCGCAAGATAGACTGGTTTATATCGAGGGAATAGATATTTGTGCGTAGACCAACGGCACGGCTTTGTAGATCCGGAGGCCGTTTGGAGTCTCGACATAACCGCTATGCACAATTGCGGTCATTGTAAAAAAAAAAAAAAAAAAAAAAACCCTCCATCTTAGTCGCATAAAGCTGCGCTGATTAAGCAAGTACCGGTTAACGCGAATCGCAGCCGAGTCAATCTAATCAATCAATTGAGCCGAGTAATCTGATCCCGGTTATCTTCGGTTCCGAAACGAGGCTAACACCCTTAGCCAAGGTTGACAAGACTCTAGCGCGGTAAGTCTGCCCCAGGTCATATATACAGCCCCGCTATATAGGGACGACTGTCCTGAAAGAGTAGGAAGAATGCGCCTGCATGCGTAAAGGGTAACGATAGACCGGCAGATTAAGTGCTGCGGACTAGAGGAAAAGGCGTCATCTCGGGCGCACTGATCGGAGTTAAGGGAAAAACAGGGCCGGACGAGGGAGGGCAGCGCAGAGTGCAATTGCGGGATCGCAGAAGAGTCGACGAGTCACACGGGAAAGGGGGTGGCGGAGCTTAGGAGCTCGGTAATCCGGATCAATAGCAAAAACGCCTCACCTGCGAGGCGAAGGGGGAAGGAAGGCGAAAAAGAAAATCTGAGGTGTAGGACGGGGAGGGGGAAGCAGGGGACTATATACAACCACGCACGGGCACGCATAGCGACCGGTGGCGCTAAACCCCAAGTGGACAAAGTAAACTAAAAAACGTGGTTTATCGTACTCGTCCGATATGGTGTAGTGGCTAACATCGTCGTCTCTCACACGACAGCCGGGGGTTCGATTCCCCCTATCGGAGATTGTTTTTTATTTGTTTTTGAAATTCTCATGCATCTTCTGACATTGTTCTATTTTCTACACATAGCTATTTCTAATGAAAACACTGTCTCAACTGAAAAACAATGCAACACGCTGTCTCCAAGGTGGAAATTATCGCGAATACCAGTCACATGACCTTATCATATCTAATCGCAAAAATTAAAATTTCATAGCATCAGCAGAACTCCAGCAGCAATACCTCAATTACACTTCAATCCGAACTCGAAACGTGAAGAATTGAAAGTCCTATCTTTCCATCTACAAGCTCGTGCCACTCAAGTCGAATCTGTGGAGTCCATTTCCAAGAACGTTCCCTCCATCACGACCGCGGGGTATCAATCGCAACCCTCCAAAAGATATATCGCAAAGCCACTCGTGGCCTAACATACCACAAAACATCATACACAATGGATCCCACAGCAGCAGCACCCCCGGCTACAGATGCCGCCTCCTACCTCGATCTCGCCATCACCCTTTCCCTCAACAACTGGCCCGCCCTCTCACTAGCCGTGCAATCAAACTGGGGTGGCCCAACCTCAGGCGACAAGCGGGACTGGCTATGTGGCGCAATCTCAGAGATGTTCGCCGACCGACCTGAGACAGACGCCATTGATCTGGAGGACATCCTGATCCAGGTCATGAACGACGAGTTCGATGTCGTTGTTGATGATGAGAGTGCTGGAAATGTTGCCGATCAGATTATGGAGTTGAAGACGCACACGGATCGCGGCAACTTCGCTCCTGTTCAGCAGATGTGGGAGGCGTGGCAGAAAAAGAGTCAGTCCAAGTCTGCCATTGGGCAGTTCCAGAAGGTTGAGGCTCAGGATGACGATCAGGAGACTGATGATGATGAGAGTGACGAGGATGTTGATATGGAGATGGACGATGCGCCTTCTTTGGTGCGGGCTCCTAGAGAGAGGGTTGAGCCTGAGATTGACGATGATGGATTTACTAAGGTTGTTGGAAAGAGGCGTTAAATTTGGAAATTCTAACTGGATATATCTGCATTTGTTTCTTCGTGCCCTGAGAGAACCCCTCATAGGATGATGCTTTATTTCTCATTTACATAGATGCATTGATAAACCATGATTGCTAGTCATACAGCTTGCTCATGTGGACTACATCCATAATGATAGGGATTACGGGTATATCCTGAATACATACACGGTTCAACCGCTTAGATTCATGGATAAACCGAAGTCTATGGCGCAATATAGAAAGAAAATGTTCATCATCGTCAGTTGAGGTGGACTGTCTGTGGTATCATTGCGACCTCTACCCACCCATGCCTCCCTGTTCAGAGATCCTCGCAAGCATAACACCGCATCGCTTTTTTAGGTGCTCACTGCACTTTTGGAAATATGGAAATGCAGGCGTTTTTCGGGGAAAAGCCTTTACTCGGCGGCGGCGGCGGCGGCGGCAGCGTCGGCGGCCTCCGTCTCGGCGGTGATGAGCTTCGTGATCATACCAATGGCAATGGTTTGACCCTAATAGGTTGTTAGTAACCGGGTTCATGTTTCTTTCCAAATTTTTTCTCCTTTCTTTTAAAGAATAGATAGAATACGTACCTGGTCACGGAGGGTGAAACGTCCCAGCTGGGGGTATTCGCTGAAAGGCTCCACGCAAACGGCACCAGCTGTGCTGGTAACCTCAAGACGGGCGATAATAGTCTGGCCCTTGTTGGCGAACTGAGGAGGACGCTTGCTCTTACGGCCGGTACCGGGTTCGAGCTTATGAAGGAGAGAGGCGAAAGTAACCTCCTCAACAGCGGAGTGCACGTGAAGCACACAGTTGAAACCGGCGGTGAGAATGCTCTTCAAGTCCAGAATACGGATCTTGGCCTCGAAAGCAGACACACAGTGGACGGGGCGCTTGGGAGAGCAGAGCACGAAACCTGGGAAGAAGTCTTCTTCTTCGATACCACGGAGACGGAGGCGGACCTGGTCACCAACCTTGGCAGTGGGGATTTCTTCTTCGGTCTCACCGTACAGAGCAGTAACGTAGACCTCTTCGCGGTTAGGCATCATGAGGTAGTTGCCGCTCTTCTTAATAATACCGGATTCAATACGACCCTCGGCCATGGTACCCATGTCACGGTACTTGGCACTGATGGGCATCATGAAGGGAGCGTTGATCTTACGCTCGGGGAGCTTGAAGTCGGTCAAGAATTCAAGGAGAGAAGGCCCGTCGTACCAGGGGCAGACATCCTTAGGGATGCGGTCCTTGATACCGAGGGTGCGCTGAGCGGAAATGGGCATGCAGAAGATGTCGGACTTCTTGTAGCCAAGAGCTTCCAAGAACTTCATGACCTTAACCGTGCACTCTTCGAAACGCTCCTTGCGCCATTCGACACTGGGGTCATCCACTATCATTGTTGTTAGAATATGTATCGAAAAGCCCAGAAATCGGAGGGAAAGAATACGCACTCTTGTTTACTACAATAACCAGCTTCTCAACGCCAGTGTTGCGAGCGAGAAGGGCGTGCTCGCGGGTCTGACCACCCTTCTCGAAGCCGGTCTCGTACTCACCCTTACGGGCCGAGATGACCAGACAGCCGAGATCGGCCTGAGAAGCTCCACCGATCATGTGGGGGACATAGGACTTGTGACCGGGGGCATCGAGGATAGAGAATTGACGCTCAATGGGGCCATCGTCGGAGGGAATGGTGATCTTGAAGAAAGCGCGGCCGACCTCGACGGTCTTACCCTTTGCGCGCTCCTCGTTGGTCAGATCCAAAGCCCACGAGAGGTACCAGGTCTCACGACCAGCATCCTTGGCTTCCCTCTTGTACTTCTCCAGTGTACGCTCATCGACCATGCCGGTAGCAGCCAGGAGGGAGCCTCCCAGAGTGGACTTGCCAGCATCAACGTGACCAATGAACACAACGTTGACGTGCTCTCTCTTCTCACCGTAAATTTCCTTCAAGGTAGCCTCATCGACATCAGCCTGTTGCGACTTGGCGACGGCGTTGGCCTCACGGGCCTGCTTGGCGGACTCGCCACGGGCTGGGCTTGAACGTCCAGGGCTGGAGCGGCCGGAAGAGGGTGTGGGAGAGGACTTGCCACTGATAGCAGCAGCCTTATCGGACTTGTCGAGGGACTTAGTGGCAGCGACCTTTGCGCCGGCTTCAGCAGCGGCAGGGCCCTTGGTGTCACCCTTGGACTGGGTCTCGGCGGCGGGCTTGGCTGCGGGAGTAGGAGTACCGATAGAAAGAACCTTAGTCTTAGGGGCAGAGCTGGAGGAGGTGGCGCCAATGGAGAGGACCTTGGCCTTAGCAGGGGCGGCGGATGCGGGCTTGGGAGCGGGAGCGGCGGCCTGCTGGGGTTGCTGCTGGGCTACAGGAGCCTGGCGAGGCTGCTGCTGGTAGCCACCATATTGTTGCTGGCCATTGTTGTACTGGTTGAATCCACCGGGCTGTTGGGCATAAGCGTTGTACTGTCCGTAGGCCTGCTGGCCCTGCTGAGGGTAGCCGCCGTAGGCTTGCTGTTGGCCATATTGGGCATAGGGGTAGCCACCGTACTGCTGGTACTGCTGGCCAGGAACGAAGGCAGAGGCTCCGGGGGTGAAAGAGGCAGCGCCGGGCTGGAATGAGGGCGCCTGAGGTTGAGGGCGAGATTGTGCGTTCAGGTTGACGCCCTCGGCCTGTCTGGCGAGCTCATCCTCCCAGGATTCGGGGGTTTGGTTCGACATCGTATATGACTCGGAATAGAATCAGCAACACGAAAATGCGCAACCAAAACCGGCTAGAAATAGGTTGGGTCAATAAAGACTGAGGGGTCCACGGCCTTTTGATTTTGCACGGCTGACTAAGACCCCGCGATGCTTCCACGTGATATGTTTATATCAAGATGTTTTTTTTTTCCCGAAGTGAAGGACATTGAATGCAAGTGCTGGTATTTTATTTTCTTTTGAGTCTGTCATTGCCTGAATGCCCAACCAAGCCATGACCCTTTAAGCGCGCGTCATTGTGGAGTTCAGGCTCATCTTCTTTCTTTGGGCTTTCAACTATCTTATCGATAACCCTCAGAGCACCATACCCCCTCCACTACTCAGCCTCATACAATCCTCGAGGTTGGCTTCCAATTGACTCAAGATGGATACATTTCTCACCGGGGTGCGTCATAATGTGCCCAATCAAATGCGGGCAGACAGCTGATCCACGCACTCCAGCTTACCCGGCAAGCGATGAATTATGCGATTCGGTATGGAGTCCCATAATGAATATGCTTGCATTTCTGACAATGGCTATGTAGCTCGGGAATTGCGATTACGGCGAGCTATGCGATGCGCCAGTCGTCGCGGTTGCTGAAGGTAAGCATTGTCCCCCGACATGGGAAAGTATCCGCTAATGCTTTTGCTTGGCTAGAACGTCAGTAGCGAAGACCGAGATGAGCTGTTTTTATTGCAGCAACGCCTAGAGAGCAAAATTCAGGTCGGTACAGTCTGTCAGTGGCGCTTGAGGCTCTAAGCTGAACTTATCTCAGGTTATCTCTCCTTCTATTGACATGATTGAGTTGATGTAATTCACCCAACGCTATTCTAGGTTACAAAGAAGCTCACAATATCTCTAGTGCTGCTCGAGGAAATACGTCATTGGAATCTGCAGTGGCACTCACAAAGTCTCTGCGATGGGACATCCAGGCCCTGGGACAACGTCTAGCAAAAGCCGCCACATCAGAAGAACTAATTCGAAAGGGGGCTAAGTCCAAGGATCGCGCACAAAGCGAAGCGGAAATCAAGTTCATCATCAAGGACATTAAGAAGCTGCTGGCTCGGATTGAAGATGCGGTGCCACTGATGAATCTCGCAATCACTACATCCGGGGCCAAGCTATCGACAAACTTGCCGGCAACAGTTTCACCCTCCCGACTTCTTCAGGCGAGCACATTTCTTACTGCAGGTGACACTCAATACTCGATGTCTCCATCGCAGGCAGTACAAGTTGGACCAACATTTACCCTTTCGATGTACATGTTATTTGCCAGCCACTTGCGGCCTCACGACGAAGAATCTGTCCGCGAAGCAACATGGAAGGAAGTCATGCACAAGGCACGACTGAAGCTACGTCGTGTTCCAATAGACTCATTACAATCTCCAGAAGAACGCAAACGAGCAAAGCTACCTGGGCCGGCCGGAGCCGACGAATACACATACCAAGTCCTCATAATTGAAGACCTTGAGGATGGCAGAGTGCACACATTTGACGAAAATGATCCACAGCCCCAGAACTATGAAGGCATTTCCCAGGCAGGAATTCGGGAAATTCTGCCCATCCATCAAATCTCCAAGATTTTTTATGCCGATACCGGCCGAATTCTGAATATTAGCACTGAAGGCGAAACAAATAATCCAATACTCCTACTGAAGCGTGACTTGAATGCTCTTCCCCCGCGGCGCATGATGGAACGGGAGGAGGTAGAGGAGGAGTACCCTCCAGCTGAATCTGATGAAGAGCCAGAAGATGAGGAGCAAGCTCAACTCGATGCACAGTTAAATGGAGGAAGCGGTTCAGCAAACAACAGCTTCAGCTCTCTCCACCAAGAATCCATACCCGAAGAATGGCGTCTGCCTCCTGGACTGGATCCAGAATGGATCGCATTCGAAGTCTACAACGAAGACGAATCTTCGGACACCGAATCAGAAGCCGAAAACGCCGACTCTACGAACGAGCCCACACTTGACCCAAACATGATGGCCAAGCTATCAATCAACGACCAACGCCACTCATCACCCTCTCCCTCCCGCCAAAGACACGCATCTCCATCAAACACAGGAACAACTACAGTCACAAACCCTCATTTCGAAAACATCCGCACCTCACTTTCACTCTTGGAAACTCTCCTCCGCTTAACCTCCCTCCAACAATTCCAGCAACAATCCCACCTCTCCATCAGCGACGAACTCCTCAACTTTTTCTTGGAAGAATCTTCCACAACAGGTGCCGGAGGCGACGAACAGCACCGTCAACGCCTCCGAAATGAAGCTCGCCGCCGCGTTGGCTGGGATCCTTACAACGAAAGCCCTGTCAAGCACCGTGGTGAAGATTATCAATATGGCTGGGAGGCCGGTAGTCCATATGGCTATACTCATGATGGAGGGGAGCCTTACTCGCCAACGGGTAGAGGGCAGGGGTTCCACCTTCGTTCTAGAGAGGGAACGCCAGAGACTCCCGTGCGAAAGGGTTCGCCCGGGACTCGTCCCAGTGGTCTGCGTGGTATGACGCCAGTATATTCTCAGTCTCCTCTTGGGAAGAACGGTTCGCCTAAGGAAGGTAATCTGGGCTCTGGGACAGCGGAGTAATTGGTGTTTGTACTTTATAAAGCAAGAACTAACTTAGTGTGGCCCCTGTATGGAGTACATGTAATGATTATGATAGCCTAAGACATAACACTTCATTGCCACCCAGAGTATAGAGTACACCCGGCGGAGAATTTACATTCCAAGCACAGAGGAAGAGTGAAAGGTAATCTTCATTCCTAGCCTTTGTAAGAGTAGCCTATTGATGCTTAGCGTGAACAAAGCTTTGTGATCTCTACAATCAGGCTACGGCAGGTGACAATAACACCGATCTGCCGGTTCGATATGGAGGGTACTAGTCTCATTGCATTATCGTTGAATATCTACTAATACCGGAATGTCCGCTATAGGGAAAGCTTAAGTTGCATGCATGGGATAATCTGAGAGTGTCGCGGGAAGACGCTAGGGAGAAATATTACACGCTGCTTGATAAGTTTGGGACGAAGTATTGATATTCTCAAAGGTCAATGTTAGCCCAAACATAGGGAAAAAGGGCCTTCACAGACCCGAACCCACAAAAGTACGGTTAACTACACGTACAGTTCTCTTGAATGGGGTAGTAGCTAAGGTAACAAAGCATCATCCGAGGACCTAGGTCAGATGTCGGGATATGAAGCGAAGAACGATGTGCATATTCAGAGAACAATCGCTGAAGGCAAGTCACGAATAACGGATTTGGGAATAGAAGAGAAAAGTCCGAAACGCCAATATGAAAGAAGACAATGAAGAACCGACATCCCTAAACTCCGAACAAAGCAAAATCTGATGAGCATGGAGTTAGCAGTGCTCGAGTCGCCGGTAGCAAGAATGCGCTCGGGGGCTATATGATATATACAGGCATCCCGCGAGACAAATTTGTGTTCTCTTGCTGAATTTACTCCCAGTCCTCGTCACTCTCCTCTGCCTTAGCATCGCTTGCGCTCTTTTCCTTGGGACTTCCAGGTGTTCGGCTGGCGGCGCCGCTGACAACGTCATAGCTGGATTCGCTATCGGCCTGGGAGTTCTGGTCGTTTGACCGGCGGGGCTCGGCTTTCGGGGTGTCCACCTTGGGGGCGAGAGTCTGGTTGTCGGTGCGGAGCTGAGGAGTAGAAGGAGACTGGGATTCGGAGTCGGAATCATCGTCCCAGCCAACTTCTTCCTCGTCTTCGGCGTTGGCGCCTGTGGAGAATTTGGTCATTAGCATTAGAAAACATATGCGACAATCATGAAGCCAATATACCTTTCAGAAGCTCCTTGCGCTTCTTCTCCTCGGTCTCAACAACGAGACGCAAGAAGTAGTAGCGAACCCAGAACTCGGTGTATTCCACCTGCTCTGGCACGAGCTTCTCCATGGCGGAACGAAGCTCGGGGTATTTCTCCAAGTCGGCGGCGATCTCATCTGTCTTGCTTTCGACGTCGAATTCCTTCTTAAAAGAAGGCCACTCGTTGCTGACAGGGTCCTTGGTGAAGCTTTCCAGGTTCGAGTGGATTACATGTAGTTGTGCCTCAAATCGGGTGGCGTGAATGACCCGCTTGCCTTCGGCATCCTTGCTCTCGAAAAGAAGCTTGCCAGACTCATCAGTCTCGGGAGGAACGATACTGACAGCCTCACGCAGCTTCTGACTGATATTCATTCCAAATCGCAGAATCGCTTCGTCGGCTGCCTCCTCAGCCTTCTCAATTTCCTTTAGCCGCCGGGCAGCTTCGGCCTTGAACCGGGAGATGAAGCTCTCTCCGCTGGCGCCTGCGCCTTCGGCTCCCTTCTCCTGAGATTCTCCATCTACCGCAGCCTTGGGTGTGGCGTTCTCATCGGTTGGTCCCTCGCCACTTCCTGTCAGAGTAGCTGTGCTGAGAGACAGCCCCTTTGTCCGGTCGACGATTGTTTCCTTAAGGTCTGAAAATCCCTTCACAGCTTCCTCACTAGCAGCTGCATACTCCTGGCGAGCACCCTCGTAGTATGTTTCGCCCTGCTTGCGTACATTGTCCCAAAGTCCGCCGATTCGGGAACCCCACGGACTGGCGGAGAAAGCGCGGAAGGTTTCCTGTAGCTCGTCGTTGAGGTTGACGCCGGGCTCCTGGGGTTTAGAGTCGGCAGAGGATTCTTCTTTATTGGAGAAGGCCTCTTCTTGAATGTGATCATAGGCGATATCCATGGTTGTGGTGGGTTGTAAATGTAAGAAGTGAAGTTCGAACAAACAGGGTTGCAGTATCTCCGCGTTCGTCCACCGCCCCGCTTGCGATCAACATTGCAAAACATTAAAACATTTAGACTACTTTCGGGCTTGGCGCTATAGTTTGATATCATTGTTTAAAATACATGTTCATAATTCGTGAGATATCGATACTACCCTTCAGGTAAGCTGTACGGCTCTCCTACACTGTCCTGGCTGCCCATCCAAAAGCTCGGTAGCGGTACGCTCTCCATCACACTCGACGTGAGAAGCTGGCTTCGAGATAAAACCCGACCGGGCCAATTATGATCTATCGCTTGTGATGATTCAACTTGGACTAATGAGTCTGGAGCGCGAGGTCGTTGGAATGGAGTTTCACCCGCGTCGGTCTGAGACTCCCTTTCTCGGGTGGGAGATGACTCGGGAACCATTTCAGTTGATTCTTTGTCTCCCTGACTTTGGGTTTGTATTTGGTAAAAGGGGCCCGGCCGTGGGGTTTGAGAAGAAGGTTTGCATGGTTCCAACTTGGAGGATTGCGTGCTGTCCTCTTGAGGAAACAGTTCGGCCAGCTTCTGAGTATTGAGGGTTGGAATTGGCTCATGCGGAAACTGTGTGGCTGCATGCATTCTATGATAGTATGCTGAGGCATCAGACATCGGAGGCTCAGATGGAAGAGCGTCATCGCTAGGGTGATGTTCTAAGCCAGAGCTACATGGCACATCCGGCAGGGGTAGCACCTGGGAATCATCCTTGGGCGACTCTGGGACATTTTGTGACATTTGCAAACCGATTGCTCGAGGTGTTTTCTTTGGGGATGGTGTCAAAGAATCCCTGTTGGAATCTTCATCGTCGGACTCTCCGTAGTCTGTATCTGCATCCGTTTCATAAATGACTGTCCGCTCTTTTTTTCGAGCTCCATTCTTCGAATCCTCGTTTGCTTCGGAGAGTTGGTACTCAGATGACGAGTCGGTCGGAGGTGCGGGTGAAGGATAATGTTCAGCCGGTTGAGATATGTGCATATTTGAAGGGTTCTGGGTGTTCGACAAGTTGGTAGTTGTTGTTACGGAGCCATCCCTTCGGTCTTGTGAGTTCTCGTTGACCCGCCGAGGCTCTGGGGATTCTTCCTTGATAGGTTGTATGGGCTGACTTGGGGCCAATGGCTCCTGTGTGGAAGAAGAGTGGGTGGCCCCTCTGAATTGAGAAGACGTTATCATAACTAGACCAGGGCTCTCGGGAGACTGCGAGGAAGGGATCTCACGTCTCCGAGGCTTTTGTGGCGTCATTGGTGCTGCAGATACCCGGTCACCCACATTGTCGGTCCCAAAGTTGGAATCTTGTGCATCCTTTGGCTGAGATATTGGCTCCCCTGTTGAGAGATCCAGTTCCTCTTCGAACACTCTGCGATTTCGTTTGGCGGAGTGGAGAAGCCTGGAAGCTTGTGGATTCTTCTCCCCTGCGGGAGTTACTTCTTGTTTATTGACGATAGGCTTCTTCTCTGATGAAGGCTGAATATATCCCAGATTCACATCGTCGTCATCATCGATAGTAATGTAACGGCGCACAAAATCCATCTGAGTCAAGGTCTTGTCTCGCTTCCCTGTCGACTTTTCCAAGGATTTTCGTGCGCCCTTCCGGCCAGCACTGACCCTTGGCGTTGCACTCCTCCTCGGTACATGTCTTTGTTCTGTGTTTCGAATACTCATCGCGGAAGTCCGTCGTTCTTGTGGGCGTTCGCTTATATCGTGCTCTCGTTTCTTTATCTGGAACTTCGTCATACGAGCTGACCGGGCAGATTGTGGTGGAAGAAAGTCGACATCATTGTCAGATTCTTTCCCTCTTTGTGGTTGCTCGATTGCGTTTTCACAGTGTTCATCAATGTAGTCGAGTTGATCGTCATCCGACGCTGTGGCCTGCGTCACGAAGTCGATCTGGGTGAGAGTTGGTTGAGCCCGTAGGTCCGGTAGTATAGTTCTTTTATGGGCTCTCGACAATGCTGAAGACTCTGGCGACAGTTCTCGTTTCGCGGTGGTGCCTTTTGAGTGTGCTGTTGAAGGACCTGGCGGGCTGGGCCTCCTCGAGGTACGGAACTGGTTTTGAGGGTTCTCTGATGGCTTGCTAGATTTGTGCTGTTCTTTCATCGCAGCTCAAGGAACGGATATGAGGGAAACATTGAACTGTGTTTATCCGCAGAAGTTCCTCATGACGTTAGGCAACCGTTGCCTGAGGCTGGACGCGTCGACGCGTCGCTAATATCGACATGGTCCGTGCGCTATAGTACAGTTCACAGTTCAAATCAACTTCATTTCTGCTCTTATTTACACAAATTCGTACATTGAAACATATGATAAATTTACAGGAATTATTCTTCATCAGACATGAGCCAGTCAGGGATTGCATCTTCGTCGTCAGGATCCTCAGACAGCAAAGATCCCTTCTCCAACTCGCTATCAGAATCATACTTCCGCGATGATCGTTCTTGGACTGGAGATGGTGGCTGAGAAATAGTGACCACGCTTGCTGATTTGGATCCAGCATTGGTTGATGAGTCAACTGCAATAGGAGCATATTGAGAGGATCCCTTGAGGGCATTGGAGGAGCTTGGCTCTGGGGATTCTCGCCGTTCATGGGCTACTGCGCCTGGGCTGTGGTTCGGGACGACCACCAAGGAGTAACGGGGTGCATTTGAAGTGTTTCTCTTGGATAAACCTTGAGGATTTGATGTTGGGCGTGTAGCGAAGGGCTCTGGGGCTGAGGCTGCAGCTGCTACCGAGTTCGAATCATTTTCGGTGGGCTCTTCGGGCATAAATCCTGCTCTAAATTCTTCTTCATCCTCGCCGTATAAACCAGATTCAACCTCTGCATAACTCTCATAAGGTAAGTGGGTTTCCAGGGCTCTTGGAAGTGGACTATTCGCAGGCTGGCCAGGTTCTGGAAAGAAGCCGCCTCCGCCTTCCTCAACATTCATTTCCTCTGCAATATCATCTTCATCGACTTGATCTTCGCCCTTGACTGCATAGCCTTTCACTCTTTCTGCAATTCTGAGCTTCACCAAAAAGAGTCGCCAAAACCGAAGAGCTTCCGCAGTTCTTGCTTCAAGCGTGGCAAGTCGTCTCTGGTCTTCAAGGCCTGTAAGAACCTCCTCAACCGCCTCTTGGTATTCAGTCGCAATAACAATGCCATTCACTACTGCAGTTCCACGACGACCTCTGAAGTCGAACCCGGTGACTGCATCGGCATAATCAATGCCGAGAATGCGGGCAGCTCTAATCGCCTCTGCTCGGTTGATATGAACACCTCCCGGTGGTACCATGCTGGGTACATAAACATCGAGGTTTCCATAAACATTCTTAGGAATTATTCCATTAACCACTGGTGGTGGCTTGTAGACTTCCGTTTGAGACTCGGCGTATAATGTAGTCTCTTCAGGTTCATTGTCATCTTCGTCGTCACCAAAACTTGCAACTTTGTTGCGGCTTGCCGGCACACGCTTGAGAGGTTGTTCTCCAACTCTGACATCGCGTCCGAGGCGGTACCATTTATCAGCGCTTCTTACGACATGTAGGTCGGATCGCCGGTAGACGGGCTCAGACGTCTCGGTTCTCACAGAGGTCTTTCCTAAGCCAACGTGTCCAATGACTCGTTTCGGGTGGATGACTTCATTTCGACGGACGTGGCGTTCCAGTGCATAGACAGGGTGGTCTTTGAAGTCTTGGATGTTGCGTGGCATTGGCTCCGCGGCTGATTTAGATGTGAGTTCACTGATCTCGGCTTCATCTCGATCCTCAAGGAAGGGTTTCTCATAATGTAGCAGTGCTGTGTCCCACCATTTCTCTCCATTGCGTGTGGACTCCACTCGCAGCTTTCGTGTCTTTGCATTAAATGCCTTTGCATACCGACGAGTGACATCTCTTGCAGATAAGTCGTCTTCAAAGGCCACCACGTAGTTCATTAAATTGAAGGGATCGCTCGCGGGCGGTTCAAACTTCGAGGGTTTTGCGAGAGATTTTGTTACTACCGGGTCGATGGCGATCCATTTTTGGGCAGCTTCGTTAAAAGCTTCCACCCAGAATACCGGATGTGATGAGTCTCGTGATTGCGGATGATTGCCTATGAATGTCAGTTCCGTTACCTATACAATGGCGGTCTCAAGACACTTACCAAGGCGCACAGGTGGTTGGGGAGGGCGTGATGGCGCGAACTTGGGCTGTCCGATCCGGCGAGACTTTGAAGCCGTAGGCGACTTTTCGGTCTTTGATCGTTCATCTGTCGACGAACCAGGATCATCTGAAGATATCACAATGTATTGAGAATTTGACTTGGACGGCGTCATATCCTTGACGGTTCCAGAGAACGGTAATGGCTGCAATGAGCAAACAAGACGGGTCTCGATAGCCACGCCCCGCAACAGGGCACAGAATAACTGGGCTCCAAAATCGCGAGAGCCTTGTAGCATTTTGGCCTGGGTTCGAAAATCTCGCCTGGATAGAAAGACTTCTGCATCGGACATAATCGAATCCTAGATAATTATCAGCAAATGATCAAAGGTGGAAGAATGCTGAAAAGTACCATCTTCTGCTTCAACTGAATTTGATCCTCTGACCAGTGAGCCCGCTTCATTCCCGGCTTGGTGACTTTAAATCGGCGAGCGAACGCATCTGCGGCTTGGTTAAGACCATCCATGATAGTCGTTGATCTGTTATAGCTAGGTTTATCCTCATCTGGGTGCAAGAGAGCAATGACTTTCTTGGGGAGAATCTTCTTCAAAAAATCCTACGAGTTATCAGATATCGACTGTGCAAATACTCGAGCGATGAACCATACCTGTGTTCCCTCGTCATTGCACCACGAATTGCGTATATGAACGTGGCCAAGGAGGCAAAGAACATGAGACTTGTGCACATCCAGTCTTATTTTCTTCTCCGCTCCAGTTAAAGGCTTTCTTTTTGGAATGGCCCTCATTCGTTTATCGGGTTCTTGTTTTAAAGTGATTTCGAGCATTTCGTCGCCGCCTCGAGATGCAGCAGTTCCGTTGAGTAGGAAATCGGATGGTTGATGGAACTCGACATCTTCCCACTCAACATCTGACTCTCCTTCTGATGACGAATCGTAGACAGTTTGTATTTGTTGAGCATCATCTTTGCTCGACTCTGGGCGTTGCTGTTTGGCTTCGACAGGGAGTGCTTTCATGTCCCCAACCTTTCGCCTTTTGATCGGTCTTTCGGAGTTAAACTGTCCAGGATCTCGGGCTTCAGCCTCATCCAACATTTCTTGATAGACATCCTGGACATCCTCATCACCTGGCCGCTTGCGGGTTTGCTGTCGACCGCGAGATGCGCGGGTCCTCGCGGAGCGAGCTGGAGTTTGCCGCGACATTTGGGATCTTGTTGGTAGGTTGGAAGATGATCAGGCAGCTTCCATGAGCTTTTGTTTGACCAGGCTATACGCGTCGCGCGTCAGCGCAAAAGTAGCAAATGCCCCGCCTTCCACGTTTGTTCAACCAGGCTAATTCACTGGATAGCGTCGATCATGTAATATCTATTGTCTCAGCATACTGGCAGCGTAACAAGATCAATCATCTTTGAACCTTTCCTGATGCTCTCTATATCTTATGTCCTTGGCTGAGAAGGTGCGTCATATCGGAGCTATATTTATCCGCGCCGGTCTGTGTGCAATATAACCCGTTTGGGAAGTGTGTTTTCAGATGCATCTCTTGCTTTAACTGGCTGGATCTTGGCTCGTTGGATTCTGTTTATAAACTTTTTGGGACTATCTGTGTCAGAGATTAGATAATGAGACACTTGTACTTGAATATATTTAGATACAGTACATGATTCTAGCGAACCACGAAATATATATCTCCAGATCTCTTCCTCGTTGTATCCCAATCCTCCTGACCGTAGCTGATATTCCACGGCAGATTACAATCCAATGTCCCAAGTCTATGACTGTTTATACACAAGGCTTTTCATATATTGGGCGCAAGACTCAATTCTACTCGAGCTCGACGACTATCTCAATTCATTTTTTTAGATAGAAACCAACCACCACAAAGCTCCATTATATCAAACTACCTACTTACACCAATTTCAGGCTAGCTCGCATCTTGAAATGTATTTCAAAACCCTCACACGTGTGAGGTTAGCATAATTTTTCACAAAAATGAGCAAACGGATGAATAACACCCATAGCTCATTCATGAGATCTGATACATATCGACAGAATGTGCTTACAGTAAGGTCAAGGTGGCATAGATTGGGTTCAACAAAATTCTGTCTACAGCGTAAACACATGATACCTGCAAGGGGCATAGAATATTCAGGCTAATGTCTGTAGCCGAACAAGGGAGCACCACTGCACTCTTCAGCCCTTCTTTTTCACGCCTCAAGCTTTAGGAGCCTATATTATACAACCGCAAGCCAATAAAGTGCCACAGGTATTGGTGGAGAATTTTCGCTCTCAATGCAGCTAATTCTCAAGTCCACAACAATCCCATGTTCGCCTGTCGGAAGGGTTCATTTCATAATGCCGTAGCCTATGTGAAATCTCCATCGAGAATGATAACGAAGGCTTGAGGTGGGTATACATAATGTTTTTAAACTTCGAGGGTTGACAAATCCCTCCAAAAGCCGCCATTCATTTGTTCCATGTCACAGTGAAGCCACTCCCGCCTATGAGCCTTGCGGGGCACTCGGAGGGGTGATCTACTAAAGGGTCGCTCGCTCTCGTAGACCCGATTGGGCAGCGCTCCCGCCCTCCACAATCCCTTTTTGCAGCTTGCAATTCCAAATCTTTGTTTTCAGTTTAGTTCAGCGACAACCATGGGTCTTTTTGCCTCGCCATTTACCTCAAATGGCCTGGCGGGAACGTGGTAGTCTCTTAGCCGGTGAATACTTGGGACTTTATCGTGTAGTTCACCCCCACCCACTTCAACAGGGTAAATGGTCCATTGGGCCCATTAGGTTGAGGCATATCCCTGTGGGACCTTTTTTCTCCGTTTTGTTCTCCGTATTATCGTATTTTGTTCTAGTTCACTCTTGAACTTTATGCCTTACCGCCAAGGAGCCGACATTGCGTATGGGTCTATAGAACTCTAGCAATGGTACTTACTGACGACTATAAGGAACGCAGTATTTGTCAAGATTCCAATCGCTATACTTTCTGCAATCATTCTATAAGTAAGACACGTAGCTTACCGAAAGCCCCGATGGATTACGAGGGGATGCTAGCTGCATGTCTTACTTGATGCGACGATAGTCTCCTTGGGCCGCACAATTTGCGGTTCGGTGAGTTGTCAAATTTCATCTAGGTGCAAGATACTATACGTTATTAGCAACGTGCATCATTAGAGCGATTTTCCCTGCACGCAGGCTTTAGCCTACCTGTCAATATGCGCTGGCCTCTTCCCCGAATCCAATCTATAGGGCCTGGCTGAATTTTCCGGGATTTACCACCCCCGCTCACACATGCGTGAATAAATTGCTTCATGCTAATTTCAGCCTCTGTGGCTAGGGCCAAGTAGCACAGTATCAGACCAGGATCTTACGACCCTGCCCAACACGATTTGTGGCTCGCCTTCGGAGCCGACGCCGAGTCAGTGATAGGCCCCCATTTCAATTTCAAATTGCCCATTTCTCTGGTTGCAACAAAGGGCCTGAGATGACCTCGGAGCCTAATTTTGAGCCCAAGCAAGGATCCCAAAGAAGACACGACACCCAGAGCATCCACCCCCAACACCGAGAATCCCCGTAACAAAGAGACGATGCATGCTTCGGTGTTCACCGAGCCGTGTACGTGCATGTCTCAATATGTAGCACTTGGAAAGGATTTACCACCCAAGAAATACCACCTATCTACCCGTGCGACTGCGAGACAAAAAACGGTCACTAAAGGTGCCAGCATGTAGTTCCAGAATTCGGCTCTGGCGCCGGGCGTTACCGACACGTTGGGACCCCCCGATACTTTCCCAGTGGTCGGGTCGGGGTGAACTGTTGTGACTCGTCCGGTTCCCAATAAAGCCCCGGAGGCTCCCCTTGAAATCCCGACTCTATGGGAGGTCGGCTGGTTTTTTGGGAACGGGCTGCAGGGGTATGCTTGGGATGTGGGATGTATGCAAGGTTGCTCAATGCAATTCTTATGCAACAGGTGTTATGTCTATTTGTTTTTTTTTTTTTTTTTTTTTTTGGTCTCTGGGTTCGGAGTTATCCGAATACCAGACGGGATGAGTTACATGTACATTTGTTCTTATGTAAGGTTCCCTGTGTTGATAGGTTCAATCTTGCCTACGTGACAGCTGAGTGTAGGATTGGCTGGTAGTTTCGCATCGGGGTTTGCAATGTGCATAGCGATTGTACATTTAGTCAAGAAGTTTTGAAGATCAGATGATTTTGGTCTGAACACAGAGTATAATACTGTGGTATAGAAAGCTCGTTAACTAAGGTGACCCGGGCCTCCGGAAACTCTTTCGCATATTCCGTGCTGCATGTTCCAGATCCCATGTGCCCCTCCCCTCCTCTTGGAAATGAGATTGGACGGAAGATTACTCCTTAGTGTCTTTCCCCAAATTGGAGGAACCCAGAGACGTCACTGGTACATTAGATCTTGTCTAGCCATGCTTGGAGGAAGCCTAGGCTTCCTCCTCGGAGACGCTAATTCTGACAGATCACCTCACCTCCCACCGCTAGGACCCGACATAGCAGGACCCTATGTATGTCAGTATGCCGTTACAAAGTAACAAAGAAAGGTTACTCATCCCGATTTTCTTTGACGTTAATGTTCCGAAATACTGCCAAAACTACTGTAATTAGCAATGATGAAACGGGAAAACGGACATGTGAAATGGCCGATCTGCGTGAAATGGAATTAATTTCCGTTACATAGGGGCATCCTGACAGCTCCACGTCTGCGGGGCCAAGGGCTTTTGTGAGTTTAGCCGAACTCTGTTGCCTCTGTTGCCAAGTGTCTTTTACATTAAAAAAGAAAATGCTTACTCCTACCTGTAGTTTGAAATTGACAGAATATCCCCACATAAAAAAATCGGATACTGTAACCTCAGTCCCAGCAGAGAGGAAGCGGCCTGTGGGCCGGTTGCAAATTCCCAGCAGGATGGAAAGGGTAACTATTGGCCGATCGAAAGGCGATCAGGATTTAGGTGTTCGATTTCAGCAGGTTGGTTCCGAGTAATTGGGTAGGGAGTCCTGAAATCAGGTATTTTAGTGCTTTTTAGTGCTTTTTTAGTGCTTTTAACCTAGGCGTATGTATTTCCGCTTTTAAAACTTGGAGAAGAAATATCATACCCCCGATCTCTCCAATCATTTCATTTCAAAACTCTAGTAAAAGTGAGAGAACAGACCGATTACCATATTAATTCCCATCACGCCCGAAGCGCCCCCCTCTGACGTCCTATACCTACAGGCTCCCCCGCTTACGTTCTGATCTACGGCCATTTATAGTTGTCCGGATCGTCCTCCCGCCCTGCCAGTTTATAACTTAACCCAACCTGTCGGGCTCATTTCAACCATGTCGGGTTTTGCATCGGTCTGAGGGTTCTCTTGGCATGGGTCTAGTTATCCTTTTATCCTAGCTCGTCCCCAGCCGAGTATGACCATATTGCTGGATCCCCCGATAAAGGAAAGTTCTTGGCCTGTTCCTCTTGCTCGGGACGTGAATAATATCCCGACCTGGTGCTCACTGCTCCCCCTCTACCCTCGTTTGGGCTGGTCAACATTGCTTGTCCCGCCGCTTGGCCTGGATCTGAGATCATGGGTGCAAGACCTCCTGTAAGATTACCTTATAGCCCATGCAGCCTATGTCCACCTTGCTTTGCTATCTCATACGTTCGAATTGACTTTCAAGTGTCTGGATGCTAACGCGGGACCATGCAGGTACCTCGCGCATATTGGTAATTCTTCCTGGTTATTTGCCGTGTCTTACTTTGCCACACTCCAGGAAGAAGCTCACTAACCATATGATAGTGACACGCAGTCTCTGACCGAGAGTGTGACAGACTATCCCATCGAGCATGGAAGACGGTATCACAGGTACCACGAGGGAGGTATGTTTGCAGTTCCGGCCGGCGTGTGACGAACATGTCTAACTCAATTTTCCAGCTTATGTCTATCCTAATGATGAACAAGAGCTAGATCGTCTAGACATGCAGCATCACATGTTCAAGATGGTAATGGATGGGAAACTGTTCCACGTCCCACTTGAAGACCCTAAAAAGATCCTTGATATCGGCACCGGCTCAGGAATATGGCCAATCGAGATGGGTACGAGCTCCCTTCCCCAACTTCCAATCTTCTTGTCTGACATCTCAACTTTTCTGCAGCGGCATTGTTTCCAAATGCTGAGATCACAGGAACAGATCTGTCGCCCGTGCAGCCAACAGAGGTACCACCAAACGTGCATTTCCTCATCGACGACGCCACAGAGGAAGAATGGCTCTGGGACGCAAACCATTTTGACTTCATCCACATCGGCCACATGACAGGTGCCATGCCGTCGTTCAAGCGCATCTTACGGCAAACATTCAAACACCTGAAGCCGGGTGCCTCTTTAGAATGTCACGAGCTTGATCCGAAACCTAAATGTGACGACAACACCATGCCACCCGAAAACCCTGATGGTGGCTTCAGCGCATTTGCCTTGCACGACTGGGTAGATATGAATATGCGCTCAGGTCGGGATGCTGATCCAGCACGGCAATTCCGCATTGCACATCGGATCGATCGGTGGATGAAAGAGATTGGGTTTGTGGACGTTCAACAGCGCATCCGTAAGATCCCAACAAATACCTGGCCCCAGGATGAAAAATTGAAGACCCTCGGTGCGTGGAGTGAGAGAAATTGGCTGGAAGCTTTGTCGGGATGGTCATATAAACCGTTCCTCGCTCTTGGCTGGTCGAAACCGGAGATCGAGGTCTTCCTGGTCGATGTGAGGAAGAGTATACAGGACCGCAATGTCCATGCATATATGGATTATTATGTTGTCACAGGGAGGAAACCCCTTAATGGTGAAAGTGAAGCATCTTGAACTCCCCTTCTTCCCCTCTCTCCTAGTGAATGTTTTCGTTTCACTGCATCGTTTTATTATGTCTTCTTTGAGATGATTAGCATGTGATACCACTGGTGGGCATAATTCTGCATGCATTGCATTGGCGTTGTTAATTTACCATTAAATTTCTATCTCATTCTGCTCTATACACATTTGTTTTCACATATTGACCGAAATTGTATAAATCCGAGGATATCCAAATCATCTGTCCTCAATCAGCAGTGTCCAATTAGAAGGGTTTTATATGGCCTTGAAGCCTTGCAGATACAAGCATACAAGGAAATGGCACAATACTCCTTTTAGAACATAAATAGTTAGAATAATCACCTCATTCACTCAACTCTATAAAGCTGATAAAAGAAGCCCGCAGATTGGTCTGTTGCCGTGGAGCTTAGTCATATGCCAAGAAATTGCTGCCATCCACTTTGAAAGTTGATCCGGAGTGCATGCGACAAGCCCAACGCAATTGGCTCGCCCATACAACAGCAGAGCTCATGCCTTTCGGTAGACATGCCTACCGGCATGCACTGAAACCACCTGCAACCCCCACATTCGACCACCTGTGGATCAGCGATGACCTACTCGCAGCCACGTTCCGTCGGTTCGCGAACGGCCAGCGGCGTCATGGGAGCTGTGTCCCTGGACCTCTAGAGGCACGAAGACGTCTTGCGAAGCGGCGGAATACTGCTCTAGCTGGATTTGGAGGTAATCCCGCTGAGGACATCTCGTGTTTATTTGGAAGATATGGACGGGAGCATATGAAGTGGACGGATCATCCGTGGCAGAGGGCTCAGTTTGAGACTCAGGGTATGTTTTTGCAATCAGCTGATGATTGTATGTATATATTGGTTGAGCTAATTGTTTCCATAGGCTTGGTCAATCACTCCTTAGGAACTGATTCTCCGTTTCCTTTCTCTGATCAGAACCCTGTGCCCGAACCCAGCGAATTTCGTGTTCCCAATGTTTCGTCGAGGCCCGTTAGAACAGATTATGACACGACAAAGGAGATACTGGAGGACTTTTTAAGTGGCAGTGATTGGGGAATTGATGATGCTCGGGATTTCACCCGTCGATTGAGGATTGATCTTCAACGGGAACCAAGATACAGCCGACAGATATTCGAACGTTTACTCACTCGTGCGGACCCGAAGCTTACAGAAGCAATTGCATTCCTCGATGATCCGTTCTTAAACACCCGAGGCTCTGGAAATTATGTTGCGGCAGTTGAAATCTTTGTCCGGGGACAAGAAAAGGTCGCGAAACGATCCGCCGTCCTGGATGCGATCAACCGTGCATTGGAATTGGGGTTGATTTCGACCGAAGAGATTTGCATGATTATTACTGCTCTGCCAAATATCGCCATTGCACGGAAGCAGACGTTGGCATCCGGGAACCAGAAGAAGCTGTTGAAGCACTACCAGGCTATGTGGAAAGCTATCGGTTCTTGCAATATTCTCGGATATCACGATCTGGACAGAAAGATTGTTGATGCTTGGCTTGGCGAGCTCCTCAGTATGCGCAGCTTTGACTTTGCCGAAGAAGTCATCATCGAAACCCATGATGCAAGCTCTCGCACCCAGTGGCCTTCTCTTCTAGTTCAAACTTGGCTAGAAGCTATGGGAGAAGCTGAGTCAGAGACTGGCCTGCCATACCCTGATAAGATTTTTACCCAATTGGATGTGAACTGTGCTGCGGACTGTGTCATCCGTGTGACCGAGTCCCTATTATCCTCCCCAGCAAATAGAACTTCCAGAAACCGTATGATCCAACGGTGGAAGGATTGCCTTTCGAGGATTACAGCTGTCTGGACTGTCGCAGAGTCACAGGTCTGGTTCGATTTTCCTCTTCCATCGGTTCAAGCATCACAGGAGCAGGCCCCTCTGAGCCTTTCAACGCAACGTCAGATCGTCTTGCGACTCTGGCTTCTACGCAATATCAGTCGATCTATGGGGCCAATGTACAGCAAAGTGGCCCGCACAACAGATCGACCAATTTCCTCGTTGCTCAACCTCTTTGAACTCGTGGCCCAATCCACGAATGGATCTTTCTTCGCAGACTTGATGCGGGAGATTCACGCCCTCGACCTCCCATGCAACAGTCTTTTACCGCTAGCCCTCAACACAAAGGGCAAAAATGCCATTACTAAAACTACTCGTGATACCCTCTGGCGATTAGAAACCGCCCAGCTTTCCTTAGCTGAAGTATGGACAAACCCGACCATCTACAAGGGAGTCCAAAAACTGTTCCACGGCACATTCGAACAAATGTTCCAACGCATGAATCTCACCAACCCAGCCACGGCAGATGAATTAGTGCATGTGGCCAGAACAGGAGACTCAGACAGCATCTGGGCCGTCCTCAGAATAATAAACAACAACACCGCGTTCAAGCTTTCCCTCACAAAAGCTTGGATCCCCATCCCACACCCGGACGAGAAAGTCCTCGTCCGCTATCACCCGCCTCAAACTGTGTACCCCGAACCCCATGCTGCAGTTGACCTGATCAACAAACTGGCAATCGCAATCTCTTGCTGTGAATCCTTGTCTCCGTGCCAGGCCTTCCATATGGTCCACTGGCTCTACAGTTTCCTTCGCAGACACAGTGGCCCTGTTGATCCAGAGTTCTGCCGGGCATTGTATCATGCTGGCGTTACTCGGTACCGTCGTGATGGTGGTTACGTTTCGGCTACCCGGTACGAGTATATCTTGTGGATCATTAGCAAGTTCGAGGGCCCTGAGGTTGCCAAGCAACTCAGCTCCTTCGGTGCTCTCAGAGAGTCGATGGCTTTTGATGACGATGATGATTGTTAATTGCAATCTGTGCGTGTATGCTGGTCTTTTCGACCATGTGAGATTCTGTACTATGAATCATAGATACCCATACTCAGCTTGCTTGCGGGCTTGATGAGCGCTTACATTCTACATGGCAATTACATTTCAAGCTTTGAAACTTTCCATTTCTGGTTGTATACTCTAAGCCTGTAGCATAAGACTGTACGTCCACGACGTACATCTGTACAATTGTACAGAAACATAATGAGACAGAAGGAACCCGTGCGTGCATTAAATCAATCCAAGGCCACTGGCCTGTGCATCAAGAAAAAGATCTAACTATCAACCTCCATGCTCTCACCAGTGGCAAGCTTATCGTCACCAGACAAAGTCTCGATAGTGACATATTTCTTCATATCTTCCTTGCTGATAACCTTTTGGTTCAACCAAGCAGTCGTACCACGAGGGAAGCGGTAGTTGCGCTCCTTCTCTCCACGCTGGTTGGGCGTCATGTAGTTACGAAGCAACTGCGTAGGCTTATCCTGCTCGATAACACACACGTCGACATTGCTTCCAGATCCCAGGTCGTTGAAGATACCAGCCTTGATCGCCTCGGCACAGATGTCGATGGCGCCCTGGCGGTCCAGGTTGGGTTGCCACATCGACTCGAACACCGACATCGCAGCCAGAGATCCAGATCCCATCGTCACATACGGCAGCTTGTCTGTGGATCCGTGTGCGTGCACAGTGTACAGACCAGTGCCGGTCGGGTCAACGCCTGCAACAACCAGGTAAGCTCCGATGTGGCCCTGGTAGCGGAACAGGTGTTGCTTTAGCATCGTCATGCAGGTGATCACGCGGGGATCGCGGCCCGTTGATAAGGAGTGAAGTTCGACGTTGGAGCTGATGAGGGCTGTGGTAAATTCGGTGTCGGCTGCAGTACCGGCTCCGGCACACCAGATCTTGGGCGCGATGTAGTGTAGTTTCTCACAGTTCTATCAAGAAGAGTATGTCAGAGCATGTCCAAGTAGATCGTCGGAGTAAGCTGCCTGTTTCTTACCTTGTCTGCTACAATGGGACCGCTGGTGGCTCGGGTGTCTGCTGCAATCTGCAATCACGGTGAATGTCAGCTCCTGGATCGAAGAGCTCCCCTAATCCCTTGAATCACGGGGTACCGTACCACAACGCCCTTATCATAGACACATCCCACAATTGTTGTACCAGTGCTTGTGGCCTTGGGGAGGGGAACACCCTTGGCGTGAAGCGCCGCATTGCGGTTGTAGTTGGAGAAATCGAAGCCCGGCATCGTGAACTACGCTGGGTGCGTGACCAGCGGAACAGGTTATCTGAGTAGAGGGTGGAAAAGCGAACGCGTATAAAAGAGCAGAGCTTAGATACAGCAGAGGCGTGAATGGTAGAATGAAGAATGGGGGGAAGCAAGCTGAAGATGGGAGGAAGAGGAAGTGAGCTGTTTGGAGTGACGAAGCTCCCGCAGCCTAATGGCCTGAATCGTCAGGCAGAACAAAGGTGTTTTTGCCGGACGTTATTTTCGGCTTCAGCTGGACTTTGGCTTCTCTGCCTTTTTACCACTCTTCACCTCTGAGGGGTTACTTCGCTTCATTTGCTTCCCTTCTCGATTGCGAGAAGTCGCGCTCTCAAGATTTTCACGCGCACCCTACACCTCTTCAACCGGAGTCCTCAATCACTCCACCGACGCTCTTTCTCTCCTACATCTCCCACCTCTCCCTCTGCCAATGCTTTCAGGACCAGTTCACCACTAGGTGAATCTACTCGTTCTGTCTCTGCAGACTTTGAAAAATACAAGATGTCTTTCGGCTTCGCTGCGTCCACCCCCGCTGGGGGCGGCGCGGAGCTTGGCTCTGAGCTGCCTGATGTCTTTACCGATGTACGTCAATCCTGAAGCTTTTACCGACCTTGCCAGTTCTAACAAGTCTGTAGGAAGTCGGTTTCAAGGGTGTCTCAGGCGACGCCAACGTTCGATTCCTACCGTCTGCCTGGCCCGACGACGCCCTTCCAGCTCCGACCTCTTCTCTTCTGGCCGTCGCGCATACTAAAGGCTTGATTGTTGGGGCTGGTCCAGATGCGCTCGCAATCAGCAGTAATGATGCTGTCCGCAAGGCTATTGAGGCGCCTGCCGGAGAAGACATGGAGAAGACCAAGGCCTTCCAACCTCATGCTACAATCCCTCTCCCTGCGCGCCCTACTCATATCGCATTCAGCCCCGATGACCAGCACTTGATTCTAGCAACAGAGAATGGCGCTTCCATTTCAATTTTTGATACCACAAGTCTGACGCAGGGTAACGCGCAACCTGGGATGCAGATCCCTACGAATGGTGTGTCGCTCCGCGCTCTCGTGCCGAACCCTGATCACAGTTCCGCGCTTGTCGCGCTGGTCACCGTTAATGGTGATCTCCTTATCGCTGATGTCAAGACCGGCACCACGATAGAGGGAGCCAACGGCCCGGTCCTGAAGTCTGGCGTGAGCTGTGTTTCATGGAGCAACAAAGGCAAGCAGCTTGTGGCTGGATTGGCCGATGGTACTGGTTACCAGATGACCCCAGATGGCACGAAGAAGGATGAAATTCCCCGACCCCCTGACCTTGAAGGCGAATGCCATGGTATGCCTGTGAACTATTTGTCACACTCGAAGTGCTCTTTTACTCACAATCATATAGTCTCATCCGTCGCATGGCTGGAAAATGACGTCTTTTTCATAGTCTACACACCGAACACCCTGGAAGATGACATGGGAATGAACCCAGCATCTTCTTACTACATCATTACTCGACGCAAGCAGGCGCCATTCTTGATTCAGAAATTGCCTGAGATTTGCTCGACCATGGGCTTCACCCTGAAGCGCGCGCCGGCGTACCAGTTCATCACAAGGATCAGAGATTACAAGCCTGACTTGAAGGACGTCTTGATTGTTTCGTCAACTGTGTCCACTGATGTCGGGCTGATTACTAGATCAGATAAGCCTCTAGCGAACGATGAGAGAACTAAGTTCCATGTCGGACAATTTATGACCACTGAGGTTTCGGATGATACAAAGCGCGCCAGTGTCCCTTTGAAAGACTCCGTCGATGAGACCTCGGTCATTGGTCTGGCACCAAACCTTTCAGCCACTGAACCTGTATCGGACCCGCTCCCAGGTTCAGATATCTCCGAGAGTTCAAGTCCTCTTCCTGGACTGTTCCTTCTGAACAACGATGGAATCCTTTCATCGTGGTGGCTTCTCTATTCCGAAGCCATTCGTCAGAACACCCCATACTCCGGACTGGTTTCAGCTGGCCAGGTACCACAGGCACAAGCACAGGCTCAGCCTGCAGCGCCCGACGCAGCCCCAGCGGGTGCAAGCAAAACTTTCTTCGCACCGCCAGCCCCTAGCCATCCCTCTTTTGGCTCAAGCGGTTTCGGACAGCCAACTAGCGGACCTGCTACCTTTGGTAGCCCGTCGCCCCTTGGTGCATCGACAATGGGTGCGACTACCTTTGCCAAGACATCATTCGGTAGTGGAAGCCCTGCACCAGCATTCGGAACAACTTCGACACTGGCACCGATCACCCCATCTCAGCCCGGCGTCCAATTCGGACAGTCCGGCTTCGGAAAGCCCAGCCTTCCTAGCCCCCCCAAAAATCCATTTGGTGCCAGTGGTGCATCCACTGGGGGAGGCTTCAGTAAGTTTGGAAGTGGCGGCGGCTTCAGTAGCTTTGCTGCAGCGACCCCAGGCAAGTCGCCGTTCGCCCAGGCTGGCTCTGGAGAAAGTCCTTTCACTACGGCTAAATCCAGTGAACCGCCGGTCAGTCAGCCGCCTCCCGCAGGTAATCCTTTTGGTGCGAGCCAGTCGACGGAATCCCCCTTTGCAACGGCTTCTTCTGGACAGACGCCTTTTGGTGCGGCCAAGTCAGACGACTCACCATTTTCTAAGCCTGGCCCGAGTGCTTTTGGTGCGAGCAAGTCATCCTTTGGCAAGCCCGCTTTCGGTGCAAGCGAGCCAAATGAGTCACCCTTTGGCAAGCCTGCTTTCGGTGCGAGCAAGCCAACTGAGTCACCCTTCGGGAAGCCCGCTTTCGGGGAGAGTTCTTTCTCCAAAAAATCGGTGTCAGCCTTTGACAAGCCCAAGTCCGAAACAACCTCTGCTTTCGGAGCTGGGCCAGGTGGATTCCAGCTTAAATCCAATTTCAAAGGTGATGGCTCGGCCGTCAATGACTCTCCAAAAACAGACAAGCCTTCTTCGGGGGCATTCTCATTTGGTGGATCCTTTGACGAGATGGTGTCGACACCGAAAGAAGGGAGCTCCGACAGTGAGGATATGGACGACGAATCGGACGAGGCTCCGCCTACAAGCAACGAGCCATTCTCCATCTTCGGTGGACCCAAACCCACTGGAACACCTCCCACTTCGCTATTCGGCTCCAAGAAGGACTCTTCCAAGACCACGACTTCGAGTGAAACCAACAAGACCTCTTTCTCATTCGGCAGCCTTTCCTCCCAGAATCAGGTGACAAGTCCCTTGTCAGCGCCTTCCGATAAAACTGAGACGCCAAAGAAAGATCAGCTCGAGGCTCCGTTGCCCCCCGACCCCACTAGCCGGGCTACTTACGCTCCGGGAGACACCTCGGCTTCCTCGAACGTTTCAAAGAGCTCTGTAGAGGATGGTCCTCTTCCTCCAGACGCCACGAAGAAGACCACATCTCTCAAAGAACCCACTGATGCACCACTGCCTCCTGACTTCATGTCTAAGAAGAAGTCTGCGCCCCAAGAAGACGATGCTCCTCTTCCTCCTGACTTCATGAGAAAACCTAAGGAGTCCGATCCTTCTGCTAGTCCCGAGGACGCGCCGTTACCACCGGACTTTGCTCCCTCGAAGCCCAAGACTGAAGCCGCCGAAGAAACGGTGCCAGTACCAGATGAAGATTCTGACGCAGATGAGTCCAATTTCAGTGATAGTGGTGAGGAGATCACCCACGAGGAGACTAAGTTTCCTAGTCCTAAGCCATCTGTGGAGAGCTCATTCGGTGCTCCATCCGAAAAGAGCTTTACCGGAGGACTGTTCAGTGGTATAGCCAAACCCGGACACGGAAAAGGACCGCTGCCAAGACAGCTCTTTGGTGAGATTCCAAAGCAGCCTCTTCTTCCCCCTCCCGGACCTGCTGCTCAAAGTATTCACGAACCTCACCGGTCACCTAGCCCAACTCGGGGCGGCTCCCGTAAGGAAGTAATGTTCTCAGAGAGACCACACAGCCGCAAGGAGTCTACTAGTGCGCTACACTCTCGGAAGACCTCTTTGACACACCTTGCGCAGCGTGATGGGCACCTGAGAAAGGCCAGTGATATTGCTCGCGAAGAGCAAGAACGAGCCCACGCTGCTGCTCAGCGCCAGGCATTGGAAGAGGAAGAGCTAGCTCTGTCTGACGACGACGAAGATGAGAGACTTCGTAATGAGCTCGCTCAACCTATCGAACCCGCCGACACGCTTGATCCGTTCCTACCCCACCAGAACTATATGGGTGAGACAGCAAAGCCAGGTATCCCTGGACAGATCGAGCTACTCTACCGGGACTCCAATTCGATGGTTGACACCGCTGGCATTAATGCCCGTTCAGTGAAGGCCTACCTTGCCTATCACCAGCCCGCGCAGGAGTCCGATGACTCCAAGTGGGATTACATCCTCCAGAGTGAACACCCGAACGATATTCTGGATGTCAAGTTATTCTTCAAGGACATCGAAAATTTCGACAAGATGGTTGCTACTATCTCCCGCTCGCTTGAGTCTCAACGTGTTCAAGGAGTAGATGAGAAGCTGCAGGAATGCCGCGACTTGCTCACCAAGCAAGTGATCACATTGCGAAGCCAGTTTGCCGGAATTCGCAAGACCCTTGATGCGCACACAGATATTGGGGCCATCCTCGAAGCGCCGCTTTCCGCTGAGCAGTCTACACTCCAACTCGATCTCCGAACCGCGTTCACAGATATTCAGGCCAAGCTGGCCGACATCGAGCAGGCTGTGTCGCTCCTACGTGCCCAAATCGCGGATGTCCCTCGAGCCAATGGAGCCAGTGGTAACCGCCCTACGGTGGAGACTGTTATCAAGACACTCAATACCATGATGACCATGACGGAGAGCAAGCGGACCGATGTGGACGTCATTGAATCACAGATGCGCCGGCTTGGCATTGAATCTACCACTGTGGCATCTCCCAGCCGTGAAGGGTCTCCATTCACCACCCCCCGCAAGACCGCGGGTCGAGTACCTATGACCCCGGGCTCGCGTGGTTCTCTGGATGGAAGCGCGTACCACACCCCCGAGTCCGCCACTCGCGGTCTCAATTTCCGGGCTAGCATCATGGGCTCAGCCAAACAGAGCCGACTCCGAAGCGTGGAAGGGGCAGGCGAGTTTGACGTGGCGGCAGAAGAAGCCACCCGCTGGAAGACTAAGTCGGCTCGTCGGCAGCACTTGGTGCAGAACCTCAAGAACGCCATCGAGGGGAAAAAGACCAAGGTGCGCGGCGTTGATGATCTGTGAATTTAATTTTAACATGAAGGCGTTGGGAATTTGCTGAGACACTAGGGCTGAACCTTGAGGCATATCCTCTTCCAGCAAACCAGAAATGACATCATTTCCTGTGACATCAGTCCACGTAGAACAATCCTTTCTCATTCTGTGCAAATACAACCGTATCGCCAACATGTCTCAATCTATCTGCCAATTCATCTTCTTCCGGGTCAAGCCGTCGGTCAAACCCGAAGATCCGTCCAATGAAGAAGGCTATGCTTTCATGGAGGTCCTCCGTGCGACCAAATATCACAGCGGCTTTCAAAGCTCCTCTTGGGGACGCACAGTCGAAGATCCAAACACGATCGTCTGGGTCGTAGGTAAGTTCAGTCCAGCTTCTCTACGAGTTGAGTGACTTTTATACCTGGCTCCCCAAGCCCCATTATACACCAATGATATACCCACCCTCGACACGCTACAACTCTACATCATTACAACAATACAAACAAAAAGATCAACCAACTGAAAAATCAAACAGACTGGAACGACGCCCACTGCTCAACAAATACAACCCAACTATCCCCCTTCCTCGAACCATCGAACACCCAAGCCCCAACATCAATCTACGTAGACCTAAGCCCACCAGTCAAATGCACAGCAACCCTAACCAAAAACCCAGTGACAGAGCTGTTCGCCCTCCCAGTTGCGAGCGAGATCTCCGTGCTAGAAAGCAGACAGCTAAGCACGGATATGATCAATTTTCGCAGAGCGCTGGTTGAGCAGTTGCCCCAGCAGGCTGGACCGAAATCGTGGGCTATGGGTCATGTTGACAGACCTGGTAAGCTGCCTCATGCGAAGAGTCCGGATGGAAAGGCTATTTTGCATTTCTTTGCTGTTGGGTGGGATAGTGTCGACGCGCACGTGAGAGCGAAGGAGACGGATAATTTTGTCGAGGCCATCCGGCCTCTGAGGGAGAAGATGCTGTCTCCTATTCCTGGGTTGGAGATGAAACATGTTAGTTTTCAGATGGTTTAGTTGGTGGGCGATCGCGAGGAGTGGTTGGATGAAAAGACGATAGAAGGAAACAGAAAAGAGAGACAGAGGGTGGCTCTGTGGGTTGATTAGGGTGGTTGAGTGCTGTGTGTATGTAATTTTGTTGCGAGGCGTGGATGGGACGTCGGTGGTAATTAGAGAGGCAATGGAAAGGAAAGGGCTACTAGGTTCAAGGGATAATTGTGGGAATTGTTATTAGGCAAGGCAAAGAAAGGTCACACACACGCCCTGGAATAAGATACAACAAGAAATCAAAGTGTAAAGGAAAAACGCCTCGAGAGATACTGAAGGCAAAGAGAGTTATCATAAACCACCGTGAACTTTTGGGCAGAACACCGCAATGGGATTTCTCATGGGAAGCATAGCAAGGGTTACTTTGCTTAAATCCGGTGTTTCTCGCTTTCTGTATCAAAGAGCGTTAGTTGAGTCGCGATACGAAAAGAGAGATCAGGGTGGGAGTAGAGGGGCAACGAACCAAGTCGGGAATACAGCATGTAAAGGGCCATCTGGTTGCACTCTGCAGTGCCTGTGATGGTGACGAGACGCTCGTTGCTGCTTTCCTGGGGCTCGTTGATCTTGATAACGCTGCCACTGAGGTGACGGATCTCGTTGATCTTGGCGCCTCCCTTTCCGATAATGGCACCAACCATGTCATTGGGAATGAAAATCTGTTGAGTCAGTGGCTGGCCGGGCATGGCACCGCCAACGGGAGCGGGGGCAGTAGGGGGACCACGGGCAGCAGGGGTTGGCTGGGGACCGGCAACGTATGGGGCAGCTGGCTGGTGGGGTCCAGCACCACCGTAGGGGGTTTGGGGAGCAGCGCCGAAGTGCATGGGAGGCTGAGCAACCGGAGCGGGAGTGGGCTGGCCGTGCAGATAAGGAACACCGTAAGCACCGCCACCGGCGCGGTTAGGGTGAGGGTGAGGGTGATGACGCTTGAAAGTATCGGGGTGTCCGTATTGGCCGCCGGCGGGCTGAGGAACATAAGGCACGACCTGCATGCCACCGGGGACAGCACCGGCAGGGCCACCGCTGCGAGTGGCGTAGGCAGAAGCTGCGGGACCGCCGTAACGCTCGGAAAGCTGCTCAACGAGTGTAACAGCGACGTAGTAAGTAGCGATGTGCACGGCGTCGGCAACACCGAGGATGACGAGGGAACGCTCGGTGGACAGAGGAAGACAGGCGTCGGAGGCGTTCAGACGGGCACCGGAGGCCTCCTGGATTTCACGGATACGGCTGCCACCCTTTCCGATGATGGAGCCGATGAGAATGTGGGGAATTAGCAAACGCAGGGGGTACGTCTTGGATTGGGCAGTGGAAGGAGCCTCAAGGGGTTCATTGTTGAGGGTACGAATGATTAAACCAAATGCCTAGGGGATAAAATTAGCAACCAAATATTCCATACTTGGTTGGAAGGAAACTCACCTTAGCAGTAGCATCTTGGGGGCCGCTGACGGTCAGAATACGCTCCACGGCACCCCGAGAGTAGTCGCTGACAGTGCACTTGGCACCTGACAGACGACGAATTTGAGACACATTCTCACCTCCCTTTCCAATAACAGTGGCGGCCTCGGGGCTAGAGATCACAGCACGGATGTGAACCCAGCTCGACTCGTCCTGGGGCTGCTGATCAGCGCCGGCTCGGTCACCCTGGGAAGCTGTTGATTGGATGGGCTGGGTATCTGCAGGAAGTCCCTTGCCATTGGGAGCATCGGGGACGACTGTGTCTCCTTGAACATCCTTGGCGGCATCGACGTCAGGAATCTGGGCACTCGATACATCGGTCTCGGCCTCAGCCTCGTCCTTGACTACTTTGTCGAGAGCTGGGCGCTTGGCCTCGGGCTGGTCATTGGGGCCGGAAGGGGACGACGGGTCCTCAAGAGGACGCTTGGTCGATTGCAGGTTGGAGGGAGAAGCGGACATTTTGGATAGCCTGTGCTGCTGTTTTCTTCACTTACGAGTGAATGTTCGAAAAGGTGTCAAGAATGAAATGTGCTTTCTTCTTTTATGATCGACTATGTACACCAGGGGTTCCCACGAAAGGTGCTGGTGCTGGCGATCGGAAGGGGAGACTGGTGCTTTTGAAAGAAGATTGGGAGGTTGTGGAGGAGGTGGAAGTTGAGGGAGTGCCGAAATGACGGAGGAAGTGCAGGCTCAAGCGGTGATGAGAGGGCTTTGCAGTTTCAACCGGGGAAGCTTCACGGAGTGTGCCGAGATGCTCGAAAAGGGTATGGTAGCGAGGAAGGTGGAAAAGGGGGCCTGAAATGGATGCGATGGGAAATATGAAACAAGGCAAGAGAAATAATATCAAGGGCCAGAAACCGTTGCCTGTTGTACCACCGATAACGTCCGAATCTGAAGTCAAGGGGCTACTCTGGGAGTAGCTTTGTCGATGAAAAGCTGACAATGACTTAAATAAGTTAAATCCACGGGGAATTGCTGACGGGAGGAGATGGGAGATGGTTAAGGGTGAGGTGAGGTGACGAGTGGGAAGTCGAGGGAACAGCTCGGTCACGTGAGAGCGATCATGGGGTGTGCAACATCGTGTTGCCATCTGTTTACTCTGCGCAAACAATACAGGCAAACGTGTACTTGGGGGCTTCTTTGATACTGCTCGGCTTTTCTACGTCTTTTGGAACATATATCACCCCGCCAATCAAAATATGGAAATCTCCGACCAAACCGTGCAGAAGATCGAGAGATTCGCAGTGAACGGCCAAGTAGCTGAGCGCGAGTTTGCACGCGAGCCTCTGAGTGACACTTCCTTACATGCCTACACAAGACGGCTGGACACAACCCTGAAAGCTCTTCAAGAGCAAGTCAAACGCCAGGAAAACGATCTGAACAAGGTACATTTTCAAGGCTTTGATATCGAGAATATCCCAGCTAATCATGACTCTAGCTACGCGAGCTCAATTCCACTGAACTCCCCGAACCGGGGACTGATACATGGGCTCGCATTTCGCAAGCCCGACGGGCCAAAAAAGCATACGAATCGGTCCTCAAGTCTGACCATGAGCTTCCAGCAACAGACTCAGTGTTGCCCTCGCTTCTCGCGCTGGAAGAAACAGCGCGGCTCATCAAGGACAATAAGACTTCAGTCAAGATGACGGCCGAACAGCTATCCACAGATCGAGATCGTCTCCGAGTAGAAGACGCCAATCTCCGCGATTCTCAAGCAATCGCTAGTGGGCTCCGAGAGCGCATTCAGATCATCCGCAATGCGCACGCAAGGAAAAGCGACCAGACTCCGTCCCAGGTTGCGCGTGAGCAGGTTGTCCAGCAGAAGAGTCAGAATAAAGAGCTTGACCGTACGTCTGCGCGTCTGAAGGTTGACCTGGATAAGTTTATAGATGATACCCTTGCTCCGATGCTTGCTGCTGAGGATTTGGGTGGACCGACTGTTGGTGATGAGCTTGAGGTGTCGGATGCTACGCTCAAGGCTGGGTATACGGCGCATGGCAAGCCTAAGAAACAGAAGCAGCCTGTTGAGGAGGATGGATCGCAAAAGCGGATTGATCAGTTCCTGCAACGCAATGGAGATGAGACGTCTCGGAATAAGAGGGAAGCTGCCGCGAAGGAAATTCATCAGCTTCTTGATGATTTATTGGAAGCCAATGCTTCATATATCAATCTCAAGCGTGACTCGGCATCTTCGAGGTTCCTTGTTAGAGCCAAGGTTGCTCAGTTCCACCCTCGAGATGCACGACGACTTCGATTGATTGATTTTGGTCGCTCGCTAGGAAACTGAGGGGGCAAATTTAGTGACAACTGGTGTTATTAAGGTGTATCTTATATCCTAGTCCGTTGTAATAGTGCCTTATATGAATCTACAAGTCAAGTCTGTGCCATGCACCGACGTATCATAAAACATGAAGAAAAACACCTAGCGATGCTTTATGCGTAAACGCCCAAATAATCATGAACATTCCGAACAAAGAAAAAAAAAATAAAGAAAAAAATCAAATAGGCATCATTCCAATCGTAGACTTGGGTGTTTTGGCTCTCGCATTTTTTCGTGATCCAGACTGGCTCGGAGGACGGTCTCCTGACTTCGTTTTTGATCGCGAGCCTTTCCCCTTGAAGCTGCCAGTCGAGCCGTACTTTCGTCGCGGTGCTCGTTTGCCAGGCGCGCGTTTGCGGCCTTTAGAGCCAGAAGCTGAAGGACCGGCATCGTAGTCGTCACCAGAGTCGAAGCCCGGAGATGGAGGTGGGAAGTAGCGGCTTGTGATGTTTTCGGTGGTATTGGCAGGTGCGGGCTGAACAGGATTGTCTAGTGCGAAGCCGTTCACATCATCCACGAATAGGTCATCGTCGCTGTACTCGTCGCTGCTACTGAGATTGATGACATTGTGGTGGTTGGGGTCTGGGACAACGCCGTCGGTCTCTGCCTCTTGTGTCATTTCATCATATCGCCGCTTTGCGTGTCCAACGAGCTTGAGAATCCCTCGGCCATAGCGCTTCACTTTGTCATGGTCGATATTCGGGATTCTAGCAAGCTCATCAAGATCTATTGTAATGTGAGCTTTGTGGCTCCTGTAGCCTTGAAGATTGATACTTACCTTGAGGGAATGAGATTCCCATCTCACGCAACATCTGATCAGAGAACGGCTGGGAACGGAGGTTCTTCTCCACAACGAGCTAGACAAAGTCAGCTTCACAACGGCGCATTGATAGGAGCAGTAGAAACTCACCTTTTGGAGATATTCTTTGGCATTCACCTCGAAGCCTTCCACGACTGCACGGTGCAGGTGATCAAGGCTCTCCAACCGTTGATCGCAGGTAATCGGAGGACCCGACTGGTGTGTATTCGCACGACGAGGCTGGCTGTTAGTTCGAATTGGTTCAAATCCGTCGTCGCTGTCATCAAAAGCCGGAGGGCGAACTGGGGCGCCCGTGTATTGGAAGCGCTCCATGCGCCGATCTTGAGCGGCAATCACAGGCGATGAGACCATGGTGGAATGAGGAGCACCCTGGGTACCAGGATTTGATTTCTTGCCAGCAGCAGCCATCTTGCTTTTGGTCTTGGCTTTGGCTGCTTTGCTGTTCGGAGAAGCCCGAACTTCTAGTTCCATTCGCCGCTTGCCAGACTCATACTCGGCCGCACGACGACCGAGAATGATGTACTGAACTGCGAAGTCCTTTTTGTTGATGACGTTGTCTTCAGCCAGTGCGTCCTCGCCTAGTAACCGATAAAATAGCCGTTCAGCTTCCCCTCTGTCCAGGTTTGCGCCTTTTCCATAGCCTGCCATTTTGCGGTGTGATGGATCTTTCGCTGATTTGCAAGCTCCGCGAAGTATGTCTACACAGTAGAGAACAGTCACCTTCGCTTTCTCCATCTGTAGGTGTCGCACAATCTTGATAGCCCATGAGGCCTGCTCAGAGAAGTCATGGACTTCAAACACCAGATCAGACTTGCAGTTATCACATGTGTTGTTGCAATCGTCTCGGCGGAAGTACTCATTGAAATATGCGAGGACTTGCACACGTCTGCAATCGCTGCGGTTCTCACAGAATTGGACAACGTTCCGCAACATCTGCTTCTGGCGTGCCTTTTGTTGATAGCTGCCATCTCCCGAGTCAATCATGCGCTTCAAGGTTGCGGTATCTCTGTAGCCATAGTAGAGGAAACAGCCAGAACGCTTGCCATCTCGACCGGCACGGCCAGTCTCTTGATAGTATCCTTCGAGACTCTTTGGGATGCTGTGGTGCATGACGAACCGTACATCGGGCTTGTCGATTCCCATTCCAAAGGCAATTGTTGCTACGATTATGTGCAGTTGACCCGCCTGCCACTGAGACTGCACCTTCGATTTCTGTGGTGGTGTCAATTTGGCGTGATAATGAGCCGCTCTGAGACGATACTTGTCTCGTAGATCTTCTGCAACTTTCTCACAGGTTGCTCGAGAGAGGCAATAGATAATTCCACACTGGTTTCGGTAGGAACTTGTGATGGTTTCTGCCATACTTGCCAACACTTCATCATTCTTTCCTTTTGCCCGCACTTCGTAGGTGAGGTTGGGACGGTTGAAACTCTGCAAAAACACCTCACATCCGGACATTTTGAGGTTATGCATGACGTCCACTTTCACGTTTTCTGTGGCTGTGGCTGTGAGAGCCATGAGAGGTACGCCAGGCAGTCTGTTTCGGACTTCTCCCAGCTCTTTGTAGTCAGGGCGGAAATCATGTCCCCATTGACTTACACAGTGAGCCTCATCAATGACAAGCCGTGCTAGTCTTTTTCTCTGGTTGAGCTTCTCCAGGGCACTGACCAAAGTTTGGTTTTTGTTGATCATTTCAGGGGTGATGTACAACACCTCCACTTCTTCCCCACCGGTATGGGAGAGTTGGCTTAGAATCCACGAGCGAAGTTCTTTGTCAGTGTCACCGTTCATCATGAAGGCTTTGATGTTCAATTTGTGCAAGTGTGACACCTGGTCCTCCATCAGGCTCAGCAAGGGGGATACCACGATGGTCACACCCCGAGTGTGGCCGCCTGTTACAATTGAAGGCAATTGATAGCACAAAGATTTTCCTCCACCAGTGGGCATGAGAACGAATGTGTCTTTTCCGGCAAGTGTTGCATCAATGGCCTCCAGCTGATTTGGTCGGAACCCGCGAAGGTGAAATCGATCTTTGAGAACGGTTCTCACCTCGTGAGACCAGGCATGATTCGACCAGAAGGCGCTACGACCAGGTGACTTCTTTGGAACGGGTGCCTTCTGGGTGTTTCCGGATGTCTCTGCGAACACCTTGCGGTTCTGGCTTGCTTTATCTGGTATAGAACTTTGGTTACCTTGATCAAAGCTCCCTGTCACCTCTAGCAACTCATCGTCGCTGGCATTCCAATCAAAATCATCAAAGTCCATTGAAGTAAGCGGTGGAGATCCCATGTTTCGGGTGACAGATTGTTCGTTGAAATTATGCCGCTGTGTCTCTTGCGCCCTTTTAGGGCTCATGACAGGCACATGACGGCTTGGTTGAATTTCTTGGGGAGCAGTGGTGCGTGAAAAAAAGGATGGCTCCTGTGTTGCTGTGCGGGTTTCATACGATGATTCGGCGAGGTTCACAGGGGATGATTCAGGAGGGCAGTCTTCCACCAGCTCGAGAATCTTGGCCTGGGGAAGCAACTCAGAAATTTTGGTTTCGATTTGTTCCAACTCAGTCTCGACCGCTCGACTTTGCGCAAGCTCTTCGGGCATGGTGGTTGGATCTTGACCTTGGGAAATTGCTTGTATCAGGTTCTTTTTCAAAGTCTGCCTGCGAGAAATGCAAGACTTGTGCGCGGCTTGGTGTTTCTGAAGCTCTTCAATTATCCCGACTTGAGCAACAATATTCTTGTTCTCGGCGACAAGTTCTTGGTCTATTTGACCTTCCATGACCTGCTGGTATACAATTTCCGAGTTCTTTTGTAGGGTGGCCCTTAACTTGGAGATTGCCCGCGGAAAAGAATTATATCCGAGAGACAAGGTCTTCAGAAGCCCCGGATCCTTCTCTTGTGAGTTAGCTGGCTTTGACCACGGCGTTGAGGGAGTAGGATCTTGTGAGGGCGTCTTTTGTCTCGTTCGATTCGAAGGTTGTGTAGGTAGTACCGGTGCTTTAGGAGTGTATTCGGAGCGCGAATTCCAGAGGTCACTCTTTTTCTCATCGCCAGCTGGGCTTATTTCAGGAAGTATCGGGTACAGTGACTCCTCGGTATCTAGTACCATATCATCAACATGAGTATCATCACCGAGCCAGTCGTCAAACAGGTCCTCATCGTCGTCCGAATCTGCAATAACCTGCTTTCGCTGGGTTCGTGGGGCGACCGGGGAATGATATTCGGATCGTTTCGCCGCGCTGGGAGGGATTGTCTGGGCTGTCTGGCGTGACGTTTTGTGGTGTTCCGGGACTGTCTCTTCTCTAGCGGCGGGAGGCCGAGCAGCTTTCGAGCGACTTCGCACTTTCGTCGCATGTTTCGATGGAGACAGAAGATCAGATGTATACTCGTCGCTCTTGCGCTTCTTGCCGCGTTTTTCGCGTGGTGTAACTTCCTCCGTCCATAACCCGCGCGGCTCTCCAAAACGGATGGTCCCTGATGTTCCCGAAGACAAGATCGACTGGTCAAGCCCTCCTGTCAAATCAATAGCCTCGATGGCGTTGTGCTTAGAGCTGCCGAAATTATCTGATCGTAGCGGATCGGGCTTCGGCCGAGGAGTCTTGTGTGACGACGCCGGAGGCTCGCGTAAAGTATCTGCCCAAAAGAGATTTCCTATCAGCATAGATGATCCCAATCAATGCCCATATTCGCTCACGCACCTCGAGCACTTGGCTTCGGCGAAGTGCGCCGCTTCGTTGACGGCGTATTCGCAGAGGTCGTGTCGGGGCGACTCAGCATTCGAGGCTTGCTCGCGGATTGGGGAGCGAAAAGAAGTCTGGCCATTTCTTCGTCCGCGTCGCTGTCCACATATTCCGGAATATCATGGAGGGTCGTCGCTTCTTCTGCGGGGAGAGCCGATTGCGATGCGTTGCGTTCAGGCAAGCAGACAAAAGCAGGACATTTAGGTGGAGCTTGCTTAAACAGCCATTTGAGATGAACGGCCAAGTTATTCTTCGTCATGGGGGCGTGTTACTCTCATCGCCGTCAATGATGTTTTTCGAGTTCAGCAATCGCGAAACCATAGACGCGTCGGCACGTGAGCGGTCAGGCAGATTGATCGACCAGGTGTAACGATGGACTGTGGAAAATAAAAACGCGATAAATAGACTATAGAATTATATTGATTAACTACTATGTTTACAGTATTCAACTAAGTGTATACAACTACAGTTGCCCCCAACTCATATAGATCGGAGGGGGGGGGGGGATTCAGTGTGGGGAAAAGGGCATAATTTCTGCCCCACGGCGAATTTTCACGGCGTTTGTACATCCAACATGGGCAAAAAGGACAAGAAGTCCGCCGAGCACAAGGCGCGCGTTGCTGCCAAGCAAACAAAGAAAGGCGACAAGAAGGAAAAGAGATCCAAGGCCAAGGGCAAAGATGCAGACAGCGATGCCGAAGACGCTGATCTTGATGCCATTCTGGCCCAGTACGCCGAGGAACAAGCCAAGTTCTTGAAGGTCACAGAAGTTACCTCTGAGCCTCCTGTTCCTCGGTCTTCTTCAACGGTGCTGGCATCGCCGTCTAACCGGAATGAGATTATGCTTTTTGGTGGAGAATTCTTCGACGGCACGCATGCCTCATTCTTTAACAACCTTTTCGTCTATTTGATTGATCGTGGCGAGTGGAGGGAGGTGAATAGTCCCAACAGCCCCCTTCCTCGCAGTGGACATGCATGGTGTCGTGGTGGAAACACCGGAGGTATCTATATGTTCGGAGGTATGCTTCCCCCAATATATCGGAAGATGTTGTCTGTAATCTGACTTGAAACAGGAGAGTTCTCGTCCCCTAAACAGGGTACTTTCTACCACTACAATGATTTCTGGCATCTGGACACTGCCACCAGAGAATGGACTCGTCTCGAGACCAAGGGCAAAGGTCCCCCTGCTAGGAGTGGTCACCGCATGACCTATTTCAAGGTATGAACCAACCAGAGTCCCGAATGCAATACTTAACTAATACTCCATTAGAATTATATCATTTTGTTCGGTGGATTCCAGGATACTTCCCAACAGACCAAGTACCTGCAGGATCTGTGGATCTATGATTGCCAGCAGTACACCTGGTCCAACCCTACATTGACCACTTCCCAAAAGCCAGACCCACGCTCATCATTCTCACTGCTACCACATGAAACCGGAGCCGTTCTCTATGGCGGTTACTCCCGTGTGAAAGCATCAGCAGGAGGTGGTGGCAAGCAAGGTAAGGGTCCTCAGAAGATGGCTCTCCGGCCTATGGTCCACCAGGATACCTGGTTTTTGAGAGTCACACCGCCCGCACCGGAGGCACCAGCATCAACAGGCCCCGCAATTAGATGGGAGCGACGAAAGAAGCCCGCTAACACGCCCAACCCGCCGCGTGTTGGTACCACCATGGCATACCACAAGGGCCGTGGTATCATGTTCGGTGGTGTGCACGATGTGGAATTGACCGAGGAGGGTATTGATTCCGAATTCTTTGATACCCTCTTCGCATGGAACACCGACCGAAACCGTTTCTTCCCTCTCAGTCTGCGCCGTCCTCGCGCACCTGGCAAGAAGCAGCAGGCGAACCAGGCTGCCAAGACTAAGAACAGGGGTAAGGCTGATGAGGAGGAGCTTTTGGCAAATCTTAAGGCTTTGGAGGCTAAGGTTGGAGTTCGGGGTGATGATGACGAGGACGAGGAATTGTCTACCCCTCAGCCTGAAGAGCCTGTTGAACCGTCCAAGCCTTCAGTTGTTCGCTTTGAAATGCCACATAGGCGTTTCAACGCTCAGTTGGCTGTGCAAGATGATACGCTCTTCATTTTTGGTGGTACATTCGAAAAGGGTGACCGGGAGTTCACCTTCGATGACATGTATTCCATTGACCTGGTCAAGCTGGATGGTGTCAAGGAGATCTTCTACAGGGAGCCAGAGAACTGGAACTTGTTGAAGGAGGAAGACAGTGACGAAGACATGGATGATGAAGAGGACGACGAAGAAATGGATGAAGATGAAGAAAAGGCCGACGAAATGTCTCTTGATGCTTCGCCTGCTCCAGAAGATGCGGCCGCATCTGTCACTAAGGACCTGGAGCAGCTCGAGGTTGAGGAGTCAGAAGAGCCCAATGTCAATGACAGCAGACCTCTGCCTCGTCCATTCGAGAGCTTGCGCGAATTCTTCAGTCGTACATCTGAAGATTGGCAGAATATCATGATGGAAATCGCCAAGGAGAGAGATCAGGCCAGCGAGAAGACGATCAAGGAACTGCGCAAGGCAGCGTTCTCTATGGCCGAAGAGAAATGGTGGGATAGCAGAGAAGAGATCATGGCTCTGGAGGATGAGCAAGAGGCTGCAGGCATTGGTGAGGTTGTCAGCATGTCTGATCGCACTGAGAACGCGGGAGGAGCTGGTCGTCGCCGTTGAGTTCTTTCTTAGAGATATCAAAAAGAATTTATGTGTTTCATGTCCATCATCAAGATCAGTATTCAATATATAGTTATTGTACAAAGTGAAAATAATAGAGCATTGGATAGTCCACGAAAGCTTCTAAAGGAGTATATTGTTTTTGCCTTACTTTGTACTCTCTACTCGCCTCTTTTCTCACCTCTTTTTTGCTCATTTCAAATGCCTCGGGTGAGCCATTCAGATCACATAAACGTGGGAAAGTGAAAGGACCTATGGCCACTGTTGTAGCTACAAGCTACCTACACGCCTTTGAGACACAGTCAAGATTGACGAGGGAAGCAGCATAGGCGGCAGATCTAGAATCTGGTCATCTCGAAAAAGGGGGCGCTCAGAAGAGCAGCCTAGGGGGCAGCAGAGGGGCAACGGACGACTAGGCAAAACGAAGGAGTCCACTATCAAACATACGCCACATCGATCAAAGCATTACGAGCTCAGTGATTTGTGGCTTTAGGCTTTAGGGATGATTCTTTGTTTGTTTATTCCGGTGCAATTCAGAAGGTCTCAATAGATAGCCTAGCTATCGTTTCTCTACTTTGAAGGCTACAAACATTAGCTAGGAGGATTTCGATGTAGGTTATGTTGTAAAAATGGCTCTAGGTTCTTCTATAAAACTCTCCCTTCCCTTTTCTAGCATTCCGGCTCTCGACTAGCTTATATCTATGAAAGATTCCTCTGGATCTATTGTACTTCTAGAAACTTGGGATCTATAGAAGACTTTTCTAGTGGTGAGATTCACGGCCGAAAGCACTAGAATAATCTTCACTATAAACCAATCGCTAGGCCATATATAGGTCGTGCTTATTATACACTTTCGTAGCCTAAATTATATTGCTACTAACTAGTTAGTTAGTTATATAACTAGATTGATCGAAAGATAAAAAGCACCTCAGTCAATAGAACCGCAAAAACGAAATCAAGCAAGCTAGATAGTGATATTTATTTCTGTTTCACGCCACAATTTGGATGACCACAAAATCACGACACACCATAGTTTCACACAACAACTTGTGTCAGTCTGTTGTCGCGCGGCACTATCAGGCTTTGTTTTGCCCTGCTTTTACTAGTGATGCTACCTTCATCCGAATGAATTTTTCTTGAGATACACCACGATTATCCTCACTTTTACTTTTAATCGTCTTGAGCAAAATGGTGTCTTCCGAATGAACTTTTCTTGAGATACACTAAAATTATCCTCATTTTTCTAATTCAGCCGTCTTGAGCAAAACGTCATCGCTCGAACCGGTCTTTCGGACGAAACAGGTCAAGCTTACTACAAACCAAAGTTTTTAGATAATTAGGACGAGGATAGGTAGACATTGTATTATGGGAGCTACCCTGATAATCCTAATGAACTGACGATTGTCATCTACGTTGATGTTCTTATAATTATACCTCGGAACCTAGCTCAGCAAGAGGGGGCGTCTCCAATGTGAACCCGTGGACCTTGGAAGGACTACCTACCCAGGTTGGCTCATCGGGATACCGTAGTTTAAAGCCATTTCAACACACTAAGAAGTATAGTTAGAGGGATTCTCGTAGTCATAGTAGCCTAGAATAGTGCCTGAAGCACTGGGCAACAGCGCTGTTCCGGGAACCACATACCTAGGATCACTCGTGGCGAGAGGAATATTGATATTCACGTAAGTGAAGGTGACGGGCTTGACCGTGGTTGGTAGGACTCCCGCCACCGTGTGATTCGGGTAGCTAGTGATTGAACCAACGGGCTTGATATGGTATGCCTCGTCAAGCTCGAGGTTGGTGCAGTTCGCATCGATTTCTGGGTTGAGGAAATAGAAATCAGTAAGCGAGATAGAATGCGCGAGAGAGACCTTGGCACACTTATCACTATCTTGAACCTACAAGAGCATCAGTAAACAATCGAAGAACCCAGCTTGTGGGAGAAGGAGTTTGACATAACTACTTACCGTATACCACTGGCTACAATTACAGTTGCTGTTATCCATGGCGTTTGTTGGGACTGCTATAAGGCCAGTGGCGACTACAGTCGCCGTGGCATGCGTGCTTAACTTTGATCCACCGGTGGTATGATTCAAATAACTACTTAGAGGGCTATCTATATCACGTCAGAATTTCCATAGGCTCTTTATAATATAGCTAGGGAACAAACAGGATTCGAAGGGATACTCACCTTAAACAGACCTTATATCTAATAAAGAAAGGAGAATTCAGACAGAGGGAGTTGATAATGGGGTTCCAAGAGAAGAACTACGGAAGAGTCACATTTTCGAGGCCACCGATGGCACTATCGTAAGTGTTATTAGCCTGCCAAGTATATGTATTGCACTGCGAGGGGACACAAAGTGTCTGGCTCACCTTCGCCGCAAAATTCTGATAGTAGAGATCTAAATTGTTGGCTTGTAGTAGGAGATATATCGAAACACCTAACGATACTACGGAATTGTAGTTATCTGTTTCTTTGAGCTAGTAGTAGCTTATATAGCTAGGTATAGCGGTACTAGAAGCAATTGCACTAGACGAAATTTTAGTTGCCGTCGCAGTTGCATTAAGTGCGTACGCAGTTAGAGAAGTAAAAAAGTAGCCCGAGGCACTACAGCTCGACGTTAAAGAAGCGAAGTTGTCTCTTATAGCCTCTTTATATCCCAAGGGACAATTTAATTGAGCCTCCAACGCTCCTAGCCAACAATCCGAGCATAAACCATGGACTAGCCAAGACTCGTTGGACCAGGAAAGCAATTGCGGGTCATAGTAATTCCCCGACCTAAAAAGGATGATTCCTAGTCAGAAATCGATAGATATAAGCCAGAATTATCACTCACTCGTCTTTCCGACACGAGACATTATAGGTCAACAGATAATTGTTAGTGATACACGTAGCTAGATAGGCTATATCCTCAACGACGACCACGTCGGTAGTCTCTATATAGGCTGCCTCGATGGTTGCTCTAGCACTCTTCAAAGAGTCATAGCAGGCATAGACACAAAATTTAACGACTTCATCTTTATCCAAAAGAGCGTTGCTATCTCAAAATAGCTTTAGACACGATATAATTGAACTAGGGACTCACTCGGGGGACACAACGGGTAAAAATACCGGACAGGATACATTAGTTGCTAGGGATTCTTTACAATCATCGGTAAGACTAGGATAATTTGTGAATCCCTAAATGCCAGTAGGTTGCTGACCTAGTGCCGTCAAATTTAGCAGGGCCTATAAGGTATTCTATGTCCCACGTATCTTTTGGGTAATATAGAGGTGAAGACACAATCACTACACTCAAAAGAATGAACTGGCGAGACAAATGTAACTACCGGGAGAATAGCTAGTTAAACTGTTCGTAGGGATTAATTCACCTAAGGAGTGAAAAGAAACATAGCATAGCCCGGGTGGCTCTATATACAGAGCAATTATAATCACTCGGTATCTACACAGAGTAATTACCTCGTTAACGTACCGATCTATTTAAGAGTATAGTTCCCTAGAAAGATCCACTTCACACTTCTAATCGGTGGCTTTTTGCACAGGTCTCACACTGCTCTTAAAATTACTGCGGGCCTAAAGGACTGCCGCTTTATTAGACTTGAATACTACCCTATAGGCGAAGATTTGCCGACCGTTTGAGCCCTGCCTAAGTGAGAGCGAGAGGGATTTTTCACAGTATTGGGTTAGCGAGTGGTTTCTACCAAGCTAAGTGGCTTGGCGAGGGAAAAATATCTTAAAGTGGCTTAAGATGGATCGTTCGACCCAATAATATTGGGTAAACACTCTACACTTTCTTTAAACACAACGAATTAAATAATTATAATATTTCCTTTCAACCCTCACATTCCTAAGACAACCAATTGTTCAATCAACAATTGCAAGTTTGCATAGGCCTGGTACTTGCAGACTAGGAAGCTTTCTGGTCTTGAAGTCTGCGGCTGCTTTATTTGGATGGCTTTCGAAACATTGCTCGCGAGGGTTGTCTGGGTCCTAAGATTGACGATAAATTTAGTGTTGTAGGTAATTGCGAAATACTCGAAAACACTGTTGTGGGGGACAAATATCGAGTCAGCGGGAAGTTGGGCAAGGAGCTCTGTCAATTGACAGAAGAGGATCTTGTGGACTCTAATTGATAAGCAAGCCAACACAAATACCGGTGGGCACTCACTCATTCGCAATGATAAGCCTCATCACTAGCAAGCGACATGCGTTGCGGTGACTGCCGATTGAACTAATGACTTAATGGAATCTCAAATTTTGAAATATCTAGACATTATAATCTCGCATGGCTTGCTTGCCCTATACAGGTTGAGGATAAACCAAGGGTCCGAGTAGGAGTAGACCATCATGTGTCTACTGGTCCGGCCCGACCCAGATTTGATCGCCTAGAAATCAAGTCATCCTTCCAGGTTGAAACAATCCCAGGGCTAAGTTTTAGGATGTGTGTCCTGTGCCACCGAGACGCAATTGGGTGTCGTTGATTTGGACTTCAATACCTGCGTGGGCAATCCTCGTCCGACGTCATTGAGACACCTCGCGGAAACTCTTCGACGTCATGTTGGCGCTGAAGGATTTCAATGTAACTTTGGGGCCGACATGCCCTGGCAACCCCAGGCACACCATGATGGGACTATGCAAGTATACACAAGAGGCATATTCTCCCAAGAGATGAGTTCTGCCGAGACAACAGAGGGAAAGTGTAGTAGAATTCAAACAGAAAGGTCGACTTCTATGCTGGATCTATATTGGGTCTGCCGTGTTCAGATTTGTCGTCGGCGACCGGACTCTGGAGCGGCCCCGCCAAGCGCCAAGTAAACCCCCCCAAGCAACCCCCGCCAAGCGCCTGAAGGCGTTCTCCGAGCTTGGCAACATCAGATAGCTATCTTACCATCAGCTTCAACGAGTATCATAACGCCCCCTTCGTACTACCCGCATCCAATGATAAGCGATGTGGAAACCCCTCTTTACATCCCCAACTTATATATTTGGCGGTATCCTGATGAATTGAACGAAATTGCTCATTATCAAAGCAAACCCCAGTCTCCCGCACTCAACTCAACAATCGAAGTTCTTCTCCACGATGACTCTCTTCATCAAGGTTTTTTTTTGCTTCAAAGACGTACATTATTGCGCACCTACTTATCAAGTACGCAGACTACTATCCTTGGTCTCTTGGCCACGACTGTTTTCGCTAGCCCGGTGGTCATGAACGATGATACCCTAGCCAAACGTCAAGGTACTCCGCCCGCAGCTGGATGCCCTGGCGACAATGCAAACGAATGTCAAAAAGCCCTATCATTTCCATGTGGTCCCGGCTGTGCTATGCAAGACTTGGGCTGTCTGCATAACTGTCTGGGAAACGCGGCCATTCAATGCGCAAAATGTGAATTCTAGACTGCATGTTCGCAGTTGCACAGCATTCTGTCATAATAAAGGCTAGAGATGTATGTGACAGCCTGGTCAATATCTCGGATGGGATCGATGTATGTAATTGCGAGGTCTTGGATGCTTGATGCTCTAAAATGGTTCTATTCTCTACTGGTTTATCGTATGCAACGAGAGACAATGAGCACTTAACTCTTCTCAAAGCTTACGCAGACGTGGTTTTTAGTCGAATGTCAGGCAATGAATGCCATAACTGTTTTTCTGTATGTCGAGTTGAACAAAATTCATATTGAGGAGAGGAAGATCTCTTTGTTGTAATCAACAATAGGTACTTAGGAAGGCAGGAAAGAGCTTTGAAAAGTCTATAGTGATGAATTCAATTATCTTGCGCATATATCTGTATTTCTTTTTGAAGGGTTTGGAATGTTCCTGACGGCGTTGATGAGACGACGCCCCTGCTACTAGAACGGTAGCTTAACTTAATTTATTTCAAAGAATGGGCCTGTCAAGGGCCTGCTCTGCCTTTGAGTGATTCACTGTGGGGTCTCACGATCATTTCTTTTGTGGCTTGCGGTATACAGAAGTATACAAAAGTGTACTGAAGCATCAAATTCCGAAAGCAGCCGCCGTGTTCCTATACCTGAGCGACCTTGGCCAACACTTCAGACACTAGAGCAAAGTCTCGCTCCACGTCAACTCGCCAATTTGAGATTGCAATACGGCAAGCAGGGGCGCCATCCCAGCTGGTACCCGAGACAAACATGCGAGAGCTATCGTTGATCTTCTGTGCCAGATTGCGGTTCAGCTCTTCATCGTTGGCTCGGAGTAAAACAGACATGAATGTCTGATCGAGCAATTCAGCCTTTAAGGATGCTTTCGGCAAAGCTGTATATCCAGGATGGTCAAAGACCCAGCCATAGATCTTTCTTGCGAGCGCAATCTGACGACCAAGCATTTCTTGATAACCAGATTTGCCATATGACAAGAGCGAGGCATAGACGGGCAAGGCCCTGAAACGACGAGAGTTTTCCAGCCCAATGTTCAATGGCGAAGGAATAGAAGGGCCATCGGAGTTGCCAGCTGCTAAGTAGGCGGCGTTTGCATTTTGAAAGACTTGCGATGCCACATGTGGATGCCGAGAGAAGAAAAAACCACAATCATAGGGAACGTTGAGAAGCTTGTGGCCGTCACCAGTAATTGAGTCGACCAGTTCTAATCCTTCGCTGCCCTTTTTGATGGTTGCAAATTCAGGACTGTCATCCAGGACTCGGGCAAAGATACCGAATGCACCATCTGCATGAATCCATGCCCCGTACTTGTCACAGAGCTGGCGAATCTGTTTTAAGTCCTCTCCACTTGTCGCAAACCGGCCAGTATTGACCTCTCCGCAGGAAATAGCGACAATGCTCACTTTGTCTGTTCTCGAAAGCTCTTTCTTAAGTTTCTCCATGTCAAAGCGAAGGGGATCATCAGACCGGCAGATGTGCACATTGGAACGGCCAATGCCCAATATACCGGCAGCCTTCACTAGTGAAGAGTGCGGAAGAGTCGACAGCACCTGAATACCACGAAGACCCAGTGAATTCAGAACCTCAAATAAACCATATTCTCCGACACTTTGATTTTCAATGCCCTTCCTCTGCGCTGCTTTCTGCAAAACAAATTCGCGTCCACAGGCTAAGCCAAGGATGTTACTCCCCGTAGCACCCGTAGTGAACGTTCCATTGTGCCAAGCAGAGCGATCCAAACGGAAAAGGTCTAACAGCAGACCAAGCGCATTGTACTCGACATCTGTGACAATTGAGTGATTAGGGAGATGCACCTGAACGTTTTGGTCGTAAGCAGAGACAACATTGTCGGCAAATAGTGCTGCCGGCGTAGTTCCGCCGGTGATGAAGCCATAATAGTTGGCACTGATGCTGCCTCCGTTGAAAGCAGGTACAATCTCATCGAGGATGTGTTGTTGGACAGTCTCAAGGCTGGAGCCCGTGTCCGGGAGTGCTGTTGGGAGAGAAGCTCTTGCTCGCGCTAGGTTCTCTGCGCTGGGAAGAACGCCGGACTCCCATGGCCCCCGGGCGACTTTCCACAGATCTTGTTGCAATTGGCTCTCCATTTTGTAGATATTGAAGGCTTAGAGAGACTGAGGCTGATTTATACAACTGTCGGGATCTCCGTACCCTCGGGATTTGGGAAGGATTCGGCTGGACCTCCTTAAAAAGGCAGTGGATCACCTCTGATCTTATCTGCCTGTAAGCTTGAATATAAGTTACTGCAAGATAGAATAAACCGTTGAGTTGATTGGGCAGCTTGAAGTCGAAGAAGGACGTGTAGGGGAGAAGTGCGAGCGATAGGGCACTCCGCACAACGGTTCGACGGCCCAATTGATTTTAGCCCCATCAACACCGCGATCATGGCCGCGAAACTAATTGATCGTCGATTCCACAATGTCCCAGGTATAAACCCAGTCATTGACAAAGCTTATTGATATCGGAACTAACTCACCCTGACCACAGACAAGCTTCGGGTCGCCGAGCTGTTCTTTGATGTCCCGGTGGACTACAGTAAGCCCGCCGCTGGCCAGCTGCGACTCTTTGCTCGCAGTGTCAGTCAGTTGAACAAGCCCATTGAACCCAAAGAGGAGGACAAAGATAATAATCTCCCTTGGTTGGTTTACCTCCAGGGCGGACCTGGCTTTGGATGTGGTCCCCCGCAATCTTACCCCTGGCTTGAGACGATGCTCAGCAAGGGCTATCAAGTATGTCATGCATTTTGGTTTTGATTTTGGCCTTGATCGTGAGATAAGAATATTAATCTTGAACTATTTCTAGGTTTTGTTTCTAGACCAGCGTGGTACTGGTTTGAGCTCGACTCTTACTGCGGGAACTCTAGCCCGCCAGGGCGACGCTATCAAACAGGCGGAATATCTCAAGAACTTCCGCGCGGACAATATTGTTCGTGATTGTGAAGCTATTCGCAGTGTTTTGACAGCTGAGTACCCGGAAGGAGAGCGTAAATGGAGTATTATAGGGCAAAGCTTTGGTGGCTTTTGCGCTTTGACTTATCTCTCTAAGTTGTATGTATTAGCTTTGCCAATAGCCCTACATTGTGAGCATATCCAGCTAATATTATTACTATGAGTATAGTCCAGGAGGTTTGAGAGAGGCTTTCGTCTGTGGTGGTATTCCTCCGCTTGTGAACGGGCCGGATGCAGTCTACGCAAAGACCTATGGTATGGCCTCTATCTCGGCGACTTTGGTGAAACATAGTACTGACAAATAAACAGAGAAGGTCCAACAGAGAAACGAAGCTTATTACAAGAAGTTCCCCGAGGATGTAGCACGTGTCAAGCAAATCATGCAATACCTATCTTCCAACACTGTTACCTTGCCATCAGGTGTGCTCACACCAGCTCGCTTCCAGCAACTTGGTATCTTGTTTGGATTCCACGGTGGTCTTGATAGCTTGCATGGTAAGTCGTATTCATTTGCCAAGGACTAACAACGAAGCTAACGGTATTCCCAGATATTGTTATTCGAGTTTGCAATGACTTGGAGATTTTTGGCTTCCTTACTCTGCCCACTCTCTCTGTGATTGATAGCAATGGAGGCATGGACAAGAACATTATCTATGCTGTGCTCCATGAATCGATCTATTGCCAAGGGTAAGCAGACTGACTCCCATCTCCCATCATTGGGTGATATGTGACTCTAACACTACGCACAGAAAAGCATCACTCTGGTCCGCAGATAGACTGCGCGCAAGCAACGAAAAGTTCCAGATCAATGATTCTGTGCCCGAGATCTATTTCACAGGCGAGATGGTAAGTCACGCGACTCTCAATCTTTATGCTCATAACATTAGCAAAAGCCTAACATGAATATGTACTATAGGTCTTCAAAGACATGTTTGAGTCATACACAGAGCTCAAGGATGTGAAAGACGCAGCCGATATCCTGGCTGAAACTGAGGACTGGCCTGCTCTCTACGACGAGGCTCAACTGGCAAAGAACGAGGTCCCTGTTTACAGCACAACCTACATGGAAGACATGTACGTGCACTTCGACCATGTGCAAGCCACCGTTGCCAAGGTGCCCAAAATTAAGCAGTTTATCGCCAACAACATGTATCACGATGCGTTGCGGAGCAAGTCGAGTGAGATCATGCGTCAGCTCTTTGCCTTGCGTGAGGACTCGATTGATTAGATTGCGGTACGAAATTTCCATGTTTTTGGAAACAAACAGTGGAGTGATAAAAGGACACAATTTATATACACGAACCATGTACGATGTAACAGCAGCAACGACACATAGAATCGTTATTGCGAAGTAGGAAGACGCCAAATGATGGACAGCGCCGGGTTGGGTATAATAACTCATAGACATGTACAGAGAAAATTGATCTGACCTAACAAGACTTGGATGCGTTATGAATATCAGAAAACCTGGTTATAAATGTCAGTCTTGTCGATGTTAGATTGCGAGCCTAGATAGGATATACATACCGCACCACCAATGATGAAGAGCCTCTCTTCCTCACGCTGCACCCACTGAGCAATCTTACTAGCGCTTTGAGCAAGTGCATTTCGATTCGTATTCGGTTCGGCAATACAATACAGCTCGAAGACCGGGGTCACCCAACCGAAAGAGCTCACAGACCGTGAAACACAGTGGTGAACTTTGACATGGGTGTTCTTGGCGTGGATGCTTGCATGTAGGTTATTGTACATTGACATCAGTCTGTGATCACGGTTAGTACAAATTGTCCCGATAGTATTATTGTTAAGAAACTGTATGACTTACCTTCGTCGCCGAGTCAATGATGAGAATTCAGATGAGTAGGAAGACATCGTGAACTGTACGTTGGCACGAGACTTGTATAAGAAATGATGGAGAACAGTTCCAGGAACTATATCCGTAGTAGCGGGCCGGCCATTGTCAATTGCTGTCTTGATCTCCTTTAGACTGCCAATTTTCTCCATTTGCTGCCACACAATTAGCATTTAAAACGGCATTCAAACTTTGTCCAGGGTTTACTTACGTCCACAAGGGCATCACGCATTCCTTGCATTTCAAAAAACGCTTCTTTGTCGGGACTGATGAGGACAATGGCAACAGATTCATCCTTGGTGATTTCTGCGCTGTTCTGGATATCATCGCGAATATCAAGAAAGCTGACATACATATAGAGATAACCGCTACTGTTGAAGCCCGGTAGGCAGACGGGAATCCAGCTCTCTCCGCCTCCGGCCTTGACACCATCAGCTTCAAAGACCATGTTGAATAATAATTGTAGATCGCCTGGGTGTAAGGAGTGCTTTTTTGGACGAACAACGCTGACGAGTCGTCCTCCAGCCACCACTAAGCCGTATAAGAGACTGTTGGCCTTTGTTTTTAGAAGCGCGTTGCTGATGGTTTGGCGGTGTTGCTTGCGAATCTTGAGACATTCCAAAGCAGATAATAATGTAGACGGAGATCCTCGTGTGAAACTGTCCGCTAGGGATGAGAGAAGAGACTCTGAGCCTTGCAGAGGCCGTTTCAAATCGGTAGACGGTCGAACCGAGAAGAGATGGGTAAGTGAAGGTAGTGTCAATGTAGATAGAATCTGCATATATAACGCTTCCAGTTGCAGTTTAAGTTGATTATCGCTTTCCATCATGCGACTGATTGCGACAAGGTGCAAAGACCCTCGAGTCAAGACAACAAACCTGGTGTCGCCAGCAGAGAAGCCTCGTAGATGATCATCTGCATCCTCATAGAAAGATATGATCGTCTGGATGACTCCGACATAGCCGGATATGAGACCACTGTCACCATGTCTTGTCCAAATCGGCTTGCCAGCAGCAGACAGGATCACATAGTGTTTGCGCTTCGCTTTCCATCGTTTAAGAAGCAGCTCTATTACAAATCAGCCACTTGAAAAGATAGAATCATTTTACATTCCATACCTTCATTGTCGCCTTCTTCGTTCAGATCACCAACCGATTCGAATTCGCTCAGAATCCCATCATCGTCTATATCGTCGGCCGCAAATTCGGGGTAATTGAGTAGACCTGTCGCATTCTGCGACTGACCACCAGGTGCTGTAGCAACAAAGTCTGTAAAAAGAGCTTCGACATCCCCATTCTCAGTATTCGGAATAGAACTGCGAATGCTGGCCGAGTCCCCCGCTTCGCTGCCCCGCGAGCTTGCTATCTGGCTGAGACTCGCCCTGGCCCTTGGACCTCGGGGCAAGCCACGGAGAGCCAATGTAGAGTGAGCACTTCCAGCATCTGACGATTGTGTCCCGATATCCATTCGAGAGACAGCCGTTGTTGCCTCCGCTTGTAAGGTTGCCCGAGACGCCGATTCATCGTTGAGTAGACTCAATGTATTGGGCCGTGGGGGTAGAGGCGGTCGCTCGCCCTCTGGGCTTAGACTGCGCCTATCATGACCGGTGTCTTGCGTCTTGGGATTAGAGGCTTGGTCGAATATCTCGACGGGCTCGTGGCCGTCGCTTCTGGGGTCTTGCTGTGACTTCATTCCCGCTGCGGACATGCGCTGTTTCACGCGGTCGCTCGTCGCGGGTCAATATATCAGTAAATGCGCATTGTTAATTTGAAGAATCTGTAGCTTGAAGTGTGCGTGGGAGTTGGGAACACTGACGTCGGCGAGTCGGAGCTCCAAGGCGGAACAAAACAATCGAACGTGGCCGCGTGCGTGGCTTCTGGGCAACATTCAACCGTCAACTACCTCGCCCACAGGGTCATCTTTGATGTCCTAAATATGACGGAGGTCAGTCTGAAGCTAACATATCGATTCTATGTCCGTCATTGGCACCATGAGCCTTGATCCCAGTGCCTTTCCGAGGTCCAACTCCCCCGCAAGCTCCGAGAGCTCCTTGACGCGCTCTCGACTACAGGGCAAGGAAGGTATGCGACCACGATTGTTCGCAAAAGTGACAGGATCTAATTACTCTGTTGCATTAGGATCACTCAAGAAAGACAAACACTATCGTCGATATGCGTCAAGCGTTGAGAGAGCGCTTTCGCTGTTCGACAACGCTCTACAAGAGTGGGCTGACTATATCTCCTTTCTCAGTCGCCTGCTGAAGGCGAGAACACTTGAATCTATGGATTTACTGTATAACATCGCTAATATCCATCACTAGGCGCTCCAAACTCATCCACCCGATCAACCAGTCGTCCCCCATAAAGTACTCGTCTCAAAGCGACTAGCGCAGTGTCTGAACCCATCACTACCATCAGGCGTCCACCAGAAAGCCCTCGAAGTCTACACATACATATTTGGATTGATCAAGGTATGAAGACTACCTAAACGACTGTCAAGGTGTTTACTGATGTCTTAACTACCAGCTTGAGGGATTGTCGCATGACCTTCCTCTGTATCTCCCCGGTCTTGCGCCCACCTTGACTTTCGCTTCTCTCACCGTTCGCCCATTATTCCTATCCTTGGTTGAGGGATACATTGTTGACCTAGAACCTTGGGCTATTCGACCAGCACTGAAAGCGATCATTCTAGCCCTACTCCCGGGTCTCGAAGAAGAGACAAGTGATGACTTTGAGCCGACATTAAGAACTGTGAACAAACTCCGTGATGCCGCTGGGCGCCTTGAAACCCAAAAAACTTCTGAAGCAGGGGCTTCCGGGCAGTACTTCTGGCAATGTCTGTTCCTTGCCTCCATCACTAACCCTAGTCGACGGCTTGGAATCCTCGCATATCTAAATCGCTACCTTCCCAAGCTAGGCATTCCGGATCGTCGGCCAAGTAGTGCTGATGGGAGCGAGGCAGTGGAAATTTCACATGAAATGCTCGCCGCAGCAGACGCAGTCATCCTACCGGAGCCAGGGCTATTGATTCGATGTGTTGCATCAGGCTTATCTGACGACCAGCTTCTTGTTCAACGCAACTTCCTCGACCTTCTCGTAACCCATCTCCCACTAAACTCTCCCATTCTGCAAACCAAAACCGCAGACAATGATTTGCGCACGTTGGTTATTGCGGCAGTGGGAGTGGTCACTCGGCGAGATATGAGCTTGAACCGTCGGCTTTGGGCATGGTTCCTTGGACCAGATGCGAACGACCAATCCTCAGCAGATGGTCGCAAATTCTCAACAGACACTACTCGTTCGGCCTCTGTCGATGGCAAGGAAGCCACTCAATCACAATACTTCAGTCGTGTGGGTTTGCAGCCCTTGGTCACTGGTCTCCTGGACATGATCAAAAATGCACCAGTTATTCCGTCTGAGAGGACAAAGCCTTTCCGTATAGCTTTATCGCTTATGGATCGCTGGGAAATTGGCGGGTACATCGTTCCTGCAGTTTTCTTGCCCACGATACGCAGCGTTCAAGCATTTGAAGGACAAGCCCCCCAGAATCACTTTGAGGAAGTCTTCCGCAGTGCAAGTGCCTTCCTTGATGGCGTTGAAAGTGGTGTGATCTTCTCTGAGCTTTTAGGCCTGGTTGATTACCGAAATGCCGACCTAGATACCCATACTGATCAGATCTTGCGTGACTTGGATCTCGCACGATTTATTCTTGAGAACTTCAACGTTCGTGAAGAAGACATGGTTCAAATCCACGTGCCCCTGTTAGCGCTGTCAGTTCTTGTGAAGATGAGAGAGATTTCATCCACTCAGAGCACTGCTAACAAGCGTGCGGTGTCTACCGCATTGAACACCGTTCTCAAGTCGCTAACTGGACTGCTCACTGATCGGGCGTTTTCTAAGAAAACAGGTTCTGAAAAGTCCGCCGGCAACGACGCAAAGAACCATGGGACTGAGGTCTTAAAAACTGTTCACGGCTTCTATGAACAAAGCAAAAACAGTTTGGAACTACCACCCCTTCCATACCCGCCGAAGCATCTCGGTGAAATGATCATTCGAGAGGCCAATGAACTGGCAATTGCAGCCCTGGGAAATCGAGACGATACAACTTCTCTTCATGAGAAGCTGGATATCCTTGTGACCTTGCTGAAGAAACTCCCCAAGTCTCGTGTTTTGAGAGACAGGAAGCTCTACGAAGCATTGTCTCAGCGACTAGGTAGTGGGAAGGACAAGCCAACAACCGCCTCCTTTGCGGTCATTTCCACTATTGCTTCGACAGTGACAAGCTTGTTCTTCATTCAAACTCCTGGCTTCTATGTCAGTTATGAAGATGCGTGTGATCTCATCACTCCTCTCGTGAGCCAGCTCTGGTGGTACTTGTCACCGCTTAGTCCAAAGTTCCACGTGGAAGCCGTCCGCTGCCTATGGCTATTGCATTCCATTTCTTGGATTGACCACCTCGTCGAGGCATCTCTAACATCGTTGATGGTCAATGTGTCAACGGCTGGTTCTCGACATTTGTCTTCTGAGGAACAAGCTGAGCGATTCTACGTTCTGTGGAACCACAGCCATCACAATATTCACGAACACCCACCAAAGCAAGTGCTGGAAGTTGGAGGAACCTTATTCTCTTATCAGTGCTCGATGCTGGAGCGTCCGCTTTTCATTGTACTTGATCTTCTCTCCCAAGAGTCAAGCGATAGTTCCCATAGCGTTCAGCTATGGCTTCAGGATCTACCGTCTATCCACAGGTAAGTCACATCTTGATCGGTCATGGCTTTACAATATCTAACAACAAATGACCAGAGTTTTCCTAGTCGTCATTTCGAAAGTTGATGAACTTTGTGAACGTGATGATCAAAGCCAGTCAAATACAGACAATCAGACCATTTCCCCCGATGACTACAAAGAGTGCGACTATCTGTTACAAACCGCCACAAACATTATAGCTGCCCTCTCTCATAATGGATGGATCACCCTTCTTACTCACATGCTCAGCAACGAAAAGCGCCCGGAAACTTCTAAATCTGAAGGTTAGTTTATTCACATCCCAAAAAGACGAACATGTCGCTGATACATATTTTGTGTAGACAACTCAGGATCAGGGTTGAAGAGTCTGCATTCAGCCATATTCGAGGCCTCCCTGCGGATCATTAGCACTCAAAGTATGGACCCTACGCAAGCTAGCCTGGAAGGGGAACGGCTACAGAAGAATGCGCTGCAACTCATGAGGCAACTGCTTCTTGGCCCCGGAGCTGAAGACTTAGTCGAGTCCGGAATTGACAATTTCCTGGTCGAACGTCTTCTAGTTTCATCTGAGGGCGGTAGCATCGCGGTGCAGGGCGCACTCATCGATGCACTTCTTGCAGCATTGAAGGTGCGATTTGCGCAAGCGTACTTACCACCACAACCACCTCGGCCAAAGCATCTACGAGCTGGCTCTCGCGATCGTCTGACCAGTCCTTCGATCTTATCTTTCACCAGTGACAAAGGAGACCGAAGACCCTCGCTACCACAGCTTCCTCAGCCGCCAGATCGCCTCTTAGACTGTCTTCTTAAAGGAATCAGCTCACCAAAGTCTCGAGAGATTGTGGATAAGTGGATTGTACTGCTTTGCGAGGTCCTCCCTCTGTTCTCTGGCACCATATTCCAGATCCTTCTGATGCTCGTGGAATGTTTCTGCAGAGAGATCCGAGCATCCTATGGTAGGCTCCAGCTGTCTTTCCAGCAAACAGAAGACTGGCCGCAGGACCGCTCTGAGCACGTCACAATTGCTCTCCTCACTGGTCTAGAAACCTGTATCGCAAATGCCCATGAGCGCCTCGTCGTGGAAGAAGCAAACGTTCCAACGGTCAAGAGTCCCGAACAAGCTCAGGGCTTCTTCGGAAACATGGTGTCTGGTGTATTCAACTCAGAAGGAGGTCAAGGTCGCCCGAATACCGCTAATGATCGACTGACTGTTCTTCTCTGTTTCCAAGACGCCGTTCGTTTATGTTTCTCTATCTGGGCGTGGGGTGCAGGAGACCGAGGTGGAGCTCCTCCAGATTCTGAGTCTATGGCATCCTTCCAGTACACCTCTTTGCGCATGCGGAATCGCTCACGACGGATCTTGGAGCACTTTTTCACCGCGGAGGCGCTTGAATGTCTTGAAACATTGGTGGAATTGTGGACAAAGTCTGACACGGAGACAGCGTCGCTGATTTTCAATCTTCTTCATACCCTTGATGGGTCGAGTCCGAAGATCACCATTCCTGCCATCTTCAATGCAATCTACACTCGCACGAACCCTAGCGCGTTGGATCCCAGCAGGAAGTCTTCGTTGACATCAAGCCTTTCTGAGTCGGAGCTTGCCAGCTTCTTGGTCACTTATGCTAAGTCACTGGACGATGACGTTCTTGATGAGATTTGGACTGACTGTACAACATTCTTGCGTGATGTTCTCAGCAATCCATTCCCGCATCGACTAATTCTGCCACGTTTGATTGAGTTCGCGGCTATTTTGGGAGTGAAATTGGAGAACACCACCTTTGGTGAAGACCGCCGTATGCGAAAAGAACTGGGGGTACGTGTATATACGAGTGATGTTTACATGGTCACTAACAAGTGTATAGGATGTCCTACTGCGTCTCCTCACGGCAGTTTTCACCAGCAAGCCCTTGGGTCTCAATCAAGACACTGGACTTATGGCAAGATCATCCGTGGAGTATGACCGGACTTCGGTCTCCCACACTGGACCAGATGACATGCTGAGCATTCTCGCCGTTTCCATGCCGTCGTTCATCACGACTCTGGGTGACTCGGATCGGATCAACACCGCCATCACTGGCGTCTCAACTAACGTGGTCGGCCCTCTTATTCGGTCACGCCTCTTTCCGAACAACCTCAACCGCAATGTCATGGTTCTCTTGCAGCAAATGACAAAAGTCCCAGCTGCCGCAAAACTGTGGAAGAAGGACATTTCCGATGCGTTCCATGATCCCCGTTTCTTTGGATTGCAGGTTGATTTGGTGAAAAACAGCTGGATGGATCTGCTGCGCCAGTGGGTTCTTGCCGACAAGGAACGGCTATCAGAAATCCTTGTCCGTATTCCCCCTCCCAGTGCGGCGGGTATCATGTTCGGTGTAGGAGCTTCTGCGGCCCGGCTGGAAGCCGATCGCAAAGCACAGCTCAACCTGAGGCGAATCGCGCTACTTTTACTGTCTGCCAACGATGACTATTTCGTTGGCGAGTTACCGGCACTACTCCAGAAGCTAGAGGACCTTCTAGCTGCTACCAGTGCTTCATCTCCTTCATCTGCCACTCGAGCGGAGATTTTCATGCTCCTCCGTGCTCTTGCACTCAAGACCTCGGCCTCTGCCATGGCGCCATTCTGGCCTTTGATCAATACGGAACTTCAAGAGGCTATCTCCGCAGTGCCACAAGGCCCTCATTCAGAGCTCTACAACTCTTACTCTCTGCTGCAGGCCTGCAAGCTGCTCGATGTCCTGCTTGTGGTAGCCCCAGATGACTTCCAGTTGCTAGAATGGCTGTTCGTAACCGACACCATCGATGCAGTCTATCCCCCCGACCGCTGGGAACCAATTGCTCTGGCTGACGAAGTGTCTCAAAGCTTTGGTCCACGTGGCGCAGCTTCACCAATTGTTCCTACTGAGACAAATGAGCCCCAAGCTCGCAGTGGCCTCAAGCAACCATGGCTTATCTCAGACTGGATCCGAGAAACAGCCAAGGACGAGATTGTCGAGCGAGTCTTGCGACCATTCTTTGCTCGTCTGAGTATTTACGTGTTTGAGAGCACGTATGGCATGGGCAGTGTAGATCTGGGGGTGTGCCGAAACGACCTGTTGGCAGATCTCTTCAACGAGAGCACAATGGCCAATTAAGGATTCCTAGCTTGTATTAGATATTTTGAATAGTAAAGCAATGGCAAATACAAATGTCTTCATTGGGCGGGCTATAACTATATCCTTTGTATAGAAGTGGCATGTTCCGAGGCCGCCCGGATCTCCGCAATTCATCAACGTCACTTCCAAGCTCTCACTCCCCTCACCAACCAACTTCTCCAAAGACACAAACCACCCAATTTTCCAGGCCATTTTGAATGGTCAATTCCGTCTCATCATGACCGTTCACTCAAAGATCCTCCTGCCTTTGCGTGGACGCGTCGGCATCCGGTCCCTCTCTACGTCACGCGCCCGCTTCCAAACCGCGCCTTTGCCGACCAGCAAGCCTGTTGGAGCTTTCCGCGGAGGGTGAGTTTTCAAACCCCATTGCTAAATTTCTGCAGCATGATGCCTTGTAAAGCTTCGTTACTGATGTTGCGACAGTGTCTTCGGGTTCCTGGCTGGATCAGTTGTCGCCGGCGCGTCGGTGTACTATTACATTCTAGGAGAGTACCGACTTTCCAATGAGATGTTGTCTGATGACATTTCGGTAGGTGCACAGCTTCTCTTGTCCCAGGAGAATGCTCCACTCCCTTTTTCTGCCTGGCGATTGCTAATTGTCTCGTGTTTACTGGTTCAGGCCCTCCAGTCCGCTACCATGAAGCTCCAGTCATACATTACCGAGTTGGAGTCCAAGGTTGACCAGTTGCACAAGAAGAAATGAGTGACTGGCCTGTGTGATATGTGTACTTATTTTCTTCTTGGTGTTGGGAGTGTCTTTTTGTTTCTTGTGCATTGAAGGCTGTCAACCTGGCATGGAAACTTGATGAAATGTCGGGACTCTTTTTATTGAACTTGCATTTAGTTAGTTTCTGTTGGATATCATTTACTTTCCGATCAAATATCATCCTAAGTACCAAGATCCCATGCCAATAACTTACCTATACTTCGCGTACTCCGATCTCCAAGCTACCCTGCAAACAATGCAAACATCTTTATCAGCTCCAACAAACTTCCCCGACACCATCAATTCTCCAACTTTTCATCCCCAAACACCACTCAAAATGTTTCGCGTCGAGCTCCTCCAAGACACATCAACGGCTACACCAGGCTGGTCCTACGCCCCAACCCGAGGCTTCGACCCGACCCAAGCAATGGCCCCAACCCTAGGCCGGAAACGCGGCATCCGCGACGCGGGCAAGGGCGGCGACATCAGCTCAAGGCAAGCGAACGCAATAGCCCGCCACATCGCCGAACTAGATCGCGAAAACCAACGCGATGTCGCAATCCCAGTGCCAGTCCGACAAGCACGCGAAGTCGCCGCGCGCGGCAACCGATCAAAAACAACCTCCAACGTCCGCCGCATCCTCCAATCCCAAAAGACCTTCCGCAACCACCTAGACGACGAAGAAGCAGCCATAGCTTTGGGAACAGGAGGCGGCGCCCTCGCGCACAGCTCCAACGCCGCCGCAGTCGCTGCTCGGGGCGCCAAAGCGCGCAGCTCCACCCCTGCTAGTGTAGCAGGCAAGAAACGGCCTTCTGCGGCTGTTACGAGTACATCTACTGCCACAACAACTGCTGCATCAACTCCTACACCAACGACAGCAGAGATGGGTGCGGACGAGGTGCCCGCGCGCAAGCCGAAGCTCATTAAATCGGAATTCGATCAGGATCCCCTGCTACGCTCGTACGCACCGCCTGTGCCTTCCGAACGGCTTATGGCGCGGTTGTTATCTGAACCGCCGCTTTCTTATAATGCTTCCCGGGCAAAGGCGCCCTCTTCTGCGAGGCCGGCTCGGCATTTTTGTTGTTTGTGTGGGTATTGGGGGAAGATTCGGTGTAAGAGTTGTCATCTGAGGACTTGTAGCTTGGATTGTTATAAGGTGCATGAGGATTCGAGGTGTGGTGCTTTCTTCTGAGGAGTTCTTGGTGGTATGTGGACTTTGTGTCTGTGTGTACTATGAAGGATTGTCCTGCTGGATCAATTTGTTTTCTGCTTACGACTTTATGAATCTGATACCAAATGTACAATAATTACCCTTTCTTTTGCAATGCTGCTCTTTCACTGTGGCAATACAATATGGGCATCTCGAAGACAAACGGGATTGATCATGTAGCACCAACATTCGAGGGGTGACTGCCTCGTACAGTTCTTCGGATATAGCATTCGATCGGCTGTCAAAGCCACAAAAAGTATCAAATCTGACATCTCCTGCAGCCTTGTCTTCTACGGCCTGTCGGAAACTCGCTGTAGCGCGTTGATAGCGTCGACGGTGTTCAGTATTCAAGTGCATCAATGACCCCTGTTCGGGTAAGCTAGCGGTCGGCTTCTATCAAATATCTCAAAGGAAAAGGTCTTTGGCAAAAAAATAGAGAGATAAAATGGAGAGGTTTGTGGTGCCATCCACGTCCTCGTTACATTGGCCTCTTTTGTTCTCCGAGTTCATACGGGTTCATATGCCTCAGGAGGAGCTCGAGTTTCTGTTGAAAAGCCTGAACGGTCCCCAGTTCCATTTCATCTCGGGCTCTAACGAGAGATCCGAAAGAGAGGGAGTTGTAGATTTCATCTATCATTTCCGGGAGAGAGTCTATCTCTTCCAATAATCAATTGGAAGAGATAGGAATCAAATACAGTAAGAGTCTAGCCAACTTGTGAATATGCCAAAATACTTATGCTATCCCTTTACTTCCATCACAGTGTACCCATACTTTCGTTGATTAGCCCACCTCGAACTAAAGACCAGCAAAGAACGTTTGAAGTATCGAGAGCGATATGTCTTGTTTGTCGGATCTTCCAAGGCGGCAAAAAACTCATTGTGCTCCTTCATAGCATCTTCAAAATTCAACTCAAGCCCTCGGGTCTCATTACAGCAACTGTATCTTATGGTGCAATGCCCGACGCATGGTCGTCTATCGGAGATTGGCTCACGTCTTTCACAGCATCCACATTGGCTGTTGCAGCAACGACCTCTTCCCACGCAGTCTTCTGTGAGGTTGGGACAATGTGAAGCCGGAACTTCTGTAGTGTATCAAATCTGGCATGTTTGTTGATCATATGATCGAATTTCTCGTAAAGCAGGATGAGAGCCCGGCCGAGCATTCTGGGGGTTGCTGTAAAGCATAGGATTTGTGGTAAGTGGTGCAGTGTGAGGCCAAAAGGCAGACAAGAATCAAGCAGTCTAGGCATTCAATGAGTAACAGGAATGTATAGGCTTCCAGGTCGAAATCTTTGCCGGGGGCCAACTCAAGTCAAACAAACCTAAGTCCGGTTTGCTCGAGTTATAGAATAAGAATGCCCGTCGGTATTAGAGGAAAATTTCATGCCGAGGAGACCGATTTTATTGTTTGTCCAATCAGACACAGCAGTTATTTCAAGCTTCTTAGCTCGTCGTACCTCCGAGGATGTAGTTAGGGTTCGCTATACAATATCTTGGCAGTCACGTGTTTGGTTTCGGTTTCAGTTTCAGTTGAACACTCTTAATGGGCGAAGCAAGACAGCAGCATGGCATATCTCACCATTTTTACATGTACATGATTTCTTTTATTAACTCTTACGCCTTCTAGAAATGTCTTTTGCAACATTCAAATTCTATAACGGATCTCAACACATAAATTTACCGAGTTGGATCGTGGTCATTTCTATAGGCTTATTGATTTGGTCATGCTGGTGTCTCGCTTCCATGACAAGATGACCCAATTGATGCTTGGGGAGCATCTGCCCCACAGTAGGCATCAGGTGTGCAGGAAATTGAGAGGTAGGGAGGGGGGAGTGGCTTTATAGTGTCCTTGAGGGCAGAGAGTCAATGCTTCACTTGTAAGCACTAGAAAATAGACAACAAAGAGGTGGGCCAAAACAAATAGTGCATGAGATAATAATTCAGGTTCGAGGATCATGAAAATCATTCAAAAACCACTAAACACTGCATTAGTGGCAATGGATACAAATAAATGACCATGGTGTATGCAACTAAATCCCACAAAAAGGATCAACATTTCAGATTAATACCAGCCCTGAGCTCATCCTCTCGAACCTCAAACATGACCTGCACACCAACGAACAGAACAACACAACAGGAAACCATATAAGCAAGACCAGAGTACGAGCCGGTCAAACCAGCAAGAAGATCCTTAAGCCCATCCAAACCAAGCGCAAAGCCCACCAGATTGGCAATCATCATCATGAGCACATTTCCAACGGATCCGATACCACATAGAACACGGTATGCAGTCGGACGGGAGCGCCAGCGGTGCGCGGGGAATAGCATACCGCCGAGGACTTCTGGTAGGACGAAGAGCGTAACCAGCCACCCCCACATAAGCAGACGGAGGTTGATATCGTGCCATAAAGCGACAAAAGTGAAGACCATGAGGAAGTTGCGGATTTGGAGGAACTTGTTCATGAAATTGGATTTGGGTGGGGTGGCTGCTTTAGGGCCTCCGGCTGGTCGTCGTCCGCCGCCGCCACCACCGAGGGGGATGTAGATGTAACGAACGATCCAGCGGTTGTAGGAGCGGTGCCAGCCGCGCCAAAAGGCAAAGGCTGAGTAGTTGTTTGACATGCAGCGGACCATGTTCTCTGGTGGGTCGATGCCGTCCACTAGGGCCCAGAGGCGGAAGAAGCGCCAGGGGATGAGAAGCTTGAGCCAGATGATGTGGAGATTGAAGAAGGCCAGCATGCTTAGCTGGCCTGGCGTGAAGACGGACCAGTCGGGGTTGGATTTGGAGATTGCTACTGCGTAGATGTAGTGGAGGATTAGTTCCATGCAGAGGAGGGTGAGGCCGAAGCGGATGCCGTAGAGTGCGGTGCGGCTGCGAGTTACTGATGCTGGTTTGTAGCGCTGCTGGGAGACGTAGTCGTTGAATGTCAGGATTGGACCCGCTAGGTACAATGGTGAGTACAGAATATAGGCAATGTAATTGCGTAGAGTGAAAGACGCTGGTTCAGCGGGGATCTTGACTCTTTCACGGTCAGAGAGGGACGCCGGGTCGAGCTGCTTCTTCTTGTGGAATACGGTCAGCTGGGTGTCGGTTTGAGGATAGATCCTATTAGAAACTCACTTCAATTGGACTTGCCGCGGGGTAGTCAGCACTCCAATAGTTGTCCATGTTGAAGCTGATGAGGCGCAACACAGTCACCTTGAAGAGGACCTCCCACCGCGGCATGAGTCCTCCAAGACTGTCTATGGTCTGGGCAAACTGGAATAACATGCTGGTGCTTTCTCCAGACGTGCCAGATGCCGGTGCGAACAGCGTCACTATCCGCTCGAGGGGGTATCCGCCACATAACTCATTGGCAAACAAGATGAAGAGGTTGAAAGTCCAAGTCACAGCAGGGACATATGAACGGGGAACATCCTTGCCAATTCGGAAGTTGATGTACAAAATTGACAGAACCTTGAGAGCGGATACTCCATGGAGCACAGTGATGAACACCAGTCCGAACCAAAAGTCGAAGCGCATTCGCTGTTCGAGTTGCGCCTCGCCCACACCAACCACGGAGTAGCTCGATGGCTTTGTTTCAACCTTCCAGCGATTCGGGTATGACTGATAGACCCGGCGGACGAGAGGATGGATGATCAAAAGGAGGAGCAGAGGAGGGATGTTGTCGCGAAAGCTGGCATATTGCGCATCGGAGTTGTCCTGCGGGCGTGAGGTCAATCTCGTGTTCGTGGACAATTATCCGCTGATTGGTGTGCACTTACGACCAGACGGCCAGGAATCCATCCCGGTGATAAGAGATCAGAGTATTTGGGGTAGATCGGGTTGCTTTCTGTGATGTTGTCCCTCCCGGTCAGTATTCCAACGCCTCATTTGTGCGGCCCACTTACCCTTCGAGGCATCAATGACAGTCTTGAACATCAATGGAACGAGCGTGATGAAGAAAAGGTAGTAGATGAAGAACTCCGGGGTGCGCCAGAGTGATGGCGGCGCGCCCTGGGCGATTGCGTTGGCGCGGGCATCTTTGGAGGAAGGTCGCGTGTCGTGAGCAAGTGTTGCGGAGGAGGTAAAGCGAGTGTCTAGGGTGTCCAGCGAGTAGACCCGCCGGAGCCATGCGAAAAGAGAGGGCATTTTATAACAGTGGCATGGCCGGCGCGGGTTTGGATAAGTCGAAGTCGAAGTAGGCGATGGCTAAATTCCGATGTTTACTCAGGGGGCCGAGGTACCGCCACTTAGGTGGCCACTACATGTCTTGAACTATGTGAATATTATACGCTAAAGTAGTCACTGATATGTAATTCCTTATATAACTCTGGCATTTTGTTAGTACTTGTAATCACTCTGTCCCCGTAGATCCATGCGGACCCAATCAGCGCCCGCCAATATCACATCGAGTGATTCCAGTATAGGCCGCTCATGAAATCCGGGGTACTTTTGTGAGATTTACAGCAATGTGCTATTTTAAAACAAAAATTGGAATAGAATAAGTTGAGTAGCATAAGAAGAAACATACAAACAAGCCAAGTCTCTATGCAATTCGCTAACATGCTCATACGCCATCCACAAAACGTAGACTGTGCACATACGGAGTACTCTTTGGTTATGTAGGAACTTTGCGGAGAGAAAAAATAACGCATTGATTGATATGTTAAAACACTATATAATCTGTATCACTCGGCTACCCAACATGCTATCATCTGTTTGCACCAGCTGTCTTTTTCAGTCCAAAAATTCACCAATGGCATCCAGTCCAACTTGCATTTTCTCCGGCGGACCTGTGATATGCATACGAACAAATCCACGGAAATCCTGAGCAGCCGGCAAACCAAAGCAAAGGCTTCCGGGAGCTAACAGGACGCCCTTCTGCTCTTTCAGCTTCAGACAAAACTCGACATCGTCAACAGGGACGCCATTGGAAGAGAAGCGCACGAAAGCCGTGGCTCCCGAGCTCGGCTTAATCCACGAAACACTCTCATGCTTGTCAACAAAGCTTTCCAAGATGGCGAGGTTCTTTGAGGCCATGTCGAGATGCTTTGTCAGGATTTGAGGCCAGCATCGGTCACTCAACGCCTCCGCAGCAATAGCATCATCGATTGTACCAATTGCCATGATCATGTAGAGGCACATATTGAGGCATTGCGATAGGACCTTGACATTTTTAGTCGCGAGCCAGCCGACTCGGGTACCAGACAGGCCCCAGGATTTGCTCACAGAGCTGGTGACGATGATCTTGTCATCCTCGTCGGAGAGCTCCACGAAAGATGGCGGGTTTGTCGAGTCGTGAAATAATGGGCGGAAGATCTCATCAACGACAAGGATTAACCCATGTTCCCGAACCAGCGCCACGATTGCGTGCTGCATTTCGAGACTCAGGATGGTTCCGAGGGGGTTGTTCGGGTTGTTGAGGACAATCATTTTCGTAGTTGGTTTGATCATGTCTTTCAATTGCTGGAGGTCACCCTGGCCCTGGTTGTTCATATCGAGAGACCAGTATGATATATTTTCGCCGACCTTGGCTTTTGGAATGGCCAGAAGGGGTGTATAGGAAGGATACATGGCGATGACATGATCATCGGGCCCAAGCAGACTTTGGAATAATAGCGAGTTGGCACCTGATGCTCCATTTGTAGCCAGGATGTGCTCTGCAGTGATTTTCTCATCGTATAACCCGGCAATCTGCTGGCGAAGATTCTCACTCCCGTTTCCCGGACCCAGAGTCAGTTTCATTGACTCTACGGACAAGTTGTTGGCCGTTGTTTGCTTGTCTGAGGACAGTTGGATTAAGTCCTGGATTGACAGAGCCGGAGTTGCACTTCCGGCTAATACCAGAGACGCATTCTCCGATTGTTTTTCAATCCACTTGTTTGTGTTAACCAAGCCAAGAATGACGATCGGAATTGTGGCTTACCTTGGGAAGCTCGAAAGTAGTAATTTTGTCCATTGTGATGTGTATATAATGCGAAGAGAAAGCAGAATAAAATTTGCTTACTGGTGGTTTTATATAGATTTTTCAGGGCTCTGACGCATCGAAATGACAAGCGGGGCCGTTCGAAGGGCGTGCTCTACATGAAATAAGCTGATGCTTCCCTATCGTTCTCTTAGATTCGTTAGATAGTCGGGGAAAGCTGCTACTATCAGATAATGATAACGTAGTTTGTATACCAAGTCTGCTAAGTACTTGATTCGTCAACTGTCAAACAGTAGAAGAGTTTTTCAATTGTTGGTGTTGTATGTCGAGGTGAAGCTCTGACTCATGTGGATCCCCGTTGCAGCTGTCAGTATCAGAACAGTCGAGCTTTGTGAGATGAATATTATACGTCAAGAACTGATATCTGGTTATTCTTCTCTGGCTTTCTGTTGAAAACGTACGATCACCATGTCGCCGCACGCGGATCCAATCAGCGCCCGGTAAGTATCACATCAAGTAATTCAAGTATAGGCAACGAACATCAAATCCGGGGTAACTTTGTTAGTGAAGAGTAAGATGTACTTCTCAAGATAATTGGGTGGCATGGAAAGAAGCATACAAGGACTGGTTCTTCATTCTGTATGTAGCCGCTTTCCCCATCTTTTGCCATCCACATCAAATTGTTGATCCTTCCAACTCAACCCTTCATCCCACTCTTCATCCAAAATGTCAACCCAAAGAGTAAGTATCCTATCTTTGATCTCTTCCGATAGATCCAGTTGCCACATGCATCTTTTCTCCGCTATATGATCACTGAATTCATTGTCCCCGCATGCTGATATTATATCTACTTCAGGTCGCCTTCAAAGTCCACGGTACCGTACAAGGTAAGTCCCTCTATACCCCAGCTACCAAAAGCCCTCCTTATCTACCAGCACATTACTAACACGACTCACAGGTGTCGGATTTCGGTAAGAACAACCTCACCTAAGCGATGACATCATCCTACTAAAAGTGACTGACCGTGGCAACCACCAAACTACAGAGACTTCACACAGAAATGTGCAACCAGCTTTGAGCTCAAGGGCTGGGTGCGAAACACTACTTGCGGACGGGTGGGTATCTACTTCAAACATGTACCGTGAGGTGCGCAGGTCAGGATTGTAAGCTTACCCAACCGGTTTTATATAGGTCGAAGGCGAGGCACAGGGCAGCGATGAAATCATGAAAAAGTTCTTCCAGCAGATCGGCAAGGGGCCCCGAATGGCTCATGTGGTCAAAATTGAGAAGCGGGATATGGATGTGCAGGATGGCGAGGATCATTTTGCTGTTATGAGGACTGGAGAGTCCATGTTTGAATCTGGGAACTAGACTGTTTTTGGTATCTTTCCAGATCATTCTCGTATATACACAACGATAGCTGCTTAATTCAAGTTTTTCGGTCATTTTGGTTTACTGTATACCGGGGTTATCTTGCTAGCTAATAATGACTGGAGTAGTTGGTCCTTCATACACCGTGAATTCATTTTAGATTAGCGTATTTGATAGCACGAACATATACATAGATATTGAAAGAGCATTACTTGAGGGGAAAATAGGATATGGATGCTCGGTAGGATTCGGGAGGCGAATTTGTTGCCATGGTTGACGCCGGTGAGAGAATATGAAATCTAACAATTGGCCGTAGACTCGGGCTTTGAAAATGATATCTCGGGATCGGAACTAACAAGGACGAGACTCGGGGTTGAGCGCTGACTCATCCTAGCCCGGTCTATCCCGAGGTCACCTGCGCAAATATGCGCAGTGTTCGGAAAATGGGCCGAATACAGCGAGTACAACATATTCTGCAGGGATAATGGGAAGCCTGGTGAATTTACTTTTTGTTCAGGGAGATTGAGAGTTTGATAAGTCTGCTAGCCGATCGGGACAAGAGGTTCATACAGGGTGCATAAGGATATGTGGGGGACGTATGGTGGAGCCAATGAGGTATACGAATTGTCAGCATCCCTTTCCAGGTTCTCATAGTTCGATGATCGGACATCCCGTCAGGATCCCGTCAAGTACTGACTTTTTCTCGCGTGGGATCGGGTTCCTGTTTTGGTCCCAAGGGGTTATGTAGATATTTAAGGCACCCCTACTCTCTTACTCCTCCCATAGTATACTACTACAATCCACTCACATCAACTATACAATGAATTCCCTAATGACATCGGCCCCCTTGCGGGCTGCAGTACGACCACAGTACCTGCATTTGGCTGCTCAGACTTGCTCGGGCGTTGCAGTTACAACACTGAGCTCGTCGTTAAGAACCAGCTCCTTCAACCACACCAAGCGCCTGATCTCATCGACACACCAAAACCAGATCAAGGAATTCTTCCCTCCACCCAAATCTCCCGATGTCAAGGAGGTTCAATCAGCCTGGGCACACCCAGTGTGAGTACCCTGCGTCATCCTCGCTCGGACAGAAGCTAACCTCATGCCAGCTATACCGAAGCCCAGATGAAAGATATCCATATTGCACACCGTGAAGCCTCAAATTGGTCCGATTGGGTTGCCCTTGGCACCGTCCGTTTTTTCCGATGGGGCATGGACTTTGCCACAGGGTACAAGCACCCCAAGGCGGGCGAGGAACTCCCAGCTAGCTTCAAGATGACGGAGTCGAAGTGGTTGACTCGGTTCATCTTCTTGGAGAGCGTGGCAGGTGTTCCAGGAATGGTGGGCGGAATGTTGCGTCATTTGCGCAGTCTGCGCAAGATGAAGAGAGATAATGGATGGTATCTGACATGTCCACAAACCCATGATGGAAAGACCAGTAACTAACTCGCATTGTCAATAGGATCGAAACCCTTCTCGAAGAAGCATTCAATGAACGTATGCATCTTCTCACGTTCCTCAAGCTGGCCGAGCCTGGCTGGTTCATGCGCCTCATGGTCCTCGGAGCCCAAGGTGTCTTCTTCAACGGCTTCTTCCTAGCCTACCTGGTCTCCCCCCGCATTTGCCACCGATTCGTGGGATACCTCGAAGAGGAGGCTGTCATCACATACACCCGTGCCATTGAGGAACTAGAGTCCAACAAGCTTCCAGCATGGAATGATCTCAACGCACCCGAGATTGCTGTTCACTACTGGCAGATGCCAGAAGGTCAGCGCAAGATGAGGGACTTGTTGATGTATGTCCGCGCGGATGAGGCCAAGCATCGCGAGGTCAACCACACACTGGGCAACCTCAACCAGGCTCTCGATCCCAACCCGTACCAGACTGAGTACTATGAGCCGGCGCGTGACCACCCCACGAAAGGCATCGAGAACATCAGGCCAACTGGGTGGGACCGGGAGGATATCTTTAAAGCGAAGAACTGATTTCATAAAAAGGGCGTTCCGGGAATATACACCATAGCATTCTCTTCTCCATGTATTTTATGTATATATTTTGTTCAACTTTGATCTTTCATACTTACGCATAAGAAGTCAACCATGGAACGCGGGGCAGCTAAGCCTAACCAGGCAATCCACCAACATGGGACTTCCCTCATCTCTCTCGTCTCTGTATGTTGTCTGTCTCTTGTCTTCTATCTCTTGTCAAAATGTTGCAGGCTCATAAAATAAGGGGCTATGACATCCGTCTTTAATCAAAGAACACATCTCTTTGTGGGCGGCCGTTGACCCGCAACCCCCTACTAGCCCCGGTTAGTCGAGAGCCCCCCTTTTGACCAAAAAGAGATTCTCGTCCGTCGATCCTGCATGTTTCAGTAAACCTCCGTCCTTTCATTAATCTGCCTATATAGCCCGTTCAACCTCGGGAGCATTGACTTGGTGGCCCATAATCCGCCACATGTCAAAGTCACGAACATTCCCAGGGACCACGCCGCGACCCCGATCCAACATTCCAACCTGAACCCGAACCCACAGCGAATTCCCAATGGACGACCCACGACGCTCAATGGACACCGAGGCCTTCCCGGCCGCTGAGCGGGCTTCCTCGCCCTCGCCTTCTATCCCAGCTACACCTGCCATCTCCTCATATTCCTCCCCAGACCGTACATTCTCCTCCGAGTCCTCCCGCTCCACCTCCTCCGCCACCTCCGCAGATGCCAGATCGTCCGTGTCGACCTCGTCCCGGCGTCATGGGTACATCCGTGCATTAGGAGCCGAGTTCGCGGATTCGGCCCGCCATCGCGACAGCGTCATGAGCCTCGGCAGTATCGCCCACCTACAATATTACTTTGCCCGGACGGGCTTATTGGATGGGAAAGGTGGCCGGGGCAAGGAATGGGACAAGGACAAGAAGAAGGGCAAGGATAGTGTGCCGCGGGTGTTGATCACCCCTAATCAGCGACACATGGATGATTTGGAATCCAGCCCTACGGATATGACAGAACCCGCCGAAGGTGAATTGGATGAAGACGAGGAGGCCGAGGTGATGCTGCCACCCACTGTTAGCACGTACAGCATCAAAACGCATCATATCCCTCCTCCACCGGATTTGATCTCTTTGCGCCGGCAATTGATGCTTGCATTGGATAAGGCGGAGACTGATATCGAGGCTATCGAAAATGGTGCTGAGCCTCCTCCTCGCGAGCCAATTCGCAATAGTCTTTCTCCAAGTGATGTGCCAGAAAGCCATATAGAGGAATCTGGTGAGGCTCCCACCCCGAAGAACAAAGAGGAGGCACAGGGCATGTGCATCTTGGATGATGTGACAAATGCTATTCGAGCTGCCAAGATCTACTACACTGCCCATGAACACCCAGAACGTCTAGCTTCGATAAAAAGCGAGCGCGAGATTCGCAAGGAGCTCTTTGATGTGCTGGAAGTGTTGAAGCGCTGGGCTGCTCGGCATTTCGCTAGTGGTCTCCGGGAGGAAGAGCGTGATCGAATTCAGGGGTGGATCTCAGGTGTGCGCGCCATGCTGGTCCGCGAGAAAGCCCTCGAAGACCTCGAGGCCCAGGAACGGCAAAATTGGGATTGGGCAGCTGGTGACTGGAGAGGCCGAGAGCGCCCACGCGAGGAGTCTTTCCTGCGCAGTTTGATGCCCGGTGGAGATTCCTTGCCTACCTGGACACCCATTGAAGAGACACCCGCTGAAATTCTTCCCACTGCGTTCCTGGACAAATTCCGGGATGGGCGCGCATTGGTCCAGTTACACAACCTCGCGATCAAGAAGTCCAAACGCCACTTCGGCGAGATCAAGGCACACCACCAGGACATTGCCAAGCCATATCGGCAGGCTGATAACCTTAGGTTCTGGGTGAAAGCTGCAGAGCTCCGGTGGGAGCTGCGTTTGGATGTTGATGTGATGGGGGTTGTACAGAACAGTGGTGCTGCGGCCTGGAAGCAATTTGACACTGCACTGCTGGCCTGGTGTAAGACTGTTCGCGAGGAGTTGGTGCGGGATTGGCAAGCTGCCAATCCGGGACGGCCCCCGAGTGCTGGGTTGATTTGATTGTTTAAAGTCCATGTTTGCATCTCGGTTCTTTTCTTTTATCTTTGGGCATTTGATACGATACCCCTGAATTGTCACCGACTGTTCTGCCCTCATATTTTATATTCTAGTTTTTTTTTTTTTTTTGGAGTTCGCATCCATTGTCATCACAGCATAGACGCATAGATGCATTAATTGTGGATATTTGTGACAGGGACATGGATTGTAGGGTGGCCATGTTGATCTGCATAGACGTCGAGCATATGAAATTGATGTGTACACTCCTGAGCTTGATCGACAAACTCGTGGGAAGAGAGTAAGTTCACATAAATTTCTAATCGCAGAGATCTCAATTAGAAACACAAACATCTAAATGAAACAAATAAGAAAGAAATATAAGACATGATTTCATCGTCCCTCACATACCGAGGAGGTACAACGGGCCCCATAGTAAATATACGGGGCTGAAGGTAGACAGGCCACTTCATCCCTCTCTCTCTCTTGCTGCCCAATACCTTCACCTTCTCTGATATACACACTGACTACATGTAGCTTGTTCTGACAATTTTACGAACTCCGTACCTCTAAATCATAGAAGGGGTTACGCTTCACCTTTGCCGAGAGACGAAACATTCCAGCTATCCCTGTCTGGATCGCATCCTTTGGTCCTTTTGCTCACCCCCAAGGGCCTTGTCTCCATGCATGCCACAGCCAACGGTCCAACTTCTGCGACCGAACTCGCGCACCCTTCCAACGCGTCTACTACCTCCGCCTCGCCCCCATCGCTCACCCCCGCGCTCTCCGTCTCCCCAAATGACACCGGCACCTCCACCCTCCGCCGCCTAAAATCTAAGTCATCCCTGTGGAGTCTAGGAAGCAGCAATAACGAAGACGAATACTCCCCAGTCGAGCCGACCAGCGCACCAAACAGCGCTCCCAGGCAATCAATCCTTCGCCGACTCTCTCCGGCTCTCGCAGCCCGCGTAAAATTGCTGGATGGCAGTAACAAGTCTCCCTTGCAAAACAAGAACCCAAATGCTGTCGGTCGAATCCCAGAAGAGCACCTGAAGGAGCTGGACAGTCGCAACCAGGACTTGTCAATCAAAGTCAAGCGGAGGGGCCAAGCGTGGAACGGTTCAGGTACCTCGCCCGGCCAATCTCACGATCCCCCACGGAGAACCGCCTCAAACCACCTCGAGCTCCCCCACCAAGATATTCTCCAAGAGATCGCAGACGCTCGCAGACAAGAGGCAGAGAGACAGGAGGAACCAGTCTTCACCGAAGCAGTCGAGGACGGACCCGAGCAGGCCCAGCACCAGGAGCAGCCGCAGGACCAGGACGATCCCGCCCCAGAAACCGACTTCACAAGTCCACCAGTCCTCATGTCTGTCGCAGAACCAGCTCCGGCGTCGGTGCGCGAACACCCAGCACCGACCCTCCTACCCAGCAATCCCATCCAAGACGACCGCACCGACTTCCAGAAATACGTCGAGGATACCGCCCGCAAAGAAAACCAGGATGCGCAGAGCGCGCCTGATCCCCCGCCGAAGGACTCCCCGCCTGCATACACGCATTCGCGCTCGTCCTCCAATTCCCAGTCCTATTTCAACCCTATGGGTCTTCAGCGCGCGGACTCGATTTACTCTTTCTCCCGTGCTTCTTTTAGCAATCAGCTTTCGCAACTGACGTCCATTCCCCTTCCGCAGCCGGATTCACTTGAGGCGAGTATTACCAAGATTGCCACGGCGCTTTTGGCTGTTAGGGCGTTGAACGGGGCTGCGGAGCAGATTCAGATTTGGATTAAGAAGGCGTCGGATGTGCTTAGCGGGTTGGACTCCGAGGATGATGTTGAGTGGGCTGCTGCTGGTGGGCGAGAGGGTCTTGATGGGGTTGATAAGGCTATTACCCGGTTCGAGTGCTTGGTTAATGTCTATGTGCGCGCCATTGAAAATGTGCAGCTACGGGATGACATTGCGAATGTTGATGCCGAGAACTTGAGGACGATCGTAAGTCAGATGGAGAGTATCCTCAACAACTGGAAACAGATCAAGAATAAGTTGAGAGGTGTGAAAGAGCAGGTTGAGTTGGCGATGGAGTGGGAAGAGCTTTGGTCTAATGTTCTCGGTGATGTGGGGATGGAAATTGATAATCTTAGCGGATTGATCTTTGAGATGGAAGAGAAGCGACACCAGGCGTTGATGGATACGGGTGAGACCACTGGTGGTCTTGATATCAACGAGTTGGAGACCATTGTCGAAGAGTCTCCTACCAAGAGTCGCGCGGCTTCTCAACGCCTGAGCATTGGTCCTCTTCTAGCTTCGGCTTCCGGCACTCCTGTTATCAAAACACCCCAGGATGATACCAGCCACTCAAATCTGATGGCTATATTTGCGCGCATGCAACCATTACGTGCGTCACTGGACTTTTTGCCCATGCGATTGTCCATGTTCCAAGCACGGGCTGAGGCCATCTTCCCGAGTGCGTGTGAAGAGGTCGAAGACCGGCGGGACCGGCTAGAGAAGAGCTATAAGGTTCTGGAGACAGACGCGGAAGCTCTGCGAAAGGAACTGGGAGAGGATAAGTGGATCCTGGTTTTCCGCAATGCTGGAAGTCAGGCGCAGAAGATGTTTGAATCTGTGGAACGCAGCATTGGCAAGCTCCAAGAAGGTCTGGAGGGCGGCATGCAGCTCAACAATCCGGTCACCTTGCAGAAGCGCATTGAGAACTACGAGGCGAAGAAGATGCACTATGTGCCGGCGATTGAGCGTGTGATTTCCATCATCCAAAAGGGTGTCAATGATCGGTTGACTGTCAATGGTGAAATTCTACGACTTTTGTCTGACATGACATCGCGGACGGATGCTCTCAAGGCTAGCACGAAGGTTATGGACACTTCTCTCGAAGACGTGCATTTCGTCAAGGGCCAGCAACTTCGAGACTCCATCTCTAGCATCTTGACGATGGACAGCCCACTTACAGGCAGTGCCATTGACACACCGGGAAGCTCGCCTGCCTCCTCAGTTATCATAACTGGTCCCAGCTACAAGGGTGCCTCAACGCCCTTGGGTGGTTCGAGTCGTCGCGAGAGCTTAGCTGGAAGCACCACAACTCGATCAGCCTTGCCCAAAACCCGACGCTACTCTGGCTTGCCTCAGTCCACGGCGAACTACACAGGTCGGAAGTCGAGCATCCCCCAGCCATCTGGCCTCGCATCCCCAACTCCATCAAGAAGATCCACAAGTCTCTTCACCCCGACACCAGCTTCCCGCTACACATCCCGCACACCAGTGCCGCCATCCACAGTCTCCAACCGTCCTCGCTGGAACGGAAGCACAAATACAAACGACCTAGACACTGGATATACCCAATACCGCAAAGCATCCGCCCCGATATCCCGCACACCTCGACCCGCATCAGCAATCCCGTTCCCCAGTCCATTCCGCCGCGACACATCAGCATCTCCAGCGCCGGGCACATACAGATCAACGAGTCGCGTCTCCAGCAGACTCGGTGATCGAAGTCCCTCGCGGAACCTCTCCTCTCCAACCCCGCGATCCTCACTCCTCGATCCGCCCCCATACAGTCGACTGCGGAGACAGTCAGGCATATCAAACACTCCCCGCAGTCGCCAGAGCTACGCAGGCGTGCCCTCAACTTTCAGTCGGAGTGTTTCACATGCTCCGGATGTACCTGAGACGCCTAGCAAGACCTCGCGGCCGGGGACGTCTCTCGGCCATTCGACTAACAGGCGTGTTAGTCTTCTCCCATTGCCTACGCGGGATCATAAGCCGCAGGCTCAAAAGGTTGATACTCGGCCTCCATGGCGTTGATCTGCAACTATGTACTATATCTCACCCCCTATAGTACCTCTCTCTCACTCCATCCTCGTCACCCTCTCCATCCACCCCGTCTTCATTCGACAGTGTTAACATCTTCACTTCTACCATGTCTTGTTATCTCATCTTCTCCACCTTGTGCATTACACCCTTCGTCCAAATTTGATTGGGCTTTGATTTACACACGCATATACATGTATATGTGCATGTATAACAGTCTCCTTCATTTGAGGCGGAGGGCTACTCTATCATCTTGAAGCCCGGTTTGCGTGATATCCCTATTGTTTGCATGGTATGGTTTGAGCGTTGGGTTCATTCTATTTTTCCGGTTTTGTTCGTTATTGATTATTATTATTTTTATTACATTATATTAGGTTCTGTTCTATTCTGCTTCTATGCTGTATGTGGATATTGTAGATTGTAGTTTATGTCGTTTAATCGATTACATCTTGGTCCAGCCTGGGTTGTTCTTTGGGTTATATTCTTGATTCCTTGATTCCTTAATTCCTAAGGATGCGCATGTGCTCTCTGTGTTTTGACGTTTATAGACATGGTATTCTTCTATATAACGAAGCTCAAAAAACAAATTACATGAAAGACGCCAATATTGGCTTGAACGATAGAGCGATGTTCACACAAAACGCGAACTGAGACTATTACTCTAATTCCCCAACTCCCGTCCGAATATCAATGCATCGACTAGTTCCTCGCTATTCTCCAGTCGTGCAGCCTTGGGTACGCGGCCAATGACGCTGAAGCCGAGTTTATCCCAGATGCGGATTGAAGCTGGGTTGTTGGCGAAGACTAAGTTGAAGACCGAGTATGTGTAGCCCTAAGTTGAAAGATTAGTCAAGGTTCAAGGGGAACTATCACAACAGCTGTAATCTATAGTACTGGGGATAGTCATACTAGTCTCGGTGCAATATCTAGATACGCTTCTCCCATAGCGTACCCAACACCTCTGCCACGTGCGGCAGAAGTAGTAATAAATCCAGCATTACAGATATGAGAGCAACGACCTGTGAGAGTTAAATCAGCAACACTGTATGAGAAGATGAAGTGATAGGACATACCGGGATAGTTAGGCTTGATATAAAAAGTGCCCAGACAAGCACTTTCCCAGTCCCTCCCCTCTCGAATCGGTTCAGTGCCATCAAGCGCAATCACGGCAAAAGTCCCAAACCAATACTCGGCAAATTGTTCTAGTGGCAGAGGCTCTTCCATAGGGTAAGTACCGCCACGGAGGATCTCCGCGCTGAACTCTTGGTGCAGGAAGCGGACTAGGTCCTGCGGGAGGGATTGCGCGCCTCCAGTGATTGGATAGAGAGTAATCGGGGCATCATTGTCCTTGGGAAGTGTTGCTTGCCGCGCTTTCAGGGTAGGCGCTGCTCTGATGTGCGCACTTGGTGGGGGATTGCGGGTTGAGGGGTCTTCCAGTAGAGCGGGCATGATGAGTGATTGGGTGATTCGGGAGTTTGTACTTCAATTTGATCCTCAATGGATTCTGGAGAGAATGAATGAAGTGGTTTTATGTCGGATTCTGAATTGAGATTTTGATATACCCCGGCATTCGGGGCTCGTCGCCCACTTTCAAGGGATGACTCAGCTTGTCGTTTGGAAGGCGCGGGCTCCACTGAAATCTGGAGATTTGGTTAGTTGGCTTCATTGTGTTATTGGTCTTGCTGACGTCGCCTTGTGCGGGCTTGAGCTTGGATTTAAGCTTGGGCTTGAAGACAGGGGCAGGGGTAGACGTAGGGTCTGAATAGAGACTGTTGAACCAATCTAAACATCCATCAACACTGAACTTGGAACATCATAAACTGAGTTTTCCAGCCTTGCCATCTTCAGCATATCGCTTGTAGATGTCCACATCCTCAGGGAAACCCACCATGTCAAATATCTTGAATTGTTGGATCTTGCAAGGGAGGCATAAGAGACCTCGGGCCCATCTCTATAAAGACCCAAGGGTAGCAGAATAACACCCTAGGGATTAATTGAAACAAGACAATTAAAGCTCTTATCACTGACTTGCATTCAATATCTTACATCTAATGAGGTTTCACAGCCCCTTCTGTTCGCCTTCTATGTACGTTGTGCTGGTGGGAACATGAGAGATGCCTGCATCTCTCAGCATAGCTTAACCAGACATGCATCAATTGTCACAAGTTTCCCCAAATGTCACAGTTGAGGAAGCTAAAGACCTCATTATCCGAAGCATCTTGGGGATCAATTCAGAGCCGCTGATGTCCGGTCTTCCAAAGTAGATGATCAACTTATTTTCTCCCTCCCTCATCATTGCGAATAGCTTGCATCAATTCGAGCAACTGTCCAAGTTGTTGGTCTATAGCAGGGTATATTGTTAGTATTCGCTGAAAGGACCGCAGACAAGAACAACATACCACTCATCTTGTCCAACTTGGACTTGTCCAGCTTCTCCCCAGCCCAATGCTCGCCCTCCAGCTTTTGCGCATAAAGCTGCCATTCAGTCAAGAAGCCAATCTATCAAGATAAAGGTCAGGAACAGTTCTACCCTTGACCCCCGAGATCTCCGCAGCTCCTCTTGGTCCGCGGTAACGTCCCCCACCGAATAGAACCACTCCAACACAACAAGGAACAAACATACAATATGCAGTGGGTTCTCCACAGTCCTATGCGCGCGGAATTCATTCTTCACATATGAATCACCCAACACGCGCATCTCCGGGTCAAGCTTGCGATGGACGCGCAGGATGCGACGGTACAGCTGCAGCGGCGGGAGCAGCGCGAGGGCCTCACTGAGACTAGACTTCGAGCCGATTGAGGCCGGCGTGGCCATGAGTAAACGCTGAGCGACGCGCATCGTGAATAATCGAGAGAAAGCTGAACGTTGTAGTCAAATGACATAATTTCCTGGGGGTTTTCTGTCAAAGGCGGCGAGCGGCACGCACGAATCAGCGGGTCGGGATGACTCGGGTTCTTTTTGGGCTTTTTCTTTTTTACTTCGTTGATTCGTTGATAATTTCTATGCTGTATATTCCAAAGCAATGAGAGTTGAATTGCAGGTGACAGTGTGAGCTGTGCATACCTGAGCCAACATTACGGCATTTTTCACGATATCATTCCGACACCCCACCAGCGTCATTGAAGCCGCAGGGATTGATACATCATTGAAATTTCTCGAACAAAACGATACATTGAACATATTCACCATGCTGCCAACACCGGATACATCTCATGTATCCTTTGACACAATCTACGAGCCATCGGAGGACTCATACCTCTTCCTAGACACATTGTCATCAGCATCCGAATCAAAATGGCTCTCTGAACGCTTCGACAACACAAAGCATACACCACCGCTAGTGGTCGAAGTAGGCACAGGTTCAGGTGTGGTTCTGGGCTTCGCAGCCGCACAGTCAGAGAAGATCTTCGGCCGACGCGATATCCTCACGCTAGGAACAGACGTGAATCGAAATGCATGCCTCGCAACGCGAGAGACGGCAATAAATGCCATCAAAGCAGAGCAGCAACCGAGTCCTCGCACCATTCATATATCTTCATTAACGGCTGACCTGTGTGCACCTCTTCGTCCTGGAAGTGTTGATGTCCTGCTTTTCAATCCGCCTTATGTTCCTACGGAGGATTTGCCTCGTTTACCTTCTGCTGTCGATAATGATCCTGCTGCGGCGGCGGCTATGTCTCGCTCCGCCAAGTTTGATAGTGATTCTTTCTTTTTGTCGTTGACCTATGCTGGTGGTGCTGATGGTATGGAGACGACTGATCGATTGCTTGATGCTATTCCTAGGGTTTTGTCGCCGACTGGTGTTGCTTATGTTTTGCTTTGCAAGCAAAACAACCCCGAGGATGTTAAGGAGCGGATTCGTGGATGGGATGGATGGAACGCTGAGTCGGTGGGATCGAGCGGGATGCAGGCTGGGTGGGAGAAGTTGGTCATTGTGAGAATTTGGAGAGATGATGGCTTATAGTCTGTCGACAAGGACAAAATATTGGGCATGGACGGGCTGGTGAAAAAGAGATACCATCTGTTATTTGTTACTTCGATCTCTATCATGAACACTCAACGAGACAGGACGCCTACTGCATTGGGTATACTGCGAGCATATGAAGAGCACTCGCATATTTTCCGAGATGATTCTGTACAGCATAGACGTCACTATTCCACGGCTGACAACCAGGAGGAACACGCATAAAGCTTACAACAACAGACAGGTTCAAGACTAGAAAGACTGTATGTGAAGCTGCATATATCAAGCTTGGACCACATTGGGCACGGGTTGTGCAGTAGGGCATTTTAGATGATTAAGGTGTTGCTATGCTGCATGGAATGCTAACTTCCTTTGTTTTCCCATCAATCTGTTCTCATACATGTTGGCCATAAGACCAGGATATACTATCCAAATTGCCACAACATTCTTGGGCCACAAACATTCCCCCAGGTAGTCGATAGCTGCTGATGTTTCAAGCTCAGGCATATTTTCCGTTGCCATAGTTCACAGGGCGATAAGCTTCGGCCAAATAGTGTTCGGCTAAAAACTAGCCTTTGATCGCTGTGTTTCCCAATGCCCCTGTTCAACGGTGGTGCCCCCAGCAAGATACCGCATAGGTCAATTGACAATTTCTTCTGACCCACTGTCAGCGTCAGCAGACACTGACTGCCATATTTGGACTAGGCTCGCCCATCTGACATGAAATTTGATCGGCACTATATGGGATTTCTTGGCTCCCAACCGGCAAGATGAGATCCACCGCCGAAGTTGGCGGGCGAGCAACGCTCCATGGAAGTTCAAAAGGACCAAAAGCCATAGTATCCAAGCTAATGTACCGGCGCGATGGTTCTGTCTTTTGTTTTCCTATTGAGATCGGCGGTGGCGCTTTTACCTGCACTTAGGCAGCAGGTCTCGAGAGGGTTATCTATTTGCCAGTGACGAAGAAGATCAGGGTGAGTCTCACATGAGCCGTGGAGATTGTGTCGAGCGATTACCATATCGGGTTAATGAAATTAGCTGTCTCAGCCTCGTTGTCTTGTGGGTACCTAGATGATCAACTGCAGTCGCTGATCTGCAATCAAACCAAATTAATGGCTCAAACTTAATATATATGATATCAGAACTAGAAACCCGACCAATACCAAGATGGGCAGGTGGCTACCTGTATCGGCATGTACAGTATACAGTTCATCATAGGTCACCGTTAGACCCAACGGGATCTACGTTAAAGCTATGGCAATTTGTGCACGTGGCTGCGTTTGATACTAAGTGAATAGCCGGGATACAGACCTTCCTTTTTTGGGAGTTTCTCCTCTTCTGGAAAGCTGTGATGTCGTAATTTTCGTCTCTACTAGTGTTTCAAAGGCTGCCGAATGGCTGGTAGTCCGCCAGCCGCTTTCATACTTGACATAGAATCACCACAAAAAGCGCAGATCCAAAGACAATCCAAGGTAAATCCTCAAGCTGCATGAATGAACAGCGAGGCCGGGCAGTTCGTACAGGGGTATGCCTCGAGCGTTTACCTAATGCAGTATAGTAACAGTCAAGTATGAACCCGTTTAGCCTTCTAGCCTTAGCTGCTGATCGTCACAAGGTTCGGCTCCTTTCGGAAGGCTTGAATGGCTGTTAGAGCATGTATAACACGTACTACTCTCGCTCTCGCTCCTTGGTAGCACCTACCTAGCACACGGACTTTAAGTTGCAGATGCGCAATGCTCCCATATCAGTGTTTGCCAAAATCCTCGAAGATGACTCGCCGGGAAAAGACAGCGGTCATAAACGCCCGAGTGATAGTGCCCCTGTGGAGTTTATCTTGCTCTGCCCATTGGATGCATGTTGTGATATGACTCCAACCATATGTGACGGAGCCATACACGGTGAACCATGAAGGCGCTGGAAAAAGCAATGAAGTTGATTCCCGAGACCGTTTAATCGCCATGCGAGTGCAAGGATAGTGAAGCCCGAATAGTCTGGGCAGCAACCTTAGTCGCGGTTAGAGTGCTAAATTTGGGCATGGGCTTGTCAATCCCCAGGGTACCACGATGGGTCTAGTTCGTGGTGATTGACATATGCAAGTGGGATCCCTCAGCCTTTGCAGTGGAAAAATACGAGATTGGCTGTTCTGATGTTTACTAGCGGGAACGGTGATCTACGCGAGGTGCATGACCTGTTTTGGGTATTGCTCTGGTGTAGGTCAGATTAATCTTCGAGATATCATGGTTTGGTAAACAATCCACCGCTTGTACTGGTACAGGCGAGACTAGTAGGCAAATAGGACACTCATGGGCCAGGTTAGAGGTTCCCTCTCAGATATATCCGCAATATCTGGATAGCCTGGTGCTCGTCGATACCTCATCAGGGGGCCCAAAGTAAACATCACGACATCAAGAGATGTGCCACTTCAAATGGTAGGGAAAATAACATCGATTCAATTGCTTTTTCTCGGTTTATTGCCATCCAAATCGGAGCCCCTGGGTAATGGAAAAATAGGATAAAAGGCATCCCGTGATCATGCATATTCAAGCCGAATTTCGAAGACAGAAACAAACGCCGGATTGTCCTCTCAACAAAACAGAAAGAAAGAAATCTAGAAGCCACGCCCCCGGCCGCGACCACGGCCACCTCCACGGCCTCGGCCGCCTCGTGGTCCACCACGGCCACGACCACGGTCTGTCTCCTTACGCGCCTTGTTCTTGGGCTTGGGCGCGTCATCCACAAGCAGGGTGTCAAGGGGCAAGCTGTCAGGTAGGATGTAGTAGCGGATTGTGGAGCCGCGGATGTTGATTGTGTCGAGCGAGATGGGGTCACGGTCCTTAGGGGTCATCTTGACGGTGCGGAGAGAGGTGTTCATCTGCGGGGAGACGGACATGATAGTGCCGTGAAGGATGGTGCCTGTATTGCAAATTCAAGTTAGGAAAGACGTGTCTCGGATTTTTGGGCGGAATGGCGACTTCGGTGAATGTGAAGCTCTTGGGATTCACAAGATTTGCGCGGGGGACTGACCATTCTTGAGCTCAACGGTAACCGTTTCATTGGCGCATTTCATTAAAAAGCTAGAAAAAGAAATATACGTCAGCGGGAGACCATGAAGATGATGCGCCTGGCGGAGCTGGTGCTCGCGCCCACAAGGTGGGAAGGCGTACCGGACGAGCTTCATGGTGAATGTGAGAGCTGCAAGACAGGGATTACTTCACTTTGATGAATTGTCAAGTCACCAGAGAGCTAACAGAATGTGGGGACGACGGACGTGGATTGGTTTTGGTGATGAACCAGACGCAGAGAAGATCGGATCAGGTGATATCGGTCACGTGAGGGTATTTGCGCTTCAGGGATTCTCACTTCAACGACCGATCGCCTAGCTTCATAAGCAAAATGTTGTGAATTGTCTGATAGATAATGGGAAACTAATGATATATGGATATGAGCATCATTGACATGTTCTGGCATGTTTCATTATTATTATTGTCTGCCGCACTGCCAGCCACAAGTCCACAATGCAACGCAAATGACTGGGATTTTGAGAAAAACACCGAATATTCACCATTGTCAACCTCTTCAGAATTTGACTTTTACGGCAGCGATTAGTTCCGCGCAATATATCAGGCAAAATGGTCAACCAAGGTGTTTTCTCCTTGATACTGTACGCAGGTGAGTTAAAATGACCCCTGCGCTGATCCATGGATACCATCAATAGGGATCATGTGGGTAAATTCTGCGTACATGCCCTAGAGTATCCGATTTCGGCCAAAATACCGTCTCCAGAAGAGCCTAGAGTCTATGTGCAGTCCTCGTTCTATTGCCCCTCGTCCTGGAAATCCCCAGATACCGAGACCGATCAAAACAATCTTCGCGTTTGACCCTGATAGTATTGGCCCCCAAAGCCAACTCTTGTCCCATGTCTTAACATTGTTTCGGCAATTCGCCCTTGTGTCAAATCTTGTTTGGTGGGTTCGCCAATCTTGCTAAATACTACTACCGTTGGGCCAGACCGATTGTTTTCTCTGCAATGCAACGTCAGGGCGTAGATTTCAATGGCATAGCACATTGAAACCAATAGATGTTTTACTGCAGAAGTATACAGGAGTAAACAAAGTGAAGTCCGAAATAGGACTAAAAACATCACAATCAAATGAGCTGAAATAACAATTCAAAGTTCTGACGGCCTGTCAAATTACCGTAGTAGTTTCTAACGTTGACTAGTAAGAAAATAGCCCTGGTTCCTGTGGGTCTCCACGAGGCAGAGAAACAGTAGTAAAATTACCCTAATCTACAGTACTACATTAGGCTCATCAACTCGCAATGATCTCCCACGCAGATACGCGCGAGTTCTTGATAAGTGCGGATCCCGGGCCCCTGTGGAGACAGGCGATCGTACGCCCCTGGACGGTTGCGATTGGCTTCAATACCCCATGGCTTCTGGAACTGACAAATTGTCCCAGCGCTAACTGACCGGATTACTTCACATGGCTATGAGAGACCCTGGGCTGTAATGATTTTTCAAATAAGTCTTGGCGATTTCAGCTCCACCTTTTTTTACGGCCGTGTTGATACGCGACACGACCAGTGGGCCCCGTCCAAACGGGATATTGGTCACATAGGACCTATAATAACGCTAATTTCAAGACTTGGGACAGTCCGGTACCCGGGCACTCCCTATTCTGACAGGGGCACCGACTAGATCGTCTGGGGCCGAAAAACGTCCTGTGGTCCCGGGGATCTACATCCCTCTGGGCACCAATATGCCTAGATCGGGCCATCCTTTCAGTGCAGTGGAGTGAAAGAAGAAACCTAATTCATTTGAGTTAGGGCAATGTCACATCCACCCAGAATTGATTACCATCTACGCAGAAAAAAGTGAAATCTCTTCCTAACCGCGCGTTCGTGGGGGCCAAATTTGATAAGGGACCACATTGTCAAGCACCGTCGGGCCGGAGATGGCATTTTAGTGTCTACAAGCGAGCATACAGATAGATAGGCAGAATATACAGCTCAGAACAAGAAATTTCAAGAATTTCCGGCCACGGGACAAGCGTATGGCCCCAAAAGGCCCCATCTTGGCCCCCGTTCACTATTTAGTACAATGGGGCTAGAATTGACGCCTAGACCAAGTTCCGTTAGAGAATCATGGCCCCAGTCGTAATCCTCCCGAGTGCCATTCCCACCTAGGCTCCGGCTAGGGTCCCGTCATCTGTGGGGTCCAAAAATCCACGAATTCGCTCGTGATAGTTCTCATCGGCCCACCTCATCGAGAGTTTCTCTTTTCTTGATCATGGGACCAATGATATCACATCTCTAATTGAGGTCAACGGGTAGCTAACACACCTGCGCATCGTTCAGGATCAGAGCAACAGATATTCTAGAAGCTGTTGTTTGTGGACCAAACCTACGCCCTTAGATCCTGGGGAGGATGAGCTGACGTCTTGTATGCGCTTTCAAATACTTCATTGCGCCCGAGTCGTGGTCCATGGGTTTCAGAAACTAAAAGTCTTCTACCAACTTGACGGGATTACCGGACACCTGTATGTTGATTCTTTATGCGAGTGCCACTTTTCCCCTTATACCCTTTCCCGGCCCCGCCCCCTACTGCTTGCAATCTGTTTTAGGTCTATGACCTATATATTTCCTAATGTTCCCCGGAGCGTTCGGCTCACAGGACTCATCTTCTCACAGAAACCACCACACTCTGTCTGAGTTTCCAGCCACAGAGCCCGAAGTTGGGTCCTTGTCTTCATTGGTCGAATCACCGGACTTTTCACAGATTCTGCCCGGCTCTGCCACTCCTTGGTCTGCTCAGAGTCATACTACTATAGAACATTCGCAATCGACACGAGATTTCGGACTGTCGGTTCCCCCGCAGCACTCCACGTCAACGCTGGATTCCAGCCCGAATCAGCCTCGCAATCAGGTTGTCTTGAACGACCAACAGAGACCAATTACCCGGTCTTCTCTTGAAAGTCAGAACCCTACTGAAGGGCACCTTGCTCTAGAAAATACCCCGTAAGTCATATGTCGACCTCTGTTTGGATAATTTGGTGCTGACTAGGGCATCCCACTCACAGGGGCCTTGGCATCTCATCATACCCTATGTCAGCAGTATCAGACGCCTATTTTGCTAGCCCGATGCAGCATCCTCATCGTATGGACAAATATCTACTTTAACTGAGAAATATGCCTGCTGACTCTTTCAGACTATGCTTGGGCAAATCGCCCGTATCATCCTGTGCAAGCACCACATGAACACATGAGTCCACCATTTGCATCTTCGCAGTCATCCTACTCTTCAACAGGCTACCCAGTTGGATATCTTAGCCATTCGAGTGGCCCCCTACCTAGTTATGCGCAGCAAGTACCGGGATCTTACCTTACAGCACCTGGGAGTGCTGCTCGACAGAGCCAACCTCGGAGGTAAGCTACATTTCCTCCTGCCATTGGAAACTACTGACTTTTTTGGTTGAGTCCCCCTATGGCACGTCCTTTCCAGTCCGCTTCTACCTCAAATACGCCTCCGCTGCCCCAGCAGCCTCTCATGACTACGTGAGTCCAATGGACTGCCTGCGAATAGCCAAGGAATTAAGTAATTAGATCACTAATGCTGTTAGCAGTCCTCCTTATATGATGAGCCAACCAGCCTACTACTTTGCTGAGCCAACATCAATCCCGTAAGTATTTAACCAATCAAAGAAAGAAAGCTTTAACTAATCACAACACGAACCAACAGATCCCAGCCCTCGTCCATCAACTCTCAGCCACCACCAATGGTCTCCCCAGAGCCAATGTACTCCCCATCCAATTCAGCGGCAACATCAGATACAGATCAAGTCCGAGTAGTCAATTCACGACCACGACCACAATGCTGGGATCATGGCTGCAACGGTCGCGAGTTCTCAACCTTCAGTAACCTCCTCCGTCACCAGCGAGAAAAGTCAGGCGTCGTCGCCAAAGCCGAGTGTCCAATCTGCGGTGCGGTGTTTACACGCACGACTGCACGTAATATTCATGTTGCACAAGGGAAATGCAAAGCGTCGGGCAGGGAATCGTCTACGGAATAGAAGTTCGTATTATGGTCACTTTTGGGGTTGGGGCAATTCGGGAGTTTAGCATTCGGGGTTTGATCCCTTTATTTTTCCTATGTTTTCAGTGAGATTGCGACTTACAGGATTTCCAGCGAGAATACCAGGCATGTTTAAGAGAGTACTGTAAATACATTTTGAGAGTATCTGCACAATTGAGTCTTGCGGTGATGGCACGGGAGCCTTGTGGATAGTGGTGTGAGCTGGCTCATACCGTTTATACTTAGATTCAATTCTATAAATATTTCGCTTTTCACATTCGTGGTTTGAAACTGGGGCCGGGTTTTTTGTACATGGATCTGATCCCTTCCCTGGTCGGGACCTTAAATCAGGGAAACGTTGCGAGATATACGTTGTACTTAAGTACGATTTATGAACAAGTTACCCTTCAGGTAAAAGACTACATATGTCAAAGTTCTCTTCGCCTTTTTGTAGCCATTAGTGACTGGCTTGTGGTGGAACGTGTAATTCTGCATGTCTGGTCTTTTAGAATTTCTCATCAAATAGGCATACATTAATTTTAAATAACCCGCGAGAATATCAATCAAAGAAAAAGCTAAAAGAAGTTTCAGAGAAACGCAATAAGTGCCTGATCAGTTCAATTGGACCAAGCCCTTGTGATAGCCCCATGATTGCTAATCAGAAGGATTGTTGTATCTTCCATCTTTGAGTTTCCGGTGAGACCACCACCCAATTCATCTGCATTCAAAAAATGGAAGCTATCCTATCCTAATGTGTCTTTGGGAGGGTATGTGGAAGTCCAGGTACAGTGTTGCCAACAGCTCCAAGCGTTCCCTTTCCCGCCAACTTCTGTCGAACTTGACCCCCTTACTCGGTATAAACTAACTCTGTGGGTATATTCTAAGGCATATTGTTTGAGACCGAATTCTGTTGGACAACTTGTCTTCATTCCTGTAGGTACGTACCATCCGTCGTGGGAGCGCGGGCCTGGACTTTCTCAGAGATTTGTGGATGACGCCCCCTAGAAACCTTAATATTCAAATGAAGGCTGACTATTCTGTTGAATAGTACCTTAGATCTGTTTCTGTAATATACAGAGACGGACCTGACATCTCGCAAGCACGCCGAAACCTCAATGTGTTGTCCACCTCCGCCTCCTATTACAAAGTACCTGGATTGGCACGGAAACGATCTGAAGACTACAGCAATGATATATTCAACCCATGAGCACAAGCAGACGGCACCATGTTATAATATACTAGATGCGATATCAGGCTGTGGCAGAGACACAGGAAACAAATGAGATTGCATGCGGAGACAAGCGTGACATGGATGCATCTCACGAATGAGAGCCTTTAATAAGTGTCTCTTTGGGTGTTTCCAAGTATGGTTCGACTTTGGGATGAATTTGGGCTAAGGAGTACATCGGTGTCGGAATAGAGCTTCAGTCTTGATGGCGAGACCGGCGGCTATAACTGCCAGGGGCAGCCTTTGGTCTACATTGAACGGCACCCCTGCGGATGAGGTGAATTTTGCTGTGGAAAGTTAGATAATTTCTAACTCAAAGGCTTGATTTTCAGGCCAGTACTGCAGGTATATGGTATTCCTTTTGCAAATTTGCAGACACAATCGTTGCTCGAATACGTATACTTCGGCAATGTCTAAATGTGCGAACTGAAGTTTCACATTATTCGACGATATTATCGGCTATTTTATTATTCATATACCCCTCTATGCGAATCATAATGCTCAGATCGTCCCAATGGGACTTTCGACACCGACACTTGAGCATGCCCTAAACCTGAGCGTGGACCGGAAGCATTGTGGCAAACATATATAGTTGGTATGACCAAGTTCATGAATTGGCTAACAAGTATTCTCATAATTAGACCATCAAAGCTGTACTTGAACAAGCATATTCAAGGGTCAAACACACATACATAAAAAGACGTGGAAAAGGTCAACATGAAGTCGCAGTAAAGTCGTGGGGAAAACATGGCCACGTGATGCGCCGGCCCGTGACTGGTTTGTGACTCAGTATTGGCTGTCTCAGTCCTCTGTGACTGTCTCAGTACAATGCATTCAATTTTTCTAGTTCTCCTGTTTGATTCATCTCCATATCAGTGTTTATTACATCGAATGCCTCTAACAACCGTCTGAATTGTCATATATACGCTATGGCATCCATCTTCACTTACGATCCAGACCCGCCGCGGGTATCATCACCGTGGTCAACCTCGGGATCGTCGACCCCCCAGCTCAATCCGTCTGGTAGTCGCGGATTAGCAATCCGCACGCGCTCCAGTGCTACTCCGCTGCGCGCTGATCCAGTCCTATTGTCCGACTACGGAATTTCTAAATTGGAACCAGAGCCTCAAGAAGGCCCCACAGAGTACAAGTTACATCTGCTTCTTCGACCCAGACGTCCCTATCTTTCTATGTCGACAGGGAACGTAGTGGCAGGATCATATCATTCACGCATGGTGCCACTATCGTATACCTCTGCATCACCGGGTTCTGAAGCAGCTCCGAAGCCCATGCAAGCCAAATCAAACCAGAGCCGACAGCAACGACTACAAGGATTAACTACCCAGTTATTATGGCGTCTGCAGCAATCTTCGCCGTTTCATTCCTCTACCACCTCAAATCTGGTGTTGCCTGTTCTTCCCGATGCAACTCCCCAACTAGGAGTTCCTTCAAAACCTGCCCGTTTGCTTCCTGGTCTCGAGGAAAGCCAAGGTGCTTTGTATGAGATTGGAGTTGCAGATGACGGTACCTTTGTCGGTCTCACTCAAGACGAGCTAGACGAGAGCATCACCAACCTTCAGTCTATGGCTACAAGTCTGGGGTGTAAGGTCGAGGTCCTGCGCCGAGTCGTGGTCGGGAATTGCGAGTGGGCAGCGGAAACGCCAAATGCACCGCTAGATGCACCACCCGACCCGGCTACAAATACCACCGAAGGACTCTGGGTGGTTGAGGCATTGGTAAGCCCAGATCTGGACTTCTACAACATCTCCCAGGGCAAATCAATACGTGATTCGCAATCAACTACAAATATCGAGTCTGGATATGTGTCAGCTTCGGACGAGGACTACTCACATACGGAACAAATCAGGATTTCTATTGCTGGTCCCAGCACTGCAGGAAAGTCTTCTTTGCTGGGTACATTGACGTCTTCTGTACTTGATAATGGACGAGGCAAGAGCAGATTGAGTCTGCTGAAGCATAGACATGAGATATCATCGGGGATTACCAGCTCAGTAGCCCAGGAATTGATTGGATACACTGATGATGCGCCACCCACCGTGATCAACTACGCCTCTGGCAATGTGGCCGGCTGGGATGATATTCATGCCGCCTCACACGGGGGTCGTCTGGCCTTTGTATCCGATTTACCAGGCTCTGTTCGATATTCAAAATCCACATTGCGAGGGCTTGTTAGCTGGGCTCCTCACTATGTGATGCTCTGCATCCCGGCTAATTCTGGTGATGAGACGACCGTGCTTGAGCAAGGGACTGAACATTCAGAAATTGACCTCTGCCTGGCATATCTCGAACTCTGTTTGAAGTTAGAGCTTCCAGTGTTGATTGTCATTACCAAGCTAGATATGGCTTCCCGCAGTGGATTGCGCGAGAATCTTGCCAAAATCCTTTCGGCAATCAAAACCGCCAACCGGAAGCCTGCAATGCTTCCTGCCAGCCCTGCCGGTGACAAAGTTCTTAATCTTCAGCAAATAAGCACAGTGGAAAGTACCCAAGTACACAAGACAATTGACGCTGCCGACGGAAAGTGGTTAAGTACTGTGCCGATCATTCTGACCAGTGCCGTGGATGGATCCGGCATAGGGAAGCTCCATGCTTTCCTTCGCTATCTACCAATTCCTACTCAACCTTCTCAGAGAATCCTCCATATTCCCAAAGCTTTATCTACATCTCCGCACGACACTGGTAACGTCTTCGATGTGGACGAAGTATTTGCAATTCCACCTTCGAAGGTCTACTCAATAGCTTCGGAGAAGGGTGACGAAGAGAACCGTGGAATGGTCCTTTGCGGTCTGGTTCGCCACGGCAACATCTCTATTGGCGACGAGATGGTCATTGGTCCGATCCTTGTCGACGTTTCTAATGATTCCAACAACGAGCCTCCACCCTCGGTGGGGACTCTGTCCCGCAGCGGGCCGGGTGATGTGTCAGCATCATTCCCGCAGAGCCTCATATTCGGAAAAGACTCACAGGCCAGGTGGCAGCGAATCCGCGTTGTCAGCGTGAGAGACCTCCGTTTACCAGTCCGCCGACTAGTGGAAGATCAAGTAGGCACAATCGGCATAGAGCCCGTTGGGTTTTCCGAGGACAAAAGTATTCCGCGCCTTGGCCGAATACGTAAAGGCATGGTTCTCTCGAACTTGCATACGACGCCCACATGCATCACCTCTATACCACCTAGATCCTCATTATTACCGTTACCATTCTACACCGGATTCACCGCAACTTTCAGATCTACTGAGTTCTCCGCTCCGAACTCCCCTCCTCTACTCCTAGGAGGCAATGCTATAGCGTACATCGCCAACATTCGCACCACTGTTCGCGTCATCTGCATGGCACTGGCCGGAGCCGACGAGGAAGCCATATCTGAGCCGCCTTCTCCTTCTGAGCCGGAGCTCTTCAACTTCGACGGCGATGGCCAACCCCCTTCCGCTAAACCCCACAGCAACGGGACAACAAACGGTAATTCCATAAATGACTTCGGCAGCGATGGAACCGCCGATGCAGTCCGGCGTCGTCCTTCGGCGACGGATATCAGCAAAGTAATCTCAGGGACTATACCCGCCTCTATTGTTGGTGTTGCCTCCTCGGCAGAAGCCCTAAAAGAGGATGTGAAGATTACATTTGCCCTTGTATCGTCTGTTGAGTGGATCGAGCTGGGCTCTCAGGTCCTTGTCATGCCTGGTATTTCCATGGCGTCTGCTTCTTCCCAGGCTGCTACCACGGCGGCATCTGCCCCTGGCTCTAGCTCAGTGTCTATGTCCGGGCTTGAGGGCTTTGTTGGTGCCGTTAGTGAAGTCGTTCCTGGGCGGGTTCCAGTGGCTGAGTGAAGCTATATTTTGCAAATGTGGCATGAGAATCGATGGGATCTTACTTTTCTTGCTTTTGAGCGTTTTGATTGAAATATTTGACTGGTCGTTGGTCACATAGGCTCGGCGTTTGCATTTGATGTTCGTAGGGCATTACTCTGTTCCCTTTTGTTTATTGTTATTTTTACATGTCTCATCGAAGAGTCGTATGATAACTGAACCAAATCTACTTGGATTGGAATCATTTACGTCCGTCTCATTGTCTTGAAAAGGAGTTATCGTAGCGATTGATTTAGTTACTATTCTCGGCTTGAGGGCACCGTCGTGCCCAGAGTTCAAGAAACAAGGGGATATCAGTTTGTAGCAATGCAGTCAGTCCGGCATGGTGACAATCAGAGCTTATCAAGAGCCGGGCTATAGCAAATGATTTCCGCCAGTCATCCAACCCCTTAAAGAAGTGATCTGACCACGCAGTCGTCTCACTGAACCCATTTTCGGGTTCATCATGATCTCATTTCAAAGCCGACTTCAGCTTGGGGTATGTCTATCAACTATTCTCGAACGCTGTGGACAGCCTCGAACGTCACGCTAGACCTCTCCCATGATATCACCAGATGTCCGCATGTTGAAGGTTGGGATTGTCACGTTTATCCGCCTTTGCGCTGGTCACCGGGGATATCGTGCGGGCGGGAGAAGGTGCTAGTGGATCCAATAGTAGCGCTAGCATTGCGAAGTTCGATCTTCTTGCGCTCCATCTCGAGCTAGAATTCAATTCGTTAGCTGTACGTGCCCTAATTGATCAGCCGGTGAGCGTGATACTTACCACCTTGCGCACTCGAGCAAGAGCTGCGGTATCACCGTCGATAATCGGGCGACAGTCCTCAGCCTTGTAGGGAGCCGAAATAGTTACGGCATCCGCGACAATAATGTTGTTTCCATTCCAGCGCGCGGGCATAGTACGGCTGAACGCATCGAAGAGCTCCTGAGCCTCCCGAGTGACACCCTTGCCACGACGCGCTTCTCGCTCGAGCAATTCGCCAATCGCCTTCATCTCGCGGGCCTTCAGCGCACGGGTATCGAGGGCCTGAATTGTAGGCTGGGCGTCTGCGAACGAGGACGAGGTGGAGTTGGAGGGCGCGGCAAGGGAGAGGATCTGGAAGCCTTGGATACGCGAGATGGGGACCACATGATAGTCACCGTTCTGGGCCTGTTTGGCGTCCCCGGGGTTGGCCGCGGGGGCAGTGTTGATAGCCACGAGGCTGGTGATGGGATCGACTGTGAACAATGTGCCTTCGTGGGTCATCGCATTGGGTTGGGCAGTGGTGAGGCGCACACTTGAAGAGGGAAATCGCACATGTTAGCCCCGCGATTCGACAGGAGGGATCAAGAGTTGGTCGCGGACACTCACCGGGCGCCAATCGCGCCGCTCAATGCGGCCTCCAAGGGAACCATAGCTGCCATGCCGGAACCTGATACGTTACCAGATGACTTTTGCGCGGACGCTTTCACTGAGCTTTGGCGCTTGTTCTCCGCCATAGACCTTTGGCCTTTAGCCTCCACGGACGAGCTACTCGACGTCCACGACAGGCTCAAATAACTCTCCGATTACAGGAGAGTTCTGATTATTCAATAAGACACGGGGGTCAAGTCCTAGATGACGGGATCAGGACATCGGAAACAGAGGAGCTCGGAGTGGTATCGGACCTGGAATATCCCCGGATTGCGGTAAAGGTGGCCCGTGGGGTTCCTGGGCGTAACGAGCGTGACTCGAGCTGGGAAATGCAACCCCAAAAGAGATCAAGAAATAAACACCCCCAGGGATTTATGAGAGATGGACTCGACTTCGAGATGGCAGGGTCGACGTTGCACGGGTGCCATTTTGGGACTAGCGTGGCCGATTACTTCATCGGTGCCTGAGGCTGCGATCTATATAAAATGCTATCAAACGCAGTTTTTTTGTTTTGTTCCACCTTCAATGGGATCCTGAGGCAGAACGAGACTATGTTAAAGCTCATGGCCGAAATGCCCTCCAAGCCCCAGCAGAACAAGGTCATCTTGATATGGTTCAGCTGCTTTTTTCTTACGGTGCAAAAATCGATGCCTCGCCTGGTCCAATGTATGGTCGGACAGCCATCCAAGCGGCAGCGGAGCAAAATCATTTTGAAATGGGGAAGCTATTCGTTTCAAATGGCGCAGAAACCAATGCCTCACCTGGAAAGCAGCAATGAGGGTCTGTTGAAAGGTACACGTATATCTATCTGCCCACGGAGGAAGACTAGAAGGGTAGATTTGCTGAATGAATCAAGCCTGTTGGCATCGCTTTTGAATAATTATGATACATGGTGGTCATTCAAAAAAACAAGGGTGCACCAGGGCTTTGAACGATGCTGGTGCTATCTCAAAGCTGTCTATGATCGTAAAATGGTATCCAATGAGGGAATTGAAAAGGCTGCTGTAGACTGTGAGGTCTGATGATGCAAGGGAATCAAGCATCAAAGCCGTAAACCTGACATAGTAGCTATGCAGATTACTTTTGATATTCGGCTGCGATTGAGCTGAGGATGGCTAGACTTATCGATTGATAGCTATGCCAGATGGACGGAGGCTGAAAAGACCCAGATTTCCTCCATGGAAAGTGGGCGGGGAGCTTCTTGAGTGGACAGAATAGGGTATCAAGAGCATGACCTTTTTGAGGCCAAGTAAAAGGTTAGGTGAAAAGCACGCATTACATTTTGCGAAAAGTGTTTCCAGAGGCACTGCGACGTTCCTTTGCCTTAAATGGGTTGTCGGGCTTGTCGTAACGGACCTCGGGGGCAGCACGCTTCGGCTTTCCAGCAGGATTGAAGCTGATTTCCTGCTCGCCGACGACACCACCACGGCGGGTAGGCTTCTGTCTCGACTTCATGTTCTGGGCACGCGAGCCGAAAGAGCGGTCCCGAGTAGAGGTGTGATTCGAGGAAGAAACCTGCATGCGAGGAGGAGGCCGCTTGGTTCTCTTGTAGTCTGCAGAAGAGATCTTTTTAGAAGAAACTGGTTTCGCGGGTCGCTCGAATTCGCTATCGGAGCCTGAATCGTCCGAGCTTGAGCCAGGTACATCGTCAACGGCCTCTTGCTCGACTGCCGTCAAGCCACGCTCCTTTCTCTGGGACTTTGAAGTAGCAGCCTCGGGAACTGTGCTGGGGTTTAACAACTGGAATTCACGTGATGTTTCGTCGACCGCAAAGTCGCGGTCCTCGAACAGTTGAGCGAAACGGCTGTCCTTAAGGACACCAGTCTCCTTGTCATCGGAAGGTGCAGGCGCATCGACCATCTCCTTGTCTTCTGCGCCTTCCAGCAAACGTTTAGCGTGCTTGCGTTCCTTCTTCTCCTCCTCCTTCATCATTCTCTCTGCCAGTCTCCTGTTAATCTTAACAGCGACCTTCTTCTTGCCTCGGATGCGACTCTCACGCTCCTGGTCAATCTTCTGTTGCACGGTCTTGTGGCGCAGGCCCTCAGGGTTGTCGCCTGGGGTCTCGAACCTTCTCATGGCCTCCTCATGCAGCATCTTCGGCATCAGGAATCCGTGCGTGAACGGAATCAAGCCACCCTGTCCGATCTGCTTCTCAATGCCCCACTTGGCGACCTGCTCAGCAGTAACAAGCTCGTAGCCATCGAACAGAGTGCCATCCTCAGAAGTCTTGAACGCGTTGGGATCATTGGGATCCTCAGCCATCTCTTCAACCATGTTGTCCAAGAATGAGCACCATTTGGGCGCAGGTCCAAGTTGCGGTACGAAGAAAACGTGTTGCTGTTGGCCCTCGTTTGCGGTGAGAAGCATTCCACTGTCCTTACACCAGGCCACCGAGTTGAGATCCACGGCTGGTTCAACCGATGTCCAAGGCTTTTGGTCTTCGATATCCCAAAGCTTGATGATACGCTTATCAGCGGAGAGCAGCTTGGGTTCAATAGTTGCGGCGCGTGTTGCGGTGGAAGGCTCAAGGAACTGAAGGGTATGGACAGGGAAACCGTAACCTTGATCCTTCTTCTGAAGGGGAACGGGCGAACGAAGATCGTAGAGGTGGATAAGTCCATTGGAGGAACCAGTTCCAAGGTTCAGACCGGATCGACTGAAGTCGAGGGCGGTAATCTCGGAACGGCTCTCGTCAAATCCAACTTGTGTAGGTGGAAGAAGAACGCCTGCGCGTCCCTTTGCTCTGGGATCCCAAAGCTCAACTGTTCCTACCGATGTTCCGAAAGCCAACAGGTTGTGACTCTCTTCAGCAATGGCACCTGTGTTGACCGATCCTGGGTTGATTCCACCTTGACGAGTTCCAGCACCTGCAGAGGTGAGATCGTCACCGCCAACATCGACCTCAAAGCTGCGCATGTACCGGCCTTGCTCCAAGTTCAACCGGAATACTTCTCCCATTCCGTCGCCATTGACGCCGACTGCAGGAACCAGCGCCTCGGTCGACTGGCGGTCGTAGACAATATCCCGTCCATATCGGGGAAGTCTGGTGGTGTGGTGTAGTCCCGATGGGGTATGGAATTCGAGAGATCGATCAGATTGGAGGTGGAGAGACTTGGAGTAATCGGAAGACAGTAGAATGAATGTGGTGTTAAGCGCAATGGTGTGACGAGAGTAGGAAAGTGATAGTTGTGGAAGGTAATGGGTGTGCATTTGGGGCTTGTAGGTTCCTGCAAAAAATCAATATTAAGACTTGCGCCTCAAAAGAAAATCCTAGAAATAGTACAAACCTGTACTCATCACCCATTCACCATCTTCACTGGCTCGTACACAAGTACTAGCTTCATCAAACCCAAAGTCCTGCAGTAACTCGACCCGGTTGGAATACTCTGCATCTTTCTTCAAGCTGCGCTTTCGCTGTCTCGCAAGCCAGTCTGGAAGCGGGCGAGCAGAATCTGAGCCCGCGATGGTATACACCGGGACTTCAGACGGATTAGACAGCTTCATGGCGTCGAATATCGATTTTTGCTGAAATTCGAGTTGAGGAACAAAAAAAAAAAAAAAGATAGGCTGATAGGAAACACGTGACCCTATCCGGCCGGATGTCGGTGATTGGCCCGAGTTGTCCCTGGCGAACGTCCCCCGGAATTCCAACTTCAACATTCGAAGAGCTGAGATTGTTCCATGCTTCATTTACAGAGTTGCATCTCTCAAACTCTAGTACATCTTAAGATATCTGTCTTTGCTTCCCATTATGGCCTCGGCGGCTGACATATTCGCGTGTTGATCTCTCGGCTATGCGCTTCTGCTCTTCGCCACGGACTATGCGACCAACTGGCAATGAATTCCAGAGTCAGTTGCGAGCTTTCTTCTTCTATCTTTGAAAGTCTTCAGGGCTGTCCGCGTCTGTTGAATTATGGACTTCCCTGGGGGCGCAAACACTAACATACATCTCATTGTGAGCGTCGCATCAGCTGATACATGTTTGAATGTATACTGACGCGTCAAATTAGGATGGCTTTTCCAATATCTATTGGAGGATATACACAGAAGAATCTCGTGGCCCAAATCAACCACAAGAAGGCCCTACCAATGGCTACACCATCTTGAAGCATCTGAGTCGCCTCAAGGATTTAGAGGCTCGACTAAGAAGCCTGAATTGCCTGGCGTCCTCCCCAAGGCGCTTAGGTCTTTGGGTTTTCTCCTCTACTCCTGAATTTGAAAGCCTGAAACCCCTCTATCTGAGTGGCGAAGATAACAATAAAATTGTTGTTGGCACCACAACTTTGAAAGGTATGTATCTAAGCCGTCCTGATATCTGTTTTGTGCTTCTTCTAATCCCCGCGTAGTTGGTGCTTTGGGGAGTGTCACCGCGCTGGACTTAGTAAAAGGACTCACCGACAATCAGGCTCAGGTAGCCCAACCTGGGCAGCCACGACCAACTCAAGGGCAAGCACCACCTCGACGCCAAGATGGCCTCATCAACTCAGCGGGTATTTATGCTGCTTTCATTTCTGCAGTCACAGGTTCAATCAGCCTTCAGCTAATTCGATGTCATGGCGCTTTACCGCTCGGGTCGCGCACTCTCTACACCGCGGTGGAGAAACTAGGCTATGAAAGTTCCCATATTGATAACGACAGCATCTTTTCTAATTCATGCTTAACGACGCTGAATGTTCAGCTCACTTTGGGTGGAACCATAACCGTTTCCGCCCAGACTGTACCGCAAACTGGTATTAGGCGACTGGCGCCCCGAGATAATGTCGCCGATCTTCTTAGCATGCAGCCTGGAATCGATCTTTGGTTATGTCCCAATGGAACTATCGCTCGACTTGTCACAGCAAATATCGATGCGCCTACCGCTTCTTCTCCAGGACATCCCACATCGGGCGATGTGTCAGCACAGCGATTGCAGTGGAAGCTGGATGTTATACAGTGGTTGCAGAATTTTGGCTTGCAGATTGGCTCGGCCGACGAAGAGTCCTGGGTTGAAATAGAGGTCTGGGAGGCATTCTATGCTAGGCTTGCTGGAGAAGCATGGCGACAGAGTGATGATGGTCAATCTGCGCTGCCGCTGAAACGCATGCTTTGGCCTGCTAGATTTTGTTTCAGAAGGGCTAGCTCATCGAATACCACCTTCGAAACCCAGATGCCCCTTTTCGATGATCCTCTAGATTTCGCAGACCGTTGGACTTCACAAGCGAGCTCTCTCAAGCTAGATCACTCAGCCCAAAATATTCATTTCCCACAGGAGCGTCAAATAAAAGAACAGGAAATATCGCCATCGCCCAAAGCCGACCATCTGGAAAGTACAGAGAGTCTATCTCGAATTGCGCAATATCCTGATCTGCAAAACACAAATTTGGTCTATCCAACTCCTCCAGATGGAGCTGCGGCAACCGACATGAACAATCCAAATCCGTCCGAGGCTTTTGCGGAAGATTCTGACTTCGGGCTACCTAACGCACCCCCACGAGATCCTCAAAGGGATGCTTCGGGGTCAGAGCCATCACCCGGGAATGAAATTGGGGTTGGCACTGGCCGATATGATGCAAGTGACGAGGAAGATCTCTTCGGGGATATGAATGACAGGGACTTTGGGTCGAAGGGTATCACTGATGCTGACTTTAGCTTCTTTGATGACCCCGACTTTGAAGGCATGGGCGATGAGCATGTGGAACAACCACAAGGAACCATCCAAGCATCCCAGGATTTATCCCGTCTAGAGGACGAACCTATGATTGATGAAAATTCATCTCCTAATTTGCCACTGGAAATACCAAATGATGCGGAAACGGAGGCATATGTCTCTCCAATGCAGAAAGAAGCCCCACAACCCAATGAGCCTATCTCTCCTCAAGGGGTCGCTCATTCGCCTACAGATCGGACAGGCCAAACAATCAGCCCACCTTTAAGTCCAATCGAAATCAAAAAGATCCTATTCCCCGAACACGAGACCAATGACGACAGGATCTCTACTGATATCCATGGCCAAGGACATTACCATCCCGTGGCCTTTGAGAAGAAACTTTGCGACTGGGACCAAAAGTATGGAACAGCTGGAAAGTTTTGGTTTTCAGGGGGCGGCCCTTCAGATATATATGAGCAAACATCCGCGATACCTACCATTGGCCTCCCACACCGCAACAGAACCAGTATCAATACAAGTGCTGCTGCAAAAGAGCGCAGCAGAGCCATTTTGTCTCTGGTTCAAACAAAGAAAGGTCTGCCATCGTCCTCGGTTTCAAGCAGTGATAGCGACGAAAGCAGCGACGATATGGCAGAAGTCATGCCAGAGCACCCTCCAACTCCTTCCGTCCCGTCGTTAATACCTTCTTTGAAGCGAAAGCGTGCTCCCTCAGACACCGAACCCATGTCTGTCGCATCCCCAGAGAAGCAATTGACTACCACAGAAGCAAGCCCTGCACTCAAAGTCGAAAATTTTACGTTCTTGGGCAACTTCCTAGCCAACTTTTCGGATTGGACCCTGACTGGCTACTTTTCTGCGTTGCAGTCCCAACAAACCCCGGTTCTGCTTCTCCGCGAAGATCAGCTTCAGATTGCCCAACTTTTGGTTGAGCAAATTACACAATCATCCCTCAAGCACCCACTGGATGAGCAGAACGGCCCCGTCAACCTCGAAAGTCAGTCTCTTTTGCAATCTTTGGACGATGCAGAATTTCCAGGTGAAGTCTCGAAGCTTGACTTCAAGAGATACACCTCACTGCAAGACGAATTTACTGCCAACCATCCACAGCAGCAACCGCCCCAATATCCAATGCCACCTAAGGATGTCCTCAGGGGCTTCATTGCAAGGCTACCTGCACCCCACATACGTGTTCGTCGGGGTAAGGAGTACCTAGAAGCTCTCCCTTTCGCTGTCAACTTTTGGGAGACATTCGGCCTTCAGCCAGCTCATGGGCCAAAGAATATCTCCGCTTATTGTATCTACCCACATACTGCCTCAAATGCGGCAGATTTGTTTCTGGGACGGCTTGGCCTTCTATACGAAGAAGGCTGCAGCCTTGGAACCCATACTCGCGGAGACGACTCTGCGGGGTTTGAAAAGGGTTTGAAGTCATGGCAGTCTGGTTCATCCAGTTACGAATCCATGATGCTGGTTCTGAAGAAAATGTGTGAGGAGCTTGGAACGGAGCTCTCTCAATCTCCACCCACGGCTGATAACTGTGTCGTCTACATCATCAATCCCTTCACTCATACTGCGGCACTGGCCGATATTTGTTCCGCCTTCTGGCATCTCTTCCAGCAATTGGTAGCCGATTCCGAACGTCGACAAGTCCGGCCCGTCAATGAGCTTGTACTGCAGATCATTCCGATGGAATTTGTCATGTCGAGTGAGGCATTGGTCATGCCTTCCCAAGAAGACTATTTGAATCTGGCTCTGGAGGTATATGGTCGATGTCGCCCTAAAGGGAACGATACAAGTCCTCTGCTCTGCACACCACCAATATTTCTAGCCGATCCTCTCCCAAGAGCCATCAGCTTTCGACTTGCACCTGAAAGGACGTCACCACTCCAGGATGGACGAAGCCTTCATATTGCTTGTTCTAGGAGTCTAGATCAACGCTGGATATCCGTGGCTTGGTCTGATGTTGCTGGATCTATCCAAAGAACTGTGTCTTATTGCCTCAAGTATCGTCAGTCGAGTGGCATCCGACCAATAGCCGATGTGAGGAATGAAATCTGGGCTACGACAAAACACATCATGGAAAAGATCCAAGCACGGTGGAAAGTTCAGCTTGTGACCACGGAGCCCATGGAATCTGATGAAGTCGAAGGTATGCATCCACTGATGAGATCACAAGACTAAGTTACTGACAATCCCGAAGCATGGACCAGCTTCGCAGATCAATACAACAAATCGCGACCCACCTCACTGGAACTGACCATCCTCTCCGTTAACGCCATTCCCGATTTAATTCTCGAACCCCCAATTTCCCCAATATCGATGGCCGTCTTCAACCCGCTTTCCACAACCCCCGTCTCCACCCCCAACCCCAACAACAGCATTGCATCCCCTGAACAATCTGGCAACGCAGCAACACCAAGCAGCGGCGGCCCGGCAGCGTACAATGCCCCAACCCCAACAGACATGTCCCTTGAACCAGACCCAGATCTCGCCCTGACAGACATATGCGATGAATCCTGGCTAGCAGTCCTATCTCACCGCCTCAACAGCTCCGCCCACCTCACCGATTTCCGTCCCGCCCTGTCAAGCGGCTATCTCCTCCGCCGAAAAGGCCCCACCGACAGCGACGGTGTCTTTGCCTTGACGGCTAATTTAATCTACTCCGCCCGTCCTCCTCCTGCCCATGATAATGTCTTGAAGGATACGCTCAGCATGTATCGGGATATGGCGACTCTTGCTCGTGTCAAGGGTATCCGCTGTGTGCAGGGTAACACCCTACCCTGGCATATTGCCACAGCTCTTCGTGCTCAAGAGCTATTAAGTTATACATTTTGAGCGTGGTTATATCATGGCGTTCTGGCTATGGTCATTTTCTTGTTATATCATTCCTTTTCTCCTTTTGTATGTTCAATTATAAAGTTTGGGTGGGTAGATATATACCCCGGAGGGAATGCATTTGATTTTTCCATCACTAAATACATATGGAATTTGGAGTCGTAAAATCCATCAATTGAACGTGGATATTCATCATCACCGTTATTTTCATACTATCAACAGATTTACCCATCATGTTCATAACGTCAAAACAGAAATGTGCATCAGATCAAGTCATCGTCAAAGTACATTTGAGGAAAGAAAAGAAAAAAGAAAAAGAAGAAGAAAATAAAAAAAGAACTTTCAACTCCAAGACCTCAAGATACAACAGTAATTTATGTACCAAATCCAGATCCAAACCCAAACCCCGACCAAAAAAAAAAAAAAAAAAGAAATTGTACAAGATCAACATAACATATTTCATAAGAAGCAAAGCTCAAAGTCGTCATTGCGGCAGGTAGAGGAGTGCCAGCAGAGAAAAAGGGTATCGGGTAATAGATCGTAGTCGCAGATGTAGACGTAGACGTAGACGTAGACGTGCATGTTTGTGTTTGTAGTTGTGTTTGTGGAGGTGGTTGGGAGCGGCCCGCTACCCAGCCTTATCACCCACCACCTTCCTCAACACTCTCCTCATCACCCTTCTTCTTGGAGAAAAAGGAGACATGGTTGTTCACGGCATAGATGGCGAAGCCAGCAATGGCGAGGATGAGGAAGAGGACGATGATGATGATTGCGATGGTGATGTTGCGCTTGACCATTTTGGGTGGATACGATCTGGGATCGTGGATGTGGAGGCGGTGGTGGTGGTTGTTAGGTTAATAGTGTATGTGAGGATTATGTAGAAGTAATGTCGTTGCTCATCAGGTGAAAAAGACAAAAGCAAATCAGAGCAAAGTAAGACAGCTTGTGGTGTCTTAGTGTTGTGTTGTGTAAGGCGCCGATGCGTGAGTATACTTGCAGTATACCAGCTTCTAGGGCCGACTCTCCTTCGAGAAAAGTCTAGGAGAGGAATGTGGAATCAGGGGATAAAGGGAGAGTAGAATTGGGAAATTCTCGGCGTTATAAACTATCGTTCTTTTCCCAGCCATGTGTTTTTCATCGGGGGCTGGGGGAAGTGGGTACCTGATACTCTATACTGTAGACGCTTCCCTGAAACGTTGCACTTTACACCGCGAGATCAATCATTTGGAACATTTGATTTTAGAACATGGTATGGATGTTGTTCAAGTTTGCAGTATCACAATTCTACTTAACAGTTGGTTTGCATGGGTTTATCCCAGAATCTTCAAGCCTCCCTTGGTCTTCCCGGACTTCTTGACGCCATCATGCTTGACCTTGCCACCAGGCTGGCCTCCCTTTTTACCTCCACCATTCTTCTTTCCATCTTTGCCACCTGCAGCTGGGCGGACCTCTGTAGTAGCTCGGCGCAACAAAACTGGGTGCGATCCGATGTATTTGCCTTGCATCTCACGCCCGGCCTTGAAATAGTCATCGCCGTCGCTAAAGCTGATGAATCCGAATCCCTTGCTTTTCTGTGTTCGCTTCTCCCGAATCACACGAGCTTTTTGGACCGATGGGTAGCGAGCAAAGGCTTTGAGCAGAGACTCATCCGTGACCTCACCTGCCAGGTTACCGACAAAGAGACGGAAATGGGCTGGATCCCATTCTAGAAGTGTAGTATCAGTCCATGTTTCTCCGCCACCCGATCGAACAACGGTTTTCTGTGATTCGGTTTGCGGGACAGGAGTGCTGGTGCCAACGGTAGGAGTGCCAGCCCCTGTATTCACGCCTGATCCAGGATGGGTACCTTGGCGTTTACCAGTGTCGTCGGTGGGGTTGGAATAGGCACTCTGCCATTGCGCGATTTGAGCCTCGGTTTCGGGGTCGAAGCCAGCGTCGCGACCGTTGCGTTGGTATCCCGAGGTCGGGGTTGGTGTGGACCCGAAGGGGTTGGGGATGTGTGGGACGGCTGGGCCGTAAGTGGGCTCGGTGTATTGGGGCTGTCCGTAGTATGAAGGACCGCTCTGATATGTCTGAGGTGGTTGTTGATAGTTGGCACTGTAACTGGCAGGGGCGGCATACGCAGCGGGTGCAGCTGGGGTCGAGACTGCCGGGCTGTTCGTGCGATACGGCTGGCTGGCGGCTACAGTGCGCGGCTGGAATGCAGTGAACGCATTGTAGCCAGGGCGAGGTTTGCCGACATTGCTTGGTGGCTGCGCGGCGTTGGAAGATGGAGGTGGCCGAGGCGGAAGTGACGAGGGAGTCTGTTTGAGACCTGGAGGAGGCGGGAAGGACATGATGAACGGGGTGTCGCAAGAGGGAGAGAGGCGAGTGAGCGATGTGCAAGTAGCAAGCGCAACGTACCTTCAGGGCCTGACTGACGCCGCAGTCATTCGCCAGAAGTCACTTGAGACAGGACCCGAGCCTTGAGGTGCAGAAAAGAGACACCTGAGGAAGAAGACTTGGAGTGAGTGCGGTAATATGAGTCAAGTCGGGTGTAAGCGCTTTCAATGCTGGTGTTGAACAAATGCAGACCGCAAAAGATCTTCGATGCGATTAACCGCGGACGACGGTTCTGGGCTCTTCCGGCCCCTGTAGTATCACATGACTTAGAGGATCATGTCACATGATGTCAAGCTTCCTGACACATCAATGACATAACCAGTCTCGACACCCTGCTTAGTCAAGCATACAACCCCCACCCTAGACCGAAAGCAGCCTAGTCTTACTGAAGCCGGTTATGGCAGAGTATCGGCAAGTGAAGAGTTTCTCCGTCGACCTTCACCTGAACTGTTCACCGATATGTGGAAAGCGTGGGAGATTCGGATACAGTCCCAATATTCGCGCACTTTATAAGCAACTTCCCTACCATTCCTCCCACTATTCCTCCCACTCATTACACTGCAATTGAAGTTCCTACCCCTCCATGCCCCGCTCCCGTAGAGAAGTATAAGCTGCATGCAGGAATAATTGCATATAATCCAACGTTGAGTGCGTATTGTATTACATATCGTATAGAGTGTAATCAAGCGGAAATGCCCAACCCCGATCAGAACCCGAGTGGACTGAGACTCGGACGACTCTGCTCCTGTACCGGATACTTGGCGCTACACCGGAGACAGTTAGGATGTTGAGGTACCGCGTTACCCCCCCAAAGTCCCACCAGATGACGGAAGAGTTGCTCCGTCAGCCGGTCATTGAAATCCCCCTCTTTAACTTCTTCTTCCCTCTACCACTTCATCTTTCTCTCCATCATTTCCATCAGATCTAATAATCATGGCTGCGTGAGTACTCTCTGCTGTCCTCCCCATTACCTTCTGCCCTTGCCCTTCTACCTACCCACTACCCCTCCACCCCTCCATCCCGACATCCCCGTGGTTACACATCCTGCGGATTGCAGAACAGAGTGCAGAGTGCATTGCCAATGTTGCTCAATGTTGCTCAATCAGCCTGCGGAGCTCTACACTTGATCTGTATAGCTTCCCCGCAAGATGAAAACCATGGAGATTTCGAAGTGTGGTCATCCTCGGAACCTCACGGATTGAGCTCCTTCTTCTATCCTTTTGTGATTTTACCCAGCTATTGACAAGAGACATTCTCGCTGACTATAGCGCCCGTCTCGCCGGCATTAATGTCGGCGCCCCGGCGCCTATCCCTAGTGCTGATTGCGATTTCGGCCTCATCGGTCTGGCCGTCATGGGCCAGAACCTCATCATGAATGTTGCCGACCACGGCTTCAAGGTCTGCGCGTTCAACCGCACAACTGCTAAGGTTGACCGTTTCTTGGCCAACGAGGCTAAGGGTAAGCTTCAGTGAGGATTGGAGATCAACAATGGCAAATGCTCATTTCCTTTTCAATTAGGTAACGACAACATTGTCGGTGCTCACTCTATCCAGGAGTTCTGCTCCAAGCTCAAGCGTCCCCGTCGTATCATGCTCCTCGTCATGGCCGGCAAGCCCGTCGATGACTTCATCGAGTCCCTCCTTCCCTTCCTCGAGGAGGGTGACATCGTCATTGACGGTGGAAACTCCCACTTCCCCGACAGCAACCGCCGCACCCAATACCTCCAGGGTAAGGGCATCCGCTTCGTCGGCAGCGGTGTCTCCGGTGGTGAGGAGGGTGCCCGTTACGGTCCTTCCATCATGCCCGGTGGTAACGAAGAGGCCTGGCCTTATATTAAGGACATCTTCCAGAGCATCTCCGCCAAGTCTGAGGACAGCGACGGCAAGTCGCAACCCTGCTGCGATTGGGTCGGTGATGAGGGTGCTGGTCACTTCGTCAAGATGGTTCACAACGGTATTGAGTACGGTGACATGCAGCTGATTTGCGAGGTAAGAACGCCCAAGTCCCAAGAAATAAAGCCCTACTGACAGTATGCAGGCCTACGACATTATGAAGCGCGGTCTCGGTCTCTCCAACAAGGAGATCGGTGATGTTTTCGCCAAGTGGAACACTGGTGTTCTTGACTCGTTCCTTATCGAGATCACCCGTGATATCCTCTACTACAATGACAACGATGGCACTCCTCTCGTCGAGAAGATCCTTGACAAGGCTGGCCAGAAGGGTACCGGCAAGTGGACTGCTATCAACGCCCTTGACCTTGGTATGCCCGTCACCCTGATCGGTGAGGCTGTCTTCTCTCGCTGTCTCTCTGCCCTCAAGGATGAGCGTACCAAGGCCAGCTCCATCCTCCCCGGTCCTACTCCCAAGTTCGAGGGTGACAAGGCCACCTTTGTCAACGACCTCGAGCAGGCCCTCTACGCCTCCAAGATCATCTCCTACGCTCAGGGCTTCATGCTCATGCAGGAGGTAAGATTCCCGCTCCAATTAACCGTTAAACATGATCTAACCTCTTTCGGTATAGGCCGCCAAGGAGTACAAGTGGAAGCTCAACAAGCCTTCCATTGCCCTCATGTGGCGCGGTGGTTGCATTATCCGCTCCGTCTTCCTCAAGGACATCACCAACGCCTACACCAAGAACCCCGACCTCGAGAACCTGCTCTTCGATGACTTCTTCCTCAAGGCCATCACCACTGCCCAGGATGGCTGGCGTAACGTGATCAGCAAGACTGCTCTCTGGGGTATTCCCTCCCCCGCCTTCACCACCGCCCTCAGCTTCTACGACGGCTACCGCACCAAGGACCTCCCCGCCAACCTGCTCCAGGCTCAGCGTGACTACTTCGGTGCCCACACTTTCCGCATCAAGCCCGAGTTCGCCAGCGAGACCTTCCCCGAGGGCAAGGACATCCACGTCAACTGGACCGGCCGTGGTGGTGACGTGTCTGCCTCTACCTACATCGCATAAGCGTGAGGAGAGGGTTGTTAGAAGGGTAAAAAAATCGGATGTTCAATGTATTTAGATGCCTCCATGGAAGCCCATGATCCGTAACGAAGTCAATTGTTTCAAGTTCACCCATTCCAAATGAGTCATAGTGTATGAGCCACGTGGTGATCATCGATAGTGCCGAGTGGGGGCACACATGGCGATACGTTCGTCGAGGTTGACTTTCCACGTTGGGGTGAAATCGATGATCTGTCATGCTCTACTTCACTCGACTTTGCGTCTAGTTGCCAATGGTTGGAATAGCACTCAATTCCACCGCCGTACATGCATCGCGGGTACGTACGACTCGGTCGAACGGAAGAAATCAGGAGAAGTGGGCACTAAAAGCTCCGAGAGTCTAGTCGATCCCAGACCCGCCCATTAGCTGCAGGTTACTTTCTACGGGGATCTGCAGGGATCCGTTCGAGCCTGGAGATCGTGAATAGCGAGGTCAGTTCTCCATGGCTCCTGCAACTCACTGGGTTCAATAGTTTGCACGAACAGCAATAGCATCTAAACCCAGGATCTCCAGCAGGATCTGACCCGTGAGGTGATCGGCAAACCGAGATCCGATTTTTGGTTTGTTAGTCTCCTTTTTCCCTCTTTTTTTTTCTTTCCTCTTTTCCACTAGTTTGGATGTTTATCTTGCTACAATTTAAAGCCCTTTCCCACGAATCGCCCCGCGGGTGATTCGTGTTTTTTTCCTCTGCAATGATGGAAAAGCATCGGTATTACGATGTGCCCGGGGACACATATCCCCTGCACCTGCTGGACGACACCAAGTTCAATCGCGATTGTGTAAGCTGGTCCATGCGCTTTAATGATGTGCTGGACGCGGAGATGTTACGAGATTCGTTGTCTGAATTATTGGACATGGGCAATTGGAGGAAGTTGGGCGGTCGACTTCGAACAAAGGTATAGATACACAAATTTACCTCTTCCTCAGTCTCCCCTTGCTCCATTGATTTCTCCTTCAATTCTCACATCCCCTTCACAGGCTAATAGAAAACAGCCAAACGGCAAATTGGAAATCCACGTCCCATATGAATTCACCCACGAGCATCCAGCCGTGGCATTCACACACGACACCTTCGACATGAGAATCGAAGAGCATCCTGTGGTAGCACGGATGCCCCAACCAACCAGGGGCCCCTCAACCCAGCCAATCAGCCACAATGACTTTCGTTCATTCGCAGCAAGCCCCTATCACCCACTGACGCTGGAAGAAATGATCCACCAGAACGCGCCACCGATCTTTCTCCACGTCACCTCGTTCAAAGACGCGACTCTCGTCGCGCTCAGCTGGCCTCAAGTCCTCATGGATGAAATAGGCCACAAGGAGCTCCTCCAGGCGTGGTCACTCATCCTAGCCGGACGGGAAGAAGACGTCCCCGACGTGCTGGGCGTGTCTAAGGATATCCTAGATGGGGTTGGAGTTTCCGAGGATGCGGGTCTTGGTCTGGATCAGAAAAGGCTGAAGGGGATGGCCAAGACGAAGTTTATTTCGCGCAATCTCTGGGATAGGATGTTTAATCCTTCTTGGGAGTTGCGGGCTATTTTCCTTCCCAAGGAGGCGTTCGCCCGGCTGCGTACGCGCATCACTGGCGAGATTGAGACTTCTTATCCTGGTGGTGGGACTACGCCGTCTGTGAGTGATGGGGATATTCTCACGGCGTGGATTACGAGGGCTATGGCTTCTTCTTTGCCGAAGCCTAGGCCGATTACGATTTTGACATTTTCCAATGCGCGGTTTCGGCTTCCCAGTTTGTTTGAGGGGGAAGGGGTTTATTTGCAGAATTTGATGCTGGGCGTTTATACGTTCCTTTCGGTGGAGATGGCGAGGGGGCCTCTTGGGTCTATTGCGCTCTGTCATCGGAAGCATCGTGATGATCAGAATTCCGAGGCTCAGACGAGGAGCTTGCTGAACTCTTGGAGGCAGGATATTGAGTCCACTGGTAGTCCCAGTCTGTTCTATGGCGAGCCGCAGGGGTCTGTCATGCTGGTTAATAACCTGAACAAGGCGGAACTTATCAAAGCTGCAAGGTTTGGTCCGGCAGTTGTTAAGCAGGGTGATAAGGCGGAGGGGAGAAAGAACCCTCCTGGGAGGATGGTTACATACTACATTCACAGTCTTGGTTCGACATGGACAGCGCTCAATTGTTTGTGGATGCTTGGGAAGGATCATGGCGGGAATTATTGTCTCCAGGCCAATTTGCTGCCTAAGGCTTGGGCAGTGATTGAGGAGGATATACGGGATATGTCTATAATTATTTGAGTGTACAATACCCTGGCGTTTGTTGTTGTTTCATGTTTTGTTCCTTCGCTGTGGCTACATCATTTGTGTTAATAACGATTCTGTAAATTACATATATTCATAGTTGGGAATAGGCATTAGACAGGAATACAGTTTCTTCGAGAATGTTTAAAATGATACGCGTTGAAGCATGAAGCTCTTTGGGCCCACAGGCAATGGATCCACTAGAAGATCCATGAGAATCATTGGCCGAGTTTCACATTTGACACCATGCATCTGCACTCCTGATCTACAGCAGTAAGATCTACACAGTGTAGGCCAAGCGGCGGCGGGTGCTTGGAGCAAGACCATGTGGTGATAGATCGCCAACCTGATCTTCAAGTGTACTCCTGTCATCAAGTTGTAGAAATAGAGCCATCAGTTTTGAGGGTCTAGATGTAACAGCTTCAGTGATATGCATGACGCACCTGCCCATCCTCTGCACGCATATGAGTAGCTGGATAGCTGGATATATCTACCGGGTCACCTCCGCCTCTGCAGATACACGCGGCAAAAGCATGAAGGTGGGTAATAACACAATAATTAGGCTGTGATAAGTTCAATAGTAGTAACGTGGCCAGAATCAAGCCCGACAAGTGCTTCAGAACCGTCAACATCCAAAATTTAACAAATATAGTATAGCCGAACCCCATGTGACACGTCAATTGGATACCAAAACACCAAACTCCGCCATTGCAAATCCGAAATCATACCTTCTGTCGAATGAATCGCTGGATACTTGATAGTAGCCCACATGAGAATATAACTATGTTATAGGCTAAGATTGACCTGATAAGGACAGATTCAACTTGTATTCAATCAAATTCAACAAACTGAAACTATCACACCAGACTCAAAATCTAGCCCAAGGAAAAGATTAAGACAGAGCACAGACAAGTCCCAGATAATCATCATGTCATATCAATCATGTAGAAGCTGCCACGGTCACATTAAAAAGTAGTCGTGTAGATCCCAGAGAAGAAAACAAACAACAGAGAATACCATGTTAACTCCAAATTCAAACCAAAAAAAAAGACAAAAAACAATCAAACACACTCTATGCACATTGCAGTAATCAGTCTGTAGCTGGGGGATTCAGTCTATGACAGCAGCCGACGCGCGCAAAAAGACAAAGCATTTTAAAGCCAGGAAGACGAGAGTTGAGAAACGAAGCGAGCTGAAGCGGTGAGAAGTAAAAAGCAAAGTGGATGAAGTGAGGATAAAAAAGAAGTGAAGGGCATAATCAAACATGATGCCGGTGAAAGTTCAAGATAGATCTTGGCATCCTCGACGTAGATCTTGAGATCACCAGATATGGAAGTTCGGGAGCCCAGCTCCCCGTCTCCCACTACCACGTCGCGAACCTGCAGCGGAGTCTGCACCGCCATGGTTGCCACGGTTCTCCTCCAAGCTGCGGCGAGAGGCACCAAAGTCACTCATGGCGAAAAGCAGGGGCTCGTCGTCTTCCGGTGCTTGTGATGAGAAGGTACGTCCCATCCCGGGGCGCTGTATTGAGCCGCGGCGGATTTCCATGGTTGAGTTTCCGCTGTTGCTTCCGCTGGCATTGCCGTCACGGTCTTGATCGCGTTCGACCAGGTGAGGTGGGATGTTGGCACCGCGGGCGAGACTGCTGGATGCAGAGCTTAGTGAGTGACCGCCGGAGTTTCCTCGGCCGCGAGAACTGGCGAAGCGAGGCTGGTAGAGGTGGGGGTTGGAGGAGGCGGATGCTCCTGTTGGTCCGGACATCTGGCCGCGAAGGGAGGCACCGTCTCTGTATGGACCACCAGTAGACGCAGAGGGCGCACTTGGGTCTTCGATGGAGGACTGCTGTCCCTTCTGACCATCGTAGGTGGTGGCATCAGAGCTCACGTATTCGTTCTGTGGCTGAGTGGCCTCCAGGCTAACAGCTGGGCGGTCATCGGCTCCGAGACTGAGGCTGCGCAGACCGAAGGGGAAGATATCATCATCGTCACCGGTGACAGGCGCCCGACGCTGAGCAGCGGAGCTCGAGCGACGATAAGCAGGGGAGAAAACGCGGGGCGAGGTAGGAATGTCGATAGCACCGGCAGTGGAAGAAGGTCCCTGGGTACCCTCCATGCTTGGATGCTCTTCCAGCGGAGAGTCATGCTCGATGCGAGGAATCCGTCGGTGATCAATCTCGATATCATCGGCAACGCTGTTGGAGCTCAGACGGGAACGGATAGCAGGAGTATGAGGGGTGTGAGGAGTGTGCGGAGAGATAGGCTTTCCTGGGGAAGATGCTGTGGAAACTGAGGTGCCCGAAACCATAGGCGGAACTCCCGAGAGCTGCTTGCTTGAAGAGATCGAAGGGCGATGTCCTTGCATAGAAGCTGACATAGAATCCGACAAAACATCATTGGAGTCGCGCATCGCTCGGAAGCGATTCAGAGCAAGTTGAGTGGAGGAGAGTCTCTGCGTACCAGACTGCAAGGATGCCGAAGTAGAAGACTTTAATAAATCCTTCTTGGAGTCAAGCATTTTGAGGAAGTCAGAGATGTTCTCATCGTCAGCGTGGATTGACTCTGCGCTGGTGCCAGTTGCTTCTGCCAGTAGGCCGGATCCAGGCTGAGCGTTGGACGAGGTAGCACTCGCTCTGCCGCTCGAATGATCATCGTCGAGTCTATTTGCCCCTGCAGAGAGACGGCCTCGTCGGTGACTGAAAGAGCTGCTGTATCGAGAAATAGGAGTAGCTGGCTTGGGAGATGCGGAGTTGGAAGCTGAAATGGCTTGTTCGGATGGAATGGACAGAGGACGGCGCGCAGAAGCGGCCGAAGAAGGGGGAGGCATGAAGCGTGAATCGGCAGATGTGCCAGTCTGCATGCGAGAGGACGTATTACGAGGAGAGATGCCTAAGGGAGAATCTGCGAGAGCCGGGGAAGCAGATAGAGGGGGAGCTTTGAAGGGTTGAAAGGAAACAGAAGGGCGACGAGGGAAGCTGGATGGGCCACTCTCGCCGGCGATTTGGGCGGCTCGGCCAGTAGGCACCACTTTGGCAGGAGGAAGAAGCTTCTTTGGGGAATCTGTTGGAGAAGGTGACGTTGCGCCAGAATCCCTGAGTGCGCGCAATGCTGAGATTGGGCTTGCCCCCGTCGCGGGACCAACTTGATGGAACGTTGACAGACTTCCGTATGCGCGCGTGCAGTCAGGATTCTCGACTGTCCTTCTTTCTACCGGTACCGAACCCACTTCAGGGTTGAGGCGATTGATATCCTCTGAAGGCAACGACGGACGGAAGATCTCGTCGTCGGCACCCATGAACCGCGAGCTCAACAAAGCCTCTGAATCATCCACGCGAAAGTCACAGTTCGTGCGATATGTGACTTGCACTGAGAAAGGACCCGCAGGCGACTCCGTGATACCAAAGCTGTAAGTGTCCGCCACCTTTTCACTGCCCTCACTCAACGGAGCCGTCAAATGATCAATAGACGCGTCTCGGTGTGCGCCTGCATCTACCACTCTATACTTGATCTGGAGAGCCGGGCTCCTGCGTGACTTCTTGTTGCGCTTCGAAAACCTCCACGCAGGCAAGAACTTGGAGTATGTGAACAAGGATCGGAAGAGCACGATGCTTTTCTTGTACACCGTCGGCAATATGGAGCCCAAATCAGCTGGAGGCCTGCTCGCTGACTCTCCCAACTCGATCTTCCATCGCTCCAGAATGATCTCGTCACTATCTGACTGGTATGGCTTCGCATGGCCTCGGAGTGCCGTGAGCGACTCGCGCACGTCCCATCTCTTCCCATTCTCATCCAGAATGACCAGACTCTGGTTATTTGTGAGGCCTTTTGTGTCAAGGTAGGTTTCGATAACGAGGGGCGGTGGCCGATTCTCCGTGGCATCGCATGTCCTCCAAAGTCGCAGGGGTTCTCTCAGAATATCGGTATCCTCTAATTCGACGTTGAACTAGATGAAATGAACAATCAGCGCCCGTTACTTCAGCTGTGCATTGCCGCCCGCAAGGACTCAAGGACTTGTGAGGGGTTACCTACCCAGCGGTTCACTCTCGGGGATTCGGAGCCCTTGGTGAATGATGGAGGGAGCGCAACACGCGAGTGCAAGATGATAAGAGCGGCTTTCGTGTGGTAATTCTACCATGAGATCAACGATCAACCGACTGTCCTGATAAGCCCGAAGGGCAATCTGGGGGACCATACCGAGATTATCTGATTCAATCGAGCCAGCGCTTCCTTGGCCGGAGCCGCATTCCTCGCCTGTTCAGGTTGAGATCCAGGCTCTATCCCTAGCCCCCTGGCTGAATTCGACCCCATGTCCACGGTGGGGAAGCTTGGGGTAGAGTCTTGGTCTCTGAGGTCGTCCCGAGTCGTCGGTCTGGAGGGGAAGGATGGCGCTGAAGAAGGCACCGCCGGTGATCGGGGATGCTGATGCATGATGGGCCCTAACAGTGTCAGCCATGAAATGGATGAAGCATGGTTGTCGTTGCCTACCGTGGAGGAGCGTTATCACCGGATCTGTTATCAGGGGAGCAATCGGGCAGCGATGGGTCCTGAGCTGCAGTCCATGCTAACAGATCCACGATACTGAAGTGAGGCGCTTAACGAATGAATACGCAGTATTGATGGGACTCCGGTCTAGGACCTTCGGAGCACGTTCTAGAGCTTCTCCGCATCAACAAGAGATTCTGGGGGTGAGTCACAACGTGGAGGGACTAAGAGCACATAGAAGGGGGAAGCAATGAGAGGAGGTCTGAGGTGTGAGGTGTAATAAGAGATAACCTCTGTGACGCACACCCGGTGACTCGATCTCCGCCACACGAGGCTCTGATGTTTTGTTCTTGCTTCACGTTGACATTAACCTCTGTGGCCTCCTTGCCGTATATTCACTATTTTATTATTCTCTCTCTCTCTCTCTATTATACACTATGCAGCACATGTAATGCTATTCTCTCTAACTGTCATAACATCACTGTTCACGGTCGCGTACCCGCATCCGTTCCCTGGTAC